CAGCGCGGCTGGCACCGGCTAGCTCCGCGGTGCGGCAGAGAAAAGAGAGTGGTCAGCTGTGCGAGCGAAATAGTGAGCGGCAGAGAAATGGTCACTCCGGTCCCCTCATCAGTTATGACGGGAGGGCACGTTTGCCATAGGGCGTGCCCTCTCGGTTTTCTTTGCACTCTCGCTTGTTTTGCGAAATGGAACAACAACACTGCAAAAAGCGAACGGGGCTTCGAGAATTGAATGCAACATTTGAAGGGACCAACTTAGCCTGAGCCTCTAACATCCGGGAACTTGAGCTTTTCAGGAAAACTGCGATTAATGATAATCCAACAACAAAGAAACAGAACCATTTTCAGAAATTCAAAGGCCGACGTGGTCAGACCATCCGCGACAACTCTGTGGAACTCTGATAATCAAAATTTCCAGAGAAAACAACGTTTCTTTTCAGAAAGTGATAATGCCTTTGCAAAGAAACAGTGAAAGCCAGTCCATTGTTCTCCAAATCGCTAAAACTGATCTTTTACCTTCGAATGTTCCTTTTCTTTATTACCGAATCGTTTGGGCGTTTCGAACAAAGAACAAAGTGCCGAAACAGAGACGTTTTTCTGCGGGGGCGACGCCAGTCCATCTTCTCAAGGACGGTTTCGAACCGGCCGCGATCGAAGATATCGTTTTCCGTTTTCAAAAAAGGACATTCTTCTTCTGACCCGTCAACTAATTGACATTTTAAAAAATTGACGTCCGTCAAGGAAGAAATTCCGTTTTATTGCCCAAGAAAGGGGTTATCTTCTTTTTTCAGAGATTTTCGATCTTGATGGACTGTCGGGCGAGAAAGAATTTCTGGATACACAGATAAAGTGAAGTGACCGTCACCAGTCCATGCCAATTTTCAAATGCCTTTCTGGAAGTGTTCCGAACAAACAGCATCTTCCATTTGTTTTTGTGAACAATAATAGAATGTTGTTGCGATTAACAAAGAAAGTGATTCAATAATTGACTTCATCGCACGGAGAATTTTCGAATCGCATTTTCCTGAAGAAGTCTCTTCGCCCCCATCTGCCTCACTAATTACGGTGACCTATTTGACATAAATTGTTGTTTGCTCCTAAGTGCGTACGTGTTTTCACGAAATTAAACCTATTTCGGCGACCGGGGGCTAGTGAAAACCGCAGTGCCAGGCGAATGAGAGCAGCTGCCGACGCCGAACATCTGCGCGCAGGTTTTTTAATTCAGAAATAGGTTTGAAACTAATGGATTATCCTCATGTCCAAATGTCATTTACTTTTGATCCCACTTAAAGCTGGTTTTCATGAATTGGAGAGGGATTTTCGAGATCCTTGGTTTGAAACATTTGGCAATACTAATACGACAATACTTAGGGGAAGTGAAACTTGTTGTGTGCACGTTGTCACCAAATCTCCGGAGTGCCAAAGTAGACCCTTTTCCAAACGTTGGCAACTCGGGTGATGGTGATAAAATGCTCCAACGACTGGAAGAAATAAGAAGAGTTGAAGCGGAATGAGTTATCTCGGCACAGACTGATATATATATAGACACTCTCGTATCATGCGTATATATACGTGTGCCATCTATCAGATTATGGCTTCTTATCTGCTCACATTCTCAGTAAAATGCTTGAATCCGCGGATTACATCCGCACAGCTCGGAAAATGTATTCATGTGGTGATGACCGATGTGTGAATATTAGAAATATGGGAAAATGTGAATGGGAGCACTTCGAGAAGATACATTATTAGCGATGATTACCATGTAGTTGCAGTTGAGAACTGGAAGATACATCCATACGCGAACAGTTGGCCATTGTTTGTCTGCAAGTCGATCAAAATATTGATTCGTGTTCAGTTATGCCAAGCTTTTTGGCAAGCATGTTTTATTATATAACTGGACAAATTATAGTGTTATTGTGAAAGTACACGTCTCATTTTCTAAGAATCTCTTGTTTTTCAATTCAGTGGACTTCCGTTCTGATAAAATGGCATTTTGATATTTAGTTTTCAGACAGGGCTGGGCAAAAACCAGGCTCGGGCTCGGATCGGACACAAACTTCGCAGGCTTATTGGACTTGGATTGAAGTATATTGGGTCCAATTATCTACTCTAAGATATGTGAATCAAACGCGGAATAGACCAATATTTTCGAAGAAAAAACCCGGATTTTTTCGACCTCACACCCACATATGTACACTGCGCATCAGAAGCATAGGGTCCTCTACAGAATGCAAAGTTCTGGACAACCAAAAAAAATGAGGTAACACGGCTGATGCCAATCGATTCAAAGTAGTATACCCCGGGAACCCAAAAATTGGAGTTTCTGCACTTTTTCGTTTCAAGACCAGATAATCCGATCGGTCTGTAACTAGGACCGAAGATACTTCAATCCAAGTGCAAGAAGCCTGCAAAGTTTGGATCCGATGTGATTGTTGCAAATGTGTCAAAGGTCATGGCCTCGGCAGGCCTTCGAAAGGGCTGGTCCGGCCTTTTGCCCAGCCGTGGTTTTCAGAATTCAATCAGCCATCAACGTTCAAATGCCCATATCATCCGTTTCGTGCTCCAGCGACAAGATCCAATAACAAAAGTTCTATTTAAAAGAGTGTATTGCTGCTCATCAAGAGAGCGTCTTCATTCCCCCCTTGCAAATTCGGTTTGAAATAAACGAGTTGATGGGGGCAGCAGCAACAGGCAGCGGTTCAAACAACAGTTGTTTCATTCGCTTGGCACGAAAAGAAAGAGCAATGCGTCATGAGCAACTGACTGCGATTTCTGTTCATTTCTGAGTTTTGCAGAACAATGAGAGCGACGGGGTCAATTTCGTTCTGATTTCTCGAACGTCGACGTTACAAAAGGGGTTGACTCACGGGAACGAGTCCTTGGGATTGTATTTTGTATCAGTGTTTTAAAGTACTGAACGATACGACAAAAACTGTCTGCGTACTTATGTATAAAAACCAATCCAATTTTCCAGACAGACATAAGACACAAGTTTGAGGCAGATATAAAAGTGCTCCCGTTGCGTTCACACTCTCAGTTCAGATTTTAGGTTGTTCTGGACTAAAACACTACACGTCACCAAGATAGGCATTTATTTTTTGCTATCTATATGATTCCTCTGAATAATTCTCATCAACTAATACAGTGTTCCGTCCGTGTTACGCACAACACGAACAGATTTCGTGTCGTGAGTTTCACAGATGGAACACGGTGTGCGTTGCTGCTTTTCCGTGCTCCTCGTGTGCAAGACGTTCTAGAGGCAAACCAAGCTCCTTCCAAACGTCCAATTCTCGTTTCAGTGTCTCGTCAAAGTCGTGCAAAATGGCAGCCTTTCCACCATTTCGTGTTCTCTCCAACTCCTCAATTTTCTGAAGCAATACATCTGCCACTTTTATGCGTGCCCGTTGCTGAGGTGATTGAGAGTCTCTCGCGAGTTCTCGGCTTCAGCGGCCACACTTACGCTCTCCCTCATTCTTTCTCCCCGGCGCCCAACTCTTCCACTATTCGCTTCGCTTGACTCTTATTCTCTCGGCTGTCCTGACCCCGGCCCTCACATACTTTATTTGTAACAAGTCTCAGAACACGGTTACAAATAGAATATGCGAGAACTGGGCAAGGTGACGTGGCTTTCTGGTGCACAAACTCCCATTGACTGAGCTTGCTGAGGTTGTACAAGATTGAATCGGTTATAACCCAAACACAGCACAGTCAATGGAGTGTTTTGTTAGACTTTACCAGCCCAAAATCAAGTTTCCAATCAAGAACATCACTTTTCTCATTGAAAATGACGCACATGTACCCTTTCCGTTTCCCTTGCTTCATTTCAATCATCCAGCAAAGGTCCATCTTTCATTCACTTCAGATTTCACTTTCACATAAATCTTGGCCAAAATAATTGGGGAACACTGTGGTTCGGCAGGGACGGAGCCAGGCTGTGCAATGCCCGCGACTAGTCGTTCTCCCCCTCTCCGCCTACGTTCGTTTCCAATGCTTCACGAAAAGGACGTCACATTATATACTACTGAACGGAAGCCAGGCGGTTTCTCGTTCCCAGCTCCTCCAACTGTTTGGTGTAGTACAAACGAACTCGATATTACTTAAAACATGTTCGAGGTGTTGGGTTGAACCGTCGGTGTTCCTAAGCACTCTAGTATTCCAGGTGATTGGTTCAATCACTATTACTTCCTCTACGTTTGTAATATACTACTTTATTACGTATATTACACGTTAGCGGTTTGTAATAGTGTATGATACTTTTTGAATGGAGGTATGTGAACTATGAAAGTGTTTGTAAGCACCAAATGGGTCGCTATGGAGATATACCTTGTTTGATACATTAATTTCCTCCGCGAATCAGAGCAGAGCGGAATGACCATAGTAAACTGTAGATGACAGAAAAAAAGGATGGATAGTAGTTTTCCATATAGAGAAAATGTTTTGAAAAATCTTAGTTTCGAAATTCTCGTAGTCTCATTGAAAAACACACTGGCAGAATTTTCTAGCTACTGGGATGAGGAAAAGTAAATCGAAAACACACAAAATAGCTTATTGCCAGATTCTTCGGACCCCCAAGCATGTTTTCAATATCATATTTATGACCCTTGATCGGATCCATATGCCTGTTTTCTTACACTTTTCATCCCCATCTCCCACTCAGCAAAAAAGAGCTGACTGACGTCCGAGCACTTGAATCCCTCACACTCAAAGCACACAAACAACATAACTTATCAACTCAAAAGTCAATAGGCAACCAGCGGAACGTTGCGGTGAAAGAAAAGAAGTCACACGTTTTTCTTCGATTGTTTTTTCCCACTTTTTAGTATCTTCATAATGCATTCCTTGAACTGAAAACGAGTGAAGTGCGTAGGAGAGAGGGATAGAGAAAGAGAGTCGGAAAACGATCACGTGTTTTCATGTTGTTTTCTTCTTTTTCACCACTTTATCGTTTTTTTTCCTGACGATTCATGAGCTTTTGCCAACCCACATAAATTTCAGATAAAAATGAGTAGTAACATTAACAAAAGTATTCTTTCTATCACACAAGTACGCCCACATTTATTCTTAGCTGGTTACGGATGTATCACTCCTTCTCTGGTATGACTTACTCTTCAGAAGACTTGTTGAAAATTGACCGGGCTCGGATTAGAATATTTTCGAAATTTGTTTGGAAAATTGCTTTTTTCCATTGAAATTAAGTAGTTCAAACCAGAACACGTGTTTTGCGATCTTATTATTACAAGAAAGCACAATTTTGGAAAAACATTTGGCTCATAAATCGTATGTTGAAAATTCAGTACTAAAATCGGGCCCGGCCTGAGACAAGTCTGCTTTTTAGACCTTACCCCTGATTGAAAAATATTTTCAGTTGAAACAATACCAGATAACGCATGCTGTCGACTGTACAAATCTCAAGACCAAACCTATTCCAGGACTGGAAAAGATTGAGGTGAGATTCAATAAATATGTTCTGATCTGAATACGTATGCCTTTCCAGGTTCCAGTGGACGACAATACGCTTTCGAAAATTTCCCAGTATTTTGAAACGGCAATCAAGTTCATTGAGGATGCGAAGCAACAAGTGAGTCGTCCGATCTTTGTCCACTACCATTTCGATTCTTTCAGGGTCACAACACGGTCATTTACTGCGCTGCAGGCGTCAGCAGAAGTGCGACAATTACCATTGTCTACTTGATGGCTTCTGAAAATCTAACCTTGGAAGAGGCTTACCATCAAGTGAACAGAGTTAGTTCATTAAACCTTGTTGGTTTAGAAATTGTGAAACATTTAGGTGCGCCCAATCATTTCTCCGAATATCGGTTTCTGGAGGCAAATGATCGATTATGAGAAACAGAATCAAGGAAAGACGAGCGTGGAGTTGATCAGCGGACGCATGGCTCGACCGGTCCCCAGTGTTTATTTGAAGAGAGAATTGGCATGAATTTGGTGCTCAACAATACAAACTCACATGAGAATGGAAAACTATGTATTTCTGAACTGTACAATAGTTTTAATGTAATGAAAAAATTATTTGATACAAACCATGTGCCTAGTAAATGAAACGATTAACCGTCTCCTGGTCGCACTACTAATACTATTCTCTTCAAGCATCAATAATATTAGGTCGACGACCAAGTGTCGGTACTTCATTTATAGTTTAAAAAAAAGAAAGAATACAGCATCAAAGAACAATAGAGGACGTCATCATTCGATTGTCCTTCAGTGGCCATCAAAGTGTTTTATACGGCTCTCGGCCGATTGAAGATTCAAAGACAGGCGGGGTTTCACATTCTGAAGACAGAAGATTGCGATTGTCCCCATTTTGACGTTTTGTGTCCTTGTAGACACGATGAACTGATGATCGTGGCGAGACCTTGAAACACCACGCTTGATTGATGATGTTTCAAACAAATTGTGAGTGAGGTGACGGAAAAGGTAGTATAAGCGGTCATTTAAACATGTTCAAGGGCACAGCGAAGCACTCTTTTACCGTCTTCACCCGATCAGAGCCATGTCGATCTGATCTTGTTGAGCAAGGTAAAAGTGTCGAGTCGCGAGAGAAAACTCACAAGCGAATATTATAGACACACATTTTCAAAACGGAGTAAACTGTGTGGTGTAATTTGAATACGTTTAAAAATGGAAACGGGGCTAAGTTGAATTTAATCTTATCAGTTACGGGCGGCAAACAATGCCGTGCCGGTGCAATTGAAAAATAGTGATCCTAAATTTTGATGTACATTGACGCCGTAGTTTATTGCATTTCATAAATCTCTCAAGGAAGTGAAGTGGATCCCCATCTCATTACCAAAGAGCCCGTTCCGACCGAATGACTGAATTCACGAATGAATAATTCAGTTTGTGTGCGTAATCAGGTCAACCTCATTTCACCGACACTCTACTTCGTCTCGACGTTCAGCTCGACTTTGCCAAATTAAATGAGGTTTCACGTAGTTGGAAGGGAAGAAGAAGTGCGAGTGCGAATGTTCTTCTGTCGGCTCAGAGTCTCTTCTTCTCACATCCTTTTCTCATTCACTTTGCGGGAAAGAAGAAAGAGAAGAAAAGAGAGGATTCTTTGGCTTCTTTCGAGCCTTTCTATGGGTCTAGTTCTTCAATCACACGCTTAGAAATCTCTTCTTTTTGCGCTTTTTGTACTACCAATTGCTCATTCTTCACATTTTTCGGGCAATAAGATCGTTGAATTCATAGTTTTCGCTTCAGTTAATAGACGTTCAGAAATCGTGGTCACTGTTTTTCTTTCATTTTTGAAAAACTTGCTCTTTCTGATTCTTTTCGGCATCTCGGCTAGTTTCTGGGCATGACTTTTTCGTTTTCTTCGCAAAAATGTTAGCTCTTGTTGCGAAGTGCCACAAATTGAATCTAAAATTTAACTTTGACCGAACAAGGAAGTAGAAAAGCGGCAAAGAGGGAATCTCACAAGTTCCTATATTACTGCTGCTGTTTTTATTACACTTACATTAGTTTTATAGCAAACTTTTGCGAAAAAAGAGAAAAGGATGGGCCGAACCGGGGATTGAACCCGGGACCTCTCGCACCCAAAGCGAGAATCATACCACTAGACCATTCGGCCGCAAAACGTTCTCATTTGATTATTTGTGTTATTCGTCGCCCTCGGCCACGGCCGCTGGCGGGCGAAACAAAGATAGCGTTCGACGGAAGAGAGGCTGGGTGAGTGGAATGACACTAGGACAGAGCAGAGATGTTTCTGTGGCCGAATGGTCTAGTGGTATGATTCTCGCTTTGGGTGCGAGAGGTCCCGGGTTCAATCCCCGGTTCGGCCCATCTTTTTTTGAATATTCAAGCATAATATGACCCAACTTATTTTGTGACTTTAACTGAAAACGCCGGTACTTTTAGTTCAGTTCATTAGCATGCGGACGGCTTTTTCTCAAAGACGGGAGGGAAACGGAGAAGTGTGTCTGGCCAAGTGCCACAGAAACGATGTTTTTGCCGCTTCGAGGATAATGATATCTTGCTTCCCGACGCTCCTTTCTTTTCTCATTCCCAATGTCGTCAACACTTTCATATTTCCGAATAATTCAAGCGAATTGTTGGACACTGACTACTAATAACGGGATTAGATGTCAATTTCCACCGGAACTTGGCGCATCGCATTTCCGTTATTTCTATTTTCACTGGGATTGCGTTAGCTATATCTCTAACTTTTTTGGTCTATTTCAAAATAGTCGAATTCTTTAATGGCAAAAAAAGAGGTGCCCCAAAAAATGTGACAATTTTAGTCCGCTCAACACTTTCATTGTCGTTTTTCACCGGCTTCAAGGTGTTTTGCACATGCACATGCACAGAGAGAGAGAGAGAGAGAGAGAGAGAGAGAGAGACACGCGGACCGCGGACCCTTCCCGTCCGACACCTCACGCATACACATAAGCACATGGGCACACACCGACACAAAGGCGTGTTTTTGTCTGTGTCCGTCCCAGGGACTCGTTTCGCAAATGAGCAGAACAAACCAAGACACGGCCCCTCATCATATCTTTCGGTGTGTAATAAGGCACCCAACTCGTCGGCCCGTCCTCGTACTTTGACTGAAGCACCCTAGGCCTTCACAATTTATTCATGTAAACGCTACAAGGAGAGTAGTTTCGGAAGGAGTACTTCTTGCCGTTTTCCGCCAGGACACCAATATTAATTTTTTTACTCTGATGTTGTTAACATTTTGTCTGAAAATGCAATTGGGCTGCTGTTCTTGATGTTTTCATTTTTCTCCGAGTGTTGACACGTTGGTTCGGTTTTCAGAGCCTGACTAATCTGACATGCGGATAATATGGATTCGTGGAGTCTATTCAAAGATGAGCTCTTCGCACGCCGCACATTCCATCTAATGAGCACAATTTTTGTTAGTGATGATGTCAAAATGCAAAAAGGCAACACAAGTCCCTACTCTACAGCTAATAAATCAAATTTCTCTTTTTCTCACTCTTTCTCTCTTCCTCTACTTCCAAAGAGGTTTCGGCAACTCGCAACCTCCCAAAAAGTCCCGTTACTTTTCCATTTATAAACACATTAGATTGGCTTCCTCTGCCGGCCGTTTCCAACGTTTCTTTGTGTGCTCCTAGCTCCGACATCCATGTGTGACTACAAAACCAATTAATTCCGTCTCCACCGCTCTCCTTCGTCTCGTTTTCTAAACTTTTCCGGGCATTGTGCCCCACGAAGACTTGTTCCAATTCTCACATCTCATCACATCCCTTTTCTCTCGCAATTGCACTTACGTATTACCATGTAATATGATCTCATTTTGCCCGCTTTCTTTTATTTTCCACTCTCCCTCCGTTTTGCTTTCAATTGTATTGTTACCTCTGACATAACTTACCGATTTCTCAATTGGGTTTTCTTTGTCTTTTTCTCTTTCTCTCTCTTCCTCTTCCTTCCCTCTTCTCTTCTCTTAGACCCATTTTGCCTCAGATATACGACATTGCTCGTTATTTAGACGTCCATTTATTCCAGAGTTCGTCGCATGATGCCTTGATGGGTGCCGTTATTTCTCAGCTCGGATTCAACCAGCCGTTTCTTCTCGCTCTTGCTGTGTAAGTTCTTCTGTATCTGGAAAAGCTTTGACGAGTTTTTTTCTATATTAACTATAATTAGCCATGTTGCGCCTCGGTGCATGTGGTGTGACAAAGTGAGCAAGTTGAAGCATGAATTATTTAGATGGAAAATGCGTTGTTACTCACCATTCACGGAGACCGGGACCGGGCTAGCCGGACCCAAACCACTTTCGTTTTGGGAGGGAGCTCCTTTGTTCTCTCAAGATTTATGCGCAAACCTCCTGGAGACATGAATTTTTTACAAAAGAAAAAGAAAAATGATTTCCTTTCAGAATAGTTATTCTTCTTGGCTTAACGGTCGTCGCAGTTGGACATGACAGCAATGAAATAGTCTGTGATTACGTACCAATTGTAAGTTTCATCATATACATTCATGTTATTAAATTTGATTTGCAGCCTCAAATTCGAATACTTCCCACCTCTGCACCTCCGCCACCAGCACCTCCACGAAAAAACATGTGACATGTGTGTTCTTCCATTTCCAGTTCCATTTTCATTTTTGATCTGATTCAACTTTTCGAGTAATAAACTTTTATTTAAAATAAACATAAACTACGGAAGCGGTGGATGGAAAGACGTCAAAAATATATGTGACCTACTGGAAAATTTGGGGGTTTTTTAGGTGTTGGGTTTTTGGTTTCTTTTCAGATTTATAACTGCTTTCTCTTCATTTTTCAGCGGAAAAGCACTACAATTACAATGGTTATGACGGGGAAGAGGGGGTATCGGAGAAGGAACAGCGGGAAGCGGATGATTCGGAAGAGAAATATTATTTTGGAAATTCTACGACAGTGTGCGAGTAAGTGGATGGATTGAACACCATCTCCAGTTGATCGCTTTCCACTCGTCGCCCATAGTAGCGGTTTTTCAAAATCTGAAAAAGTTGAATTATCAAGTAATTATCAAGTATATCGTACATAGAGGAACTTTCTGAACTTCGAGCGGTCACGATCGTCGCGTTTTCTTTGAATAGCGAGCACGTTGTCCGCTTCCTGAGTCACTCTCGCAGATCCTCCAAAGTGTTGGACGTCAATTTCGGTGTCCCCATCGGTTTTTCGCGGATGAACAACCATTGTGATGTGAATCTGGTTTTGGGTGGCCAGTTGACGCATGTATCCGACAAAACGATCCTAAAGTGTTAGATGAACTACTGACGTGGAACGTTTTCATTAACCTGAAGATGGAATCTGTCCAGACCGCTAGATTTCTCATCGGCCATCATTCCTTGGTTGATCAGGAACTGGAGATTGTCAATGACAACGTGCTGGATTCCACTGTTCTCCACATGAATACGAATTGCCTGACAATATTTCCAGATTATTAACGATATAATGTTCGGAGCCGAATTACTCTAGCAATCTCGTTGATTGACTTTTCCATGAACTCTTCCGAATCGAGCATCGTCAGCGCTGTGCTCGATCTCTCGAATCTGTCCAGCCATGAGTTGATCGAGTTGCTGTACTCGACACGATGGAGAGGAAGCCTGAGTTCAGTCGGTTTACCCGAGCCGCACGTGTTCCGGAAGTCTGGCGAACAATCAGCGGTGCAGCGAGCTCATGCCAGACATCCTTCTCGACACATACCCATTTCCGGATCTCCATCTTCATCTCAGACAAACTACCGTGCAAGACACTCTCAATGCACAACTGCCTCGCGCACAACGAAACCGATAAAAGCGTTCGCATTTATGACCCTTCTATTCGATGGATCATAAATTGTTCGCCCAATTTATGGGAGAGTGGTGGGTGAGAAAACTAAACTGAAGGCCAAGGCGGTGCAAAAGTACAAAACGAGCCGGATCGATCACACAACTAACGCTATTCTAGTGCTATTAGTCTTACTTGATGCCGTTTTTATACGAATTTGTGCGCGCGAGGCTTCGAAGATGTGATGGACTGCAGACAAAAACAAATGTTAGTAAAATCGCAAGCATGGGAAGGGGAACACGAAGCACACTGATAACCTACCCGGCAAATTGAACGAGCATCCAATGAAGTATCTTTTTCTCGGGCATTTCAAAACTACAGAACAACGTGCGGATCTGAAATCCCGATGAAACACTTTATAAGTAATTTGGGAATACCCCTTGAGTAAAGAGATCAAGTGAGTATTCGCACAAGAAAGTCGTCTTTCCGTTTCCAGTTCCTCCAGTCAAAACGGTCATTTCTCCAGGGCGAAGACCTCCAAGGTACTTGTTCAGCACGGCGAATCTCTTCCACTGAAAAAAATCCTTTCCATTTCCGTCAATTCTGAAAATGTACCTGTCCGAACCCGACAATCCGGTTTGTAGAGTTGAGAAGGTCGGAACGGATGCCTTCACGCATGTCCAAGTCCGTCATCGAGCGGAAACCACGCTCTCGCATACGAACAACCTGCAAGCCAAAGATGAACATATTGCCGGAAGCAATTCTTTTTTACCGAGTTGGAAAGCGAGTTACGAATGAGACGGTGATCTCCGTTACGAACCAACTCAATTGGTCGTTCTTCGTTCCTGAATGAAAACGTGAAAGAGAAAATAAATTTGCGAACTTACTTGACAAGAAGACACTTCAAAGTGTTCAAAGCGCTTCCCCAATCTTTGGCGTAGCTCACATGTTGAACTGGGAACCACAAGTAAATCTTGTCGAACTCTTCCAAGTACGGAAGGACCAGAGGATCCAAGATTTCTCCGTGCGGAAGAGCAAAGACCAGAGCTTTGGTGGCTTCATATACGGCCAGAGCATCACGTTCGTTGGTCGTGATCACAACGCTACGGTCAGACAGAGTGGCCATATGAAGTCCGAATACTCCGCTGAACTTTTGACGGACGCTGAAAGAAGAATTTTTTATGAAACTGACATTTTTCAAATTCAATTTACGAAGTTTCATCGGGCAGCGGATAATTCTCCTTTTCCATTCTATCCCCGACTTTACGGATGAGTTTCAAACCCATCGGGATGCGAAGGCGAGAAGTCATTCCACGGTAGCGTGGGAACAGAATCGCCGGTTGACCGTAGGTGTCGGTATGAACACGAACATTGAAACGGGAAAGCGTCTCAAAGGAAATGTTCTCGATCCCGAGCATCCCTTGGAGTTGCTTGAAGATAGTAAAGTCATGTCCACTGAGATCAGTGATGTCGAGACTATTGTCCCAGTAGCGCTGAAGTGTATAAAATTTAAGTTATCGAGGAAAACGTGGTTACTTTAATATCCGGGTCCGGCGGAGCACTCATTGCTTCCGAGGCGTCCAGCCTTGGAGATGGCGCGTCAGAACTGAAATTAAAATCGAGCATATGTATTTATAGATTAATGTGCAACAGAGTCAAAATAAAAACAGTAAACCTATTACAGCCACGTTCTCAATCACAACGCTCAACCTGAAATCAAAGTCGGCAATCTGATTCATCGATTCGGAAGAAGTCACGGCTCGGCTGGTACGTGGCGCTTTGCGTGGTTTCCGTCGTCGTCCGGTGAAGTACTCGTCGTCACTGTGGTCAAACGGAGCTTCGTCGGGACTTGGAAGGATCGTATAGTCGTCCATATCAATCCATGACACGGCTTTAGAATTCAAAGGCGGCAGGAACCCGCTACTGGAGGAGGAAGGCGCTTGATTGAACTGGTGCTCTAGAATTCGAGGCACGGTTAGGAAGTGGGGGAGGGAATTCAGAATGACTTGGTCACATGAAGTGGCAGAATTCGTGGTTCCAGTGTTTACAAAGCTGCGCAACCAAAACAGAAAACTTTTTTTCCGGGGGCGCAGGAGGTACCTCGCAAACAATTATTGTTCCACCCGAAAAAATGCCATTGTGCCCGTCCTTTGGCCCTATTCTTTATGATATTCGACAATTGCGCTGCTTATTTGGCCCACGGACGCCCAAAATTGCTCACCGACTTCAGCGAAGTTTTTTCCTTCCAGAAGTCTGAGCAAAATGTAAATAAACACGAGAATTTGACGACGTGTTCCAGGGCTATTTTTGCAAATTTCTCCCGTTTTCCAACACTCACTAATAACATACCAAATTGGTTGAAGTGGTTGTCCTCGTCAGAGCTAGAGAATAGGTAGGACTTTTTGGATATCCTAGAGACCGGCCGGGATTTTGAGCGATGCATTGTACACAGTAAACGAGGAAACTAAAGAAAACGAATAAGCGGGGCAGCACGGAGACTTGACTCGGAGTTCGGAATAATTCGAGTGCAAGTGAAATTGACCTCCACCTCCTCCTCCTCCTAATGGGTAGTTCGGAGCAGCGGCGCGAGAGAAAAAAGGTTGGCGGGCACAAAGGCGTACACCTCACTTTTTAGAGCAATAATCCTATGGTTGAGTGAAGGTTTGGTGAGGCAAAAATGCTCTTAAATAGAAAGCTATCTTCGACTTTTTTGTGTGCCTCTCCAACCTACTCGTTCAGACTCGCTTTTTATGTTGGCTGCGTTAAAGGCTTCCTGGATTTTTGGTGGCTCACTAAAACGGGGCACCAAGTGCTCGCATTGTCTTTTTCTCTCCCCCTCTCTTTCTCTCGCCTTCTTGTTTTTTATAGGTATTACGAGAAGCGAAAAAAAAGAAGAACAGAGAACAGTTTCATGGATACGGTAGAAATGGATGGTAAACCTATCATTTCAAACTTTCACAAACTCTAACCTGAAAAAACTCAAAATACACACATTAAAAACTAAGGTAAGACAAAATGAGCAGAAAAAACAGACAGAACCCAAATCCAGCACCTGGTCGCTATTAGGCAAACAAAAAGACCCTCTTCCGGAAGTCACTTATGTGCATGTTTCTCAGGAGAACATGTCTTGGAACTCACTCGTCGCGAAATTTTCCGACCTTCGGGTTTTTCTTTCGACTATCCACCTTGTCCATCAAGTTCAGATAGCTAACACGATCGTAGAGATCGGAGTCCAACTGAAATTTGGATTGGAATTGGAAATGAAACATGAAAAAGCGTACTTCTTCTTCCATGGTTTTCAGCAGCAGTTTTTGTTTGGTTTTTGGCAAGTCCACTGTAAAAAATAATGTTAGAGTTGAAGAAGTGGGGTCCCAAAACACGGAAAGGGAAAACAAGAACTCGGATCCGACTTGTCAGGAAGACTGCGACATGACAAAATGTCTCATAGGGCGGAGAGTAATGTGGGTGGGGTCGGGGATAAGAATGAGAAGCTCAATTACTTGTATCGCCGACAGATACACCTGTGCGACGGAAGGAAATGTACAATCGTTTGAGCGGTCGGGCGAGCGGCGGACGGCTATGATTGCACGGCCTAACAACTTTTATACTCCATCCCACAATGTATATCCATCATCTCAAAAGTATACATTCTTCTTCTCCCCCCTCCACTCCCTCCCATCATGGTTCTATTATTTTCCCGTTGGGTTGGCACGAATTGGTAACAACGATTGCTGCTCCGGGGAGTACATACCTTTTCTTTTTCGTCGTCTAATAGTGTGCATCAAGGAGCGAGGACACGGACCAACAAATCTGCACTCTTTCAGGATGGCTCTATAGAGTCCTCAAGCGCACTTCCTAGTCTACTGTTTCTTTTTTTACGCTTCATGGATTCCGTGGGTGTACAAAATTGTCTGTGATCGTTGTACTTGGTGGCGGAATAATGCTGGAGCGACACATGGCGAGGTTCAAACTACAAAATAGAAAAGGAAACGACTTCAAGAATCATTGTTTATTACACCCGTGAGTTACAGACAGAGTTGGAAAGAATGAAAATTTTGAAAAGTACATGAAGACATGAAGAGTTCAGACACCAATTCCTAGGAGATGAACGCATTGTTTGAGCCCGGTTGGTTCCGGAACGTCCTTATCTTCGGATCCACTATCGAAGTTACCGTAGTAATCATCGTCGCCAGTCGACGACGCTTTTTTCGATGAAGTTGTAGAACTGGACTTGGTTTTTGTTTCATCGACTTGATCGTAATAGTCGGGAGATCTACGGAACCGCTTGATAGAGTTCATGTCCTGAAAACAAATGTTACCAAAGGACAGATATTCGGATAACCTTTAAAAAATTAAATTTGTCCGTTGAGAAGAAAATGCCGTTATCAAGATGTGGAACCTGAATTGGCTGCAATATCAGTGATGGGACTGATTTGAAAGCAAGTGGTGGTGCCGTCGGAACAGTTGGCGGCGCGAAGAACGGCAAAGGTGTCCAGCTGGAGATCAGATCGTTTCTGATTTCTAATGGTTGTAGGGATTCTGAAAATTGAGCTCAATGGAACTTGACGGCCCTATTTCATTCCACAAACTCGTTTCCGGATTGCTGCTCCAAGTTTTTGAACCGTGAGCTGTCTGAATTGTTATGGCAGGCGCAGAAGCACGACTATCGTAGTCTGCCCAACGTTTCTGAAATTAGTCACTTTCCAAAATAACCGTTTTATGTCTCTGAAAACCATGTTATCGTCATCTTGAGGAGTAGTTGGATCATCCATCATCATCGGTTTTTGTGGCAGTGGTTCATCATTCGATGGTTCGTCGAAATCCGGAATTGCAGTAGTTGTAGGCGGTTCTGTCGATGGAGATGCTCCTCCTTTTGGTTCGGTCGGCTTCTCAATTGAGGTCATGAACCTGCAAAAACATTTTTAAATTTTAGAAACATTACATGTTAGTTAGAGTTACTTGTCAATGAGTTGGAAACCTTTCGAGAACAACTTGCACTGCGCGTCATCCATTCCCTGTTCTTTACAAACCGCTTGAACTGCATCAGTGTTGCTGGAATGAATGAAGATATATATTTATATCTTGAACTTAAAAGTCAACCTGCTAATAGTTTTGCGAAGTTTCGCGTCTCCGAGAATCTGGGCGGCTAGCTGGATGTTACCGAAAGTTGGATCTTTCTTGAAATTCTCGGCGGAACAGGAGATGAAACGGCAAATGCTAAATAAATGAAATTTGACCTATTAGCCGGAACTGCTCACTTGCTGCTTCCCTTGCACAACGGAACATCATCTAGAGCCGTTCGAGAATGGGAACCAAGAATCGAAGAATCTCGCATGTCATCTTGCGTTGGAGTTTCCTAAAACAAGTTTTATTACAACATGCAGTTCAAAAAGTTTAATTCTCACTGGTTTTCTCAGCATTGCCTCATTTTGAATGGGTTTCGAGGTGTCAAAAATCGGTCTGACCAAGTTCAAAGCACCGGAAATGATATCATCAATTGAGACTGAAATACTAAAAATGTCATTGGTTCTTGGTTCCATCTCTACTTACGTTGTCTCTTTTCCCTAGTTGAAAAAACGACAGGAGCAAAAAGAAGCAAGACGAGTATCGTTCTCATCTGAACCGGTAGCTAATTGATCTTATTTACAACACTTGAAAAGAGGTCGATCACGGTGACCGAGTTGGGAAGATAGATAGAGAGAGAGAGAGAGAGAGAGAGAGAGAGAGAGAGAGAGAGAGAGAAGGAAGAGACGGTCACGATCTGCTGTTGGGTCATAGATAAACTGAAGCAGAAACTGGATCATCAGAAGAGATACGACACATGTTCTGATGAACTTTGGATCACTTTCCGAAAGGTCGCTTCTGCTTTTCTTCTCCATAATTCATAACAGTGAACATCCAGAGGTGACTGAGAGCGGGACGTTTTCCTAAAAACCGGTCAACTACGGGATTTGTTCTGCGTTTCCTATATTCCAATTATCCACAGTCTCTTCCAATAAGCGCATGAGAAATCCGCCAAATTTTGCATGCGCTGGTTAATCGATTGACCGAATTACTCCGGTTATAGTAGGACACATGCCGCGCCCCGATCGGTGATGCAATTCACGGATAGAATCGCGTCGGATCCTGTCGCGCAACCATATTTTATCGAATCGGTGTCACCGCTTTTTTTTAATGCGTGATGAGAGTTCAAGGGCGTTGCAAAAAATCAGTGACGCAAAAAAAAGTATTAGTACAACGTATGATTTTCAGCTGTACACTGTGTACAAGTACAGACAGACATTTGCATAAATCGTTTTGTATGCGAGTAAACACAATAATCCGAGAGTGTTTAGTAAACAGGCGTGTATTTTTTCAGCGCGTTGGTGAAGAGTAAAATATTCATAAGTTACCAAAAAACCGAAAAAAAGGCGGGAAAGTGAAAAGAATAAGAAGAAGAGGACGTTAGGAATCGATGAAGTTTCTTCTTCATTCGCATTGTCTGCGAGTACACTTTCCATGTTCAATTGGAACCACAGTTGTTACACAGAACAAGACGACGGCCGCTGAAGACGCACGGAACCGAATTGGAAACGGGTTGAATATTCCGGCCTCGAAGTGGTTCGGGTACTGAAAGTCCAATCTGTCAGTTTAATGATTCGACAAATCAAGGTCGCACCTGAACATTTTTGAAAAGTGAGTCTTCCAGACTACATCCCGACTCATTTATGATTGGATATGGTTGGAATCCAGGTTCATCAGAGCTCAAGGTGCAGTTGACCACTTGAAGACAGTTTCCGGCGATTGGTTTACACTTTATCTTATAGTAAATTTCATCGTCAAGAGATGCCCCTGTAATAAGTTTATAATAGCAAAACTCTTCAAGAATTGATTCATTTACCGGAGACAATTTGGCCATTCGGGCCCTTCTTGTGGATGGAAAAGTCGCAGGTGATGCTGTTCTCGACAGTTTTTGACAACAAGTTTGGCTTCTGTTTGGATTTATAGATGGACGATGCGGGTGCAACTAGAAAAGTGAAGAGGAATATGAATACGAGAAGATGTTTAGGCATTGGATGCAGCGGAATCTTCACTCGTGTATTCTAGCGATATCCTAATTGAAGTAGGTCATTGCGTTCTAAACGATGTGTTCCTCGATAGATTTATAACTTCCAAGACCAGCAGATATCGAATCGTCAATCATTTAGAATCATCTTCATTTTTAATGCAGGAATGGATGAGAAGGTTTTGAAAGATGGGGGCTCACAAGACAGGAGTTGGGGAGGGAAAAGTCTGATTTTACTCGTTCACTAGTTATTGTTTTCATAATCCTATAAAAATGAGGTGCGGGTAGATGCACACTTATTGGCAAAGTTTGAAATTTCACAGGATTCAAAGTGAAAATACATGATATTGAATGCAAATGGATTAGTTTTCTACAATTTCAGTTCACTTTTTCGTCGTTGTCATTTTCATCATATCGCTAACCATGTCATCAAGACTTGTTGACGAGGATGACGAACCGATTCCGTTTTTCGCAATGTCGACTTTGGTCAAGTTCTTGTTCTCCATTTGGCGTGTTGGTTGTAAAACTGAAAAAGGAAGATAAGATTTGAATGAGAGGGGGGGGGGATATCTTCTTTTTTGGTTGGTTTCATTGGATGAATCACGGCACTATGTACAACCAAATGATTCATTAGAAAAAGTTGTAATAAACTGAAACGACCGTCAGATAGCCATACCAGATTGAGACGATGAGGATGAGGGATTTGTGTGGCGGAGCATCAGATCGTCGAAATCAAACAGGTCTTTTGAAGATTGAGACCGAACTTCCGGTTTGTGTTCTACTGAAAATGAATTTCGTCGGCTGAATTCACTCGATTATACTGTAACTTACCAGTTCCTGGCCAGGAGTGCAAGGAAAGCAAGTCTTCGTTATGATGTGCAGTCAGTTTTGGCGATGATTGCTCGGCGAATGGATCGAAAACGTCCTTTTTCTTGGGGGCGATGGCCGGAGCCTGGGTGAAATCTCCCCAGTCACTGGCAGCCACGATGCTACCAGTGTCGCTTGGCCAAGAGGCTTCGAAAACGACATGTGCTACTGGGACCGGGGCCGGGGACGGAGATGGCGCTGGTTGTGTTAGTGACGGGTTCGGTGAGCGAGGGGGTGGAGGTCGTGTTTCTGAAAAGTCACGTTACACTTCCATTTTCCAGTGAAATTTTGCAAACCTTGCTGAGCTCTCGGCAGTTTCGGAGTTGGCTTTGGGGAAACTGCGGGCTGAGGTGGCCGCGGAGAGGGAGTCAATTCAACGCCCCAGCCCATTTTGTTCGTTTGCTGCACAACAGTATTCTTCAAAGAGTTCAAGTTCGAAAACAGTTTGTCCTGCATATTAAAGAATCCCTTCGCCGCCTGCGACTCTACTCCTTGCTCGGTTTGCGTCGGCGAGTTCTTCATCAATTCTAATATATCTACAAAATCGGTTTTGGCAGCAAGTTTCGGTTGTTTCTGCATTGCAAGTTTCATGTACTCGTCGATTTTCACGGCTGTTATCCGCTCTTCTGGATTTGGAGTCAAGCATTTGCCTGAAAAATGAAATTACTAAGGAATAAGGAGTCAAGTCCAAGAATAACTCACCGATGAGTTCGGCGAATGCGGAAAGTTGATTTTGTTGAACTGGCGGTGGTTTCTTGTACTTTCCGTTGATGATAGCCAGTGCTGAGCCGTCGAACGGATGCTCTCCGAAGCAGACAAAGTAGATAAGACATCCCATTGCCCAGTTGTCTTGCTGCTTTCCAATCGGCCAGTTCGAGTAGACGTCACACACTTCCGGTGACCGGGTAATCGGCGTCGTGTACTTGAACATCTGAAACTGCATTTGTCCAAACATCATCCGCTTCTTTTGATAACCTCTTCCTGAATGGCTAATCTCTCACTATTCGAAAGTGGAGCCATCTCAATCGATTTCGTCGTCGCACTTCCGAAATCACACAGCTTTAGTTTGGCTATAAATAACATAGTGTAAAGTAAATTGAATCGGAAGCACGCGGACGAGGAAACCAACCTTTTCCGTTGATGAGCAGATTTTCGGCTTTTATATCCCGATGGATGATTCCGTTGGAATGCAAATAGACCAATGCTCGGGTTGTGAAATGAATTATGCGGACCACGAAGTCCACGGCCACTTCTTTGTATTTGAGTAGAACATCGGCGATTGAAACTGAAATGTAGAAGTGTGAATGTGATTTATATGATTTGAGTCAGATCACTTTTCCGACTCACATCTACAATATTCCATTGCTATTTTGTACTCCTTGACCGAACGATTTGAACTCCGATTCTCACTAGAAGCATCAAAAAGCACTATGATGTTCTCATGTTGTAGCTGAAATACAAGGTGATTCGATCCGTACTTGTCAGAATTTGTCGTACCTTTTTCATCATCTCAATTTCATTGTCAATGTCCTTTGTCGCTGCTGCATCATGGCTCAACATAATCTTCACGGCGACATATCCATTGTTGTTGGTCGCCAGGAAAACAGTGCCAAATCCACCTAAAAGATGTCTTATATTGAAAGAAATAATGAAAGCAACGTTGAAATCACCCTTGGCAATGACATTCTCCACTCGATAGTTACTTCCATTTATACTGAATGTTTGGCCGCGATCGTAGAGCTCGCTCTGCTCCGTGATGCCAGCTCCTCGTCCGACAGATTGAATCACACCAAGGGCGCGAGCAAATGCCATGCTGGAACAATAGATTGAATTCCTAATAAGGGCGGAAGACAAATGAATCACCGACGAAACGGCATTGTTGTTTGAGAAAGTCGAAGGAATAGTAGAGAAGAGAAAATATGAGAAGGAGCACAGAGGGCACGACGACGACAATAAAATATGAAGGAGTGGGAGGGAGAGGGGTGGATCTGATGGGGGCGAGCAAGAGCAAGGGCGCACGAGAAGAGGTGGAGTCGTGTGCGTTGCTCGGTGAAATGAATGGCGACAAAAATTAGCATGGGCTCGTGTGGGACCGAATGTGTTCGTGACACATTTAATTGGTGGCTAGCGATTCGGGAAAGAAGAGCAAAAGCAGATGGCCCTGGGATTCCCGGGAACCGATGAGAATCTCACTTTTTTCCTCGAAAAACGACTGGTGATGATAGAATTCTATAGTTTTTAATCAAAAAGAGTTTCAGACTATGGAAAGTGCTTTGCACTTGCTGTGATAACAAGTACTTTTCATCGGCCTCCCACCGCTCAACAACCGCCTATCTTGTTGCGGTGTGTGTGAGTGCAGAAACGCGAGACTAATGTCCTCAAGCTTTCATACTCATTTCCTTTCCTCAAAGGATACATTAACAAACTAACATTAACTAACATTAACTGACAACTACAAATTCACCAGCCAACGGAAAATCATAGTTTTTCGAACATTGATCAAACGACGAAATGACTAGATCCATTGTGTGTCTGAGCGGAGCCAATTTTAGAGGGCAGTAGTTGCACGAGGGACGCTCTAATTATGGCTTATAAACGGGAGAGAACGTTTCGCTCGGGTTTCTCGACTCTTTCAACGACCAGGGATCAAGATTGGAGTGTACGGAAGCTTGTAGCTCGGCAAAACATACAATTTACCTGAAAACCACTTAAACGCACAAAAAATCGACTCACCAAACAGAAAAATATACCCTTTTGTCATAATTTTCAGCTATTTTTTCTTGTGTTGATGAGCAAGACGTCTAATTAGGAAAAAAATCAATAAAAATTTGGCGAATGTCGCTAACGAATCTCGGCCAATTTGGGGGCGCACCGAGAACGCGCAAAGCGGACGATGTTGACGCGTTTCTTGAGTTACGTCATGAAACAACGTGGAACCAGTTGTAGCTCTCGTAAAAAATAACGACGTTCTCCGATTCGGTTCCGATCCTTGACATTTCCGTGAGTTCTCTTCCTGTTACAGCCAAAACTTCCAGTTTTTACCGTTTCCGCGTGTGTTTCGCTTGTCTAACTGCTGAGTTGGAGTGGTAGCTGAAAAAAGTTACTTTGAGCGCATGTGGTCAACGCATTGGAAGGTGATGCCTTTGGCTGATATTCAGTCGCCCCCGCCTTCCTCTTATGTCATTTTCTGATCAAAACCACCACATCAGCTCGCGTGCGGCTGCGACGCGGCCCTCTTTTTCGTGCCTTCTCTCTCTTTTCGCCCCATTCGGTTCTGTCCTCTCGTCGCTTACGCTTTTCCCTTTCGGTTTCCTTTCGTTTCGTTTCGTTCGTCCGAAGATATAGTGAGAGAGAAAAAGGGAGAGGGAGAGGCAACCCGTTTTGGAAAGAGTCACTTGTCTAAACGCCGTCCCTTTTACATCCGAACTTTTTTCGTATTTTCTTTACAGTAGACCTCAGCTGCTGCTGTTGAGTCGGAAACCGGTTTGACCTTACCCTTGACACTGTTTACTTTCGTTTGAGTAGCCAATTATTAAAGTTAAAAAATGACCTAGGAGAAGGTTTTGTTATCAGGAAGTCAACTAATTGCTTTTGTTACTAAATGCATCATGCTGTCAGTACACAAACTACAACAATAGATTGTGATAGTTGTGCCCCAGCGTCAGCCCCGCCTCCGTTGTACTTAGTATGCAGTAATTTTTGGATGAGATCGATTGATTATTCCTGGTATTGTTTAATCTAAATTCCAACGTTCAAATATTCGTCAGCCGGCCAGTTTTATAAACAAAAAGTCGTGACCGTTGTCTGCATAGTGTTGACATTGCGCAGCTTTGACGGTTTTCCGCCCTACCTTGAATGTATTCGAAATTCAGGCTGATTGTTTCTATTTTTGAGGCGCCACGTCAGCGGCTGCCACCCGCTGCTCATTTTGAATTCAAAAAGAAAACAATTAGGGAAAATCGAAAAACAGCGTTGGCCGCGCCTTTCTCGTCTTGCCTTATTCTTCTCAACCAACAAGAGAGCGGGAGAGCCGTGTATTGATGTTTTTGCATACATTCTGCTTGCCCGCTTTCAGTAGGCCAACGCCGTTATTCGATAGCATCTGCCTCTACATTTACATGCATTAATTGGTTGAGCATTTCCGCTTTTTTCCCCTTTTTCTTCGCTACACGTTTCAAATGACGCAGATAACCTCCTCGGAGATATCAGAAAAGGATAACCCCCTGGCCTCTCATCAGTCGTGTTACGCTCGCAATGCGCCCCGTCATTTAATCGAAACAGTTGTGTTACGTGCGTGCGTGTACGTGGAGTGTGCGCTTCCGAGAGAAGAATATCGATCGGTTGACCTCCAGTGGGAAAAGAGACGACGCAGAGTGTCTAGATGTCGCATTCATCGCAAAGTGCACACGCCACGTGTTCATTTGCCGCTCCATTCGACAAAGCCGTCGATTCGATTCGATTCGGCGAGCGAGCGTGTCAAACTTCTTGATTCTTCTCTGTCTCCCCGCCCGTTTATCAGTTGTTATCAAATTCCGGCTTTTCTTCTCACTCACCCCATATTCTTTTTTTTGTTGCAGCGTGTCTCTTGGAAATGAACCAATTTCGAGCGCCAGGCGGCCAGAACGAGATGCTCAGCAAAGCGGAGGACTTTGCCGAAGACGTAATACATTGAAAATAACGGGAACCAATGTATAATCGATCATTTTTCAGTTATTCCGTAAGACTCGCAACTATTTGCCACACATTGCTCGTCTGTGTCTTGTCTCGACGTTCCTGGAGGATGGAATCCGCATGTATTTCCAATGGGACGACCAGAAGCAGTTTATGCAAGAGTCGTGGTCGTGCGGATGGCTCCTCGCCACCCTCTTCGTCATCTACAACTTCTTCGGACAATTTATTCCCGTTCTGATGATCATGCTCCGCAAGAAGGTGCTCGTCGCGTGCGCCATCCTCGCCAGCATCGTTATCCTTCAAACCGTCGCCTACCACATTCTCTGGGATCTCAAATTCTTGGCCCGGTAACTCGAAACTTGACACTCAGGCGGGAAGTTTAATAATTTCAGAAACATTGCTGTCGGTGGAGGACTCATTCTTTTGCTCGCCGAGACCCAGGAAGAGAAGGCCTCTCTGTTCGCCGGAGTTCCGACCATGGGAGATTCGAACAAGCCAAAGTCGTACATGCTGCTCACCGGACGTGTCCTTCTCATCTTCATGTTCATGTCCCTGATGCACTTCGAGATGACCTTCCTTCAAGTCATGGAGATCGTCGTCGGATTCGCCCTCATCACCCTCGTCTCTATCGGCTACAAAACCAAGCTCTCCGCGATGGTCCTTGTCGTTTGGCTGTTCGGACTTAACCTCTGGCTAAACGCTTGGTAAGCCAATGTCTAGCTGGAAGCCAGTACGTGAACTGTTTCATTTTCAGGTGGAACATCCCATCCGACAGATTCTACAGAGACTTTATGAAGTACGATTTCTTCCAAACCATGTCAGTCATCGGAGGTCTTCTTCTCGTCATCACCTACGGACCAGGAGGTGTTTCTGTCGACGACTACAAGAAGAGATGGTAGATTAGTAGTCGATGATCCGCTGCCGAGACCAGTATCCGCATTTCTACGTCAACAAATAGCATCGCATTTCTTCTTAACTCATATGGATTGTAACTTATGAATTTAAAATATAATCTTAACGTAAGGCTCTCTCAATTTTCATCTTTCCTCTATAGAATAGAACACCTCTCGCTCGGTTTCCCACCCTTTCTTGTCGTAAAATTGAGTTCATATCTATTGTGGTTTGTTTCCTTTTACTAATTTACATGAACTATGGGTTGTTTTCCAATAAAACTCTCCCTAAAACCAATTTTACCCTCTTCATTTGAGTCATTTTCCATTCGGCTATATTTTTCCCCTCTCTCTCTCTGTCCTTTCCTGGTAGTTTTCTCATTTCCAAAATAAAGTTATTTTGTTTGATGATCAATATTTGAAGTTACAGAAGTAACAGAAACAAAAACTGTTTATCATTTAAAAAAAAGTCTCTTTCACAGAAAACTCTAAATACCCGAATCGGATCAATAACCAAGATGAATCCGACTAAATTGTGGAGAACCGTTAAAAATACAGGTAACAAACAGAAAATAACTTGCAAGAATGAAAACCGTATTAGTGAATGAGCTGCCGGACAACAGCGAATAACCAGAATGTACTAAACTTCGAAATGCTCCGACGCGTACGATCCTCGTTTGGTCGGCAGTCGGGGCGTCACAAGTGGCCTTCCGTTCTTGTCCAAAAACTTTTCTAATACTAATCCATCATTAGTCCCCTCTACTTCATCCTCCGAGATTCGGCACTCGGAGATGATTTTGTCGATAACATTGTCGGGGTCGAATCTGAATAGAAGTGAATTGGGTTGATAGGTGAAAAATAGATAAATATACCTAGAGTGAAGTATTTTCTGCGCCGATCGATCTTGGCTAAATCGTCGAAGCTGGCATATTTGGTTGCCTTGGTGCCCGCTACGACGGTCCGGGTTGAGTTCTTCTACGTTTGAACTGCTGGCACCGGATGAACTTTCTAAAAAGAGAACATGACAATCCACGTCATGATTTTATCGGAACGCTACCTGGAGGGTCGATTACAGATTGCTTTGGGTGGGAAGTGCCTTCCTCGGAGTCAGTATCGTCATCCAGAGCTCGAAACCCTTCTTGATCGATTGCTCCGTCTTCTCGAGGTCCGAATGTCGAAAGACGGGGTCTGAAAATATATTTTAACTAAATTGTTCTCCAAGCAAATCTAGCTCACACTCTGAAGAACGGATCGGCACTTTGATGAGACATGGCGATCTTGATGCACACTTTTGAATTGTCCAGTCGTTGATTGCTTGTGTAGCCGTTGAGTAGATACGTTCTTGAGAGGCCTAGAAGATGTAAAAATGCATAGCTACTTTTTATGCTGACTCTGCGCATTACCTTCAACTCCTGACGCGGCGAATTCCGAGAGATTTATGTCGACAAATCCCAACTTGTAGAATGACTTTCCACCTTTCTGCTCCTAAAACCAGTTATTTTTGAGTAAATGTTATCAAATTTCGCCTGACCTTTCTGATGGATACCCGACAAAGACATTTCTCGAGTGTCCCCGAAGTTTGGTCGCACGGGATCCGACAGCAGAAGACAAACCGAGTGTGGAACGACGCGCTGTGGTTTTTTACCTACAAAACGCGACCGGTTTCAATTTTCGACCGACTGACAAGTGTAATACTCACCTCAACTCTCTCGGTCGCTTCTTCGAAAGATCCGCCGTCAAGCAAGCGCATTTTGCTGAACACAATTGCATTCACAAGGGGAACATCGGATAAGTGACATACCTGTAGAAGTTGTTTATAAGATAGAGATAGGATTAAAAACTTTTTAAAAACTCACTTGAAGATCGACTGAGAATTTCACCGTTTTCCGTTTTATAAATGCCATTTTATTCCACAACCATGGCACGAAGACGAGCTTAGCTGAAAAAAAGAGTATAATTATTATATGACAAAAAGCGGAAAGAAGAGGACTTGGCATCAAGCTACACTGTTTCGCCGGAAATTAGTACTCGCGGACCGAATTCTATTTGTTTGCTGGCCACAACTGATAAAAATTGTCATATCAGCGCGAAAAATTCAAATAGCGCGGCGGTTCGGCACAAAAAAAAAACAAAACGGCGGGTGGGAGTGCACGGGAAACGCGTCAGCAGCCATTATGAGGCGTCCTCTATTCTCGGTGAGAGCGGGGGCCGTTTTGGAGGACAAACGACTCGTCGAGAACGTAGCGGACGACCCCGAGTGCAAATGGGTCGACGTATGTTGTCCGGGAGACTTTTCGACCGAATAGGGTCTCGCAGGGCCTACGACTGCGCAGCTAATTACGAGGACGGCAAAGAGGAAAGGGATATGAATAATGCACGAACGGCTTTCTTTCAGCTGAGAACTTGTGTTTGAGAGTTGAAAAGCAAACACATGTGTTTTTCAAATGAATTATAGAAGCTTTAAAACTAAAAAATTTGTTTTCGAGAATTGTAGTTTTATGATCTCTTTTCACTTGAGCTCTCAAAAGAAAAGTAGAAGGCGCAGTGTTCTTCGTCAGCTGCCAACTTTTTGAGAGAAATCAACAAACCTGATGCTGAGCTCATTCTCATTTCACTCTAAACACATGTAGTCGGATAATGCTGTGTAATCCGAACACTCAACGATCAGTGTGCCGAAGAAGGAAATGAGAAATGCTAGAGCATGCAAATTGATGTTTGTCTTTATCGTTTAGCCTTCCGAGATGGGCCAGCAAATTAGTCGCTTTTTTCCAGAAATTTCATGTTAGAGTATGCAAATTACGTTTTCCGGCTGGTAATTGTTCCGTTCTATAGCTATTCGAAAGTCGTGAAAATTTTTGATGTGCAAGGCCGTGAAAAGTTTTTTACGGCCCAGCCTGGCTCAGAATTCACAAAAATGGTTTTTCTTTTACCAACCTGGAAAGTTTCTTCCATGAAGCGGTGAAGCCATAAGATTTAATCCAAAAAACAGGATTATATGTCTAGCTATGAGACCAATGCAATAGAATATATACAATTTTCACAGTAATAATATCACCTGCTTCTCTTCTGAATAATTCGGTTGGTAAACCACAAGTCACAAAAAACACGAGATTCTGTTCTCTTATTTCTCGGAAAACGTTTCAGACAGTTGAGCGTATAATTCACATTTAAAGTTTCTGGGTAACTAATAGTTTTTACGTAGGAGATGTCAAAACAAAGTCAGGAATACGGTACACATCTCAGAAACGAACAAACCGGCTTTGTGGGTGCTGAATCGCGACGACATCGATATTTCAGACGTTCCAGCAGAACACCATTGTAAACAGACGTCTGGTTCTCGAAAAAGAAAGAGATGATATTTCTGTTTTGTTTCTTTTCGTTTTTTTTTTTGAGAGAAAGAAAACAAAATATGACGGACGGTACGCTTTGAAAGGAAGGTGTAGAGAGAAAGAAAGAATATGAAGAATATATGAGCAGCACGGGCTCATAGGGATTCTAAGGGGAGCTTAAGCTGTCTAAAGCCTTTTCGGAAGCATAGTTGATGGAAATGAGGAAATGAATGAATGAGAAGCGAGAAGGTGGAAGGTTGGTGCCGGAGCAGAATTGCAAAATAGAGGGTGTACCTATTGATCTTTTGCCATTCATTCTTCAAAGAAGAGAACACTGAAAGAAATTGGGAAAAGGACGGGGAACTGAAATGGCACGGTCGGACACGCCAACTGGATGAAAGTTTAAAAAAGAACAAAACTTTAGATCAGAGGAGCGGACTTTGGCAAATATTTGTGAAGTGAGCTGCCCTCGACCAGAGTTGCACTGCAAGAATGAGAATGAAACGAGGAGGAGACAGGTAAAATGCAAATATTGGCTGGGTCCCACCGGAAAAAAGAGCACACGCTTTCCGGAGATGGTCAGCAAACAGGAAGAGCAAAGGGATTCCTGAGCACTAGAAGCATTGTGCAACATGTTGTCACATTTTTCTATTGCCAATTTCAAATTTCCAATTTCGAATTCATTCAAACGATGTAATGGACGGCATTCTTTGTAGGATCGAAACTATGGTTTAGTTTGTACATTTGTGGTACCATGGGTGACCAAGAATCCCCTGAAAAACATTTTTGGATGGAGTGCCTAGTTTTCGAACAATTCAAAAAACTGAAGTGAACCTATAATTATGTCCGGCAGTGTATATGATTTCTGAATATCATATTATTAGTTTGAGGGAGGAGGAGGTGTCCCTTTTGGTCTGTGGTCATTAAACTCCGATAAAAAGAGGCTAAATATATATTTTCAAGTTGATTCAAACTCACAAGGGACTCTGAGAAACAAGGAAGTAAATTAAGAGTCCAAAGGTTCTGCACCAGACGCATAACAGCCAATTATGAACTGTCTGTGGCCTCTTTCAATTGGTTTGCAAGCCGAAAAGAATGAGAAAAATGGAAGGCGACATCATACAAAGCAATTGGGGAGCAAACAAAACAACGGCACAAAAACAAAAAAGAACGAGGCGACAAATCCATTCGCATCCTTTCCCTACGCCTTCTCGAATCTGTCATAACCTTTCAAGTGATGTCATGGATGAGGAGCGAATTGAAATTAGGGAGAGTGCAAATCGAATGCACATATCGAAGTCAAAGTTCATTAGGAGCCGCTCAGCGAGTGATCAGACAAAAATTGAGGGCGCGCGAGCGGTTTATTTGATAACGGAGTATCCGAGAAAGCAGGTGCAAACACGATAACAATGAATAGCCGGGCTGTCGGTCAATCGAACAGCATTTCGGAATGAGGGATTCAGACCAGAAATACATATTTTTCTAATTATCATAGATTATGAGACACACAAATTGAATCATCACAGAGCGATTTGAATTTCGAAACAATTGGAGAGCCAAAATGCTGCCTTGCGGGTATTGCGGTTTGACCGTCAAAAACCACTTATTTGATAGGAAAACACTTTCACTCCATTTCGCCTCCTTTTATTTCTTTAGTCCTCACAAAGTGCGTTCTTTTTTCGTTTCAAACAAATTCATTTGTTCTCTATCTGATCCTGTCTGTTGCTAGAGATGAAGTAGAAGTATTGGGGCATTTGAAATTTTGAAGTGTGGGCAGTGCAAACCGGGCCGCGGCAAAAACTTAAAACTATGGAAAACGTTGAAGGTAGTAGTTACTCTTTAACGGAGTGTGTCATCATGTTAATCCGATTTCGCCCTGTTGTCAAACTGAAACAGTCATTATGACCCCCTTTAGCTTTTTTCGTCATCCCATTTCCTCTCGCTTCCTCTTTCTTCAGTGAAACATCAAAAATTATCTCTATTATCCGAAACGAGAACGGAAAGAAGAAAAGAAAAGCAGAAAGTGTGCAAAGAGTGCACGTCGGACCAACACCAATTATTTCTATAGCTAGAAAGCGACTTTAGTTGGCGGGCGCTCCCCCCCCCCCCGTGCCTATTCATCTCTCGCGCTCTTTTTTCTTGGTTTCCACGGCAAAGGTCCCAAAATTGCGTGGCCGATAGAGACGACATGTACGTGTGGAGCCTCTCTTCTTTTTTCCCGACGTATACTTTCCGTTGCCACGGGCAATGTGGTTCAAAACAATATTTCGGAGAGAGAAGGAGAGCTGAGCGACGGCCCATGCATATATTTTTTTCTTTTTCCGCAATAGCTCTTTCCTTTCTGCTCTTTGAGATTCTCAACGTGATCTAACTTGTACATTCTAGCAGTTTCTCCCTTCCTTCAGGTCTCTCATCTCATTTCCGTCATCTTCTCACTGATAACAACTACTAAACTCTTGCAAGATGCCGAATGGCTATAAAAACCAGCCGATATCTGGTTAGTTCCACGTTAATGGCATCTTAAACTAACCTTTTAACGACTCCAGGATTCACCGGTTATATTCCTGGCGCAAAGTGGCAGGTTGGCAGTCGATACGTGGCAGGATCACGTGAAAACAGCGGATTCTCACCGCAAAACTCGTCGGCAACGGGATCTGGTGAGAAATTCTGTTTATTTGCACAACAAAGTAAAAAAAAATAGATGAAGAACTGGTGTCAAGTTTCACATTGATTTTTGAAATTGATAAAAAATGATTTCAAGAAAATTGAGAGAAGTTGAAAAAGTTTCAGGAGCACAAAGTCAGCCACCAATTGCTTCGAGGGAAAATCAGAATCAAAGCCAGAGCCAAACATTCTCGGCAGGAAACGTGAGAGACTAAAATGCTCCCACATGTTGTTAAAATCTTTAGAGATCAAAGGGAGAGGAACAAATGCTAAACTACTCGGAAATGTCGAATGACGAACTTCGCGAACGAATGCTGAAAATGCAAATGGATATGCAGAATCTTCAATTCGCGATGGGTATGCAGCAGTCTCAGTCAGGCAAGTGAACGAGCGTTGAAGCACAACGAACGCTTTCTTTTTCAGTGGCTGACGGATCGTCGGGAATAGCATCAGCAGCAAATTATGGGATGAGAGAAGAACCAAGCGGAAGAATGGTGAATACATATTTTATTGTCTCAGAAGGAAATATTTTTCGTGTTTTCTTTAGGACCGAAGGACAGAGTTCGAAGGACGGCAAGGGCAGGACCAGTCAATGAAACAGAGGAGCAAAAGCGTGCCGAAAAGTGAGTTCATGCGGAAACTCACAAAAGGCATGAGAGCACAAGTAGAAAAGTTCCCAGATTACCCTAGTCACGTAAAGTGATGTTTTAACAATGTTCTGTTTTTCTTACTAATCTCACTGGACACACTGCAAATGAAAAAGAAAAACAAAACAGAAACCTCTGTGTGCTCAGGAATTGAAAACAATCCGTTCGACGGGATAGAGAGCGGCTGGTGGAGCAAGGGAGAGGTGAAGAGGAATCAGGTTGGTTCTGGAACGAAGCACGTAAACGAGCGACTCATATATTTCAAGGAGCGACGCGAGATTGCGAACGGCGGACAAATGGTGAGCGGCGGAAATTGGAGCCAACGACCGGCGAGCCGACAAAGAGTTTCGAGGAAGCTGGGAGCTCTCGAGGTTGGCGCCGGGGTTTATTTCAATTTTTATGAGACGGACTCGTTTTTTGCAGAAAGATGAATCAGAAGACATTCCGGCAGCTGGTTACAGCGGGCACATACAGGGTAAACATGGGAGCAAAATTGTGGGCGAAAGTACTAGTTGTCCTGACTATTCACTCACTTGCAACGCCTTTCCCACGGTTTCCAATTCTGGCGTTGGCTGTGAGCACCAAAACCTAATGAGTTCCTTTGCAGGAATACGACAACTGGGAGTTGGAAAACCGTTCAATGTGGCCGCGAGGCAGGCGAAAAAAGAGTACATTGAACGGAGAAGAACGTACAGCGGAAGTCGAGGTAATGAAGTTTGCGGCGGAAAATGCGAAATCGGAAAAAAAACGCTTGAATAGAAGAGAGAAGACACAGAAAAAACACCTGCGCACGGTGGACGGACGGCGGTCTGAGAGAAGTGAGACGTTCAAGAGAACATAATCACGTAACAGCGAAAAAAAAAAGAACCGACCGAGAACGAGAACACAAATAATCTAGGCAAAGGGGAAGGAAATAGTTTTGCCAACCAACTACAACCAAAATGGTCGGGAAGTATGAAATGAGTGAGCGTGCTTCTTTTTTTTCGCGTGCGAGAATTCCTGTAACAGATGTGTGCATAATCGTGAAGAGAGGGAGATAGAGAAGTGTTGGTAGCGGGAGAGAAATACTACAAAAACGGTCTTTCTTTGCGCAGCCTGCAGGCCCGGAGAGGATCCATTTTAATACGTAAATATGGCCACTTTTTCATTATTGAAAAGTTTACTGACGGAAATGGAGAAGAGTGAGAGAGAGAGAGGAGATAAATGGGAAGCGGTGCCGTTTCGAGTGGTCGTGCATGCAAAGTGTTCACGCTCGCTGACCACCCACTCATCATACCTCTTTCCTGTTTTCATCATCTCATTTCTTTTCCAACTTTAGATGCGCTCAACGGACGTGGCCGTGGCACGCAGTTCAGCGAGGAAGTTCTGTCCGCCAACGCAGTTAAGCTGCCCGACAATCGTTTCTGATCTCCTAAAGTCCTTATCCTCCACCATCGTGATCCCCCCTGCTCTCGTTTTCTGGCATAACAATACTCTCCACCCACTCTGTCATTTTCTCAATTTTCTCAATTTTCCAATCCAAACCCCCCATCCTATTCTCTCTTGAAATCAGATCTCTAGCTGTGGGCCTTCCCTTTCAATTCCATCCATGTTTCTCCTTTCTTTTAGTTTATAAATTTACATTTTGAATCCAAAATCCAAATAAATGATTGCCAGGAATCAATCTTGTTCTTTAATCCAGATATGATGGCTGCTAATGACGTCTCACCGGCAGTCAAGGACCGGAGATTCTCTCTTTCTGTCTATTTTCTTCTCCCGTTTTAATATAATTGTGTATCCGCTTCCCGAAATAGCAGGAAACGAAGAAAAAGAAAAAAAGCTAAATGCTCAGAGAGCAGCGAGATTCTTGCTACGTCCTGGAGCGTGAAACACTTTTCGGACTTTGAACGAAGGGTCTCATCATTTGCCATTTTCTTGCTCTCCGACACATTCACATTTCACCCAACTTACCTACACGTCTTGGCATGTTCACCCCCATAGCTAATGAATACTTTATTATCTCCTTTCATTCTTTCTTTTTCCCTCCTTCGCGTTCTTCCCACTTCCCCCTCTTTCTCTCTCTTTCTCTCATTCTCGGCTCTCTCTCTCTTCGCCTCTATAGTTTTCTGTGTGTGTCCCCGCGAACGCTCCGAACGAACGCTCCCCCTGTCCTCCTTCCTCTTCGCCACCCATCCATTTATTATTGTAATCACTAGTTTTCCTGCCATCTTTTTCGTTCACTCCACCAAAAGTTTTCTGCCGTTTTCTTTTCTCAGATGCCTAATACAATTTGTCACAAAACGGCAAACAACACGGAATTGGCTCAACATGAGACGCTTTCCTCTCTCTTTTTTCATTTGTATTGCTTGTCACAACATGAACGAAACGCATTCAATAAGAATAGCGAACGTTTCCGTTTCTTCACAAATTGAAAAGTATCGTCTCACCAAAACCACCAACTGCTCTTTTCCTTTTTTCTAAAAACGAAAAGCTCTTGTCGTTGAGGCGGCAGTGTATGTATGTATGTATGTATGTGTGTGTGTGTGTGTGTGCCTGACTTGTCTTGTTGTTTGTGGCCAACCGCAACAAACCCACAATCGATGGGTCGCTGTAAAATATCAAAGGAACGGTTCATCCCTTCATTATTACCTCAGGAGGAGACGAGTCAACTGCGCTCTAGCGCACTAGTTTAGGGCGCGCTCTCACACCTATCGAAACGCGATGTTTACATCACTGCACGCGCCCGGTTCTCTCCGTCCGTCCGTCCGTCTGTCCGTCCGTCATTCTCCCTCACTGTTCGTTCGATTTCAATGAGTTTTGACCGCATTTCCCTCACTCTCCTCCGTCAGTTCTTTTCCTCCCCTCCCCCTCCCTTTTCCATCCAGCCGATTGCTTTTTTGACCATGCTGTTCTATTTTTCGTCTAAGACGTTAAAACTAAACAGAAATCGATTATTTTGCTGTTTTTTTGTGAATACTTTCGATATAAATATCACAAACTATCCATGAGCGGCGCACTAGACCAATGTTTTTGCATTAATATGTAATTGCATTCTGCATTCCACTTTTCCCCTTCGAAGCCAACCAAAAAGAAGCAAAATTATTATTTCTCTGTTTCATACGCCAATTTTTCTCTTCTCCCAAAAAATCCCGCAATAAATTGAGCTCTCTTCTCTTTTCTCTTTTCTCTCTTTTTCTTTTATTGCCTATTTTGTTTGCTTTCTCCCAGTTCTTCTTTCTTCCCCCCACCCAACTCTTTCACTTCTTCTTCTTCTTCTTCAACTCGCCAAAAAGAGCAACATTTGTGCAATCATTTTTTTTTTGCAGGCAGCAGAAGTACTCGGACCAGCAGAATGACGAGTCGAAAGAGGACGAAGAGAAAGCACAGCGATGAGGATTTCGATGTAGACGAGGAAGATGACGGCCTGGATAACGACGAAACTAATAAATGGGCCTGTCATTCGTGCACATTTATGAATCGCGCCGCCGCTTATCGATGTATTGTATGCGGCACGAGGTGGGTGGCTTAACGTCTTTCTCATTTGCATTGTCAGGTCACACAATAATACTAGGCCAGCCAGAATGGAAAGTTTTTTCAATCGGAAGACGGATGCCCGATAATGCGTTTTCTTTTCCCGCATTTTGAGGTCAAAACTTTCTAGACAAAAATTTGGAAATAACTAGTTGCGAGAGATGTTTTATTCATGAAATTCCATCTATGACCTTACTTTTCGAGGTGACCATCACTGTAGCGCCTAGAGTGTAGACTGCATTGAATACCGCGAGGGCTGAACAAATAAACGGCCACGAGTGACATCAAACCGAACTGCTCTAGTTGTGTGAAGACGCAAAAACGGGAAAGAAAACTCGTTTTGTTTTTCAGAAAAGGAACCTCTACTCGACGGTCTCGCGTCAACGACAATGTTGTCGAAATGCAGAAAACAATTACGACGATGGTGCAGAAACAAGTTGAGAAGGAGAAGTCAATGTAGGTTGTTTCCCCCGACACAATCGCCGATTTTATCTCCTAACTTTATGTGTTCAGGAAGCGCAAAGAACGATCTTTAATCAAGTCAGTCACACGCGAACCGAGTGTTGCACCGGTGGAGATCAAACAGGAAGTGATGAGCGCATTCGAAGATGTCGACGCTCAAAAATCATGTGGTTCCACTTCACCACTTGAACAAGCCACGGCGACACGAGCTGAAACTCCACTTATTAATGTCACAACAACTTTGAAAGTGGAAAGGGCATTTCCGAATGGATTGACGCCATTAGCGAGTATTGAGAGGAAGAAAAGTTGCTCTCCGATCATTGATATCGAAGAAATCAGCCCTGTCGAGAAACGACCACCGGTTGATGTAGCGTGTGTGAAAATAGAAGTGGAAGTCGAAGAAGAGGTCAAGAAGCAATCGCCGGCTACATCAGAGACAAACGTTCCGAATGGATTGAAGCCGAATCCTTCTCCTGTGCCCTTTCATTTCCAAGTTCCTGTCCAGCAGCCACCGTCAGCTCCAATCCCTGCTCCTCAACCGCCACAACCCCAGCCACCAGTTCCGTCTCAATCCGATTCCATCTTGCAGCATCTTCCGGAAAGAGTGGTCAGAAAGATTAATCAGCCGATCAAAACTGATCCGAATGTTCTGAATGCTTGCAAACGGATGACCGGAATCGATCCGATTGTGGCTGAAGCGGAAGCGGTTCTTCTGCCGAAAGAGTGGGATCGACAGAGAGTGATGAAGGGGCTTGTGTTAAACGGATCCACTCAGTACGCCAGTCCGTCCACCTCGAGACAGTCTTCTGAAACGGACTCATCGACTTCTGAAGCTGCGCGAAGGTAACACTATTTTCTTGAAATATCGACATTATGGGCTTATTCAGTTCGGTAAAAACGGAAAAAAATTGTTTTTTACCTGACTGATCCAGCTCACCAGTCACTGAGCAATTGTTTTTGGAAGCTGATGTGCTCAAAATCTTAGAGCACAAAAAACTGTTTAGAATTGCACGGCTTCTAGCAACCTTAATTAAATATGTTTCAGCTTAGAGACTCCATTGCAAGACGTTTCTCCGCAATTTTCGAAAAGCTGCCAGATCCCCGATTACATGATTCATCGGTCAGTTCGCTTAATCTTTCCACCCTCAACTATATTCTATTTGCAGAGAATCCTCACAAAAGATCTTCATCGTTGCAAATGGATATCCAGCGTTTTTCGAGGAGTTTCCTAGGAGAATGCCGTCAAATCACCTTTAAGCCCCGTCTTATTACTGTCCTAGTCCAACTAGTAATTTATTGTCATAATACAATTAAAAACAGGTTTTGGTTCCCACAGAAACATTAATTTACCCATTTTAGTATTTTTAATCATCTCATTTGTAGCATTCCCTGCACATATGCTTTCAAAGTAATAATTTTTATTATAGCCTGCATGAATAGTTAGTGTTTTATACCGAACAAAACGTGCCTTTACATTGTTTTGATTCTACTTCAAATCCCTTTTTCCGGTCTTCCCCCTCTCTCAAAATACTGTCATTTTTTCACAAGTTAAGGTTCTTATCTGTAGCATCTGTGCATAATCCCCCTCTGAATTCTTTCAAATTGTTTTCCAAAGTGTAACACATAATAGATCTCTCTTTCTATTGTAAGTGATTGAAACTTTAATAAGTGGTTTGAATTGAGGATTGCTTCGAAGAAAACCATCTGGAGCATACAGATTAGCTCAAGTTTCAGCTAGTTTGAAGCCAAACCAAACCACAATAATGCTACTTCAATAAAAGAAAAGAATTATTTGGAACAATTCCGATCTGCAAAGTCACAAGACATGCTCAATAAACTTTTATAGCTTTGGACAGGTCCAGTTTGCTCCAAAAAGACTCTTTCATTTATGGGCAACTCAGGCAGCGACAAACATCCGGTAACTTGTCCCTTGGACTCATTATTTATCCCCACTAGAAATTTATTCAAATTTTGTGAAAGTTTCGTTTTACGTGTCTAGTCGAAATTTAATTTCTAATAAGTCGATGGAATCTCGCGTTTTCTAGAATATTCATCGCACACACCGTCATATTTTATTCCAGTCCAAAAGTGATGGAATCTTTTCCACTTTTTTCATAAATGACGATTGCTACTTGTTTGGCAACTTTCTGAAAAAAACAACCCATTTGAGAAGGATCCGTGTTCTCACGTTTAATGCAATCAGGCCAGTAGTTGTAGAATTCATAAGACATGTACATACAGAAGAATTTCATGATATTCATGTAGTCGAGAGTTTCCGGGTGATCTCTGGGCTCGGTTTGTGTGTACTTCTTATTCTTTGCATTTTCTACTTTCATAGATCATTTTGAACTCAATAAAGAGAAATCGTCAGCCATAAACATGAATAATATAATATCCTACACTTCTGAACCGAAAAATTGTGTTCTAGTAGCCACAGTCAATTTTGTCGAATCGATCAAATATTCATGAACTGGATTCAACCCGTCGAAAGATTACACAAAGTGAGTGTGCCGATGTGTCTGTGCGTGTGTGTTTTTTTTGGCTTGACAGAATACGTTTCAGCCATTGAAAATGTGATTTTTCGTTGTTTTCGCTCAAATCTTCCCTTTCATCTACGGCACTGCCCCGCCGTTACGTGTGTTGTGGATGTGCCGTCCTTTTGAATTAGATACGGCTTTGGCGAACGTGTGAAATGGGACGTCCCCCGTTATCGTCTTCTGAATCCGAGGTTCACGTGTCCAGAAGCCAAAAGCACTCGCCGATCCCGATTCGGAAGCGTCCGTCAAATCACTAACACGATTATCGGATGGAGTCGTGCGCCATGGTTCTTTTTATCTTGTTTGGCGACGCTTCCTATCCGGAGCATCCAATTTTTGATCGGCTATGCTATCAAGGTTCCTGCACTGGCCAACCAGTCAGGATCTTCGATGCTTTTCATATCATCCCTTATTGTTTTCTCAGTTCTTTTACTATTCATCATGTTAACGTCTCGAGCCGCGTTTACGTCAAATGACAAAGAGCAATGAGACTGCTTCCGAAACATTCAAGTCCAACTTTGGAGCGACGATCAGATGGGTCTAATCCCAATGAAGGGTTTCTTTTAGAAGCGTCTATTAGTCTTCGACTATTTTTGGGTTCCTAATGTTCTAATAATGAGCCAAACTTGCTGATGACTCACAACATATAGGTGGCTACATTAGAAAAAGAAACTATAGTTTTTCAGTTTTTTACCCGTCCTCTTTGTTACGTGACAAATTTGTTTTTCATTTCATCATTACCCAAGGATAAACTTTTAAAATTGGACTTCCTGTTCATTGGAATGAGATGAATTACATTTTGAAAAGTAGTAGTAAAAAAATTTTTGAGTCATCCATTTTGCATACTTTTCAGACTTTCATCTCCGCCTGAAGTATTACATGTTTTATTCATGTTCAGATGTTTTTGAATAGAATTGATGAAAACGGAAATGATGATTATCGTGTGACGTTCTTAGAGTTCGGAGAAAAAACATTTCCTGTCGACCTTCCGGAGTTGGGTTTTCGAGTGATGAAGAAAAGTTGGAAAAAAAGTATTCGCGTACTTTCTATAAAGCTTTTTCGTGTTCAAAGACGCAGCCCATTTGATGTAATGAGAAATGACGAAGACGACACTCTCAGAATGCATCTATATCTGATTTATAACACTTTTGCCTCCCGAAGCCCTTCGTGTTGTCGCAATGTTGCTCTTGTATGTGTTTTCCTGTTTCTTCGTTGTTCTCCGGTCTCAAAAGGTTATCAAATTTCTACCAACTCGTGCCAAATTTATGTGCGACAAAATCCGTCTTTTATACCGGAATCGAATATTTCAGTTGAGTCGCCTTAATTCGTGGAAAACATGATGAACGTAATCGAGATAGACTCCTTCCATCCTCTTTTTCTTTTCCATTTCCTTCTCCACTCTCTCTTCAAACCGTTTTAATTGAATTCCGCGTGCATCGGTGCATTCTGCTCCCCCAAATCTCACTGTTTACCTTCCGCCCACATTCATTTCTCATTCAGCACCTTTTAGCTTTCGTTGCTGGAACCTTCAGTTGGAACCAGTTAGTCTAATAAGAATAAAATGATGATAACTAAATAATGTATAAATTGTTTCACATCAGACGTAAGACCAAAAAGACGAAACATGAGTGTTTAGTTCGGCCACATTCCTTGTTTGGAAAACGAGACCATTGTTTAAAAAAAGATGAGAGATGTGTTTGTGATGGGGCAGAAATCTCCCGTATTTATATTTTAGGCGTTTAGCCGATTTATGCGATTACGGAGGATTTTTGAAAGTACGTACAGAAATGGGAACCTTGAAAAGTGCAAAAAATGTATTCACTTTTTCAGTTCACTTAAACTCTGAAAACTAATTAAAACTACCAGTGTTAATCTACTCTTACTCATCCATTCATCACTCAAGCTGTCAGTGATCCGTTCTTCTCTGACATTACTTCAGAATGAGGAGCAATCCAAACAAAAAAATTGGATGAGGTTGCCGAAGCGAGATAACTCATCTGATCATGTCGCTTTCATCTCAGCTCCATTTGATTTCACACCGCTAACAACTTAGAGCCGAACACTACTTTTGGAAGTGGTAGTCCGGAGAGTTGGAAGAAAACGAAAGTAATGTAAATTTTCCTCCCTAAACCTCTGTGAATCTTTTTGTACGCACAGATGGGATTATATGAACAGCAAGTGTGCTTCTTCTTCTACATAGACCCGTGTAGAGCTCTATGCTCAAAATATCAAATTTCACCTTCCTTGTTAACTGAAACTTCATTGAACCACCGGAAATTAGACGATTATCAAATGTTTGCAGCAGAAAGGAAATTCTCGGAATGACGATCACAGCTCATTCTTAATTGAGGAAACAACTTGCACCTTTTGGTGGCGCTTTTGCACAGAGTCCCTCTTTTTGATGAGAATGGGGGGCTGACGGTGCCGAGTTTGCTGCAAAAAGCGAGTCTCAAGACTATCCGAAATTCTATCCATTTGTTCCGTAAATGCATTTTCTGAACGCCTTCTCTTCTCTTTCTTCTGCTTTCTCTCTCCATTCTGACGCATATCTGTGGCATCCAAACTTTTTTATTAGTTTGTCATCCTTTGTAAATGCGTTTCCCTTTCGCAGAGTGCTAACTCAATCGCACCATCTTTTCACAATTGTATTCAAGAGGGAAAAGGACGAACTCAGAAACTTTAATTCGATTTTCTCGCGGGCACCCTTTTTTCCATTGTGTTTTTGAGATCGAGATCCTAGACTACCATCATCTAGAATTGATGAATCCTCTCTTAGCTTCTGTTTTTTTGAGATTGCAAAAACAAAACAAAATACGAATCCAGCACGTATTCTCGTTGAGTCAGAAGACAAAAGATGACAAACGAAGCTAATTTCGCGAAAAGTCTAATTTAGGCAAATATGACCGGTGAAACTAATGGTTGCGTTTCTTCTTCCGAAACAAAGAAGGAGCAGCTGCAAAAAGTTCTTACGTAAAAGGAGGAAAAAGTTCACGCAGAACCACTCATAATGTTATTATTTAAACTGCTCGAAAGTGGTTGAAAGTGACCCCCCAAAAAAACAACTTCCTTGACTCTGCTTTTCCGAGAAACGCAATCTTTTAGTATTCTCGTTGTAATCTTCGAGGCCTTGTCTCCGTACACATCACCTATCGCCGGCGGCTAATTGAAAACCCCTCCGAACCAAATTCTCACGCTTCAATCTGACTCTTGCGAGATGAGGGCTTGCCCCGCGAGGTCACAACATGCCTCCGCGTACGTCTTCATTGAATATTTCAAAAGTTCAACCCATCTTGTTTTGTTCTTCTAGCTTCTGGCGGATGGCGGCTTTTTGTTCTGAAACCCATCTTACTTAAATGAATGACTCATGGTTCACAATTTGATGGACGTTGCACTTCTCCTAGTACATACACATGGCCAGCTCCTTGAAATACTCTTTCACAACACTTGAAACGTTTACGCCAAAGCACGCTCATGAATTCTTCACCGCCGTGTCTGGGAATCGCCTCACGAAAACAACGATTGAGGGTGTTCCTGACATTTGTATTCGTGAAAATTTTAATTTGAGAATTTATTTTTCTTAGAAGGCGCGTGCTCTGTCAAGAATTTTGATGAGAAAAGTGTATCTGTGTCAGGACATTTTTGTACCCCTAACTATCGATTTGGAGTCTTGTTGCGGAGAACAGAGAAAATGTGATCCATTTTCTGACTGGAATCCAAAAAGAAGCGCTAGCAGGCTCATGTCACCCACCTTCACTTTTCTGGCTTCATTCTCAGTCTAAATTTACATTTTTTCCATTTTTTCACACTGTCCTTCGCATATAACATTAAAACACAGTAGTTATACAATAACACTTTCTTGAGCCAAAATATTGGTGTAAAGTTTCCTGTGTCCGACACAAAACAAGGTTTTTCCTTGTTGGTTCTCCCACTTTTCTGCTTTTGGGGGAGGAAAGAAAGACTGCTTCCTCGCCTTCCAATTTCGACGACTCATTCCTATATTCCCCAGGAGAATTGTGGCCAAAGGTGTGAGCATCGCCGCCGCCGACGTCCCAAACTCTCTATGGTGCTTTTCATCATTTTCGCGCAGGCAGCCCTTGCACACTTTTTGTCGGCCGCATACGTAATAAACGAATTCGGTTCCTGTAGTTCGTGCAGATCGTCGCCTGGGGAATCCTGAACCTTCCGCTTTGCTTCACTTCGTGTCCTCCTTTTCTTACACTTTTCTTTTTCCCAGAGCAAATATTTTTCATTCCCTTTGAGATCTGTAGGGTCATCCCAAAAGCCGTTATTCATCTCTCCCCCGCTTTCATTCTATTAATAACCGGAAAAGTTGCGAGGCAGCTGAAGTCATGGGAGCCTGTGGTTTGCTCGAATATTTAAAAATTACAACACTTTTGTTTTTGCTTTTCTGCAGGGTGACAAATGAAAATGGAAAGGAAAAATAGAATATGAAGCAAGTAGTCAACAAGAAAAGCTCTTGTCGAACCATGAAGTACTTCTCAGAACACGTCTGAAATTGAATTTTTTTGGTTCACCACACGCTCGGTTCAAAGACTTTTTTTCTTCACGCTGAAATTAGACTTTGTTGCTGCAAAGAGTTGCAGTACTTCATTTTTTCTCAATAATCATAATTAGGGGCTGATTTGGGGCCTCAAAGCACTTTTCTTCTCTCTACTCTCTTAAGATCCAATGATCTTCGTTTGAACTAGTTTATTAAGTATTTTTAGTTACTCCGTTTTCAATCCATTTGAATGAAAGATGGGAGATCAAAAAAAAAAAGAAGAAAGGCCGTTTTCTCTTCTAGTCGCAACCCTCCACCTATCCCATGATATTAATGATAAATAACACGACCACTGAAACTCGATCTGAGCTTCGCTACTTGATTAATTGACCACAATCAATCGTAGCTGCTCCTTCGAGATTACATCACACGTTTTCTTTCTAAACCAATGTTGCCGCTCGCGTTTTTGACGGGTCCGATCATTTAGCTATTCCACCAACTGTCTGCTCGACCGGTCATAAACTTTCATCTTTTTTCTTTCATGATATATGCACAGACCACTGACTGCTTAACTTGAACTGCTAATTTGAGAGCTGAGCGAGCGCATGATCTTATGCTAGTCCAAATTTCCAACCAACTGTGACTCCTTGTTGTCGACGGCTGCTTCGCCCTATCATTGTAGTTGCAGTAGTGTTATAACTACATTCTCCTAAAATTGTATAGAGCAGTGTGCGCTTTCGGAAGCAGTTCAAAAGATCTTTCGATAGATCTACAGAAAGTAAATATCGAAAGACTGTCAAAAGATATTCGAGAGATTAGTTACTTGTTAGCTGCAAATCGGAACGGAATAATTCCTCTGAAGGTCAGAGGACATTTCTGTAGTAAATCTGAAGAACGTTCTTGGCATTTTGACTAATTTGCTGGCCAGCTTCCAGCCGGGGAACTATTCCCAGCGAAGGAAGCTTCCGTTTTCGCCCTTCCCCACCGGGAGGCTTAGTCATTGAAAGACATGATCGTCATCGGACGATCCGTGCACCGGCAGCGGTCGGTACACGAGCAAAGTGACTGTCGGAGGAATTTCTTTCAATAAAATTTTGATGATCGACTTTCTTTCGCAATCAGCCTTCTTTCGAGATTCATCTTTCTAAAGTACACACTGGTATAGAGGATGACATTTTCCCTATTTTCCCGTTTCCTGATAGCGATTCAGATTATTTCCCATTCTTTTCATAATCCAATAAGGATAATCACGCTTTTTTGGGCGAGTCCAATGGGGTTCAGAGAACAAACCGAGCAAAAAATACTTGTGCGAGTTTGTTTTCTTTCCCATACTCAACTTCTCAACATCCTCTGTTTCTTCCCGTGCACTGGAGATGAGCACACTTAAGTTGCCTTCGGAGGGTATCATCTAATTGGGGATCAAAAAATCATTCTGAATGTGTTTTCCACGTACACTTTGCAATCTCCACAGATGAGTTTTCCTAGATATTCGTAACTAGGTTTTTCACTTCCTTATCTGCTAATTGCGCTCCGGATTCTCAACGAAAAAAAAATTCGATTGCAAAATCACGTAAAGTGGTATTCCCGAGTGCGGAAGTGTGTCTTGGATGTACTGGCAGCTGGAAGTGTTTTCCTCCGCTTTTGCTGAGGACCGGTATCCATAATATCATATTTGTAGGAGTGTTCTGACTTTCTGACAAAAATTTGGACCAATAATCAAGACAGGGCGCAAAAGGCACAACAAGAAGAGAGATGAAGTGCTCGGAAAACTCCTCCTTTCCTCCTTTCCTCCTCCTGCTTTCTGATCTCCCAATTCAATTCTCTCGGTTTTTTCGTCGAAAAAAGTCATCTTCCCAGCTCGGTCGGTTAATTTATGCAAACGTCGGTTCTTCTAATCCTTGTCATTTCAATTTCTCACCCAAAATCCTGAGGCCCATTCCCATCCATTGGTCTACCGTAATCTGACGTCCAAATCGCCTTTTCTTTTTCCAATTTCCGCTTCTCATTTACCCACACAAAAGGGAAAGAATCGCAATCCCGAAAGCTGACGACAAAGACGTTTCCTCTCGCCCCCCCCCCTCCGGCCCTAAATTAACCTCGTTAGAAAGAAGGGGAAAGGCAAAAAGAGGCAAAAAATAGTTGTGTGCTCTTTTCTTTTTCCTCAAACCATGGTTATAATTATTCGGACAAGTAAAGAGTACACAGTCACTACTCATCACTGCACGTCCTCGTTTAATTTGCGGCTGCTCTCCGCTACCACAAACTTGCGTCTTTCCTCGTTTTTATTGTTCTCATTTTGTTCTTCTTGTCCTTCTTCTCCTCCCCCGAGCTTCCACAAATTCTGCATCTCCGGAATGATGGAATTTCTCATTACTCGAGTTGGCGCCCCCCACTTAGTGATCTATTTTCCATGACTCTTCCGCTTTCATCCTTTTCATTCTTCTCATTCATTTTTTTGACCAGCCTCATCAATTCGACGCGTGTTTTTGTTTTCCGGGTGGTTTGGGAACCCTCTAGTTCTTGAACTACGGGCTATAAATTACTTTCCCCCTGATATCTATTGTTTTCTGCCAGACACTTGGATTTCAGTCTTGAAAACCAGACGGACCGAGTCCGAACATACATTGTGCATTGCCTAATGAGTTTGTTGCCCATTTTTTCTTATTTCGGCTGTGGGATAATGCCTTTTTGGTCTCCACGCAGCATGTTTGGCTGTATCTCAGCACCGCGGGCCAAGCCAGACAGACTTTCCATAGAAACTCTCGGCCCTTGACTTTGTTTTTGAAGTGGCAAAGAAAGGACACGTTTGGTGTAGCGTGTTGCGTTCTAGACTACTCGTCACCCACTCATTACATCAGTTTCTGATATTTTTTCATCATCGGCTACAATTTTCTTGGCTAAATGAGCCTTGTGACTCAAAAGGGGAAATGTCTCTGCTATCGTCACACAGAGCTACAATCGGTGGTTATGTAATGTCAGCTCCTTCCGTCAAACCCTTTCATCAACTTCTCCTACTCATTTCCAAACTTCTTACTTTACGACTTACCTACATTGTTTCAGGGTAATGTTCTGCTGACTTTCTTTTGCCACGTGTAAGTCTCTGACGTGTCGGAAACTATGAGCGAGGCTGTTAAACAAGAAGCGCAGCGCGTGGAGCTTAGCTTCAGTTATACGGTATGTCTACTATAACCTTCCGATTACGGTAGCTATTTCAGCTCGAATTATGGATGTACGGCATTGCGTTCTGCGTAGGCCTACCTGCTTTCATTTTCACTGTTGCTCGACTTGCGCGGTTAGCATTTCTCAACTTTCCAGACTAACAGAAATGTCAAATTTTGCAGTTCTCGATCGTCTCGACAGCACTTGGTCCTTGCCGCTCGTTTATTTTCATATAAAGTCAGTCTCTCCGTTGCCGATTGTATTGTTTTGTTCATTTATGCACCGACTCAATTTGTATGGATTCACTCTTATTGGGTAATTCACAAAGGCACTCAATTTTTCGGGAGTGAACATTTTTTCAGTGGTTTGGGGGAGACGTCGGTTGTCGTCTTTTCAAGTTCATCTCTACTTTCGGTTTTCATTTGACTGCCAATATGCAGGTTTTAGTCGCTGCAGATCGGCTCTTGATTACTGCGAAAATGAATCGGGTTAATCGTAATGTACGTTCCGTCTCTGAATGGGACAAATATTCGTCTATTGTAGATCAAAAAACGACAGTACAACACCCGACTCTCATTGGCCGCTGCTTGGATTCTGGCCTTGATGTGTGCTTTTCCCCAACTTATTCTTTTCCGCCAAAAGACCACTCCTCAAGGATATCCACAATGCATCTCCATCTGGTATTCCCCCCTTCCCCCCTCTCCTGTAATTTCATTTGAACATCAGCTCTTTTCAGGACGGAGCACCGCGTGGACTTCTATGACAAACTTGAACTATTGGAGCAATTTGCGTACATGAAGCACGAGCTAGACATCAAGTCACCTTTGTACTTTTACGAAAATGGAACATTGAAGGTGATCAGAGAAGGACTGAAAAGGGGGGCGTCTAAACAATTTTACTCTTCACTGGAGCGTGTCTTATTTTGTGCAAGCGCGGTTAATTATGTCAGCGTACGAATAGAGGGATGGCTTCCAAAAAAACGACTTCGTTCCGACTGACGGAAATGAAATAAGAAAACGCGATGAAAGGGAATTCGGTTAGAACGAAAGGTCGGGATGACTAGTCTTACTAATGGGACAAAAGCGCGGGGACTGGCTGACCATTGATCAACAATTTGCAGTATCCGAAGGAAGATTTCCCTCCCGAGCCCGGATTCACACTAGAAGAACTGCACACTAACAATCGAAATTGGCTTTATCTGGAGAGGGTACGCGCGGAAATAAGCCAATTTTGAGCTGTGAATCCTTGTTTTTCAGCTGTACAACGTGCTTCATCTAGCTACGATCTGCGTGATGCCTTATGCATTAGAGCTCGTTTGTTACACATTCATACTATACATTTTGAAAGGAGCCACTAAAGGGAGATTCGTCACACTTTCAGACGTAATTAAGGACTTGTAAGTTTTTATTAATTTTAGTGCACTCAACTATTATGTGTCAAATTTTCAGTTTCTGCTGCTGCACACGACTTAGAAACCATCAATCTCCTACAGTATCCAATGTCACGCAAGAGTCGGATAACTTGATGACTCGCGTTCCTTCAAAAACAAAACGTGCACAGAACATTGCACCGGAAGGTAAAAGCTGTGAGTGCTTGGTTCATTTTGTTTGATGAGTTGTAGCTGAATCCAATAATTGACTTAATTTTTGCATGGTCTCATTATAGGCGATTTGGAGCGTCGGCGAGCAGCGTCAGTCGACGTGCCGATGAGAATGAAGAACTCATCAAGTCTGACGGTGGTCATTGACGAGAATGGCTCAGCGACCGGTGCGAACACTAACTGGCGCATGACATAATTTATTAAATGTGAACTTTTCAGTCGCCACCCGTCCAGAGATACAACCGGATCCGGAGCAACCACCAAAGCCACTGGGATTCTTTCAGCGGATGCGCAACGCCTTCATGGACTTGTTCCCAAACGATACTGAAGAAGGTTCTGTTCAAAACAACAGAAAAAGAACAGATCTGCAATTAACCAAATTAACAAAGCGAGAAGGTAGCCATAGATTAGAACACGGTGTGAAGCACGTCAGCATGACAAAGGAGTCAACAGCTTTCGCATTCTATCCAGAGATCCTACACGCATGGATGTTTCCGTTGATTCTCTCTCGATGAGTGCTAGAAACTTTCCCTTCGACGCTTTGTTCATTATTCTTCGAGTTTGTGCTCTCCCGATTAGACGTTGTTTGTTTTCAGTACGAAGACAGAGTGCTCCCGCCAGTGCTCGCTCCAACACGATGTGGGTGGTCACCGTGGACACGGCGCGACGAAATGCCCGGTGGAAGGTATAGTAGCTCACCAGCAATACACCAAAACACGTTTTATAGGCATTCATTATGCTTTCGCTCAATCTGTTCTTCTGGGCTCCGTACTGCATCCTTGCCATCACATCCTCAGTCATAATTTCGCAATACTTGACCAACTTTCAGTTCGTCAACGCTCTAGTCACCTTCAACGCCGTTTCAAATATTATATTATAATTAGACACCTCGCTCTTTTCATGCTGACTTTAAGTGCAATAATCCAGGATTACAGACAATCTCATCTCTATCTTTTCGAAAGCTACAATTTTCCCCCCATTAGTACGAACTAGTTTCTTGTCGCTTTTACGTGTTCCTCTCCAGATTCGCTCCTGTGTGAGTACCTTACATACTTCTCAGTTCAAACTACATCTTGATCTTTACTGTGGCACTGTGCTACGTTTTCTCAACGAGTCATGGGCATCCCCATTCCCTTCCCACTCGCAGCTATATTTCTCACCCCGGTTCAATGAGCCTTCCGTGTGGTCAGTTCATTCTGAACCGTATAACATCCGGTACTGACTATTCTTCAGATAGTAATAAATTAAAAATGTAAAAACCGCAGTGTTGTATTGCAGGGGAATAAACTTTAAAAAAGAAGAAGAAAAACGATGACACTAGAGGGCAATGAATAGAGAAAAAATACATAGTTCATCGTTATTTTTATGCATAAATTGACCTCTTTTTAGATGAGCCCCGGAAATTACATTTTGAACGAGAGTCGCAAAAGAGAGTTGCCGCTCACTAAATCTATCGCCTTTTTTCTGTGTCTGCGCTGTTGACGGCTCTGTCTTTGTTGGCAAGCGATATTCGTGCCGTTTGCAGGTGATTTTCGCTCCTTGTTGTGTCAAGAAGCCATATCTGATCCTAGTCAACTTTCAAATATAGTGCTGCTTTTATTTTTCTTCCTCCGCCTAGCTCCTTCATGTTTCAATTCGATTTCATATAGTTTCGGTATTAAACCAACAAAAGAAGAATATTATCGTTTTGTGATGTAAATGTGAAAACTGATTTTTGGTTCTCCGTCTTCTCAAGCGTGTCACTTCTATTATAGGTTTGACAGTTATCTCTGACGTAGTATGCACAAAAACTGAGTCCGGCAGGTAGGTACCAATCTTTGTCGCGGCAGTTCAAATGTGATATTGTTTCCGGGTATGAGATTCCGAATTGCCTCCAGACAGCGGGACTACGAGCACATTCAACGTTTATAGGTCCCGTGCGAACGCACTTTGCAGACATTCTTGATCATTTTTCCGCTGCTTACATTCTCCGTTTTCCCTCTCGAAGTAGTATTCAAAAATACTGTTGTTTTCTGTGTCTGCCCACGCTTGCTTGACAACTGCAACTTTAGTTGACGTCGAGCGGAAATCAGGCAGCGAATTTCTGATGTCATTTCAGATGTTCTTGCCTCACTGAGCAGTTGTAATTTGACTTGAACTTTTTTTAAAAACTATCTTAACACTTCGAGCTTAATATTTCATTTCTTTCTTTTACAATTCTTATTCAATGAAACTGTGAATCCTGCAATTTTTCATGGTGCTCCGCAACTTTTCACAAAAACCGAAACATCAACTTTTCTTGCTTTTGCAAACATCATTCTGGTTAAAAAATAACGCTTTTAATGTCAAAAAACTGGCAATATGTGCGGGCACGGGTGGCATTGATCAAAACTCGATCAGGTGAAAACTCGGTAGTCGTTTATTTCACCTGCCGTTTATAGAAAACTGATTCACTCCCGCTTTTCAGCTATTTTCAGAATAGAAATCTTTATTATAAATGAATTACTTTTCAAGGCAGTGGCGAACAATAAACTTTGAGTATGCTCATGAATTTTTCATTCACAGTCTAATCGTGCCGCATCTGTTGAGAAAATGAGAGATTGTGTTTCCTTCAGTTTCAAAAAAAAGCTAAAGGGTCCAGACTGTGTTATGATCCGTTTTGAACCTGTTTGTTTTTGGAAACCGTCCAGACACCCCGAGAGACAGTTGTTTTTCCGTATTTCGTGATTTTAGTCTCCTCAATAACAAACTTGATCAGTTCCAGTCGGTCCAATGTTTACTCATTTTTAACCAAAAAATGACCCTAAAAATTGTTCATATCAGTCTGCGAACGGCTTTTCGAACCAATTAACAAACTCTTTGTGCATATCCATGATTAAACTAATTCGGGTGCGATTTCTTCATATTATAGGTTACATTATTAAAAACTCTTTCAGTAATCGTTGAGCTGTGAATCAGCAACCTGATTGGAAAAACTTCTCCTCGCTAGAGAAGCAGCAATGTCTTGTCTTGCAAAAGCCGTTGTCCGCGCCTCTCTCTTTCTCGAAACGCCTCTCATTATACTAATTCGACTGCTTGTGGGTGTCCAAGACGCTGCACATTCTCGGGTCTAGACACATTATTCAACCAATAACCCTAAATCTAGATCCCATTGCAACGTTATACCGATATTAGCTGCTGACATTTTTCGTCCCACTGACATCTTCTTCATTTCTTTTACTTTGTCATTTGCCTTTCAAACCTCCTCCCTCTTCTTGTGCTGCTTGGAATGCAGTTTATGGTTGCAACCATGGCAGTCCGCTAACGTCACGCGAAAAAAACTTCCCTTCCGTTTGAGTAATGACACAAACACATTGTATTTTCCCTTCATAATCCTCCCTTGTAATTAGTTCAAGCAAAACGTGGTGTAAAAACGAAACGTTGGAAAGAGACTGCTATACAGAATCAAGATTGCTTTTTCTTCGTTTTCCACGCGATGCAACAACAATGTTTCTTCTCCTTTACCGTAGTTTTTTGCCGTTAGCGGGAGCAAATAAGATTGAAGCTTATGGAAAACCAAAGAACAGAAGAGTTTTATTGATTACATCAGAAAAAAGACGGATAAGAGACATGAATACTGGCGAGAAACTTAAGAATACGCATCATATGGAGTGCACTTAATGGTATGCAAATACCTATAGCCAATCAATCTGCCACATTTCCTTCTGAAATCCACGCGCACTGTTGAAACATGATACTTTTTCTTCCACCCAAAAACTTTGCCAATCCCCGCACTTTGTTCTGTCTCAGACATTCCCAGGCTCATTTCTTTCTCCTCGTTTTCCCCCTTTTGCCTTTTTCGTTTCCCCCTTTGTCAGCTCTGAAATGAAGTGCACTTTCTCAGTGACGGGACCTTGGCGCAGCACATACACACTCACACGTGTCAAAAATTCCATTCCCACCATGATTTGATTGTGCTATAATTGGCCAGCCCAACCATATTTTGTTCTCGCTCGCCCCCTCTTACTATTTTCCAGTCGTATTTTGCCTACAGATCTCTCTTTCTCTCTCTCTACCGACCATCTTTCTTTTTTCAGAAAACTTGGCTTGTTTTTGTCTCCCGCCTACTCTCTCCTCTCCTCACATTTCTACTTGCCACCATCGCATCTAATTCTCTACGGACCCATTTCATCAAAACAGGTATCGATACGAAAAGCGGACGAGGCGTAGAAAACGGCATTTTCCATGTGATTTTTCCAGACAAATAACAGCTTCCGCTCTAGAAATCGGTTGTTGTCGCAGTTGCGAAATTGGGAGTTGAAAGTGTTGATAACAGGTTAGGTTTGCGCCCGAAAACAAGCGTTAATTGGCGGTTTGCTGGGAACGAACAGGTATGCTGTTTTGAGTTTTGGACTCTCCGAGCATTGACCGGATGCTCCGAGGAAATTGGACAAAGTGGCGTTACTGCGGAGGGCGGTAAATGGAGATGTTCCTGTAACACGAGATTTCGGATCGCAAAGTTATCTTTGCCAAGACGCAAGACGTTCTACAATTTCATGTCGAAAAGTTCGGATGGCTAAATTAAGCCGATGGTCTTGAATTTCGGATCAGTCACGTTCATCTGACATATGGTGCCTTAATCCTGCTTCAATGTGTTCTGCAAAGCCTTTTTGCCGAGAATCCCAAACAAACAGTGGTTTCGTTTTGTTGAATGCTGCAAAATTTTGCGAGTGTGGAAGGAATCGAACTGAGCGAGTTGTGGCCAGGCGAGAGGATCGTAATCTGAGAAGGCGGGCATTATGATCGCTACTCTTAAAAACTGATGAAGCCGTGTTTTGTCCCCTCCCCCCTATGATTCTAATTACAGCAAACGTGAGGCAGCACATCCTTTTTCCAAGATATATATTTCTGAATAATGCAGAAACCAGTGGGCTCACAGACTTTTTCCTAGTGTCACTCTCCGTTTTCCTCTCTTTTTTCCTCTCTGTGCCTTTCTGTCTTTCTCTCCTTTTTCAGTTCAGAATGCAACTCCGGGGGACCAGCCCCCACACTCGTTTCGAAGCACACGCCCCTTTTCTTCCAATTTTCCCTCCGAAACGCGTTTTTCTACCACGAGGTCCGCCGCTCTCGAAAAATTTGCAATATCCCTCTAACCTCTTCTACCCTTTGCTCCTCCCACAAGCACCGGACATCATGAGTCACACACATGCACATCCTTGTTGTCGTGCCCTTCGAGTCGAGTTGCAAAGTTCTATTTAATTTTTGCTGCAAACTATCAAATTCGAGATTTACCACCACCAGCCTTCTCTACGTGTGCACGGCTCAGATCGATGCTCAGCCCACCACTGTTTACTTTGATGAATCATTCACGCAGAACCAAAATGTAAACGAATTTGGAGCTTTCGGCCCGGGCTGCGCTCATTCAATTCTCCTTCTTTGGCGTTGATATCTGAACATGTTTTATAACTCGATTCCCTTCCCTTTCCTTTCGTCTTCGTCATTCAACAGTACTCCCGTGTCGCTCATCGGGATCTGATCCGATCTTCACATTTACTTCATACATTTTCGCATCCATTGCAATACATACTGCAACATTAAAAATTCCTAGGATGAAAATATCTGCGTCAAGCATGTAGTATGTGCGCGGAGTGCCGGATCATTAAGCCTACGACAATCAAATAGTGAGTCCTGAAGAGGGAGGGACACTTGTTGTTGACGCGTACTCTGCGTAGCGTCTGGGGCGCCGACGACGACGACGACGACGACGACGTGCAATGCTTTTATCTATCGACCTGTGCGGCGCTTGTCGGAGGAGACGAGCAACACTAGTGGATATATTGGCCTACTGCTTGCAACTGCCTCCTGCCTCGGGGCGCTTCTACATGAGCATGACAGAGAAGAGAGTTGCGACAACGGTGGGCGACGACGACGACAACGAAGACGGAGGCCGATGAAGGCGAAGAGCAGTAGCAGAAGCAGCAGCTAGTCCTCTTCCTCTCTTCTCTGTTTCAAAACTCTCCAACCTCTTTGCCCGGCGGTTGGCCGCGCGTCTCCGTCTTCTTCTAGTCGTAGTAGCCCTCCGTAACCGTCTGCTCGTCTCCGCTGTCGCGCTCCCCGCTCCCATTTTCGCATTTCGCGCAACCCGTGTCGCGCCCCTGCTGCTGCCGCTCACACAAATCGTTTTTCGGAAAACGCCGCGTGCGCGAGCCTCTGTCCTACTCGTTTCTCTCTCTTTCTAGGCCGGCGTCTATCTTTGCCGCGCACACGCTACTCTCGCATGCGTGGCAGTCCTCCTCTTCCTTCTTCTTCTCCTCCTTCTCTTTCCTTCGTTTTCCTCCCACGGCACTCACTGCCATTGAGCATTTCATTCGCGCACTCAACCATCCATGCGTGAGTTTTGCTGTGAGTTATGTTTCATGAGTTGTGCGCGCGGGCGTGAGTGCGTGAGCGAGTGAGGGGTGCGCGACGCGATAACTATTACCACTTTTTTGCATCAACGACTACTATTACTACGACACATGCGCTGCTATTATTTGCATTTTGTCTCGAAACGTGTTTTTCTTTGTTATATTTGTATGTTATGACGGACCGCGCCGAGTAATGTACATCACTTTGCGGCCCTTTTGACAAGGAGCCACCTCATACCTATTAATTTCGTGAATTGCACGCTAACAATGGGAGAATGGAAAAAAGAGACGAAACTTGAACATTTCAGCACTGTCGGCCATTAATAAATGTCGACTCCGTGCTCCGGAAACGAGCCGAATATAACACCGACGAATACCTCACCTAATAATGAGACATCTAATTCAAGTGTGTCGACGACGGCGAACATGGCGCCCGGCGAAACAAATTCGTCGAGAGAGTTGAAAGTGAGTCCATAGAAGAACATGAAAAACAACAGGGGGCAGTTAAGAAAAAAAAAGGGAAAGAGTAGAATGGCAGAAGTTTTGGCTGAGGTTGAGAGCAAAACTGGGAGATGTGAGAGTAAAAAGAAAGAATGGCTGAGTAAAGTGGTGAAGGACTGCCAGTCCTAATGATTCCCTTTTTTCGGTCGCTCCTTCAAACTGCAAATCTTATTAAATCGCGTCCGCAACGTGTCCTTCTTTATCCCCATCCCTAAAGTTATGTCCATCAAAAAGCTCCAGCGAGAAACATGATTTGAACTTTAATTGTAGGGTTAATACGTTTCCTTGAACAGATTCCACTAGATTCCTCTATAAGTGCTAAAAAAGCTTGAAATCGATAATTAAAGGTTTCTAAATTGTGATCATTTGAAACTAGCAATCAGGTGTCCTTTCCGTTTCCTGAAATAAAATAGTTGCTACCGTATTCCAAGTTGTCTTCATTTGCTGCTCGGCCACCTATATAACGCTGAGCAATTGTGTTTCTCCTACGGCCCCCCACGCGACAACTTTTATTCCGCTCGCTTCTCAGATGCATTTAGAAAATAGACGTTATGTCGGGAGGAATCGCGCGATAAAAATAAAAGTGTTAGGGGGAAGTGATGCGAGGCGGTTTCTCTTTCCATTTAAAACCCTCCCCTTTCCAACTTTCAAACATCTTGCGATCCATATATATGATGTTAATGGGATTTGTTGATATGTTATGTAACTGCCAAAACTATAACTTAGAGTGCTGGCTGCAGAAATTAAAAGCAGATGTGTAAATGTGGTCCATGATCTCATTTTCGCTCCTCTTTTTGTTTGTTTGTTTGGAAAAGCCTAGAACGCTTGGACCTTTAGACTTTTTTTTGCTAAGAGGATTATTGGAAAAAAAAAAACGGGATGTAAACTATTTGTGTGCATTCGAAATTGCTCTGCTCCTCAAATTCTTTTGTATGATGGGGATGGCAACATCACTATTCATTTCGAGTGCTGAAAGGATGGTTATTTTTGGCACTATACGTAAAGGATTTTTTTCCAAGAACGCACAACCCTTTCTTTTTTATTGATTTGAAGGGGTTTTCACTTCGTGGCCGCCGTCGGATCATTTGTTTTTCCAGTGGATGTGGGGGCGGAGCCGCGGACGACGAAGAAGACACAGCCGGGGGGCTGGCTCGAGTAGAAGAGAAAAAGAGAACTGAATGGGTGGAGAAGTGAAAAAAGAAAAAATTCGACTAACAAATCATCTGGAATTTGTCCGTTTTGCAATAAATGTGGCAGTGGGGGAGAAGAAGGGAATACGACGAGGCATTCGAAAAGTCAGGGGTGCTTAGAGGGCTTATGGTTGGAAAAAGGAAAAAGAAAAATATCTGCCAGTGGGAGGAAAAGGTTCGCAACCAAAAGGGGACAACTTCGAATACGAAATATTATTATTTCAGATCTTCAAAAAAGTCATCCGCGACCTAGTCCTTCGAGCTCCTTTCCAAGAATTTCTGGAACAACAATTTTGTGCCGAAAATCTCAATTTTTATTTAGCAGTTGAACAATTCAAAGAAATTCATGATTTCCAGGTATTTATCACAAAATCTAACTTTGTTATCAATAACAATACTTGTTTTTCAGGAGAGGTCTTCCTTCGGTAGACGAATATTTGACCGATATTTTGCAATGAATAGTACTGAACCCGTAAATATTGACAACTCGACTAGCAAAAGGATACGAGAAACCGTCGAAAGTGGCACGTTCCCTTTAGACACTTATGACGTGGCACAATACCAGGTATGACTTCGTTCGACTGCCCAATACGTTTCGTTTTTTTTCAGATTCTTCACTTGTTGAAATATGATTGTTGGCCACGTTTCTTGCGGTCTACTAATAACACACAGCCATCGTTTACGGATGAGGAGCTAGCGGATGATGAAGAGAGAAATGGGCACAGCCAACCAACTTGTGCGTTTCTCTTAAAGCGCCGAGGGGTCACCGCGTTGAACGAGAAGCGGGGACCCAGCGGCGCGAGGTTTAGGGATACGTCATGATGAATGCCTTCTTTTTTCAGCACTCAGTAACACGAATGAATTTGAAGCAGCTGCGCAACAGTCGCAGCCTGCTCCAAATGCGCCGGCAGCAACAAAGGAAAAACGTAAGTCGATTCTTTGGCACGGTTTGGATCGGTTTTCACGCCGATTGCGACGCGGGGATAGCAACACGACCACTAATTGTGACGACGATGCCGACGCCAACGCGTCCGGCTCGGCGGTTGGTGGAAGAGGTGTTGTCGGTTCCGCTGGATCAAAACGACGATATATCTTCGCAGCATCGAAACAGTACAGTATGCCCGCGGAGATGACGTCGCCGGTGAAGAAGAACTCGTTGTCGCCGACGCATCTACGACGACGGTGTCGACCGGTGGAGCCGAAGCATTGTCAACTAATGATTGGCGATCAGTTCACGACAGAAACTGTCACTCTAGACGACCCGGTTGGTTTTTTATCGGTTTTGCATGCAACATTTTCTAGCGGGGCTTCCTTCGAGAACAAACAGAGCATCCGCATGAACTTTGGAGGCGAAACCATTCAAGTGTGAAACGCTTCATCTGTCCATCCATTCTATATATTTCGAGATAACCTTTTTTTATTTGAAGGGGAAACAAATTCCAGTGCCTAATCCTGACTGCTTAGTTCAATGCGCTGTTTACGATCTGTGGTCGACAGACATCGCTAATCCGTGACGGAGACGTGTAAAACGCAAGAAGACCATCACGTAGAATATATAGAAAAGGGGGTGGGTGGGGGAAGTGAGTTTGTGTTACGAAACATTCTGCACTTTTGGAGAAAAAGTCATCCTCAAGTCGTTATTTTCATGAGCTGAAACGAAGAGCTCAGCTCAAGCTTTCCGATCATTAGCTCGTGGGCAAAAAGAAGCGCTAAGGGTTCCAATTAGTGGCGGGCAGGCTCGCAAAAACCTTCTCCTTCTCCTTCTTCTTCTGCTTCTCCTTTTTCTTCTTTTTCTTCTTCTTCTTCTTCTTCTTCTTCTTCTTCCTCTTCTTCTTCTTTTTCTTCTTCTCAATAAAACATTTCCTGTCAGGACGTTGCGCATGCCTCCTTCGCCTCGGCTCGCCAACTTCATTGAGAATTTATGATGTTGCTCCGAGGGTGGCACACTATTTCGCACCTTGGATAAAAGGGAAAAAAGAAAGTGTAATATTTGCATAAAACATAAATGTGATAGGTAAATATTGTCAAAGCATTATCTCTTCTTAAGGATAGGGAAGGGGGCCAATGAGACCCAATCATGTATTCACGACGACGCAAGAAAAAGGATAGGTTTTCCCCGAGTTCATTAATGTGTGTGGATGTGTGTACCCAACATCCAGTGTTATTTGTGCAAAAGGACCAAACTTTTACGACGCCTCTGGGGAGTTAAGAGTTACTGCCTGGACGAATTTAATTAGGAAAATTGAATGCGACGGCAGAACGAGAAGCTCGGATTGTGGAAGTGGAATCATAGACGAAAAAATTGAGGACAAGAGATTGCGATTCTTCTCGAAGGGGACGCTAGTTCGTATGTCTTCCAAACACTGCAAATGAAATGTTTTTAATTAGATGCAAAAAGAGAGGAAGAGATTGAGTTTGTCGGCGTCATCCAGCGTTTTTCTTATTAAGCTCGTCACGTTTAAAGTCAACTCTTCGTTTCTTTTTCTCTTTCTTCTTTCCCTTTCCCCTTTTCAATTTCACTGCTTCTTCCGCATTCGCTCACTCCACTTATTTGTTGTCAGTCCATGAAAGTCTGAATACGAATTGTCCAATGCCTTTCCTCTTTTGTCCCAATGTTCGCTTTGTTGGTGTGCTGCACCACACATGGCCTTCGTGGAATGGGAAAAGGGCACACATTTGGCAGAGAGACCCGAATGCAAAGCAGGAGAGGTGAAAAGAGGGGACAAAATGGAGATGAATATTTAAGAGATGGAGTGCTTGAAAAGGGATTCAGGCCTGACTGAACTTTGTTTCGCGCGGACGTAACTTTGACACTGATCAAAGTTCGATGGAAACAAATAGACATTCAAAAACAGACGATGATAAAGAACAAAATAAAGTATTAACTGGATGAATTTATTTTTACCGCATGCGTCTTCTATTGCTTTTTTAAATGTATTGTTTCAGACAATGTCGGTCCGTCGATGGACGCAGGAAATGGCTGACACACAGGGAATGGATCGGATGCACGTGGAAGTTGTGGACGCGGAAACGGGCAGTACGATAGACCCCGCTAGACAGGCCATTGACGCTCTTCAATCCCGCGCGCTTCGACTCGTTCCCGTTGTTTCGTTTATCATTGAATTCTTGCCAGCCAATTTCTCGTTCAAGAATCCTGCATCAACACCAACCAAGTGAGTTTGAGCGCAGTGACAAGAACACGAGCAGTAAATAGTTACATTTCTTGAGAAAATGCATTGCAGCTGCTCCGAAGCATTGATATCTGGTAATCTAGGTTATTCACATACACACACCCAATTTTTCAGCGTTATATTAGGCATGAAAAGCAACCCCTGTTAGTTTTACATCTTTCCCACAAATAAAAATCAATTTCACTTCCATTCGCAGTTTCGTTTCACGCTCGCCCAGTTAGATCCATTTCCGGCAGAGATGCATTCTTCGTTTCCGCTCTCACTTTCCACTATTTTTCCAGATTGGTATGCATTCGTGCTCGTCATTCGCTTTCAACCGGAGCTGTGCTCCGACCGCTTCTTTCCAAGTACACAATTGATCCTCAAATCACGAAAATCGTTCTGAACGGTTCCTTGGAGCAAGTGAAACGATCTGTTGCCGTCGGTGCTGTCTCGCAAAAGTGTTTGACTGTCATGTCGGAAGCACAATATAATGGTGAGATAAATTCTTTAGTTCTGTACTCCCCCTTACTCTATATGCATTGATTTAGGTTTTAGTTTTTAAATAACTGTTAGATCCCGTCCGAGTTTTTCAAAGATAATGCGACGATAAAGCGCGTGTTTATTCATTAATGTGCATTAACGAGGCCCTGTCACCCATCTAACGTCTTCATCAGCAGAAACCGACTCATTTTGCAGATCGCGTGAGCGCCGGCAAGACGAGTCTACCCCCGCGAGATCCGATTCTCTCGCAACAGCCGAGCACCATTTACGAGCAGAACAACTTTCCGTTCCATCAGAACGGCGACATCTCATATTGCGAAATTCCAACCGAGCAGGAACGCAACAAACACGCCCATCTTCAGCACCACGGTGACGCACAAAACGCGGCGCATCAACAAAAGGTTAGTGAGCCGGAATCATCAGAGCAGCGAAAAGTGAATCATGAGAGGAAGAAGAAAAAGAAGGAGAAAAAAGAGATGAGAAACACTGATGAGGAGAGGGGGAAATGTGCATTGGATAGAAAAAAGGGATAAAGCTGAAGGGGATTCAACGCGCACGACACGCATTTTATCGTCGAGAGAATATAAAGAATAGTGACTTTTCAGGAATACACCCTCAGCATCTTCAACAAATTTGTCAGAAAGGCATCTCATGCAGTCTCTAAGAGTGACCCGAATCCGCCAACAGCCAGTTCCAGTCAGGATACATCACGGATGGTAGACTTCCAACTAAACATGCGGGAGTTTGAATAACTTATTTCCAGGCCTCAGGAGTTTATGCTCCGTCCCCAGCTACCGGACCCGTTGGTCGCTCTGGAAACAATCTGAGTGGATCTGCAAACCAAGTGAACGCCTCCAGTGCGGGCACGTCTAATAATGTGAGCGAATCCAACAAGAGTCGCTTGAGCATTTTCAAAAGTGTGAGTATGGTTATGTGGCTGTCGCTCCCTCGGTTCCTCCTCAGTTTCTGACGTTTTTATCGCCGCCCCTCTGTCGATACTTTGGGGGTTCTTCTCCTGCCGCTTTCCAACCAGCTTTTTCGCTCTATTGAATTTTCAATGTGACACGGGCTCTTTTATTATGCATACATATGCTTTTTGCCTGATACATTTTCCTCATGTCTACCCGCTCGTGAGCTCGCGCGCGCGCCAGGGAGGGGCTGGAGGAACATGTTGGTGGTGTTGAGGGTTCGAGTGTGAATGATTGAGTGTTTCAGTTCCATTCGATGCTTGATGAAATGAAGAATGTTCCAGAAAAACGAGAAGAAAGTGGTGAAGGCTGAACCGGAAAAACTGAAGCCCCGGACAGATGATGTTCCAACGTTGCCCTCGACCGCAACTGCCACGTCGACGGTAGATTGGAAACCAAACGGTGGACGTAGTGAACAAACAGGATCAGCATCAGGAGAGACAACAACAAAAACGAAAAGCAGTGGAGACAGCGCACAGGAAGCGGCAGGTATCCGGCATCCGGCAATCTTTTCGACAAAAGTCGGAAACGAGGCAGCTGCGGCAGCGGCTGAAGCAGCGGCCGCCTCATCAGCTGAAGCAGCCACGTCGTCGTCGTCGTCGTCGTCGATGTCAACGTCACAAGCAAAGACGTCACCGCCACCTGTGACAGCTCCGCCGGTCGCCGTCTCAACTCCATCTTCTGTGGTCAGTGTCCCTCCACCAACAGTTCTGCCACCTTTACGGTCTGCTTCAACTCCAGCTACTTCACAAGTGTCGGCGGGAGGTTCTGGCGGTGGCGGTGGCGGTGGCGCCGGAGGAAAGGGACGAGAATCTTCGTGGCAAACAGCTGCATATGTATAGATGATGTTGTTATTGAATTGATGCCGGTGTCTTCTTGATTCTTTCTTCATTCTATCATTTTACATGTCATATTTATTTCCTTCGGACAAAATTCGGAGTAATGTTTTCTCTTTCTAATTTTTTTCTATTCTTCACTTTAAAACACTTTCTTCTTCCTTTCCATCAGCGTTTTGTCAAAAAATTCTTTCCTCTCCTACCAGTGTCTATGAAAAGGTTATTTGCCGTAATAATGACTGACTCAAAAAACATCAAACGATTCGAATCTAACACCCACCCACTCGTAATATCGAATATGTAACAATAACTTATTATGTACTTTTGTTCTTATAGTGTCAATAAATCTAATACATGTCTGTTGATCTGAAATCTAGAAGCCCTGCTTTTGCGAACAAAAAACGCCGCATTCGTATAGCTGACAGCGTTCGAGAAAAGAAAGAAAGTGAGAGAGAGAGGGTGAGTGACGTTGTTGTTTATATTCAAGCGGTGCGTGGAATACAATGATATTATCAACAAATTCGACTGCTTCAATATAAATTGTTTGGGAACAATCGAAACGTTCCAAACTTTTGCCGCCGCCAAACTTTCGCGGAATTCAGTTCCATCTGGAATGATACTACTTTTGCTGGTTGCCTTCGCTTTTGTCGGTTGTGACGAGAATGTAACGGGTGAGTGTGAACTGGACACATGTGGTAATTCGATTCAACTTCGCAATTTCGTATTTACCATTCAGATGCGGATTCAGATGACATATTAACGCTGTTTCTTATGGGCGATACCCAATTTCATTTTCCGTGCGAAGAAGATAATGTGCAGTGTAAGCTGGCTTCAAAGAGACCGCGTACTCTTTTCCATTTAGACAGTGTTCGTTCATATTTCCAGAAAGCCAAGAGAGCTCATAACTCTCAAATTTCAGAGACTCGAATTCTTGCCGGGTGTCGAAGTGAACGAAACATTGCGACTCGGCAAAGAGTCGTGCACTAAAATAGAAAGCAGATTTGCAAATCGCGTACAAAGACAGGCGCTTGACGCTCTCATTAAGAGCATGGATTATAAACCAGCTGCTCTCATCATTAATGGAGATTTGACCGATTTTGGGCATCTTCATCAGTTGAACGAATTCAGAGTGAAAGTTCATTAGGGGGCTTGTGAATCACACTTGTTTTCAGCAATACTGGTACAACAACTTCTCGATTCCATTTCTCCTCGGATTAGGAAACCATGACTACCAGAACAACATAAATGACTGCGCGCTGAACTTTTGTGCCCACACAATGCTGTCATGGTGAGCCGGAACTGAGCCGGAACTTTTGACAAAATATCATTAATCCTCTATTCCAGGTATACTGAGTATGTGAAAAATCATTCTTTGGTGGCTGATATCGAACGGAAAACTGTTAAATTTGATGTTCAGTTCACTGGCAGTTTAGCATATACGGAGAGAATTTGCTCTGCTTCTGGTATACTTTTGTTTTGTTTGAAAAATATGAATTTAAACCCAACCTTGAAGTTAACAGGCAAGCGTTGCGCTTTTGTGATCCAACTGAACAATGCTGTCGACTACAGTGTATCTTTCACTTCGCTTTTTGTCAAATGGAACTTATCATCTCCGATGAAATATGTCCACAAAGAACTTGACCTTCTCGGGGTGAAAACATGATCACGTGATCACGACGCGTCTTTTTTTTTCAGAGTACCTCTCTTCCAATACTTCTGAATATGCACAAGTGCGAGAACATGCATATTCATAAGGTCAAAATGATGTTAACTCGTTGGTTGGCAGGCGTGAAAGCGACTAGTGAATCAAATCAGAAAGTTCCGCGCGTCGGAGTATTTTATGCACATATGCACCAAAGACATGAAGTGCACATTCATTGTATTGAAGGGTACAAAGTACCGTTCGTTTACGTTGGAAGTGTTCCGAACAATCGGTATATCAGAAATAGACACTAACATTGAGAAACACTTTGTTTTCAGTTTTTCCGTGTTCAACTTCAACGGAACATCTGCTACGATCACCGGTTACAAAGCAAGGGACAACTTGTTTCACGATGGCGAACTTCTGGAGAAACTGGAAACGGTCGACTTATGGGGACCATGCGAGAGCAGCGAACATGTGATCTTCGCTGATCACGTCACAAGGAAACGTTGGCTTCACATCAGAAATATCCGTTACCAAGCTTTCCTCAATGGGAAATCGACTCCGGGAAATCGCTAACAATTTAGAGATTTTAAAGGTTTAAAGTTAAAGTAATATTTTTATTTGGTATGCAATGAACACTTATTTTCGTCTCTTAAGAATCAAACCCAATTTGTTGGTTGGCCAGATGGTTCCCGTATCCCGCACTGTCATTTGAACCTGTAACATCAAAAATTAAGTCAATATCACCTTCCTTCTTCCTTTTGATACCTTTTTCGCGTGTCTATCAATTATCGCCGACGACGTGTTGACAGAATACTTCTGCAGTAGTCGGAACGCCGTTGTTTTCAGTTCGAGCAGCGCGAACCGCATTCCGACACACTGTCTCGGTCCCACTCCAAACGGCATGAACGCTCGCTTCTGTTGTTCGGTCAGTTTTTCGAATCTACACGGAAGTTAGTGATTAGCAGACACACTACACATCATACCGAGACGGCCGAAAACAAAGTGTGTCTTCTCCCCAGATGTCTTTGTCGTGGTGCGGTCCCCATGGGTTGATGACCACTTCGGCGTTTTCCGGGAAATAGTATTTGCCGATAACAACCGATTTTGTGCAGAGACGAGTTTGCAACCTGAAAATAAGTGAGTGATAAGGATTGAAACGTGAAAATGATGAATCGAAACATACGGGGAAGCGTGTGGAAACAGACGAAGCGTTTCGAAGATGCAGTTTTGAAGGAATGATAGCGAATTGATGGTATCGAAGTCTGCATTCTTTTGATCCTGAATTTCAGCCCGGTACAGATCGCCTTGGATGTCCGGATTGTGGGCCAAAAAGTTGAAGAGCAGAGCCAACGTGTTAGCGGTTGTGTCGAAACCAGCGACGGCTATGAACTTGCACTGTGCAGCAATTTCCTGAAAATAACTTGTTGATAACATTCAGTCTAACACCATCATTCTGATGTTTGATTTGTGTACTTTTTGCTAATTTATCATGTACAGAAGTTTGTAGTCTACGCAAACTCTATTGATAACTACAATTAAACTCACACCTGAAATGAGATGCTCTTCTCGACCTTTACTTTCTTCATGTCGATTTTTCCATCTCCACTCTCAACCAGCTTCTGTTCTTTGTGATGCTCGAAGAAGAATCCAAGAAAACTGTATTGGTCTATATCCGGGACTTTGATGGAGTTTTCCGCCAGTTGCCGACTCTTGAATTTGCAGATCAAATGAAGAAGATAGTCCATGAATCTGTCCTTATTGTTAGGTCCAAAGGTTAGCAATTGGGACCATCCTTTGAAGACTAATTTGATTTCCGGATAAAAATCTGAAAAAAAAACAGTGATTTCTACTTGCCTATCATTGTTTTTCTATGTACATGAAAGTTTTTCAGCAATTGTATGATTCTGTTCCGAGAACTCTCCGAACGCCCTCATGAAAGTCCCCAGAAAATAGTTTTGATTGTGATTCTTCTCCTTGTGACCGTAGGCGCATCTCGCCAACACGTAAGACGTATGATTTTGGAATAAACTGGAAAGAACGGGCTATATAATAACCATTTCAAGTGTCGCACCTGTGTGAATGAGTGATGGTGACGGTGCGCCCGTCCGCAAGATTGTTCACGTGATCCAAAAACTCAGAAACACACTTTTCAATGGTCGGGAACAACTGATAACACGAATGTTATTGGATTAATGAAATTACGAAATGAACCTGTTTCAGTTTGACCATCGAAAGACCGTAACTGGTCAGAGTGCGAAGACGCTTCCACCGTTCACCCTTTGCCGCAAACATGTGAATATTTTCAGAAGTTACAGGATCATTGGCGAACGGTTCTGGCTGAAAATACATTCGGATTTATAATTTTCAATTGTATTACTTGTTTTATCGATAGAAACTCACAATTCTGGCGTGAAAGCAATCGAAATGTTCGGTAGAGATTGCATGAATCACGTCAACATCATTGGTCACCACGACTGGAGTTGCACCGCGGAGCAGAGAAAACGTTTTGTCGCCGACCACTGTGCACATTTTGGTGAACTCTTTGTGAGCATTGCTACTATTCAACCATGACAAGCCTCTCAGCCCGAAAATGTCAAAGTGTGGGTTCAAATTGCATTTGTACAGAGTTAAATAACTTATGGACTGTCTGAAAATGTTGTGTTCTCAAAAAATAAACATTTTACGAGTAATCACCTGATCAAAATGTAAACGCCAAAGAAAACAAGAGCAATCTCTACAAAAGCCATTGAGCAGTTTGAAGGAAAAAAAAGAACAGACAGAGTTTTTGGGTGTACAGTTCCACGAACAACTCTGACAATTCAATGCATTAATATCAAGAGAAATTATGAATGATAAGACAATCCTGCGATCATTCCGGTGCGGGGCAAATGATAACAAATGAACCTAGAGAATACGCCTATTGCGAGGAGATCGGTTTGTCGATCGAGAGATAGACGCAAACTGTTTTTGAAAATGGAAATATTGCAACGGAAACAGCGAGAAATGTTCTTCTTCTTCGAAAAGAAATGTAGATGATGACAATCAAGACTATCAGAACTTGCAAGCAAACTATTGCGAAATATGTCAGTTCAAACGAACCAGAATTAAAATCAAAGTATCAATTTGAGCTCGAATGAAACATTTATAAAACTGGCTCTATAAAACCAAACAATTGGCGACGTCCTTATTGGGTACAAGACAAGCATTGCTGGTGTGATATCATCGGATGACGTGATGACGAAAAGACATGGATCGATAGATACGTGCACAACTCTGAAAAATTATAAAATAACGTTTCAAGCTGAAAGTCATCAACATCCCCTTCCCCCGGAGAAATAGGAAATTACGACCATTTTCGTTTTTAATGGTTTTTCCGTAGCAACCCGTTCTGAAAAAGCTGAAAAACCATGTATTCTCGGCAAGTGTTCGAAGTCGGGGATCCCCCTCCCTTAGTTGGAACTCCATTTCTCCCTACTTCTTCTCCGGTAGACAAAAAGTCATAATATTTTCCTGTGGCGAAGAATATAACCCATAAATACACGTAATTGCCGTTGCGAATCTAAAAGGTTTCTCTTTTCTTTTTTCCTTTTTTTTGTGGATACTGATGTGAGGGCTCCAATGATTTGTCGGGAAGCAATTGCATCAATACATCCTGCTATTATCCCCTTTCTTTCTTTTCCACTTTCTTCATATTTTTGTCTATTTATGGTCTTGCATAAACTACTTGTGCTTTTGCTTTTACTTCTTCTTTTTCTTCTTCACATCCAAAATTCAAACCATCAAAAGTTCGGCTCGATTCTCGAATCTGAATCACACACACTCGCACTTGACAGATGAGCTTTTTGCTGCGGAGCCGTGTGGTTAAGTGAAAAATGGGGCATTATTCTCGAGAGCATCATTGAATTCGAATGAGATTTCACCTAGGGAGACACAGCGTCTCAAGCACTTTTCATGGCTAATGGCCTTCGGCTCGGTGTGAATCGTCTCATACTTGCTCGCTGGCCATTCTTCGAGCCGAAACACCTTTCCCACCTCCGCATTTTTGTGGAAAGTGCGCGAGCCGCGTAGTCTCTCCCAATCTGAATTACTGAATTACAAACGAGAAGCCCAAAAACGAGACGGATTGTGTTACAAATGGAGAGAAAAGAAAATAAGAGAAGTGTGTTAAGCATTATTCTTTACTGAATCATTCATCATTCTGGTTTCCGTTGTTACCCATTCCGCCCGTTGGTTTCTCCCCTCCTACTGTTAGAAAATTGTCTTCCGGTAGTGCGAATCTATTGCGCCCACCTCTCCTTTTCCCAGCGCCCTCTCTCCCTCTCTTGCCCTTCTGGTGCCTTTCTCTATTTTGGGATATATATATTCTAGATAAATTTTTTGAAATGAAAGCAACCTCGCTTTCTCTTTCCCTTTCTCAATCTATTCCCGTCTCCTCAAAAGCGGCTTGGAAGACAAAAATGCGAAATGAGCTGTCATTACCAGTGTTCACCCTTTCTTCCGCACTCGCGCACGGCTCCTCCATATTATTTTTATTCATTTCGCAATCAATGCTCCAATTCCGACGGCTCGCTATAGTCATAACCGAGTGACATTCAACTGTGGGACTCTGCCTCTCGGCTCTCCTCCAATAATTCGCATAAATAATACCAAACCAATTTTTCAAACCGTGGGAAACGTGGCCCCCACTGATTCTCACCAGTCTCTCACTTTCTTTATCTTTCTCCCCCCGAATCGAGTACACTTCAGGGTTAGCTTGCCGCTCGGCTTGGACGAAGGAGGTATGTCGTACCTTCTCGATCTGATCAGTTCCTATCGGAACAATAGGAAAATTCTGCTTCTCATCGTCTATATCGCTTTATTCCTTGATAACATGCTACTCACGACAGTCGGTAAGTTACAACTGAACATTCTGATATTCTTTCGGTCATTTCCAGTACCTATCATCCCTGAATATCTTTTACGTATGGAACATCCTAATGAGACCGATATGCTATTCAACGAGAATAATCAAAGACGTGTTAAGCGGCAGGTCTGATTAGGTAACGAGTCTGAATGTCATGCATGCTTGTGTTCCAGTGGGAGGACGACGACAGTTGGGATGTCCCTCTAAAACTCGGAAGTGACGCAGACATTGACTGGGAGGAAAACCCCATCGGTCCGATTGGTCGCGCCGAAAACCGGAGAAAAGAGTCTCGTAGAAAAAGTCAGAAGAATAGAAACCAAGACTACGATGACCGGTATTTTGCATCCCCTTTCTTTTATTGCGGTTTCATTGTAACTTGTAGGAAGAAATACATGTCGCCAGCAGCCCAGAAGCCTCCGAACAAAAACCGTGAGGAACCACCGCCGAGACCGCGTTTAGATGAGGCCGAAAGGCACAAGCTACTAGCCTCGGAAAACGTGCATGTTGGACTGATGTTTGGCTCAAAGGCTTTAGTTCAGCTCCTGGTTAATCCATGGATAGGACCGCTCACCAACAAGTACGGGAGATCTTCAATGTTGTTGAATAAAAAATATTTTCAGAATTGGATATACCCTTCCCATGTTTGGAGGTTTCGTCATTATGTTCTCTTCTACCATTCTTTTTGCTTTCGGAGACTCATACTTTTCCCTCTGGCTTGCTAGAGCTCTCCAAGGCGTCGGTTCAGCTTGCACAAGTACTTCCGGTTAGTTAAACGAACTGAAACTGGTCTGAAAACGAAGTTAAAGTTAGCAAAAGAGATTCGATCAGGATGAGATTCGAACTCACGCGGGGAAACCCCAATGGATTAGCAGTCCATCGCCTTAACCACTCGGCCACCTGATCACATTTTAACATGGGGCGGCGGGCAGTTGTTATACTCCGTTTTGCGGGCACTCTCTCGCCTAACTGGTCATCGGGCCGCCGCTCGTCTCGCGCTCGCTTTTGAGGGGAGGCCACACATTCATACTTCGACGAGAACATGAGCAGAAACGGCATAGCAAGGCAAAAAATTGTTTTCAGGAATGGGAATGTTGGCTCAAGCATATCCGGATGATTTGGAAAGAGGAAGTGCAATGGGAATTGCGTTGGGAGGACTTGCTCTTGGAGTGCTGGTTGGGCCTCCGTACGGAGGACTTCTGTATCAATGGAGTGGAAAGGAACTTCCATTTGTTCTCTTAGCCCTTCTAGCTCTGTTTGACGGAAGTGAGCACAACACAAGGGAAAATAAGAATAATGACAATTGCAGCCCTTCAATTCATGGTTCTTCAACCGAAAGTTGATCGTGGTGAGCCGGAAGGCTCCACTATCAAACAACTTGCGAAAGATCCTTACATTATTGTTGCTGCTGGTGAGTGAAAAAGAGACGGCTGTGCCAGCGGCAGTTTTTATTTGATAAGGAATATTAAAGTGATTGACACTCTCAGGAGCGATTACTATTGGAAACCTGGGAATTGCCATGTTGGAACCGTCTCTGCCCCTCTGGATGATGGAATCATGGGGTGCCAACTCTTTGGAACGCGGTGCCGCCTTCCTTCCTGCTTCCATTTCCTACCTCATCGGAACCAACATTTTCGGACCCCTTGCCCACCGTATCGGAAGGTTGGACAACTAAAAAGATTTGCATTTGCTTAGATCTTGGCGATAATTTTTAGATGGCTCTCCTCGTTCATCGGCCTCGTCGTCATCGGATTCAGTCTCCTCTCGATTCCATCGGCTACTTCTGTAACTGGACTCATCATCCCTCACGGTCTTCTCGGATTTAGTATCGGTTTGATATCAAAGGTTGAGGACTACTTTTACGGCATTAGATTTATCTAGGTATGATTGATGCGTCGATGTTCCCGCTCATGGGTTATCTTGTTGATATCCGTCACGTTGGCGTCTACGGATCCATCTATGCGATTGCCGATGCCGCCTTTTGCTTTGCATTCGCCCTTGGACCGTTCTTTTCCGGACCGCTTGTCAAGAGTCTCGGATTTCCAACGTACGAAGAGAACGGGATACTGACTCTGAACACTTTTTTTCCAGAATGATGTACATCATCGCTATCATCAGCTTCTTGTACGCTCCACTCATGTTCCTGCTCAAGAACCCACCAGTTCTAATAGACCAGACTGCTCAGAGTCAGCCAATCGAGTTGCGGACAAATGGCGAATCGAGAGTGACAAATGAGAACTACGAGAGAATCGAAGGCATGAACATTGCCGGACAGATCCAGCAGAACAACATGTACTCGGCAACCAATGCCTTCTAAAATGATCCCCATTTTGAATAATCACAAAAAACTTCAATCGTAACAATTGTAATGTATTCCCCTCTATTCTTCATCTTTTTCTTCTTCCCGACAAGAGCAAAGCATTGAAAAGTCCGTAGTGTTCATGCTGTGTAGTCACTTTTATAATTCTGTTTAAAAACTTTTTCCGTTTGCTAAATCTATATTTTTCACCATTTCCGACAAGCATTCGTATTTTCGAGTAGTTTCAATAAAATTTTATTTGGAGAACGCTCATTTTCTCGAGCCTGTATGAGATGAGCAAACGCGATAAAACTGTTTTGAATAACCGCATCTGCATCGCTCCTGATCGACAAGCAAGTGCCCACTAAACAGTGTGCTCCAAAAAAGGCACCTAAATAAATATTACGCAGATGGTAGAAGGTGAAGGAGGGGACAAGAAGAAGAAGAAGAAGGAGAAGAAGAAGAAGAAGACAAGAATAGCATGTTTGAGGTCACTCGATTATCGAAAGTGGGTATCGGAATGGGGTAAGTGCTACCTCCTCACAGTTGGCCGCACATTCAATCGAATTGTGACACCTGGAACGAACAAATCTGTCATCTTTACCATTTGAGGCGTTCTAAGCATTCATTCTGCTAGATATGCGTCATCTCAACCAATTTCCTTCGCTTCTCATCTTTTTCCGCTTGAGAAATAACATTGATACTTTCTCACAGTGCCTAAGCCTTTCTAAATGTTATTTCAAATTCTCACGAGACATTTGAATGACCTATTCTGTCTGAATCTTGTGAAACTCTTCACAAATCATATATAGAAATTTATAAGAAATTTGAAGTGGTCAGGGAAGAACGGAAGGAAGGTAGACAACACCATAGACACTTGAGTCATTGCTGATCTCTTACAAATTGGGTGAAGAACTGTCGTATTGTTGTTTTTCCAGAAACGCGCCGTAAAACAGGCAAGCCAGCCGCCGTCCGGCCGTATCTGTCCGTCTGCCCGTCACTTCTTCTTCCTTTTTCGATGAATCGTCGTCGTCTTCCAGTGAGAGAAGCCAGCTTGCAGCTTTGATTTTATCTCGGTCGGGTTCTTCGCTCTTCTTTCCTCCCTTCTTCTACATCGTTACCGACAAAGCGACGTCATACGGTTTCTGTGTAGTTTTTTTGCGCTTAGCCCATCGTCCTATTCCCCCGCAGTCACATAATCGAATTATATGAGTTTCACTTGGTTTTATTTCGGGAATCCAACACAAAGTCAGATGCTGGACTGAGATAAAGCCCACCATTCTCATTCTCAAAAATGTATCAAGTTTCGGATGTCGCTTCTCCTTATTTCTCCTTCTCGTTTCTGGTGACCAACGTCCCGTATCCTTCTCCTTTTCGCAGCCATTTTAAAACAGTTTCTTTTGAAAATCAACAGGCATTGAAAAGACGATCGGTCGGCAACGAAGAGTGAAATGACGGATGAGGATAGTGAGCGGAGGGAGGAAAATGGAAAGAGGCGAACGAATATACATAAAGAACCATTTTCGCCAATTTTCCGCTCGCTTTGATCCTTTTCGGCCCCCTCTAGCACTGATTGATATGTATGTTCAGTTCACAGTGTTTTGTCGCAGAGAAGACGCCGCCGCCGCCGCCGCTCCGCTCAATACCGCTGGCTTTCCGTCTTACTTTCAAAACCAACGAGAATTGCAAGCGAAGACTCGTTTTCATTTCGTTCCCAAACACACACACATTTAATTACGAATCAAAATCCACATCTTCTATGCGAAATGTAATCATTCTCGCTTGCTTTTCGTTTTGATTTATCCTTCGCGGCATCCGCTCCTTTTCTGTCATCACGCGCCAAGGACAATGGAGATGAGTCACTAAGTGACTAAATATCCGACAAAGTCAGTTAATAGGTCACCGCAGCTTGTACACTACCATCACTCTGGCTGGTTTCTTTCTTGTCCTTGAGTCATTCTGGATTATCAGGCGCCCGCATCGCAGATCTTCACGCACATGTGTCATTTGTCTTCGTGGACAAAGTATGGCCCCCTCTCCTAAGTTATTATTAGTCAACACTCAGCCTCGCAGTCATATCAAATCCGAATATCGTCTCAACGGCGGCATTCCTCTTTTTTTCTTTTCTCGCCTACGATCCCATTACCTAGTGTCGAAATCTACTCATCACTCCGACGTCCTTTTTGGAATTCCGCACCGTTTTTTGGGGCGTCTCAAGGTTAGCCGCCCTTCTCTTGCTGCGCCAATCCAAGAAAAATGTTTGCCAGAAGTTTTCTTCATCTCCATCCATTTCTCTTCCTTTTCACACCAAATCAACTTAACAAATCGCTAGCTGACATCGGCCTTCACGCAGTTCATTCCATTCGCCCACCAACTGTTTCTACTCCGCCCTTTCTTAGATTTCAAATTACCAAAAAGCAATGTTCTCGATGGTCCGAACGCATAAACAACCGCCAACAATGGTGTTCGTGGCGGCGTCAAGTGCTTGTTTAAGGCTGTCAAACACGTATGCCAAGAACAATGGCTTTCGTTCAATTTGAATAGGTACCCGTCGGGTGGTAGGTAGTCGGAGGAGGGGGGTCCCCGAGGTATTGGCACAGTATGTCCAGATTGTTTGCGTTTCCGCAAAGCCTAACGACTTCAAGCTTCTTCTCATTCTGTGTACTGTCTTCTGTTTCACTTCGCATCGACCACAAACACAACCAGCTACTTGTTCGATAATTGGAACACGGTTTCCAATTAACTTGGCCAGCTTAGCCTCGGAACGGCTGGCTGAAACCTGACACCGTCCCTCCCTAATCAACGCCATCGTTTTTATAGTTCGGTTAACGACGGTCTTAGGGACGCAGTAAGCGAGTCAGACATCAGCTGCATCATAGTCAGTCAAATGACCAGATTTGCATGTTCCGATTGACGACCGACAGTTGCTAGAATGCGTTGCATTTATTCGCTTTCTACCGATTTTATTGGCTTGATTGTCCAGTCAAATGCCTTTTTTGACCCAATCGCGCACTAACCCGCATTCCCGACCCCCTTATCTGTCGTTTTTCGCTCTTCATAACTCAGTCTGATTGGACCCGCGCGGCGTCAAACCGATAAAGAATCGCTCCATATTGACCGACACTTCATATATTGCCAAAACATATGCAGTACACTTGACTAAGACCTTCCAGTCGAGTACCATTCATCCGGAATGCGCGACTCTTGTTCTCTGTAGTAAACTCTTACGTGGTAGAGGGTAAAAGTGTCTCCAAATCCTGACATAATTAATTTGTTCAAACTCGACCCTCTTCAACCGCAAATGTTGAGGGAAAAGCACATCTCTTCACGCACTAATTGAAGACCTCCAGGCAATAAATGTTGTATGTCCTGTGCTCTACGGTGCCCAACACAAATGTGCACCACTTCCGCTCAGGTAGCTTCTAATTAGGGGTCTCGGCTTCCCATATGAACCTTCAAAAGCTTTCACCTTTTGATGACACCACCAGCGTATTTGTGTAGCCAGACCTGGCTGCTGTTTGCACACACCTTCTCTGATGATGTTCCATTAGAAAAAGTGGTTGACGGTTTGTTACACAACACCTAGCAGGTGCCATCAAGAAGCTTGGTAAGAGGGTACTCGTACCGTATTGTCAGCGTTCATGGTGAATAAAAAGGAGGCACGCACAAACAGGCAGAACGGACAGGAAGAGGTTGTGACCTTCTGCGCGTGCTCACAATGAGGTGACTTATGCAAATTAGCTAAATTTCATCGTCTCAAGGGCCAGCGGGAAGTTCCGGCAGTGATTGGTCCCTCCATTCGGGCATATGTCCTAAACAGAACAGCAACATGTTGAAAACAAGTTGTAAGTTGGAATTTGGCAATTCATATTTGCCTAGCGGGGTAGGAGGCCATATTTTTTGCACCTGATCAGCATCCGTTCCCCTCACAACTTGTCCCCTCGCGTCCTGTTACTCATTATTTACATGATAGTTTTATTAGAACTCATCAGCGGGTCAATCCGCTTTACCGCGCCGCAATGCGAAGCCGTCACCGCCCGCCTTTTTACGGCCCGCGGCCACATGGCACCCTCCCCATAAACAGGAGTATCAAGTTCCAAGAAGACTGAGTCCATCGCCGCATTGTCAGCTGGTACCATCTCTCCCCAGAGCCCGCCTAATCCTCTTGTTCTTCACACAACACAGTCCGCGAGTTCCTTGAGGTCCCCCGCGTGTCAACAAAACACTGTGGAACCATATGCACCCGTCCGTCCGCCTTCGCACTGTCCGCCCCGCCCTTTGGGTCGTTTGACTCACTTCGCGTACATCTGTGTTAGCATCTGTCTTCTTCTGCATTATGATTATTATTGCATCGTTCATTAACATTGACTCACGGAGTCGGAATACCGTTTATCTCTAGGGACTGTCAGTCTTTTGTTTTTGCTCGCCTTAATATAATCTAATTTCTGTCAGGGTAGTCATTTACCTACTGTCTTGTTCTCCCGCCCACGCACGCACATCTGTTACTTCTATTCGCCAACTTGGTCCTTTCTTTGTTCGCTCTTCTCACGCTTCCTAAATTCCCGAATTCCCCACTTTCTAATCCTTCAATCCTTGTCATTTTTCACTTCTCCAAATCTTGAGTTTCATTTTTAATCGGATTAAGATTAAGCTCAACGCTTTTCATTGACCATCTTTGCGCGAGATGCCAGTTATCCGATGATTGATCAATCCATTCTCGTCGGTCCGAATGTAATTGTTGTGCAATCTGCCGTTGTAAATATTGTCCGTCCGCCGCCCATCTCTTAAGCTTCAAGTCTTCTCACACGACTGTCATCTTGTGGTGGTGGGTCCCCCTCTCCACTCGAGATAGACATCTCGACGGGGATTTGGTGATGAATTGAATGCTCCGCCCTTATTCTCTATCTCCCGTCCCCTTCATCAAAAATTATGCATTCAATTGTGCGATGCTTCACAAAGTCTTTCTTCGCTTTGACTTTTGTCGCATTGATTGCCATAGACAAAAAGTAATGACTGTTTCGTCAACCAATCATCCTGCGTTAAGTCGGATTGGCTAGTTTTAGACGATTTGCAACTTGACGAAAAAACGTTGCTGAATAGAAAATTGTTTTGGGCTGCGCAAAAGGTGACAGCTGGCCCATCCAGTGCCAACTTCAGCGCTGGTCTTCGAGTCGAAAGTTTCGAAAGCTGTGTAGACATTCTACTCATTTTTCCTCCCCTGCCCTTCTTGTTGCACGCCTTCAGTTTTCTTCTCTTATCCTCTCGAACCATCTCATTTTCACCTATTGCGCATCTCTCGACACATTTTATTTTCTAATTTTCCATTTTTAGAACCGTCCAATGATATCGCAGGTGGTTTGGACGGCGCTGCTGTTCTCAGCGATCGGCAGTGCTTTCTCCTATGACATCAACTCTTATAATTCCGACCTCGGCGTCTACGTGGGCGACCTTTCCAGTACGGAATCGGATATTGCCGGCCAAGTCTTCATAGTCAACGCCACCACCCTTCAAATCTTCAATCTCACGTTCACTCCAGTCCAGCAAGACCTCTACTTCTGGCTAGATGTAAAGGAAAGCCCGACTAAGGACGGAATCAAAGCCGAGACTCATGAGTACGGAATCACTCCACTCGGACCCTTCCCTGCCGATCAGGACAGAGTTGTGGTGCATGTTCCTGAGAAGCACAGACTCGAAGAGTTCAAGTCGTTCTCAATCTACTCCTTCAAAACTGATGTATGACATAAAAAATGGGTACACGTAGGAATAATTGTAATTTTTTAGAAAAGTTTTGGATCTTTGATCTTCCCGGAAAACTTGAAGATTCCCAAATCGGTCGCTCTTGCCGCTGAATTTTCTGGAAAAAGATACAAGCTGAGATCGGGTCCACTGTATGTCATCGACAGAAGAACCATCAAGGTGTACGGATTCACATTTGAAGGCAACAAGGCTCCAAGTACGTCCGCATTTCCCACTTTTCCTCTAACGTTTTCCATTCAGAAACGTATTTCTATGCCGGTCGCGGATCGAGCGTTTCCTACTCTTCTGGCGTGAAAATTGCGATTCGCGGAAAAGACGTGAAGGAGTGAGTTTGTTCTTTGACAAACATTTGTTACATGACCGCCAGGAGAGCCAGGACTGACCTCGTACCTGATCACACTGTCTCTCTCGCACCCATTAACATTAGACGCAGACATTTAGTCAGTTTTTGCCGCTCTCAGCAGTCTCCTCTTTAATTCCGCTCTTTCTACCCAACAGATGATAAAAAGTCGTGCGACCAGCGGCTTCCTATCACCCGACCCAAATATTAGATAGATAAATGTTCTTTCTTATTCGCTAGTTGTCATGATTATTCCATTCGGCAGGCATAAAATAAGAATAAGGGAGAAAACATTGGCTCAATTGGCTACTATTTACTTTCTAGGGTTTGCGTGAGTGTGACCGACCAGGTTTCTCTGCGTAAATAGTAAGTTTTTCTTTCAGAATTAGTGAAATCAGCGAAAACTACCGCGGCGGAAAGGATATCATTCTTGAACTGCCGGAGAATTATGACATCTTCCACATTGACTGGATCTCCGTCTATTGCTACAAATACCGGGTCAACTTCGGAGCGGTTCTCGTTCCGACCGATGACACACTTGCCAACCTGCCTCCATACGTGCCGACAATCGCAAGGGTAAGTCACCAAACGATTACAAGAATCACTTTAAGGTTTATGGACAGGTCACTTATGACGTTTTACAGAATTCTGAGGAGAAACCAGCGGCACGAGGAGTGTTGAAGGGATCCGTTGAGAGAAGAAACTTCACTTTCCAGCTGGGAGATACGGAAAACTGCAAAAACCTCTACGTACGTCTTGTACCACTGATTTCCAGTTGGAAAATTTAGTTTTTAGGGATTCCCAGCACTCCGTTCTCCAAAATACGTCTGGCATGTGAACAGTTTGATGACCCCCGACCTATATTTGATGAGAAATGTGACTTACACTTTCAAGTAAGTGCATTATTCAGTGATGTCTGAAGTATGCATTGTCTATTTCAGTGTGGAAGGTGGCCGCGAAAAGATGATTCCGGAGTTCTACAATCCTCTGTACATTGGAGACGATGAGAACGGTGGATACAACGAGTTGTCTGAAAATGAGGCCGAAAGAGTGACCATCTACTCGCAGGGACCTGTTGAAAGCAATGTCGGACCCCTTTGCCTCTGGATGCACAACAAAGGTAAGGGAGAATTAAAAAGTAATTAAATCATTCTTTGTTTAGAAAAGTCTGCAAACACGCCGGACATGTACTTGGACTGTGATGGTTGGCCGGAGGACGTTCACTCATTCGCGTTCACTCCAAACGAGACCACGCCATCTGTTCTTTATTATAATGTGCGTCATAATATCGGATAGCAGGGTCAAACAGAATTTGTATTTTTAGAGCGGAAATAACTTCAACATGGGCGGCAGAATCTTCATTGTCGATGAGCTCCCGGAAGACGTCGCTGACAACGTGGAGGCCCCGTACAGCCGTGAAAAGTGGCACACGTTGGCCATGAGCCGCCAGAGAGCCGACAAAGTCAACGGCGGAAAGGCGACTCTTGCCGCCATCTTCCTCATGATCGTCACAATCATTCTTATCTAAAATGTGTTCCCAATACCTGTATCGTCATTTGTCTTTTCAGATAGATCTCTCATCCTCATTTTTCAAATTTCACCCTCGAATTGTAAACTTTTGTTTCGGGACATTTCATTGCTTTTGTTCTGTTTTCACCGTTGGGCTTCTGCCATACCCCCAACTTGCTCCGTAGGTATCTTTTCGCTGCTTCCAATAACCTTATTAACTTATGACACCTTCTATCCCCAACTTTTATCCAGATGTGTCGTGTCATTTCTGGGTTGTATTCAATTAGTATTTCTTTCCAAATGACGCAATTCAATTTATTACACGTTCAATAAAATGAACAATACGTGTCAGCAAAGTGAAAAATACTGATAATCAAGAGGTGAAATCGTGAAAAAATACTATTTACAAAGGGAAGGAGGAATACACAAGTTACAAGGCGAATGTCCAAAAATGCACTGAGAAGAGCTTAGACCGGTGTTCCATGCAGAACCTCATCGAGCGCCCTCTTGACGTATTCCGAGACTGAAAGAGATACAATAAAGTTTATTGTTGAATTAGTTCACTTGCTTAGTTTAATTGCCCGCAAGATTTTTTTACCATAAAATGAAATTTGACCTCCGTATCAACATCAGTCGTTTCGAAACCGATTTGCTGTGGGACGCGTCAAATTAGAGCAAATTCTAATATCTTCTCGTTATGTCTCGTGCTAACTCACTCTGATCTTCTTGGAAAACTGAGGCAAATGAGCTCTCCAGCTTGTAGAGGTCCACTCGAAGGCCATCCAGCGAGTTCTAAACGGAATATTCAATCGTGTTTTACAAAAGTTCTCACCTGATAATAAGGCATCGAATTCACGAACTCCACGTCGATGATTTTGTCGAGAAGGGCAGTTGAATAATGGCGCAGGTAGTTTTTCACGAACAAAAGCATCGGTGGCAGACGAGATTCGCCAGATTCGCGCCCAAGTCTTTCCTGAGAAGCACAATTTATGGCTTTAACGGGATGAGAAGGAGTGGAAAGTTATGACTGGGCATACTAACCGAAAAGTTCTTGATGACATAACTGTAGCCTTTGATTTCATGAAGAGTCTTCTGGAAAAGAATCAAAATTCTTTGAATGACGTGATATTTATGGGATTTACTTTGCTCGCCTCCGAAAGAGGCTCCGAAGTCCTCATCATGGTCTCTTGCGAACCAATCGGCTGAAATATTATGTTTTCTTCTATTCATTGATATTGGTGATTTAAAATGTCTTAAATTAGGTTCTACATTAACAGAGATCTGAAGAAAAGTTGTAAAAACTGTCGGTTGAAGGCTTCTGGGCCGAACAGAAGCTGATTGTTGAGAACAAGACGAGGACAAGGAAATGTCCTTGAAATTTATTTTTGTTGTCGCAGAAGCACGAGATCGGTCTCTTTGGTGATTCGGAGAGAATGGTTTTCGGACATTTTTCAACGAAATTTTCGGGAAGGTGTACGGTCGAGCAAATCGAATCTTGTGATCAGTGGGCTTTTGAGCTTCCCAAACCGTTCTGTGGGGGCTAGAATGTGGAGAATGTTGAAAGGGAAGATTGAAAATAAAGTGATGTCATGTACATCTGGTGCATCTGGTGCATAGACTTTGAGGGGACAATACAGAAACAGTTCACATTGAAATTGAGCCCAATTTGGAGTGCAACGGAAGTATTTTACATATTGAAGAAGACACTGCCGAAATCGTTATTTCTGTGAACCACTGATTCCATGGTCAGTTGAACATATTTTTACGGAGATTGACAATACATCTTCCAAAAATCTATAGCAAAAAGGACAAAGTTCTGAATTGCGTGGAATTTGATCTCTGAAACCACGCTCCTTCTCCCCTCACTCCCACCTTCCCGCCGGAGAGTTGGCGGAAAAGTCAATCAAAGAAAACTCACCGTCAAAAGTTCTCGCTTCGAGTAATCTGCAAAGCCAAATTGAAAAGTTGTGGTTTTCATCTACGTCTTGCTGCTGGTGTCCTGATGGAACGACGTCATGGGCGGCGAGGCAAACGAGCAGCAGAAATTTATGTGGAATGCGAGGCTGGAATCGAGGAAAGATGAACCAGGCGGCAATTATCTCGTTTTTTGCCCAGTTTCGAGCCACCTACAAGTAGTTCATACATTTCTAACCAAGCCCGAGAAAAGAAGAGGGTTGCGCGCGGAGATGAGTATCTCAGCAGGGATCAACGAAGAGAAAACCACTCTGTGCAGAGATTTTACCTTTGTTAGAACCGCGGACGCATTCAACGCTATTTGTTTTGGAGAACAAAACCGTGTTTTGCAGTAGAGTCCCAGGAAAGTGGACGGGTATGTACATCTGAAAATTTCAGTGGTTAGTGTTAGTGACCAGGTAATAAGAGGTAAATTTATCATTTTTTTCGTAATATAGAAACTCCGTCACTTTCTGTTTTATTGTAAATTCCAATTCGTAAAGTTTTACGCGACAATATTCATTATCTGTATGAGTTGCCCATTGTGCAAATGCGGTCCACGCCTAGTCTGTTTCACTGATAAAGAACCGAGCGATGACTACAGCAGTTTCGTGGCGGGGGACAGTATTGAAACTTTTTTCTCTACATATAACCGTATATTGTACGTGTTTTTTTTGGAAAGAATTGAAATTTAATTCGTGCTACCGTAATCAGCGTGTTCGTTTTGTCTAGACATTCAATTATGTTCCGTCTGATGAGGAACAAGGACGTTGCCGAATTACTTGATTGTATAATCCGAACAATTACGTATCCAAGGTTGTCTGGAAGCAAAGCCCATGCGCAACTCAATTACGTATGCGTCCAGACACTCACAACGCCTTCCATTTGGCGAGACACCATTTCCGATAGCGCGCAAGTTCTCACACTAATGTGAACTTTCTCTCCATTTCATTCAGCAAAACTCACAAAGCTTTGCGTGTTGCCTTCCCTTCTCCATCTCCCTTCGTTTCTTTGTCCTATATTTGGAGTGCTTTGTTGACCGGCAAACAGTTTTATTCAAACGACCTTGTTGCCTCACCTCCGTTCATCTGCATTGGTCTCTTTAACAAAAAACAACACGCTTGGTGTGGTGTTCCGAGTCCACACGTGGTCACTGTTCACAGTTGATTTCTTCTTCCAGAATCAAACGTTTCCCTTTGAAGACCAAAACGATTCCCCCTAGTAAATTATCTTTCTTCATAGCAAAGAAATCTTGAATGACAGTCGCTCTTCTTCATTACAATGGTACTTCTGTACACGCGCCCTCCCTCCCATGTTGCTTATCTCGGCGTCTTATCTTCCCTTTCCGCTCCGCTTCGTGGCACTACTCATTCAATTTTCCACTCGTAGTTCACCTATTCACCTAATCGGGCAAGCTCAATTCCGCAACGTTATAAATCCAGCGGAGTTCGCAAGTGAGACACAATATCTTCCTGATCCCGAAATGTTGAGAATTCATAACGTTTGCATCATTATAAAAAGAGAAAAGGCCAGATTGGTTGATTAATGGCTGGGCCGTCTCTCATTAGTTTAAAGTCCGCTCCGATTTCCGCAGAGTCCCTCTCTTCTTTTCTCATTGAGCCAATGACTAAAAACTGGCCGCGAGGAGAGCGAGTCCCTACCCTCTCTCAGAATGTGGTCTCCCTTTTGCCACAGGGTGTCCGATGAGACCATCGTTTGGTCAGCGTACGTCAACTGTCTGCTTATCTACTTCTCTCCTAGGTTCTCTATCTCCGTGGGTGGCCTAATTAGCACCTATAATCCGGAAAAGAGAAGAGAGAAGAGGAAGGAGAGGTCACAGAAAGGTGAGATAAATTGATGATCGCACTCGCAGGGAAATTGATAAAGTAGCTAAACTGAAAATTCGAAACCGTGCTCGAGGATATGACAGCTGTATTTGACTGATCCACAGGACGGGGCAAAAGGCTCGGTCAGGATTTTCTAAGACCTGCCGAGGCCTGGTCTTTTGACCCTCTTGCATTGGGCCGATTGGATCCAAGCTTCGCAGACTTAGATAGGATTAATGTAAATTGATGTAAATTGAAGTGCAGGTCTCGGCAGATTTTAAAAAAAAATGGGCTTTTTGCCCAGCCCTTTTGTAGTGTGAGAATACGTCGTAACTTTACGTTCATTCGTAAACGACACGATAAATCAACGCGAGAAGTGATAAGATGTCATTTTATGGCAAACGTAATAAGAGTTTGATGTTCAGATCATATCAGTCACCTGTATGCGTTGGCTATAAACATTTTAGATGTAAACAAATACTGAGCATCTGTTTACAAAGACCTGACAGTGGCATTAAATCTCAATCTGTTTATTCTGACGGGCAATCAGTATTGTTTGAAATTTCCGACAGTCTCCGGCCCTGTTGGTGCGTGGTTTCCCTACATTTACTCACAACAGGCAGAGACCTCAATATGTTGGTGGCGTAACTTTTGATCACCATCCGCCGCTCTCTCACTGCCCCCCTCTTTCTCGTACTCCGTAATACTGAAGGCCGATCATTCCGCACTTTTTTTTTTCGGGCCCGCTGCGACCATTGCCTAGTAGTACCCGTCAGGTGCTTTCCGCCGACGGCCCTGCTCGTGTTCGTTACCCCACATTAGCCCGCAACGAGAGAAAAGCAGAGCACATTGGTTACGTTGCTCTCCCGAAAAATACGCATGAGGGCACGAGTACGGGCTAAAGCGGCTACAATAAGATGGCGATCAACTTTCGACTTTTTGACATGACGATAATTCCTTCATTTTTTTGTAGCTGATAAGAGTATCAACATTCAGATGAAGCACATTTTTCTGTGATTTCGATAGCTCCGCATTCATTCCTGCTTTTGGATTCTCAGTCATCAATCGATGTCTCCTCGGATAGAATCCAAAACGTGGGTCCAGATGATATATGCCTTCTCGACTTTGAAATTGTTGAAAAAATTGAACGTGCTCTCCTAGACGAATCACAATTCTCCAGTAGTATTCCTCGCGCGCATCCACCAACCCGCCTTACCGCCAAAGGCCCTGCCCGTGTGCGCTAACCCTACATTCGCCCACAGCAAAGAGAAGGCACGCCGTGCTGGTGGTGTCGCCCTCCATTATTAGCTGCCAGACACGCTCGCTCTACTATCGATATACTATTTCTCGCACACCATAACGATCGATATCGACTGGGCCGCTGCGACCATCCCCCACTCCACCAACCGCCGCGCCACGGCGCTCCGAGCATTCGCGCCCACTCCATCCACACGACGGCCATTGCTCCTCTCCTCCTGACTGTATCTGTCTCTACTCACTCGTTGTAGGCACCAAATGGGAGACCTTCATCTTCCCTGCTCCATGGCGCATCGATAAGAAGGCCAAGGGGGCTTTATCGGCGCTCTTTGCGCAAGCCGCCGACTCTCAACAGAATAACTTTTTCAATTTGCGTCTTTTGTCCACACCCCCATCCATCTGAATAGGTTTTTTTATAGGAACTTAGTGCATTGAAATGTTCAACGTAATGTTACTAAGGATTTAATGATAGTGTCCACAGTGAGCTGGCCATCCACTCCTCATTTGTTCATTAGCTCGTTCACGCGTCTATTGCATGGTAGTACCCCTCACGCGCATTCTCGCCGGAGACCCTGCCGTTGCTCGTTAACCCTACATTCGCCCGCCAAGAGACGAAGGCCCGCATCTTGGTGGCTCTCTATTACCACCTTTTAGAGGATTCAAGGATGGTATTCACCGTTAACTGCGCATCCGAATACAATTTTTTTCAGTTTTGCCTCCATCTTTCGTTTATTGTAGAAAGGTAGCGTAGAAACATTCTAATGAAGCTCTCAGTGAATGCTATTAGTGAGGAGTTCTGCGCTCTCATGTGATACTCGCCCAAACTAATCAGAACTTTCTAGTAGTACACAAGCCCGTCGACGGCCCTACTCGTGTTCGCATGTAACGAGGAGAGGGCGCATCATGTTGGTGGCATCACTCTCACCTGCCAGACAAACCCTCTCTGCCATCGACACACTCTTTCTCGCACACCATAACGATTAACTTCCCTCCGACCGACTGACCGACCGACCGACCGACCTTTCTAAACGTTCTCGCTCCGGCCCGTTTCCACCATTCTCCACTGACCGCCACGCCACACCCTTTCTTTCTGCTAACATTCGTACCAACCCCATTTACACGTGGGCGGTCGCTCTTTGCCGCCCGACTGTATCTGTCCCTACTCACACGTTCAAAGTTTTTTCTGTTTTTCTTAAAGGAACTTAGAACAGGCTAAAGTCCAGAATAATATTCCTCAGGCATCGACGAGGGCGTCACCATACGCTTTTGAAGGCAACGCATACAAATACAAATAGTGTTTGATTTGTCTTGTGTAGAATTTGTGTGGACTTTCAGAAGAATGATACAGTATACCTTTATTGCTCTCACGATATAAAAGAGTGTAATAGTAGTCCCCACACACTTTTGCGAGCGGCCGGTATCAGTACGAATGTTGAGAGCTGATATCTAATTCCGTGACTGATAGCATTAGCGGGCCAATCGCGATATTGCAAATCTCTATAATCCCTAATAAGAGCAAATTCTATTCACCAATCCGCGAAGCTTTTGTCGCCAGTCCGGAAGCCAATGTCTGCGGTCTCTTCTTGTTGACCATTCTCTTTCTGCCCTCTCTCCCCCCTCTCGGCTACGCGAGGCTTCGGCCCACCCGTGAGGTTGTGTGTCCGCACGTCCGTTGGTCATCGCACGACCTCTCGGGCAGCCGCCCAACGCGTGTATCTGTGCTTCTCTCTCATACACACTATCTGTAGGTTGCAAACGTTGAGCGGGGTCGAAGGGCTGCACCACAGACACGGTGCAAAACTGCGAGAGAAAAAGAAAGAGACAGAAAGAGGAGGAGTGAGGGCATTATGCAGGGAGAAGTGTGGGTCCTCTCGCACTCTCCGGCCGGCGTCCGCAAACCATCGCATTCTCCCTCACGCGGGCAGCGTTTTCCCTCACTCCCGACAGCCTACTATACAGTGGGCGGTCGCTTAGTGATTACCCGTCTCGTCTTGCTATCGTGTCCTTCCTTTGATAACTTTCTACTTTTCAAATACAGTAACTTTTTACAGTCGAATAATGAGCAAATCGAACAAGAAGGAAACTCGGAAGAGCGTCCGAATCCGAGCTCAACAACGCACACAGCTCAAGCCCCGAGGACAGTACGAGCTGCGCAGACGGCAAGAGCTCCGGGGACAGAAAGAGCGCCGCCGACAGGAAGAGTTTCCCGCACAGAAAGTTTCTCCCGGACCACAACAACTCCGCGGTCAGCAAGATCCTTCCGGACATCAAGATCTTCCCGGACAGCATAGTCTCCGTGAACAGCAGGATGCTCCCCGAGAACACGATCTTCGAAGCCGCAGAATGCCGCTCAACGTGATCCACAAAAACTCCAAAGTACGCGTTTTCGTTTTGTAGAGTACTTAATGTACAAATTCTACTACAAACCCAGATCAACTTTTGATGGCCTATTATGAATGGCAGTTAATCATTTCTTTATCAATTTTCCCAGTACTCTAATAATTACAAATATGCTCATAATATTAGTTCAACCTATTTCCTATGCTTTCCATGCTTCCGTTCATTCTCTAATCTCATCGTCTTCTCATTTTTCGGCGCTCCTTAGGGGGGACAATTGACCGGACCGGGTCTTTCGAGGACCTGCCTAGCCATGGACTCTAAGACGACTTGCAATAATCCGATCGGATGCAACTCTGCAAGCTTGGATTGAAGTATTTAGTGTGAAGTTTCAGACCGATCTGATCAGTTAGTCTCGGAACATATTGATTTAGGTCTAAAAGCCTCGTCTATGTGAAAAGTCCAGACTTTTCGGCCCTAAATATCCCTAGAGTGCGTAAGGTAATTGGATTGGTCTATAACTTGAAACTGAGATATTTCAATCCATGCAATGTTTCGGACTGGTCGGAATATTGCAAGTGGCAGACCTTTGCTCTGCTCAGCCCGGAGTTTACCTGCTCCAAGTCATTGATCTCTTCCTCTAACTTAAAATTGTTATTAGTCAAGCCTGTTATTATAGTATTCATCTCATTCGACTGTTTTTCCATACCCGCTAGCTCTGGGAGCAGAGTTCAACCGAGTTCCGCATTTTGCCTTCCGCCTTCCGTCCTTTTTCGTTCCGTCGTTCCGTCGTTTCTTCTTCCTCTTTTCGCCTCCCGTCACTTCCTGGGGATTCAGAATTTCGAGTACATTTTTTCGTTATGATCATTTGAAGAAAGGTGCAGAACAGATGCCAGAGAAAGAAATAGTGAGAAACTCTAAAAAACAATTGAATTTTTATTGCGGTGTGGTGTTCCCAGACTCATGTTGTTAAAGGACCAGGGAACCCAAAAATTTTTTTATGTTTTTGTGAAATGTTTTTGTGACTGTTTGAATTGTCTCTTATTGCCTCATACACTGGTGAAATGCTGCCGCTCAAAAACGCCAATGAACGAAACGGCATGCAGTTGAAGTTGTGGCCGTGGCCTAGCGCCAATGGCCGAAAAATATAAAAAAATAAATGCGCTTCTCGGCCATTTTATTTTTTCCGCTTTTTTACCGGTTTTTTTCCAAAAATTCACGGTTTCTCCCATTTTGGCACTTCATATCGACTGAATGAAAACAATTTTTTAGCAGTGAAAAAATAAGTAAGTGCCGAACAAATGTCAATCAACTGAAAAATGGGAGAAACCGTGAATTTTTGGAAAAAAACCGTTAAAAAAGCGGAAAAAATAAAATGGCCGAGAAGCCCATTTATTTTTATATATTTTTCGGCCATTGGCGCTAGGCCACGGCCACAACTTCAACTGCATGCCGTTTCGTTCATTGGCATTTTTGAGAGGCAGCATTTCACCAGTGTATGAGGCAATAAGAGATAATTCAAACAGTCACAAAAACATTTCACAAAAACATAAAAAAATTTTTGGGTTCCCTGGTCCTTTAACCGTATCCTCCAAGCTTCGCCCATTTGCCTCTCGAATTTGACGATTTTGCTGAAAACATGATATTAGAAAATCAAATAATTTTGAACGTACCCTAGCGTAAAGACCATGTTGGGGACCAAACGTTTCGTTAATTGTTTTATTGGCACCACTCTTCTGGCCGTTGCACTCTCAGTCCTCTCGCTCGTCGTCCAATGCCGCATTTTTCGGACGCGCTGCTATCTCGATTCTTTTCCTCTTGCTAGGTTCCTGACATTCGAATTTATCTGAAAAAGGAACTTGGAACAGCCGAATGTCTAGTTTAATGTTAATGATATCCAATAGTGCCGTGTTAAGCTGCCCACTCAAATCTGATCATTTTTCCTGTTCTTCCGTGTTTCGGGCGGATTTTTGAACGGTTTTTGACGTGGAGGACTGAAAAAGTTTGTTTTCGAGAGAGAGAACATAACTGTTTTGGATTTTGTGAAGCGCATGGCTGGAATCGAGCAAAACGAATGGCATAAAGTTAATCACAAAGTAGTTTGTCTGCAGAATAAGTACTTATCTTAGGGGTCTTTTTTTTTGTCTTTCGGAAACAGTAAACTCACGTAAGATGCGTCGAATGTTGCCCTGAACTCGGTCCGATTGCCCAATCATCCATCTCAACGCTCAAGTGTTGCAGAAATAAAAACTCCTTCGTTTTGGCGGTACCTCTCACACATTCATTTCAATATTCGAAAAGAACAAAAACGATGTGGATCGTAATATGTCCGCTTTCCATCCTCGGTTTTTTCTGAGAACGCTTGGCACCAGATGGCTGAAATTTCGTAGAGCTAATATAATTCACAATCAGTATCCACACTCACTTTTTTGTAACGAATTCGCTTTCTGTGTTAACATACGGGTCTGCTTTCCTATCACTCTTGCCATATTTGCATCCAGTAGTATAGTTTAAAACTTGACGGTATTTCAACCGAAAATTCATTCAGATTTGAATTCTTCTCGAAGAAGTTTGTGCAACGATTTGCATCTGATGTTTGCATCAATTGATTGTTTTTCACTGAAATAGGTACATAATCGGCATATAGATCTAGTTTTTGATAGAATAGAATAGAATGTTGTGTGTCTTAAAACTAATTCAGATCTAAGAAAATTCTCTCTTTTTACAGGAAATCACTTTGAAAGGAAAAGTTTTGAAAGTTACGGACGTGGAAATGAGCATTGATGATATGTGGTCGGAAGCAAGAGAGGTATTTTCTGTTCTATGAAACGCATTTCATGATTCGTTTTCAGCACGAGCTTCGCTGTCATCGGATTGGAAATAGGAACCAAGTGAAGCTCCCCAGCGGTAGGTCAAAATTTGTGAATTGTCTGTAGCTATATATTTTGTAGATGCGATTCTGGAAGCATTGGCGGAAAGAGCGTACTGCAAAATGTCATGCCTCTACACCTACAAAACAGGAAACAAAATTAAGCGGGAATACACAAGCAAAAAAAGAGAGCAAGAGTGAGTGAATGAATAAAGAATGTGCTGACATTCACCAATGTTTACAGGTTGGAGGAGTTGATCAAGGAGTGCGTCATGAGAAAATATATGAAATTCGAAAAGAACAGAAAAAAGATAGAAATGTAAGAGCATTTATAGTTATTCTCCAATATGAACCCTTTTTACAGCAATGGAGTCGACTCAGTTTTTGTCAACGAAAGTCAGTACGAAACAAACCTGGCTGACACGCTAGTGTTCGAACACATTGATAAAAACGAAGTGAAAGAGTCTAAGTTGAAAAGGATGGCTTCTAAGATGGAGAAACTGGAGGAAGGAAATAACGTCAGTACGATAATTTTCAACAACTCAATAAACTGTTTTTCAGCTTCATTGCGAATGCGAAGGTGAATGCGGTCCCTCGTGTCCGTGCGGACAGATGGAAAAAATGTTCAGGTCGTCCACGTTCGTAAGTAGGCCTCATTCTGTTCCGATTCGAATATAATTTTACAGGGAGATTACAGCAACCGTCGGACATACACATGCTCCGACAAGTTAGTAGATTTTTTGTGAAAAAAGCTGATTAAAATATGATTGTATTTCAAGGTGTCGGTGCAAGGGAAGCTGCTGCGAGTCCATCCAGAAGGCTCCCGAAAAGGGGACGGAAGTCGTTTTGCATCAAGAGACGGAAAAAGGAGCGGTCGTGGTCGCGAAGCAGTATTTTGATGGGGGTAATCACACCTTTGTCACGTTCTTGGTGATCAAAACATTTTAGGAGAAACAGTTGCGTCAATGTCTGGAATTTATGTTCCGACAAAAGGTCTTAGCCGTACGGATGACTACGCAATGGATATCATCTCTGAAGAAGATGGGAACGTTGTCCGAAAGATTCTCACTGCTGAAGGAAACAAGGCTATGGGAAGTGTTGTGGCGAAGAAGTTTGTGAACAGTCTGAGCAAAGAGCTGAAGTCGGCAGCAGTTGTCAGTTATTTCTTATATCATGTTGAAACTTTGTTTTTTCTTTTTCAGAAAAGTTTCAGCCAGGAGATCAGCTTGAATCCGAGAGATGCAAGCAACATCGGAAGGTTCATTTCGTCGTCCTGCTCGGGCAACGTGGAGACAACGACGTAAGAAAATAGCATTCTGCATAACAATCAAACGTTTCATTTTAGGGTCTATTCTGGTGGCCTGAATCCTTTCAATTCCCAAATTGTCTTGAGAGCTATTGGGCCTATTTTCCCGAACATGGAGGTGAGGACAATGTATGTAAAAGAACTGAAGCAAATGCTTGATTGTTTTCAGATTGACTATCAATATTCCCAAGAATACATTACTGGCCAACTCGATAGTTGCTGCAAATGTGGCTCACTCGCCTGTATTGTTAATATCGATTTGTTTTGCTATATGAAACACAGCCATGTAGGTTCTTTTTTAAAAATTCACATAAAATGGTAAGATTTCAGTTCGTGAAATATTACAAGTGCTTGTACGAGACTTTCTACAAAGACTTTGAAAAAAATGTTCACAAGCATTTTTCGGAGGGGCGAAGACCACTCAAACGCCAAGAACGAACTCGCCAAAGAGTTCAGCAGCCGGAATACCGCAAACACTACATCAAATCAATGGTTCAAGCAAAGGAGCAAGAAGAACAGCCAGCCAGTACGATGTTGCGACGCTCAGCTGCCAAGAAATAAAAAGAAACAATCACGCCATACATATGTATTCAATTATTTTCCCTTTTCTGAAAATCGGCCTGCACCCCTAGTCTTTTTCCAATTGTGCATGTATCAAGGAAAGCCCGCTCCTTGTCATAAATAATTTTTTCGTGGTTTTTTTTAGTAGTCGACGCGTCACATTTAAAAGTTTCATGCTTTTTGCTATCTCTAATCTTTTATTATTACTGTCTTAAACTAAATTGTCTAATAATTCGCTTAGATGGCTCCACCAAACAGGAACAAAACCAGAAGAAACGAGCAAGATCGGAAGAGAAAGTACATCACCGAAGTGAGCTATTCTTAATACTAGATACAAAATCCAACATACTGCTTTCTTCAGCATCCTGATGTCAATTACATTGGTGAAGAAGTGGACAGATCGGAGATTCCCGCAACAGCTTATTACGAACACACTGACAGGAACGTTATAGGAGTGGTATCGGATGTCTTTCAAAAGGCAGTAGACGAAGGGAAAAAGAAAAAGAATGAGGTGCTAGAAAAGTGAATAGGAAGTGAAAACGAATGAGGCTATTTTCAGATTTGTTGTAATTGTAAGAAATCGTGTGCTACAAACAGGGATTGTGCGTGCAGAAAATTATCGATTCAGCTGGCAAGCCTCAACAGCAATAGAGAGAGAATTGTAAGTTGTACTACGGAAAACAGAAAAAACTGAGTGATTTACTGCAGCGGGGAAAAATTCCGATACAAGTGACGAAGGAAATGAACAAAGCTCACGAGCAGTTGTACTTCAGTTGCGGACCAAAGTAAGTATGCCCATTTCGGGAGGAGGGGCGAGGAAGGAGAAAGTCTAGTGTGTTCGAGAGTATACACAAGAGAGCGCTTCAAAAAAATTGAAAAAGGAGAACGATACGGTTTTTCTGAAAACTGACCTGATTCTTCACAAACTGCCTGCCCAAACGATTGAATCCGACTCGGAGAGTGTCAGATATTGGAGTAACGCCTGAAATTGGAATAAATGAGCGAATGTAACGGTTTCTGTGTGTGAAAGGTGCAGTGATTAGATGGCAGGCGATGATTGTTGGCAAAACGAAACTGTGATGATTCAATGTCGAAACCAGACCAGAAAAGATAGTTTGAAAGAAGCCCAAATTATTGTATCCCGGAATGTTTTTTGGGACCCGGAAACGGAAATTGAACCAAGTGATCTAGTGAATTTGGAAGGGGATAAGATTTGAATTATTCAAAGTATTCCAAATCCTCAGAACACATTTTTAAGTTTTCAGATGCGCTTGCGACAAGCGCATATGCAGTATGAATGTTGCCGAAACGGATAAGAGAGTGTTCGACTGCAATCTCGTTGAAAACAAAGGACGTATAATCCAGGCCAAACAAGCTTTCAAGACAGGTAACTGATTCTAGTAATAATTCTTTTGAGTGACACTGATTTCCAGGCCACCCCGTCGCAGCCTTCAATGGATCGTTCGAAAGAGAAGAAGAAATCGTAAAATGCATGGACAGTCAGCAATACTCCTTCCGCTTGATGGACAAGTTGCAACATCCAAAGTTATGGGAGAGACTGACATGTGTCAGCCCCGAATACAAGGATACGTTGCTTGTTAGTGATTTCAATTTGTTCGTAGTAAGCATTGCATCGCATTCAGAAAGCATATATGGAAAAGACGTTCATCAATCCGCTGCACATTGGCAACTGCACTCGCTTCCTCTCTCACTGCTGCAAGCCAAATCTGATCCCACTCTGGTAAACTATAAAAGTTAATCTTCGAAATGTTCCGATTTTTTAGTGTTTTCGAAGGAGGAGTTGCCCCTCAGAACATACGGCTCGTATTCTACGCTCTCAAAGATATTGCGATCGGGGAAGAATTAACGTTTGATTATGGAGAGACTTACCTTAATGAGCATCTGCGTGTCTGCATGTGCGACTACTGCATCGACAAGAGACAAAGGGCAGCAGAAGCAAAACGTCGCGCAGAAACACTGAAACAGTTGGACGAACAAAAGAAAGAGCTTCAAAACCAGCAGCGCGCAGAGAGATGTCGCACTCGCGCAAAGAGTGCAGCGAGTCCGTCCGGAGTGGACGAAAACGTTGAAATTGACAACGGTGATGCACTGGTGCCAGTTTCAAATGAGGAGAACAGGCAGATTGTTCCTCGCGCTGCTCCAAAGATCAAGATAGAAGTTATCGATGAGGACGAGCCCACCGCTCCTCAGCCTTCTACATCGACTTCAGGACGTACCAATCTGATCAAAGCTGAAGTTGTTGTGGAAGAGGAACAAGTGATTCACGTACCGAATCCATCTCGTCACCCGATACCGCAAATTAAAATCGAGCCAATTTCTCGTGAGTCGTCTCCACATCCCGTAGCTGATGACGGCGAAGATATTTGCGCAAGAGGTGTTGGACACCAGGTATCGCCTATCAACAATCATCGTTTGAACGGAGAAGACACGGAGGATGAAGACGAAGATGTCCCAGTCAACCAGGAAGTCGCGAAGCCGCGCAGAGAACGTCCACCAAAGAGAAAGGCGAATCCAGTGGCACAAGTGTCGCCTATTCGTCGTGTTCGCATTGTGGAGCCAGTGCCAGTTGATCTTCCCGACGTGTCCAACCAGCGACGTCACGGAATGGCTCTCCGTGACAGGAGCAAAATCGTCGCTCCAGCTTACCTCCGATCGGAATCACCGACCCGTTCATCTCGTTCTCGTTCCACTGCCAGGTCTACGCCGAGACCGACCAACAGAGCCCGATCCTGCGGCAGAAGTCAGACTGTCGTTGCGCGGTCGCCGTGTACAACTCTTAGAAGTTCGATCCAGTTCATGAGAACACCTGTCGTCGTCGTCGAGGTCGAGAATTCCGTCCGCCGATCCAATCGCATTCGGAGCCGTCCGCCTGGAAACTAGAAGTGAGTTTGGTTTTTCTAGGAAGCTTTTAAAACATTGAACCACAATAGTGGAAGAGAGAGAGAGAGTTAAAAACAACGTTCCAAACTACAAAACGACAACAAATGATGTTTCTTCATCGGAAATGAAGAAAAATCAATAAAGTGAAAACACTAGGAGAGTGGTGGTCGAACACCCAAGAACTGCTGAATGTCTCCGTCTCGGGGAGGAGAGGGGGAGGGGCGAGACACAGGCGAAGATACGGGTTCGATTTTCAAACTGGGCCGATTTTTGTGATAATAGGAAAATGAAAAAAGAAGTGACGAAAAATTTTACGTATGCTGCTTGTCTGCGTAGTCAACTACAATATAGAACTTTACAGATTTCTCCGTATCTTCAACTGCCACTGCATCCGTCTGAGGACATTTCAAAATCTTCCCGTTTTCAACACCAAATAATCTCAACTGTCTCTTTCTTCTGCAATACGTTATGAACGAATTCCAAGTTGGTAATCGATTTTGTTGTAACATTTTCTATGAAATTATTTTTGCCGTGTTTAATGTCACGTCGTTGCTTTTCAATGTTTCTTCATACACACATTCACATTTACTGACTCTTCCATTTCCCAAAAAGCACATTTGCCCACATGACTTTCCCGTCCATAACATTTGGTTCTCCTGAATCTCCCGACCTCACTCCCCCATTTCACAAAGATTTCACGGATATTTCTTCTTTCCCCATAATACTTGTTCACTGCTAGCATGGGTTCCCCTTTCGTCTTTGAATTCTCTTTTGCCGTGTACCGTCTCAAATTGCTCCTTGTTTCGAAGTCATTTCATACGCACATTCACTGATATAGACTCTTCGAATGTAAAACTTGTTTCATATTTGTTATTATATCTCAATTGTTCCATTTGCCCACAACACTTTCCCGTCCAAAACGTTTGGTTTTGTTTTCTCTTCATCCCGACCTCACTTCCTCCCACTTTAAGAATATTCCGTCATAATTCTCACCGATTTGCTCTCCCAATATACTTGTTTTCCTGTGTCTCTCTCACCCCAATCAATTCATTTCGGTTGCATCAATTCATGTTTTCGATTCATTTAGCCAATCAGAACGCTTCAATTCAAAACTGAAGACAGTCGAACTCCTATTAATATTTATAATTGTCTTGCACTTACCTTTACTCCAAAAATTCCATGATTTGTGAATTTCACATGTTACTTTGAAAAGTTGTTATGCACTGAACCATCCAGTTACGCGTTTTACATTTGACTTTCTTGTCATTTTGGAATTGTGTAATTCTGAGATTCTGTTACCAATAAAGTATTCAGAAGGAATTCAGAGCACTCAGTTTAAAAACTTGCTTGAAGGAGAAGCGTGATCATTTTCATTTAAAAAGTTGTTTTTGTTCTCATCTTTTCAAAATGGGCACAAAAAACAGTTTGGATTCTTAGCTGCATGCCGGGGTGCCCGTTTCAAGTGCATCCATTACCAGTCAAGCGAATCATATTCTTTTTGGGGGTTTGACTCTTGTTATGTAGTGAACCATTGTCCATTTTACCGTCCGTACAGCTCCAACGCCCACTGCCCACTCAAATCACACGTTTTTCTTCAATCAGTGTTGCTCGACTACATTCTGACTGACAAGATTGGCATAGTCTGATTATTCTAGTTCAAGTTGGCTTAGACGCTAAGTAGCTCATAACTTTTTGTCGAAGTTTTATCATTTTCAGAAAAATACTTTTATCAGGAATTGTGTGAACCATAATCAGCTGCATGCACTCAAAAAAAAAGAAAAAATATGTGAGTTGGTAATGACTAGGAAATAGGTTGGAAAGTATCTGATGCCAGGGTATGGACTCAATGCTGGAAAGGAGACAGGAAAGAGGGAAAACGTATTACGAAAGAAATATTGTCTGATATGGGAGTACACAAAACTGAGACAGTAGCCAGAATATGTTGAATACCATGTGAAATACTGAGATTCTTGGGATGGGAAGCTTTCAGACGAGGTGAGAAGGGGTGATTGCATGATTATGCAAGCACAGGAAAGAAAAAAGCATTGGTCCACCGGCAAACAGAGCGAGTCGTGAAGCAGTTCTTCTACCGGCTCCCTTATCATTTTGCTATCATTGAGATACAGTAAGAATACATGATGAACCAGGTAATTTTAAATCTTGCTGTGGACGAGGGAGTAACAATGGTAAAGCTGGCATGAGAACAACATGAGAATGGGGAATAGAAATGCTTGGTAAAGGAAATACATGGTACAAAGAGATTCGATTTAGGGGGAATGACACGCTTGGCGAAGTTATTCAGCAGTCTGAAGAAGGTGAGATTGATGGTGGTGCTGGGTGAGGTCGTTCAGAAGACTGACATGAGCCAAGTCAATCTGAAAGATTGAATTGTTTTCCAGCGACATAGAACGCTTTTACCGTCGGTGTCGAAAAAGCAGACTCGTCTCCCCACATCATCTCCTTCTTAGTTTTCATGATAGTCTTGTACTCATTTACTCGGACCTTCTTCCCGTCAATCACACAAGTTCTTTTCGGACGCGGACGGTACCGATAGTCAGGGTGTTGCTCCATGTGCAACTTGCTCAACCGTGACTGCTCTTCATAGTACGGCTGCTTCTCCGAATTGCTCATTCCTTTCCAACGAGATCCTGAAATAGAATCACGTTATCTAGTTGTGTGACGCTCTCAACGTTACCAAGAATCTTTGAAATGTTGCTGTTGTGCATATCCGGATAAGCCTTAAGAATCTTACGCCTCTCATCGCGAGCCCACACCATGAAAGCGTTCATTGGTCGCTTAATATGGTTTGGCGATTTCGCTTGTGGGCGTGGAGTCGTCACTTCACTTGTCACTGAAGTGTTTCCCGGTGTACTCTTGCCACTGGAATCTGGTGAGCAATTGTTGAACAATTGTCCTGAAAAATGATTATTGATAAAACAGCTGCGGATGTTGTTGACAGTTGCTCACCGTCTGTTCCATAGTTGGTACCCAAAGAGTACGGGAGACGGAAACCAGGAATCGGAGACTCTGTGACGACGGCAGTGGGAGATGGAGTGTCCTTGGACAGATTCAAAGGCGTCTCGACCTTCTCGGTCGGTTGTTGAATGGCGCCAGCAGCAGCTGCCAACTTTGCACTCAGACTCTTTTGTAGAATAGAAATGTTAGCAGCAAGTGGAGTCGGCAAATGATTGGCAATAGTGGCATTCAAGACTGGATTGTTAAGGAGGTTATCGTAATTCAGAGTGTCTAAATATGACAAGAATAAAACAGATATTTCGAGTGAAGAGCTTACTACTGAAAAGAAGAGGTAGTGATGAGGTTGCTTTGATCATATTGGCAAGCATCATGTGATGTTGCTGTTGTTGGTGCTGCATCAGCTCATGCTGCCGGAGAAGGACTTCCGAATCGAAGTTACCAGCGTGGAGCATCTTAAAGATCATTATATAGAAAATATGAGACAGCACAGAAAGGAGAAGACGAAACTATAGATGGTTTTGATCTAAGGTGGTTCTGACTTTGGCCAAAGCTTGCAAGCGGGTCACTTGTGTGGGCGGGGCTTCAATTGTTACACATCAAATGGACACTCGAAAAAAGAAAGACTTGAAAGAATTGCCGACCGTTTCTATCTATAACTACTCACCGTTGAACTGGGCAAGTATGCGAATAGAAACATTGGAGCGGTGTTATGAAAAGTAGCGAGTGACCTGGTCTCCCGTGGCTAGCTATGCTAAGATTTCGAGAGCGGCGAGATAAAAGTGAACGCGTAATAGGCTTGATTAGGCACGCATTACGCAAGCCGGCACGCCCTTGACAATGTTTACTTATCAATGTAGATGTTACGGAAGAAAGGGCGGAAGGATGAGACTCGTGATGGCACCGGACACGGCGTGGGGTGGCTTACCGGGCTCATTTCGTCTGGATCCTCCTTCAAATCGTCTTTTGTAGGACTCTCGTCACTGGTTAGACGCTCTTTTATTGTGTTAAGCTGTAAATTTATTTCAATCAGTCGCCGCTCGGTGCCAGGTAGCGGCATTGTCATACCTGTCGAATAACGTCTGATAAAAGGTCTTGCTTCCCGTCTTGTGTATCCACCGAATTGATAACTTCCCTGAATGGTCAAGCGTTTCAATCGACAAACATTTTTATTGGCGCAACAAACCTCAAATGATTTCCGTCAATTAGAACAGAGCAGCCGTGTTCGGTTTGTGCGAGAATATCCGGGAAATCAGACACTCCTGTCGTCGCTGACGTGCTGAAAACAAGGCAAACATGTTTGGGGCAAAGATTCGGTAGCTTCACTCAAAAGTGGCGTTGTGCATTTTTTTATCAATAGAGAGCGGAGCGTCAAAAGGACATTTGCCGCACCAAAAATAGTTGGTTTATCAGTATTAGTGTCCGTGTCATAGGTGACACTTGTGTAGAGAGGAATTATTATTTTACTTGCAAGCCGGAAACTCCGAATTTTAGAGAGCTGGTGACAACAAATTACAGAAAAGGACAACAATAGTAATTTACGGATTGGAAGCGATCCGTATGTTGTTCGTTTGTGGTATCCTATAATAGTTGGGCTTGATGTAAAGTGCAAGAAACGTATCCGGACAAGGCGCAAAGAAGGTTTAGTGCAAAATCTCTCTCTCTCTCTCTCACTAGTCAAATTAGAGGCAAAAGGTTTTGAGCAGATTTCTGATGCACATTATCGTAGCCGCATTATAGAATTATGACAACACCAACCGCTCGTTGTGCCTCCCCAAAGTCACTTTTTCTTTCGTTTCGCAATACGCTCAGAAGAGAACAGAAGATATGCCTACAGTGGTGCTGACGGAAGAAAGGATCCCCCTTTCATGCGCTCATCGGTCATCTCCTTTCACTCATCACTCACTGGACTTCCTTTTATCCTTTATTGGCTGCCCACTCTTCTTTTCTGTTATTGCAATTTCAGCTGTCACCGACTCATCCCTATTCTACTTTTCCTGAACTGACAGTGAGCCAATGTTGTCAAGCTGCCAATTTCAATTAAAATTAGTTTGAAAGAAGAGAAGAGGCTTTTCTAAAAGCGACAGATAGAAACAAGGTTTTTGTGCAAGTTTAACTAGGCGCAGTGGAATCTTACATCAAACATGTGGGCGGATGGATCATGGCCGAAAATCATTGAAATGCGACGAAGTGGAGAGGACGGAACAAAGAGAAAAGAGGCAGTATATCAAGCACTGTATTCGTCAGCTCGCTGGCGCCAAGAACAATGCCCTGGCGGCGAGGCACACAATGGCCCCCGGAACATCTGTTTCTTCCCGGCGTCCGAGGGAGAGTTTTATAAGTGTGAAATGAAAGAGAATAGTCAATACCCACTAATTTCGATTGTGAAAGTGTTCGCTAGTTGTCAGTGTGAGAACTAGAGGAATTCAAAAACAGTATTCAAACCGATATCAGCATAACACTATATAGTGATACCACATGTTGTTATTTTCAGTTCGCAGTTTGAACAAAATAAGATCTTCCTGGCAGGAAGGATGATGTACATAAACACATAAATACATACAACAATAGTATGGAATGCACATTTTGCTTAAAATCTGATAGCGTCTGTAAAAGTCTTCTTCCAACTTACCTAAACGTGTAGAGTACGGGGTAAGAATGTGTGAGCACAGTCATTGTTTGCGATTGTGAAAGTGAGCGGTAAAAATTTGAAAACCGGCAATTCACATTTGTTATCACTGTGACCCTGATTCTCAAAACTGCTAATCGGGTGAACAATTGTATGCGTGTGTGCGTCTGTGCGTCTACACACATTTTTTTCAACACAAAAGTAAATGGTTGTGATAGCTGATAAAACGTAGCCAGGCCGCGTCGCATCACCTACCTTGTGTGATCGGAGATTGTGCTCGAGCTCGACTTGATTGAGGCGTCGTGCGGGGATATGGCCGTATTCGGAGTGTCGTCCATCTGAAAACGTGTCGCATGAATACTGGAATTTGAGACAAAAGGAAAAGGAAACAAGCTCGAGCAAGGCAGCTCCTCCTTCCGAAGAATTGGATACAGCTCGGGGCATGCGACCACAAGGAGCTGTATCTTCTTCTTCTTCGCTAATTGTGCGACGGATATGTGTAGAAGAATGCGAGACGCGGTTTCTTCTATTCTATTCTCTCAATTCTTGTTATTATTATTTATTGTGACAATCAAATTCAGTACTCCTTACAACTCTTTCACACTCAGAAGAAGAAGACACGAGAGCAGGATGTGGCGGGTGAGAGGCTATGAATGAAGCTCCCCCTCTCCGCTTCGGAATTGTGATTCTTTCTTCGCAAGTTTATACCTCCTATATTAGTGCATGTTTCTGAATCTAACTGAGGGGTTGGAAGTCGACCTACTATCCAATGCTATTCAATTCATCACCTTCTCATTATCATACATTATAACAATTATATTTGTAAATTCTACGAGACGGCTCAAAGAGAAGGATACAAGAAGAAAGGTGAAAGATCTGGAGTCAGGATTACAGGAAAGATATGCAATGAAATATGATATCTGAGAGGGTGTGTGGAACACCCATCGAATGAATTCATCGCTACAATGAATGCATTGAGGAGCGTTGCGAATGGAGCACAGTGTATGTGAGCCCTGGGGCCTAGTTATTTGCCCCGCCCACACGCCACTCTCCGGGACTCTGACGCTTTTGTCCCGTATGTCTTCTTTTACCTCCGTCGATTACGCGATGAGGAGGAGCCAGACATAATGGGATTATCGAGAGCATAGAAAGCGAAAGGGGTGGCGCTTAGGGGTACGGTAGGCTCAGAAGACGGCGCTTCGCTAAAAACAGTTTGTGATTCAATTCGATTCGCTGAAGCTTACAGTCAGAAAAGAGAGGAAATCAATTTGAGAGAAAAGAGATACACATTTCACAAAAGAGCCAATCGTCTGACCGCTCTCGCCTAGCTGAAGGTACCGAATAATGATTACGCAACGTGCGGTAAAGGACGCTCTAATTATAGGGATTGTGTTAATTCGCGCGTTCCGCGTGAATCCCACACAAGCTAAAAGGATGTGTTTACCTAATTAGACGGTCACAAATGGTACCGCTTATTCCTGTTCTTTGAAGAGTCACTCTAAACCCAAAAAGCGCTGTGCAAAGTGGTCCCCGACTTACATGGTCCGGGATGAGTATGGTAGGCGTGTGTGGCTGAACCATCATTTTATCCTCGTTCTCGTCCTGACTCTTCTCGACTTCCTTGATCAGTTTCTTCTCGTTTTCGGTCAACTTTGTCGGGTTCGCTTTTCTTCTACGGCTCATGCTGGAAACAAAAAAGGCGTGATGAGGTAAATCTCGAGCACAAAAATAATGATCGGTGTCGTGTGTGTGTGTGTGTGCAGAAACGGGAAAGAAAAAGGGTGGGGAAAACGGATAGATTATAACTCTAAATTAGATGCGCACAATGCAAATGTACATCGAAACATGAGCGTTAATGAGGGGTCGTGTCCCCGAGAAAGCCCCCATCTCAGGATGAGCCGTGGTTAAGGAGGCATGTTTATAAGTAGGCGTTGGCAGCTAAATCCTGGAGCACCTGAGCACAGGATGCCATCACCGGAAGTGGGTCCATCAGGCCGTCAGGAAATGTTATGCCTTATAATCACTTTTGTGTTATTCACATTTCTGTTATTATCGAAGACGTTAAAACGGAAATTTGCCATTTCAAAGCGAGCCTGAAAAGCGGGAGAATTGTACATTCACGAGTCGTGCACACATTAATCTAAAGGAAGGTGCTCTAACGGAAGATTCGAGAGGGACCACCTGTGATTCCACATGCAACTAATCGTTTCCGTAACTCATCCGTGTCATTATGGTAGCACGCTATTCACACAGATGTTGCTATCACAAATTCAAATAATTGCTGAAGAGATGCACATTTATGACAGGCCAAGTCATGAAGAGAGAGAGAGAGAGAGGGAATCAAGAATGTGTTACCGGGATGAATGCCATCTTGTCTAAACATCCATTAACTACCGTATACCTGTTTCCACCGGATGTCCCAACATGCTTTTATTCATGAGGTTTGCACACGCAAGCGAGTGCTTTGAAATATAACGGGCCAATGATATTCTATTGCGTTTTGTGGATTCTCGAAGTGATAATGAATTAGTTATCAGGGACCACTTCTAACTTACTCAGACGCAAACAATTTCCGTCTGAATTGCCCAAGGAACCAGGTGGTTGGGTTGCCAAATGCGGGAAATTGTGTGTGGCAAAAAGGATACGGTTGCGGCTAGTTGAAAAGAGATCGATGGGCTGAGAGGATGCACCTGTTGCCGTCAGTCAGATTGTTGTCGAGTCCAATTGCTCACGTGCAAACATTACTATAACTTTTCAAATAATCAGGTGCACTTTGAGATTCTCAGCGGATTTCCGGATTTTCTGATTAGCCCTACCATTCTCTTGAACTCTGTCGGTCCCATGGTCAGCGGAAAGAAAGGAACACAATGGTATCGAGAAAGTGTTCGTTGTCTACAAAAAAAAACCAATCTATGACTAATCGATTCGCAACAATGGGGCCGACCACGCACCTAATTTGTCTCTCTTTCTTCTCGAAAAAGCTGGGAAAATGGTTTTTGTGGGAAAAAGAAAACGATCGTCCCGTTATGGTAATGCTCTTTGATTGCCTCTCGAATGCTTTTCAAAGGGGTGTTGTGATTCTTACTTCAAAAGTACTTTGACTACTTCGATTACACATTGAATATCAGCGGGAATATCAAATTGCTGAATGATACACAATTTTTGGTAAACGCGGAGCTACCTGCATCGCCTGTTGTTGTATTCGAGAGAAAGAAGAGGAGGAAGAAGAGGGTTAAGAGTGAAAGCCGATGGAAACGGATGGGGTTGAGCCGATTATTGTCTAGAATCCACCAGAAAAAGGGGCTCAGGTGAGTATTTTCCTGGCAAATCGGAGCACGAGGTACCGAAATGTCTTGTTGTTGTGAACTTGCTCGTGAAACTAGTGGTAAATGACGTGGCAAAACTGAATAAGAGGTGTTAGATCCAGGAGTAGTGTATATGAGAGGAACGAGGTGACAAGTGGCTCCTTCATCTCGTTGAGGTCAGTTTTTGTGGCAAAAAAGTTTTCGCAACATCTCGTTCAAGATGAGCGAGAGAGAAAGAAGAAAAATTGGCTTCCAGGCAGAAGCAACAATTGACAAACATATCGACATTGTTCCAATTGCCGAGTTCCACTCACGCGTTTCAAACGGATAGAAAAAAAAGAGATAAGTGGGACCATTGTAGTCTCACGAATGTCTTCCATGCCGTCGGAGAACCGAGCCGCCGGAACTTTCTCAAGCTGTCACACTCGACTTACCATCAATTTCAAAGACAAAGGATAGGCGAGAGGGCAGATAATTTGAAGGTTAACCGGTTGAACACCTAATAGAACAGCAGTCCGTGAGCCGGTGTATCCGGCACCGATGACAACTGACCTGCGGGGGGAGAACTCGAAACAACACTTCTCTTTTTTCTGCTCGGTGTCACACTTTTGAGAAACAGAAATTTCGGGAGCATACAATGGATCGGCGTGTACTTTTAGTCAGACAAAAAACGTTGCGGACATCGTGGACGCTTTTGATGAGCGATGGAAGAGAAGATAAGTGATGATAGCATTGGGGGTATATCAGTTCTCGAGTGTGACTTCCTCAGACAGCATGGCACGTTCTTGCTCTTGTTTCTTTTCTTTTCAATTTTAACTGGCACAGAAATAAAACTCATTCCAGATAACCCACTATTGTAGAAAAGTTAGGACCAGACGAAGGATGATGTTTCCTTTTATGTCAATTTCAATGAAGCCTATTCAAAAGAAATAATTGACATCTACCAATGCACACAGAGCGGCTCATTCATCATCCGGGCTCCAATTATCCCTTACAGTCTGTCAGCCGTGCATGAATATTTGATAAAGCAAAGTATGGAGGAGGAGGATCGCACAAAAGGGTGAAACGAAAAAACAATTATTTATGGAATGGACACGAAGACACAAGATGATAAACTCGGAGGAGTTAGCCGGGATATTAAAGGGATCATGAGCAGTGACGGGTGCGATTTGGCCCACTATTATTATGATCGACTAGGGACGAAAGACTGACAGAGAGGAATTCTAGTCGCGAAATGCACAAAAGAGGCAACGTTTGCTAAGGTAGCCGTCCAGATGTCAATAGCAGATGTTCTCAAGCTGCGAAGTACGAAGCCATTCTTGTTTCTAGACATTCAGACAAACAGTTTTTTCGACAAAGGGGAATAAAAGAGCACACGGTAACATGACATGGCATACAACAACTGGAATGAAAACTGGTTGCTCCACTTACCACTATAGAGCCATTCGGGAGGTCGTAGTTACTGATCCAGCAGTATTTTGACAGCAGCAGCAGGTTCTTTCGTCTTTCTGGAATATTCGGGAGGTTATACTTTGAAAAGGGTATAGAAACGAGGAAACTTTCGAATGGGCGATTATTCTAGTTCGATTTGGTCAATAATTCAAAGAGTTCTCACGCGTTGAATGAATTGTGGATTATGCTCAGAACAAAGATACTGCAAAGGATATCAGAAATTCTTTTTGTCGGAGTGTGGTCCCACGAGTTAGGTTCAAGTGAATAGAAGTGGCAGGAAAAGACGGAGTAAAATGAGGAAATGGTCGACGGAGGCAAGGAACGGTAGGCAAACAGACGGCTGCGTGGTGACTAGTTCAAAAAGAAGGAAAAGGAGGCAAAAGGAGAAGCTTATGATGTAAATTTTTGAGGTGACAGTCAAAACACTAATTGGTCTTTCTGTCTCGCTCTCTGCCCTCTTCAAATGACCTCTCCGCCCTCCCTCCCCCCTCCCCCCGTTCACGAACGATCCGGGTTCCTGTTGAGAACTTTGAACTTGACTAGGGACTGGTCTTCTCCAGACTAGAAAGGGCTTGGGAACTGGTATCAACCGAGTGTTTCAAGGTGGCCATGTTCCATCACAATGGAGAGAGAGTGACCACCTGAAAACAAAACTGACCACGCAATTTGTTTGTCCTCTGAATCGTCTCACAATAAGTTACACACTGTGCCTGTGAGTGTCGGCGCGCTTCTTCAGAACTGGATGTGTTGACCGATGGAGAAGTTGTGAAGAATGAAAATGGTAATAGGTCGAGAACCACTTGCAACAATTCCATAATGTTTCTTTCTCGGTTGACACAATGTACTACTCAACCTCGTTTTGTAGAAAGGAAACGGAAAGGATTCTTCCGAAATGCGTTTAAGAAATACTAAGAGGACAGTTAGAAGAGGTCAAATCACAAAGGAGAGAATCGCGGAAATAGAGTTGAAGTGAATGAAGGGGACAAGGAATGATTCTAGCAGGGACTGAAACTGAAAACCTTTCAAGATTTGATCTACAGCCACACCCAGGTAGGCATTGTATGCATATCCGAAAAATCCATGCTTGTTCATTGCCTCCCACCACCACCGGTTAATCCATTCCCTGAGAAAGGCCGGCCTTCCTTCTTCTGCCTTTCCATCTCAAATTTGCCGCCCATTGTACCCGTGTTACGCAAAAGCGGATGACCATTGCGGCAAATGCATACAAACACAGGAGGTAGTGTCAAAATAATTTGCGATTTGCCTTTTTGCCTCCTTCCCCCCTCTTTCATCGTCTTTATTATTGACACTCGAAACCTGTTTGATTTGATTTGCCACTGGTCACTACCGTACGGATGGCATATAACTGTATGAGGAGATGAAGATTAGCGGCGCGGCTGGAATGAATAAAGGAAAGGAGGCAAATGGAGAGGTGGACTGGGTACCGACCACCACTTTCGTGATGGTACTCACTCCAAAAAAAAAATGGAAGACCGAAACTTGCTTCGTTTCCTGGATGCCGCGGATGGCGCAACCCAAACCAAGATGCCGCCCACGTATTTCTCTTATCTCAGCTATAATTTTTTCGTGAAATGTAAAAAGTCTGTCAAACAGAAATAATAGGGGCGAGACAATGAATCAGAAATCCCTCTAGACTTAGGCGATGCGCGAATTGCACGGTTGAGAAGTTTGAGAAATATTACTAAGGGAGTTACAAGTCTACATACAAGTTTGTTGAAATGTAGACATTGGTCAGAAAGCGCGAGAATTGGGTGGTCTCTTTGAAGTTTACAACGTCGGCAGTACGGGAGGAGCGACAATTCTCAAATTTTTGTCCCAAAAAGTTCGGAGGGCAACAAATACCAATAGACAACAAAGCGGGAAGAAAACACACAATACAGTATTAGGTAACAAACTTGTAAGAAAAAGAAAAGAAGAATAGGGGGAAGGGGGTGAAAGAAGAGTAGAAGAAGAAGAAGTACAATGAACCCGTTGGGACCGGAAGATATGTTCGACAGATTGAAATCGCGTCATAGTCATCGACAGTTCAGATCCACTTGTTTCCTTGCGTACTGTATCAATTCTGAATGGAACAACTTTCGTGTTGATGTACGAGTTTGTCTGTCTAAATTCGCCCCATTGTGTTCATGGTCATTTTCCTGTCGAATGTAACAGTAGCAAGTACAAAAATCGCCGTTGCGAAATTTTAAGAGAGGATGAGAAGAAGACAATGCCCGACCTTGTGGTCAAATGGCTACCATAACGTCCTTTGTGTCTCGCCGGCGGCACCTCCCTCGCTCTTTTTGGGGCTTCGAAACACAGAAAGAGAGAGAGAGAAGGAACCCGTTTACTTGTCCATTTTTTATGTGAGAGAAAGAGGACATTAGAAACAAATTCCTTTCCACTTAAGTTGGCGGCCGTTGCATGATTATTTTCGGGGGCGCATTGTTGTGGTTTGCAGATAGTGTCACGCCGTTATCAATTTTGCTAACGAAGCATTGGTTTTGAAACCAAAGCAGACACCATTAAAACAAAAGGGACCTTCCGAACCTCAGTTTTCAGAGAAAAAAGATGGAAAACAGAGGCAATTTATTTTATGAGCCGACCAACCAACCCAGGATTCCTCCCTCAACTTCATTCTCTTCTGGGCGAGATTTGCCTCGTATTCACTGCGACAATACTCGCGCACAAACTTAATTGCATTCAGCTCGACACCCTGAGCCCTATACAGAACAGCGCCAGTGATGCTCATAAATGGGAGCTCCGATAGACAAGCGGCTCCCTTTCTCCTTCTGCCGCTATGTAAACAATGCCATTTTCACCGGGATTTTTTCGAAACGAGCCGGAACGTAGATTGGCGAGTTCGAGCACACAAGGAAATGAGGAGAAAAAGTGTGTCTGGGATAGTGAAAGGTGGGATTGGCGTGAATGGAAGTTGGTGGTTCGACGGATGGCGAGGATGTCCCTATAACACACTTGAGATCCTGTTTGTTGCCGATGGCAATGAAAGCGAACTATTTCTATTGCGCAACTACCCGTTTCACAAAGTGAGGCAATGAAATCTACGGCCGATGGTCATCGGATGGCCAGCGGAAGATTTGAATAAAAAACGAATTAGATATCGAAAGTTCTTTCTGTGTGTATATATGTATGTGTTTGTTGCTTCTTTTCCTCCCTACTTGCCAATTCGAAGCAACATACACAAAAGAAGAATGAACATCATCATTGAATAGACGACGAACACGATGACCAGGAGAAGTGGGCCTACACGATTCGATTAATGAGATGGACGTGAAGTCACACGCCTCTGATACGGTAGACATCGAAAAGGAAGCGTCCGAATGGAAAGTAACCAAGGGAAGGGAGGGAGTTGGAAAGAAAAAGTGCTCAAATTAAAAGCAGATTATTAAAACTGACATTCATTCAAATGGGGGGGTCGAAAAGAGCATGTCTCTATGGATTTGTCAACTATTATCCTTACCCTTCCTCGCTAAATTAGACAAAGCAGGGTGGCATCAGGTGGTTGTGGACCGAAAAACTGAGGATTCCCACCGTGGGACCACCAAACTTAAGAGTGTTTGGGGAGCGCGCATGAAAGGCGATGTGCTCATCTTCATTTCTTCATTCTTTTCCCCCAGAGCACAACAAATGCGTACACCTCGGTTCACCCTTAGGCAATCTGTGTTGCCCACTAAACCAGCAAATGCCTTTATTGCTAATATCGCATTCAATATAGCTCTCAACTCAATTCGCAGATGCTCAAGGCCTCCCCGAGGATAACGCCCGATAGTCTTTACTTAATATATATTCATTTCAAGAAAGAATTGTATCGAAAACGAGTTGATAATACAAAACGTGACCTTTTGAATATAGAACAACTTTGAGTTAGGAGCACAAGGGATTTCAAAGAATGCGTAATTTGTATTAACTCGACAATTAGCCGTTGCAATTTTGGCCACAAAGAGTTGCCCTCGACAAATGGACACGGAGTTTTCACCCCCTTTGTGGATTTCCGTTATGCAGGATGAGCAAGATTACAATTGTTCAAACGAACTTGTTGGTGAAAGTGAGAAGGAGTCGGGGGTTCGAGAATCGTTTTTCTATACGTTTTAATCAAAAATGCAGGTAAGACACACTCCATCTCAGTCTTTTGCCCTTGATTTTTGACAAATTGATAGATGGAATAATCTATCTGACGACATGCCGGCTGCTCTGACAAGAAACTTCCAATTTGATTACAGCGACAGCCTATTCAATTGTTTCCGCTGGGTACCTGGCCAATCTCAATAATCAAATAGAAACAAAATTGGAAGCCGCTGGTGCCAGGTTGACTTTCGTTGCCCGACAATCTTATTCATCTTCGTGTTCTTTCCGGGAATAAAAGTGATGGTTTGAAAGAGAAAAAAAGTAGAGAAATCGACTTGAGAACAGAGACAAGAATGCATAACGGACGGGGATTGCTTCATGGATTCGCTTACATAGACGGGCGGGGTTCAAAGTGGCTTTGTTTTGTTGTCTTCAGCTTCGAGTGCACAATTACCCATTGTAATTGAGTGGGAATGAGATGTTGGAGCATCTGTAGTAGGAGACTTGAAACGCCGCGACGAACATTCACCGCCTTTCCCAATAACTTGTGATGACTCCCCCCACACCACTTATCCATAATAAGAGGGATTGTTCTTCTCAAGATTTGCTCTTCTGACATCAAATACGCGAAAAACGCGTTTTCATCCGGTTCTTCAAATCCAGCTCTTCCCTGAACAAAAAAATCCTGAAACTTGCTGCATATTCTGAAATTAGTAATTGTGGAATCTTTGGATTCACTGGGTGGTGTTGTAATGATGGATACCTATACCTAATTGTTTGTAAAGTTTCCATCATTAGAACACGCGCACACACACTTGTAAAAAGGGACCACTCAGGTATTGGGGTGTGAAGACCACAGGATAGAGCATTCATTCGTTCAGATTTACTTTTATTTTCAGCCTTTCATCAATTCTTGAGCCTGCTCCCGGTCGACCAATCAATGTTTTTTGACCACATCGTACACTTCCGGAGTCGTCACGTCCTTCAGATCTCTGGGGCTTAGATAGTTTCTCATCAGCAAGAAGAATTTCAGTTGTTTTTTTTTAAGTCTTGAGAGCTTGTTATATTTCTATTTGCGAGTCGACCAGAAATCATAGTTTTAATAAAGTGTGTTTACTATGAAGAGTAATCTAAAATGCTTGAGGTTCGTTGGAAAAAAGAACATCTCGAGCAGATTCATCAATAACATTGCAAAACCTTGCAAAACTCTGCCATTCAACCTTAATTTCAGAACTTGCGTCTCTCAAAAGTGCCATTCTGCAACATTCCTGTTTGCCATTCTTCCAGTCCGGGAGAACACATGCCAGTCACTCCTAGACTGTGCCCTTTGTGCTCATCGTCGGTGTTTGCGTCCTCGGCAAGCGCTTCTGCTCGTTGATTCCATGAACAGCTGTCAATCGGTTTGAGTGTGACCGAGGGCGGAATTGCGGCCAACTTTTTTGCATTCTTGTTTGTCAGTTCTTTTTTTGCCCCGTCTGTCTCGGCAAAATAGCGAAAGCGAAAGGGATAGAAAGTTGCAAAAGATAAATTTCTAAGCAGACATCGACTGGTCGATTGGAAGACTGCTGGTTCGAAAGTCACGGAACAGAAATAGATGTAATGAAGCTTCAAGAAATTTGCAGAATTCGCTTGAAACATTGGTCTAGATTAATGTATGAGCTGCGGCAAACCACAAATCTGCAGTTGAAAAAATGAAAAGTATAGTCTATCGGGGTTTGATTTCTTCTATACGGTTCAATGTAAATATCATCATTCCAGATGTCTGGGTGATAGACAGCCCGTGCAAGATGCCCTTTAGTTCCGATTTTCGAGAGTAGACGTCAATAAACTGTAGCAGAATGTTGCGATTCCGCGCCTTTCAATTTCACTTCTGTCAACAAACTGTCTTTTTTTATCATTGCACTTTAGGCTAGACAGTAGGTTTTTGATTCCAGAACACTCGTCTGCTGGTCTCGGTCTCTGTGAGACGGCCATGATTCACGTGCATTTTGCGTCCGCTCGATGCAAAAAAAGACTTTTCTGTCGGTCGTCTCTTCGTCAACAACACAACATCGCAGCGATGAACGACGGCCACGCAAAAAATGATTGCACTTTTAGCGGTTGCACTTTTGGAGAGATGGGCGGAGTTTTGTGGAAAGAGGAAAAGAGGCCAAAGATGCCGGCTTCGTTTCCGTATAAATAACCCCTGACTGAAGAAAATATTAGTTGCACTACTGCACCAATTTCACCACTGAAATGTCGCTGTCACGCCATGCATCTGCTGCTGAACTTCAAAAGAGAGTGAGTCTACTTTGTGTCATTAGAGCACATACTACAATATGTTTCCAGGCAAACATGCTCAACAGAATCAAGACTGCCTACATGAAATGGTACAAAATTCAACCGCCAGTTGATGATCCGACTTTCACTACTTTCGACACGGTTGTGGACACTTTCTACAAGTACGCCAAGTAAGTGAGATAGTTTTGTGAATTGTTTTAGTACATATTTTACAGTAAATTGAGAGATGCCAAGGCTACGTACGCAGCTGAACCATTGGAGCCAAGAGCACGCTCCGAATCAGAGATCTCACTGATCATCCCGGTTGGGACCGACTTCCGCGCTCGGCAGAGGTTTATCGGAAATGATGGTCGATTGAGGATTGGAAGACTTCTGGAAGTCGTCGACCTGGTGGCTCCCTGCTGTTTGTATAAGTTAAACAGGGCTGACATGACGTCAACCTCTTTCGAAGATGGAACACTTCCAAGAATGTTTGTCACTTCCCGTTTCCACCCGACAAATCTTTCTTGGAATGGCGATTATCAACTCCAGGATCTTCTCATGACTGCAAAAGTGACCTGGACAAGTGAATTCCGGGCAGAAACAACTGTCGCCGTGCAGGCTAGACACGGCGAGATGTTCAGTGCAAGATTGGTCTTTGTAAGTGAACTAAACCTGTTTAGATTACTAAGTAGCACTTTGCAGACATCTCTCGATGGGCGTGACACATCAAAGAAGCTTCCGATGAATCAGTTGAAGCCGAAAACTCCGTGGGAAAGAGTCCACCACAAACAGCGCGACGAAGTAAACACTGCTCGACCGCCTCTTCCGGATGTCGAATCAATTGAGATTCCGATCATCAAAGTACGCTTAAGCTAGTCGGTCTCCACAGTAATCACTTACTTTCAGGAAGGCCAAGTGTCCGTTTCCTCCACGAGGGCTCTTTGCGAGCTTGTTGCACAGCCGGAACACGAGAATCCGTACGGTTCAGTCTTTGGAGGTTTTCTGATCAGAAAAGGTCTTGAGACCGCCGAATTGTGTGCTCGGAAGTTCGCTGGCGACGATGTGAAGATCGTTTCTCTGATGGAGGCTGAATTCATTAGAGTTGTGGAGCTTGGAGGAATCCTTTCGTTCGAGTCCTACGTCTGCAACGTCAATAACAACACCAAGCAGATTCAGGTGAGCACCGGTTCTTCGAAAATCTGCCAAAGTCAATGTTCCACTTGTAGGTCGTCACCATCGCCAATGTTTACAATCCGGAAACAAAAAAATTCGAGATGTGTGATCGCTTCTGCTTCAATTTCGAATTCAATAAGAACTCGGCGCTCCCCGAAGTCGTCCCCCAGACCGTGCAAGAGTTTATCTCCCAATGGAAAGTGAAGCAGATGCGACAGAAGGACAAGGATTCCCGTCGCGAGGTGTTCGTGTCTGGCTCCGCTACCGTCATTAAATAATATGATTTCATTGAAAAGTTCTAGTCCCACTAGAGTTTCTACACAAGATTTCTGTCAGCAGTGATATGATCGCTGAAAAAACTATTTCGCCTTCTCTTTGTTATTTTCCTTAGTTTGTCCTTGGTTCAAATTTATACGCAAATAAATGTACATAATTTGATTTCAAACTCTTGAGAGCAAAGAAATTCATTTTTTGAGCTGATCGTCTGAATTGAGCCGGTCAAAAATCTCGGTTTTTGCTTCCTGATTCATTTTTGTTCGGAGACATTGCCCTCCCGCTTATCTTTTCAGTCTTCTAATTGCTTTTTGCTAATAGATTTTGTTTTGTCGTCTTAGTTGGCGTGATGTTCTCATGAAGTCAGATGTCAAATTTATTAGAGAAGATAACAATGTCAAGACAGCATGAAGATCCGAAAAACGCAGTACACGTACAAATTTGTTTTATGTCTTTAGATTTGGAGGGTGCAGCACTTGGAGGAGCCGCCGGATTTGATGAATTCGCTCATGTCAACAAAACTGAAAAAGGGGGAATTTGCATAAAATGGGAAGGAAAGGACATACCGGACTGTGAATCCAAGCTTTACGAGCTTGTTGGCAATCTCATCGTTCCCTTGGTGCATAATGACGTTCTGACCGACGACGACGGCGTTGCAAGCAAAATTGCGAGCCTCCTTTTGAGAGACCTGAAGCCGAGACAATGTTTCCGTATTTCGCATGATTGAATAACTCACCTCAATCAAATCTGTCTCGTTTCTCATGTTATGACGGGTAATATGATCAAACGCATATGGGTAATAGATGGCGACATTTTCGTTGAGTGGGCAGAAGGCTGTGTCAATGTGGTAGAATCTGAAAACATTTGAAATGACTCCACTTTCTAACTCTTTTCGATGCAGCTCCGTTATTATGATCATCGCAAAGAGCAGGAGCGAAAATCTTCAAAGATTCATAAACAAACCTTGGATCGACGAGTCGGCAACCAATCACTTTCCAGTTCGTGCCATCGTCGAGTTTATTTGCAACATCGCGAAGTGCTCTTACGTCGGTTCGGGTTCCCACGCCCATGAACAGAGTGCGCAATTGATCGCCGCCCCAGAGAGCATCGCCTGCACCTGTAAATTTGATTTTGCTCGTATCAGTAGATCACGCGACCCACATACTTGTTATCTTGTTATCAACATTTTACAGAGTTTGCTCAGAGCCAGATAATGTGGCTGTGTTTTTTCAAAGAAACGCAAATTTCTTCTGTATTTTCGTGTTAATTCGTTCTCACGACTACACGATTTTTAGAAAAACAATTTCATTCAGATAAGAATGAGAATCTAGAATACGAGACCATGTGACTTTGAGCTTTTTTTTGGGTATTTTGGTGACGCGTGTTGACTTTGTGGGTGTACTACCTTTAGCCCCATACAAAATACCTCACAAATACATCTCAATTTCTTTCTCAATTGCCTGGTCCATTAATGACTCTTGAAATAATACCTGTGTGCTCAGCGACGTAAGAACGTTTTGTTTCAAATGAAATATCAGACTAGAAACATTGGACTTTTTACGCCCATCTTTTGTGTAGTCTAATTCAGCTGAAGCTCCGGTTTTTGATTTGTGATTCACCGGGTCACAAGTGGAATTACTAATAGCTGCTTATATGATCCAAATAGGAAATTGGCATGATATGGGGGCGCGTCGTTTTTGAATAGACGTAACTTGATCGTTCAGCTGAGGGTCCCACACATTTCTCTCGAGCTCCTCGCTCTATTCTCGGACTTACCTTCCGATGGAATATCTTGATCTCCGACGCATTCATAGCCATTGTTCGTGAACCATTGCTCGTAGAAGTATCTTAAAAAGATGACATTCGACTTTGAAGGGTAAGTTCATGCCAACCTTTCTCCTTGTCTTTCCGGATGCGCGAAACTGGCCAGATATGCTTTGTTTCCTTTGATAATGGCTGCATTCGCCGCAAAAACAATATCCGGCAGGCTTTCGGCTCCCTGAAATGAGATCATTTAGCATTTTAGATGAGGGTTTCTCGGCTCGCTCCCAAATTCTGTTCCTTTTTTTCCTTTCTCATTTTACTAACCGTTGACTCCATCACTTCCACTTTCGCTCCGCTGTTCTCGATTGTGTTCTTGAGATAGTCCCATTGCTTCAAAGCTTTCTCCCGATTCACTCCTCGTTTCATATCCATCCACGGGTTGATCGAGTATTTCAACTCAAAGTGAGTCGGTCTAACCATAAGAATCCTCTTGACATGGTGCTCGAGAGTACGGACAAGAGTTGACGACGCCATTCTATAAAAATAGATGAATGATAAGAAAATAGGCACGTAGGTAGTATGTGAGAAATCAAAAAAAGTATTGAGAGGCTTGAAATCATCGAAACAATCGGGGAAACTGATTGTGGGCCTTGTATTTATACCACGCGATAGTTGATCTGATGACGTCTTCGCCCTCGGACTACTTCGACTTTTCCCACCCACTGCAGCAGGAAACTATAATTTACGACGTCAGATCGTTGGATCAGATGGTTGTTTAGATCGGTACATTTGGGTGCACAGTCCGTTTCGGACGTTATTCGTTTTATGATCTTAGTGATACTTGATGGAATTACGGTAGGGATCAGGAGAGCGATGAAATAAACTGATATTCATTTGCTGCCTCTTATATAGTGTGTCCGTGTAGCAACTAGAATTCCGGTCCATAGAACAGACTGCGGGATGATATGACTGAAAGATCATTAATAAAAACAATCTGAGTACACTTTTTGTCTCTGAAACATATACATACCAAAGAATTTCTAGTTCCTAACACACTAGTCTTTCTTTACTCACACGAAAACATAGGCTTCTGCAGTTGTTTTGCTTTGAAGCCAAACTTTCTCACCGACAGATCAAGTAGTGTTCCTCAAACAACGTGGGCCCCACATCATATCGAACCCGGATCATACGATACAGAAATGTGGTCAACACCGTCGTTTGACTAATCAGCGACTCATCATGGATAGCGCGTGCTATTCTGTTCTTTCACGTGAAGATCGTTTTGATACGGGTGTCATGATCGGCAAAAAACTTGTTTCGTTGTAGGTGGCATAAGTGATATTGGATGGTCGTTTTGCAGGAACCGTGGGAAGAATCAGATATTAGGAAGTGATGAATTATTCTACGGGTTGCATATGAAGAGATTGAGCCGTTTGAGCTCAGCTACTCCGGATATGAAAAGGGTTATGAGAAATGAAAGGGTCTCATCATACTTTTGTATGTCTGGCAAGCAAGATCGAAAGTTCTAAACAAGCGCTAAATTTTGATTATGACAGAGTAAAAAACGTTTATCAATTAATTTTCATGGTATGCTCAATCTTACATCTCACAACTTTCAGACCACTCATGGCTTCAAACACCACATTGCCAGAATGGTTCGATCCTATCGAAACGGTTATCAGCTACGTATTTATGTTTGCATCTTTTGTAACAATCATGCTATACTGGATGGAGATTATAATTCTTATAACATTAAGGAACTCCATTTACAAAGGTCTCTTCAAATGTTTTATCTAAATTTCAATAACCTCCTTTCTATAGGGATGTTCTACCAGATCTTCACAGTTGGTATCATAGTAGATGTCATCAGTCTAGTCAACAATTATTTTGGATGTGTGTTCCCAGCGAAAGGGTGCCATCACTCACATTGTTTTCTTGAATAAGTGTCAAATTTCAGATGGTTTTGGGACTTCTATTTGTCTATGGGAACGTTTGTCGGTCAAATGTATCTCATGATTGCATGGACCGCCCGTGGGATCCAGGGATGTACTGTGGTTGCGCTAGCTCTCAATCGGGCCACTGCTGTTTGTCTTCCGATCAAACATAAACAAGTACGTGGGAACGCGGTCCGTTTGAACTTGAACTTTCGATTACAGATTTGGAACAACAAGTACATATCGCTTTTGCATGTCTTCCAACTGGGAATTGGATTCTGCATCGGATCAAGTCTAATAACTCAATCTTTCTATTGGAAATTCGAGAGGAACGGGTAATCTGCCAAACCTAACAAATCCTATTCGAGTTAATGATGGTTCTGATTTCAGATTCTATATCCAATTTTACAACAAAGACTTTCGACGCCGATTTTTTATGGCCGCATATGTGATTGAGACTATATTTGTGGCATTGATCATGATAATCAATCTAACCATGGTAGTAGCGTTCAAGACGAAATATCGAATGGTTCGCAGAAAAAAAAAGAGAAAAAATGACGGATAAAAGTGTGTTATTGTAGAGACTGACATCCCAACCTCATCTGAATCAAAAGGTGATGAACGAAAAACAAAGGCAAGAGTACAATCTATCCATTGTCGCCGGATTGACGTGTGTGGCTGAAATTATATACTATCTTTACGTCATTTACGTTTTTGGAATTAACACTAGTGTTCCTACAAGAGTGGGTGTTCTCTAACGGGTACCTGTCATTTTCTTACGTTATTCAGGTTTTCTACCTTCTTTATGACGTCATCAACGATATCTACTGTGGACTTTCCGGATGGTTATTGTTGATATATTCGCGGTCTATGAGGGCGCATGTGACAAAAATGATCCGGTACTGATGATGTTTTCGAACGTGTAGAATCATACGCATTCAGATGTCCGATGTTTGGGTTCCGACGAATGAGAATAATGATCCCTGCCGAACAACAGTTCTCTTCGGCCACCAATATAGATGCCAACAAGAACACTTCAAACCGCAGGGTCCCTACCTGCGGAACACCATGCTAACCTCTTCCGATCAAACGATTTCTGTACATAATGCCTCTATCCAAAATAAACGAGTCAGCTCTTAACGAACACGCCAGACGTTTTTCCATCTGCCGAGCGGTGTCTCGGTATCTTCCTTTCGCACAATCTTTGCAAGCCAGTAGCCCCAAAATGCGATTACACATTGAATGCGGGGCCGTCCGCCGTCCACTGCAAGGTCACACTCGCCCCCGTCCGCCTGCTCGCCCTGGTTCCTTGCATATCGACCCGGGCCACACACATACATACAAACGCACACACACACACACACAGACCCGCGCACACGCACGCCACCGCCACACGCGTCGCGGTTTGTGAAAAACGAACAAAGAACTTGCCTGTTTCTCCCTTTTTTCATGTATACTTCTCCTTCACCGTTTACGCGTTCTCAAATATCTTCATTTCAAAACCGAAACACTACAGATAGCCAGCGACAAGAAGAATCAACCATGGGAAGAGGAAAGGACAAAAAGCCCCGCCTTACCAAAAAGCAAAAGAAAGCTATGGAGACTGAGGAGAACCAACCATCAACCAGTGATGAAAACGAGGGTAGGGACTACTACCTGGAATATGTCAACTCCAGAACTGACGAGGAGCTCCAAACATACATTGATGCTCAGGTAACACTTTGTTTTTCACCATCATAGCGAATTTGGCGTTTTTTAGTTGCTGGAAGTGATCCTCGTGATGGGAAAAATTGATGAGGCCAAACAAGAAATGAAAGCGTTGCACACAAGGATTGGAAAACGAAGCGTTCGTGATATGGACGCTACTCAGAGGGTAGGTTCAAAACGCAGCATTCTTCAGTACCGTCTATGATCACAGGCTGAATGCGACGCGCTCTACCGCTCACATTGGCCTATCTTCAAAGCTGCCCAAATTGTGTTGGTTAGGTAAGTGTGAAGCAGTGATAAGTTGAGCTATTAATATGTTTTCAGAATAACCTGTGTCATGAAGCACTGCAGAAGCCGAGCCATCGATAATGCGAAATGCTTCGAAGGACTGAACGCTTTAGAAGTGCTGAAACTGCGGCACGGTTGTCTACCTGTCGTTGATCTGGATGATGATGGTCTCGCAGGATATGGAGTCGGAGCAATCCCATGGCCAGAGAACAAGAGATTGGAAAAGAAAGAGGAAGTAGTCGCCTTTGTGGAAGCAACCAAAACCTGGATCGTAGCCGAGGTATGTTGACTGACTCGAATTTAGTTAGAATCTAATTTAAGTGAATTTCATCCTACTGACTTATTCGTACACACTGTTGAAAACAAGTAGTGTAAGATTTATGTGATCTGTTATCGCATTACCTAATTTTGTTAGGCTGGGACACAACAATATCTCAAGATTAAACGCCTGTTTTTTGTTTTAGCTAGCAATCTTTTTTGCTGACTTGTGAACAATCCTCGAAATTGCTACATTTCAGTGTGTTGGCTCGATTTCGAATCATCGCTATGAATGCATCGACATTGATGACCAGGAAAAAAAGGTGTTCACAGTTGCCCGGAAGCAAGTGATTCCGCTTCCAAAGTTCACTGTGAACTATCGCAAGTACCCGCATGTGGCGCTGCCTCGGAATGCCCGAGTGTTGGCTCTGTTCCCCGGAACCACATGTTTCTATGAAGGTAAATGGTTGATTGATATAATGTAGTTTTATTGCGATTTCAGGAAAAGTGTTTGCTCCGCCAGAGACTGCATCGGGCCACTACCAAATACGCTTCTATGATTCATCCAGGACGACCAAGTACTCGGAGCCACAGGCAGTATCTGATCGTTACGTCATTGCGTGGAAAAAGGATCCAGTTATGTATGTGAGACCGGAAAAGCGTACTCAAGCTGAATCGAAGGCAACTGGTGAAGTTAAAGAGGAGAGTGCAAAGCAGGTTGATGAGAAACAGAAGAAGAAGAAGAAGGCCCGCAAACCAAAAGAAGAGGAAGATTTAAAGTGAGTAACAGTCAGCACAGGGTACATTAACAATAAAATGTTCCAGAGACGTTCCGGGCCCAGCACCAAAAGCTCTAGTGTCGTATTACGAGTCGCCTGATGAGGACGAATTATCGTTAAAGAAAGGCAGGAAAAAGAGGACTGCGGACATTAAGCGAAAGACGATCAAGATGAAGAAGCCGAAAGTTCGTCGTGCTCGAGTTCCGGAACATAAGAAGAAGCGCTCAACCAGAATGTTCGGAAAAAGACGGCCGAAGAAGAAGACGTTGACAACGGAGAAAGTCGCTGTGGTAGGAGCGGATGGGGAAACTTCAAAGAATGATGAGGAGGAGGCTGATGAAGTGGAAGAAAATGTAGACGGCTCTTTGGGGCAGGGCCAAGGTTCCGCCGTTCAGTCCCCAAGAGCAACAGATCAGCAGGATGTGGGTGAAGAAGATAGCGATGCTATAGAGCATGAAGACGAGGAGGACAGTGACCAGAGTGAGGAGGACGAGGAGCAGGAAGAAAAGGATAACGAGGAAGACACTGTTGAAGCCGATGAAAAGAGTGGCGATGAACAGGAAGACGAGGAGGAAGAAGAGGATGAAAAAACAAAAAAGGATACTAGTGATGAGAGCGATGACGACGATAAGGATGTGCCAAGTACCTCCGCGCTCAGACCATCGTCAGTCTGGAAACACCTTGAAGAGGACACTACCTCACCGTCGGCTGAGTCTTCGTCGTCTTCTTCTTCTTCTGAATCAAACTCAGACGATGAGCCAGACAGAGGCGACAGCAAGCGCAAATCTGTCGCTGACTTTGGATTCGAGGAGGAAGCTGATGACTAATATGAATTATTATTTTTAAGCATAAATACGTATTTAAAATCAACATCATAACTGCTGTCATTTGTAATGTCATCTCAGAAGCGCCCGATTTCCTAAAAATGTTTTTAGAATCTTCTGAAAAAGTGAAAATATCAATATTTTTGTACTCGAACCATGCTTCTTTTTTTTGCGCATTCATTCTCGACTATCTTAACCCGCTTCGCTTCAAATCCATCGAATAAATAGAAACAAACATCTTACTTATAGATAAACTTACTTATAGAAACTTATAGATGAAACATAAGAGGTGTATGTCTGTCCTGACCGTCACACGGACTCCAGATCAACGCCAGCAAAACCGTCATCTTGCACAACGGCAGGGTCGTTGGAATGATTCTAGCTCCTTTTTTGTTGAACAATCTTCTGTGAATCGACCTCTGCCTGCGAACCCCATCCATAGTCGGTAACCGACTTACATACATGAAAATTCTAGAAACAAAACTTTATTGTCAACTCGAGATAAACACATCAATCGTTATTCTGAAACTTTTGACCGTTTTTGCAGAAACGGGGATTCAGTTGCTCTCTTCTTGCCGCGATAGGTTCCAACTAATTCGTCGGGTACCAATTGCCTGTTCTCTTGTCCTTCGTCATTTATACAAACGATAATTCGGGATTCGCACGATACTTCGAATCCTCTGTCAGTTAGAACAGTTACACGAAACATGTACCCATTAGTTATCAACTGCGAGTCGAATGACGGGCACATCTTCTCGCTCAGATAGAGAGTGATCGGAACCGACTTCTTCTGATTCGGTCCTAATTTCAGATTGCGGACTCCAAGCTCGACGGGTTCCCGACAATTGCGATTTTCCGATTCGTCTAATGAACACGGGTTAGTGGAAAAAACCGAGCATTGAAATCGTTGCACTTTTGAGTGATAATGGGAAATTTCGAAAAGGGTGAACTTCATGCCCTTGATAACTTGAGGGCTTCGATTGCGGACGAGCGCCTTCGCATTGAGTTCTTCCCCTCTTCTGAAGGTGCCCTTTTCCATTTCCACCTGTAAAACATGCAATGAAAAGAGTCAACAAAAAGGGAACTTGCCGTGAGACTGATCTGGTTGTCACCGGGAGTTTCCCACAAGAAAGGACAACTGCTAAATGTTAGAGGCTTCATATTGTCTTTTCTTAGTATTATCGCGTTATCTCTGGGAATCACTAAAAAAAAATTTTCCCTTTTTTGTTCCACTTCACCATTACCGCAGAACTGTTCTGTCACTTCACAGTCTCCCATTTCTAAGCGGACCTTGTATCCGATGTTTCCATACTTGCCGCGAAAAGTAGGAGCACAGTGCTCTGGAAGACAAAACGAGAACGCAAACATATGGTCCCCGGGTGGAAGGATTTCCTGGAAAAAATCATCTGATCACGTGAAAATTAATTGTAAAACTGACCTCGCCATTGGGTGCTGTCCAAACAGTTTGCTCACCATACAGATATGGTATCTTGTCGTCGTTTCCATCTTCAGATACTGCGGTATCGGCATATCCACTCCAAACAATGTTTATTTCTTCTGTTCTGATTGGAACATTGCTAATGAATTGAAAACGGCCAGCGACAACTTCTCCAGGAAAATACTTCAAACTTTTTTTGTTGAAAACAGCGTGTACTTGCAAGTTTTCCGTGTTCATCGCGAGTGCCATTTTGGAGCAAAGAAAAGTGAATAGAATGAACTGTTTGACAAGAACAGAGAACGTATCGTTCTTTCCGTTTTTTATGGTTTACAATCGATCGTTCTCCGACAACCAAAGCCGTGGTTTTATAATGGTATTCCATGTGATCGCAAAACCTTTATCACACTGAAAAGTAAACAGAAAACGTATAAACTGAAAATCTAATCGGTGCTTCTTCACCTGTAGAACATGTTTTCTGTAAAACTCCTTCTGATGAGATACAAAATGTCATCCGAGCATTGAAAAACCCCTGCAATCCAGGATGTGGAGCCATTAAAGTGCGCTTCCGAAGTATTTGCCTGGGAATCTGATCAAAAGATTATATTGACTTCAGAACTTGATTAGCGAAATACTTTATTATGCAAATTAAATGGGTAGTAAAAAAGAGAATTACAGAGATTGTGAAACTTTAACAGATTCTTCCGATCGGTTCACTCTTCTCACTATCTCATTCACCGAGTTCATCTGGAATGCCTTTGTTCTGTAGATGTACTCGACAAGTGTGGAAACAAGTTGTTCGCTAGTTCTCTGATTATCATCGAATCTCGGGAGGAACTCGACGATTTCCGTGGCAATCAATTTGGTCAGGTCGATCGTCAAAAGGGCTTTGATGAACTCTGACGCGTTGATTCCGTCATCAGACGGAGTTCCCACTGCAGGGGCAAAAGAGACGTCGAATCCGTCGAGATCAATGGAAAGACCATATCCAATTGTGTTTCTGAAATACATTGCTCGTTTTGCTGTATACTGTTGAAGTTGCCGAACCTAGACACCAGGTATTGTGCTTCTTGAAGACAGTCCTGCACGCCCCTCTTCTCCACTTCGTTGGCGTAGAAGATTCTGACCCCGAGTTTCTCGAGAAGTTCCTGTAACAAAATGATGATGATGATGATGACGAAAGTGATAAGAAAAGTTAATCATCAATCACGACTTCGTTTGTCTCTCTTTTTGCCCAATCTTTTTCTCATTTTCAAAAGATAAGAGCGATCTTTATTTCTCCGGTTTGCCAATTTCCTACACCCATCTTCTGACGGTTCAAAGTGATACGAAATAGTCACAAAGTTTTACCTGTTCTGCCGATTCGTAATCTCTTATGCCGATCATGCAAAGATTGTGGGGAAGAAGTTTTGGGAGACGGTCCCCGATGCGGCTGAGATTCTTGTCTCCGAATCCGAGAAGATGAGCAACTGGCATTCCGTGAATGTTTCCAGTGTCGCTGGATTCAGGAGTGTGCGCGTCCTGAAGAAAAACAGCGTTTTTTCTGGTGTTTTTCAGAACTTCTACTATTCCGTTCCAAACTTACCATGTGCGCATCCACCCAGATCAGTCCAATATCTCCAGCCGGGCGCAGAGCGGTAGCAACCCCACTCCAGGTTCCGATTGCGCAACTGTGATCACCTCCAAACACCTAGAACAGACAAATAATCCGATTATGCTGTTGTTCGGTTTCTTACAAGTAGTTCCTCTTTGTTTTCAATAACCTGACGGGTTTCGTGGGCGAGCTGACGACATGTCTAAAGTCTCCTTTCTAGAAGGGATACTTTAGAAGCGAAATACCTGTGTCACTCCAGTAAGTGCATTTGCGTGTCTTCCAGAGTTTACTTCCTCGATGATCCTCCCCCATCTCAAAGGAATCTTGTCCTGGACGTTGGCAAAGTACGGAGACGCCTTAATGACTTCCACAGCATTCTCACATCCGAGTTGTCTTCCAGCTAGTCCGTTGGCACATCCGATTGCCTTGATGATCTGTCTGGCGAGTTGAGATGTCTTCTTCATTCTATAAAAAGAACGATTACTGTAAGGGGAGAAGAAGAGATTGATGGGGAATCACCCTCCGTTTAACGGAATCACCGACAGACTGATTGAGATGCGGCATCGACACGTGTGGTACCGTCGGAAGGGGGCGGGGCGAAAACGAGAGACGATGATATTGAACGATATGTAACGTGTCGACGCTATGGGAATTTATCAGATAACAACACCACGTGACTGTCGATAACAAGCGAGCGGACGAGTTCAAGCGATTTGAAATTGGAGGAGAAGTGCATAGATACCACGTGCATGTGGTCGACCACTGACTTTCAGATTTCTGTTCAGTGCAAGCTATATCTTCAAGCTGGTTCAATTTCTATGAAAAATAAATTCCGTTTTCAATTTTAAGGCTCCGAACGAAGTTTGCACACCTGGTACCCTGACTTTATTCCCCTTTCATATCAGACATTTTTTCTGTAGCCGTTTTCACAATAATTGTTCTTTGAAACGGAATAAATGATGCAATCGTTATTTCATCATTTTCACTTCAGTTTCTCTAAGTTCTCAAAAATGCTGATGTGGAAAACAAAAGCAGATCTTTTTTTAACTACCTATTTTCAGACGATCTTTTGATCATTTGGAACAAGAGTGTTGCAGACAATGGGGAAGACCTATTCCAACTAGTTTGGTCGCGTGGTCGATGGATCCAGAAAACAAAAAGTATGTATGACATCATTCCCTCGAGTTTTGAACATCCATTCGTTGCTCATTCATGGTCCTATGTGTTTCTTAGAGTGTGTCTTCGTTGTAATCAATTTGTCAACGACAAATCCTATCCTTATTCCATTGAACGAAAAATCAAACACTCATCTTTGTCGTTGACAAAACCCACGTGACGTATTGGGAAATCCCTCTAATAAATCAGCTGTCGTATCAATCACCACTATCGGCCGTAATCTTTATGCGCACGGGGGAATCCCCTTTTCCACTTCTCGGAAATGACAGACAATTGGATAGGATGCCGTCATCTGCGAAAACCAAAGGAAAAGTGAAGCGTATTTCACACAATATTCCAGAAATTGAAATTTCTAGAATTACACAAGTCGAACGGATGCGTTACCGCATTGCTGCAGGAAATTTTTTGTGAAAATTCTGAATTTTTCCCTGATTTCCATGTAAATTTATATTGGAAAAAGGATTTTCGAGTAAACGAAAAGTTGTTAGACTTATCTAACACGCCAATAATACGAAATGTTTCTTTTGAACCCATAAGAAATGATTTCATATTCCGCATTCCGCAAACGAAAATTTTTACTCCCGCGGATCTCTAGTGTTCGTCGTCTACTAGGGACCAGGCAGGGAATGAGCATATGAAAGGTCGGCTCATGCCTCCTTCTCCCTTTCCCTCTCTCTCTCTCTCATTTCCATGACAACCCCTTGCACTCCGTTCTTCCGTACACAACAATTCTGGGCTCCTATGCATCTAGTGAAATGCTCTTAATATACTGCATTTGTATTTTGTTTCTATCTGCTCATTCCCAGTACAGAAGTCAAAGTATTCCTTTCATCACACCGGACAATTGCACTCGGATTCAGTACTACAACCGAATTGCATTGAGGTTCATTTTGGCTCTATCTGAGTAATCTGGTTCCAAAGGCAGAATCCATAATAATAATCAGGACTCAAGGTCGACTTACAGCTTCCATAATAATAAAAAGGTTCCACATATACAGGTCCCAAATATCAAGAATAGGCAGGATTTAAAGAATACACAGGTCCCAAGAATAACCAGGTTCCAAACGATTTCGCTCATTTTTTGCGAATATTCACCTATTTTTCACGCGTTTCAAAATATTCAACATTTCCGTTCATATTCTTTTCTGGTCCCACTTTTCCAATGACAACGCTTTGCAGATGGATAGTACTTGTTCTTAAGCTATATTTATCGTATTATAGGGTTTCACCATTGCACGTAGAAGTACATACAAACATTCTCAAAGAAAAATCAATACACTCTTATTCACAAAAACAAACTCGCAACCGCACATACGCGAGTCTGTTTGTCATTTACTGACACTATTATTTGTTGTGTGTCATACATTTTCTTCACACATGCCATCAAATAAGTCGTCACTCCTGCCCATTCTTGATATTTGGGACCTGTATATTTCTGGAACCTGTTTAAATGGAACCTGTAAGTCAACCTCGGGTCCTGATAATTATTATGTGACCTGGATCCTGCCTTTGAAACCAGATTACTCAGATAAAGTCTTCCTTTTTATCTTCGTCTGATATGACTGATCAGCTTTCTCAGATGCGAAGTTTGTCCCAATGCCACAGTTCCTTCTCCCGATCTTTCTTCGTGTGATTGTGGAGGAAATAAGAAGGAAATTGGGAGAAACGGATTCGTGGCTATTTGCGAAGACTGCCCACAAGATACTTTTTCTTCTCCGGATCGATTAGAATGCATTACTTGTCGCAACGGTTCCTGTGCGTGTTCCCCACACAATGTTTTGGTGTACCGCACATGGACGGGTCATAATCTGCCTCAAGACGCCTTCTGCGACAGCTGCGCAGCCAGATTCTCAAAAAATATTGAAGGAGAGTGTGTCAGGTGCAAGGATTCCTGTCCATGCGAGGTGGTATTCAGATTCGACTTTTTTTAATGGTTTATTTCAGAATTGCACAAACTCGGAGCAAGAGTTTACGAGGATCAAACTGCAGAATGGAATTGAAATGAAATCAGTGTTTGTTGAAAATCATCTACCCACAGCCATAAAACTTTGTTCCGAAAAGAACATTCAAGCTTGCGAAGTTGGTTAAAGTTGAACTTCTGTTTGTACAAAAGTAAAAAAGTTTCAGTCACTTTTGAATCTTTGTGTCCTCCAAAACTACGACTCCTCTTATGCTCTCAGTGCCTGTGGACATCTAGATACTATCCGACGATCCTTTAATCCGTGGCAGAACTCTTGGGATCCAATGGTGACGGCGGACGACTCCGAGTTAGAAAAAGAAAATATAATTGAGCACGAGTACACATTTGAATCGGATTCTTATATTGAATTATTGTTTTCGAGGTAAAATTGCATGTATTCTTACACATCAGACAGTTTTTTCCAGATATGATGTGAATGGAACGTTCGAGGGCTTTTTCTCTTCTGACGTCGTGCTCCTCCACTTTTGCGGAGACCTTCTCAGACCCTATGCTCCATTTCGTTTTGGGAGAAAGTTCAAAAAGGAATGCAAACTTCGAAAAGCAGCAGTGGCAGACGCACGGATTGCAAGAAAAATGTTTGAAGCACATTTGAAGTTTACTGATGAACAGGGGAAAGTGAAGGTGAGATTGAAAAAAAACGAACTGACCTGTGAACATAAATTTAAGATCTACCCAGTTCATGTTCTAAACAGTGCTGTTCGCCAAAACGATCAACTTCTAAACTTACCCAACAAAGACCGTAATCGCTGGACATTGTTCCGAAGATTCTATCTTTTTGATGATTATTCTATGAGTTTTGATAATTCGTCAAAACTCCTCAGATTTGCGGCCAAAGTAGTGGTCAATATAGTTCTACAGGTAAACACTTCAAACGTGAATGTCTTAACCAGTTTGTTAGTTTTAGAGTGGGAGAGACGGTTACATAAATCCTCCATACCTTACAATTGAATACGATGACTCATCGGAAAAGATTCTGGAAAGTAGTTTGGAAGTAGTTTACCACAAGGATCCATCCGGATATGACCAGAAACTTGTCATTTTCCTGTCCGTTCTGATTCCGCTCTCCGTATTTTGTTCGGCCGTTTGTGCGTACAGTTGGGGACGTCGACAAGGCAAACCTTCGGCAGTGGATGCCTCTTCCATCCTTTACTTTTGGGTTTGTGAGGTCTCCATGCTTGGCGACGTCTTTTTTGGCCTCTTTTGTATTATCGCTTGCTGGATGACTTTTGCATACAAAAACCAAACAAACATAGTGTACAATGTCCTCACCGCTGAACAGGAGAGTTCATTGTTCCATTACATCATTGCCGCTCTCTGTCTGAAGTTTGTTGGATTGCTGTTCACAATGACTGCATTAGTCTTCCAAGAAACTTTCTTTATCGATTGGGAAGGACAGAAGCTGAGACAGGTGAGTTAGCCAAAAGAATCATCAGCCTTATCATGGTTTTCAGAGTGATGATCACGATATTCTTCTCTCCCGGGATATTGAAAAGTCATCAGTAGCCGAGCCGATGGTTGTGTGGAGAACGTATTTGATTGCGAATGAGTGGAATGAGCTGCAGCAGTTCAGAAAGTCTTCGTTGGCTCTGCAGGCCATTCTAATGACTCTTTTGATGGAATACTTCCAGTTCAAAAACTATGCATTGATTGAACCGAAATTTACAAGAAGTAAGTCGATTTTAATTCTTTTTCGATCACTGGCATTGATAATTTAGACGGTATCGATTCGTTGACAACTCAGCCAACTCTGATGAGCTCCTTGGCTGTGACAATGTTTACTTACCTGACCCTTGCTTTGATTCAAGTCCTTGCTCAAGTTTTGGTGGTCGAAAGAGTGATAACAGATCCATTCCATAACTTTGTGGATCTGTGTTCAATTTCAAACATAAGGTAATTGACGTTCATAATTTGATTGCACTCACAAATATCTTCAGTGTTCTTTCCCTGACTCACTCACTTTTTGGATATTACATTCACGGTAGGTCAGTTCATGGAAAAGCCGATACTGGAATGAACGAAATGAATGAATTCTTGCAAAGAGAAAGAGTACGTTAATTTCATGCATCAGCCAAACATCTTTTATCTTGATTATAGGAAAACGTGTGTGGGAGCCGAGGTCTCGAACCTGGTTCAGAGCTTCAGACGTTTTCTGTGAACCTTCCCCATATGTTCCGTTCGAAATATGATGAAATATCCGCTATTTCAAAACAGAGTCTCTCTGGAGTTGTAGGCCACGAAGCAGTCACAGCACAAGTCAGTTTCATCTTGAGATGCACCAAACTATAAACGCTTTGTTCAGATGAACGCGACTGTGGAAGCACATGGCAAGATGAACACTTTTTTGAAGAAATTTGTAGATCACTCACTCATCGATACAGACTATCTAGTAAGAGAACGACCGGTTCTCGAGGCTATTCTCGACATGGAAATGAGCGATTTTTCAATTACTGGCGCTTTTACAAGGTTAACGTGTTTCATACATAAAAAGTACAACCTAAAAGTTCAGAGACCCGACGGAAATCGCCTTTTCTCGATGTTTTGTGTATGGAAATGAATGGGCATGGACGTCTTTCGAATGTCTGGCTGTCACTGTCTTTTTTATTTGGTCCGGCTCTATTATCCTGGCGTGTTTTCTTGTTTACGCAATTTCTCACGCCCTTCGTCTTATCTTCGGATATTTATCCACAAATCATCTAATCAAAACGTCTCTTGTTGATCAGCGTTTTCTTTGCTGATTCTATTTTTTTAAACAAAAAGTGAGCAAAAAATGAAGATGTTTGAAAAATGAAAAATGTGAAAAAATGTATTTGTTGCCTTGATTGTACTAGAAATCAGAAAAAGCGGCAGGACTCGAAATAGTTATTAAAAGCAGCATGCAACATGAATATTCAGGTCTACAGTAACACAAGAGACACGAAGGGTCGGAGATAAGGAAAGTCACTTTGTTGTAACATTAAAAACAATTAGTATTGTTTATTCAACGTTTTTTAGATTTTATGGAAGCTTCTATGCGGTACGTCGGAGAGAGGAAAAGAGAGACAGCATGAAACATGGATATTCAGGTCTACAGTAACGCAAGAGACAGGATTTTTATTATTGATCAACTATCAATATACCTGAAACTGAAATGAGACATCTATCTCCGGATTATTGTCACTGAAGATCACGCAGACTGATATCAATTCTTAGTCCGTAAATGAAAAATACATTTTTATTTGCTACTTCATTTGATGCCACTAGAAATATGGCAGAATTTAAGAAACAATGAGAAAAAAAATGAACGAGCATAACGGACACAAGAATCAAAGCTTCTGCTCAGATCCAGTTTTCGTGACCACCGTAAATGACGTCATTGTCGTCCCAATCTACTTTGTCATGTTCTCCCATTTCCACATTTATGATCTCAACCGTCCCTTCCACTTCGTTTTTCTCCGATCTGTACTTCATTGCGGCGGAAATACAAGCGGCGAAGTCATAGCACTCCCAGTGAATGGCCAACTGAAAATTTACCACTAAAATAAAAACCGAGGATTTAGGTACATGCATACCTCGAGAATCTGTGATAGTTCGCTCATCGACATGTCATTCGCCTCGCAGTATCGTCCGTTTTGAGAGTCGTTCTCCGGCGGAGTATACCACCGAATGTTTTCCAATAGGAATTTGACAGATCTTTTTGAAGCTGGCACGGTCAACGGAGTTGTCATGACGAAGCCGTTGTGCTCCCAGTTTGGATCCTACATACTGCACTGTGAACCATCTTTGAGAAGGACTAACCTGACTTGTCACAAACTTTTTGAGGCCTGGAATCATTCCAACCAGGTCTCTCTCTCGCACAACCACGCTGTTCTCATCGTCTTCGCAGAAAATCAGCAGTGCTTTTGTGTCACATGTCATTGCTGAAAAGTTTGTCGGTTCGGTGTGTTCCGTAGACAAATTAATATGGTGCAATCAAAATGTAAACACGTGCCGGTCTAATTCATAAAATGACTTTGCCAAAGTAGGCGGTGAGGGAGTTAATTTTGGAGTATTCAAATTATGAATTACTTTCAAACAAGAAAAACAAATGAAGACAGACAAAAACTGTTAAGCGGCTGTTCACCATGCCAACGGAAGTTGGGTTGGTGCCTTATATGGATTATGCGTCGTTTGGTCCTCTGGCTGTTTTCTTTTCTCTCGTTTCTCTGCCACCTTATGGGTATTGATCGCTGGAAGCTGGGCAACAATGAGCAGAAACTGAAGGAGAAATAGCATAAGTGGAACAGGGAAAGGCCGGCACAGGCTTTTCGAAGGCCTGACGAGGCCAATAATAAACTAGCCAACAATTATCAATTCAACTCATGGGAACCTGAGTAAAAAGGAAAAAATCACTGATATGTGAACTCGTGGTTCTTATTGTGAAGTAAAGTACAATTGGGAAAGCCCAGATTATCGAAAATCCCTGTTCCAGACCCGGTCGGCCCGGATTCATAATTTTTGAACATTTTTTGGGCCGATTTTTTACTCGGAAAATGTTGTCTTTAATTGAAATAAGCTTATAGAATCCGGAAAACGTAATTTGCGAACTTGGCCCAAACTCATGTTTTGAAACCCTGCCAGAAAGTGTCTTCCTGCGAATTGCGTAAAGTGGTGGACTTCAGAAGTGCAACCTCTCCAGTTGTAGTAGTCCAGAATTGAGAATGTCTAGTGCAAAATGTCAGAAAATCTTCAAAACTCCCACAGTATGCCTTCCTCCTCTGAGAAATGCCAATACACATGCGGTAAATCTTTTTGTTTTCGCTTTCAACGACTTAATTGAATAAAAGGGTGTCGCTAGATTCAAAATAAAACTATCAGGTTACTTACTTCCGAGTGGTTGCGTTCTCCTCCCACTGGTCTTAATTCCGGAAACTTCCGAGTTTTCTTTTTTTTTATTGTTTTTTTTCTGCAAACCAGGAAGACAGATGCATATCCGGAAGGATATCTGAAAAGAGAGGACGATACGGAAAGAAACGTCAGAAATGCGTTCACAATTATGCCATTAAAAACTTATAAATAAAACATGGGTTCTATTTGAGTCACTGGTAGAAAGACACGTAGATGCTATCCCTATATATATGTATATATCTCTCTCTCTTTTTCTTTCTTTCAACTATTCAAATAACGCCCCCCATCAAAAGTTCTCAGACTAATTAGTTCCGTTGTGCTTTCCTTCGTCACTTCATGTCTTATGCAACCAACAATGAACTCATCTTTTCAATTTAAAATTTCTGCATGTCTTATGACTGCATGTCTTTGAAAAAAGGAAATAGTGTGCGTATCTATTTGACGAATCTCTTAGTTTTCAAATTCAGGGCATCGGTGCACTTTTCAATCAAAATCTCGTGTTTTGTTTTGCACTCCGACGGCTTTGTGTGCATTGCAAAAGTGTGTTCTACTCTTGAGCTTTGACGTCGTCGGCGCCTCGAAAATCCTCTTTCCGGTGAAGAATATCTTCTGATGAACCCGAAAGTTTGTGGTGGAGAAAGGAGTAACAGAAGCGCCTTTCTCTTCGCTTTTCCTTCCAAACTCGCTCGTGCTCCACCAGATTTTTCCATTTCCAACAGACTGATCGCTTCAAGATTTGTTCCAGGAATCTTTGAAAATTAGTTATAAATATGCAAAGAGCGGAAGCGGAAAATAGGAAATCCAATTATTAGATTGATTACGTTGATAGAAAGAGAACATAAACGTTCGTTTTTGGTCATCACAGATTCTTTACCGAAAACGTCACTCTACGTTCTATTTCTATGCTCTCCTACAGTTTTTCATTGTTTTTAACAAAAAAGAAAAGTCCAGTCGTTTTCAGACACTCCAAATAAAAATTCATTGCGATCTGTGCAAACATTGACCGTTTTGCTCAACTGTTGTTTTCATCGCAGAATACTTCTCACTGTGACACTTGATTTTCACGAGACTGCCTACCGTGATTACTTTCAAAAGTTGTCTTGCATGTCTGATAACATTTGAAAAAAAAGAAGGTCAGTGATATTTATATTTCCTCCCATGTTTTCCCTCAGTCGCTCAGACATTCTAGATTTTTCAGAGGTATACTTTCTGAAATTCACTGCAAAGATATTAAATGACTTATGACACCTGTTTTTTTGGGAAGGAAGTAGTGTCTCCTGATTTCATCAAAAGTGTGAGAAACCGACAGATCTCTGAAAACTTCCAACTTCTAGCCATTTCCTAGACATCACTCGGTCTCATGAACCACTTGTTCCCTTTTCTGCTGATATTGCGTTTTGTCGGTTTCCATCGTCGTAAACAATTGGGCAGATAGATCCGAATCAGCAATGTTTCATAAATCCAATCTCAATTTAATTTCCGTTTACTTCCCGCCCTCACTAAATTCATTTCACAATCACTTCAATACAAAGTTGGTCGGCATTTCTACATCTACTCTATGATTTTTTCAGGTCTCTCTTAAAAAGCCTATCCAGACGCGCATATACATTTATGATGTGTCATACATACTTGAAAAATTGTTTTTCTCAAAAGAAGTGGAACCGAGTTCCATTCACATAGTGTCTTAAGGATATGAATATGTTATCTTGAGGAATGCGTACTGTGAGCTACCATTCAATCAAGAAGGTTATTCACAAGGATCAGCAGTCTCTGTTCATCGAATTCTATATAATCCCTGGGAAAATCGGCTCACAGCTCACTCAGATAAGTTTCAAGTTTCGGCGCTTTGCGGCGAAAACAAAGTGTGCTGTCCTCCCACTCAAGCAATGTCGCTTTTCCGGTCTGAAATTTCATTTCACTCTTCTGTCACCGCCGCTTGTTTTTGCGCCGTCTAAAGTTCGTCGCTTTGAGTGACATTTCCATGTTCAAAAGTCAATAAATCCACCCAAAGTGCACATTTGTTCTATTCTCAGCTAACATTTCTTCTTGGGAACCTCAAGTATTGATAGGTCCGTGTCGGGCGGTGGGTGATTTTCAAGTGGCGCCTAGTATGACTACAACAAAAGTGTCGGTGGCCGATACTCAAAGTAGACCAAAAACTAGCACGCGCTTCTGCTTCTTGAGACGGCTTCTCCTAAAAGAATACTCATTATCCTCCTTCCGCCGTGCTGGATTTCATTTTTCACATTTGTCATCTTATTCAATTAGTTTTTCAGAATGTGAAACAGAAAACAGTTTTATCTGAGTGGCAATCGGAAAATTTTGCCGTCTTTTCTGTGTCCAAATGTCCAAATTCGACCGTGACCTGCTCATTTTATGCATAGCGTTCGTTTAAAGCGGCCCTACACTCAATGCATTTTTCCATCTTTAGCCTGCTGCTTCCGAAATCAATCCTGAGAATCGGCGCTTGGTTTTTAGATCTTGCTCACGATGTCACGTAATAGGTCAGAAAGGGTTTATGTACCAGGAAAAGCCCTCTTGCCATTTTCTTTTATTAAGATTTATAATTCAAGAGGCGAAAAATCAGTCTCTCCCTGACGTCAATAAGGCTTTTCATCTTTTACTTCATTAATTATCACTTATAATCATCGCTTCAATCAATCCAGTCGAAAAGACCCTTCTTGTCTGCCAAAACTGCCGTCTTTGCATGTTTTAAGAGAGAAAAGATTTTTAGCCAAAAAAAAAGCTCTTTTGCTAATCTTCTTCAATAATCCAACTCATTTATTTACAGTTGGGTGCACAAAAACAGAAGCTTACTCACTCAATTAGGATGTTATGGCCCAAGAGCCGAAAAATAAACACAGTTTGCTTCAAAAGGCCACAAATTATAGACAAAACAATGACAAATCGAGAATTCACCAATCACAAAAGTGCCATTTCATGATTCTCAAATCATGGGCAACATCCATCACCTATTTCAGCCATGAATTCCGTGGAATTTGGATTTTCGTCAAGAACCTTTCAGTTCTAAACACTGGAAGTTTTCAGACGTTATAAAAAGATGTTTGTACTAAGTGCACTCAACGACACGATGACGAATCGAGATTCCACACGTTTTTCTCAAGATTTTGAGGGCGGAAAGCTTTAAAACATCCGATTTCAACAAATTTTCTTTAGTTTTCTGTTACCCTTTCGAATTTCTAGTGAGCTATACGGAACTGAACTAATGAAATTGCAGTTGCCCTTTCCAAAAAAGATATGTATATCAATTTTTCCAGGAACAAATGTAACGAATTTACGTTCAATATAAAAGTTTGTATGTTCCTCACACTTTCGTACACATTTATCTCTCCCTCCTCACAATTCAATATAACCTATCTCTAAAATTTTATCCGCCAGGACCATTTTCATCAGTTTTCCATTTTAGGCAAGTCGAGTGTTGAGAGAAAAAAGCGGCTCCCTCTTGCCCAAAAATTCGAGTGGTCTGGGAAGGCAGCAGAAGAAGAGTTTCTTTTTCGTGCCATTCTGTCTGTGCACGTTGAGACATCTTGAAATTGGTAATATAATTAGAAAGTTGTCTTCTTCGTTTTCATTTGCTCGATGGACAACTTCTTCTTAACAACACCATTTTTGTGGGGGAGGGCATCTGGTGAAACGCCCTCACTTTTTTTGTGTGGTTCATTAGTCCATAGAACATCTGGGTCTACCGCTGCAACTTTCTGAATGTCGTCTTGAAAAATGGGAACCGGAAGTTTCTCGGTGCTCAACCTTTATCCCGAAATTTGTCATCGTGAGCCAGCAATTCCTGGGTTCAGGGGCCAATTTTTCATTCTTTTTTGTCTGCTAGAGTCATTTTTCATTTTTTGTGATCTTTAGAGTAATTTAGGCATCTGGCACAAAGAAAAAAACAAACCCTATAAAGAAACCTAATTTCAGCCTCGAGATGAGAGCATAAGGAAAACAATTTAGTTTTTCTCTCCAGGCTGGAATTTTTCCTTTCTATTAGTTTTCTCACTTGATCTGTAGAAACTCTCAAAGTGGAAGAGATAAAGATAGACTTTTGTTGTGTACTCTGAAGTAGTCGAAAGAGTCTTTGATCTTGTTTTTATCTCAAAATATCCCTTTCTGACGCCGTGTGTGTTAAACAAAGCGTACTCAAACTCAATTTTCAAGTTCCGTCCACTCTTCCCTATGTTGCCAGTTCCTCGATATGCCACGACTATTGGAATCGAATATCATTGTTTTTCTTTCACGCCTTCATTCTGCGAAAGTCCGCCGCCGTCGCGCACTTTGATGAATGATCTTTATGAATTCGGTGCATTGTTTCATCTCATTTCAATGACTAATTCTGGAATATACGCAATTAAAAACGCTTCGATGCGCAGGAAACCATAAACCAACTCCAGAGTTCATTCCTGACTTCTTGTATTTTTCCTTTTTTCCAAGATCCGGGGTGTGTGCATTTGACTAACCAGACTAATTAGATTGACAAGCTGAAAATGCGAGAAATGTGTTCCTGGGTCGGAAATCAGAATAGACTGAGTTGGAAAAACAGCTGTACCGGCCGGGTCAATCATCCGACACCTTCCGGGTATTTTCTCACGAGCCATTTGCTTTGAGCTCTCCGATTTCAGACAGACTATAAGCTGAAGCACGTTCAAGTCGCGCCGCTCATTCGACAATCAGAGGCGAGAAGAAGGCGCCGGACGGACGGACGAAGGACCCTTCTCACCCGCCCGTCCTGCTTTTCCTCCTCCTTCTACGTCGCCCCACTTGTTTTTTGTTTGCAAACAAACACGCCTTTCAGAAGCTCACTTTTTCCAAGGCTTGAAAAACACATATATCAATTCATCCTCGTGACGATATGCTACGCTCAAATTTCGTTTTGTTTTTGAGCCGCCATTGTAGTTTCTTGAGAAATTGTGGACTTCCTGCTCCTCCAATGTCGCTCTGGTCTACAATCCGTTTTTTTCTGCTCTGCTTTTCCTTCTCTTTTTCCTTTTTCTGGTACCCATTTTGTAAGCTGATCCGTGTTCTGATCTCTCGTTTTTTTTTGCATTTCCATTGTTATTGGACCAACCGTTGGACAAAACAAATCTCTTTTGACCATATTGATAGTAGGACTGTCTGGACCTGCGCTCACTTAAAAAAATGTACACCCGATCTCTGAGAATTGGCGGCCAACCCGTTCACACCATCTTTTTTATCCGTGGGAATAGATTTTACGTGTTTTCCGCCCGTCATCTTCTCCTCTTCCTTCTTCTTCTTCTTCTTCTTCTTCTCCTTCTTCACTTTGCTTTTTTGGGACGAAATCTCCACAATTGACGTATGTTTTTCCCGGCTTCCTTTTTTCATTTGCACGGTGCAAACGGGGTATTTTTGAGCCGATGAAGAAAACATCAAATAATGGGACACGGGTGGCCGAGAATGAAGAAAAGGGGTCCGAGACTGACCTCATCGGTTCGTGCCCGATCCGAGCTGCGTTCTTTTATTGTTTTCCGTGTTCTATGCATTAGTCACTATTACAATGAATCCTTAAGCATGTTTTCTTTTTTCTCTCCTCGAGATTTGTTGCTGACAGTGACTAGACTAACTCCACCACCCTCGCCAATAAATATTTACTCCCCCGTCTCGTATCCAGGCGTCAACTTTCGGATTCCATTCATGAATTCAACGGCTTTGTAAAGTCTGGCTGGATGGATCTTTGATTATTCCGCTTCTAATTCAACTAGTCCAAGTGGTCACATGTTCCCTAACCGTCAGAACTTTCATCTCCATCTCCTCCTTCTTCTTTTTCTCAATCTGATTCGTCGCGCCTCACGTCTCCGGCCTTCCACTTACCGCTCCCTCTCCGCCTATTTTGTGATCTCATCTCCAATTTTCTCTTGGAGACAGTGCTCGATAATCAGTTGGATAGCGTCGCTGTCTGGGACCACCTCTCTGAACCTCTCAAATTCCCATTTTCATTAGCTCAACCTAAAAAGAATCTCTGCCTCTCACACGAGTAGATTGAACGGGTCGTCTTTCGGCAAACTGAACAAAACACATCTAGATTCTTCCGCATTTTCCGCCGTCACCAGTTTCCGGGACAGTAGCTGCCTTTCCCCGTCGGTTTCCTGACGTGCCGATGTTCTAGCCATCTTTGCCCTGAAAGCCTCCGGAGAAGATTTCGAAAATGTGGGAAAATAGCCAAGGGCAAAACACGCGTTAGCACCGAATATTTCTGGCGTACGTGTGTATGTGTTTTGCGGAAGTTTGTAAATCGGCTCAAAAAGTTTTTTGTTTGACTTTATCCCAGTTTTCAGAAGCTGTTTTGAGCTTTTTTCGAGCCGAAAACTCAACAATTTCCTGTCTCACCCCGCCTTTGAAACCGGAAAGTTTCAGGTGTCTGATCGATCCGGGAAGGAGATCTTTGTGCAGTGGACGTGTGATAAAAATGCGAGCAAAAACAACAAAAGTGGCATTTGTGTAAGGGTTGTCGGCGGGCAGACGGGCTCGAACACTTCTCAAGTGACAGGGTTCATAATTTCTTTTCTCCCTCTGCTTCCTTTATTTGCAAAAGTGACTCAACCGATGGGAATTCAATGAATAGGACAATGTCTTCGCGACGACGGTTGTTTTGTTCCTTATTTTGAAAACTAATCTCGATGCGGTTTGCTTACCGTTAGTGCATAAGGTTTATCTTTGCAAAATCTGTCTGTTGATTCTTAGATTTCAAGTCGTTTGCTCTGACTCTCAATTAAGAACAGCAGAAGAACAGAAGAACAGTAATTAAGGACAACGGCTTTTTCCGAAGAACAAAATACAATTTCCGTTCTTGTCTCGCTTGATCACAAATGAGTAAGCCCAATTTCCTTTTCCTGTATGATATCACCTTTGCTCACGCGGCGCCAGGACATGAATCATTCCGAGTATCAGTTTTGATCATAAATCTCCTTCTGTTCTCCACTCTCTCTCTTTTTCTCTCTCTCTCTCTCTCTCTCTACCGCGGGAAACATATCGGGGTCTGAAGCAAAGGGCGGAGTCTGGTGAAGGGGCCATCTGAAGCCGCCCTCGTCTTCAATTCAAGCTTATTGTTCGTGCTACACTTTCATGTTTACTTTTCAATCAAAACTTTCAATATTTTTGTTCCTTTTTTGATAAACCGAGAATCCCCTTAATGTCCGACCACGTTCCGTTCCCCGGAACAAAAGCCGGGTCGTTTGCAGAGGCACACTTGCGAGGTTTGTGTTTTTATTCTATCCGTTCATTCTGTGCATTCAATAGAGGAAAAAAACACAAACACGTAGGAAAAAAAGAGAAAAGATCCATGTTCAGCAACATTGGCTTAATTAATCCGCTAATTAACTCTGATTATTCGCTTTCTTCCCGCTTGTTTTGGCACTTGAAATTCCAGAACGTTCGTTTCGCACAGACACTCGACTGGCGCTAGTCAGACCTTCGTGCACCACCTTTCTTCCGCCTCTTTTTCAAGCCTATTTCCTTTTCTTAATTGCTTTTATTCCGTTTCTTCTCCTTTTTGTTGCTGTTTCTCCTATTCAAATTTAATAGGCTTGTTTTGAAGCTTATTATTTTAACCAACCACACACACACCCACATACTGTAATTGAATTCTAGAGAAAAGGTAATAAAAGATGGTTTGGAGATGCTTTCGCGTACACCATAAACAAGTTCTATTTTGGCGCACTAAGTACGATCATCAGACATTGCACTTTTTTTTTGAAAATTTGAAGAATGAGGCCGAAAATAGAAAAAAAACGTGAGAAAGGTGTGGGCGGAGAGATATGAACATAAATTAGAATCGGAAGTTGGAACACTACTGAACGAATTCTCTGGTATAAAGAGCCAATGCTCAGAAATCAAAGACGAATTCATTTCGAAACTTTTTCCCCGGATATTTGCTCGTCAATGCCCTTGTCCTGAACCCTTCCAGCTGATGGTGGTAAAGGGCAAAGCTCCAGAAAATAAAAAGTGCACACAAATGAAAGATGGCTGTGCCAGATTGTGCGAACATTGAGATTCTCATTTCCGATACCTCCCTGTCACGTTGTTCCGTGCTTTTGTTCCGCCTCCGTGCCATCCAAAATGCTGCTGATCTATTCAAAACGAGCCTGCCAAATGCTTTCAAATCGTTTGTGAGCAGAGGCACCCTTTGAAAAAGACTCAAATATCAAAGTGATGAAAAATTCTAGAAGAGTTCAGAACTCGCTGTTGTCGTCAGATTTTGAGAAGAAGCAAAACGAAATAGGTCCGTCGAACACATGTAATCTCTGGGATAAGCTTCTTTCTCTGTCTGAGTCACGTTCGATTCTTTCCTTCTTCTTTTTTTTCTTTCTTTCCCACTACTCGAAATTAATTTCCGTTCCTACCGTTTCCTTTATCATGATTATGTGTCAGCCCAAAGGCTCATCGCGTTTTATTGCATTTCTGTGCCATTCATTTGGCTGAAGCAGCAATTACACGACTGTCAGTCGAAGAGAACCTTCATGAATGGGCATCGAGACGTGGGAATGAAACGAACGGAAAAACAAACGCAAATACTTTATGGTTTCAGTCATGGTGGCAGAAGATTTCTGCCTTTCTTCTCCTTCTTTCTCCTCCTTTTTCTCTTTCTCTTTTTGTTGTTTTAAACTGGAGCATCTTTTGGAGAGCGAGAGCAATCCTCTTCCGTTTCGTTCACCATCCTCACTTCATAACTTTGCACAGATTTTTCGACTGATAATCCCAGAAGACCAGCTCCGCTCTTCCCTCGGCTCATCCTTCTCTGCCACCTTTCTTTCAGCGCTTCCTTATGTCCACTCCATTTCATATTTCGTTTTTTAGACCTTCGATGAGCTTGTGAGAATGTGGAATCTGAACTGCAGTGAAAGCGACACGAAGGTGGCATGCCTGAATCTGGGCGAGGCGGTCCTCACGATATCCTCAATGCTCACTGTTATGCTGGTGAGTAGTTTGTTGATCGATGAAAACACCAATTAAAATATTTTGAGTCATGCGGATCTTGGCTTCCGTTCCCCCCCCCCCCCTCACGTCTCTGCTGATTTATTCCTTTCTTTTATGTTTTCTCAAAACTCGCTTGCTCATTAGTAAAACTACCATACATTGGAGTCCGCAAAGCAGGCGCACAAGGAAGTAGTTCTCTGGGGTCATATATACGTGTCAATTGGTCTGACTAGTGCGTTAACATGCTGCCAATGGATGATGTGAACCGGAAACGGCGATATTCAAATAGAATTATTCCAGATCATCATATTCGGCAACTTGCTTGTTGTCGTCACTGTCTACAGGGACCGGAAGTTGAGGATGCAGCGTCAGAATTGGCTGATCGTGAGTTTGGCCGTCGCGGATATGCTTGTCGGCCTCTTGGTTATGCCACTTACTCTAGCTTACGAAATTGTCGGAGAGTGGACACTAGGTGAGCAACACTCGAAAATAGAGAGGAAACTTGAACTCTACGGCTTCCAGGGACCGTGCTTTGTGAGATCTGGCTGGCACTGGACGTGCTGTTTGTCACTGCCTCTATTCTTCACATTTGTGCAATTTCACTCGATCGGTACTTCTCTGTTACTCATCCACTCACGTATCCGGCCACACGAACGCCTCTCCGGATGTTCATTTATATTGGTAAGGAGTGTTCGAAGACCATAGAACAAGGGACCGCTTTCCGAACAAACAGGAAGCGGGTAGGGTATAATTTGTTTGCACTTATCCTTTTTTGAATTGAAGACGATCACGGTGACTTTTAGGTGTTTCGTGGATTGTCTCTCTTCTCATCTGTCTTCCTCCGATCTTCGGATGGAGGCCAGAACGTGCGGAAGGAGAGTGCTCGGTCAGCACTGACATTGGTAGATAAGCTTTGCAAAATTGCAGGAAAAATGACCGATTGCTTTCAGGATATGTTCTTTACTCGTCCCTCGGGTCTTTCTACATCCCCGTTGTCATCCTCATCATCGTCTATGCAAAAATCTACAGCATCACGATTCGTCACAGCCGCCAACGGCTGAAGGAGACCGAAAGACGAGACCACACGCTCAACATGCTGACTATTCGCAGCAGCACTAACGGTGAGTGAGTGGGAATTCCCTGCCACCGCGCCTCTATTTAACAACGTTTCTCCCCCCGCCACAGGGTGTGCCGCCATAGCTCAGTCGGTTAGAGCGTGGGTCTAATAAGCCCAAGGTCGCAGGTTCGACCCCTGCTGGCGGCAAAACCTTTTTGATTTTCTTATTTTTGCTAAATATACATTATAGAGCGATACAACATGGAATACGAGTTGGAGGAGAACTCGGATCCAGCTGAGGACGAGAAAGATAAGCCCACATCCAACCGGGATGTTATTAACAAAGTCTGCTGGCAGTTGAGAAAGATTTCCGAGGAACTTCCGAGACAAGGCGTTAAGGTGAGTGTGAGTGGATCCAGAATCAGTACTCTCATTTATGCTTAGATCTCGCTCGACACAAATCACAACAGCCCACCAGCGTCTGATCTTGCGCGGAAAATGGAGGAGAAAGGTTTTTGTGAGAAGAGAAAACGAAAGCTGAAGGCCAAAGAGCGACAGGCGACATTGTTGCTTGGAATTATTCTGTCCGCCTTCATTTTGAGCTGGCTCCCATTCTTTGTGAGTTTGAAAATGACTAGAATCGTTGTGAATTCCAAATGTTTCCAGTTGATCTATGTCATTGGCGCGTTTGGCCACGAAGCTCCGCCATTGGTTTTCAAGTTCTTCTTCTGGCTCGGATACTGTAAGCAACTACTTGTTTCGAGGACTTGTTTCTGATTTTTCTGATTTTTCAGGCAATTCTGGTATCAACCCGGTGATCTACACTGTCTTTAACCGAGAATTCAAACGAGGACTCTGCAAGCAACTGCACAAGTTTGAGAGATTTATTCATCCGCTCATGGAGCTCTACAAATGATATTTTATTTTTCACTGTTCTTGCCATAGCTTCAATTCTAACAGTTTCGGGTCGTGCCATTTCCACAAAGAATTATGTTCGGCTTGAATTTCATAATCAAAAACGAAAACGCAATCGAAATGGGAATCCGTTTCTATATTTTGTTGAATTTTTCGAAACAATAAAAAAGTTTCTCATTTATTTTATAAAGTGTAAGCAGATCAAATAAGTGTCAACAAAAAATGAAACCCGAAAGGTACAAAAGATAATTTAGGTTAAAGTGGGATATTTTTAGAAAACAAGGTTGGATAATGATTTTTACTCAAGAATTCTCGTCTCGGACGTCACAACAACTCGCTCGTGTCGTCTAAATGTCGATCACTCCTCCGCGTCTTATTATTTTTACGAAAATACCCTTTCCTCGCCTGCGCCATCGCGTCTGAGGAATTACTTCCTTGACCCTGAATGACCATAAATAAATGTTGTTTACCCTCAACTGTTATTATGCAAAACCTCGGACATTCGCCGCGATTCGTGTCTCGCCAGAGTTTGGTTCGGGTGCGGCGAAAGTGTAGTCTTGTTTGTGTTGGGACCAATCTAAAGACGTGTCAAAGTGTGAGAACAAGGAAGAAGGAAGTGCCGGACAAGAAGCGAAACTCACATTGCTTTCGAAATAGTGACTAGACTTCCCAGAACTTTCCTCGCTACCTGAAAACAAATCAATTTGTGCCATTAACAAGAAATTGCCTAATTATAATTACTAATTTCGGTGCTCGAGGAGTTATTGACGACAATTCGTGTCGGGAGCCGAATCGATGACGTGGTCCGTGTCGTTTGTTGTGAATTAAGTGAATCAATCGACGACGATGATTGTTTTTGGAGCTGCAATATGGGGGGTAATTGAATGGGATGGAATTCCAAATAGGATCACAAGGTTCAGAGACCGGGAACCTTTTTTTTTCTGCCAAACCCTTTCTCTTTTCAATGCTCAAAATGCAATTATGAATGTGCCCAAAAAGCAACGTCAATGAAAGAAATGAAAAAAAAAATGAAAACAAACGGTCAACGTTTGCTGGCTGGGTTGTTTGGGGAGAATGCTTGGAGCTACTGTCAGGGGAGGTGAATTGCTTCGTTTTTTGATTGAGATCTTGGATCGAGCATCTGAAGACAGAGATTCGGAGGACGACATGATGCTGCAAACGGATCGGACTTATGTTTTTAGCGTTTAAAATACCTTTGAGATTCAGAGTTTGAATGTTTTCTTGGTAAAATGTTGACTGACGCTAACGCCTTTTTCTGTATTTCATTGAGATGTGCTAATTGAACCGCATTCGCTCTGTGGAAGGAAACGGAAGACGCTCTGCGTTCCAGGTGTTTCAGTTTTTCCCTTTCTTTTGATATCACATTTGCAATTGCTGAAAATGTCACGTTTGCTAAGGGGGTCTTCGCAAATAAACACTGACGATCATCGGAAAAGACGGGTGATTCAATTTTTCTTGCACTGGCGGTTCTCCTTCGTTCTTCTATGAAAGCGTCAATCTTTCGATCTTTTTCTTCTTCAGTTTGCGGATAGACATGCGTTCCTCTGTCGCCATCGTACTTCTGTAAACCTTAGATGAAAGCTACAGTAATCCCCAAGTTCTGACTAAAAATGATCCATTGATTCCAGCGGCGAGCCTCCTAGCCAATGCAATGTTGACCCCTCCGCGCATCTTTAACGATCCCTCTTCCCGTAGACGTACTAAACCGGCTGGGATGTTTTCTGGTTCCTGAAAAGTGTTCAAATTTTGCTCCTATTACTGTTGTGTCATACTTTTTCTTTCCTAGGTGTCAACGGTGGTGGTGGATTGGAGACGGCCAAGTTCAGAGAAGGCGGAGGAAGTTCGTCCAATTCGCTGCTCGATGACGTTGTTGCCAAACTTGTTTTTGACTGAAATTTTCAACCGGACGTGATTATGAAACGTTTTTTCTTTCTTACTTCAATTGGGCTGAACGCTAGTGCACTTGTACTTGACGATTTCTTGAAGCTCTTTAAAAGCGGTAACTTTTTTTATTCTGAACAAGGCATTTGGTTCTCACCTTGGTTGTGCTTTTGAAAAGATCTTGATGGGATTTGGGACTAAATGCGGAAATGAATTTTTTGGCTTTCCGCCAACTTTCGTGCCTATTTCCGTTCTCTTCATACGGTAGCGTTGAGAAGTCCATCATTGACCTTCCCTTTCTTCAAGAAACACAAAGACGTGTAGATTTGAATTTCAATGACTTACGTGCGAATCCGATTCGGCAAGAACTGTCTGTTCTCCTCACAGTTCGAGAATCTCGGTGACTCTTGAGCTGGTGTGGTCATAGTCGAAGCCTTACGTTGTATGATTTCATGGCCTCAACAAAAATCGAAAAATGAATCACGAAAAGTCGCTCACTTATTCTTGCAGTGTCTGGTGATCGTTTGATGACATGCTGAATGTTGACATATTCCGGTAAACTTGTACTCCTTTGTTTTGCATTTGATCCTAAACTCCTTCCATTCTGTCTCATAAACCCAATGTAAGTGTTACCAAGATTAGGAGAGTTATCATTTGTGGATGAAAGCACCGGTGATGATGGAACGCCTTCCGCCACTTTTTTTACTGGAGACATTACAAAATGTTCAGGCGGCGGAATGATCATTGGCTGTTGCGAAAAACTGCTTTCCGGCAGCAGTCCATTCAGGAACTTCAGACTCCCAATGGGCGTTTTCAAGCCGGGGTTTCTTATCCCGATTGTGTTGATAGCGGCCCTGAAAGATAATTTATAGGAATAGATAAGAAGGTCTGAAGGATAATAATATTTTCTCACCGAGACGAAAAAATCTCGCTCTGGTTGATGGATGGCGATGTGGGATTCATGTGATGGAACCATCCTGTGAAAGTTCCGGATAGATCGGAGATCGAGTCCTGCTGCTTTCGAATTCGTATCTGGAAAAGGATTATTAAAACTGACGATCAAAAAATGAGTCACGTTATGCAGCCAATCGCCCTCCGCATTCTTCTTATTCAGGTATAAGTTTAGTGATCCATCGTCTTCGTTTGCTTTTCTGAGTAATCTCGCGAAAAAGTCGATGGATGGGCAGCACAGGATGAACTCTCCCTCTCCGTTGTGAGGAACAATCGTGACCCGATGGGTGCTGTGATCGGGAGTGATGCTAGCCGCAGAGACTTCACAGTAAAGCAAAGTCTCCGCAGGAATACCGTACACCAGAGCCAGGCGTGAATCCTGAAATAGCAAATTGGCTAATCTTCTGTTTTTCCAGTCCCATTTCTCACGTGCAAGTGACATCTGACTTCTCTGTTGATAAACGACGGATTCTCCTGTTGATTCGGAAACTTTAGCAATTGCATGTAGTGTATCGTGCCTGTCAAAATCAACCATCGTCAGACGAACATCATCAATCATACTCACTCTGGCCACCAACGTTTTTGAACCATGTCTCCCATTGTAAAAGTGTTTCGGGAAAGTGGAAAGAGAGAACGATATTATAGTCTTTGGCGATAACCGTCAACGTTTGATTTTTGTTCTTGAGAGGGAAACCTGAAATGAGGAGAGGTATAAACCAATGAAAAAGGTCGGTTTCCGATTCACTTTTCTCAAACCCGATGTAATTTCCAAGAAGCAGTGATTGTTTCGCTTTATCCCTCTGCCGATCTTTACGATTTTTGTAGAAGGTTAGCAGTGGGTCTTCCAAATCGCTTTGTAGTCTGCAGACGATGTACCGTGGCTCCCACTGCAAATAGAGAAGAAAAAGGAATGTATAATTAATTGATTAATAAATGTTTTGTCGATTTCTGTCCGATCTGATTTAATTCAATTTCATCTCGCTAAATTAGCGTGTTTTGACCAGTGGATCAGCCATCTTGCCGTTAACAATATCAATGTCAAATATCAGAACACATGGACATACCTTTCGCTTTTCGAACAACTTGCAATGCGACTCGATGGATCTGCCATTGTTGTTCAGCTCGACTCTTTCCTTCATTGTATCATCTACAAAACAGCGATCACAGACACATCATCAGACGGGCAAAGGTGATAAAAAGTTCAAGAAAGAGTTGTAAATCAAGGTGAGAACAAAAAACCGTTGAACACGTTATTGCGCACGTAGAAGGGAGAGATGATTGAAAGGGGGGATGGGTCGGAAAAACCGGCACACACACACACACACACACACAAAAACATCACACACTTACTATGCGCGGTGGGGTCTTTAGACAGAAGAAGATAGTGTGGATGGGGAGGCAGGAAATCGATAAATGGCAGTGATAATGACCGGGGGGATATAGTGTTATTGGCGAATCGGCGAAGGCACAAGTGACGACGACGGCGGCGCCACCACAGACCGGTATTACGATGCGTCGTTTCTCAATTTCTCAAGATTCTTACAATTTCAGAATTTCAGCGCTACGAATTGGTCTTTTTGGATGCGCTCAATTTGATTTTGAGTGCAATTATTGTTCATTTTGATTCGGGGGAACTGTGAATTGTGACAACATTCAAAATAACAACATAACAGACATGTGAGGATATGAAAAAGGATTATTGGATTTACGCGACTTTCAACAGTCCACAGAACGCACTGTCCTCCGTCCGGATCGTTGCTTCAGCTATGCGTCACAGTACTCCAAGGACACGTCTCCGTTCTGGACAACGAAATATTCATTGCATTTGCCTGTTACCGTTTCAAAGTTTTTCGAATTTTGCATGTGTTGCTTATGGGTTGGTTCATCAAACAAGGAAGTATGGGGGTGATCAGTCGAAGAAAAAAAGAAGACGATATTCGATGTGTCACGCTTATCTTTCAAAATGTATTTCATTTGTCGATTTTCTTTATTCCAGCGTGTAGTTAGTCATAGCGACGTATCATGACTGGTGAAGACCAATTCATATCCGCCGGTCCGCTCAGTCTTGATACAAGTTCTAACAACTTCCGTCGTGCCCATTTCTTCTTCCTCTGTTTCCTCCTCTCTTTGTTTCACATAAGAAAAAACGTCTAACTCGAAGAAGCTAATTTGTAAACGGCCGGCGCTTGTTTCGTTGAGGCCTCTCGTCATTGTGCCTGTTTATTGTACCTCCGCATTGCGTGGGACAGGCAATAACTTTACAAAAGTTCGTCCCCATTGTGTGTAAACAAGTACGGGAACGCCAGCTCCATCTTCGATCACGATCATTCGTGACCTCATAAAATATTATCATTTGTTCGCTCTCACCGATTCGGCAATTTTCTGATGAAACTGTGTGCGTATTTTTCGCCAGCTCTTGATAAATTTAAAATTACCGCTACCCTCCCCCGCCTCGTTATCAGTTTTTTTGCTCTTATTGACGTCTTTTCCGCTTGCCATTGACCTCTTTCAGCTGATTTAAACTCCTAGTTTTACAATTAGTCTAAGTATTGGTCTGAATAGTCTCAAGCTTCACTTTCACGATGAAACAGGTACTAAACTAAATTAGGTCAAAATCAGTTTACCGTTTATGTTTGTTCTAGGCGGATTATGACCGTCAGTACGGGTATAACCGACCAAAAAATAAGAGTTGGATAAACAAAAAAGTGGAGTCGTTCGGAGCTGTTCTCACCAAGACAGGAAGAAACAAGGCGATTCTCCGTAGACTGCCAATTATCACTTGGCTTTTCAAGTAGTTCACGCGCGTGTTTGTACCTCTACCATATCCTTTTTTGCAGCTACCAAAAAGGAAATCTGCTGCAAGATGTGATTGCAGGCGTTACCACTGGAATATACAACGTTCCGCAAGGTTCTCACCTTATAGCTTTCTCAGTCCTAACATTATTATTTTCTCCAGCTATGTCCTATTCCACCCTTGCCGGCCTTCCTCCGGTTTACGGTCTTTATGCAAGCTTCTTCCCACCACTTTTGTACGCCATTTTCGGCTCTTCGAAGCACACCAGCATCGGAGTTTTTGCGATCACATGCTTGATGGTCAATAAGTGCCTTCAAAGAATGTTGAAAGTGGAACGCGACGCCGAATTGGAGCACAGCCATAGTAACCAAGAAATTGAAATCTGTACCCGGTCAAATAATTTTCAGAGTTCTCCGGACTAACTCTTATCGAAATTGCAACCAGTTTGTGCCTACTCACAGGAATCGTTCAGGTATTTGGATTTGAGTTTCATTATCAGTAGGATGAGTCATTTTTCAGGCCATTATGGCTTTATCCAGATGTGACAAAATGATGAAATTCCTCTCCGCACCGGCGATCTCTGCGTGAGTCATCTTCTTCAAAGCTGAGACATGAGCAAAGTTATATTGTAGAATCACATTTTCCGCTTGTTTTTTCGGTGTCATTTCCCAGATTCCGAAACTTTGTGGGTTTTCAGTTCCGGCTAGAAATGAACGTTGGTTCAACTTGTTCTATGTAAGTGTAAATTTGTCATAACCACACATGTCACGTTGTTTTCAGTCTATTTACGATCTGTTTGTGAACTGTCACAAGTCAAACCTGGTCACTATCGCTATCTCTGCTTGTGCACTATTCATTTTGATCGGATCAAAAGTGTTCATTGACCCGAAACTCAAAAAACATCCGACGTATAAGCAGATTCCGTTCCCAAAAGAGCTTATTACGGTAGGATTATGACGTTAGCCAAACGTTTAACGGATTGTTTGAGATAATCGCCGCTACCTCGTTTTCATACTTTTTGAACTTGGAAAAGAACTATGGCGTTAAAATCATACACGAGATTCCGAGAGGGTAAAAATGACCGGAAAGGCATAGTTTTCTAATTATCTTGTTCAGATTTCCGGATCCAGCTTTTCCACGAGTTGATATTTGGCCCTACATAATCCAGGATGCCGTCTCGATTGGTATTTTTCCTGAAACTACAGACTGATAATCGAAAATTTTGCAGCTGTGGTGGCGTACGCTGTTGCCATCTCTATGGGCCAAATGTTCTCGAGAATCCACAACTATCGAATCGATTCCAACCAGGTTAATATTTTTGTAAAGAACTATTGAAATCTGAGAGCTTGCTAAGGAACTCCTCGCTCTGGGCCTCATCAACATCTTCTCGTCTTTTTTCGCCACTTTTCCAACATCTGCGTCGCTTTCAAGGACTTTGGTTAACGAGGAAGCTGGTGCCAAGACACAGGTACGTTCAAGGTGACATGTTCGGGAACTCATTGCATGTTTCCCAGCTATCGGGGATCGTCAGTTGCCTCGTCATCCTTTCCGTCATTACTATTATCGGCCCACTTTTGGCGTGTCTTCCAAGCTGTGTGCTTGCTGCAATAGTCCTTGTGGTTGTGAACAAGCTTTTGATGAACGTGACGAAACTTCCGAAACTTTGGAAATGCTCGAAACACGATTTTGTGAGTGATACTATCAAGTCTTATCCAAAAATTCAAAACAATTTCCTTTGCAGTGGGTGTGGATATTTACGGCTGCAGTCACGTTGTGTTCCGATATCGCCGAAGGGGTGGCTGCTGGCATTTTCTCCGCGATTCTCACGATAGCCATCCAATCTCAACAGTTCGTTCATCAATTTGTCAATTTGGCCAATTATCATTCATCACAACATTCAGGCCGACAATAAAACAACTGGGACAAATCAGACCAAATGATTTCCGACCACTCAGTCATTACGGATCAGCCAAGGTGAACCGAAGGCCAGCGCTAACTTGTCGCTAACACTCGATTCGTTTTGCAGGAGACGTCGTTCCGCATTATTCGCTTTGACGCGCCATTGATATTCGCAAATGTGGACAAGTTTGAAGACAACTTGCGCGATGCAACTGCTGAAACGGAAAAGAAGCGAAGTGCAAGTGTGGTGTCCCAGGAGGACCCCGACTGGACGGCGATTATTCTCGATTGCCACACTTGGACGTATACGGACTCGATGGGGATAGAGAAAGTTAAGACGATTGATGGGTGCCTCAAGCAATCGAACATTCTACTTCTTTTTGCGAATCTCAAGTGTGAGCCTCTAAAAACACACGCAAAACCGCCAATCATCATGTGCTTTGTAGCTTCTCTGCGCCGTCAATATGAGGATGCGGGCTTGCTTGAGCAAATCTCTCAGCGTCAGATGTATCCATCAATCCAAGACGCGTTGGACGCCGCCCACGAGTTGCTCGCTAATCAAAAATCATTTTTCGATGTCGAGATTCAGGAGAAGCCCGTTGAGAAATTTTGAAAGCCTTAAAAACGGGAATTGGGATGATCTTTGGGAGAAGAATTAATTGCATTTCATTTTTAAAAACAATTTTGATAGATTGATTGGTACATAAGACATAATAAACCATTGGGAGTTTTTGAAAATGTCTTGTCTTGTCGAGTTACAATGAAATCTGAATTATGCAAAATGACACCCGAGAAGAGTTCCGCAACTTTTTTGTGGACACAAAATGAGCGAAACTCGTATGTTTTTCAGATAATTTCTGAATATTGCATAGATAAAAGGGGGATAGTAGCAAGAGAACAATGGTGTAGTTCTAGAAATGAGTAGTTCTGATTAAACAAGGTGAGAAATGACAAATGTGACCGAAGAATTGAAAAGATGAAAAGGCATTCAATAGAAAAGTTCAACTGGATCTCATTAACTATAGCATAGCACCAAGGGTTGGGGAACAAGGGTTTGGAAAATGAGCAATAGGGCTTCGGGAAATGTTGACGGGTTGTGGAGGATCACTTCGGTCCCGGACTCATGGATCTTCGTTGATTTTCAACGTCGCGGTCCTTCAGACTCTCCGAAATGCGCTTCTTCAGTTCCGTCGGGAAGCGATCATAGCATCGTTTGCATGTTGGCTTCATATCGAATTCATAGAACTTTGTCCTAAAATGCATTCACATAAGCACATGCGCCTCCTCAATATTAAACTCACTTCTGGTCAAGTTTCTTGTCGCAAAAACTGCATGAGAAGCATTTGACGCACCACGTCTTCTGAAGAGCTTGGAACACTTCTCCGCAGCACGGGTCCCCGCATTTGAAGCAAAGATTTCCGAACAACTGCAAAACTCGCATTTCATTTTGCAATTCAGACACTCAAGTACCTTGTGGAAGTGCTGTTCGCAGTATGGAAGTCCCTTTCTTTCGTAGTGCCGATGTCCCAGGAACGGCTTTTCGCACACGGAGCACACAAAGTGCTCGACGTGCCAGTGCTTGCCTAATGCTGCCACCACACGCTCCTCGATCGGTCTGTGACAGGCTCCGCAGATAGGAATACCCATCGTGTCGTGGCATCTCAGACAGTAGAGTTCTCCGTTCACTTCGCGAGATGCTGTTGTGAGTTCAACGCTGAAAACAGGAAGATGTGTCATTCAAAAGACATTCGGATGGGTTTCTCACCTGCAACGTTTGCATTTGAAATGGTATGGATGGAAGGAGTCTCCGCGGAACTTGATGTGCTGCCCGTCATCAATCATTGCGTGGCATTTGTGGCACACGTACCGTCCGTGTCCCGCTGCTTTTTCCCGTTCGTTGCATTCACGGCAGAGAGCCCTACAACAACACGGTGAATATGCATTCTAATGCGCATCCCGCTGTTACAAGTACCTTCCTGCATTTCTCAAGAATCCGACGTCCGCCAACTGTTTACTGCAAATCTCGCAGCAGAAGCAGGAGGGATGCCAGCTGGCATTCATTGCCTTGATCACTCTTCCAACAATGAACTCATCTGCAATATAAAACATTTACGGCTTCTGCCAGCCTCGCGTGTCTCCGCTTACTGCATTTTCCGCAGCATGGAGAGTAGAGCACATGGAAATCGTGCTCGCAGTATTTCCGTCCTTCGAATTCGAAATAGATACCATCGGGAAACGGTTCAAAACACTGAGCGCAACTGAAATGAAAAGGAATTAGTCATAACACGCGTCTGCCTGCTGTCTTACACAAAACATTCCGAGTGCCAGACTTGTCCGGACGAGTTCACCATCTGATCTTGCATCGAGAATCCATCATTACACCGAACACACACCATATTCTCAAATCCATGGGCGAGGTCGCCATTGATGAGGTGGTCGGAATCCATTCCGCCACACACCATCTATCGCTGGACCCTAGAATATTGCGAGATCGGGTAAGCACACAAAAGGTTGGCGGCGACGAGAGCGAGAGCGAGTAATATGAAGACAAATATGTACAAACAAGGGAAAGCCGATGAGTGAGCGAAAGCAAAGGTGGAGAAATGACTCACAATCAATACGACGAACGGAATTTCGCTTATTGTTGTGCTAATTTATGATCAACTACCACTAGTGATGACATGGTTATGAAAATGAGAAACGAACAGGAACTGAACAGTGATAACGGAAGGGATCGATACGGGATGGGAGTCTGTTGAGGAGAGCAAATGTGCCAAAGGTATAGAAAGCAACGGGTTGACATATGTGTAAGAAGGAGTCCGAGTCCGAGTCGGAGGCGGCGGTGGCGTGGAAGCATTGGCATTTTGTGTAAAGATGTGAAAGCGAACCAAGAGATAAGTGAACAACAAAACGTTGTGTGCAGCAAAGAGGCGGCGGATGCCGCGGGAGCCGCTGTCTCAGGCTAACTCAGGGGGAAACGTATCCGAAGCGTTGATGATCAGTATCGATTGAGGTGCGCTCAAACACATGCCAGCGCTTCACACTTGACAGAATTTTTTGAAATGGGTGAGAAAATGGGTGTTCAGACACACGGAAAAATCCGACCAGTTTTCTGTACGACCAAAATGAAATTGAATAGAAACTCGTACACAATCATATGTTTTGAGAAAGCTTTTTTGAGACACTTGCTTGGTGACCTTTTTGTAAATGTTGTGCAACACGTATAATGGAGATGAGTCATATGCGACTGTGGGCGTCTAAGATGGCGTAAAAACGTAATTGCACAAGGGGAAAGGAGGAAGAAGCAACTCAGTAAAAGAACACAGTGATATGGGCATTTATTGGGCAAAAGTGCGCAGAATGTACAACTAAAAACGAGTGAAGAAAGCGAGAGGCAACGCGCGGCGGGTTGGACGACAGCCAAGCGGGGGGTCAGACCACGGGCCGCAGACGTAACGACTACAAAAGAGTGCGCGGGATGCAAAGACGCAGAGAGGGGTTGCGTGCGTAGGGTCACATTAATAGCCAAGTATTGTTGCTCGTTGATACTCGGAACAGGACCGGACAAGCTTCTCCTAACACATGTTTATAGACAGTTGTGAGTCGGAAGTGCTGCGGAGTGCGGATTGAGTGGGATGGCAAGGAAGATTAACGGGTAAAAAGTGAAGGAGACTGGCAGATGGATGACCTTCACCTTTGCTTTATAGCGTTTCGAGTGCGGGCCTACACACCGCCTGTATCAAATGTCATCCTGCATCCTTCATCCTCCTGGAACGCTCCAGAATCCTGAATTTGTCAGCAAAAGTAAAAACTGATGTCATTCCACCATCCAGCATGACCACATTCAAAATCCACCACCTGTTGCGCCCAGCTGTCAAGCAATACATGTGAACTCTGATTTTTTGTTGTTTTTGTACCACAGCCATCCTTTTCAATTCTGTTTCAGTACAGCCGATTATTTTTTTTTAATCAACGTTTATTTTCGCTTTCTCGCAAAATACGGGATAAAAGAGATCGCGGGGGAATTCCAATGATTGAAAATGGTCAGATAGAGAGAATATGACAAGAATGATGCCTCAGCGAAAGAAATGAAAGATAGGATAGAAGAAAGGGAAAGAAAGAATCACACATAAAAGAGTCAATGTTATTTAGGAGGATGTACTGTCATCCTTTTCAGCACCAGCACGATCTTCTTTTTCATTACCGGCCCAAAGTGGTTTGACCAGTGCGGAAAGGTTGCGGTCCATCTCGGAAAAGTTGTACCGCTCGCTCATCGACTTGCCTATCGGATCAGAAGTGCTGAAAAGAAAAAGAGTTGAGATTACGGTGGAATGTGAAGAGTGCTGGAACTCACTGTGATGTGCGGAAAGAAGCGGAAAGCGGAGCAGAAGAGAAGAGTCAAGAAGGATTAGTAGTTGAAGTTGCGGCGAGCCAACACTTCCGCTTTGATAGACGCGGCGGAGACGACGGACTCGCGCGAGTCTGTCGAATTCATACTTTCTTGGCTGCCCATCACATGATGCGGATCGGCCGGATCTTCTTCCCTTGCGATTGGAGCTTTCCGTGCTCCGAACCTGGCCACAAACTTCTTTTTCATCTCATCTTCCACTTGAATCGTCGCGTTTGAATCAGTGCTTCCTTGACTGAATCCGTCACTTGATGCCGCCATTATTGTTTTGGAAACCACATTTGAGGGAGTCTGGGTGAAGAATTCATGTCTTGCAGTTTGATTTCTCTGAGATGGTGATCCTGGGATGATCAAAGACTGCGGTTGGGACGGTACGTCTCCGGGTGTCACATTCTCGTACAAACTTCGTTGAGTTGCAGTTTGTCGCAATGATCCTCCCGATGGGCTCAGCTTATGAATTCCTGGAACTTCTCGTTGAAGCTGTGGCGATTGCATCGGCAATTTTCCGAGTTGTTGAAGCAGCTGTTGTTGTTGGAATGCTTGACGGTTCAGAATTGCCTCCTCGTAAGAAAAATTCATGTGGCCATCTGGTGGAGGCTCGAAATATCCGCTGGCAGATCTTGGCAAATTGTATCCGAACAGAAGACTATTGGATTTCGAATCTTCTCCATGCAACTTGCTCATCGAACCTTGCATGGTACGGTCGAACATCTCGTATGCAGCCATATTCCTCATTTGCTGACTTTGTCCCTGTTGCATATCAGTTTCCAGAAAACTGTGCTCGTTCTTCAAATAGATATCGGCGCCTTCCACGTCCTCTGCATAGTAGCTGTTCTGTGAGACAGTCTCATCATCCTCATCTTCTCCTTCTTCGTCTTCTTCCGATTCATCTTCATAGTCTTCATCTTCCTGTCCAGCAGTCCTTCTAAACTGCATCTCCTTTCGCACGTCGTATCCTTGAGCAGCTAACAGTGCCAATCTCTCCTGCTCTTCGAAGTCATCCAAGTCTTCGTCATCGTAAATGTCCTCGACCTCCTGCTGATGCGTTTGTCCACCTGTCAGCAATACTAACTTTTTTCTCATACGAGCCTGACTTGGTTTTGACATTTCGTCGTCGCTCATGATGGCCGCATCGTCCTCACTCGAAGTATAGACGCTGCTGTTCCTCTCGATCTCATGAGTCTGGACACGGTCGTTGAAAGTGACGGATTTGAATGATCCGCGCGACAGTTCGGACATGCTGGAGTCTCTCCGGTCGCCAATAGTATTTCTTCTGGGCTCGCCATGCCCACTTTTCTTGGTTGACTCTGTCTTCAGTTTCCTTATTGAAGAATGAGTTGCGTTGGGTGGTGGGCGTCTTTCTGTTTTTGACTCCATCTCTTTCTCTTCCTCCTTTGTCCGTTTTTGGTGTTTATCTTTGGAGTTTCCAGAGTCCCTTTCCTTTTCCTTCTCCGACCCATCATGAACCTTGTTCTTTTTCTCTTTGGATTCTTTGGACACTAACGTCAAGGTGATGGTTGCTTCTGCCTTCTCCTTTTTCTTCTCCACAGTTTTCATCTCCACAGACTCATGCTCGCCAATTTCAGAAACATTCGCCGAGCTTCCTTTCTTCTTCTTCAGCCTTTTTTCTTCTTCTGCTTCCTTCTTCTTCTGGGCCTTCTCCAACTTCTTCTGCTCCTTCTCACGCTTCTTCATTTCCTTCTCCAAAGCTTTTGCCGCTTTTTTCTCCAGTTTCGGATCAGACAGTACAGAATCCACAGACTTGTTATCGCTTCCACTCGTCTCACTTAGAAGATCCGTATCGAGCTCCTTGATGATGGCACTGTCATCCGTGGATTCTTTCCGCTTCTTCTTCCCCTCTTTCACCACATTCTTCTGCTTATTTGAAACTTTCTCCCAATCAGACGTTTTATATCCCGTTCTTCCTTGATCATCACGATACCAAGCAGGATTCAAAAGCACACTCTTTGACATTTCACTCGAATCCGTTTTGTGAATTTTGGCAGGCTGTGTCGTCGGAGAGGTGGCTGAAGAAGAAGGTTCTGCGTCGACCGTGGAAGGGTGCATCTGCGGCATCATTCGGTTGGCGATCGCTTGTTTGAGCAGTGAATTAGCTCCGGTGCCGACCGCTTTGCTGGTTCGGCGCGATTGTTGGCCGGGCCGCAAACCTGAACACATGCTCTGTGGAACGACTTTTGAGAAAGTGATGGGTGCGAGTGGGTGATGAATGGATCATTATATCGAAAAGTGATGCGATGCTGGAGTGCTCACAAGGCTTTTGTTTTTGAGAACAAGAAATTTGAGGATTTCAGCTCACCTGGGTCCAACTGACTCGCTGATGTTTGGGACTGACTTGGAGCTGAGATCGGCGGTGCTGCGGAGTGAAACTGCGCTTCTCGCATGCTGTAAGGATAAAATTTACATTTCAGTTTTTGCTCAGACACAAAATAATTTAATTAAAAGTCTCAAAACTGACCAAAACTGTTCATCCTTACTAATAGGAATATCACGAATAGTGGGTGTGTAGACCCCGGCAACAAATTTGCAGCACAGATTCATAATGTTTTCTCTGGATTAAATAATGGGTCTACCGCAAAAAGTACACTATATATCATGAGCGTATCTGTGTGTGTGTGTGTGTGTGTGAAAAAGATTTGAAAAATAGCGGGAAATCAGACGAGGCTCCGTGTTCTTTTTCGCACTCTTCACGGTGTCAGCTGTTGAGCGGTGGAAGAAAAGAAAAGAAGACAGAAGGCAGTGATTGTGAATATTTGAAATTGACTTCTTCTTCTTCTTCTCTTTCTCCCTTCTCTCTTTCTCTCTCTTTTTTATGTAGATATTATGTAACAGGATTTGAAGCTTTTGCTCTTGTTCTTGAGCCCTCCCAGCGCGTTTGCGTTTGCATACAATAAAGCAATGGAAAAAGTATGCGGCAAATGTTCGAAAGCATATGGTGCATGTTTAAAGGGTCGAATGAGCTGTTTTACAGCTATCTAAACGATTCTCGAACCGTGCGATCTGTTTTATTACCTGCGGAGCAGCGGACGGCCACTGGTGGTTGTGATGCTCGGGCCGGAACCGACTTGAGATGGATGGAATGCTCCCTGAAAGATATGCACCGGAAACTCGACTCTTGTTTCTGGCGGATGTTGTTCTACGCGTACCTTTTGCCCTCACCTGAGAAGATCCTCCGCCGTGAGAATGACCATGTCCACCTCCTCCTTCGCCTCCGACCATTCCCTGCACCCAATCCGGGTACTTGTACAAGCAACATGATCTGATCTTCTTCGGTAGAGCAGGCGGTTCCTCACTTAACCAAATTCATTATAAATCTGCAGATAAAAAGTGTTCAAGCTTTTCTCCCTTCACCAATGGGATTTCTTTGTTTGTATTGGAGACCCAAGGAGTCGAGTAGTTTCCAATTTCATTTTCTTCAAATCGCGAGTGTCCAAAGACGAAGCGACACACTCAGTCCGTGGCAGTGAAACACATAATACTTGGCAGTGGTGTCGCGTTACACATTAACATCCAAGCCAAAACAGTGATCAATGATATGAAATGTTCATTTGCAAAATGTATGTGCTGGCGTAAAAATACATGGTGGCAACTCTACATTGTCAAAAATATACATCTGGAGTGGCGTTTTGTGTCAAAGATTTTGTGATGAGAGACGAAGCCGAGCGGGGTATATTGGAAGATAGAGAGAGAGAGAGAGCGTGAGAGAGAGAGAGAAGAAATAGGAAGTAGGACCATATCACATTTTAGGAATATGAAATGTTACAGTTAAAGGGAGGGAAATTGGACAGTCATGTTTAAAAGGACAGGGAAAAGTAAGTAGTGGTGGAGAGAGGCTCACCGAGATGACTAGCTCTGCCAGAGATTATGAAGTTGATTGGATTTTCGAAACTATTGGTACCAGTGTGCACTTGGAACACTCAAAGGATATCATTCATAGCTGGAGGGATTTGGTGACAAAGCTCGAGAATACATTCAAAAATGACAGGAAAATTGAAAAAGCAATTGTTTATCCACACATGTGTGAAGCGTGAATTCAAGAGGAAGACGGTTGTGCAGCTTTTTGCGTTGGAAATGCGAAATTATTGTCACTGCAATTAACAAGTGAATGGATGTGACGTCTGGAAGGAAGCGTGTGGATTCATGTAGAAACTTACACTTTTGGTGGGGTTCTTTGAAGGAATGCACTGAGAAGGTCAATCGGGAATGGGAAAATGATGGTCGAATTCTTTTCGGCACTGAAAATGGAATTATAAATAAATGATAAAAAGGTCAATGGAACCGTACGAGATGCTGTTCAGTGTTTGTAAATAACGCAATTGGAGGGCAGATGGGCTCTCAGCAATAACCTCAGCCGCTTCTTTCAATGCTCTCGACGCTTTTTGTTCTCCTTCGGCAACAATAACCTGGAATATCAGTGTTCTCAGCCTACTGAGGTAGTTGCCATGAACCCACCTTTGCTCTGGCTTCACGAGCAGCCTCAGCTTCAGCAGCCATGGCCCTTTGGAGTTGGACCGGCAGACGAACATCCTTCACTTCGACTCTCTCGACTTTCACTCCCCACGGCTCGGTGGCTTCGTCCAAAGTGGTCTGTCAACGTAAAAGTTCTGATTTTTTTGTTGCAATCTTCCCGCTACCTGCATTTGGTGAGAGATTGCCTCTCTGTCAGACAACATTTCAGCGAGAGTCTTGGTTCCGAGAATGTTACGGAGGGTGGTCTGGGCCAAAAGTTTGGTGGAGCGAGCGGCATCTTCAACGTTGGTGACCTGGCAAGAAAGTGCTGCTTTTGAATGCATTGAATATTAGAATTACCGAAATAGTTGCATTGGAGATACGGAAGTAGACGACGGCGTCGACAGCCACAGTCACAGAGTCCTTGGACAGAATCTCCTGGGGTGGAACTTCAAAAGAGAGCACACGGAGGTCCACTTTGCGGTAGGTATCGATGCACGGGACAATGAAGAAGATACCTAAAAGTTAACATTTTACCCTTTTCCAGACGTTTTCTTCCTTACCTGGTCCCTTGGCACCACCGGGCATAAGACGACCGAGACGGAAGATAACTGCTCTTTCATACTCTTGAACGACCTGAAATTCAAATTTCTTTGGTGTTATTATTGTAATCAGTTTGTACCTTTATGCACATGCATGCCGAAATCGGAAGCGTGAAGAAGATCAGGAGGTACGAGAGAATGGTGAGAATCCATCCGCAAACTCCAAACTCATTTTGTATGTTGGCTGTAAAGAGAAAAATAATTAGATATGAACAATACGATGATGATTTTCATTTTTTTCTTGAAAATTTGATATCCCTTTGTAGTAACACTTTGTTTCGTATTTTGATCAAACCTTCAACATGAAAATAATCCTTTTTGGGCGCAATCGTTGTCTTGGGTGGCGAAGCGGTACCACTCGCCGTGGACACCGTATCGCGACTTTTCATTCAGTCCACAAAGGGAACTCAGGAAGGCAAGAAGAAGAAGAAGAAGAAGAGGAAGAAGAAGAACGCAACAGCTTCTCTTTTTCTCTTTGCTCTGGCCGCCGGGCATAAAACGACGTTGATATCAAATGACAGCACCTAGGTTTCGTCAAACTCCGCACCTTGATTTCTTCTATTTTTTCTTCGAGTTGTTCGTATTCACATATATTTAGCAATGGAGGAAGAAAGGAAGGAGAAATGAAAAAGAGACAAATACTAGGGGGTAAAGACTCGTTCTTGAAATAACAAAACGAGCGGTTATTATCAGTGTCAGGTTCCTGAGAGGCTCAAAATTGCTCAGAGGCTAGAAAAACAACCGGAAGATTTACGGCGCAAAAACAGAATTGTGCGGGATTTGGGTTGAGGATGAAAAGGAAAGTGACGTTATGACGAGATCTTCGAAAGAAGGGCTTGATTCATGTGCACAAAAAGTTGGTTTAGTTTTCTGCACAGACACACACACGACAGCTGACAGGGGAACATGATCAATCTTGATTAGTGGCAAGTTGAGAAGAAATGCAAAATGTGATAAATGTTCGTGCCATACATTCACAACTCGACACTTCCACCACCCGTTTTGTAATTGACGAGCAAGTTGGCGAGTTTTCAGAAAACCCCGCTCCGTATTTTGTGTGTGACTCGTCATTGTCAATCAAATTGGTTTTGCATTTTGAAAACAACACGAGATGACCCGTGTTTTTTCGCTTCTGAAAATGTGCGCAGTCGAAATGAAAAACGGGGTCAATTTCATAGGAGGCCACATCTTCCTCCCGCTACGCTTCATTGCACGAATTCACAAAAATTTTCACTTTTATGAGGGTAGTTAATTGAATGAAAGAGAGCGGTTTGACTGGTCAAAACCACCTCGACTTGAAAAATTTAAGCATTTTCTTCGCAACAAGTTATGAGCACAAAGTCATAAATCTATTCGTGCAGCTTTTGGGCACACAGAGAAAAAGAAGATTGGGAAGCGCGGGAAATTCCTCGACGTATTGTGTGCAATGGAAGTAATCTGGCTAAGATTTCTCAATTGACACGTTTTTGCCTCTAGACAATCGAAGAGAAAGGCACACGTGCGGGGGGAGAAAGAGTGGAAAAAAAGTAATACATTGGAAGTCGGCTTCTCGCGGTTTTATGGCTGCTGGTTTGGCTTGTCTTTTGGAGCACTCATGAAAAAAGAATGGGTTATTAGGAGGACTAGGTTCGCAAACTAATGTTTGTTGAGGCTCGAAACAACACAAACCAAGAACCAAACAAATTTAAATGCCAAGAGGATTGGTCAGCAGGAGCACATCAGTCATTACGATTAAAAATTAAAAATGCATCGATGCGAATTGAGAGGACCCGCCAATGTCATTGAAACACAGACCATGAATGAATTGAATGGAAGAACGAGGGGGAGTTTTACAAAAACAAAACGTCGTGCAATACTGATATTACAGATTAGTAACTTTAGGGGGGGGGGGAGCTTTTGCGGCAAGGGAAATTGGCGGAAAACAAAAACAGATAGAGAAAAATAATCCGGATGAGCAACTAATTTGACAGCATGAGACTCGCTCATTTATCATCCGGGTAGTCAATTATATAATTCGGTCTCACCAGTTTCCATTTGAGCTGTTCAAGGAGAGATCACTGAGAATACATTGTTTAAGCACACGTGTTTTTAATTTATCATTTTTTACAATCTAAAGTCCAAATGTTCAATCCTAAAAACAATCAGTACCAGATTGAATTGGTCAATTTTCGACAGCTTTTTGCTCGGATTGCTCCCAGCTAACGATGCCCCTAACCTTATTGTGTTGCAAAGAGAATATGATCAAATAAACATGTTGGAAGGGATTCGGAAGCTTTTCTACTAGAATCGGCTCTTTACCTCCTATTACTTCCAGTGGCGGTCTTTTCACGTCAGTCTTGATTCGAGGAATAAAAGGCGAGAACTTGAATTCACGTGGCGGAGGTACCGAAAACTTCCGCTCAACAGGATCGTCGTTATACATAACTCAGATCTGACTCGTTGTCGTTGCAGAATCCATGAACACGGAAAAAATGAGCTATATTTAGTCGAGCGTAGTAGGCGTTCAAGCGATTTGCAAGGATCGTCGCATAAATATCAAGGAAAGGCGAGAGAAACGGAAAAAAGGAAGAAGAAGAAGAAGAAGAAAAAGAAGAAGAAGCATTCTCATTCGAAAAACCTAATAACAATCATAGAAACACGCAGTGTTTGTATACTGAATCACAGCCGTCGAGAAACAAAACAAAACAAACCAATTTGAAAATTGAAATCAACATCTTGAGTGACTCCGATTTTATAAACAAATATCGGTTTATAGCTGGAGAGATTGGAATCTCAAAGTGGAAGTGATTGATTTATCGGTCAAATTGGCTTGTTTGTTACAGAAAACGAGGAAGAAATGTAAAAAGTTTCGGAACTTTCTCGAATGGGGTTATCAGCTAATGCAGTTGAGTGAGCAATGGGTAGACGTCTCGTTTTCCAGATGCCCCCGCACAAAAATAGAGAGGAAAACAGAGGCCAAAACTGGAGGTTGGTCCTAGGACAAATGATTTGGGCTTTTTGCGAATTTCATTTCAGTTCTAATTTTGAATTCGACATCGATGCGTGACGTCGATTAACCCGGCCGCTGTGTTTGATTTCAAAAGGATGGCAACACTTTCAAGAGAGTCAGAATGAAAAGAAAGGGCGACGGCACTTTTATGCTAAATGAAAGATTTTTCAGAGATTGAATTGTTGGTCGTCTTTTTTCTTCTTCTTTGTCAGACGATCTTCGTGAAGGGACAAGTCTTTCTTATTTTTCTTTTTCTTCTTTCCGGGATGAACCCGTTCACTTTTTGTAATTGCTTTTTGAAAACTTGAACACATGAAATTTGTTCGCTTTTGCCAGAAACCTTACACCTAGAGAGAGAAGAAGAAGAAAAAGAGAGTGCAATCCCATAAACCAAGAATATATTCTTTTGAATTATTCAAAACAATATCAACATATGTGCATTATGTTGTTTTCTTTTCTTTTCTTCCCGAACAAAGAGCGGAGCGAAAAGAGCAAAAGGTCGACCTGTTTTATAAGAGAAAAAAGAGCAGACAGGCGGGGAAGTGAGTAAGGACCCGGGCTGAAAAATGAAAAACCAACTAAGTTGAAAAACATACAAATAACCGGGCAAAAATGAACGAGGCTTTTTCTTTTTCCAGAAGCGCTCTATACATGAGGCTTATGAAAGGGAGGAGAAGTAAAAGAGGTGAGTAAACCACTTTTCCCGACTAACGGGGGAAAAGGGGTTCCGAAAAAAGAAAGAGAAGACCGAAACAAACAAGTAATATTCTCATTTACTTAGCTACTCCTCATCCGCTAAATATGTGTATTATTTTCAGCACGCAGGTCTGTCAGAGAACCGGGAAAGAATAACAGAACGCGTGGGGTGGTGGGTGGCATTGGGAGGCAAGTTCACAGTAATTTTCAGCTCGAAATTGCAGAAGCGCCCCGATCGTTGCTTCTGTTTCGCGATAAGTGGTAAACAATCGTACTAATATTCAATTACTATTCATGAGTTCTTTCGTGACTGCCGTTGTTTTCAGTTACTACCGGATTCGTTTAAGCTACTCCTTCACATCAATGGTTCTTTTTCTCTCAATTGGAAAAGGTTTTACTTTCTCTCTTTTTTTTCCTCATCTCGCTCGCGTTTCGCCAACTACTTGTGTTTTTTGTTTTGACCGAAGAAATTATTTCCTTCCGTAGCACGCAAAGTGAGAGAAGAATGAGGCGGTAGGAATTCCAGTAGTTCACTCAACGTAATACAGCAATTTTGTTGTTTAGAATTATTTGCCAACCACTTTTTGCAAGGTTGTTATGATCAAAAAACCGTTTTTTCTTTTTCAAGTTGTTGTTATTACAGTAACCCTTGTTTGAAGAAGTTGCAACTGCTAATCAGATAGGGTTTTAATGAATAACGTCATGCGATACGAAGGAAAGGAGAAATTCAAGTACTGCGAAGTTTCGAAGAGTGTAAACATGCGGAAACAAGAAGAAACTGATCAATTAACTGATAAATGTCAAAACATTAACCTTCTTCCTCTTTGCCTCTTTCTTTCCTTCCTTTCTCCACATCCTTCTCCGATTTCGCTTTTTTCACCGAATCGTCTTCGCTGTTAGCCGAGATTATTGAAGTGCTCTACACCGGAAATTGTTTTAAAGGCGGAAACACAGTACTAATGCGCACCTCTTCCAGTTGCTGCAAAGTGCGGGTTGCCATGTTCTCCACTTCATCCGAAGACGTTGACAAAAGGTCATCGTCTTTTGAGCTGGAGGAAGGGAGCATCGCGCCTTCCTGTTGAATACTAGAATGGCGTTCGTTGCCGACGAGACGAGTCTCAACCTTGACGGAGCCGTTGGAAGACAGGGAGACGACCGAGTTGCGAGCCGACGACATTGTAGTGCTCATAGATTGGAATAGTGGACATTCAGTGGGGACGAAACACGATTGGCGACTGATACATAAGCATTTCGGCGATAGTGGGATGTACTCTCGAATGTATGGATTTGGAAGAGTCTCGACGATGCGCCTCGCTCGTTATGTGACGTCTGTGCTCACAAATGCAACGAAAATGGTACGAACAACAGTGCAGAATGCAAAACTCGGCTGCGATGTTGACTAGCGCTGATGGTGTCCATTGGAATGCAAGAGTTTGGAGTAAAAGGCGTTTTGGGCAGCAAGTTTAAGAGCCGGCACATATATGCATAGATTAGGATGGTCTGTGACACGATAGTGTCTTGGTAAAAGGTCAATGATACTTTAGAGGGACGGTCGATCGGCAAGTCTGAGAATCCTCAGAAAAATGTCAGAAGCTGAACGATTTTGACTTGGGGGAAAAACAAATTCTGTGGACCCGTTTTCTCGTTTTCAGTGATTAGTTTACAGGAAGTTTGTCGGGTTTTGTTGAGATAAACAATACACGTGTTTTGTTCCTTGCACGCAATATTCACAAAACTAAATCTCTACAAAGAAGTAGCGATTCAATGAAATCCAAGAATATCATCAATGTTAACAATTACAGGGTTCGATAGTATTTTGCAGTATTATTACTTCACTTCGCTTAATAGAAAAACACCAAACTTTCATTGGATTGGTAGGAAAGAAATATTTCATTGCATAATGATTAATTCCATATTTCAGTTTCATCAAATCATAACGTTCTGTATTCCCTTTTTTAATCTTCGTTCAAATGCTCTTTTCTTTTTGATATAATGTTCATTGTTTCTTCCCACGCCTACGTTGGTTGAAAAACTTCAACTTCAGAGATGAGACGTCTTCGGTCGGATTTATGCGAAATATGAGATTTGCTTCTTCAGGAAAGGAAAGCAACTAGCAGATGAGTTGACTCGGCTCGACCGCCCTGTGTCTCTTTCTAATCCCATCAATTTGTGTCTCATGACGGTGGCCCGAATGTCTGCTGAACTCCCTCCTTTTTGGTAAACAATCGGTCGAATGCGTCATCTTCTGAGCACCTGAGAGTGCGGAAGTGTGCCTTTCCGGCTCCGGGAAGGAGGGGGGCTTTTGCAAAAACATGAAAACGATGTAGTTTATTTATGTTTAGATGGATGTTACGGAATAGGATGCACCAATTGAATCAACTGGAGGATATTGAAAAACACCCGAGTTTTCAGGAAATTAGTTGTTTTTGGTCCCCGATTGTTCCCTCTGGACTTTTTGTTCAAAAGTATTTCGCACTTTAACACTTGAAAAAAGTTTTGTGCTCTCCGCGGCCTCATTAACTTCTTCACTCTTCCCTCAACACAGATTCAGATTCTCTCAGCGTCTAAAAGTGTCTTGCCAAAAACCTTGTTCCGTCATCACGCTATCATGCCGGAGAAGAGGTGCTGCTCTTCGGGCAAAAGAAGCGAGCAAAAAGTGTCGAGTACCGACGATTTGATGAATAAAACAGACTTTCTTCTTGACAGCCCTACCCGCGGCAAGACAGAGTCAGTTGCTTGTCCGCTTAAAAAGTTCTGTTACGAAACGAGAGAAGCGACGGGCTCGAAGAATAAGTGGATATGTCGAATTTTTAATCAGGATGCGGGTTGTGAGCCGCAGAAGTGCTTTCTTTGCGCTCTGTCCATGTGTTTCCCATCAGCGAACACGGAATTTCGGGCGAGCAAAAGTGATTCAAAACCCCTGGATTCCGAATTCCATAGAATATGAATCGTGAGAGAGTGGGCAAGGCCGTTGGGCTAATGACGAATTGAAACTGGTAATGAGTAGTTATGTACTCGGGAAAGTGCTCAGCTGTTTTTCACTGAACATCATGGCATCATCGTGTTTTATAGAAACGATGCGCGCGAGCAATTAGAAGCGGACATGGCAGGCAAAAAAATGTGCGGAGGACGGAAATCAGTAGCAGCTAATCAGGAGGACAACATAATCCGAGATAGAGATGACTAATACAAGTTTCTAGCCCGTGTCAACAAGTTTTTTATTATTGAAAACTAACCTGACAGAAGGTCGATTCGTTGCCCTGAAAATTTTCCAATCAGCTGTGCGGCTTCGAATATACTCGGCGGCGTTGGCTTTTTGGGATTTCTTCGGGTGTCCGCCAGCTCGGCCATCCGTTCCCGGATGCTCCTTTTCCGACTCATTGAGGATTCTGATGGCGCGTGGAGACTGGAAGCCGCCGAAAGAGCCGACAGTTTTCTGAGCGAGCCGGCGCTGGAGCACTCGTCGAGCAGGCAGCTCCCAACGTCGAGATTTGACTCCATAATAGTTTTGAGTTAGTGAAAACGCAAAGAAAGACCGGCAGACGCAAGGAGGTAGAATTAGAATAAAAAGAAGGAATACAGGTGTAGTGTATACACAATAGGAAGAGGAAGGGCGTGGAGGTGGAAGTGTCAAAATAGTTGTTGGGCAGAAGGTGTCTAAAGATGAGTGATTGAGGCCTCTCCGCTGCGCTGTGCCGCTCGCGCGAGCACACGTTTCTTAGCGCTGGGAGGGGTGGAGCCGAATCGGCTAATGGCTCAATTCGCACCCCGAGAGCAATTGGCGCGTAGCCGAAAAGAAAAGAACGGATGTATAGGAAGCTGTTTTTCGGGCAGTTGACTCGAGCGGCTCTCACTCGGTCCAATTAATTAACTTGTTGAATTTTCGGGGGGCCCGGCCAACGCGGGAAACGTACATTTTCAGGAACGTTTAGCGGAACAAAGAGAGAGAGAGAGAAAAAGAAAGCAACAGAGCACAAATTTGCTCAGAAACCACAGGAACATCTACATCATCGGCTCGTTTCGAGAAAAAAAGACAAAACAAAAACAAACGACCCTTTGGGAGTAGGACTATTGCAATCAGAACGGAAACATCGCGATTTTCCAATGACTTTCGTCTGTCCCTGAATCCGGCAAGCAAGATAAACGGAAAAGCAACGCGACGTCAGCATCTTGAGGGGATCAGATTAAGAACAATGGCGAGGCGATATATTCCCGGATTAGGTGATTTCTGACACCATATGGTTTATGAAATAATCAGTTGTTGACGGTACTGTGCTCCGTTTGAGAATTTTATATGCATATGCCCTGTCATCTTTTCTATTCTTGTTTATCTTCGTAGAAGACAGAGCTATCGGTTTTATGCTCAAATTCAATTTCCGAATTGGTCACCGAGTCTATCACCTGAACAATCGCCGTCTTTCCAATCACCGAAAAGCTGAACCCACGTATAAAGTTCATTTGACATTTCTCTTTTTCACTTTCTAATCAACAAAATGGACCAGGCACACCAACTTTTTTCCTAGCTGCTCGAGAAGCGAACTACTTTCCTTTTCAACTACTCAAAATGTTCTCACTAACATTAATAATTCTGCGAGATGGCCTTGGTGAAAGACAAATGGAAATAGTTTGGCATAAGATTTCAAATTTCAAATTCTAGTACTTAAAATTTCATGTTTTCCGATTGTAGGTGTCGAGAAACCGCGGAACAAAATGTATGAAACAGGAAAACATTGTGAAATGTGAGCCTCTTAGTGTCGAATCTGAATGTTAGTCGTTTTTGAATTACTTTTTCAATGTTCCCATTCGGATTCCTGCAGACAGATCAAACATATTTCTGACCGAGACGGGGCAGCAAAGACGCATTTCAAATGGAAATCGGACCCATTTTTCTTATGTCAAATCTCAAATATCTGCCTTACTCGACCATCTCAAATCTCTTTGTTTTTGCATCGGAAAAAGCCGTGGAAAAGTGGATTAGTTCAGAGATCAGAAAATGGAACACAAATGTATAGACTTTGCCCTCAAATCAGGAAATTGAGTAAGTGACCAGAGCTTGTTCGAAATTGAGTAAACTGGGGAAGCAAAGAGGAAATCGGTGATTAGATGACCAGGAAAGAAAGTGCATGAAGCATTGGACCACCCAGTTTCATTTTAGTTGGATCAAAGGAATTAGTAAACGGAAGCGTTATTATAAACTTTGACAGAATATTTAGGCAGCAAGGAGAATATCAACAAAATCTATCTTTCTTCATTCTAAAGGAAGTGGAAGTGACACACAAAATTTCAGACGCTCTTTCTTCCCTCCGCAAAAAAAGGATTCAAACCGTGACGCTCTAAAATATAAAGAAAAACAGATCGGTAGTGTTAGTGATGTGTCTTATAAAGCATGACCTTGGAAGGGCTTGGGCGGTGGTGGTAAAACAATAAACGCGCGAAAAGAGCAATAAGTCACGGCTTTCTGAAGAACTTCACAAAAAGGAGGGTTCAAGTAATACCGGAGTAAAAACGAAAGGAGTTTCTTCTTCTTCTACTTTTTCTGAACGACTTTCTGCTGTGGAGATTGATGTTTCGACTCGGAACAGCAGGGGCGGAAAAAGTGCAGAATCATGGGATGAAGAACTCCATGTTGAAGAAATGCTGGAACCGGCTATTACATTCCAATTATTCCATCACGCAGAAGAAGTACTTGTGCAGACATTAATCAGAAAAAAGTATTCAGAAAGAAAGCCTGGAACTTTTGATTTTTGGCAACTAAATGTTAAGGCGCGAAAAATCTAGGAACCACATGGCGGCATAGTCTAAGAAGGACTAAAATTAAGTTGGATTGTTGGAGATAAACTGGAAAAACCACTTGTCACATGTATGGGAACTCACGAACCGCATTTCAACCTTAGAATGAAACAAAGGTGAACTAGTGCGTGATATACAAAGATGATAGTAAGAGCTCTTGAGACTCATCAACGTTCTAATGATTATTAATGAAACTGTTTACTGCAATATGTTTATGCATATGGGATCAAGCACGTAAGCATCCCAATCTCTGATACTTTTTTGTTTGTTATGCAGCCAAAAGAACTTCATGTTATTCTCTCAGAGTCCCTGCATATCAGGCGTTGCTTGTCAAAAACAAACAGAAAAACAAAACAACGAAAAAGAAGAAGACCAAAATTTGACGAGCGAATTTAGGTTTCGGTGGGGAAGCTTGAATGAACAAATGCATTTGTCAAACATAAACTATTATTGTTTTTAGCCCTTCCCGACAGCAGGTTCAATTTTTCATCTGTTTCCTGCATTTAATTTATTGTAGGGTTCGACGTGATTGATGCGAGCCACTTACCTCATGGATCCGACTACGCAAAACCAACATAGCAGATTTTAATCAAGCCAGGGTCACAAAACCATAAAACTCACGTTTTTTCGGGGTTTTTCCTTTTTTCGGAAAATATCGGATATTCTCTGTTCGAATACTGGGCGCGTCTACTGTCATCGCAATTCTCGCATTGATCTGAGGAGACATTTATCAAGATTCGATAAGATTATAAACGGGAAAAAGGAGAAAATAAGAGTGACAAAAGCACAAGTTGTAGGCGGAAGAATGGACCAGACAAAAGCAGAGAATTAAGTGAACATAAACATACCATTCGGGGCTGCGGAGTGGCTGCTAGTACGGAAAGACATAGTGAGGAGAACGGAGACGGTCCTCCGGAGAATGACAATCTCTGGCCGGAGGAAGAGCCCGGTTCACCAGGTACACTACTGGTCGGATGCCAATGCGGTGGCGAGTTATGGTGCGTCATCGCTTCCGGATCGAATATGGACGGTCGTCTGGATGCGGACACACTCGGTTCGAGTAACTGTCGCATGGAGGGAGGTTCAACAGCCACTTAGGCCGTATTTTGAGGATTGCGAGTCGAGGCTTTTTCTGTGGCAAGGCATAAAAGAAAAGAATTGACACATTGCTTGCGCTTATTTCCGGATTCTCCCTTGGGAGCGGCCCTCGCTCCGACCGTGAAGAGACTCACAGTGCGAGCTTCCCGAAACCACCACCATCACTTTGTGGCGAGAGTGGAAGAGAAACATTCTTAGTTTGAGGAGGGCTATCCTTCCACATTTGACAAAACTCGACACCCACTCGAAGGACACGACCACATCATGGGCCAAGTGCACGATTGAAGTGCAAATCGGCCGAGTGGGAGGCGGCTCCGATCAATCTCAGGAAGTTTTTAGCTATTGTAGGAAAGAGATTAAGATAAAAACGTTCTTAACAAAATGGACCGCTCGACAGAAACCTAACAAGCCATTTGTTCCGATTGAAATAAATTTAAATTTACTCGATTCTGCACAAAATGAAATTACCTCCCTCCCCCTTTCCCGTTGGTCCAAAAAATAGCGAAATAAATCGGTTTGTGGGCTCTTTTAACATAACAAATCGCAATCGTAAAAATGTGAATAATACTCAAAAATAAGAGTCTTTCCGCTCGAAAATGTTTGATGAGTTAACCTGATAAAAGGGGGTGAAGTCCTTCCGACTTTACACACAACCTTCGGGCCCTCTCCGCCTTTTCCACCGCCGTTATCCGGAAATCCGATCTATTGCGACATAAATTATTTGGGAATGGGGGATCCGAACGAATGTAGGTGTTCGACGAATGGCTCCGCACTTATAAATCATCAAAGAAAGTGTTGATGGATTGCGACGGACGGGCATTAAACTTTCAAGCAAAAATGCTTATCACTTGTGTTGAGATGTACATTGCTTTGCACACCGAAGGGGTGTGGGTTGTGATTGAATAAGTCATGAGCTCTTGGGACCCTTTTTTCTTTTCCCTTCAAAAATTACGATCGAGTGTCTTCTTTAAGTGTGCTGGAAGAAGACGATGAAGAGATTGTTGCGGGTGCGACAAACACAAGAAACCTGCTTTTGTTTCCGACTCGTGAGAAAAACAGAAGCAAACCGGAACAAATTAATTCGACATAAATCAGCACATTTTGAATGAGGACAGCGAGTCTCGAAACACATGGGGTGTCGTCTCCAATACGCAAAACATATGTACGGCAGCGAATCACAGTTCAGAGCCCCTGCTCGCTACTGAATTCTGGCTCATTCTGGCGCCGGAAATGGACGAATTTACATATTTATGAGCAGATTGCACTTTTTCAGTGGGAGAAGGAAAAGCAAAGAAAAAACGGGGAAAATAACTCGAAGCGAACTGAATCGAAGAGCAATACACATTTTTGATGGGTAATTTGTTTGTGTCGGAGAAGCAAAACGCAAGAAGGAAGGACAATTAGTTAGTTTTGCAGTGGTTTTTTTACTGCTCAAGATTTGTTCGGAGCGAAAACTTTGAGTAAGATGAGGAAAATCATTTTCTGTGTTGGTGGTGCTTAGCCGGAAGAGAACTCTCTGTATATCAGAAAAGAGGCCACGCCGACAGCGGGCAACAAAGATTATGAGTAAGGAGACGACGAATCAGCAAGTTCTATAGTAGCGGAACAAATTGTGAAAAGAGTGGACCCGAGAGAAAGAATGAAGTGGATTTGTGTGTTTGTAGGAGGAGTGCGGAGGAAAAGGAAAGTAATCAAATCTGTACACTGACTTTAATTCATTTACTCCGATTCGTAAAATGAAAAAGATAATGAGATGGAGAGAAGAAATGAAAAAATTTCAGAGATAGCGATAGAAAAACTTAAAAAAGAATGCTCCAATGAACAGGATGAGAGAAAGAGGCGACAGGCACAGACAACGATCAGATCTTTCACGCTTCGACGCGCCAAAGTGGAGGAGAACACTCGGTTATTCATGTTCTGCTGGGTGAATCCGAAACACTTGCTTGTGCTTACGCTTACGGAAGTGAGTGAGGAACGAGCAAATCGGCGAAAAGGTTGGAAGTCATTTGTTTTGGCTAGCCGTACCTTGCTATTCACACGGGCTCATTAACCGGCAGCGTGAATCGAAATGATTTGGAAGGAGAGAAGGAGAATGCCTATGTGCAGGTAAAGTAACAAATTGGGTTGGTGTCGAGACCCCAAGGGTTCTAGTACACCTCTTCCACGGATTGAGTCCCTTGGTCATTGGTGCTCACTTATCTATTTCCTGCCATTTACTCAACACGGCACTGAGTGGGTGGAGGACAGCTCTAAGCCGGGCCGCTCAGGAAAAACGGAGCGCATTTTTGACACCTCCCGAATCCTGGAATCATTATAACATATAAAAATGAGGTTTGTGCCGTCGGACGGCGAAAAATGGGTCCTAGAACACAATCCAATGACAAGGTACAAATGGGTGTAGTCCTCCGTCGTCTGAGAGAGAAGAACTAATATAAGAGAGCAAAATGATGAGCGGAGGGTTGTGAGGATGTAGATTTCAACCGATCCATAACATGGAAATAGAAACAAATTTTTTGGGGTGTACGCCGAAGCCTCCAACTTTGATTCAGTTTCAACAACTCTTCACAACACGCACAAATTCAATAATCGGGTCGAGGGTCGCCCGTCTTTTTTGTGCGCCCGTACTTTTGACCCGAAATGGATGGCAACAATTTTTTTCAGAATAGATTCTCGCACTTGCACCGCCCAACCGCATTCTTGACAAGGGTTGTCAATTTTGGGTCGGGTATATCCATCAATGTATTACATTCTTGCGAAAACGACTAGAGTTCGTTGGGTGGTTGGGCGTTAAAAGTACAACAAATAAAAAGTAAAGAATTGAAAGCTTGAAAATACTTGACTTATAGAGATTTGTTCACAGGAAAACATTGCATTAATGTAAGTCAGATTCTAAAGCAAACACGAAATCAGAAGGACTCCGGGCGGCGACACTTCCGTTCCGAGACTATCCAATTTCTCAATATTTTTCACTTTTCTATACATCCGAATGAAATATTTTAGTCCACGATCTGATTGGTTTGTAATGAATAATGGACGGGAGAAATTGCATACGAGAGTTTGCGCACACCAAGAGATGTCTATTGTGCAATGACGTGGTGAAACAGAAACACGCGCTTGGATGCAAATAACTCCTTTTGTTTTCCATTCATACTCCCTGGGATATTATCACAAGTAACTTCGTTTTATCTTAGAATTTTCTTTTTCATTATCACCCACCTCCAAAAACCTCGTTTCCATTTTGAATGGCATATGTCTTTGCGGTGTACTTATTCAAATCACCGCCCTTGAACTCGCTCATCACAGACTTGTTGTCCCGAGTGCGTTTTTTTGTCATGAAGACCTGAAAACATCAAACGTTAACATCATAATCGCAGAAATGATAAACGGGAATATGGGATTCTCGGGATTCACATGCTCTTTTTGTTTTGTCGGGAAAAATGTGGAATTTTTATTGTTAACATAAGGATAAATAATGATGATGAGTGCCAACAGGTGTGATTCACAGATACCGTACTCTAGAGTGATCATCTGTTAGCCAGGAAATGGGAAAAGTTGTCTAGATTAGTGGAGAAGTGTTTGTAAAAGGGATAGTTTGCATGGGCACATACTACCGGCTCAAATCCATGCTGTTCTTGGAACATGCGGAGTCGGAAGGATTCATGCGCGGATTTGAACTGGCGAACGGCCCGGATTGCCGGGTTCTCCGCATGTTCGCCGTGTCCGTGACTGTGGCCCTGCTCAATGTCGCCGGTGGCCGATGAAGTCGTCGCTTTCCGCTTGTCCGAGCTTGTACTAAACGAGCTGACAGGTTGAAAATCAAGAATATTTGGCTGGAAAATAAGGCGTCTCACCGGAACAGAGTGTTTTTGAAAGAGTCTCGAAACGAGTCTCGATGATCTTTGGAGACCGGGGTGCCAGGCGGCGATGAACTTTTCGAAGCCGGTTTTTTCATTCTTAGCCTGAATTTGAATGACCAAAATAAGAAATGGAAAGATAGAAAATAGTAAAAATCTAATCTCGTTGCATGTAGCCTATCTTTTGGGGCTTCAATCGAAGTTTCCGGAAGAATCCGCATGATGTGACCAACCCTTGAAGCGCCGTGTCAAGCGGTGACAACGAAGATTCTGCACGACCAGACGAGGCTGGCGAAGTGGGCACCGATTGAGGCTTGAGTTTGTGTTTTTCTGTCTGCAAGGTGCGAGTAGTAGATGAATTCCAGAAGACCGCAATCAGCCACCATTCAAACGTCACAAACTGCGTCTTTTTCTTTTTGTACCTTGTCTTTGATTTTCGACGAAACCCACGATGAGCTCTCTCCTGCCGCAGTCCAAGACATTCCTGACTAAATGATACAAAAAGTGGTCAGATAAACGGGAGATACGAAATCTACGTTGTACGCGTGAAAGTTAGAGGAGAAGTAAGAGAAGCCAAGACTCATAATAGGCTCCGTCCTGAATTGGTCGGATTACAATCGAGTGCAATATGATCGCAAACAATATGAGCATTATTCTAATAGGCGGTCCTCCGATGATATCCGGAAAGGGAAGAATCGATTGCGAAAGAGAGGGATTAGTTTTGACAGATTTTGGATCGAAATGGACTCTGATAAACTGATTGGGTATATCCGCTACGTTGAAATACACAGGAACTTAACGGAAATGAGCTGAGCATCCGGATGCTTTGAGAATTGAAATAAAATAAAAAAAAATGAGTCAAAGGGCCAGATCTGTTTTTGATGGAAAATGGCAAAAGTGGCCAGACTGAAATCGATCGGAGAGCAGGAATGAAAACATCAACGAACTATGTGCGTGCCTTTCAGATTTAGGATTATCGCTGGGGCAGAAAAAGACGTCCATGTCGACTAATGCCCGCAATTTCCTCTATTCTCCTGGATGCCTAGTGATAATCCTACTTTGATACACGGGCGCACACTCTCTCGCTCGTTTTCCAGCACAAAAGTACTAATCCGTATAGACGCGTGATAAGGATCAAAGTGGCGTCTTCCGTTTCTCGTCGAGGACAACTCATGAACATTGATTTTCTCGCAAAGAAAAGGAAGACATGCAATAACAAAAACTCAAAGTGGATAATAGAGATACAATAAATAATTCGGAAAACAAGTGAAACTGACGTTTGCCTGTTTGTACTCTTTAATGGAGCCACATGAATAGAATTTTTGAAACGAAATGGCAGACCTCACTCTCGAGACAATGTAATGTGGTCCGGAACACAAATGCATGTGCGAATGGCGACGATACGAATGTTGTTATGGTCAATACGATAGCAATAGGTTTGGTAATTAGAAAACAGAATAATCGATTCAAAAAAAAAACTTTTAATTGGGAGAAATGGGAAAAATACCCAATCCGCGGCTATTATTACGAAAATCGCATCTCGTTACTTACTGGTTCAAATCCAGATCCGGATCCTCCACTCGCGGGTCCCGATGATGCACCATGTTGCTCTTGAAGCATTCTGAGACGGAATGACGCATGTCCATTACGGAAACGACTTTTCAGCGGTTGAACTGGAGGTGGACCACCGCTCATGATATCCTCTTCACCGGACAGGGCCACGAGCTGAAATCATTAACACACGTGAGTATCAGCACACACTAAAAAGAAAGAAAAAACTTTCGACACAAAACTTAGATATATTGAAAACCGATGTAAAAAAACGAATATTAGTGTTTGTCAGAAGTGGTCGGCTATTCGATAGATTCCAGAAAATAAATTCCACGCTACAATACAAGATGTTCAAATGAATCAGACAACCGCATAACAAAACATGTGATTTGTCCCTTAACGTCGTGCTAGCATGTCTGAAAGTGCATGGGACTGAAACTCGCTGGTAGCAAAGGCAGAAGACCGCAAAAAGGATTATCGGTATATAGATGATGAAAAGGATGAGATAAGACGGCGGAAAGATACGTCATTCATCAGAAACTAACTGAAAGAGGCAGCATTGCATTCAAGACAGACAGAAAACTGAGAAGACTGCATTCCATTCCGAACGTTACCTTCCTGCCCGGCTTTCGCGGGCATGCCGTAGTCGTTTTCGCCTCGTCCTCATTCGTGGTGCTCAGTTTTCGGACATGCAAATGAGACGGTGAGCTTGGTGGGGAAGTCATTCTGCAGCAATTCAAATACTCGGCGGTTCTCACGTTTTACTTTTAAAATCTTTTCGGGAGGCGGGAAAGGCATAAGGAACGGATGAATGGGGGGATAAATGAGCAAAGAAAGGAAGAAGTAGAAAAAAGAAGAAAAATGAGAGGAATGAGGGCGTGTTTTGTTCGCTTTTCCTTTCCTTTCCTTTTTACCCTTTCCCCCGTACCACAGTGAGTTCATGCTGTCAAAATTATGGCTTTGATCTTTTTTTTTAACCGTTTTTTGTTGTTCTCACTGCAAGACAACAGCGAATCGGAAAATAAAAAGTCTCTGTTTTTGTGGAGCATTTGAAACGAGGCAGGAAGGTGCGAGGAGAGGAGATTCGGAAGCGTGGGACGGATGCTCTAACAGGAAAACGGCTATCGATTTGGAGTGATATTAATCCGCTCACAGCCAGCACAAGCACTAGTTAATTTCTATCGGAAGTGGCGCGCAAGGTGTTAGAACCAAAAGGATAAGAGCCAGAGAAGACGGAGAATCTCAGAATAAACGCCTTGAATGGTGACTGATTGCGAGGTTATCGAACAGGTTTTCTCAATTGCATGTCAATATGAAATTACTTGTCTGGCACGTCAGACGTCTGAGATTAGTTGGTGCTGATGTCCGAAAATTTCAAGGAGAATGGATGCGTGCTGAGAGCGGAACAAAAAACGGATGAAAGATTAATTGTTGCAAAAATTTAAAACTTTCGTCATGTATGTTCAAGCAATTGTTTCTCAAATTTCAACAACTCGCGAGAGATCTCAAACGTCATCAGTGCTACAAATAGCTATGACGGAAAGAGAGGATTTAGCGGAATAGTGGTTTTCTATCCGTTTTTTTTGTATGTGATAATATTATTTCTAACAAGTGTGAAAGCAACGGGATGAAGATCTGCCTGAATGTTTTCATGCTAAATCCTAAACCTCATGTTTTCGATTATGATTTACAAGAGTTCTTTCCGGAAATATTTTTGTTTTAGCTATCTCATTTTGGAAAGCCCACATCATCAGTGGTGTTTTGTCTTCGAATTTCGACGAATGGAATGGGACTTCAATAGTTGTGCACAAATCTCTCCCCAATTCTCGATGAACGAGATTTGCGAAAAACAAAAACGGCGGAAGATTCGATCGGGGCGAAAACCGGCTGACTTACTGGTGTCAGCTCAGGGACACGACGAAAAGATTCAAGGAATTTGTGAACGAAAAAACAGATTATCATTATTAGACAGCTAGCCACCGCCGGCCGTCCTCTTCCGATATTCTTATTCCTATTTTTCTTGAGCTTTGCCATAGTTAATCTTATCCGTATTAAGTGAATCGCATAATTGGATGTGTTTAGTTTGAAACCAAAATTGGTCGTTTCGAAAGTTTGAGAGATTGAGAGACGAATTGAGTGCATCCGATTGGGTGCGCCGAGAGAAACGTGTGTTTTGTCAATCTGTCGGAAAAAGTGCAACACTTGCGGCAAATGCATTAGGTTCATGAGTACTACGAGAAGAAGACCGAGGAACAATGGAAGATAAGTTTGCAATTATGATGAGGTACTTGTGATTCTAAAAATGAGAAGAAGCACATCAATTTCCGCATATTCCATTTCATCGTTGACTCCTTTATTATACATATTGCTCCGGGCTGGACCGGGCCGTTATGGAAATGTCTACAACCCGGCCCGCACGGCCGCATCCGAGGCAAATTGTAACTTTTAACAATAAAATGCGGGCCGTGTGGGTCGAAAAATCTGAACTACGGAAAATTCGGCCGCTTAGGGAAAAATCTCTGAATAGATGTAACGAACACTTGTTCTTACGTGGCATTGGAGCAAGAGATGGCTTTTGAGAGCTCTTCTGTAGATCTCATAGGAAGCAGAGAAACCTGTTATAAAAAAGACTAAAAACTTACGCGAGGCGCTGGTTCTTTGAGAAACTAGAATGAAAGACTACATAGGACCATTAAAAACTGAATGGAAAACACTCAAAGAAACAAAAAGACAAACAAGAAAAACGGAGCACACGAAACCCCACGTTTTTGTTGCCTTGCCTCACCGGATTTCTTTGTTTTTTCCCCCATCCCCATCGGTTCAATTCTTCATCAAAAGGTCCAACTCCCGGTAATCCATTCTCGGACCCAGTGCGCTACCCACTCCATTTCAATTCCCAGTATTATGGCCATCTGCTTTATTCCATCCAGTTTAGCTTTTCTCCTCTTTTTTTTCGGATTTCCGAAATTGGTGTGCTGCGGGAGAGAATGATGTTTGTGTATTCCTGTTGCGATCCATCAAAACTGAAGAAATCTGGCTGGAAATCGGTTTACTTTCAGAAAATCGTCTTCCCCGAAATCGATTTGTTTCAGTTCCGCACATTACAGATGCACAACGGCTGCCGCAAACGCCGACGTTCCCTCGGCCGGAAGGCAGGACCGTCCGACCGTCTGCCCTCTCGTTGTACTTGCTCTAATCCCTCTCATCTCTCACCCATTCATCATGTTACGCATATGCGCTAATAGTGTCGGTCACTGACGCCTTTTTTGAGTGAGTGACAAGTGTGTCAACTAACCTGTTTGAATTTTAGGCCAAAGTAAAAACCAGTTTCCGTCGAATTTCGCTCATTTTTACCGGTTTGCAGCCCAATTTTCGCGGAAAGATCGAGGAAAAAATCAGTTCTCCCATCACAAACGGAACTATGGAATTCAGCCAGGTAATCTTTCCAGAATTTAATACGAAAAAGCTCTGAATTTGATAGTTTACCGTAAATACTGTGTTTGAAGGATACCTCTAATACATAGAAGGGCACCCGGAAAAGTGAACTTGAACAGTTTTAAGTTGATTTTCGGACGTCTCACAGGATTTTAAAATTTCACAAAAATAATTTTTGGAACACTGAAATTACGGTATTTACAGGAATGGCAGGTATTCCATGTTACCGATGGAAACGAGGTTCTGAAGGCGATGAGATTCAAAGCTTCGGCGAATGCACCAATAGGAGAAGATGGGGGACCTATGTTTAACGTTGTGATGGAGCGCTTCAAGGAAAGACGAATTCAACTCGTCAGAGTAAGTCTTTTCCACCGCTTCTGACTAAAATCATTGTTGCTGCAGGCTATTGAGGGATACGGAGATCTCAGAAGATTTGGCTGTGGTCAAATTCTTCGACCACTTTATGACGTCGCAATGACTGGAGACTTTGAGAGTTTCGAGAAAATGAACTTCACGCCAGCTGAGTGAGTACCACCCAATCTCTTTCAGTAAGCACTAGGAAATCTCATCAGGTGGAACAAAGAGAGACCGATGGATAGTCTCGTAATCCCCGAGGCATTACTGGCTTGCAAATCGTTCAAGGATTACGTCGGATATATTGATTACGTACCGAAAGTTATTGTGATTGGAAGTGTTAAGTGCCCGGCAAACATTTCTACAATGAATAACTTTCATCTTGACATGTACAGTAAGCGATGCGGTAAATAACACGAGAGATATAGGAGAACTTAATAATTGATTTTCAGCTGCGCTGCGCAATTCTCGCGACAGCTCTCTTAAGACGGAAAGCAGTTTTGCCAATACCGCACTCGAAACATGCGATGGGACCAGGCAGAACCGCGCGCCACCGAAGAGAGCCCCGTATTATCTTGATCAAGGTCAGGAACTTGAGCTAACGTATTGTATTCAACCAGGACCACCGCCACGTGAGCGTTGATTACATTTGATTTCCATCTCCTTCTTCTTGTTTTCAGCTCCCATGATGTTTAACGCAACGCCTCTCATGAGAAGTCTGTTTGACAGCAAGCCAGAGAAGCAACGTACTACAAAAGTGATGATTGAATTCGAGGAAACTCAAGAGGCTTATTTCAAAAGCCTCTTCCCTAAGTTCGATCCGAGAGATGATTATCGACCGTAACCTTGCATTGGCTTTTTAGTTCAAACGTTGATTTGCTTGCAGAAACGGTCAGAATCACTACTACAAAGTAGACTATATCGCTCAACCGTGGCTGATGACGGCTCTTCAGAAGATTCACTATGATGAGATCGATTTCAAGCAAGGTTGACAAAGGAAAAAATCTGCTGAATATTACTGTTCAAATTTTCAGTTGAAAAATTCCGTTCTTATTCTGGAAAGAAAATTTTCAAACAGGAGGCTGAAATATTATTTCGGTACGACACTTTCAACCATTTCGTCTTCGAATGATTTCTCAACTTTCAGCGTGAGAGACAAAATCTTCAAGGACGCACGTGAAGAAATTCATTTGAACTACTTCACACCTCCGCAGGGACCAGTCTTGTTTTCCGGGTGTGAGCATTACACTTTCGAGAGAGAACATGAAGAACTTATGACGTTCGATGGGTACGATTGTGAGTAGATGCGTTCTTGAAGCAATGAAATCAAAGTTTTTACTTACAGATCCGATGAAGTATTTCGGTCATCTTCAAGTAATGCGCACGCACTGCAAACAGTTTCTGCACGACACGATTGGAGAGAAAGATAGTGAGCAATTGAGGAGCAGGCAGTTGCTAAATACACTTCCATTTCAGAGATTGAGAGTATTGCTTCAAGATACGCTGCCATGCGTCTTTGCGAAGTTCGCGGTGGCATAAACATGGGGAGATTGATCGAGCACAAGGAGAACTTTGAACGGTTCTACAAATTCTGCTTGAGATGGATGTCGTTCTATCTAACGATTGCGTTCGATCTGGTCTGGTTGGTGCGTAGTCCGGAGGAAACAAGATTGAACAAGGAGTACCTTTTTGTTTATTATTACTTCAAGTTTATCCCGTCCGTGGAGAAGATTGAAGAACGCAGAGCAGCTCTGAAATTGAAAGATAACGTTACGGTCCCCATTCCTGTGAATGTTATGATGTATAAGGCGGAATACGTGAACACACCAGTGTCGGAACAGCCAAAGACCTCCGATGAGTCTGACGAGGATGAGACGGAGGAGGAAGAGGAGAAGGAGCAGGAGAATGAGCAGGAGAAAGAGCAGGAGAAGGAGCAGGAGAAGGAGCAGAAGAAACCGTGCAGCTGCGGATGTACCTGCAAGAACGGCAAGTCGAATCAGAAGAAGAACAGGAAGAAGGGCAAGAAGAGCAAGAAATAAGGGCCTAATCTTATTGACATGTTGCTTTATTTTTGTTTATTGTACCACGGTAATCTTCCACTGTTTTCTTCCCCGTTTACTTCCCCGTTATTCTCCAAACCTGCAAATTTCTGCGCAACTTTTTTTAAAAATTTTTTCTGTGTTTTGTGTGTTCTGAACGTTTTGACACCTGTTAGTCATCTCGCTCTTTTTCATTTTTTTCTTGATGTTCTTGTTATTTTTTGTGTGTTCTGAGTGTTTTGACACGTGTTACTCATCTCGCTCATTTGTCAATTGTCTGTTGAAACGTGTCGATCGTTGGTGTGTGCATCTCTCCAATATCAACTTTTGGTGTCTTTTGCCTCACGGTTTTGATTCGACAAAATGAAATTATTCGACGACAATTTGAACTTACTTGTCTGGAAATGTCTGGAAATGGAAACCGCTAGTTCTCTCAAAATATTTAATTCAGATCTGAAGAGCATGTGGCCGATGCACCAAAATCCCCTCAACACGCCTGACGCGATGCGCACCTGGCTCATTTTGGAAGCCTGCTGCCGGAGTTGCCATGGATACAGCGCACTCCCCAGACACCCCCAAACACCCTCAGTCTCCGGACTGCTTTTGTGTTCTCGTCAACTAACGTTCATTTATTGATATACGCTCTCAAAAGGTTTGGAAAAATGGCACAAATTCTCAACTCTATGGCCAACTTTAATGAACGGACGATTGAAAAGTTGTCTTTCTCAATATTCCGTAAAGTAAGTTAACATTTTTGATCCAAATGTACCTTCAAAATGCTTTCTTTTCAGTTTCAAATGGGTTTACCTGAAAATCAAGGCATCAACTTTGCCGAATGGAATACAAACAGCAACTACATAGCAGTTGGCGGTGCTCAGGGAATGTTGCGAGTTGTCAGATTGGGCTTGGACCCAAACCAACTGGATAACAAACTGAGCAATGCACTTGTGGTGAATCAAACGTTGGAAGGACACAATGGTAGTAGTTGTGAAGAAAAAGGCAAAGAACTGTCTGACCAGTTACAGCGACCGTTTTAAATGCGACCTGGAACGAAAACAATCAGAAGTTGACGACCAGCGACACGTCCGGCCTTATCATTGTCTGGGGAATATTCAATGAGCAGTGGTATGAAGAAATGATCAATAATAGGTGAGTCAAGCGAATGAACAACAATATCGATTGAATTCTTCAGAAACAAAAGTGTTGTTGTTGGAATTGTTTGGAATAATGAAGGCACAAAAATTGCAATTGCGTATGCGGACGGAACTGTAATCGTTGGAACATTAGAAGGAAACAGGATTTGGAACAAGGAGTTCGAGATGCAATTGGCGTGCTGTGAAGTGAATGAACTTTCATTTTTAGTTAAAGATGAGTATTTTCAGTGGGCGCCCGAGGGAGACATGATTATCTTTGGTACTGCCGAAGGAAAAGTAATTGTTTATGATGAAATGGGCAATCATCACGTGAGTCTGGACAAACTTCTCATTCAAAGTTTAAATATAAATATTACAGCTCGACATTCCAATGGTATGCCTGGATTCTGTAGAACTGGAGGTTGCTTTAATTGGAAGTAAGTGATGAATTCAACTTTTTGTATTTTTCGATTGATTACATCAGAAGAGAAAATCCAAAAGGAGGAGATTATATGCATGAGATATTGGAGTCCGACGTTGAAATCGAAGGCAATAATGGACGACATTGGGAAAGAAAGGAAGGAAGAGGAAGAGAAAACGGTGAGGGGAACGGAAGTATTCACAAACCAGCCTGTGAAAGCGCCAATTCTGAAAGATTACACCGAGTCCGATCACATTCCGGATCCGGTTCAGCCGATACCACCGGACCGGCCACGTTTTCTGGTTGCCTACGCGAGAGGGCTCATCCAACTGATGCGTACAGTAAATGATAACGGCGAGTCCAAAATACCCCAATAAACCTGACTCAAAATCTGTGATTTCAGACCCGATAGTAGTCCGGATTCCAAATTTCAACATAACTGGAGTCAAATGGTCCCCAAATGGTGCGTTCATTGCTGTTTGCGGTGAGGATTTGGACAAAGAAGTGAACAATCGAGCGACGATTCACTTTTTATCAGCATATGGCCAGGTAGGTGTATCGATTCGTGTGTCTAATCCTTTCCTCTCGACATTTAGTTTCTCGGCTACTTCCGGACATTAGAATATGCTAACATCACTTCGATATGTTGGGAAGCAACTGGCCTGATAATGATAGTAGTGGCTGACGGCAACCTTCTAGTTGGAACCATTCGACCGGAGTTCAAAGTAAGTCCACTTTTTCATTTTCTCATTAATTCTCGCTCGTTTCAGTGGGGAATAATGGAAGACGCGGTTGTTTACGTCTATCAGAAAGAAGACCTCTACAATTATGCAGTTATGTTCTATGATTACAAAGTAACTTGGCCTAGAAAAAAACGGCTTCTGAAAAAGTAAAGTATTGCAGACTGATGAGAAAACCTCCAAGATATTGGTTAACTTTGAACAACTCGCGTGCCACCGTGAACATTGCATTCTGATCAATCGACAAGACGATGGAAAGCAAACCCAGGTCTGATTTTGGAAAACTAAAAGCAAAACGAGATAAATTTTTTAGTATTTCTGTCAACTTTGCAACAACTCTGGAACAGCTCTCGACTATAACATCACGACGATCCGTCCAAAGATTGCATGCGTGAACAGTATGGCAGCAGTTATTACAGACGGTTTCCGTTACTTTATTTGGCATTTTGTGATGCCGAAAGCCAATTCGATGCAGGCTGGAGTTGTTCTGACTGGAAAATCAGGTAGACACACATGCTCAATGTGTCAAAAATTGGTTCTTGTTACAGGTGAGTTCGAATTGGAAGAGCAACAAAGGAAAATTGAGTATGGAACGAAAAGATTGGTAAGCTAGGCTAACAAGAAATTATTGTTCATAAATGTGTTTCAGATTGGTCATAAGGATGAGATTTGTGCAATTTGTATCGGTGACTCTTTCTTCCTGATGGTCAGTTTTCACAATTTGGGATTCTCGTTCTCATAACTCACTTTTCAAGGCATTACAAAGCGGTGGAATCTACCGGGTATCCCTTCTTGATGGCGTTATAACGACCAGCTATCCGAGTGCTCCCAACATTGAATTGTTGAAGTTGAACTGCAAATTCAATCGTGTCGCAATAGTAACTCCTGTGGACAGTAAGGGTAGCCTGGGATCAATCGCCGAAAGTACTATTCTTCAGGAGTTCCATTTGCTATATCCTTCTATGAGTTTGTCGAAAATGAAATGAAGAAAACGTACTCGGTAGAAAGGAAGGAGATCTGGGGATTCGAATGGGATGCTGTAAGTTTCAGTTGAAGATCTTCAAGAACTTAAATTATTTTCTGATTTCAGGATGATGAGAACATGTTAGCGTTCCGAGACAGGACCAGACTCTTTGTTTATGACGGAACTTCAATACAAGAGCAATCTCAATGCACTGGAATCATCACGTATTTCCAGAACTTGATTGTTACTGCCGTCCAGTTCGACAAACTGTTGTTAACACCTGAAAACCCACCAAAATCTGCTGTTCAAGAAATTTCGGTGAAAGCGAGAGTTGACGTGAACTCTTTGCTCAGTTCAATGAAAGTAGACGAGGCAATCGATTACGCAGAACGGAATTCGCATACAGAATTGTGGAAGTTGATTGCCACCTACGCAATGTTCAATCATAAATGGGAGAGTGCGGAGCATTGCTTCGTGAAACTGGGAGACTATTACGGAGTGGAATTGATCAAGAAATTGAGGCCAATGGCCACAAATGAACAAAGAAATGCGGAACTTTACTTCTATAAAGAAGATTTTGAAACTGCGGAAAATTTGTTCATGCAACTGGACAGAAGGTGCATAAATTCGGATTCTTAACTATTATTTGATTCATTTCAGAGATTTGGCAGTTGAGATGTATTCTAAAGTTGGCGAGGTTCAAACGGCTTATGATATGGCCAAACACTTGGACAACAACAATCGTCTCAAGACGGAAGCCCAGAAGGAACTGGCCGAGTTCCACTTCGATAATCTGGATTTCGAAGAAGCTGCGAAAGAGTACACGGAATGTGGGGAAACTGGAATGCGAATCGAGAGTTTGATCAACGCGAATTTGTTTGGTGAGCTGGAAGTGCTCTCGCGGACTCTTCCAGACGACAGTCCACACTTGGAGGTTTCAATCCAACTTTGTATCTGTTCAGTTTGATTTTTTCAGAGACTCGGCGATGCTTTTCAATCTAGAGGAATGGGCGACCAGGCGGTTGAGTGTTTCCTGCGTAAGGAGCTCCTAACCAAGGCTCTCAATTGTTGTATGGAACTCAACCAGTGGCAAAAAGCGCATTTTATTGCCGAATCGAACCACATGGATAACGTCGAGGGTCTGCTCGGAAAGTTTGTTGTCGACTTGAAAGGAGGTCCCATAAAAGCTCATTCGGAGGTCCCTTCTCAAACCAATTACTTTGCAGAGAACGACGAAAAATCACTATCTGCCCTCTCACTATACATGCGTGCGGGCCGACATCTTGATGCAGCGACAATTGCGTTCGATGCAAGTTCTTTTCGCTCATTCATTTTTTTTGTCAAACGCACAATTTCCGTTCAGATTGCAAAGGATAGACAAAGCAAGTTCTACCCTTATGAGGAACTGAAGGAGTGCTATGTGCTCGGCGCTATTTTGGTCGAGCAGCACAGAGTTGGCCTAAAAGAACTGAAAAAGATTGATGTGAGCGTTGGGAGCAAAGAAAAGAAAAAGCTTGTGGGAAAGTGGGAGTAATTGGAAATGTACTTCAGAAAAACAACATTCTGGACGAGAATATGGACGAGGAATCCGGACTTTCGGCAGAGCAGTCCAGAATTCTGGAGAACACGTGGCGAGGAGCGGAAGCATTTCATTTCATGATCCTGGCTCAGCAACACTTTTTCGATGGTTACACCACTCTTATACTGATATATATTATTCATTTTTCAACTTCAGAGCGTGTGGAAGATGCGCTTCAAACTTCAGTAGTTCTTTCCGATTATGAAGAGTATTTGGATCCGGCGGAGGTTCATTCAATGATTGGTCAGAAAATCTTATTTAGCATAAAAACTGAAAACATTTCAGCTCTGGCAGCTGCAAACGTCCGTCAATTCGGAATTTGCTCAAAAGCCATGATGCGTTTGGAGACGATGGAAGATCTTGGAGAAGTTGAAAAGGATGAGATGAGATCGCTCTCGTTCCAGTTGTTTTCAGAGTAGGTTTTAGTTCTCCCAACCCTTTGTTTTCAACTTTTTCGCTTCTCAGCAACCCACCAGTCAATCCAAACTCTGCAAAAGTGAATTGTCCGAGCTGTGAAACCAAAATTGATCCATTCGATTTGCAGTGTTATGAATGCCACACAAAGGTTTCTAATTTATTCATTTTTCATTTGCTGTTTAATTAACTGTTTTGCAGTTTCCTGTGTGCATCGCATCTGGCAGGCTGATAATCGACAATGTGTTCTGGCTGTGCCCTCGCTGCAAACATCGTGCTCACCAACACGAAATCTCGAAATGGAGCTACTGTCCACTTTGTCATGACGTGGAGTCTTTTAAAAGATGAGCTCTTGTCGAGAAGCACATTTATTTATAAGGAATGAATGAGAATAAATGAATTTTTATGGAATGCAATAGATTACACGTCATTCTGAAAGCACATATTTCAAAACCAGATGAATAGTTCAATTTCTCATGAAAAGGACAGCTAGAAGTAAAAAAACTACAAATGGGAGATGAGCTGAATTCCGTAGCTTGCGTTGCACTGTTTTTGTCTTTTGCCAACCCGTCATGCCTTTCTGGTTCAACCAATCTTTACAGCTACGTGGCAGTTTACCGATGGAGTTTGTTTGATCCAGAAGTTCCAAGATGGTACTGAAATAGAAGTGTATGTCAATTGAAAACAATAAATAACTCACTGCGATGTTTGGTGGTTGAGTTTGACAAGGAACCTCGCCGCCGCTGATCCACAATAGTCATAGTTCTCATCAACGAAGCACTTGTCGTACCCATAAACGCTTCTGAAATGTGAATATGCAGAAAGCGGCGCTAATTTTCAATTTCTCACTTGCAAAGGCCGTCTAGTGATTCCTGAATTCCGGTGGGACCGCTTTGCAGAAGTTGCAGGACCTCCGCCTGCAGAAATGAGGCCAGCGAGTCACAACGGCCCGAGATTTCATGTCCGTATTCGGACCAACATGGGACAATGTTAACGCGGAAATCTGAAACGTGCCACTTTTGTTTAAACTCAGTTTGTTGTGAAACCTGTGTCATTTCTGAAATCGTGACATAAAATCATCCAGACGTTCTGTCCCTTAATGAGAATCTCCTTGGCCGGGACGTTTGGGCATCTTTGCAAACAACTGTGATATTCGTCGTTTCGGCGGCAAGCACGAGTCAAGCGGAGAGCCATTTTGCCTTGTCCAAATCTGAAAAACAATACAAATTTACTATGTCGAGTTGGATTTGTTTTATACTTGAGAAGGCTGTTCATCGGAGTGACCATATCAACTGACCACTCGTGGAAATCGCCCATATCGAATTGCATTCCATTCATCTGAAGAGAGGGGTGTGGAGTCAATCCTTATCCTCATTGGGAATAATAAATCAGCCGACGGCGGTCAATTATCCTCACTCACGTAATTGTCTTTGCACTTGAGAAAGCACGGCTCCGGGAGCTCATCACTCGGAAATAGGCTGATTGTGGAAAGAATGACTGCCAAACTCAGTAAGTGTTGCATTCTAGGCTGCCTGAGAGAAGAAGAAGATGAGGAAAAAGAGCGTGAAAAAAGATTTTTAGTATTTCCAGTCCACCACTTTTGAGGAGAAAGTAATAATGTCAATTGGTTTGTTGACCGGATTTCATTTGAGCGGTAAGCAGGAATTTGGAATTTTTTTAAAAGTCGGAAAAAGACTAAAAGAGAAAAAGAGTTATGAGCCGTGAAATCTGAACGAGCGTGAAAAAAGGGAGAAAAGAGAATGTTGTGAATGAGCATGAGGAGCACAATTGAATCCGATGCTCAGGGGAACAATTAGCGAGAACTCGAAGTTTTAGGGGCGAGCACGCGCGAAAAGGGTCGGGGCTCGGGTTGGGACGAGTTGTGGGGACGACGTCAGAAAAACTTTGAAGCACCGCTCACACAACTCGTGCCACACACACACACACCCATAAATATTATTTCCGTGGTCCGGCGGGCAGAAATCTTTTGATAATTTATCACACCGCCTGACCAGTTCCGATTGAGTACTAGAAGCTGAAAGCATGCAATGGTTGTGGTGGATTGGAGAGGTTGGAGTGAGGAGTGCTTGCGCAAAAAAATTGGGAGAGAGAAGAAGCAGCGGGAGAAGACGTGGTGCGAAGGTGAGGCGGAGAACATCGCGGAGAAAGTAAAATTAGTCGAGTTTTCGGGTCGGCCTGTCACTCACTCACGATGTCCCTTCCCGGAAAAACGGGCTGAATATTCAAATTAATTGCCTGGCCAAGGTTTTGGAGAAGACTGAAGGAGCAGTGAAATGTTCAAGATACGAATGCAATGCATTGAGGAAAAAGCAAAAACATTTTGATTGGCACAATTAATTCTCCATTAGGATCCATGTCATCTCCGATGATTTTCAAAATATCTCGCTTATTTCGAAACCCGAGCCGTGCCACTCAAGTGCGCGTTCGTTTCTATTTCCAGAGCAAATCCCGCCGTATGTGTCAACTCAATTTCGAAATCCATCCATCCCTTCAACAAGCCACACTGACTGACTGTTTTTGTTTCGAAGCAGGAACGTTGCTAGCAGGCTCGAGCACTGTTGTTCAGCAACAAGTGTTGTGCACTCACGACAATTCAACATATGTCCCCAGCTAGATCTACCGCACACTCTTGCGGAGCCGCCGAGAGGCCCGCCACATCCACTTGTATGCTTATCACGCTTGTGTTTTCGCTTGACGACAAAAAACTGGAAGAGAGGAAAGTACATGACATGCGGAAGGCGGGCGAAAACGCATGATTATCTCAAGTGGCATGGTTTCTTGAAAAAAAGATCACTGCGTTTATCAGGTACTCGAAAAGTGGACCAGTTCTAGTCAAGAGCAACAATTATTTCATATTTATGAACGGCTACTTTGCCGAAATCTGTTAGTTCTCTTTTCTTTGCGGGCCGACATCCGGCAGTGTTGCCCTTGTCCATTTTTGACATGTGTCAAAATGAAAGGGCACCGTTGTGTTTATACAGGGCACTGTTATCTTTTTATAGTTTCTCAGTACTTACACCTTCAGTTTTCTTTTTCCAAAACGTACAAAATAATTTTCGCAAGCACACACATAGTAAAGTTTGATGTTCCGTGAATCATTCTATCACTATAATTAGACCTGCGAACCTTTTTTCGCTGTGCTTTTTGCCGCAAGCTACAACAGACTCGCCCGTCGGAGGGCAGGGCCTCTCGACAAGAGCTGGTCAGCGAGAGGTGGATGAGATAAAGAATTTCGGGTATATACAAAATCAAACAAGCCTTTTGGAAAGTGGCTGCAGAAGACGAGGCCACCCCAAACGGGATTGTGTGTTTGTGTCTATTTGTGAGCTCAGAACGATAGCGGCGAAGGGCGAGCTGCCGAGAGCTGAAGATTGTCCTATTCTTTTCCTATCCCCTCACTTGGGTATTTCCATAAAGGGAACGGTTTCATTCTTCCTTTGCTTTTCCTTGTTGCTCAACATTCAGCTTCTTCTTTTTTTTCTGCTAATATCGGTGCCACTTGATAAAAAATGATTCCCTAACGGGCACACTGATTATACCGTATCGAGCCTCCGTCTCTCAGTTTCTCACTATGCCTCCCATTCAATTCGTGCGAATTATGAAATGATTAATGGCGCGAGCGTGCGGTCATCAAAGCCGCTTAGTGCAGGCGCGTGAATTATTGCGCCGCACAGGTAAGAAAGGAGCCTGTCCATCAGTTTTGAAATTTGATCTTTCTCCTATTTCCGCTCGTTTGTCCGTTTCGACAAAAATCTATCTTCAAAGGTTACCCACATACCAAGTAGTATATTTTGTTTGACCAATGGTCTGGTCCTTCCTGAAACCGAGACGAAGGATTCGGCAATTCGAGACGTTCCCGCCCGACTATAGTTTTTTCAACGTCATTGTCTGGCGTTGTTGAGATTGAGAGCCTTGTATTGTGATTCATGTATCTTCGTTCGATTACGTTCGGCTCAGATTTCAGAGCCACGTTTTTTGAACCTGAACACCTCAATACCGGATCGAAGCCCTCGACTTTCGTCGTATACACTTTCCGGGAACGAATCGTGCTTTTGTTTTAAACAATGTTCCGTTTGCCCCTATCGTTCTCCGCAATTCACACCTTTCATTCGGAAAACCACCTCGAAGTTCTAATCCGTTGGTTCAACACTTGTTGTCGACTTCCAAAAAAGACTCCCTTTCTGCTTTCTTCTTCTTCTTCTTCTGATCGAGACGACCCGCATCTCCTTGTCATAACATCACGCACCCTCTCTCTTTCTCTCCATCATTCTACTTTTGTCGCCGGTATATGGTCAGCGACATTCGGGAGACCCTCTCTTGTTGAGTCAACATCGAGTTGACCGACCCCACCGGGTAGAGGAAAAGGGTGCTAAAATCCGAGAGAAAGTGAGGGAGGGGGACGGGCTTGCGCAAAAACTAAGAACACCTCTTGGCTGTGCGTTCATCTTATCCCCCACCCGCACCGTCGTCTCGAAAACTCTTTCCGCTCCCCTATTGATACCATTCGGCCACCGGGTCTGTGAGCACACTGTAAACAAATGATGACACCCGTTTTTATGGTCATTCGTGTGTTTCTAGTTTATTCTACTCTGAGATACGTTCCAGAACTTGTCTTTTGTTCGAGTTCTTTTACTTTTCAAAAGTTCATTGCTCTCATGACTTGTGACTCACTACGCTTCAAATTTTCAATGACCCACAAGTACAATATATTTAGGTCTTCTTGAGGTAAACCGAGATTTGTAAACATGTTGAGTAGTCGCACCGTAAAATGACTTCAATAGTACTTGATATTCATGCTCGCCCCTCCTCAACCGCACTGAGCCCACCATCTCACTTCCGTATTCCATTTCACTTTTGCTCAATTCTTTCGAGTGTCCATTCAATTACAAAGTTTTGATATTTTTTCTTCTCAGGCTCGCCAACGACAGAAGAACTAGCGGGAACAATCAGCTTCAACAATAACGATGCGAGTGCTTCTCGCTATTTCAGTTATCTATCAAATAACTATAGGTACTTTGCCTTCGTTTACCGTTTCAAAAGTTTTAGTTCTCTTTTTCAGCTCAAAAAGTTGGAATCAATGAACCATGTGATAAGGAGCTGGACGGGCTGCTCACAGTAGACCCAAGTGGCGATGAGCACGCATTTTTCCACTGTCAGGGAGTCGGAGTTGGGTGAGTTGGACGTGAATAAGTATACAGAAAATGATCCTTCGATTTATGCAGAACAATCGCTTTCTGGGAACGGAAAGTTTGCCCGAACAATATGGTATTTGACTTCATCAACCAACAATGCAAAGAACATAAGAAAAAAGCACGGAAACAACAAACATTGAGTATTGGTAATGAATTGTGAGCCTCAAACTACACTACTCTAATCTCATTTCTTCTCAGCTATTCTCAACAATAGCTGTGCCAATGGTGAGACTTGTATTGGCGGATCTGTGTGCGATTTGGACACTCTTCGGTGCATGTGTCCTTACGGAACCACACCGAAACTTGATACCTTGTCCTGTGAATCTTCACAACCACCATTCGTCTCTGCTACTGTTGATGGACCATCACAATTCTTCAATTCCTTTGCTGGGTCTAACGGAAATGTATGATTCTTTCTGGTAAAATTATCAACAAAAAAAAGTTTTCAGAGAAACAACAACAACAATGGATTTGTGCCGTTTGGTGGGCAAACTTCTGAAGTACCGGATTTCCAGCCGAACAATAATTTAAATTATAACAACTTTGGAAGCAATCAGAATCAGAACAACAATAACATGAATGCTAACAAGAATGAGAACTTCAACTGGAATCCAAACTTCAACTGGAACAACAATAATAACAACAACAATGGAAATAACAATAAGCAGGCTCCAATCAATAACGGTATACTCAAAATGAATCTCCTTACTCTCAAAGTAAAGTATTTCAGGTGCTGGAACAACTGAGTTTGCCAACCCATTCCAACCAAATCCAAATCAGAAGTTTGTGTTCAATTTCAATAAGAACCAGGGTGTTCCAAATGGAAATAATCAGAATAATAACAACCAGAACATTCCGGTTGCCGAAGTTAAGCCTAAAGTCGCCACTCTCGGTAAGTCTTCACTTCCCATTTCTCTGCACGTTCCTCCAATTTTTTTATTCTCTTCTTTCTGTATCCTTTGGTTTCTTCTATTTTCTAGCTATTCCTGGTGCCTCGTGCAAGTCAAACGAGATTTGTGTTGGTGGTTCCATCTGCACTCTTCCCATCGGTATCTGTCTGTGTCCGGGAGATTTGGAAGCACACGAAGGAGAATGCGTTCTTCCTGCCGCCTCAACTATTTCTGTTCAAAAGGGTCTCTTTTTTTTCTGCACTTTTTCGGTTCACTTCTTATTTTTTTGAATGTTTTACTTTTCGGGAGAAATTTCTCAGAGCTCTTGAAGCACGCCCGAGAACTCTTCAGTGATTCGTGTTGTGAAACTTGCGTTTTTTCAGTGGGAATCGGTGCTCTTTGTTCTGATCTGGCCGAGTGTGATCATGGAAGTACCTGCGTGATGGGAAGATGCACTTGTGTCTCGCCGCTCATTCAGTTTGAAGGAAAATGTGTGCTCCGTCAACAACAGAAACTTGTCGGTGAGTCAGTGAAAAAACATGATACCTAATGGAATGCGAATGACCTCTTCTAACCGATCATCCCATACAGGTCCCGGCGAGCTTTGCGACAATGGAGAGATTTGTGGCAAAGGAAGCGTTTGTGACGTGATGATTCCGGTTTGCGTGTGCCCGGCTCACACTGATTTGAGTAACGGCGAATGCATTACTGTGAGCGCCCCAGTTACACAACAACCCGGTTCGTGCATTTTGATTATTAAGAGAAACTGCTTTCCAAGACCATTTTAAACCAGTTTTTTCATACGCTTTATAGCTTGGCTTTCTCATCAAACATTCGTAGTTCTGATTTCTGATTTAACAAGTGTCCTTTTTTCTTAATTTGTATGCAATATACAGTGATGACCCCGCCTCCAACTCTTCCGCCTGTCCTTGTCCCAGTGCAAGTTCCAGTTCCAGTTCCTGTTCAAGTTCCAGTTCAAATCCCTGTTCAAACTTTGCCTCCACCGACAAGACCACCGCCACCGCCGCCAGTTCTCATCACTCAGGTAGGAAAATGAGGGCAAAACACGAAAAATTTTACTTTTTAGCCGCAAATTCAGCCCACTGTTTACTATCAAACGACTCCACCACCACCGCCGCCGACCTATGCCACGACTCCAGTCACTATTCCATTTGTTCCCAAACAAATCTACACTTCTCCCCCGCAATTGCCAAAGTCATCTGTCAAGATCAACCAAATGAAAATTGGTAAAAGCAGTAGAATAATAGTAGTGCAGAAAAACATGAATTTCAGGAGGAAGCAAACAAGCAGGAGTTGGTGTCCGCTGCTCGTTGAACACCGATTGTATGATCGGTGCGTATTGCAACGGAAACACGAACCCACCGTCCTGCCAGTGCCTTTCCACACACGTCAACATTGAAGGAAGATGCGAAAAAGGTTTGTCTCGGGACTTCTCATCTTTTCATTTTCTGTTTTCTTCTCCTTCTAGTAATCTATCCGGGACAAGTTGGTTGCCGTAGTGACTTGCAATGCCATTCTGCCTACAGTAGCACGCATTGCATCGATAGGATTTGTGTATGCCCGGAGGGACAAAAGGCGGTTGATCAGACTTGTGTCTCAGGTAACTTCTCATTTCATCTCTATCCCTTATAACTCGTTTTCATTCCCTAAACAGGTACCTCCCTGCCTAACCAACCCTGCGGATACTCCTCGATTAATCCGTGCTCCAACCAGAGTGTGTGCTTCCAAAACCTGTGCATTTGTCCCGATCGTTACTCGCATAACTCATCTTCCCATTCTTGTGATGTGACTTTCCCCGAGCATACCGAATGCTCGAAAGCATGCTACTACCCTCGTGCTTGTGTTAACAACATCTGCATTTGTCCCGATAACATCGACTGCCTACATCAAGTGCGGACAAAACGACGTTCCGAAGATTGTTCTGAAAATGTAAAGATTTGTGAGAGTAGGAATGCGATCTGTGTGAATGGGATTTGCCAGTGCCCAGCAGGATCTCATGAAAACGATGGGAACTGTGTGCCTTATAATGTGAACTCAAGAGATACATTCCCGTTCAAAGAGGTAAATTGTACCAACTCGATGGGTTGTCCCGTGCATTATGTTTGTGAAAACGGAACGTGCCGATGTGAAACCGGAGAATTCGATATTGTGAGTTTATAAAAAAAATGGTGATCAATTAAGAATTGTTTATTTCAGAATGGCGACTGTATTTCTCCGCTCTCCCACGGCGCGTTCAAAAACATTAACAATCAGTGCACGGCAAAGGATCGTTGTGCCGGCGGATCAAAGTGCAAAGACTCTCTGTGCCAATGCGTCGACGGAGCCGTCGAGCTCACCGGCAAATGCAAACAGTTCCCCGGCGGTCATTGTTCAAACGGCGAGATGTGTTCCGGCGGCAGTAGCTGTTTTCTCGGCAAATGCCGATGTGATCCGTCGCGGACACTTGACAATCAAAGATGCGTGCAAACTACCGTTCCAATCGGATCAACATGCCGTCGCGGACAGCAGTGTGTGAATGGAGCTGCGTGTCGGTTTGGGATGTGCATGTGTGTCTCGAAGACCATCGCGGTGCTAGGCCGATGTGTTCACGAGACGGAAGCGGTGTCGACGAGCCTCAGTCAAAACAAGATTGGAGAAGAGAAAAAGCCAGGAATGCCGTGTTCGACGGAAGATACTTGTTTGGGAGGATCAACATGTCAAGATGGTGTCTGTTTTTGTGAAGCCGATTTGATTCTTGATGGAGATAGATGCATTGTGAAGATGTTAGAGACATCAACTGATACGACAACGACCACAGATGACTTGACTACAACTGGAAATGGATGCTTATCTGATAATGATTGCTCTGACAACAGTCTATGCACTGATGGAAAATGTACATGTACTGCCGGATTCAAGATCGTCGGAGATAACTGTTTGCCGGAAAAGATTTCTTTCTCATCCCGACCCAGTAAATCCACTCCCGGAAGTCAATGTACAACGACGTCCGAATGTTCGTTCCGCACCAAGTGCATCGACGGAGTTTGTCGATGCAAAAAAGGAGAAACAATAATTGATTCCACTTGTCGGACGGCTATTCACCACGTGCTCCCAGGTCTTACTTGTGACCCTTCAAACGGATACGATTGTGTCGGAGAGTCAATATGTGAATACGGTGTCTGCAAGTGTAAACGAAGATTGGTCAGCGACGGACAAAAATGTGTGCCACTTCACTTGGCTATGATTGTTATACCAGGAAAGTCTTGTGCTAACGATGAACCATGCGGAGGAGGATCGTATTGTGCAAAAGATGGAATTTGTCGGTGTCCGAACGACGAAGTTGTTGATGTGAACAAGAAATGCGTCAAAAAGAACTCGGTCGTCTCTGTGTTCAATAAAATCAAGCCGATAGTCACGACAACTCCTCCGACTACGATAACAACAACGTTTTCACCGACTACGACAACGACAGTTGACAATGCGTACATTCAGAGGAAGATTGATGAGTTGGAAAGACTGGAGATGGAATTCAAGAACACCATTCCGACGGAATCCAGTCTTCCAGCAGTTCACCGACCATCTTCCACTATCCTGGCGGGTCACTTATGCACTAAGAACTCAGAATGTCCCTCATTCTCATTCTGCTTTGCCAACTCATGTCATTGTATGGCCGGATTTCGAGCGACTTCTGGAATATGTGAATCCGCTATCGCAGTTGGAGAGCCCTGCATGACTTCGAATCAGTGCTTCGAGGACACCGAGTGCATTTTCGGCGTTTGCACCTGCACCGGAGCGAATTGTAAGGACACGAAAATGGCCCACCCCGGAGAAGATTGTACTTTCATTAAAACCGTATGCAGCTACAACAGTTATTGCAGTTTGATGAGTGGAGTGTGCGAGTGCCCATCCGGAATGGCTACCAAAGGAACAAAATGTGAAAACACGTTTGAGTCGATTGGGAAAGATTGCGTCACATCGAGAAATTGTCAAAAGTCAAGTTACTGTGACAATGGATACTGTGTCTGCAAGAATGGACACAAGATCGAGAACACCATGTGCTTCAACGGCCCTCCGGAGATCAAAAGCTTCAGTATTCTTCCATTCGACAAAAATGAGGGCGAAAATTCTCCGGTTCAAAACTTTATGAAGAATGAGTTCAAGGGACTACAAGAAATGAGCAACGAAGGAATGTTTCACACGACTACCAAGTGGCCGGAAATTCTAACCTTCACCATGATCCCTCCACCTCCAGATAACAACCAACCTAACTCCATGTTCCCTCAAATATTCTCAAGCTTCCCAATTGCTTATGGTGCAAAAACTGTTGCCGAGGAGGAGAATAATAGTACCATGAAGTACAAAATAGCATTTCCCGGGGAATACTGTGGAAACGGAGAAGTGTGCCTTGGCAATTCGATTTGTCAGGATCACTTCTGCCGATGCCTTCAAGATGTTGCTGCTGAAAACGGACTTTGTCCCCCTCAAGTAGACGATTTGAGAGTTTTAGGCTTGCAGCCTCTGGAGAAAGAGAAAGAGGTCCGTTTTAGTCAAAGAAAGAAGATCGAAATGAGACGAACTTCCTCCTTGCCTTTGGATAATTGCCAAAACGAAGAGACATGTGAGAACAACTCGACATGTCAAAGCATTCTCGGTCTCGGAAAGATCTGTCAGTGCGTTGAAGGAACCGTACTCTGGAGTGGTGAATGTATGGAAATGCTGGATTCATATTCACTCGTGGCAATCGATGGTGCTTGCGACGAAGACTCAATGTGCTTATCCGGCAGTGATTGCATATCTGGCACGTGCTCTTGCAGTGACAACAAAAGACTCATTCTGGGCATCTGCGTCGTTACTGCTCTTCCGGAAACTTCTTGTGAAAATGGCGAAGTCTGTATTAACGGATCTGTTTGTGGAGAGTCGGAATGCGAATGCGCTGAAGGATCCGTCAATGACGATGGAAACTGTGTTGCTGTACTGAGAAATGAATCAGAAGAAAAAGAAGAAGTGGGTGAAGCACCAGAGCAAACCAGCGGGTCCAATGAGACCGATGAGGAAAACGAGTTGCGATCAGTCGTTCGCCGCGAACTTGCAACAATTGACTGTTCTTCTGATACCGACTGTCAATCCAACTTCAAATGTCAAGAGTATGTCTGTGTTTGTGACGGAGCCACCGAACACTGTCTTGCTTCCATTGTGGACGTGCAAGTGCTTGTTACACCTGGAAGTGGCTGCAGCACTAATCGAAAGTGTGGCAACGAATCGATTTGTTTCAAAGATTACTGTGTCTGTAGTTATGAAGACATACCGGAAGATGATCACTGTGTTTCTCGTGATTGGCATGTTGGACTAGGTTCTCAGTGTAGTAACGTAACCAGATGCCGTGAAGATTTGCATTGTCTTGGTGGAGTATGCATGTGCAAGTTTGGTGATGTGAATTGTGACCGTGAGTTTCGCTATTACCCTTTTCCTGACTTTCCCGCATGTTATTCCTATGTTGTCCATCAGCTTTTGTTTAAATTCAGTTAACAAAGTAAGTTATTTTCAGCAAGTGAACCAGTGACGTCACCACCAGGAGGATCCTGCTCGAACCTTCGTGAATGCACCGGAGGATCTGTATGTAGAGAAGGTAAGAATAAACAGAAAGTTAGATGAAATTGAAATTAAAAATCATTTCAGGATGGTGTATCTGCCCCGACCCGTCAATGATTGTCAACCGTGGGATCTGCATTCAGTCGGGACCGAAACCAACATTGCCACCTAGAGTAGCTCACCAACACGCATGAAACTATTGACGCTTCTTTTTTCAGACTACTATTCCTCAAGTTCCATTGCCACCACAGCTTCCAATCTCTGTTCACGTGCCGCAAATGACCATCACTAAGGCGCAACCGTTCGTCACCGAAGCTCCACCACAAGGCAAGAAAATTGTGCCAGGAGGAAGATGTGGTTTGAAGTGCTTCTTCTCTATCCTGTCTATAACTTTCCTATGTTCTAGGACCTATTGATGTTTGTGTGGGTGGGAGTAACTGCATAGAAGGGTTCTGTCTCTGTCCGGCCGGTCAGCAGCCCAGCAACAACGGGCGTTGTGAGAAGTTCACGACGACACCGAGACAGACGACGTGGGCGTCGACGACGTCAACTCAAGGTACCACCGCACCGCCAATGACCACCGGCGTGTTCACGAGTGCGTTCACAATAGCCGACTTGCTCAGCACCCGTCGGCAGCCCGCTTTTATCGAAATTCCAACGCATGTTCCTCTAACCACCACAGGTCATATACAAAGTGAGGATGAGTGCACGGCTATTGGCTTGATATGCAAGGGAAACACCGTGTGTCGTAACAAATCCTGTCAGTGTCCAGATGGATACGTACTGCATCACGACGGATGTGTTTCCCCGGAAGAAGCCGCACGCAGAAAAGCTCGAGGAAAAGCACGACACGAAGGTTTGACATTCGAATCAGAGTTGAGCGGAATTCCGCCTTCCGCTTTCCGCCGTTCTTTTTATTCCGTCTTCCACCAAATTTTTTTTCATTCCGCTTCCTCTTTCCGCCTTCCGCCGTTTCAAAAAATCTATTCCGCTCAACTCTGATTCGAATGGTTTTCTTTTTCATCCAGTGTTCGATTTACAATTTACAGTCTTTTATTTACTTTTTCTCTATAATCGCTCGCGTTCTGCCGTGTTTGCAAGTGTTTTGCAGTGTTTTCCTTTAGGGTCCAACCGAATCACTTCTGTTTTCGGTTACCAAACAATACGAAAAAGACGACCACACTCACTCGCTGCTTACAGCACAAAGAACTCGGCTCGCACTTTGCAGTGCTTTTCAAATGTTTGCTCGCACTGAACATTTCTACTTGCATACCACAAAACATTTTTACTGTGATCACAACAAAGGGGTTTTCAGCTGCGACCGCTAGAGTTTACTCGAAACCAGGAGAGAGCTGCACTCAAGGCCAGACATGTGTCGGAGGAAGTGCTTGCTCATTTAGAAAACTCTGCGAGTGCCCTCAAGACAAGTCCGAAATCTTGAGTGGACAATGCGTGACTCCGAAGAAGGTGGAAGTTGTTCCAGGAGCATCCTGCAATGCCAATTCCGTTTGCACTAAAGGAAGCACGTAAGTAGCAACGACCCAGTCATGTGCGCATGATAATTTTTTCAGATGCGACAACGGATTGTGCCGTTGCCAGCCAGGCTACATCGCAGTTTCTGGTAACTGTGTCGCCCTTCCAATGCCAACAACTCCTAAGATGAAGACAATGGCAAAACCATTTGAAAGCTGTGAGAATGGAGAAACGTGTGAAGGAGGATCGAGTTGTGACATGGACACCGGAATCTGCATGTGCCCACCTGGACAGATCGTATTCAATGTTCAGTGCATGCCGCCACCGACTCAACCACAAATCACCACGAGAGTCACTGTTCCGGTCATCAAGACTGTGATCACCACGCCAAAACCGACTTTTGCCAGTGAGATTCTACAAGGATTGTGCTATATTTCATGCTTCCCTTTCAGCAGACTGTGAGAGAGATGCCAACTGTGGAGAAAACAAGATCTGTGTCTCGCGAAAGTGCAAATGCCGACCAGGATTTGTGGACAACTCGGGAACGTGTGAACCCCTTGAAGGTAAGCCCGTGAGATCACTGAACCGAGCAACTTGTGTGATTTGCTATCTCTCTCCCGTGTTGAATAAAACACCAACCACAATTTTATTTGAAGTGCAGAGTTGTTTTCCTCCCGTGTGCACTAACGAGACATTTCAGACATCGACGCCATCGAGAGACCGATCCCTGTTTCATATGCCAAGCATAAAGTAGCCACCCTTTCCGAGAGAATGCTACCCAAAGAAGAGATTGAACTGTCTAACATTGAACCCGTCACTACTGCCACTCCGGCACGACAAGAAACCCAAAAGCCACGAATTGTGGGCCCGCCTATCAGAAGACCACGTCCGAAGAACAAGGGCAGCGGAGGATCCGGAGGACTCATCGGTAATAGCGGAGGATCAAGGAGCTACAAAACGGGAAGCGGCAACGGAAACTGTCCTCCTGGCAACGAGGCAACTAGAGATGACAGTGGAAAACTAATCGTTTGTAACGGACTTGAACCAAACTGCCCGCCTAGGTCCTATTGCTACATTACCTCCGGTGGTTTTGCCACCGAAGAGTACAATTGTTGCAAGTCTTGGTAGACAGTTTTTTGATACTTTTCTCAACAGTTATTCATGACCAGAGTATGAGAATTTATATCAAGAAAATTGCTGAATGTTTTCTGGTAATAGAACTATTTCGCTTCTTGAGGTTCTAAGAACGTTGTCTGTACCATTCCCCTATGTTTTCTTTCTCCTTTTTTTCCCCGATTTCTCCCTCCCCCCCCCAAGAGTGAGTGTCACTAATTTATTATCAGATTCTATCAGATTTATATGATTCTCTATGTCGTTCCCACACACACACACACGATTATTCACAACAAGTGTTTCAAAAATCTCACTGGTGAACAACAATAACTGTACTTTTTGTGCTTTCATCATTTCCCCTTTCTTTCTCTCCAAAAATCTGCCCTTATCTTCCCCCCACATAACTAATTGTATTACACGTGTGGATTATGTATTCTGTCACTGATTTTCTAATAAATGTTCAAAGGAAAACGAGGAAGAATCTTGAAATACGGACAAGCCTGCAATCGCTACCAAGACACGTGTATCAACGGCGCCAAATGTATTGACAGGATCTGCAAATGTGCTCCCGGATTCATTTTGGCTGGAAATGGATGGTGTGAAGGATTTGATTTGGCTAAGGTTGTATTTAAAACCCGATTCGAGTCGTCAAGTGTTTAATTTCAGGCAATAGAACTTAATAAACAATCAGTTGGAACAACTAGCGCTCCGAAAGCGAATCGTGTCATTCAGACTAAGCAGCAGAAAGGTTTAGCTGTACCATATTCCCAAAATGTCATGTTCATTCTTTTAAGTGATAACCACGACCACCACGACGACTACCAAAGCAGCTGCTTCACACCGAGAAGTACCAGTCACTACGGATGAATTCCCGACTCCTCCATCCAACATTTTTGGTTTCCCAGACAGGCGTACAACCAAAAAAGTGCCAAAGGTGGCTGCTGTTGGCTCAGCTTGCACTTCCATCGACATTTGCCTTGGCGAGAGTTTTTGCGTAAACGGATACTGTCAATGTCAGCCAAACTTCATCCTTCAGAATGGACAGTGCATTTCAAGTAGGATAATACTATGACCAAGACATGGAAAACTTAGATATTGTAGAAGAAAGCAAACACAAAGTGGCAAAAGTGGGTGAAACGTGCAAGAACGGAGAAATTTGTGCGGGAGGATCGATTTGTGATTACGACAGAAAAAGATGTATCTGTGCTGCCCAACACGTTGCCATTAAGGGTATTTGTAAGCAGAAGTGTACGTTAAAACACTGTGTGTCTTCGGAACATCATCTTATTTTCAGCTGCACCGGCGTTCGCGGCTCCAGGAGATACGTGTAGTATGAGAGAGAAATGTACAGGAGGATCAACTTGTTTCGAGGGAATGTGTACTTGTGATGACCATCACTTTGCCGAGGATGGATACTGTAGACCGATCGGTGAGTCAATGAATGACAATAGACCTCCTAGAATAGACCGTGTTTACAGAAGCGCGCAGTTCGAAAGTGCAGTTTGTGAATGGAGCCGGATTGAGGTTCTCGTCAATGCAAGTACCAAACCGGCAAAGAGCCCAACCGTGCAATGAAGCAGAATGCAAACTTCCGAATTGCTTCTGCAGTGACAATGGTTAGGGACCAAACTGTGTAATGAATTCGATGTTTTTTCAGGAAGGCAACCACCAGGCGGACTTCGACCAGATGAGACTCCTCAGTTTGTGGTTCTCACTTTTGATGATGCTGTTAACGGAAAAACATTCCCTGACTATAAAAAGCTGTTTGAAAATGACGCTCTCAAGTAAACAAGCGTTCAAGATTTGTTAGTCAACATTTTCTGTTTTGAGGAATCCGAATGGATGTGACGTGAAGGCAACTTTCTTCATTTCTCACGAGTGGACCAACTACGATGCTGTTAACTGGCTGGTTTCGAAGAATATGGAACTTGCATCAAATTCTATCTCGTCAGTTACAAACAGAACCGCAGCTTTTTAGAATATTCTTCAGACATGAGTCCTTGGAACACGAAAACACAAATAGGTGGCTAAATGAAATGGATGGACAACGAAGAATCTTGGCGAAGTTCGGCGGTGCTCCAGAAGAGCAAATCGTAGGAATCCGTGCTCCACAACTTGCGCTCGGTGGTGATAATATGTTTGAGGTATGAGATGCAAGAGTCGAAAACTGAAAAAAAGCGTTTAGATGATGGTGGGAGCCGAGTTCTTATGGGACAACTCAATGTCGGCCAATCCGGGAATCCATGGCGAGCCATTCTGGCCGCAAACATTGGATTATCAAGTGGCTTGGGATTGTCATGAGGCATCGTGCCCCAAGAGTTCATTCCCCGGAATCTGGACGGTCCCGTTGAACCAGTTCTATGGTTCCTACATGCGACAGATTGACAGTTTTAGAAGATCGAGCATGATCCGTGCTGCTGTCGATTTGAATAATACTGTTGAAGAATTGGTAAAAAAGTAGTTCGCTCGTAATTTATTCGGAAAATGTATGCTTTAGGATGAGATCATAATGCGAAATTTCGAACGAAGCTATTCTGGAAACCGAGCGCCTTATGTGTTGTCGTTGAATGCTGATTTCCTGCAACTTGCTGGACAAAACAAAGGAATGAAAGCTGTGCAGAAGTTCCTGAACAGAATTACTGCTAACAAAGATGTTTACATCGTTACCATCAAGCAACTCATCGATTGGATGAAGCGGCCTGTGCCACTGAATCAAATTCAAAAAGTAACTCAATTTCAGCTCAATTCGGATAAACTTAAATCTCGCTTTATTACAGTCGAAAGCAGTTGGCTGCCCAATCACACTGTCATTCAATCGCAATCCCTCACTATCGACTTGCGACAAACCTAACAAATGTCTGTACAGTACGCCGTCGTTATCAAGCCAGGAGCACCAGTTTCTTACATGCTTACCATGTCCAACTATGTATCCGTGGCTTGAGAATCCTGCCGGTGGTATAGTCTGATTAATTTAATACAATGTTCATTTTATTTTATTCTTATTGTAATATTTCTCTCATTTATTCACTTTTTTCTATCATGTTACCCATGTCTTTCACGTGTATGTATTTACTGGAAAGTTAAACCTCCATCTACTTAAAAAGTAGTTTTTTGAAACCTGAAATCCCGCTTAGTTCCATAATATTCATTATGTTTTATAATGATAAATTATTTAATATTGAAATGATCAGTTTCTTTCTGGAACCGATATTGTTTGCTGCTAGTTCAGTTGACGCGTAGCAGAAATACTGCCATTTCTTGTCATTCTTTGCGATAAGATTGAGTACTTTCCTCCGTATTACCCGCTTTCGACCCGCGATCGCTCTTTTCTTATCAGTGATATTTCCACGCATTCACAAATATATACGCAAGTGAGTTGATGAATGCTTGCGAAAAATGTGATAGAAGCAAACGGTTTACCTCGAGCAAGGATGGAAACGCAAATGCAAATGCAAATGCGCTCGCCTGCACAGGGTCATGAGGGACCGAATGGTATGCGATGTAAGGTGCACCAAATGTCTCTGCCCTTGGTCACATTGACTTTTCTGATGGATCTCTTTATGCTCATCAATATTGCGAAACAATATCATTCCTCATTCTTTCTCGGTCATTAAAACAAGTTTTGCTTTGAAATGTTTGGGAGGGTAGGCCAACTTTCATCAGAAAGTAAACACAAACCGCTGCTTTCTTGTGACCCTCTTCCTCTCTCTTTCTAACTCTCTCTCTCTCTCTCCCTCTCTCTCTCTCTATCTCTCTCTCTATCTCTCTCTCTTCAATGCACGTGGTCACAGTTTAGTTTCTCTCGTTCCCGAAGTGATCCATCTCGAACAGGAACAGTCAAAAACATTGTTTGGGAATAGGAATAGGTGCGTCCCGAGCGATGACTTCAAATTAGACCTTGACCGGCAGTGCGTGAGGTTTTCCAAAGACACGACGCAACGCGCTGGTGGCGTGATATGCTAGCCAATTGTCTTTCTCTTGTGCCCCGTCGCACGCAGCATGCCCACCTCTTATCTCTTCAAGCTCTTTTTTCACGACCAGTTAGATTATATCTACTATCGGCATCAATCACTTTTCTTCCGATTTTATTGTGTTCTGGTAGCGTCTTTTTCATGTATTGTTTTGCTAGATTACTGCTTGTATCATCTTAATAGACTACACTTAGTAGCTACGTTGTGTTATCATTTAGAATCAAAAAGATCAGTTTCAGGTCTTCCTGCTTGCTGGGAATGCCGGGAATACACACTTTTTACGATGGGTCCAAAGTTTTGGAGCCGCTCTCCGAAAGTCTCGGAATCGAAGTGGATAGAGTGAGTTTCAAATATCTTAAACATAAAACGAAATTCAATTTCAGGTCAATTTCGTGTTAAGTTTGTTTGCCAGTTTTGGAATCTCGTACGTCTACAGAAAAACTTGCTCGCTCAAGCAAGTGAACCGACAAGTTCGTATAGTCGTCCCCGCTGTTATCGGTATAGCGCTCGTATTTTTCTGTTTTGGAAGGTTGGTTCTCACTGGTTTGACCCATTTATAACTTGTTATCATTTCAGAGCAATCAAACATCTTCTCGCAAACGCTCTCGGTAGTTATGCCCTTATGTACTTTGCCCCGCCGACTCAGGTCCACAAGTACAGTATTTTTATAACTTCTTTTGAGGAATATTCATTTATTTTAGACTGGTGCTCATGTTCTCGATGGGATACCTCTTCTTCATTCACTCTTATCGATGGGCCATTCTGGAATCTTACAGTCTAGATATCACCGGACCGATTATGGTTGCAGTTGAAAAGGTTTGGACGGAAGAGAGGATTATTGAGTTGATAACTGTAATCTTCAGGTCACCATGATGGCATTCAATTTAAAAGACGGAAAATCTAAGGATCAGTCAAAGTTGACAGACGAGCAGAGAAAAGAGGCTCTCAAGGAGATCCCATCGCTTCTCGAGTTCATGTCTTTCATGTTCAACTTCCAAGTGAGTTTTTCTGCTTTAACGTTTCTGTATTCACACCTACTTTGCAGACTGTTCTGACCGGACCAGCTAATAACTATTACGATTACTTGAAGTTCTTAGAAGAAGACCACGTCTTGGCTGATAAGCACGGAAAGGTACAGATTTTAGATAACCCTCAAAACTCATTGTCAGTTTTATGTGCCATCTCCAACTGGGACCGCCATAAAGAAGTTCGGACATGCCATGTTCTTCCTTGTTGTCGTCGTCACCCTCGGGGCCAAATACAAGGTTGAAGACGTCGGAACTCAAGAGTACTTTGCCCTTCCGTTTTACCAATGGCTCTTCTGGTGGTTCTTCACCATCATGCTCATCCGCTGCACCTATTATTTCGCCTGGGTTTTTGGTTAGTTTTGTTCTTAAGATACAAACACAATTAAATCAAAATTTCAGCTGACGCCATCTGTAATATGTCTGGATTTGGATTCAGTGGATACAGCAAAGATGGAGAGGCAGAATGGAAGCTGTGCACCAACGTACTCCCATATCAAGTGGAAATGGCGCAAAGTCTGAAAGAAACCCTTGACGGATGGAACATCCAGACCGGATTCTGGCTTCGAAAGGTCGGATACGAGCGAGCCCCGAAGTCCATTCGAACTGTTGCCACATACTCGCTTTCTGCTGTCTGGCACGGAGTTTCTATTGGATATTACATGGCTTTCTTCACCTGCGGACTTTTCACCGTCGCTGCTCAAACGGTATTTACGTCCAGTTTGATGAAACTCTTCGACCTTTCTATTTTTCAGTTCCGTCGTTCGATGCGTTGGAGATTCCTGGACAACGCCAACTCCAAGTTTGCCTACGATGTCTTCTCGTTCATCATCTCAAAAATTGCTCTTGCTTATGCCACGTACTCCTTCGTCACCATGCACTTGCACCCAGCATACGAAGTACTCACCAGAGTTTACTTCATCCCGCACATTGTCGCCTTCGCAGTCATCTTCGTTCTACCAAAGTTCTTCAGACCACTCAAAAAGCCTCAAGCCGCGCCCGTCGCTGACGAAATCATCAGTGACAAGCCGCTTAAGAAGGAATAAATTCACTAAGCGTGCTTCAGATTTCTATCAAATCCTGTTTGTTGACCGGTATTCACTTTTCGCCTCCATTTAAAACGAGTACTGTTGATGACTAACCGAGCCACAGCAAACAGTTTTCGAAAATAAAAATTCGATCAAGTATTGTATATTACAGTTCCCTTCACTCGTTTTCTTCAGTTGTGCCCATTTATTTTGTTCTGCTTTCATAAATAAAAGTGTCACAATACGTATATTTCTGATTAATTGTATTTTCTCCGGTTTTCGCGTTGCAGTAGTTGTAAACCAAGTATGTACACACCTGGACATAATTATAAAGCCACTCTATTTTTGCGTTTTTCTCCAGAACCAAAAGTGATACCGACATGGGTCTTACAAACGGTAATCCATGCTAGGAACCCCACAAAATGATAGAAAAACCGGACAGTGCAGTTGAAGAATTCCGGTAAAAAGTTGAATTTATTGAAAAATGGCACCTGGAAATTGGACATAATTATAAGGCCACCCAAAAAACAGATGAATCCAAACTTCCAAACGGGGTTTCCCTCGGGACTCTTAACCATCTCTCTCTTCCTCTCTCCGACATTATTGCTATGCAAGAAGTCAAACTCTTCACCAAATCTCTCCGACATTATTGCTATGCAAGAAGTCGAACTCTCTCTCTCTTCCTCCTTCCGACGTTATTTCTATGCAAGAAGTCGAACTCTCTCTCTTTCTTCCTCCTTCCGATGGTGATAGTCCCATCAAAATCTGTCCGCAAAATGTTGCACATCGGTTCAAAATTTTTCACATTTTGTTGAATAACTTTCTTGTACATTTTTTCGTCAATTGCGAATGTTGCACTCTTAAAGCCCATTCCATCAGCTTTTTTTTATAGAGTGTTTTACTCAAAGTTTGACAGAGTTACAATTTTTTGAAAAAAAGATACCATTTTTGCACATTTTCTAAGCCTAAGCCTAAGCTAATTGAGTTTCTCTTTTGTTTTCAATGTTTTCCAGCGCGAAGAGTCGAAAAAAGAGTTGTTTTTCCGAGCTCTGATCGGTTGAGATGATCACATTTCAAAATGCACACACGAGAAGCGCGGGAAAAGAAGCAGCAACGTGACTCTGTGTCATCCGTTCTCTTGCCAAAAACATTGGCCCGCCGTCGCGGGAATGTTGAGATGTTGACCTCAGCCTCACGGCCCCTCAGGGCATTATTTGCGCAGTAACCCATTGTCTGCCGGTCCCTCCGTCTCATTATATCTCTCTTCTGCCAATTTGTATTCGTCTGCCGGATTATTCTCCTCCAATTGGACCAGCTCTTTCCCTTCGAAACACTCCAATTGGACCAGCTCTTTCCCTTCTAAACACTCCAACGGACCTCGAATCTTCTTTTCCTTCCGTTTTTGTTTTGTGCTCCCGTTTTTACCCTTTCAGCCGCTTCCTTTCTCAATTTCCCATTTTTTCTCTGTTGCGCATGACATGTCAACAGCCTCCTTTAATCCGACCAACCGGCCGCCGCCCTTCAAAACGTCTGATGGAAGATATTGCCTCATTCATTTTCTCTTTTGAAGTGATCACTTGGTCTCTATCCCTCGGCTAATCCCTGACCGGAGAGGTGTTGGGTGTTGGGTGACGGTTGTCATGGATAATATCAAATCGCGTGATGTCTGCCTCCTCCCATCCCATTCAACTTTTACCTAGGGCTTTTTTCTTCTTCTTTATTTCGTCCCCAGAATATCCAACAAGAAGCATAATTTTCTTCGACTTCCAAGTTTCAAGGACAAACAAAAGGTTACATGTACATTAGTTCAGTTGTTCATTATTCGCGCTTCTCCTTGCAAACATACATTTGTGACTCGTTTTGAAGCCAAATATACTGGTGATTCACAGGAACTTGTAGCTTACATTGATAGAAGTCCAATATTGTGAAATCTTGGAACATGACATCATAGACTCTCGGAATGGGACTTTTTTTGTTTTCTTTCCATGCGAAAGTCTGTTTTCTCTTTTTCCCATTCCGCTCGTCTTCTTTTCTTGAATTTTACCCAATTTTCGTTGGAACCTTCTGTTTTCCTCTGTTTTCTGTGTTAGTCGTCGGAAAATTGCGTTAGTTTGACAATGTTCACCAAGAGACCAAAAGATAAGCATCTCTCCAAAAAAGAAACATCTTGGGTGAATCATAGGATAGGAGTTACAAGCGTTAACGTTACTTTTGTTTTCTTTCCGACTGACGGTGACTCAATATTTCATATAAAATGGAGCCGCTCACAAGAGACGGTCGTTCAGCGTCCCCAACACGGACGGCAGCCAGATGTCCTTCATCCGAGGCCTCACAATACCATAAATCTCTTCTTTGGCCTCTCAAACCAGTCATTCATTCAACCACCTATTATTCTACGTCGCTCCCGTTTTTATTATGTGCCACGAATCCTGTTTTGAACATCATTTATCTTTTTCAGAACTCGCCTCATCTTCCGTCCGCAATGGCTCTTACCTGCACCGATATTCCAAAGTTCATCTGCGCTCTCCTGCTCCCGGTTAGTTACAAAACCAGAGTTTTTAGTCTTTAGTCAAACCATATTCATTTCAGCCAATCGGAGTGTGGATGGAGAAAGGATGCACCTACCATCTGGCCATAAACATCCTGCTCACTCTGCTCGGATACATCCCAGGAATCATCCACGCTTGCTACGTCATCCTCGCCTACTAAACGATCCGCCCGTCCGACTGAATGCTGCCATCTCCATCACTTCCTGATAAACAAAAAAATAACGCTCGTATTTTATTATTCCTCTCCCCCCACAAGACACTCCTTATGCCATTTTTCCATTTTCAATTCCTCTCCTCTTTCCTGTCACATAATATTGCTTTTGACTTGACTTTCCGCGATTGATTGGCACCACGTTTATTGTATTGAATTGTGAGTATGAATAAATGAAGAAGAAAAGGATACATAATGGAATTTCGCGAAGTGAACCGAACCATGACTTCTTTCCAAACGCGAATGGTCGGAATTGTGACGTTGTTTACAGTGTTTCGAAAGTGACGAATAGGTGGGACCGCAGGTGACTCTGTTGTTTTTCGAACACTCCCAGATGCAGAGAGTCAATTTCAATTTCAGCACAAACAACATTGTGTACACTCTTTTTAAAAATGCTCTGACTCGTCTCGGTCATGATTATTTTTCATTTCAAACCAAACTTGAGTACTTTCATTGTAAAATGTCAAATGCGAGAACTAGTACTTCACTGCTGAGCAAACTGAAGGCTACAACACGAAATATGAAAGTAAAGTTTACGCTTAGCGCTCGATCACCAGTCCATCCCCAATTTCACTTCCTACTCTCTCTCTTTCACTTTCTTTTTCCGCTTTTCCGCCGTTACCATGGATGCTTCCCATTGCCTTCTCGTCGTGCGCATTTCCATTTCCCATTTCGCAACAGATCTGAGCTGCAAAACACTGAATCTCCATCTTTCTCTTGTTATTTCCCGTACATCATGCGCTAAGTCCCGCCCTGTTTGCCCGCTAGCCCTGCCCCAACATTTTAGTTTTGTTCGCACGATCGCCTATTTTCACTCTGAACGTTTCTCCCGTTTCTCCCGTTTCTCTCATTCGATTTCAAATTTTCCTTTTTCCCGTTCCTGTCCTCGCAACTATACGAATGTTTTCAGAACTTTTCGTCGACTGCCATGGCTTTGACTTGCACTGACATTCCGAAATTCATCTGCGCTGTTCTTCTTCCTGTATGTTTTACCAAAACATTTTCCAAACTTGGAAGCAATGTTTTCAGCCAGTCGGAGTTTTTCTGGAGAAGGGATGCACCTATCATCTGGCCATTAACATCCTGCTCACCCTGCTCGGATACATCCCAGGAATCATCCACGCCTGCTACATCATCCTGGCTTACTGAACAAACCGAACTTCTCGTGATTCATTCTGATGCTTGCATTCTACTTTACCTGTCAATTGCATTAAAAAATAAATACTCTAAAGAAAAATGTTACAAATAACGACTCAGCGAACTCATCTGACATTATTACCCGATAACTCATTCGGAAAACATGTCCAGTCAACTGTCAGTTGTTCTGACGTTTACCCTCCAGATTTTCGACCATCATTTTTTACGTTTTTACCGCCGGTCACAACAACAGCCGGGCGGGCCCAGGTAACCTCAACTGTTCATTATTCCCACTGAAAAACCTCAATGAAGAGGGCCTAATTGTATTGTTCTTTTGCCGCAAAGACTTGTCGTGGGACCGTCGATCTATCATATTTCGGCGTTTTGCTGTCGCCTAACCAGTTGGAGACGTAGATTCGTTTTTGTTTCCGCATTTGTCAAAAACGCAAAAGTTACCGCTATTCTCTTGGCAAGAAAACTTCAGCCAAACAGACCCCATCTCGCTTTGTATATGAGTGAGCTGGGTGATCTCTCTAGTGTTTAAAACATGTTTCGTCCGGGCCTCGGGTCCGTTTCTCAGCCTCGACCGCCACGTCCATGTCTCGTTTTTCTCCGAGTCGCACCAGTTGTCACGGCATTAGCGAGAGCACAACAGTGTGCTCCCGCGACGACATGTCACTACGAATAACGCTCGAATTACTGGCAAACTGTCGTCGTGCTTTGAACTGTGCCGATGCATTCCGTGACAAACCACATAACGCTTATACATGCGTGAACATTGTAACTTTTACGAGTTTTCTTCTGTTCGATCATGTTTACCGCCCAAACTGTTACTTTCAAAAAATCAAAAACGGAAAGTATTCTTATCAGTCGTCACCACCGCCTAGACCTCCTGATAACGAACATTTTATTCGTAGTTTTTTAATACAATTAACTCTCTCTCTCTCTCTCTCTCTCAATTATTATTCAATTCCATCTCGAAACCACTCAATTTTGGCCACTTGTAAACCTGATCGCTCACGCATCTATGAAGAGAACGGTAGTTGCGAGCGGCAACCACCACCAAATAATAGCAGTGTTGTGTGTTTTCTGAAGTCTGTGTGCGTGGTGCGCTGGTTGAAAAACCGGAATAGGAAGGCGAATGGAATGAAAGCAGCATGAAAATCGATATGCCGACGGGCGGGCGTGAGCTCTAACGCTGCCTCATATTTGGCGTATGTGTTCAGTTGCTTTTACTTTTGGAATGACACGGAAATATCTGGGCAGCGTGACGGAGCGCAAAAAATTTTAGTCGCTCACTCTGTCTCTCTTACTCTCTCTCTGGATTCTCACACTCCTACATTTCCTCTAATGTGCATCTCTTTTTTCTTTTTCTGTTTTTGTTGTCGTCGAGTTTCTCGTGACGTTGTTCTTCGTCCCATACATCCAAAAAAGCCAAAAATGGATGGAATAGGAAAAAAAAGAAAGCGTGTGTTCCGTTTGGTTCATGGGCTTTACGCCAATCTAATTTATGAGCATTTCTATTCCTTTCAGTTTTTGAATGTTATCTCACAATGTTTTTATAACTTCCACTCCAGAAAACATTAGACTAGTTTTCATTTTACATCACAAGTGTGAAACGAACAGATAGATCCCGGGGCATAGTCACACTCACGCACGGACCCCTCACTCTCCCTCTCTCTCTCCCTCCTTCTCTTTCCCGCACCCGATTATTCTCTGTCTTGGCGGGAGCTACTCGGCTCCCGTCGCGTTGCGTTTCTCCACATTCATCCATCCCTCTTGATTCCGTCCGGCTCGTGCTAATATCCGGAGGGGGACAGACAACGTTGATGGGATCGGCCACACTTTTTGCACATGTTTCTATTTTATTTACAATCATACACACACACATTACATTTTGCTAACCTAGAAAGCTCCTGAAATAAGAGATTTTTGCTGTTTTTCTTGGTGAATTTATATAGAAGCCCCAAATTTGGCGCATTGTTCGGAGCAGCTGTGTTTTGCACCGCACCTGGCCTTGTTCTTCTCTTACACCTTTATTAGGTGCGGTTTCTGCCCAAACTGCAGTAGGTGTTCTTGTCTCATTCCGTCGCCTCGATAAAAGATACAAGTTTTTCTTCGTTGTTTCCCTTTCCCTCTCTACTTCTGCAATTGTTCCTCTCATTTACGACTTCACTCACTTTACGATCATCATCGTCTTTTCGTCGTTGTTGCTGTTTCATTTGACCCTACTCTCTTGGCTTTTGCAGAACAAAAAGTGGCGGGACACACTCAACATTTGATAGGTGTCTGCTCGTCCACTAATCATGATGCGTGAGGAACTATCAACCACTTCCGCCGATGATGAGTTGGCGACCACATCTACGAGGTTAGTTGGCTAAAAGATGTATGTATGCAAAGTTCATTTTCAGTCAAATAAACGGGGAACAGCAGCCAAAGAAGGGTATTTTGAAGCGACCCTCTATTGTTAACGATGAAAAAAGAGACAAACTCTTTCCACTTCCCGGATTCCGGCCGTCCCCTGACCGATTTCCCGAGAAAGGAACAACTCGAATACCCAAACTGCAAGTGACTTGGTGGGAAAAGAATGCAGGTACACTTTCATTGTTCATGCATTTGGAAATAGTGTCGAACATTTTAGTTGCATTTATTGGTGAAACAAGTGACGAGAACAACACAGATTCGGAGCACCTTATGCGAGATTTAGGGAATGGGAGGAGAGATGCAGAGAAGCCGACAACAAAAGCTTTGCAAATTAGGTAGAATTGAATATGATTAGCCCAATTTCATTGGAAAGTTTACAGGCAAACCGCAATTTTGGATTCTGAAGATTCTGATCTGAACGAAAGTGATATTCTTGCGCAGTTTCAGCTAACAGACATGGACGACGCGATGAGTGTGACAAGTTCCACGTGTAGTTCCGCGTCGGCAATCGTCGGACGATGGTGGAATGGCAAAGACACCCGATACGTGCCGCATTGCCAGAAAAAAGGGTGCAATCACGCGCACCACGATCTTCAGGGAGAGTATATCACGCCCACGCAGAGACGAAACAAAGAGCTAGCGCAGTTGAAGAAGGTGACAACTTCTATTTATCTTGATGGCTGAGCCACAAGTTGCCATTTTCAGGAGTTGCGGCAAGCGCTGTCGGAGAGAGATGAGAAGGACAAACATCTATCAGATTTGAGAGACAAAGTCAAGGAGGTGAGAATATTGAGCTTCATTGCGAATTCTTTTTATTGTTACTGCAGATTGAAATTTTCAACGAGACGCAAAATACGCTAGTGGAAGGTCAGAAAATGATGAGAAAAGAGCAGATGGAGAAGGAGGCGTTAGAGAAAGAAAAGAAAATAATGGAGAAGAAGCATGCGGTTCGAGTGAACCAGCTCATTCAGGAAACAATGACTGCCAGGTAACTAAATCTTCTATTGTAGTATAATAAAAACTCACTATTTTCAGAGAAGAAGCGGTGAAATTGACTTCAAGGGTTGCGTTTTTGGAAGAACTCCTGAATGCCCCAAGAAATGATAGTGAGACCCAGACAGATGAGCTCGAGAGAGAGTTTTACCTCCGATGCAACCCTCCAGATCCATCAGACCCTAATCAAACGGGTACATTAGGTTGGTTAGCCGGTCAGATCACACCATTTTCATGAGATAATGTTCAGTTTCCCAAACAATACAAGCGGATCCATCGACTCCTTTGTCAATCATCGCCGTTCAGCAGGACCTTCGCAGTCCCAGTCCAATGATGATTCCTTTGGTGACCGGAGACAACAAGAATCAGACTTTGTATTGCAGCCAAGATGCACTCAATCACATACAGGTAACTTTTAGGCTATGTGGAATATAAAAGTTTCATGTTGATGTAGGCTTGTCAAAACGAGGCGTTCATCTGGAGAAACAAGGCGGCGCAATTGGAAATTGTTGCAAAAGATCAACTTCTCAAGATCCAACAGCTTGAAGATTGTCTGCAGAAAGCGCTGGAACCTTCTCCAGAAGTACGTTCTGGCTACATTCCCGCATTCAATGATCAAAATTGTTCAGAGTCACATCACAGTCATGCCGAACGCTCTTATCGTGGAGGATGTGTCAAACACCATCAGAGAAGCGGATCCGCACAACGTTAGCTTCCTCAAATCTCAAATTCTTATTTTTGTCATTCAGGAGCCTATCGTTATCACTGATTGCAACTTCGAAGCGTGCCTGGAGACTAAAAACTTGATGAAAAATGAGATTGAAAGTCTGCGTCAGACGTTCTCAGAGGCAAAATTCCGAATTCGTGAGCTTGAGGATGATGCGAACGTTTTCCGAAGAGATCTTGAGAAAGCAGATGAGGAGAGGTTCAAACTGGAAGCCGCTTTGAAGATGATCAATGATGACGTGGAATCCAAATCAGCGGAGATTGTAGCATCGCTGAACACGGCCAATCGCCTTCAGGTACTTACTAAACGTTTTCGAACGTTTGCGCAAAACTCTATGTTTCAGCATGAGAAGGATCAAATGCACCGTGCAATCGACTACATGGAAGAGAGAATGCAGGTGTATCGTAACACGATTCAAGACCACAACTTGGTTGTCACCGATGAAAACGACGCGGACTGGAGGAAAACTGTATCGGATCCACGGTCACTTTTTGTTTCAAATTTTAGACTCAATGAATGTATTTCTGTCTACAGGTACATGGTGATGCACTCCAAGTTAGTCCAAACAACATTAACTTCACAACAACTTTCCGAGCATGAATCGGACTTTTTGAGCACTCAGCAAACACTTCAGGTAAGAAATCTTGCACTTTATTCACTACATACATTCGATGTTTTTTACAGGATCTTCAAAAGGAATACAGTGCGAAGAACACTTCACTTGTTGACAAGTTTAAAGAGGTCGAGGAGATTCTTCTCGCAAAAACCGAGCTTGTTGATGCGCTGACAAAGCAACTCGAAGACATTAGGAAGGAACAAACGAAAGAACTGTCATTGAATCAATCCGAAAGAGATCAGTACAAGAAATCGCTCGAGGAAATGACGCTGATCGCTGAGAAAGTACCGATTCTCGAAGCAGAAGTCATGCAGCTGTCAAAGGACAAAAACGAAATTGCGGCTCGTTTGAAACAAGATCAAGAGTACTTTGAGGATGAACTCGCCAAACTGCTCAATGACTCGATGAACATCAAAAAGGAGCGAGACGATTATTTGAAGGAGCACATAAGAGCAAATGAGGCAATGATTGAAAGGCTCAAGTTGGAGATTACCGGTTTGAGGAAGGAATTGGAAGATCAGAAGATTCAAGCACACCTTCAAAAGGCCGACTTGGAAAAGAGACTTTTGAGCAGCATTGATCATGTAGAACAACTTCAGAGCAGGGTAAATTAGACAACTGTCCGCTTTTGAAAACATAGTATTTAGGTAAATCACTCACAGAGAGATGTTGAATGTCAGGCAATACCCCGGCAAATCAACAAGTACGTCGGGTGCAAACCGAATGTGAAAAACAAAGAAACGATGATTGAAAAGGTACTTGCTTTAGGACTGCTTTAGGATTCAGTGAATCCATAATATTATTCAGGGTGCTCTCTTTGACGAAAATGAAGAACGGTTGAGAATTTGCAAAGCGGAACTTGAGACAACACGCCGACAAGTGACCGTACTCCAACAGAAACTTGTCACTGTTATCCAGCAACAAAGTTCACTGAAGATCAAAAAGAGAATAGCAGTTGTGGAGGATACAAACAAAAACACACTGCCTCCTGATGATTTAGAGACTAAACTGAGAGAGGTCGAATTGAAAAACGCGGAACTTATGGAGAGGGTATTCACTATCACTTCATACTTCATACTACAAAATGATCATTTCCGATTCAGATTAACTCATTGGAGGCGGAAAAATTCGTGACAAGTTCAATGGAAAAGAGCAGGATTCAGAAGTTGGTCAGCGAGTTTGACAATCTCAAACAGAAACTCGATCAAGACATGAGCAACTACAGCAAGGAAAAACAATGGCTTCAATGGAGAATCGAGAACTTGGAAAGAGACAACTCGGAGCTGCAGAAGGCCGTGCAGCCGAGCATGGAAAAGTCACAAGAGCCACTGGAGAAGGTGACTCTGAGAAAAGCGATGTCGGAACCAGATTTCGGAGATGATATGAGCACTGAAGGGGATGGAGGATCGACAAATGAGAGCGCCGAGTAAGAAAATACCTTTTGGAACAATTTGAAACAATAGCTTTTGTGTTCCAGCTTTATGGTCGAAAGCGCCACAGCTCCAGAAATACGTTTGCAATCCGAGCAAGCGTTTTCTCAACTCGCCGATGTTCTCAATCTAGTCCGTTCTGATCTTGAACAAGTGCTAACTGAGATCGAGGAGCCTGAAGCTGCAAAAACAGACATTGATCTCTCACATTTGTCACTTGAGAAATCGACGGTAAGTTCAGTTCGACTGTGCTCCCTTTTTCACATTTCCTTTTTCACATTTCCCTACCTACAGACAAGCGGTAGAGATTTCAGAATTGAACTATACAGAAATGACAAATATAAACTCAAATCGAAAATTAAACCTGCTAAAGTGAGTAAGAATCATATCGGGAGGCAAGGTTTCGAAACATTTGAAGTTGAAAAGTTTGAAATAATACGTCATAGATAGGGTTCAAAGCATGGTCTCAACTCAATCATTAGTGTTATCCAGTACCCTTTTTAACAACGTGCCGTGCAATTTCATAAAACTTTTGGAAGCCCTGAGTTCACTTTTTGGAGTTCGTATCAGAAAACAAGTTTCAAGTCGAGAAAACTCAAGGTGAAATCATTTCAGAGTATTCTGAACGATGTGCTAAGTGAATGGGCGGAAGATGAACGGAAGACGTTGGAAAGGCAATTAAAACGATCTCAAGAGGAACGATCTGTTTTGAAGGTAAGCGAACTGAAGAAAAAAAGAGACTAACTGTAATAGAAAACCGCTTAGGATAAGAACAATCGTCTTTCAAAAGATCTCCAAGTTGCTGTAGCTGAGCTGAATGTGTACAGATCCGAAAAACCGCATAAAGATGATCAACCAAACGTCCTTGAACGAAGTTCCAGTTTTTCCACTTTCAATCAACCAAAAGGAGAAAACGACACGCAAAAGTAAGCGAAGCGCTTGGATATAATTGTTAGTAATATCATTTGATTACAGATGGAAAGAAAAGTCTGGCACACTTTTCCGCGAAGTGAATAGAATTAGACAGAACTTGGCCGAGGCTCTCGAACAAAATAATGAACTTCGTTACCAATTGGCTCTCGCACGCGGCGAAAGGGAATTGTCAAGTTGCATTGAAAAGTATGTGAACCACTATTACTAAAATCACTGAACCTTTCATTTCAGAGACCTGCAATATCCTATTTCCCCGTCTCTAAGCTACCACACTGCTCACGATGGCCGGAAAAAAGATGACATTGTGATACACGAGCCGGAGGAGCCATTCCAACTCGGGTCCTCCAAAGCTAGTCTGTCATGCAGCATCATACTTCGAAGTAATAGTTTGGACCGGAAGAGTCAGCCAAGAGAAAGAAGCCGTCAGAGAAGTCGGAGTGCAAATCGGCGGCCGCCACTTTCAAGAGAAGAACTTTCAAAGAGAGAGAAAAGGAGAGAGATGAGGGTGAGACTAAGAGCAAAAACAGAGCGAGTAGTAACTAGCAGTATTTCAGCTTCCGAAGGGTGTCTCAAGATCTTCATCAGTCACATCTCTCTACTTGACATCCAAGGAGCAACAGTAAGAGCTAATAAGAAGGAACCTTTGAAAAGTACGGAAAATTTGCAGAAAACTGCCACTGATGTCCGCGTCCTGGCATGAGAAAGCATTGGAAAACGACTTGCCAGATGGCGACACGGATTACGACCGGCGAAACATCCGGGTACGCGGAACATGTGTACTGCCAGAATGCATGTTTTATGTCTTCCAGGTGATTTCACTACGCGAAAAAGTTGGGAAGCTCTCCAGAGACAACAAGGATTTACAAGCCAAGCTCACATATTTCACAGCTGCTCAGCCAGACTGTTCGAGGATGTTGGAGCTGGAACAAGAGGCCGAGGAGCTAAAAATGACTGTGAGAGAACTTTTGCAAAGAGTGTCACAGGTGATCTGAAAACTTAGACGGACAGTAAAAACAGTTTTTCATTCAGACTACTCCAAGTTTTGACCGTCAAATAAAACTGCTTCAAGACGAACTTGACATTCGAAGAAAAGAAAGTGCAATGTACGAGAAAAAGATAAATGAAATCGAAGAAGAAAGGTTTGAAACTAACTGCTAATAACATAAGTAAAGTCGATTTAGAAAAGAAATGTACCTGGTAATGTTCAAAAAAGGTCAACAAGCGGCGAACATGGAAATCACCGAGGACAAAATGATGGACGCGATGACGGAGGATAGAATCACTCTCAAATTCCTTCACGACGCATTCTATTACTATCTTCTCAATCGGGGCGATTCTCAAGAACATCTATCGGTATTAATTTGTCTCGAAATGTATTATTCCGAACAATTGTTTGTTTGCAGGTCATCATGACAATTCTCGGTTTCACTTCAACTCAAAAAACAGAAATAGCCAATCGGAAACGAGGCCGATCCAACTGATTCTGAATTTTCTCCTTCCATCCATGCAGAATCGACATTTTTTGTACGCTTCGCACCATTCCGCTGATTTTCGAGCTTTAATAGAATATTCTGTTCAATTTCATATACATATACCGACCAGAAATGCCTTAATTTTGTTGTTTTATCGGGTATCTTGCTTTTTGGTTTTGAAAACTATTGCATTTGTTTTAAATTTACTGTTTTTAAATATAATATATTTATGCTATAAATAAAATAAAATGAAATGAAAATAAGTGAATAAATAATGAAATAAAGAATTGTGTATAAAGATAACTTGATGTAATAATAAGTGCATATTAAGAAAAGAAGTCAGCTCAGAAAGTTGTGGGAAAGCACAAAAAGCGAAAGACAATAAAGGTGGGAAAACGAAAAAAAAAGTTGAGACAAATGAGCAGGAAGAGAACAGTAAAAGAGAAGTGAAAGAAGAAGAAGAAGAAGAAGTAGAGGAGTCCCGTGAAAACAAGAATTCATAGAATTATAGCATTTTAGGGAATGATACAATCGAATAGAACTGTTATTTTCGTATTACAGAAAAAGAAAGTGGTCGATAGATAGAGAAACGGGCGGGAATTTGATTTTGCATGTAAGAATTGAAAAGTGGGATCTAAAAAAACACAGAGTTGACTGAGAGAAATGACAACTTACTAGAGCACTTACTGAACGGTTAGATATGATTAAAATGGATTAGTCGAAAATGGATTTTAAGCCTGAGCACGTCTGCTATGAGCAGATTTGTTATACTGCTGAGGCTTCGAGTACACTTCGGTCGGCATTGGCTGCGTGACGATCGGAGCTAGAGCGGGAGCCGCCGGTTTCGCTGTCTCATGCGAGATCTCCAGATTTCCGAACATTTCCGCGATGGCTCGATCGATGTTGCTGCAGAAGCCGCGGGTGGAGAATTCCGACTCGAGGCGTCGCCGCTGAAAGATATCGAGATACGGATCGATGCGAGACTCGATAAGAGCTATTGTTCTTTTTTGAAACATCCAGACGACTTTCGCCAATCTGATCCGACTCACGAACCTGTTTCGCGTATCCCTCTTCTGTATCCAGTTCGGGCCACTCGCGCTTGTTCATGTGGTGAATCATGGCTTCGGCCAACAACTCGCCGCACGGCTTGGCAATCTGGAAATACTCGAGATTAGGATCTGCGTTTGGCTTTGTACGAATATGCTTTGTGTTTCGCAATTCAGAAATTTAGATGTTCTTACCTTAGTTCCTGTGATGTTCTCCAATACGGTTTCGGCAGGGCCTCCACTGTCACACACGATGACTGGTCTGCGCTGATCGAGAGCTTCAATTGGAACGATTCCAAAATGCTCATTGGGCGGAGTGTAAAGAGCGGTGTCACACATCTGGTACAGCTGAAACTTGACTTTATCCGTTGGCGATGGGATGAAAGACACCACGTCGGTCACGTCAAGATCCTGTAAGTACCGTAAATAGCGTGAAATCTTGAAGGTTGTTTGTTTTCATTACCTCTGTCATTTTTTGTAGAAGTTCGTAGTAAATGCGACTTTCCGGAATGTGCGGCATCACAGATCCGGCCAACTGAACGTGAAGTGTGTATCCTTTCCTTTTGAGGATAGCTGAAAACCAGGAAATGTTACTTCCTTTGACAAAAGGAGGTAGCAAACCTGCGGCTTCCACAATAATATCCAGTCTTTTCTCTGGCCAGAATCTGTTCATCGACAAGAACGTATACACATCGTTCTTAGCACGATCCGCTCTGCTTAGTGGCTTTTCGGACTAAAACGAAAAAAAGTTTGGAAAAAAGATGATTCGAGTGAACTGTACCTCGCTGACAATCCAGTCAATATCACATGGCGGGTAAACAACACGAACTTTGCTCTTCTCGATGTTCGGCATGACTTTACAGAACTGACTCGCTGAAACAAACGGATTGTATAGAGTGAGTGCTAAAATAAAATGACACAAACCTGTGAAATTACTGTTCACAAAGATCTGGTCGATGTGTCCGAAAAGTTCCTCCTCGACGATTCCGATGAGTTTGGCGTACCATCTGTACAGAAAGAAACGAGACGGCGTCACCAACTGTTGTGGGAAATGACAGTAGAACAGAATTTTGCATTCCGGAAACCGCCATTTGATCATCGGAACGCAACTGAAACGTGGATTGTAAAACTTTGACAGTTAACTGAAAAAGTACCTGGCAGAATGATCAATGATTGCGACATCAGGATTCAACTGACTGAACACCATTTTCCAGCCGAGAGCAACGTTCTGAGACCACCAATCGCCTGGATGAAGTTTGAGACCAACTTCGATGATTTCTAAAATGACAATAAAAGAAAGTGAGAATTATCATTTTTGTGTCTCTTACCAACGCCATCAAAAGTGTGATTCCTCCAATACTCATCAATCATAGTGGTGAGCCAAGTGACCCGATGGCCCTGCGACACAAAATGTCTGATCAGTGCGACAGTACATCGATCGGAACCTCCGTTCCATTGTTCCGGATGTACAATGACGACGTGCATCTGAAAAACCGACAACGACTTATTTATTTTTTGCTTCTTGTCTTCCTGTCCGCATTTCTTTGGACAAAAGAATCGGATGCGCAAGATAGGATCAACGAGTGCATCCGAAACAGCAGCGGGGGCCGACAAAAAGCCAATAAAAGGAAAAGGGGAAATGGGAACAATTTTGAGATGGCGAAAGGAGATGACATTGAGAGCGAAATAAGGAAGAAAAAGCGTATTGATCGATGAATTCGGGATAGGAATCCGCGAAGAAAAAGTTGAAGAAAAAAAGGAGAGGAACGAGAGACCAACCTTTTTCTGATTATTATTCAATGTGGAGCTGGACATCTGGACAGGAAGCGGACTCGTTTGAGGAAGGGAGCTTCTTTTTATTCTCGATTCCACCGAGCTAAAAAGTTGATTAAGAAAACAGTGGAAAAGCGGAAAATATACCTGCTTCTCGCCAGCAACCGAGGTTTCGGTACAGAGCTCACGACGAACGAACCAGATAACAAGGGAGAGCGGGACAGAAAAGAAAAGAGCGCACGTGTAGAGAGACAGAACCGAAAAGCGCTTCAACTCGGAGAACATGAAGGGATGACTGACTGTTCCCAAGGAATCGAAGCCGGCAGATGGATGGCGATAAAGCACAGTCGGACTGCGCTCTAGATGCGACAATAGACCGCCTATTCGATATCGAACACTGAGTAATGAAGGACGGGATGAGGAGAATTCGAGTCCTCGTCCAGAAACTCCGCCCAGTTTGACAGCCAATACCGAAAATCTTGTTTGAAACAGAGTTTCACTCCGCCCTCAACGAAAGTCATCCCCACTGCTTTCTCTCCGTCTCCTCCTGCTTCTGGGGGGTGCCGGGCAAACCTGATGGAGAATTTGAGGCTACAGATTAAAAACACGATCTAATTTTGCGATTCGGTGCGGTGCGGCCATGACAATGTTTCGGAAGAAGTGCAAGTCGTGAGGATTCCGCACGTTTTTCCGAAAGCGTTGCACGTCGGTCGGTCGCCACGAAAAGTGAGATGGACATGTAGGCTACGGAATTGGTACGAGTGAAGAGATGGCTAAACTGATGAGCACGGCGCCGCGCGAGTGAAAACTGGCCGCCAAAAAGAATTCAGAGAAGTGGCTCTGAAAGAAACGTGTTTAGAAATTGAATACGTTGAATGAAAGTGACGCTTTCTTTGGTTGGAACAAATCACAGAAGTTGGCACTCGTGATTTCTGTTTTGTGTTCCAGTCCGCCAATGGCAGAAACTGGAATAAAAAGTGATCAGATCGAAAAGTCGGATAAAAACCTGATAGGTGCGTCAAGAATTTTTTCAAACGCATTGAGATTCGAAGAAAAGTGCACAAGTTTTGAGTTGAGTACCGATTGAGCAAAAAGGTAAAGGTACATTTTCATCATTAGTCGAACGATTCACAACCTCCAGCCATCGACCTAGTGCAAGATCTCAAGAGTTCCAAAAGATAATCTCCCTCAGGTTCACTTTAATGTCCAAATATCATTCGAGACAAGCATACATTGGCCTCTCCGATCTTCAAGACATTGATGACGTCGCGAATTTCAGAAGATCAAAACACGGCCACCTTCCGACTGGTTTTTCATGGAAATGTGCTTTTTCAAGCGCTCCAATCGCTGCTACAGATCACGACCCTATTCACCAATCTACATCCACCTTTGCGACGGAAAAATTCCAGTCCGTTCTGTACAATGTCAGAAAGCTGGCCAGGAAAAAACGCTTTTTAAATCTGATGAATGCGATCGTACGACATACGTTAATTTGCGCAGACTATAAACGCTTCTGAACATTAAGCGTCTATGAGAGTCCAAATAATTGATTGCTTCAAGATTTTTAGAAGGAAACTTCATGAATTTCCGCAGTTTTTCTGAGACTGCAAAGTGTACGGTACTTGATGTGCTTCCCAATCTATTTCACCCATCACTGCAAGAATGTTAAATTAGTGGTGCTTCCACTTTCATTTGTCGGTCCGTTTGACTCGCCCCTCTTTCTTCTTCTTCTTCTTCCTCCTCGCGACTTTCCGTTCTGACCGTGTGCCTCAATCCGTCAATGACCGCCGTACTCGTCAGTTCCATCCGTTTTCACTTGTCGGAGATGAGTTTCCATTCGCTTTCGCTGTCTCCCAAATCGACCGTCTACACTTGCACTTTTGTCAGACAGTGCGCCTTGCTCGTATCTCGAAAATCGCGCTTGGACCGCCGAAAGGGCAGATTACAATGAAAAACGAGGCCGATTTGAGGGTGAAAGGGACAGCGACAAAATCGTTTTCAGAGCACGATAAGCATCAAGGCACGGTCAGCGAATTTCTCTGCGCCGATCCGGAATGGTCGTCTTTATCGGTCTCTTCTTTCCGAAAGGTGGTGAGGGGCGGGGAGGAGACTCATTACCCTTACCCGCTATTTTGTCTTCAGTGAAAGGCAAACACCCAAATTACTGGTTTATTGAAGCATACTCATTGTAAAATTGGGACAGAATAAAGAAAAACCGAGGTTACTCAAAGGAATATGTCAGAAGGGAGGGTACAACCAGGTAAAACGCATTTGAGGAATGGAACAAGGCAGGCATTTCAGCTACAGGGGTGCGTTTGTTATCATTCGATGGAGAAAGCACAGGATGGAAGTAACACAAGAACAGAACTCACAGAATCTAGCCGGAATGTGATAAAAAACAGAAATTACAGAGCTAATCGGTATCTAGTGAATTTGTGGTTGAGACGAAGAATCCATAATTACAAAATGGTAGAGAATTTTGCTTTTTTTCCAAAATGTCTTAAGAAAATGATAGGAAGCTGAGAACACTACGGAACCACCAATGCCCGTAAGATTTTTTTCAGTTGGTTAAACGCAAAAATATTTGGTGGAGAGGGTCGAGTTTAAATATTTTGATATTACCAAAAATGCATCGGGGTGCTGGAAGAGGATCAGTAATCACAAAGATAGACAAGATTTGCTTTTGAACTTTTTCTATGAAGTTGTCGGGTGCTTTCTTTTCGGCGCCGGAGGAGCACGTTTGATGACCGAGTCGACTGGCAGATGGAACATCGGAATCACAGGCTCACGGCTCTCCGAATAGTCCAGAATCTCCATGAAAAGGTTGAGCGTGAAGTCTCTCTGATCGCCCATTGGCTTCACCAAGTGGTCGCCGCTGGTCTTTCTTCTTTTCTGGTGCGACTCTCTCTGAACGTTCATGTTCAGCAATTGGAATCCAAGCCACTCGATCGGGTTCTTCGGCTTCGTTTTGAGGTTGATCAGTTTGTTGAGCGCACTTTCCAGCACCATACGGACGTTATCCGTCACGTACTTCTCCGGCAATTTGCACTGAAATCCTTGCCACGCTTTCTTGCATTCCGGAGTCATGGAAGCTGCGAACTCCATGAACAAGACCATCTGATCACTGCAAAAAAGGTTTTGAGCAATCGAGACTAGAGAATCTGCTCTCAAACACATTTTTTTATTTAAATACTAAACATTTAAGAAAACTGAAACTGAAACTAACGTCACTTCCACTTTTTCATCGTCGCTCCCTTCTGACTCGGTGTTTGCGTTGGAGAGCACATCGCCGTCCTCGACCAGCGGCGGATAAACGTGGCGTTTGGGCATGTATCGATCGAATGCAATCAGCAGTTCTTCCTCCGTTAGTTTCTTTTTTGCCATCCTTCTGCCTGTAAAATGCAAATTACTATCTAAACGGGAGTTTATATGTGAGATATCGTAGAAAACGGAATCAGAAACGTTGATTTCGGGAACTTTTTTAATAAAAATGTTTAAACCTAGAAATTATTTGATAATTTCAGTATTTATGATGTATTACCCATAATTCCTATAGAAACTACTTTAACAAATACTTGGAACAAGTAATCTGAAAGTTCGACTTAGCTATTTATCTGAAAAAAGGAGGAAAACGCTATCAAATCCGTCGAAATGATTATCCAACTTTTTATTGGCGCGCTACGTGCGTGCACCAGAAACGCGCCACAAGTGAAACTTGACGCAATCTCGGTGGACGCCCTCACTGGCCGCTGCCGACCTTTGGAGTGTCGTACGATTTACCCAAAGTATTCGTTGAAGATCAGAAGAGAAAAAAAGCGTCCGAGGATGGCGTCGTAAGATTCTGATGGGGAGGGACGAACAGCTGGCAATCGAAGCGAGCGGAGCCACTTGCGTGCGATCCGCCTTCCCCTCTTTGCCTTCTAGGCGGCCAGTCAGCCCTTTTTGCTGATGAATGGGTGTCGGGAGCATCTCGTGTCAACTATGACGAACGTTTGTCACGGTCCGAATGAAGAAAGGTTAATTTAAAAAGTCAGAAAAGATTGCACATGAATCATTGAACATCAGCAGGAACCGGCGCAGAAACGTTTTAATTAAGAGAAGAGACATTGTGTAATTTTTTCGATCGTGTGACATCATGCTGATAAAAAATGGGGAAGATTAAGTAGTGACTAATGCGGTTTTTGATAAAACAAGAGACATTTTTAAATGTCTCATCAGTTTCCGTCACTCAGGATCTTTCTAAAATATAAACAAAACAGGCAAAAAAGATTGCTCCCGGTGAGGCTCGAACTCACGACCTTCAGATTATGAGACTGACGCGCTGCCTACTGCGCTACGGAAGCACACATGCTAGACGGGGTGCGCTGTGCCTAAGTAACAGAGAAACGCGAGAGAAAACGGGGAAAACGAGGATGGGGCAAACCGAAGTAACTGGGACAGACGCAGAGAAGGCGAGTGTGAAAAGAAAGTGCCGTCGCATGTTGACGAGTTAGAAACGAGTCGGCTTATACTAGTCAGTAATTTACCTATAAGAGTTTGAGAAGTACGTCAATATGCACAAAAATAAGCGTATTTTTTACCATATTGTTTATTCATAAATTGTATTAGGAAAAGAGTAAAAGTACAGAAGAAAAAGTTTGAAACCAATGGATGAAAAATTCTCTGATTAGTAAGATGAATCCCACCACATAAACAGCGAGAAAATAGTTTTTCATCAGACAGGAAATGTCAGAATAAAATATTTTTGGGTGAATTTTTCAAAAAGAAGTAATAAGATTATCACATAATGTCACAATTTCAGGTGAGAAGTGAGGAGAGAGGAGGAAAAGAATGCATCATTTTGTAATTGCGGATTACAAAATCCAACGATGATTTCATGTGTGCTATTGGGGGAAGCAAATTGAAATAAGTCACCGTTTTTTGGCAGTGCTTGTAGGGGGGATAAAAGGAGGGTTAACTAAAACACGGTGATGAGCAAAGCAGAAGAAAAGTCGAGCAGAAAAGGCAAAAGTTCAATCGTACAAAGTGAGAAGAGAGACTAACTCTCCCGGTCCTTGACAGAGCTCAACCGCTTTTTCTGGGCCTAATCGTACCAAATTAACTAGGGAGAACTGGAAAAGGTCATGTGAATTAAATGAATGAAGTAAAGGGGAAGACAGGAAAATTGAGGATTGATTAAAAGTGGGAGTGGGAACGGGATAAAGCAAATGACATCAGTTTTTTTCTAGAGATTATCTCAATTAAATTATCACAACGCATTCCAAATCCTAGCATGATTATTGCTTAATTGAATATTTTTAGTGGCGCGGCACCCAGATCGTGTTCTGCGACTCCTTGGCAATCAGGCCGTACACTCTGTTCAGGACTTCATTGGCGCTGTGGACATTCGAAATCTCATCTGAAACATGATCATTTTTGTCGGTTAAAGGTTGAAGGGGAATTGAAACTCACGAGTGAACAGGTCTCCGAATGTTTGTTCGATTCTCTGGCATCTTGAGAACTGAGCCTGTGCGTCGTCCTCAGTCATCGGCCGATCGTCGTGTCTCGAGGAGACGAGTTGGCTGTCCAGGTCTCTGAAAAATAGGAAGTTAGAAACAAGAGCTGCAGAAAAACTTTTACGCACTGGATCTGCTTTGGAGAGTTGAGTTTGATGAAGATTGAAATCGGCTGGATGTTTGCATTGGTCTGAAGTCTGCGGATGGCGTTTCCGCTGACGTCCAAAATGCAGTGGCGTCCCGTGTTGGCGACATCACGCACGCTCTGAATGCTCGTTCCGTAGAGGTTGTTCTGGAATTGTCCGGCCTCGATGAACAAATTGTTCTTGACGTCCTCCTCCATGTTCAGTTTGTTAACGAAGTAGTAATCACGTCCATGAACCTCATTCTCTCGTGGTGGGCGAGAAGTGTCTGAAACAGAAATGTTATTTTACTGAAATTTTTATTTCGACTTACGTGGCACGCAGCTGCTGAATCTCTGTGGGTCACGGTTGACGAGCTCGTCGTTGATTCTGTCCTTGAGCGCTCCGAGAATAATGACCGGGCGGACATAGTTGATCTGTTGTTGCTCGACAGCCTGGTACGAGAATACCGGCTCTTCAGCAACGCTGGCGTTCTCATCGGCTGCCAGATCGTTGAGTCTGTCGGTACTCTTCACGAATGGGAATTTTCTGGAGAAGGAGAGCTGACTGCGGCTTCCGCGACGATGTTCCAGTCCAGTGGAGTTGGAGTTACGGCCCAGCGATTGGGATCCGGCGTTGAAGTTGACCTGCTTTCTGCGGAGTCTCTCCCTCTTCTCGACACGTTTTTTCGACGGAATAACTCCTTCTGTGGTCTCCTCTCCGTTATCAAGCACTCTTTTAGCGGTCCACCACTCATCGTCCGACGAGTTGATGATGTGGAGAATGTCTCCGTAGTTGAATCCCATCGATCTGTGCGGTGGGACAGAGTTTTCGCGAGCTGGATCGTAGTCAAAGAGAGCTCTGACGTACTCCGACTTTCTGCTGAGAGTTCCCATTCTGGACTGAGCAATCACATCGTTTCTCAGCTTCTCGATCTTTGACTCGAAGATCTGGTACTCTTGTGGTCTGTACTGCAGAGTGAGGTACACAGGATTTCCGACGTTTCTCAGCGCCTCAGCAGCCTCCTTGTGAGTAGCATTTCTCAAATCGACTCCGTTCACTTCGAGGAGAACATCACCGGTCTTCACGTTTCCACTGAGATCGGCAACTCCTCCTGGAAGGACAAAACTGATGTAGATCGGCTCATTGTCCTCTCCTCCGACAATATTGAATCCCAGTCCGTTCTGTCCCTTGTAGAGTTGAACTGAACGATTGTCAAGTGGGATGGCGACAGGGGTCTGAGAGTTGTAGCTCGTGTTCTGTGGAGTGCCATAGGAGAGATGGCTCTGCGATCCGTAAGGACGATTGAAATCTTGCACTGAGGTCGCTGGAAATGCAACAGTTATATATTCTATCGAGGTTGGCGGTTTCTCACGTCTCAAAATAGGAGTAGTCTGAAACTGTTGGCTGGCAGATTCGCTAAACGGTAGTCCATTTCCCTTCTGGACGAGAAGACGAACACGATTTCCAGTCTTTTTCAAAACGTCAACAGCGATGTCGTGGGTGACGTTGACGAGGGAATGGTTGTCAACCTCCAGAATCTTGTCACCGACTCTGAGTCTGCCATCCAGATCGGCAGCTCCGTCGTCAATGATCTTGGTGACATAGATGTCAGTGTCTTCCTTCACATGCTCGTTTCCGCGGCCTCCAGCAATTGAGAATCCAAGTCCCCGTTCGCCCTGTAAACGCGGAACGTTTTTTTTTCGGAACAGAATGTTTGCAACCAACCTTAATCAGATCGATGGTGTGCGTGTTCGGTCGTGTGGAACGGTATTGGGCCACAGATAATTGGCTCAATGATCCGTGATGAACTGGCGGCGGCGGTGGCGGATGCAATGGAGCCGACGGCGAGTGAATGGCGTGTTGCAAGTTGCCGGCACTTACGGACGGTGTGATTCCGCTGCGAAGATAGGAGGATGATCCCCCAAAATTGCCGCCGATCGGGATGGGAGCATCCTCGCGCTGACGCTTGAGACGCAAAGACACGACGTTTCCAGAGTTCTTGAGTGCGTTGACTGCGACTTCGTGCTCGACGCCAACGCAGTTCGTGTTGTTCACGCTCATGATAATGTCACCTTTTCTGTAATTGCACAAATTAGATCCCATCTCCCAGTTTCGAACGGCGTACTTCATGCGCCCGTCGGCAAGTGCCGCTCCTCCTTCAATGATTTTCGTGACGCAGATGGCAGTATCTCCATCCTGCGTTGCCTGGTCAATTCCTGAAATCAGATGGATTGCATCATGATTATCGGTTCAGCGCGCATACCTCCAGTGATCGAGAATCCAAGGCCGGTGTGACCTTTCTCTAGAACCACTTCCTCGATCTCCCATTTACGGCCGTACTCATCGATAACTCCGTTATGCTGGAAAATAAATTGAGTGTGAAATGAGGATGAATAGAGCTACCTCAACGGTTTGTCTCTCGAGTCCGCTCGGTGTGTCGACGGTGCGAGTGGTCACTTCCTTCCAGGTCCCATCATGACTGGTCTGACGTTGGCGTTCGTGCAGATAACTGCTCGAGAGGTTGAACGGAGAGGAGGTGATTCCGTTTCCGAGTCCTCCATCCAAATAAGAGAAACCGCCGCGGTCTCTGATCTGAAATCACTCCATTTGTGTCGAAATCAGCTGAAAATGTACTTACGTCTGAGACAAGTGGAGCGGTGCTCGAAAGGTTATAGTTCGATGTTGAAGTCGTGGTCGCTGCGCGGTTGAAGAGTGGATAAGAATCCAATCTGTCGATCAAACGCTTCACTTCGATATTCTTAGTAGAGTAGCTCTTGTTGCTGAGCAGGGTTTGCTCGTACAAGTCATGAATATCTAAAGTTTCAGAGTTACAATTCGGAACAATTTCGTTGATTCCTTACCAAGCAAAGTGTGCACCAACTGCGATTTGAAAGTGCTAATGAGTCGCTCGATATTGTTCCGTAGCTCTTCCTCAGATTGTCTGCTGAGTGTCTGATGGTAATCCTCAAGCAGCTCTATCGCTTGATGCGCTTCTGAAACAAATCTTTTGTTTTTTTAGTATTGTTGTGCCTCAAAGTCAGTTCCCAGAGTGCATATTTCTTCCCCCGTCCCTCTTTTCCATCAGATGACTCATTTTGCGGCAAAACATGGTCAACAGAAAAAGTAATCATGTGCGCGAGCGACCGTCGATTTCTTTCCCATCCTTGCAAACAGCGATGAGTCAGCAACAGCATCGGTTGAGGATGCGCGCGCCCGCGTTTCCCTCTTTCTTTCGGAATGTACAAGATTGGCCGGAAAGTCGTCGCAGCGCAGAAGGAAAGAGAGAGAGAGAGAGAAGAAGAAAGAGGGAAAGGCCCCTCCGACGGTCGGACACGTACACACCATCACAAACAGATTGTTTTCTCTTTGCCCTCCTTCTTTTTGCCTTCTACCTCGCATCTTCTTCTTCTTATACAAATATAATGTTTGCACATTCAGAGACGCATCTCTCCCCCTCTTGCCCACCAAAGCGTCGACGGCTCGGAGTAGTGTGAACTTTCGAATACAAAATTATTACGTGTATCTTCGATATATGCGTAAATGTCAACACGCGTGAAGACCAACACCGATACACCCCATAAGGTGGGGCGGGGTGGCCGCAGTTGGCAGTTTTGTGGCTGATAAGAATGTGAGCGATCAGTGCACTAGAATCAAATAATAGTTGTGATGCGGGGCTAATTCTGGCATTTGCGACATTCGGTTTAACGACCACGGCGGTAGGGTAGGGGAGGAAGTTTAATGATAATTGGTCGGGGCGCGATTTAATGGAACAAATAACCAAAGTTGAAATAAATTGACCAAGGAACAAACTGGTGGACTAATCCGAACTGACCCAGATACTAAGAAAGACGCAAACTCACTTTCAGATGACTCGATGGACATGCTTCCTGCGGTGACGATCTTGATTGCACTGCTCTTTTCTCAATATTTGTCGCTGAAAAAACTGAATATAGAAAATGAAATCGGGCGATGATTAGCGATTTAAGTGGCACAAAAATAGAAATAATCGCATTTCATTTCGTATGCGCTCTAATTGAGAGATGCCCCAAAACAGAGCAGATAGGTGGGGGAAAGAAAGCGACAAAAAGAAGAAGAGAAAACGGTGCGGTGATAAGACATAACTTATCAGAAAGAAACAAGAATTTACGGCAAACACGCGCACACAGCAAGCCGCCTCAGAGTTTGTTTTAGCGAACTTGATGTAAATAATAGAGTGTGGGGGGAAAAAGGACAAGCAAAAGATGCAAAAATGCCAAAAGGAAACGAAAAGATGAAAAGAGGCCAGAATCTGGGTGGGAACGTGAAAAAAAATGGATGAATTTCTCATAATTCTATACATATGTGGAATTGGGGGTCTCGAATTTCATCTCTGAGAATGTCGAGTCATAGATACTTTTATTTCTCCCTCTCCCTGTGTATTGGTATGATTCCGTTGGTTGGTGACCGCCCCAAAAATAAATATCCCCCTTGTATGACCCGCCGGATCGCATCTAACTCTAGATTAGTATCTCCAGAGATCTGATAGATAGGCTTGAGTGGTAGTGGTGGTGGTGGAAAAGGTAAAAAGAAGAGAAGACGATCCTTTCCGTTTATTGGACATCAACCACCTCTACGCCGTTGATTTTATTGCAGAAAAGAACCGTCAGAGGACAAACGGACGGACAGGTGATTGCCATTTCTTCTTATAAATCTACCAGGACCAAGGGACCCAGAAAAACTGTCGGTGGAAGAGGAGGAGGAAAGTAGTCAGAATGAAAGACGGGGGAAGGAAGAGGAAGACCAACGCAAAAAGTTGTGACTCAGGCTGCAAGCTGCCTGTGAAATTATATTCAACATGTACACCCTGCATTAGTCACGACGAAGAGTGAGAGAGATACAGGCGGGAACATCTATTGTACGAAAACATGTAAGGAACGAACGTGCGCCTAAAAAGTGCTGTGCGGGAGAGGAATACACTAGTATTTCGACATCGAGACGAAAGAGTGTGAGAATACGTGGAGGTGCAGAGTCGAATGCATTTCTCGATCCGAATCATGATCCAGGGAACGTAATTGCTGTGACTAGCGTGGCGAACGCAGCTAAGGTGTGATAGTGTGACTTTTCTGGAACCTCGAGCCAGAAGGCGGGCAGGGAATCAAGTGAATCCGATCCGACAAAAGAACCTGTAATTGAACTGACCTGTAGACGCACGAACCGCAAACAAAGAAGTGCGAGAAACTAGAACTAGGCCCAAGTCTCACTGAACCTGACCCCAAACCCCAATGGAGTGTTGGAATGGCAAATAAAGAAAAAGCGAATCGAAAATCGACCACACAGGGCTACGTGGCGGGCGAGGAATAAAGTGATGAGCCACCACGAGGTATTGTTGAGGGAAGAGAAATGGAAATGGTCGCGGAAGAGGGGGCCGGGCGCCTATCAAAATTGTGTGTGCGTGTATTCATGTGCCCCGTTGGCGGTTTTGACTGTGATGGCCATAAAGTCAGAGGAGACCCCCCAAATCGAGGAGCGAAAACAGAACGGAAGAAGAAAGAAGCGGGAAAGGGGTGCTGGTTTCGCTGCCCCAAGATAATAGTTTCTCAACAAATATTATCATGACAAACAATCGGTACGATGAAAATGCGACACTGTGTTGGAGATCGAGTGTCATTGGAAGGAAATGAGTCAACGTGTTATTTAATATATGGGGCGGTTACCGGAAGGATCAAAAACAATATCAGCTGAAACTCGGTTTTGTAGGGGAAAGAAAGGGGAAGGGAGCGGGTGGTAAGTGTGCATGAACTGTGGTTGATAAAATGCTAAACGTGTGAAAATATGGGAGTAAGACGGGATGGAATATTATTGACAGTTTGTAGACAGGAGACGGCGCCGGTGAGAGGAAGAGTCACAAAACTTATTCACCTTCTCCTACCCCTCCCTCCCTCTTCTTTTCTCCGCGGGGGACTTTCAAATCTGACAAATCACCGCCGCGCATCCTCATTCACACCTAGAAGCAGCAGGAGGTCGGAATCGGCGGCGGGGAATCGTATTACGGTACTAATCAGTGAGACCATTGGCTTTTAGGGAAATTCAAGTGCATCTGGAGTGATATATTCCTGTTGGCATGGTTAGGAGAACGTAGGAGGAGAGGGGAAGAATCAAGAGGCAAAGCAAATTTGAATGAGTGACGGCGATGGATGCGAAGATGTTTGAAGGACATGGTTTTTGTGATCAGCAGCCAGGCCGCGGAGGGGCGCGCACGCACTCACTCTTACAAATAACATGAAGACTGTGCGGACGGAAAGTCGGAATACCTCGCAAAATGACGGACAAGACACGAGGATTATGCGGGAGAGGACGGGGTGACGCTTTTATTTAAATACAAGACCGGTCACTCAGTTGCCCTTAGCTCTCGCCGTCGAAAAGGACCCCGCCGTTGACTTACAATCACTTACAATCACCTCTTATCTGTTGGCCGTGAGCCAGACGAACCACCCCGAGAGACAAATCATTAAAACACGTGCCAGGTGGCAGAAGCACTAACAAATTGTGCGCTCATAACTTTGCAACATTGTCTGGCTGCATATCAGACACCTTCACTTTGATCGTTTCGTTTCAGTTCGCTGAAGGTCATAATAATTGAGAAGCTAAAAATAGACTCGGTTTTTCAGAAAAGGTGATTAAAACTCGGAGTGGACACCTAGAAACAAAGAATTCGAGATTCGAGATAATCCAAAAAAAAAAGCGCGCATCATCTGGAACGGCTTAGCAAGATCTGAATGGAAGCAGATGTAAAAAAAAGTGAAAGAGAGGGAGGAATGTGGTTGCAAAACATAGGTCTATCTTCTCGTTTCACACACACCGACACACACAACTCTTCTGTCCAGATCTCTCACTCTAATCAATTATTGTTCGTCAGCCAGGATGACCCCTCGACTCTTCCGTCTACTCAATAATCTCTCACTTTATTTTTTTTTTGCTTTCCACTGTCCTTTTTTATTTAACTTTTATTTTCTCTCTCTCTCTCTCTCTCTCTGTTCCATACCTCCCACAAAAGGAATGAATGATAAGCGTCTTATTATGTACTCGGCGTACAATAGAAACCTTTGAATCCGATGAAACGTGTGCAAACAGAAATAGTTTTCAAGGCGGGAGTGGAGTGGGATAAGAAGTTTAAAAGCACTGCGATTACTTGAAGCATGAACGAATCGGAGTGAGTTTTGAAGAAAACCCTTTTACGCTCTGCTTCTACTCAAAGAGCCAAACTAACTTTGAAACGGAAGGAATCAGTTAGGGAAATGGAAAACGAAACCGAAAATGGAGGTCGGGGAGAGAGGTAATGGGCCGCGGCTCGGATTATAGGCGCGTCCTTCCTAACGACAGGCAGAAAACAAGGTGCAAAGAGGGGGAGAGAGTGGGCAAGGAGGGGCAGTAAAGGTCGCCTTATTCGGCCAAACGTTCCTCTTACAACCGACCGTGGCCGTGCCTCCTCGCAGAACGGTTTGGCGGAGGAGGCGAATGAACCAGCGGTCATTCAAGGATGGTAGAGGTGGCACCGAACTGTGTCAGGTGTGCAGAGACGCAGATATCCGACGGATGTAGATATTGGACGCTCCGGAGACAAACAGACACCCATACGCTAGCCGACGCGCACACACTCACCTCAGCACCCCCCACGGAGGCGCACACAACACCGTCATCAACAAACGTGTTTGACTCTACCTGCCTGCCACTCTCCTCCATTTACCTGCTGCTCTGGAGAGGTCATACTTCTCGTTTGGTGACCTTGCCCATCTTTCTTCCTCTTCATCCATCCTTCAGCGATGAACACCGTTCGGCATGAGTGGAATGCACGGGAAAGAAAGCGGAATGCAACATTGACAACAGTAAAAAGTCTGGCCTTGGAAGAGGAGTGGTTAAATGGATGGATTAGGGAGTATATTAATATTAATATGCGAGGCACCAAATATTGAATGAGGAAAAAAATGATTATCTCAAACACGGCTCTACAATTTATCTACCACCAGGGTGCGGAATTATTTTTTGTAAACTTTCAGGCCTATTTTTTGGAAACTTTCAGGCCTTAATCGGTCTATATATGGCAATTTCAGATAAATCTAGTACTTTTATGAAATGGAAAACTCACCTGACCAAATTTTTCACCCCGCCCTTCAACCTTATACGTGGCTGGCACAAAATTGTTTACCGCAAAATACATCACGTCACTCGGACTTATTAAATTGGGATTCATCGGTTCCGCGCGGAACGGGACGGAACGGCAAGCGGAAAATGACATCACCAGCATCTGTTTCTGTTTGTTTTCCAAATATGGCAGGTCCGAAACTGTTAAATAGGACCTTAGTATGAATGGGATTCTCAACGAAATAATTTAAAACGCCCCGATCTACATAGGCGGGTCTCTTTTGTACTTTAACATTCTGGTCAACTTGCCACAATCACCGATAATTCAGAAAAGATAGCAGCAGAGTTCAGTTGCAGAAAGCCCGAGGTTCTACATTCTTTCGGCCACACAAACAGTTAGTGTGGAGCTTTGAGCAAACGAATGAGTTGAAAGACAATAGCCCAACTGTCAACAGAGTTTGGAAGCGCCAAGAAGCTTTCCATACGGTAAGGGTTGACTATTGTACATTAGTGGAAGGAGTGATTTGCTTGAAAATTTGGTAAGTTTATTTGATCGGAAAAATAGACGCTTACAAACAGAATAGAAGTGGATAATGTTGTAGAAGTTGTGGAAAAAGATATAGAAATCAAGAGCTAAAATGATTTTGAGTATTACTGCATTCCGCCAGTCGACTCGAGAATGACTCTTCCGCGCTTATCAACCTTTACAACCTTCGGGGTTCCTGGTTCGACCGAAGGTTTCACACCACGTTTTGGAGCTTTCCATGGTCCTGTTCTGGGGACCATCTGGATACACTCCGGGATTGGGCACACACTAGAATAGAAATAATAATTTCATCTTTGAACTCTGAATTCCAGCCGTTACCTGTAACAAAGAGTGCAGCCAGTGCAATCATCTTCGGTCACATGCGGCTGGTGAGTGACAGCATCGAAAGTGATTGCCTGGTACCCGGAATCATTGCAAGTCATGTAGCACTTTCCGCAATTGATGCACATATCCTGAATAGACAGAATTATCAAAAGAAATAATTTCGGAAAACTAACGTCATCGATGATAGCAACTTTCTGTTTCAGGTTGTCCAAAGTAACGTATGGACCAATTCTCGGAAGAGCCTTTCCAATAACATCCTCGACGGTCGGAACTTTAGCGACCTGAGTATCTGGCCTCGAGGCAAAGTGATAATCTTCCGTGTCGAGAAGGTTTTTCTCGGAAAGAGTGAGAGCCTCCATTTTCTCGCGCTCCTCTCTGAACTTTCCAAAGAACGGAAGTTTCTTTTGTCCCTGGACGAGGATTGGTTTTCCCTTCTGGTGTTTCTCGACTGGCGGGGACTGGCCGTCCCATTCCTTGAGAGACTCAGCTCCAGACAAGTAGAGAAGGGCCTGGAGACCAGTGCAGTAGTCCTCGACAACTGTGAAATCCTGGTTTTGAACAGCAGAGCAGACTTGGAGCACCGACGCTCCGGCCATGAGGAATCCGAGTCCGGTTTCGGCGCTTTCAATTCCTCCGGTCGCCATGATTGGGAATCCGTCGAGCTCATTGGCAATTGAAGAGACCGCCTTCATGGCGATCGGACGGATAGCCGATCCGGACATTCCTCCGTACGTGGTTCTTTTGGCGGTTCCGATTGCTGGCCAGCCGGTTCCATCAGCCTTCATGTGCATCAAAGAAGAAACGGTGTTGGTGGCGGTAACTCCACTGGCTCCTCCGTCTCTAGCAGCTCTGGCGATTTCACGGACATCAGTGATGTTTGGAGTCATCTTTGGGAAGAAAGGAATCTTAAAATTATTATTCGGATAATATCTTCATAGAGTTCTGCTTACCTTCACGGCGGCTCTGACCCATTTGCAGATTTCCTTTACAATTTCTGGGTTTTGCCCGCAAGCCAGTCCCATACCCTTCTCACCCATACCGTGGGGGCACGAAAGGTTCAGCTCGAGAATATCAGCTCCAGCGTCTTCACTCTTTGTGGCCAACTCGACCCAATCCGCTTTAGTGTATGTGCACATGATAGAAGCGATCACAATCTTAGTCGGGTGGTCACGCTTCAGTTCTCTGATGCACTGAAGCCAGTACTCGCAGGCTTTCTCCGAGATCAATTCGATATTCATAAACGATCCCTGGTTAGGCCCGAAGAGTGGACCGCTGGTTGAACCACGGACAATACGTGGCGAGACATTGGTGACCAAGTCTTTGTCAAGACCATATGTCTTGGTGAGAATGAATCCCCATCCCTGCTCGAAAGCACGACGACACATCGGTCCAGAGGTGGTTGGCGGAGCAGAAGCGAGTCCGAATGGGTTCTCAAATTTGACTCCGCACATTTCCACGGAGATGTCAACCTCGTCGATCGGGGTGAAGAACTTTGGAAGCTGTGGAGTTTCCGAAACTTGTGTTCCGTGAAGAGACTGAATGTAGCGATGCATGTTCCAGGCGGCAATCTGAATGATTATAAGGTTGCTCCGAGTTGACCTGTTTCGACCTGTTTCCCACCTTTCCATCATTGACGGACTCTACCGTAGTCTCAGCAACGCCGGCAACATCTCCTCCCGCAAAGACCCATTTCTCAGAAGTCTGCTGAGTAGTCGGATTAACATCAATTCCACCCCACTTGTTCAGCTGGCATGGTTGAAGAGCGGATAGGACTGTAATAGTTCAATGATCAATTCTAAAATAGCGACTGGTTTTTCGTAAATCAAAGATCAACAACAGGTGCTTTTTCATGGCTATCCAAGAAGAAAACGATCAGAATCTTGTCGAGAAACAATGCCAGGACTCTTCTGTCGGCAACTAACCTGCATCTTCTTTCAACGTGGATCCAAACGCGGAAATCACGTAGTCGCATTTCAAGATGACAATCTGTTCCTCGTCCTCGTACCTGCAAAAGACAAATTTCACCTAAATTCACTCATTTGTTCTCATTTCACACCGACCATTTGCCGTTGTCGTCTTGTTCGGTTTTGTTGAATTCGATCGACACAATGCGGCCATCTTTCACATTAATCTTGCGGGGTGCCGAAAACGGAAGGAACTCGCACTTCTCCTCCTTCGCAGCTTCCATCTAAAGGGTTTACTGTTCACAAGATCAAAAAGAACAAGAAATGGAATGAAAAGAGAAATGAGAGATCAAACCTCTTCGGGCACTGCGCGAATTCCAGTGAATCCCTTACGGAAAGCAATAGTGACACGGGAAGATCCGCATCGGAGGGCAGACGTGGCACAGTCCATTGCGGTGTCTCCTGCTCCAAGAACCACGACACGTCCTCTCAAGGTCGGTAACGGAGTACGCTTGCAGCCACACATTCCTGGCTTGCTAGCGGCGGCGACCAACGGAAGATAGTTTTTGCTGGTGTAGAATCCCATTTCAGTAGTCAACCCTTCAAAAAGTGGATCGATTTTTGGCTCTGGGTTTCCGATTCCAACAAAGACAGCAGCAGCTCCGCTTTCCTAAAATTCAGGTTATTTGCTACATTTTAGTTTTTCTACTAGTACCTTAAGTTTGGTAAGAGTGATATCATCGTTGTGAAGAGATCTGTTTGTCTCAATCTTTACTCCAATATCTCTCGCCAATTGAATTTCAAAATCGACGACATCGTATGGGAGACGGAATTGTGGGATCTCAGCGGAAGAAAGTCCTCCAATGAATGCTCGCTTCTCGTAAATGGTGATGTCAGTGTATCCCAAGCGGGCCAAGAACGAAGCACAGGAGATACTGGCCGGTCCGCATCCGATAAGAGCGATCTGCTCCTTGTGAGAAGCGTTACGGTTTTCCCGGATTTCTTTGGACACAATTTGACGAACGTTCATCTTCTTGAACACCTGAAACTGAACTGCTAAGTAATGCTCAGAATTAGGTTAACTGCTAACGTCGCAAGCATATTGTTGAAGTCCGCCGATGTTGATAGCACCTTCTTCACTTGCTTGCAGATTACAGGATCCAACACAAAGGTCCGAAGTGGGACAGATCATTCCGCAGGTAAGACCCAATGGATTGTCCGACAGAATCTGACGAGCAGCTCCATAGTAGTTCTTGTTCGAGATGCTCGTAATGAAATTCTTGACGTCCAGCTGAGTCGGACAACTTTTTTGGCACGGTGCATCAGCACACTTCAAACACCTGAAAAAAGACTGTGATGACCTTCATCTGGTTTAAGACTAATGTGTTTTCTACGCGTCGAGAAGAAGAATCAGTATCATCAAAACAATAAGTTGGTTTTGCGGAGATCACTACGTCACCGATGAAGTTACTCGTCTCCCACATACCTCATGGCCTCTTTCAAAGCTCCGCGTTCACTATAAGTGGTGTGCTTGATGTCGCGGAAGTCATTCTTCAGCTTGGATTCACCACAGGTCTCAAATTGGAAAAAATTCGTATCAGTGCTAACACAACGAAATTACCGCTCCACAACCCTTTTCGTCATTTCTCTTCCAGTTATGCTTGTTCTTTTTCGTCACGGCACTCGGAATCGCATTCGCTCTGGACTGAACTTTTGGGTTCAGAGTGAGAAGACTCTGAAATTTACTTTTTACATTCCCTGAAATTCATTCGATAACGTTTCAAAGGTAGTTTTCGGTGAGAAACTTGATAACGCTGCAAGGATTCGATGCGCACGTCGGTCAACCGTTGCACGTGTACGACACTGCACGTGCGCTGATTATCGGAAAGTCTTATCGAGAGAAATGAAACACTAATAGGCTGGCAATGCAAGTACGATTTGATCTTTTGAAAGATCAAAGTTTTGTGTGGATTTACCTCAATATCCGGAGAGTCCTTGCTCAGCAGAGAGACCGGAGCAGCTGGGGATGCAGTGTTTGGTTTTGGAGTCATGGCTGGAAAGTTCGCTGTTTGTTAAATGTCATAGGAAAACTGGAAGAGAGAAACATTGACCAAGTGTAGGCAGTTGATAACAAAGAGATTTACATTTTCTATTCTAACACCACGAGGACACGTGTGGGTTTATCATTTCAATGAGAAAGAAACGGTATGGTATTCTCTGCAGCAGCGCCCGCGTAGACTGATCGCGGGGACTGTATTGAAAAGAAAGTCAGAACTGATAAAGTAGGCGAGATGGTATCGACGAACAGAACTGATAAGATTACAGCCGATTATCCAATCGTGAAATGCGGTGAAAAGATGGGCGCCACGTGTTCACGTTATTTCCTCGGGCCAAAAAAGATATACCCGCCTTTTTGATACACAAGAAAAGGGGATGAAAGGTGAGACGGTGAGCGCGTGACATTCATCTCTCTGCCTGTTTCTCATGATTTATCGACAAGGCAAGACTATTCTGCATTCGCAACATTTATTCGGTCGATTTTTACAATCTCGGATGGGCAGTACGCGTAAAAATAAGAAATAGACAGTTTCACTGAATTTGCTTAGAGCTTAGAATTGTGTTCTAATCTATTTTGGTCAAGTTTTGAACGGTGCTCAAAACAGTCTGAAAATACTCTTATAGTACAAGTTGGTAAAATTTTTGATCTCGGAAAATGAGAGCAAAAACTTGGGAAGAGGCAAATAACGGTGGTCAATAAGAAGGCCCGGGCAAATAAAGCAGAAATGAGAAGGGGAAATGAGGAGGGGAGGTTGTCTCGGTGGGACCCATTTGGACCGATCAATAATACCAACGGTCTCCATCGTGGCGGGTCTCATCTTCGAAAAGAGGTCACAACCGTTCAATTTTGAACATGAGTAAAACTAAAACGAAGGTATTGACAAAATCAGATCACAAATCAAAAGATCATTTCTCCGACCACGTGTCGTCGACAAACTGCATCTGTTCTATTTGACAATGCCCTCGCCTCTTTTCGATTCTCAACCTTCGTTTTCTTTACAAAATGCAAGGTACTCGTACAGTTAAACTTTGGGTCAAAATGAGAGGGAATCAAGTGGAAATCTGTGTTTTGTGGTTCCTGATGAGTGGGAGAAATGGGATGGGAATGGGAGATCAAAGGGGCATTTCGGAATATGTTTCGTGATAGAGGAATTAGTCTTGAAACGGTTTCAAGAGTCGTTCGAACGTCGGTCGATCTGTCTGACTGACTCGGAAACAGCGCGTCAAGAGCTGCAAGATCTCGTAGCTGAAGACTGTCGGCATCATGGGCACAATCTGCAAACTTCCTGGTTTTTATTTTCTGTAGTCTCCAATTTCAATTTCTCTCACCGCCTCTGGTTGATGATCTAGAAGAGCACAAGCGTTATCAACGATCTGCTCGTTGGTTAATTCCTCGTATGGTCGTTGACGGCACTGATAAGCCATCTCGTACACAGTCGAGGCAACTGCCCATGCATCCGACTTGTGCGTGAATTCGTTCTGGGAAATGGGGGTGAGAAATAAAATGATTCTAACGTTCTTACATTCACAATAGATTCCGGAGCAGAATAGCGCAACTGAGCGTGATGAGACGGTCCACGTGGCGAACAGATCTTTGCGTGGAAGTCACTGTCCAACAGAATATTGTTGGGGGTGAAATGTCCGTGAACTATCCGTTTGCTCTCCAAAAACGCCATTGCCAAGTACACGTCTTTGCAAATACGCACCAAGAATTCAGTGCTGAAAAAAACGGATCATAAGGTTCCGGGCCCTCCCGCTTACTCTAATGGCGCAGCAGAAGCCAGCCAAAAGTTTCTGATGCATCCGTATTCGACATGTTCCATAAGCAAATTGTATGACTCATCAACTCCGTACATTTCGGCGATTCTTTGATGCCTTCCGCATTTCAACAGACATGCTATCTCATCGCCCATTGCTCGTGTACCATGCACGCAATCCTTTTCCTTTGTCGATTTGTGAGCACACTTGAGGCCTCCGAAAATGATACATTCTTTGATGATCGTGAACTTCCCTTCTCCAATTGCTTTTCCAATTAGAAGAGCGCTCGTTGGATATTTCTTTCTAAAATGATGATGTGAATGGTTGAAATTATTGCATTCTTACAGAGCTGGGATTTTACGAACACTTCTGTAGGATCCGTTACTGCTGTTTTCAGGAGATACCGGTTGCGAGTAGGTGTGTTCTTCTATAAAAAAATACGTTTTACTTGAGATCTATTTATTATCCGCACCTCTTCCTTCTGGCGGCGGAGGGAAGTTGAAATCATGCCAAGTTGGAGGAATTTGCCGACATGAAGAGCTTGATTTGGAAGAAACACTAGGAATATCTTATTATTACGTCACGTCTACCCATGTTTCTATTACCTTAGAAGAGTAGACTTCTGTGATCTAGCATACACAATATCATTCGCAACTTCATAGTGACCATTTGAAAGTTTGTTGTTCGACGGGAACACGTGACACGTTGGTTTATTGCCCATATGAGTGATGATAAGATCCTTCTTGACATTCTGCAGATGAATTTATTCATTAATAATGTTTCCGATAGACCCACGGAATCGACGCTTTTGTTCTTCTGGCGTCGCTTGAGACAAACGGATATGCAATACGCGACACAGGCAAAGACAGTCAGAAATACAATTCCACAAACGACGAGAAGCTGTTGTGTAGCAGCCGATTGAGTTGTGGGTATCTTTTCCGACATCAGTGTCAAGTTGGCTGCTGGAAACGGAAGTATTATGAAAACCGAATTGAAATGTTTTTATATACCGGAAGTAAAGTGTACTTCAGTCAGAAACATCCAATCGGATGAGAATTTGATGGAAATTCGCACTTTGCGACCAGCCCGATTATGGAGAGGAACTCGGAAATCATATCTGGAAATGAACAAATTGTACTATTTCTTGAAGTTGTTTTCTTTTCAAAAATACGTACCTTCGACTGGTATTGTTGACGGATTGCCGTTCACTCGATGAAATTTGTGAGAATAGTGGAAATGTTTTTCCGTCCTGACTGCAATTATAAAAGATTCGACTTAAACAATCGTTTCCATTTGAATTTACCTGAAAATGACGTCAATCTGATCAATCCGGTTTCCAAACGTCGCCAAAACAACATCAGTAAAGTTGTGAACTTCTTCAAACTCGAACAGAATGTTGATGTGTCCATCTGCAACCACATTCTTTCTTGCTTCATAAATTTCCGAAGGTTCCCTCACCAGTAGTGTCCCTATTCCAACCAATCCAACTATCATTCACGTGGTTCTTCTCAAAAGGCGAAGTCTGCGCCACAAAACCATCCGTTAGAAGACCGAGTCCCCTGAAAATTGCAAAAAATCACTTGACTTGCAACTGTCGATCGTTCTCATCAATCAAGTTAACTGTTATCAACCGGGACACTTTACTACTTTTTATAGACGCTGGTTTGTGATGTCCTTTGTCTCGAAACACACTTACTAACCGCTTGATTCCCGATTCGGTGTACATTTGGCTGTCTTCGAAAAGATTGTCTTTGAAGTCGAGAGTATCGAGACGAGAACCATCTGGCACCGTTGAGTAATAGATGACACCTGGAAAGCTAGGATTAGTCGGATGCGGCTTGTTCTGCTCACCATCGTGTTTGCAGCCATGCACTTCCGCCCTCATGCACACTGTTCGAGTGCTTTTCGATGCCGGCACGATTCGAATGCGAGAGGCGACGATCGGAGGATCCAGCACCCTGATGACCGGCGTCGTCGTATCAAAATTACCATTCATCAACTGTAATGACGTCGTTCATTTACGTCACTGGAATTCAATTTGAAATTTTAAACGTACCACATGTCCGGTCCGGTTTTTGTACCGTATCCACTGACTTCCAGCTCTTAGGTAGTCTATCATGTAGTGACTGACAAACTCCCTTCCAGTACCATTTCCATATCTTCCTTGCGTTTCTACAGAGGTAATCAGGAATGTGTCATTGAAAGTGACCTGGATCAAATATTTTACTATTCAGTATAGGTATTTCTAAAGTTGAGAGTACCTGTAGAAACTCATAGCTCTTCGAGTTTATCTGTGGTTTCGGACACCACGCTCCAGAAGCCAGTTCGGAGTGTAACCTGGCATTCTGCGGTCCCACACTCTGCTTGTCAAAACTGCTGCTCGCAGTTATTTGCGAGTCGCCAATGTCGCCATTTTGCATACCAAGTGCTCTCTCCCCACATTGATCCGAAATGTTTTTATGTGACACGTCACGTTATAACTCATCAACTCACCAATGCGGAGAGCGTTCGCGGTTGTCCCATAAATTGCTAGTAAGACGAGTACAATTTGCATCTCATCTGAATAGCGATCCTGCAAAATAAAGCGCTATTATTATTATTAAGCGCGACTAATCATAGAGGTCCGAAAGTGGTGGTCACTTGAGATTCAGAATTTATATATTTATATTTATTTACTGATATGTTTGAAAACAAGACAGCCCGTGATAACGTGGCAAAGACAGAGACCAAGAGAGTCGTCAAGTCAGGGGTTTGCGGCACCGAGAGAGCGTGTGCGCGCAGAGAGAGAGAAAAACGGGGAGAGAAAGAAAGAAAAGTTTTGTGTGTACCCGACGGGTACACAACATTTACATATTCAGAAGAGGTTACTATTCGGGTAAATAATCTTGTACGAATGAACATTGACTAATTAGACAGAACGACTATTCTCTATTCTTTATGAATTATGAATAAATCGAATCTATTTCCATTCAAAAGTTTAAATCAAGAAATAAAGGAGGAGCGAAAGGATTGCTGGCTAGTAGAAAGAAGAAGAAACGAGACGTATGGATCATATGAATCACAAATTTTGTTCACGTTGTACATAGCGGCTAACCGCGAGAAGTCTGAAGAGCAATGTGACGGAATGCTTACGATATGTAAATCAAAGACATCTGTTCATAATGAAATCATCGAGCAATAAAGAGGATATGAACCGATGGGAAGGGAAGCGACAAAACGAGGTGGTTAGGATGGTCGGAATGGGTGCCAGAAGAGTACAAACGCATCTGCCACAAATGGGCAGGCGCAGGTGCAGGCGCCGCGCAGAAAGAGTTCCGAGCAGTTTGAAAAGAAATGACTGACAGATTGAGGTCGGGAATGAAAATGAAATGTAAATAGTACAAGGGAACAGTATTTTTAGGCTGTGACTTGACTCTCTGACAAAGTGAGGGAGTGCCGACAAGGGGACCATACTCAAAACAATGGGCAATTAGTCGATTAAGTATGTACATGTAGCACCTCCGGACAGACGGTTAACGGTTATTACTGCAGAAATAATAATAATAATAATACGGCGGAGGATGGCAGCCACGATGGTAAATTATGATAACTTATGAGTGCGGTATGTAGAGATTGCGACAGTTGATAGGAAAAAGAGATATACAGTAATTCGTAACGGATATTGAGGTGAGATGGGATGGAAAAAGGGAAAAAAAAAGAAGACCGATCGTTTTGATTGTACACATTCTTTTCCGGACACTTTTTTTGGTGAGTGGAATGGGAAGATTGCGGGGAGATTAGATGGTCTCCGTTTTCAAAAGGATTAGACCACCTATGGTGTAATCGAGGGCGAACAGGTGAGAATGTTCAACTTCTCGATTAAGCATGATTGATGGGACGATTGGCCTAAACATCTGTACGCGATTTGACGAAAAGAGAGGAGGAAATGGAGGTTTCGGTCGGTGCGCGGCTGTTCGAACGAACTGACATCTCGCTTTTCTCGCTCACGCTGCTTCCACTATTATATTATAATTATCTAAACACTTTCCATCAACCCGTCAGTGGTTTGTTGACAGTACAACATTGAAAGCATCGCTCAAAAAAAGCAGAAGGAACAGAGGCAATTATCAGCAATTATTGGAGGTGGGAAAGTTGTGCGCGCAAACCAAAACATTTGAAGAGGTCAAAGTGGAAAGGAGTGGGCAAAAGTGATTGAATTCAGAAAAAAAACGGAAGAGCTGGAGCGGGAAAAGGCGACGGAGGAGTTGCAGAAATTGGAAGAATTGCTAATGTATTCTGGAGAGAAGTGGTCAAAGTGAATGTGAAGAAAATAAAAGTGAAATTATTTTGCTAGTCTGAAATGGAAAACATTGATCAAGAACGGAAAAGGGAGAGAGAGAAAGTAAGCGGTTGTGTGGGTGTGAGTGTTTTATCAGTAACCCAGACAGGATTATAAATTTGAAATGGCAACCAACTGTTTTGAAATAGTTTATTGCGTCTATGAGACTGTTCTTTCCGCAATGTCTATTATGCCTGCCGGTATTTCATATATGACATGGGCAGACGTTTTTTGAGTGAACTGGAGAATTCATGGAACAGTAGTCGAATTGAGATGAAGGAAAAGAAAAAGAACTCGTTTTACGAGGATATTTCATATGCACCAGGATCATTTTCCCGTGTTTTTTGAACACCTGCTTGCTCAGACTTGACGACAAAATCCCGAAAAAAAAAGTTCATGCACAGTATATCAAAGTGTGAAAAAAGAAAGAGAAGGCGACAAAGAATGCAATCGGAGAAAAGAGAAGAAAGTGTATAATCGAGAAATAGTTTGCGACCGCTGGCGACGAATTGTTGTGAATGAACGGAAGTTGCGAAGGGGAAAGGAAGGCCTGGAGAAAATGAGGAGAGACATTGAACTACTACCATAAGATGAAATGTCACGACGACACGATGTTGCCATTCAAGCGGAGCGCAACGGGGGATCAGCATAAAAATATGATTCAATTAAGAATGACATGCGAACGTTCCAACGGGGATTAGTGACATTCGGGACGCGTGTCCATCAGAAGGGAACGTCGTCAGTCGGTGCTCAATTGCTCGTGTGCTGATTTTCGAGTTGGCGAGGAGGGGTGGCGCATTGTGCATCCGCCACACATACATGCATAATAAGGTGCGGTTTTCGGTGGCAGTCCACGTCTTTCGACATGTTCCGTTCAAAACGACTTTACTCCCTCTCTCTCCCCCCCCCCCGTTTCCTGAACTACATGCATAATTTTAAAGAGTCGAGAAAAGTTTGAGAAAGAATGGAAAAGGGTGAAAAGGCTTCAGAGCTCATATTTTTCATACATATTGTTGGTGCTTTTGGTTTCTGCTGAAATTTGAGTAGTTGTGAAGATGAAGACAATGACGGGCCGACTACGGACGGGTGAAAGCAAAAGTTTTGAGTATTCATGGACAAGTGATGAAGGGTTCCGAAATGCTCGAGCACTCTTTTCATCTTCCGGGAAAAGAGAGAGGAAAAAAGGGAAAGCATTCGTAAAAAAGGAAAAAGAATATTAGATTAGAGGATTCCCACATATGTCAGAAATTAATCATAGTATTGTGGAGTTCAAGAGTCATGTAAATTCTTTTCTTGGAGATTAATGAACAAAACCGAGCAAAGGGAGGGAAAACCTTGTAGTGGTCGTTTCCAATAGGGGAAAAGTCAACGGACGTCAAGAAAATGCAGGAGATTAACTCAACGATTAGTAGTTTCTGAAACATGCTCCTGTCTTGTACTCGAGTGACGAAAACGGCAAGAGGTAAACAAAATACGAATGGAATAGAGCAATAAAAAAGATAACCTACTAGGTTCCTCTTTTCGATAAGAAACTATGGTTGTACATAATAAGGTACTTAGGCAGATCACCCCCTCCCCCTCATTCTGTGCAAATAAGGAACGGAACGATGGCGGAGGAGCACTGAACAAATTGATTTACAATCTGCTCACAAAGGAAAATGAATGGGGGACGTGTTGGCACGCGAAACACCGAGGTGTCAGCCGTTGTCTCCGAAAAACAAAGCGGACGGGTACATGGCACGGAGGAGAACAAGAAAGCAACAAATGTAGGGTGGAATGAATTGTCCACTTTGACAAAAAACATTGGGTTGATACAAGATATTTGGAGTATCCGAGTGACGAGACAGATTACAAGGTGAACAAAAAACAAAAACTGTCAACTTATATTTGTCTTGCGCTATCATCATTTCTCGTTTCGTTCAAGCACTTGTATTTCTTGTGAGCGGGAGGCCAATGTAACAGGAAACGGAAGCGAAAAAGTTTCTCGGAGAAGGGGGAGCGGGAAAGAATTCGGATGGTATTAATCCAAATTAATAAGCGCCTAATGTTGTCGGTATGAAGAGCTCGGCGCGAAAATGTGAATTAAGCAAATAAAAACAGTTGACAATAGACGGTGTTAAGTCAATAGAAATTTTTATATTCGATCCAACAATGAAAAGCTTTCGATATATACTGAGAGTAGGGAAGGGCACAATTGGACAAGCCGGGTGTCATTTGTATAATACGGTTTAGTACATGTTTCATCGAATTGCCGTGTGGTCGTTTTGAGTGGAGGGAAGAGGATTAAAGTGTGATTTAGCCCCGCACAAATGAAGGGTTCTGCGATGCGGATCTGAGCTTCGAGACCTTTTTTTTGAAGCAATGAAAGTAATGAAAAAGTAATGCGGTTTTATAGTGATGCTCAAGATTATTCATCCCCCGTCTCGTATATTCCGGAAATTAGAAAAGCGATGAAAATTAATAGTTGCATGTTTTTACATAAAATATTCATGTTGACACACCCTAAGTCGATTAGAAAGAATTGCGTAGCTTCTGAGAGGCTCACACATCCGATAAGCTCTGGTATTTTATTCGTGTTCAGTGAAATGAAAAAAAACACACACACGCACACCCGCTTTTCGAGAAGAATGAGGCTAATTTTTCTGAGGAATGGCATGGAAAAAGAATATGACCGCACATTCAACAAGGGGAGCTGAAAAGGGAAAATGAAAACCTATCAGCAAAAAGCGCGAATCGGTTTGGGGGAACAAATGAAATTGTTTGGCTGTTTGCATTCTTCTAGTTTCTGGACAGCGAAAGGCAAGTGTTAGAAGGTAGTTATCAAGAAGTGCCCATCAAAATTCTCTGATAAAACCAAACAATACCACATTTTATTGCAAAACTTTCACATCGTTTTGGCGCACTTCTCCATGATTACAATGATAGCTTGAAAGAAGAAGAAGAAGAAAAAGCTCGCGGGACCGCCCTGCATGATGTACTTGGTAAAAATAGCGCCTCGTTTTCTAAAAGAAGAAAAAAGAAAGTGAGAAGGGGGCTACCAACAGCTCGGAGGGTTGTTGCTGTCACTTCAAAGACCAAACCCATCATTTAAACCATGAGAGAGAAGTTCAAAAAGTTGAAGATTCCTAAAATGCCTACGCTTTTTGAGTGCGCGTTAGGACAAAAGGCGAAACAATCTGATTGACAAGGCCCCATTCTCGAGGGACCCCCGGTGGTCGTGCGTAAAAATGTTGCAGCCCCGCTTCGAGTGGGGCTGCTCCGGCATACGCATTATTATGTTTATTACGCACTATGATGATACGAATCTTGGGAGAAAATGGAAGAAAGTGGATATACATACGTACATGTGAAAAGTAAAGAGCTGGTTTTTGATATTAGTAGAATTCAGTTCAGAAAAGTTTCCACTTTGATCCTTGATCCTTGTTCTGATTTGGAATCCAAATCCATGCTCTCTGGTGTTTGACAACCCGAAAAAACGGCTGTCTGATCCAGCAGACTTCCAAATTTATCCGCCAAAGTGTGTCTAACCTCGCGAAAACAATTATCTGTTTGAATCACGAGCTCTTAGGCGTCGCCGATCCTGTCAATGATAGATAAACAAATTTCTTCGGCAATAGAACCGCAAAATAATCGGGCCGACGATTCATTCATTTTTCAATGATGATCTCAAGATCGCTGCCTAAAATTTTCATCGCCTCTCTGCTGGTGGGAGTACTTGAAATCACAGTCGGTGAGTATAGACTTCGCATTTCGAACTTATAAATATCTTTTTCCGTTTCAGCAAGTTCATCCATGTATGCTAGAAGGAGAACTCCAAGCGAACGGGTTATGTCTATCATAAGACCGCGAATGTTTCAAAACCAAGAAATGAAAAGTAAGACCGAACACTAAAAGTCTTAAAAGAGAAAAGACACTTACAGTGAGCACAGCCATACAAAAATCCATCCAGCTGAACCCGAACAGAGCTCTGCCGTGTTGTAAAGACGAATCGGGCGGATCGATTTGCAAAAATCTACGCCGAACTGATTTGAAACTATTCACACAAAAGTGAGCTGATTATCATACCATTGAATAGTCATAATGGCTTTATCAAATATTCAGATGCCAAACAGAACCAGATTTCTCGCTCGTTGTTTGTTGCAACTCGTGCAGTGATGCAGGAATCTCGTATCGCAAAAGAGCTCAAAAGCAAGTGAATTCAATTTGGGATTTTTTAGATAGATTACATTTTTTCCAGTTTTTTCATCGGACAAGCCAACGCAACCAACTGTTTTGACCGTATGAGCCCAGCCTACTGTAGTCGCTTTGAAACCGGCGACGACGCGTGGAACAACCGACGCTGGTCGTGCGACACTTCGCATTTCCGATTGGGATTCCGAGTTTGCAGATCGACTTGTGGATTCTGCGGCCTCGATTGGGCAAACGCGCCGGAAGCTCTCAAATGTCTTTAGCTTCACAGATATGAAAAATAATTTATTAATAAGTTACTGTTATTATCATTTTGTTCTCACTGATAATTTAAGAGTTGATATGTAGAGTTTATGATTTCCATTGGTGACGGTGAAGATGTTGTTGTTGTACTATAAAATTTTACCCTCCATCTTCGTTTCTCTGCGGGCAATGGTTGTTGTTGGCAAGACTTAAAACAGACGCAATTTTCCATTAGTCTCTAGAAAAAACCAACTTGAAGCGCATTATCCAAAGTGTAGTGAACGACGTTGAAATTGCAGTATCCACACGATTTACGACATGTACGGAAAGCAATTTGAGGATTCTCGCCGTCACAAGACCACGTGTTATGGGGCTCAAACACGTCCGTTTTGTTGACATATCTGTAAGTGAAAAATTGAAAACAACGAATTATACGGATGTTTATGTGCACCTGTCGCAGAACTTGGGACCGTATCTGTCAAAACAATGCTCAGAGACAAGAGAACGGGCAATCAAGTCGTATGCCATTCCGATTCCGTCCGTATTACAAGTGGAACAGCATTGAATCAATCTGTATAGCATAACTAACAATAAATTTTTTAAAGCGATTATTCAACCTAAATTCCGCGTCGGCATTACATCTTCTCGCGAACATCCGACTGTTCTGGCTCATGAGTCTGTTGCAAGCGGCAACTCCGAGATGATCCCGACAACATGGAGGTTTTGTGGTATACGGTAACACTGAACACTCGAAAACCTATTTTCAAACACCGAGAAACGAAGGAAACGAACCAAATAGGAGAAATTGAGCTAAGAGTAGAAGCGGGGCAAGCATCTCACACTAATTGATATAAACCGGAGTTGAGACGGTGCCGACGATCGCCTTTTATGATATCGGCAGCGCGCTGAGACTGACTACCGCCCAGTTTTGACACATTTCCGTATTTGTTTTTCCGTAGTCCCCCCATAATTGTCGTCATCACACTCGCTTCCGGCAGTCAAGTTCCGACGTGATCAAGAAATCACAAAAAGCGTTTATCTGTGTGACATTTCATTTAAAAACAGAGACATAGGAAAGTTGTTAATCATCACGTGGTGATTACTGACAGAGAAACGTTCAAAAGGTTAGTACTTATTTTTTTTCGGGAAAAGCAGAACTCACTCCATACGTGGTTGGGAAAACGTGTTATGGATATTCTTACAAACATTTGGAAGGGGGTTTTTCATACGATCTGCATCTGAAATACAGAAAGGAAAAGAGATGGAGACAGGAAAGTATTTAGAAAAAAAAACGAATAATGGAGATGAGGTCAGCGAAATAAATAATTATTTTCTTGTTAGCATCATATATATAGTCAAAGAACAGTTCTCCGTACCATTGAATGATAAACATTATCATTTAAGCGGTACCTTTTAAGTAACAAAAGATATATAAAGAAATTAGACTCAGAAGTTAGTTGGCAATATTCTTATAAAAAAAGAAGAAAGGAGGGTTCAAATTAAACTCTTTTAATATATTCTCTGTGTTCAAAAGTTGATCTCTTCCAACTGCACTTCCTCTCCAGCCAACGAAGCAAATGACAAAGCGGGGGTCATACCAGCAGCTAAACATGAAAATTAAAAAGCGACTAGTTAAGCAAGTGGATCACCTCGTCGGGAGCGAGCCTGAACTTCCTGCTTCTTCAACTTGTAGGTCTGACGGAATGCGCAGTGGCGAGAAAGAATCGTGCTGTTGAATGTTCCGATGTCGGCCTTTGTGAGCTCGTCTCCGACATTGTATGTCTCACGGACAACGCGGGTTTGAGCGTACGCAACTTCTGGGGCCATGATCTACAAAAAGGATCATACTTTAATAGAATATAAAGGAGTAAGCTTACGTCGATGTTTCTGAGCATTTCGATGAGCATTCTTGGGTTTCTGATCTTGGATCTATCCAATTCCTTGACAAAGCAACGGTTTCCAACAGTGTCAACGATAGCGGTGAGGTTCTGGAAAGTTAACAATTTGCAGTAATTTTGATAGATCTGATGCTTACCTGCTTGAAGTCGTGAAGGAAAATGGCTGGTCGGTTGGATCCAAACTTGGGCACATCGATCTTCTCATACGAATCGTTGGCGTTGATTTCGACGTTTTGAACCAGACGCTCGGTCATTCCACGGTTCGAGAAGGTGGCAGCGTTCCATCCATGATAGACACCCTTTTGATAGGCGACGCTGAAATTGAACAAATAGTTGAAATCAATACGATTCCCTCAATTACCTGATGAGTCCTTGTTGGTACAGGAAGAAGGAAACGAGAATGACAAAGCTGAAGATGGCAATGAGAGTGAAGGTGAGCTTGGTGCAACGGCGCATTCTGAAAAATGTTCAATATAAATAGGAACTAAGAGTTGAAAGTACCTGCGAGCATTAACAGCGTTTTCGTAATCTGGCGGAGATGGAGAAGGAGTGCGAGCCAGTGGCGACGGAGAAAGACGGATGATGGAAAGGGGTCCGAAAGAAGAGCTTCTCTTCTCCTTTGGTCTACAACATCAAGAAAACATGTCTTCAGAAACTTGACTTAATTTCATACCTGTCAAAGTTTCCTCCCTCCATCGGGACCCATCCACAGTTGCTGATGTGCTTCTCCTCATCGGCCTCACACACGACAACCTGCTAAACAACAGTATGGGATCCACTCGACCTGTTGAAAAGTTTACCTTTGGGGTGTCCTCCTTGACGCCCTCAACAGTTTTCTTCTCGGCGTCGGTTTCGGTTTTAGTGAAGATCGTCATCTGGAATGCGGGTGCGTTCGAGCGAAACGAATGGATGAGAGTGACCACAGCCCGGGGGCCGAGCACAGAAAGCAAACAGTAGAGATCGTATACAATTTGTTATATTTAGGAGTCAGTCTGTTGGAACAGCAATGTACTCCAGGTTATTTCAAAAATAGAATCCCTGAACATGGGGAAAGTGGGGAATGGGGAAAGAGAAGAGAATGGAAGCGAATACGAGCACTTGACCGAATTAGTTGAAAGTGACACCATTGGGATTCGTTTTTGTGCGGGAGGCACATCTTTAGTTTAATGGATTGCGCCAAGCGATAAAACTTTGCTCTCAGTTTTATTGTTTTGCCCGAGAAGTCATAAAAAGGCAGCACTTTTGCAAATGCGAAGTGTGTACGACTTCTTCCTGAAGAATTCACAAAAAATGCGTGGAACACATGCCCTTTTTCGCTTCGGATGTTAAATTGGAATGTTTTCCAACTCGTTTCCATGAAACGAGAAGGAAGAAAGCAACCGACAAATTCGGTTAATTTTTGGGGACTGGCGACTTTGTGGGAAGCTGACCAAAGAATACGCGTAGAAGGATTTTTGGTGACTAGTGACTTAAAGTCCAAAGAATGAAGCCCAGTTTGGTGGAGTACAGACAAAATATTGTTGAGCGCGAATGAGCGGAACGTAATAAATCCATCATCCCCTCACTTCCTTTTGTTGACGGTTCGGGAGGGTTGTGTGTACACAGAATACCTGAGATCACGTTCAGGCGCAAAGCCCGAACACTGTGTTTAGCGACATTCAAAAGAAGGATTTAGACGGAAGTGCGCTTGAACTGAATGAAGCGAGAAAATAATCTGGGGCAAGGAAGAGGAGGAGGAGGAATCGAAATGATCATATTGTACGACAAAGAGAGCTTATGTTAAGTCCACGCAGGCTGAATGACAGCAGGCGACAGAAAACAGGATGGACGCATAAAAACAATGACAACTTCTTCTTCCTCTTCATCTTCCACCCTTTTCTCCTCCTCCTCCAGGCACGCAGAAATCGTACTGGCATTGTACGAGCGAATAACTACTCTCGTTGTCATTGTGTATTCAACGGACAATACAAAAGAGTTGGTTGGATGATTAGAAAATGGACGGACGATGGGGAAGGAAAGAGGAAAGCGAACTGACCAATCACCTCGACTATCAGCAAACTGACATGTTGGCCATAAGTGGTTGATTTACTCAAAAAAGGGGCGGGTAGATCGGCGGCCGTGCGGTGAAGAGGCCTCCTTTCTAAACGCGAACACAGTCCAGTGGGAGACGGGTCAATTTGAGGCGGAAGTCAGCAATAGAGGTAAATAGTGCTAAGAGAGCGGAGAATTTGAGGTTGGGAAGCGACGCGGACAACAGTAAACCGCGCAAAATGTTTACCGTCCGTCTTGTCACCCTTTTCAGTAATTTCATACCGTTTTGAAGCTGATGAGGAAGAGGAGTTCTGAAGACGGGATTAGCAGAAATCGAGTGACCTCACTAACCCTCCGGAGGCGGAATGGCCTTTTGAAGTGTGAAATGAGAAATGGGGGCTTCAACGGCAAAATGAAGACTTTTGAGGAAGGCAGACGTTCTATTTAATGAGATTTTACGCGAAAGTGGGTGGGTGCTCTTAAATTAAAGTGAAGAACAATGCTTCTTTGAAATGAGATTCTTAGATGAAATCCCGAGAGATGTGATCACTAATAAGTACCCTTTAGAAATGCTTGATTACAAAAAAGTCAACCTGGTTCTGGCCACGTTAAGCTCTCTTTTTATTTTCGAACCAATTGCACTTTTGTGCCTATTTAGTTTGCAGTAGGGGAAAGAAACGGACACGTCAGACGATAAAAACAAGTGACATCGCGGAAGAAGTGTTTACCGAAAGGGGACAGTTGAAAGTGTGAGCCGATGAACGGGGCTTAACTGTAATGGTTCTGACCATAATCAGACACTGAGAGAACGGACAGAGAACGAAGACACAAAAACGATCGTGACCAAATAACCTTTTTCGATTGTGCATTGCGGATAGAGTATTGGAATGGTCACGAGAACAAACAGAGTGGACCGCGGCCCCGACGCGAAAAGGAGTCTCGGACACCAGCAGCTGGCCTCCGACGGCTAGTTGCGTCCTTCTCTGGTTGTTTTGTGAAAGGACAAGAGAGCCTCACGGCTTTTTTGGCTGGCCTCCCCGCCGCGCCTTCCATCTCCGCGCGCGACTGGCTCCTCGCGCAACCGAACAGATGACCTTTTCTCACTTTCTCTTTCAATGCTTATGAATATGATGATTGCTGACAGACGAGCGCGCTGCTATTCATGGATGCATGTCATCAACAAAAATTGCTTTGCAGTTCTTCGTTTGAACTGGCAGACTACCAGAATTCGAAATGAGCCAAGCAGATGAGGCGTTGCGGCAAAATTAAGAAAGGGATGCCATGAGAAAAAAGAAAGAAAAACAAGTTGGATTAAAATTCAAGTTATTAGTTATTAGGAAAATCCTCTTCCTTCTGTGAATGCTTGTCTAGCAGCGAAAGAGCCTTTCTGGGGATTCATCGCGTGAGATTGGGAGATCATAAAAAACACGAATTGAGAATGAGATGAGGGTGAAGAACGCGGGCGGGCGGAGTCGGACGACTCATTTGGCGAATGGAGAAAAAATCATCAGTGAGAGAATATTGGCCCAACTAATGGAAGAATGTACCAGAGAAATGGTCTTGGCTTGGAACTAATTGGTTTTGTTATCCAAGCTCACCAGAGAAAACGAGCTGCGCGCAAAAACTCATGAAGAGCGAGAACGGAGAAGAAACGGGAGGGCGCATTGAAAAGCGACATTCATGTCAAACCGATGTATGTATACTTCCGGACGAAGGAAGTTGTCAACTGGTTCCGACGGAGTTGAAAAATTGTTAAATTTTATGATGAAATGATTCATTAAAAGAAGGAAATAATGTTAAGCAGCTGTTTTAAAGATAAGGCTGGAAGGGAGCCAGAATCTGATTCTTCACTTTCTTCAAGTTTTCGACTTTGAGACACGATTCATGGTCACCGTCGATCTGAATGAGAAAAGAAGATTATTTTTTAGATTTTTAGACTATTTACCAGGTGAGTTTCAATAGGTTGAAGCGAAAGTTCATCGAATCCATTGCATGTCATCGATCTCGAAAGTTCTTCGTTCAAATCAGTTCTGAAAAAAAAAGATTATTACAGGTCATGAAGCATAAGTTTTGTACCTGACAGCCTTTTTGAAAGCAGCATCTCCAAGTTGTTTACTCTTGAACAAGTACAGCTTGGTGTCGGAAATCGACGTTTTGTATTCACGGAGAAGTTGAGCAAGTTTGATCTGAAATTCACTTTAATTTTTTACTTTTAATCTAAGAAGTGTAAACCGCTCTGTCAATGCGATGTTCGCTGTCTGGAAGTCCGGAGAAGACGTACTAAAAATGTATTAATTTCATGAATAATTGAAGTGTTTACTTTACTCACAGTGATGAACTTTTTGATGTTTTCAATGTCCAATTCATTTGTGCGAAGGACCCACGAGTCGAACAGAATGACAAACGGAATATCGTATCCCCAAATCTTGAGTTCGGCGACAATCTCGCGACTCATGATTCCTCCCATAGAATGTCCCATCACAAATATTCTTTTCTGTCCAGCATGTGCAGCAATCTGTGGAACAGAACTTTGATCGTTCTTATAAAGAACTTTCGTTACCTCTTGGGCATAGAAATGAGCAAGTTCTCTCAAATCCCCAGAAGGATACTTCAAATCGAATTCAATTCCGTAGAGCGAGATGTTCTTGGGGAAGATTTGTAGGAATGAGTAGTACGGGTAGATGGTTCCGCCAATTGCGTGGACAAGGTAGATGTTGAACTTTGAGCCGGGGACCTGAGAATTAGTAAATTTAAAAAATAAGTATGAGTGAGGGACTGACCTCTCTTAGCTTTGTGATCACATTCGGCGTATTGGAACTTGGTCGCTCAACGTTTTGGGCAAGATCTTTTGCCAGGTCCTTCAGATTGTTCGACTGGAGAATATCGTGGGCTTTGACTTCAAACTTGAGTTCTTCGGTCAACCGGTGAGCGAGTTGGATTGCAGAAAGAGAATTTCCCCCGACACATGTGAACTTCTCCGAAAGATTCGTTTTATGACCGACAATATCGGAAGTTGCTTTGTTGATCTGCAATGATATTTTCCTTTTGAAAGATACTGTTTGAATTACCTTTTCCTCCAAAGAGTTTTCCATGGGGACCATATCTCGTTTGTACGACTTTCGCACTTGCTCAAAAGCCTGTAATAGAAGCGGTTTGTCGATTTTACCGCTGGAATTCAGAGGCATCGTGTCGATTTGAACAAAGTGATCTGGTATTTGAGAACGATTTTTCAAATCGTTGATAAGCTCGGCGTGCTGCAAGTTTTGCGCGGATCCAACCAAAAAAGCGATGAGCAGTTGGCTCGAGAAAAGCAAAATCACTTGAGGCAAGCGTAAGCAAGAAGATAATTCTTTTTCGAGTTCAGCCAAGTCAATTCGAACGCCTTTCCACTTGATTTGATTGTCAGATCTGCCAATGTAGTGAATGGTCCCAGATCTGCTATCGACAATGTCTCCGGTTGAGTACGCATTTGAAAACGGATAACCGACAGGATCAGAGGTCAAATAACCTCTTGCCAATGAGGTCCCACTGATTTGCAGGTCTCCGCGAATATACTCATTTCTCACGTTGCAAGTTTCATTATCCATGACTTTTCCAAGTCTTGACCCAAGCCTGTCCATGAAAGGTTTGCACCGATTTGTGAGAGACCAGACACAAGTCTCTGTGGGACCGTAGATTTGAATGAGTTTTAAGTGCGGACAGACTTTGAACACATCTTGGATGGCTGCATCGGATACGGTCTCTCCACCAACTGTCAACGTCTCAATGTTCCAAAGTCTTTGCATTGTTTCGATGGTCAATCCATTGAACACGGCGGACGGCAGAAAAGCATATTGACACGTTTGCAGTTCTTCGGTTATTGTTGTTGACATTTCGGGAACGATGAGAACGCCGGCGTTCAGAAGGGCTCCAAAGATGTTTGATACACTGACATCAAACACCTGTTTGACAGAGTCGAGAACACGCACTTTCTCGCGGAACATGCATTGTTTTGTTGCTGATGTCACAAATGAGCAGACCGAGTGTTCCGCCATTAGCACTCCTTTGGGGACTCCCGTCGATCCGCTGGTGAAGATTGAATAAATTCCTCCAAAATGGGTGCGGAGACGGAAGATTTTCTGGCGGGACAGTATAATGTCCGGATAGAACATCATACTGATCTTGCTTTTCACGTGCCTTTGTCGTTGTTCTGGCCATGTAGGGTCAATAGGGGCATAAACGACTCCGAGGAATGAACACGCCAGCAATGCAATCGGTCCCAGAGACGAATCCAGTCCTACCAACTCATCCTCACGCAGCACACTGACTTTTTCAGTGACGAATTGTTTCTGTATTCTTGCAGCAGTTAATTCAACTTTGTCCGCTAACTCCAAGAAAGTCATGGTTCTTGATGTAGAAAGAAGAGCGGGCTCCAAAGACTGCTTCCAAGTCGCCAACAAATCGTTTTTAATAAGCGGCAAAGGGTGGTCGGCTCTAATAACAGGCGCAATTCGGTTTTCTCCTCTCAAACCGTTCAACTTTCTCAGAAGCATTTCGGAAAACATGTCGACTGTTGACTTCAAGTACTTTGCTCCGTCGTAGTCTATTGAGAGCACTGTACCAGTGGGGGTTTCATCGATGGTAAATGAGAAGTCGAACGCGTTATTCAGAGAAATGTGTTTGATCTCGCATTCAGCGCCAGGAATCGAAACTGTCGGGTAATCCAGTTTCTGACGGAAGTTGAAAAATATGGAAACGGAATTTAGTGCCCGACATTGTTGGACAATCATATGGAATGGAACTGATGAGTACTTTCTTGAAAAATCTAACGATGTGGAGACGCTGTCTAGGATTTCAGCAAAACATACTTTGTCATGGAGAATATTGACTTTGAACAGCACATTGTTCATGAAGTATCCGATGAGCTCCGAGTTGTCGCCGTTTCTCCCAGAGCTGGCATACGCAAACATCGTTTCGGACTGTCCTGTGAATGATCGGATACAATCACAAAACACTGCCAGGGTAACGTTGTAGATGGTTGTGTTGTGATATTTCGACAACTTGACAACTTTGTCCCATATCCGTTTTCCAATAGTTTTAGTGAACCGTTGATGATCCTCGACCGTAACACCCGAGTTGTCGTAAGGAATGACCGAGTGTTCTCCATCTTTGAAATAATCCACAGCTGCATTCATAAGATTCGACAATCTCTCAATCTCACGTTGTTCTTTCAGCGCCACCTTTGCCACCGTTTGATTCGTCTTCCTGGGAAACTCGTCGTTTCGAACGTACGCGTTGTAGAGACTGTTAATGGTATTAGCAAGCACAGTCATCGACCATCCGTCGGTGAGAATATGATGTTGATTGAAGACGATGTGAATTCGACTGTTATCGCAGTCCTCTGCGATTCGTACTCGTAACGGTGTCATCTTTACAATTTCGAATTGATGTTCTTGTTCATGAGAAACAGCCGCTGCTAGGTCGCATCTTTTGTCAAGATTGTGAAAACTTTCAGTGAGGGAACAAACTTTCTGACGAGGTTCGGTTGAATTCTCAAAAGTACTCCGGTAGGTCGTTTGATACGCTATGAGAGATAACACGGAGTATTTTAAGTACTTCCAGACAAATTTGGCAGTGTACCGAATATTGATCTGGAAAATAACATTGTACTTGGAGGTGACATCGATATGTCGGAGCATGAACATTTGAGTTTGGGCGAAAGTCAGAGGAATGACATCAAAATCAACAATCGCGTCATCAGTGGAACCGGACAACTCTCTTTTGACTCGGTCAATGATAGAAGTGAACTCTTGCAGTGTAGGATTATCGAAAAGATCATTCACTTGAACTGTCTTCCCAATTTGCTTCTTGACTTGCCAAACAACTTGAAGAGCGCTCAATGAATCTCCTCCAAGGGCGAAAAAATTTGAGGAACTGTGAATATCCAGGGATCCGCCGAGAGTCTCGATCCAAATCCGGGCAACGGACTGTTCAGTTGTTTCGTCGGCGTGCTCCAGTTTATTGACTTTTACTTCGTTGCCATTCTCATTGGTTCGATGATAATCCAAACTTTTCCTGGCAAGCGATGTCGGATTCTCTGGAGATACAAACACTACTCCGTGCAAATCAGTCATGAAAGCAGTTTCGATTACTTTACGCAGTTCAGTGCGGTTTATGGACACTGTTTCGAGCATTTTCTTCGTGGAACTAGTTGAATGTTCGTACATTCTGCTCTCTTGAATCGGTGGAAGTGATAAAGTGAGCATCTCCTTTATTGCCTTGTACTCTTTTCTGGTGAGAGATTCCACAAAACAGTTAGCACTTGCGTAATCCTCATTCCCAAGAAGTGGTATAACAGAACTGAGTGACGAGAAAGCAACGTACTTGTCCACTGTAATTCCGTTTAGCTCTAAATAATTCAAAACGTTCAAATTCCCGATTGTCTTGGCGGACAGGACGGATTTTTGCTCTTCAGTTGACTTGTTGATCTGGCTAGCTGATTCTTTTCCAGCACAATTCACAACGAACGTGAAACGATTGAACTTCAGTTGCTCGAACAAAGTCTTGACGTCGTTCTCGTCAGTAATATCACAGAAATGATGGGATGTTCTTGACACTCGAACTACTACGATTCCATGAGATATCAAAAAGTTTGATATTTCTTCTCCGACGAACCCATTAGCGCCAAACACAACAGCTGTTCCTTCCGGTTTTCTTTCTGATAACTTGTCAAATGGTAACGGCAAGAATTCGTGCTCAAAAAATTCAGATTCCGTAGCACAAAAATGGAATCCGTCACAAATCAAAGCGGAAGCGACAACACTTTGTAGTGGGAGATCATAAATATTTTCGACATAGACGAGTCTTTTCGCTGTCAGCAGTCGGTAGCAACGTAGGAGGCCCAAAACCAAGTGAACACTTGGGGAATCGACCGATGCGACAAAAATAATGGTTTCGAAATGATTGGGAGTTTTCAAGAAGTTCTCAACATTAAAAAAGTGTTCATGAACGTCGATCGTTTCTTGCATTACGTACGCCAATGTAGACACGTTTTTTGAGTTGCTCGGTTTTGTAGAACCGTCAAACACACAAAATATCGGTGAGGAGGAATGAAGTTCAACACTTTTCGGAATCCAGTTTTCAGCATACATTTGGAGGAAATGGTCTTGCTTCTTTTTTTTCTGCTGAACTTTTTGCACAGACTTGAGAAACTGCTTTTCGTCAAAGCAGTAACCCGGAAGGGATCCATCGATACCGACTTTCTCATACAAGGGACGTACATCCACTCCATGGCACCATAGTTGGCCTACGCAATGCGATAACGAAGCTTTCGGATGCTTCTTCGATCCACAGGTAGGAATCACAACAATTCTTGAGTTCTTACTTGCCAACAAATTTGATAAAACTCCAGTGGGACCGATCTCCACAACAACATCAATGTCCGATTGTATTAGATAGTCCACAACAATGGACAAGTTGACAGGATTGATCAAGTGCTTCTCACAGTAGGAGGCATCGAAAGTTCCGATTTCTTGACCAGTGATGCTAGAGATTATTGGTACAGCTGACTGCTTAAACGATTGGGATCTGCATAGGTCCTTGAAAAGTGACGAAATCGGCTGCATCATTTGCGAATGGAATCCGTGGGTAGTTTCCACAACACGATACTTGACTTGAGACGTTTTTAGTTCTCGTTCAAAATTTTCAACGTCGCCCACAGGACCAACTACGCATTTGATAGATGCGTCCACAATAGCGGATACCATCAGACCTTCAGGTAATGTCTTGTTGTAGTTCCAAACCATCAGCATTCGAGCACTCTCAGTCCTTTCGATTAGCTCCGATCGCTTCCAAAGTAGCTTCATCATATTTTCTTCATCCAACACTCCTCCGACCACTGCAGCAGCGTATTCTCCGACGCTATGTCCAATTAACATTTTCGGCGACAGCACTCGACTCAATGTCTTGAAGATGGCCATACATTGAATGAAGAGAGCAACTTGCGCGTTTCGAGTCGCGTTGATTTCGACGTCAATCAAGTTGGTGGGATTTAGAACTTTTTCGAAGGAAGGAATACCTACGTTTCTTGCAGATTCACAGAGCTTGATGATGGCGTTTTTGAACTGACTGTCCTTTTCAAGAGGAAGAATTTTTGGATACTGCAAGCCTTGAGGAGCAAAAAACAATGCAATGTTTGGAGATTTTTTGGTGATCTTTATCGGTTTTCCCTGGGACAATTGGATTGTTCCCGTTCCGATGGACGCTGCCAGGTAAGATCGATGATCCATCCGTTCCCTTTGATTCAAGAGTGTCGACTGGATGGACTGAATGTCAAGAGCGTGAGAACCAGTTTTTAAGTAACTTTGAAGCAGTTTTTGAATTTCGTTTAATGAAGATTTGCATTTGGCAGATATCGGCAGCATTACTTCTCTTGTAACGTTGTTTTTATCCATCTCTCTGCGGTCTTTTGGCGGTAACTCGACGATCATGTGAACATTAGTACCCCCAATACCAAATGAGTCCACACCAATTAGTGAATCTTGACGAATAAATGACGATCTTGTTGAAACATTGAATAACTTCGAAGAGTTCTCCCGGAATTCAGAAAAGTTCACTTGATGAGGTACAACGCCTGTTTGGAGCATTTTTGCACATTTGATAAGAGCCGCAAGTCCGGAGGCAGCATATGCATGACCGATGTTCGCCTTGCAGGATCCAATTGAAATCTTCGATTTGAAATAGTAGGCAGTTCTCAGAGAGTTCAGCTCGATAGTGTCTCCGAGAGTGGTGCCGGTTGCGTGACATTCAACGAATTCAATCCTCGATTTTTCCTGTTCAGTGAGACGGTCCAACACTTCCGTCATACATTTCAGTTGTCCAGCAGGATTCGGTGCCATGAAACTTGCTCGAGAGAATCCGTCGTTGCTGATTGCAAAATCCTTGATCACTAGATGGATATTGTCCCCGTCAGCCAAAGCCATTGAATATTTCTTCAAAACCAGACAGCCAACACCGGATCCTCTCACAATCCCCTCGGAATCTTTATCGAATGGCCGACAGACTCCAGATCTCGCAAAAATAGTTTTCTTAACATCACGCCGACCATCCATACTTTCCGAACCCTCTGATATCGATGCAGCTCCCACAAGCGCATAGTCAATAGAATTCGTGAGCAATGATTTGACAGCACTAGTCACGGCAATCAATGTTGTCGAACAGGCACTGTAGACGGAAACGGCTTCTCCTTTCAAATCAAGGCAGTAGGATGCATACGTGGCCAGGTAGTTGTTCATATTCTTCACAAATAACTTCCTCATCGCATCTTCTTGATCTTCCGCATTCCCATAGTCTGATGGTTCAGCTCCAGCAAAAACTGCACATTTCAAGTCACTACGTCTCTCCGCGTAGCCAGCATTCTCCAGCGCCAAGTAGGCATGTTGAATGAACTTTCTCACCTGCGGATCCAACATCCTTGCATCTTCGTCGGTGATATTGAAAAACGTGTTGTCGAAGCCAAATGGAGATTTCAGAAGACTGTCACTTGTTGTCGAAACAACGCCGTCAAGCAAATTCTTCCAAAATTGCTCAATGTTGTCAGCTCCCGAAAACTCTGCACTCCATCCGATCACTGCAACTCGTTCATCCTTTTCCTCGATCTCCTTGGCAGAAAATCTTGGAGCAGTTGTTTCCTCCTCAATTTTTATTGACGGCATGATCTTCGCCACGTAGTCACCCAGCTTTTGATACGTTGCGTTCTGAAACATTTCGGACACCGACAATTCTAGTCGGAGCTCCAGATTCAAAGTATGACGCAAGTTGTCCATGCAGAGAGAATCAATTCCAAGATCCATGAATGGCATATTTTTTTTGCTATCCATATTCTTGATTCCCACAATATCCAGAAAGATTGACTCAAAATCGTTTCCACTTTTTCGAGGAATATCAGCAACTTTCACTTTCACAATTTCAGACAGAAAGTTCGAAAGGTGCGGTTGGCGAGATACAATGTTCTCGAAGTCACCATCGAATACGATTATTTGTTTGTTTGGAGCCCAAAATTCCGTGGAAAAGACAGAAAGTCCATCAGAATTTGACAACGGTTTCCACCCACCTGCCTCGATCTGCTTGCTGATATCGGAGCATTCAGGACGGGATAGCATGCCGACTTTTTTCCATGGCCCCCAATAAACAATACTTGATTTGATGGGGTTTGATTCCAAGAACGAAGTGACCAATCCGTTGGCAAACGTGTAGTTCGACTGACCAAATGATCCGAGAATGCAGGCAATTGAGGAAGAAAATGTGAACTGACCAGACGAAGAGCAACATTTGGAAAGATTTCTGGCACCATGGAGTTTGACTGCGACTAGCTTTTCAACACGGTCTTCAGTCATCTTGGAGTGTGAGCAATTGTCAACTAATCCCGCAAAATGGAATACATTGTCAAACGTTTTTTCACTTTTGAACTCTTGAACATCCGACTTTAAGTAAGTTCTACCATCATTCAAAGCGTTGCTCACTCGGGAAATTACAAAGGCGTTTCTTGGTTTCAATTCTTCAAGTACAGCGTTTCCTATGCCCCCGGTACCACCAGAAATGAGTGCATCTTCGAGTTCTAGTCTTAATTTACGATGAGGAGTGACTTTCTTCAATCTTTCCACAAGCCGTCTTCTTTTGACGATGAAGATGCATTCATAAAGATCATTTCGGTTGCACTCATACTCCAATTCCTCCAAACATTCAACAGACATAAACTTGTATGGAATCAGCTTCTCAGCAGCCAAGGAACGTAATGTTCCAGTCCATTCCGTGTACGACGTTGAGTTTTTCCAGCAGCATACAATAATAATGACGTCCTTTTCCAGAGTGACCATATCCCAAATCTTGACGAGTTTCATGAACTCATCGATGTTGCTCTCAAGAGGATGAAACACAATTACACCGTTTTTAAACTTGCTGACGTCAGACATCTGAATTTGCTTAAAGTTTCCGATCTTCCCTAACGAAACGACGTTTTCCAACATATTCCTCTCTGTCATTGGAATCTCCACCAATGTTTTCTCGTAGAAAATCGCCTTGAAAGTTTCTTCACGAATACCATCGATCTCATCGTGAAATGGTTTGAGATTCCAGTGAAGAGTGTTCTTGAAGACAACTGGCGGCAGTACAACATGCCGCTGTCGTGGCTTTTTTTCAAACAGGTTCTTTCCTTCTCTCACGAAGGCTGAGCACTTTCTTATAATGGGGTCTAGTCGCTCATCATCTCCCAAACGAATACCATTCCGACTAGTAGTAACAATTTGTCGCTTGTAGTTGTAGATGATGAAATGACGATGAACATGGACCTTCTTCCGCAGCAAACTCTGCATAATATCCTCCAAACAAGCATCCGATGAGGTGACATAATCGCAGAACTGGCTTGTGAACTTTTTTAAAGATTCGACATTATGTGCCGATAAACACATTGGGTAGAAAATGGCTTGCGGTTCACAGACTGAAACAACTTCTTGAAGCTCATTTGGTTTGACGAGAACACTGCAATTAGAACCGGTGAATCCAAAATTGTTGATCACAAAAGCAGAATTCTTGTCTAGTTGCAGTTCTTCTCCAACAAACTTGCACTTCATATGACTGCCGCGAATCACTTCGTTCGGACACTTCAGATGGAGTTGGGCCGGTTTGTATTTGCACTGGAATGCCATGAGCAAACTGCATAGAGATATGAGACCACTGGCACCTTCAGAGTGACCAACGTTTGATTTGATGCTGTTGATTGAGCACTCAGAGCCTGGACCAAGTAGTTTCGCAACTGCATTTGCTTCAATCGGATCTCCCAGTTTGGTTCCAGTGCAATGCATTTCTACACCGACAATGTCATCAGCATATACACTTTTACTTGCGCTCTGCATTATTTCCAACTGTGATTTGCCATTTGGAGTGAACAGAGATGAACTGTTCCCGTTATGCCCGATGGCCCAGCCAGAAATAGAAGCAACACTCCTGGACTTGTGAGACTTTGACAGTAGAACAGTACAAACTGCTTCGGAGCGTTTGTAGCCATTAGCATCAACATCGAAAGCTTTGCAGAAATCAAGAACAGTCATTCGAGCGTTTTGAAGCACGTCGGTAGTCATTTCATGCAAAACTAAGTTGACAGCGCCGACAATAGCGAATTCGCACTTTTCGGATTGGAGAGCGTCGCAAGCAAGCGACAAAGCATGGAAAGAAGATGAGCAAGCTGTATCGATTGTGGCAACGGGCCCTTTGAGTTTGAGCCAGTGAGCGATACGACCAGCAAGAGCCGAATTTGAGGTTCCACCACCCCACTCAGGTCTCGGGTCTTTGTATCCATGGGCGTACACGACATGCGAGAATTCGTAAGTGGAACATCCGATGAAGACACCTGTGTTGCTTGGCAAGCTGGAAAGAAGCGAAACATCGAGAAGTTTAGCGACGCTTGTTAGAAGCAATCGCTGTTGGGGATCCAAGAATTGAGCTTCACTCGGTCGGATTCCGAAGTACTCTGGATCCCAAGAACGAGCATCTGCATCAAGCAACGAAACGCGAGCATTCTCTTCTTTGGCGTGGCGAATACGCAGTTTTTGCTTTATTCGGTTTGATTTCAAAAACTGCCAGCTTTCACTATTCGTGCTGATTTGATTATACGGCAAAGTTATATCAAAGCCTACTATTTGAATCTCCGACTTGCTGTCCTTGACAGCATCCAAGCTTTCATTGACATTGGGCGTTGGAGTGGGGGTCACAGCAGGCACCAGTTTCAGTACAACAATCGTCATGCTCTTCACTTCGCAAATGATTTTGTTCCCGGCGAACAGGAGGACGTTGACTTGAATGAACTTCTCCGTTTCAGAAGTGATGACGGTTTGAGCGTGGAGGTTGGGCTGCTTGAAGAAGTTTCCGTTCTTCAAACTGACGGATCCCATGGCGACTGGCAGGAAGTAAGAGTCTGGACGACGGACAATCACGCTCGCAGTGATCGAATGCATTGCGGAGTCAATAAGTGGCCAGGCGAATGGAGAAGATTTAAGATTGGCAAAACAACGTCGGTCCGATCTTTTCGCGTTTTCCATTCTTCTAAATCCGCTTTCATACTGCAACCCATTCCTGTACAACGCCTCGTAGAACTCATGAACGTCAAATGATTGCTCGTTTTCCCCAATTTTTTGCTCCTTCAATGCTTCTTCCTTCACCTCAACCCTAGCGGAACAGACGATGACCGAGTTCACAATGAGCTCTATTGCCATGTTTGAGCTCCAACGGATTTCGAATTCCTTGCTGTCTTCGATATACCAAGGCTTCACAAACTTCACGTTTCGCAACACGAGATCCAGTCCGAGAGCTCTTGACTTCACAAGCTGGTCCATTTTGAACATTTGATAGGCGCCGGCAACAATGATTCTTCCGTTGAGTCGGTGTCCCTCGAGGATTTCAAACTCATCCTCTTGGATGATATGCCTTTGAAGGACAGGAAACTCCACTAGGAAATCATTGTCATCATCCAGACATCCATAGAGTTTCGACCAAGTTACAGAAACACCTGATTGTTCGAGCTCGAGACAGGCTTGAACGAGACTTTCGACGTCCGAGTCCTTTTCCTTGCATGTTTGCACAATATGGTGCGTAGAAAGCTCAGCTGACGGAATAATTCTCTTCACAAAAGTAGCAAGCACGGCAGCGGGTCCAGCATCGATCCAGACCGTAACCCCTGCATCTTTGAGTGTTTCCACACAATTCACAAATCTGAAAGAGAACCCTCTGCGGAAAAAAACATTTCAAAAGAGTCTCACTTGACCGCCGAAACTGTGTGCTTGATGATGTATGCTTCTGAAAACGTGTTTATAATCTGCCCAGTCACATTGCTGACCAACGGCGTCGTTCCTTGCCGGAATGTTATATCTTCAAGGCATTTTCGCAGTCCCGCTAGATGAGACTCTTGGATAAGATTGGAGTGGAAGGGGTATAGTTGGTTGACATACGTGCCTTGTTTGCCTGCAAAGCGGATTATTATCGGACCTGCTATCGCGCGCGCGCATACCTTTCCCCTTCACAAATGCCAATGCCGCATCTAGCTCTGATTTTGTCCCTGCGAAAACAACTTGTTTTGGGCTGTTGACGGTCGCCACGCAGACTTGGAATTTTCTCAGAACATCATCAGCAATCTCTCGTTGAACAGCAAGCAATGCTCCCAGACCGGCAGTGTTCTCCATGGCCTTTCCACGTTCAACAATCAAACGAAGTCCATCTTCGATTGACATGACTCCGGCAAGCACTCCAGCAACGAGCTCTCCCACACTGTGGCCCAGATAATAATCGGGCACAATTCCGAGCGACAACCATAATTGAGCAGTTGCGTAGCCAAAACAGAACATGATCGGTTGCATATGCTTTGTTAATTGCAGCAGTTTGTAGTGATCGGTGTTGAACAGAATCTCCCAGAGACTGACTTCTCCTTGCAGGTACTCATCGCACTTTTTCAGGCAAGACTCCAAAGTGACACGGAAGATTTTATAGTTCTCAACCAATTGTCTTCCCATCATTGGGTACTGAGATCCTTGTCCAGTCAGCATCAGAACGCACTTTGATTTGTCTTGACAGGTTCTGGTCTGTTGAGGTGTTGTCGCTTTGATTTTGGTGATGACGTCGGCAATAGAAGATCCAACCGCTGGAATGGCAAACTTCCCAGTAACTGGCAGAGCTCTTCCTGTCTCGAGTAGCTTGATTGCTTCATTCTTTGCCTTTTCAAAATCTTCTTTCTTGTCGAAGAAGACATTCACTCCAAACACCGGACAAAAGTCATTCAATTCCTTGATTTCAGGTACAGATTTCTCATTATTGCCGTCCGACTCGAAATCAACAGCAGACAGTTTCTCCCAGATGTGGCTTGCGAGTTTGTCAAGCGTCGAATAGTTGTATGCGTCGGAAAGGTTCAGTTTGGTTTTGAATGTTGCATTGACGAAGTGGATGAATTCTGTCAAAAGTCTGGAATCCAATCCAATGTCCATAATGCTCTTGTTGTTTTTCAATCGGCTTGGAGGACATTTCAGCATTGTCGAAATCTTGTCCTTTATCAGATCCAACACTTCTTCCTCATCTTCGACGACGACGTTGATGGACACTTCTTCAAAGTCAACTGGGTCAGCCGAAAGCGCAGGGGACATTTCGCTTTCCACATTTCGAACTACAACATTTTCAAAAGGGAAAATGCCATCTCTGATAAGATCTCTGGGCAAATCTTGACGGTTCTTCAGGATCACTTTCCAATCGACGTTAGCCACCATAATCAACTCGGGTTTCTTTTCGATGCAAGCCTTCAGATACTTCAGCGCGTTAGTGTTGTGCTGACCCAGAAATCCGAGATCGACAAGGAACTTGCGGACATGAGCGTTTGTAGCCATTCCGGTATCAATCCAGTTTCCCCATTGAATGGCGCATCCGGACTTGCCCTGCTGACGGCGGCGATGGACTTGATGCTCCAGATACGCATTGGCCACTCCATAATTGAGCTGACCTTCATTTCCACATGCAGACGTGAACGATGACATCATAATGAAGTTGTCAATCTGGAAGAATAAAAGTTGGGAGAGACAGAAAAACAAAGTAAGACCTTGAAATTCAGTTGCGTTTCGATTTCTTCAAGTACGTGGAATCCATCAGCTTTGGGCTTGAAAACTTGATTGAAAGAGTCTTTGGTCTGTCTCTCGATCTTTGAATCCTTGAGAACTCCAGCAGAGTGAATGATTCCTGTGACTTTAACCTGAAGACGGGTCAATTCCTGAATTAGTGTTTTCTTGTTGCTGATGTCCGCGGCAATAGTGTGAACCTGAAAACAGAGCGGTTACTGGAAAAGATAAAAATAAAAAAAACTGTTCACCTTTGCGTTCCAGCTGCTGATCTCTTTCAGAACTTCAGCGCTTGGTTGTCTTCTACTTATGAGAATAACATTCTCGGCACCGTTCTCAGCCAAATATCTTCCAATTTCAAATCCGATTCCACTCAGTCCACCAGTAATCAACCAGGAACCAGTAATCTGCTGGTCGGACTCGATCAAACTGACTTGTTGGATTTTCTGGTCCCATTCAAAACTGATCAGAGGGTACTTCTCGGAGGTAACAGTTTTTATAAAGGCTCGAGCCACGGAGTTGCCAATAGAGAAGTTTCGCGAAACAGCAAAATGACATTTCGATCGGTTTTTGGAGAGAGATTTCATCAAATGCAAAAGGGCCATGTAGAGTTTTTCCACAGAATCATTGTAATTGTCAAGACGAATGAGAATTCGGTTTTCCCCATTGAGAACTTTCTCTAAATCTTTTTCCTGGCCACCATCCGCATTCAGTTGAAGAAGAACTTTTTCGTTCGATGAATTCGTTAGTTGAATAGTCAATCCAGTTGATGTTAAAATGATGGAAGGGGTGAAAACCGCACTCTCTTCTCCGACGAGCAAATAGGACTGCGTCAGTATTTCTTTCTCGATTTCTTTATTCCCAATTTCTGTTTTGTCCGAAGTAGCGGAAGCATTTCCATTGACAACAATAGCAGTGTCCAAACACATACTCTTCTTTCTCGTGATATGATCGGTGAGTTCGTTGACAGTCGGGTAATCGAAAATGTCGCTGGCAGTTATATCATCTCCGGGGAAATACTTCTCGTTAAGACGATTCACAAAATCCACAATCGAGAGTGAATCCATTCCAAGATCGGTGAAACCTCTCAACTCGAGATCTTCAACTGTCAGAGTTTCAGTGGCCAAATCAAAAACAGCTGATGAGATTTTGCGCTTGATATCCGTTCTATCAACCGACGTTTCGAGGTAATTTTCTTGAACTTCAGTCTCGACTTTTTCGTTTTTCGCAGACGCTTTCTCCTGTTCCTTTTGTTGAGCGTTGTACTTTTCCACAAACTCGATTTGAGCTAATTCTTGTGCTCGGATAGCTGGAATCGATAGCTTCCGTTCACGGAGAGATAACTTTGAAGTGGGTGTCTCGGAGGGCAGCGTGATACCTTTCTCGTTCAAAAGTTGCTCGATCAAAACCGACAGGTCAACAATGTTCGGATTGTCAAACAGATCGCTGGTGGTCAATTCGATTTCCGGGAAGTACTTTTGATTAAGGCGATTGAGCAGATCAACCGTTGCCAGAGAATCCATTCCGAGTTCAGAGAAACCAGTGCTCATTTGACTTTCATCAATATCCAATCCGGAATCGATAACGTCATTGAACGCACAGCGAACCTATAAAAATTTTTTCTCTGAATTTAAATAATTTTAACTGCTCACTTTGTATTGAATGTCCATTTGAAGAGTTTTTGAAGCAATTGCATTGGATTCTTGAGAGGAAAGCAGTGTGGACTTTTTGTGCATTCTGATTGTTGGAATCTCGAGTCCTTTAGCATCTTTCAATACATAAATATTCGAAAGAAGGACTTTCTCTTGAGAGAACATCTGAAAATAAGGTGTTTGCAATAACGTTTCAATTTCTCATTGTCCGTTTCATAAGTATAGGGCCACCCCTAAAATTGAATATATTGTCTTTCCCAAACAAAATACGAAGCCAGGACCTTGAAAATCGGATGCTGAATCCGGGGGGGGGGATGTTCGGGAAAGACGATATATTCAATTTTAAGGGTGGCCCTATACTTATGAAACGGAATGTATACCTGGAATTGCCAAAGTGCCCCATCGTCCACCTGGACCATGTAGTAGACATCCGGTAGAACTCCGAGAATTTCCAAGAACATGTCAGATGGATTTGGAGTGAATCCAATGATTTCGTTGAGCACAATGTTTGCAGTTCGGAACGGAGAAGGTTCGGCTCTCGAGTCCACGTAAACCAGGTTGCGATGTCTTCTGATCACAGCACTCGGACACTCCTTCAGATGAACCACTTTGTCTGGAATCTGCACTTCCACCGGAGGAAGTTCAATGTCTTCAGGTTCAAACGATCCGGCAGTCAAAGAAAACAGTTCTTTCTCATCCACATATCCCTTCACTTCGAATCCCTCGTCGTCCTCGTCTTTCGTAACAACCGTTTTCAGCCAAACAGGTTTCTCCAGGGTGATTTGTGTTGTTGTCAGATTCTGTACGGAGAATGGAATCTCGTTGCGCACTTTTAGTGCCTCGATGGCGATTTCCATAATAGTTCCAACATCCAGAGGTTTTCCCTTAAAGAATTGTGGATGTCTGAGTTCGGCTATTTGATTCTTCATAACCAGAGTGTCATCAGTTTCCTCGTCAACAGTTCCAATCAGATAATGGTCCACAATCTCTCCACGGTCTTCAAACCACAACGATTGTTTGTTGAACTGGTAGTTCGGGAGAGCAACAAACTGGTCGACTGGAGTATAGACCGTACTCCAGTCCAAATCATATCCAGTAACGTACAGATTGACAATCATTTTCAGCATTTCCATTGGGTTTTCAATCTTCGTAGATTCCGGTTGTGCTTGGTAGCATTTGATAGCAGGGCAGTTGGTGTTGTTGAGGTTTCGCTCCGCCAGTTCATTAAGAAGGCTTCCAATTGGCAGTTCAAGCAGGTTCTTGTCAAATTTGTCCCACTTCAACAAGCCGTCATTGAGTAAAACACCGAGCAACTCTTCTGAATCAGTGGCAACGACTTCAATATGTTCGGAAAGAGATGTTAGGAACTTGATGACCGCAAACTTCAAAGCGAACGATTTCGTATTCTTGAGTGCGGCAACAGTGTACATCTCATTGATGACGTCGTATTGGAGCAGACATGCATCAAGAAGGTCCTCTCCAATCTTGACACGGAATCTATTTTTTTTCGCAACACGTTGAGGCTTTCCGGCAACTTTAGACAAAACTCTTCCGGAACTCGATACGATTAGAGCGTTTCTAATTGGAAAGTGGGAACGGTTGTTGGCCAATGCACTTGCAATGCTGCTGACGGGCACATCTGTCACCGGAATGACAGAAAGAATCTGCTTCTCCAGTTGATCGAGAGAAGTTTGATTCTTTGCAGAAATCGGCAGAATATATTGCTTATGAATAGCATCGTATGGCTCCAGCTTGTTGTTATCGTTGAATGCAATGGCGGCCGCATTTGTACCGCTCACTCCGAACGAACTGATTCCAGCAGACACCAGATCGGCGTCTTCTCCAATGATCGGAAGTCTGATGCTTCCGGCATTGATATCTTTGTTCAAAACGTGGAAATGAATCAATGTCGGCACATATTGATAAGTGAGCATCAAGAACAGCTTGAGAAGGCCGCACGTTCCGGCTGAAGCTTCGCCGTGTCCGAGGGAAGCCTTGACCGAACCAATAAGGATGTTTTGCAAGATCGATGACAGCGTGTTGAACTCGATTGGATCTCCGAGCGGTGTGCCTGTTCCATGAGCCTCCCAGTAATCTATGGATAGCGACGGGCTTTGGTTGATCACATTAGTTAGCAACATTTTGTGAGCAACGCCGTTGGGAGCCGTCAAAGAGACACTGCGTCCGCCATGATTCACGTTCACTGATTGAATAGTGGACATGTAGTGGAAGTTTGGTTTTGCCAGTTCCAACATAAGAACGACACAACCATCAGAGCGACCGTAGCCGGATGCACGCGAATCGAAGCTCAACGACATTCCGTGCTGTGACAACATTTTTCCATTTGTACGAAGACCTTGTCCTAGAAAAAAAATTATTGGAATTTGATTTAGATTCTTTTAGTTTCACCTCTTTCATTCAGAATGAGATTGACACCAGCAACAATGACTCTGGAACAGCGGTTGTCGAGCAAAGCATTGATGGCCATTTCGAGAGCAACAAGTGAAGAACTGCAAGCTGTGTCGATGGTAACCGATGGACCTGCAAGAGAGAAATCAGATTATTAAAACACCTTTGAAAATGTTACCGTGACAACCGAAAACGTAATTGACTCTGCCAGCAATCACAGCTGCCATTGAGCCGAGCATAGCAAGAATGGAGGAAGACTCCATCATGTCCTGATACTCTTTCTCCATCAAACCGACGAAGACTCCGACATCGCTTGTCTCCGTCACTCCACTATTCTCCAGACACTCTTGAACACATTCCAACAGAATTCTCTGCTGAGGGTCAATCAACTCAGCCTCGCTTTTTGAGATTTTGAAGAAAGCTGGGTCAAACTGACTGACATCTTGTTGGATGAAATTGCCACCTTCCACCGGGTTTCCGTACTTTGTTCCTGGAAATGAATAGCAAACAGAAGTATTGTATGGATACATGGAAACTCACCTGATATTAAAGTATTTCTCGTTGGTACTCTCGTCGCTGGAATTCTTGAAGATGCATTCTTTCCTATCTTCAAAAGCTCCCAGAGTTCTGCCGGAGAAGCCACACCTCCAGGAAGTCGGCAAGAAGCTGCCATAACACCAATCGGACTTTGAGCCAAACGAGTCGGAGGTTGATCGTTAACTTCTTTCAGCTCTTTGTTAACTGCATCGTCTCCATCTTCATTTTCAACAGCAGTGGAGTTGTGGAGTGTGGACAGATATCCGGAAAGTAGTTGAATACTTGAATAGTCGAACACACAAGTCGAAGAAGCATCCGGGAAGTTTGATTTGATCGCATTCCTTAGTTTGACTGCCTGAATAGATGTGAGGCCAAGATCAAAGAATCCTGTAGTGTCATCAATATCCGTCCAACCAAAGTTTTCCTCAAACCACAAGTGTAACATGTTTCTTGCTTCCCGTTTTGCTTCCTCGTTCTCAACACTTTTTCGGATTTTGGAAGTGTTCACGGTTTTTGAGGAGACTGAAGGGGCAGATTGTCCAGTTAACCGCTTGAATGTGACATTCGCAATATGGAGAACGACATTTCCTTGATTGTCGTAGACTGTTGCGTCTCCAGTGATGAAGTTTTCGGAGGAATCATAGGTGAGCACAGCATGCAACAATTTCTCCGAAATCACACTGTGAACAATGGAAATCTTGTCAATTGTGAACGGTACAAATGCACTATAGTCATGAACGTTCTCCAAAAAGTAGCACATGACAATTGCTTGAAGTGTTCCGTCTATGAGAACATCCAAATCCTTGATTTCCACGAAACGGGCTTCTCCTTTACCAGTTGAACGCCGAATGGAACTGAGCATTTGGAATTCATTTCGGTACGTTAGTTGACTTGTTGAGAATCGTTGGTAGATGTCGTCAGTATAAAGTATCTCAGCTTGAAGTCGTTCGTCAGCAATTAAACCAACATTCTGCAAATTGGAGAAAGTGAAACTGATAGCGTCTTGCGCTCCGAACACCAAAGTCGCAATGTTATTTTCTTGTTTCATTTTCACAACGATCGGCAGCTCGGACGGAGTTATTTTGTTCAAAAAGTCGACATTGCTCAAAGCAACAGGATGTTTTCCGTTCAGCTCATGCACCAATCGGATGGAAGTTGCGCCCGGAAGTACGATTTGAAGGTCGACGACATGATTCTTCACGTGTTTCCAGGTTTCACTGCTGAGAAGGAACTCGTAGTCTCGGGGACCAGTGGCTGACTCCGACTTTTCGGGGATTGGGAGCCAGAATGATTTTCTGTTAAATGGATACTCTGGCAAGTGAACAATTCGTCCAGGTTTTCCAAAGATGTGAACAAAATCTATAGCTCCTCCTCGGATGTACTTCTCTCTGATGAATTCGTAATAGTTGGATATGGTTTGCAGAGCCTCAGCATCCAAGTAAGTTTCATTCGGACTGAGGATCAACGTGTCTTCAGGAAGACGTGTGTTCTTCGGTTCAGTTTCAATCGCTGCTTCTACTGCTTGCCTGGCAGTGGTAATGGCTTCTCCCTTCAAATTCAGGATTTCAATGTTCTCAATTTGAATGGTGACATCTCGAGCAATGCGCTTCATCATTCTGATATCATTGTTGACAAATGCATGCAGAAGGTCATTGAGGTAGTGTGAAGGAGCCGCATCGATAGCAGCCAGCAGGACCAGACTGTTCGACCCGGCGACGGCAAATGATTTTGTGATTTTGTGGCAGATCATCATTTTCAAAAGCGCGTACGTGACTGCTAGCAAGTGATACGTAGACTCAGTGTCGGAATGTGGTTGAAAGCGAAGACGGTTGCAGAATGTGGAGTAGTTGTTTTCGAATTCAGGAATGTTACTGAAGAAGGATGAGCAGCCAATTGAGTGTGGTGAGGTAGAAACATGCCAGTTAGTGAATGTTTTTTTCTCTTCCGTGGTAAGGATTCTAAAATAAACATTTATATGGTGTTAAGCTACACAATATACTTACTTTTTAAGATTCTGCACAACTTGTGAGTGGTTGCTTCCTACGACCGCATTTCTCCATTTGAAATTGGTTTTTTGTTTTTGCAAAGTAGTCGAAATGTCATGGAGGCTTTCATTTGTGTTGTCGATCATTTCAATAAGAGATGAAATTGCCTTTTTGAGTCCATCCTTTGTTTTAGCACTAACCGGGAACAAGAAAAAGTTAGGAGTGGAAAGTTTCTCATTTGGCTCAATCTTTTCTGTAGTGACAACGGTTTTTGTGCCCGTGATTCCAAACGAAACAATCGCAGAACGGTCAATATCACATTCTTCCGAGACGAAAGGAAGACGAATGTTATCATTGTGTCTTAAAACACGAGTAGAATGTAACGAGCTTTCAAATGAAACATACCGGATGTGCTCGTTTGGTAAAAAGTTGTGAACTATAGCAGGAATGATTCCGTATTTGGTAAGCGATGCAACTTTCATGAGTTGAATGAGTCCAGACGCGACTTCGCAATGACCGAATTGAGCCTGAGATAAGTGCGTTCCAACTAATCCAGTAATTTCTAACTTGACTCACTTTCACAGAAGACATCACCAACTCCTGATCCAATTTCTGGTAAGCCAATGACTCAGCACTATCCCCAGCAATAGTTGCAGTTCCATGACCTGATATTACACGTTTTTGAGTTTTATTTCATCAAATCTAAATTCACCTTCAACATAAGAAATATCACCGACATCCTCCAGAAGTTGTGAAATGGCACTCACGACTGGTGTGATAACTGCACCACAATGATGGGTCTTTGCATGGGAAATTCGAATTAGAGCCAAATCTTCTGGTTGAGCAGCTTTAAGAATAATAACACCGACACCATCAGAACGACAGAATCCGGTTCCATCGACCGAGAATGACTTTGTGTTATGGTGATCCAAAAGTGTTCTAAGGGAATATAGCCATTTCGAGGATTGAATCAGCTGACTTGTAGCAACAACTGCGTATTGCTTTCCTACAATTGTTAATGTTATTAGAACCGGCAGGTATTTTTATTAAGACCTTCTCTGATAGAATTCACAGCCATCTCCAAAGCCGTTGCAATAGATGAACACGTCGTATCTACCAGAATAGCTCTTCCGCGAATACCCATAAGAGCAGCAAGTCTGCCAGCGGCCATGCTGTGCACAGTTCCCATCCACAGTCTTTCGTCAAGCTCTTCCGCGTGCTTCTCAGCCATTGCACGATACTCCGAGTGAGAACTGATGGCCAAGAACAGATCCGCATCTGGAACAGCAGAAAGCCCCGCTTTCTCGAGAGCATTGTAGGCAGAATGGAGTAGAAGGCGATGTTGCGGGTCCACGAATTCAGCTTCGTCTTTTGCAATGGAGAAGAACGAATTATCGAACAGAGAAATGTCATGTTTCAGCAATCCGACTTCTAGACCAGAATCTCCCTCGCATTGCTTCCTTCTGGTCTCCGAAACTGTACCGGTGACTAATTTAGACGTAAGAAGAGTATCCCATAGCTCTTTTTCTCCATCCACTCCGGCAAACATGAAGTCGGATGAGATGACATTCACACCTGTTGTCGTAGAAGAAATCGACCTCTTTTGAGCTACGGACATTTTTGGTGTTGGTGCCGATGCGACAAGAGTTTTGAGATAATCAATGATGTGTTGAGTAGTCGGATGGGTTTCCAAAAGATCAAACGGCATAGTTTGTCCAACAGCAGATCCAAATGCTTCTACCATTTCGATTGACGTCAGCGAGTCGACAGCGCCCGTCTCCAACAAATTGACATCATTTTCTTCAATATCTAAGAATCTTTTCACAATTTCTCGCACTGATATGTCGATTTCTTCCGGACTGAGACCGCTGGAAATCTCATTCTCATTGTGACCAGATACCGCTGTCGCAGTTGTTGCTGATGTCAACGGCTCTGGCCAGAATCGTCTCTTGAGGAAAGCGTATCCAGGAGTTTTGACAATCTGTCCTCGGAATTTGATAGCTGGATCGAATCCTGACGCAAACAACTGACAGTTTAGTTTCTGAACCTTTCTGATAGGATCCAGCTCTGCGACTTCTTCTCCATTCACTTTGAACGTCATCAAGTTTGGAAGAGCAGTTGCGCTCAACTCTCCACTGATATAAGTTGGGAGAACTTTTTTCACAGAACTCTTAATATTTTGAATCTCAATCGGAATCTTCGAAGACTTCAAATCAATGCCTGCCAAAATGTCGGAGATGTTTACTTCAGCGACAACTCCCTTGATTAGTTGAACAGCCTGTTCGAAAGTGACGACTTTGGCGGCGGCCAGACAGAATATCTGACCCATCCCTCTTCCTCTCAGTTTTTCAGGAAGAGTATTGTATTGAACGAGAAGTTCAAAAGTGGCCATGCTCGAAATGAGGCGCGACACATTGTAGGTTAATGGAGTGAGTGTGAGTTTGAAAGGGAAGAAAAGGGCAGTTCTCGCTTCTGGAAAACCACACGATTCTGCTAATTTGCAGTACTTGTCGACGGCCGAGTGGAATGTCTCGTTTCTCTCATACAACATTCTCAGCAGCCACAGCTTCTCATTTCCCTCTCCAAACTCTACTTCGAAAGTTCCTTCGTTTGAGTTTGTCAGAGAATAATCTCCTTTTCTCAGCTTTTCCGCCATTTCCTCTCTATTTTTTCCAAAAACTGCCGCACGTACGTCATACTTAGTCTTTCTCTCATTAACGGTGTAGAGAATGTCATCGAGGGAAGAGTCCGACTGCTCCAAAAACTCGGCATACTCTTCTATTTTCAACTTCAGTGACTCGTGGCTCTTGGCAGACAAGAAAAGAACTTTGGTCTCTGCATATGACTGCCCTTGGGCTACAATTGGCTCCGTCTTCTCGAGAATCGCGCACGCATTCGTTCCTCCAAATCCATACGAGCTAATTGCTACCCTCTTCAAATCCATTTCCTCGTTCACAAACACCATCGACTTCTCATTCCCCAAATCTTCGGAAGCCAGTTGAAGGTGCAGTTGGTTGGGGATAATGCCATGTTGCATGGAATAGAGAGATTGAAGGACGCCGATAAGCCCCGCGGCTCCTTCTCCGTGCCCCATTGAGCTCAAAACAAGTAGATTAACACTTTGTTCATTCGCGCGCGAAAACTTACCTTTTAGGGCTCATGACTTTGATATCTGGCTTGAAAGACGTTTTGATGGCGGTCAGTTCAATTTGATCGCCAAGTTTTGTTCCAGTTCCATGGCAAGTAACCAGTTGAACTGTTTGTTTATCAATATTTTTGAGCGCTTCCAGTTGAACCTGTAAACAAAGCCTAAGATGAGAACAGCTGAAATCTCCACCTCATATTGAGAAATTGGATTTGGAGCAGTCAGCGAGGGAGTTTTTCCATCGCTGTTAAACGCAGAACCGATACAGTCGCAATGGACTCGCAGATTGTTTTCTTCCGCGAATTGTTTTGAGCAAAGAACGGCAACAGCGAACGACTCAGCTCGGACGAATCCGTTTGCAGAGCGGTCGAATGCAGCAAGGCGGCCGTTTGGAGAAACCATGTGAGAATTGTAGAGAGAATGGAAAGATCTGAAAGAAACTGTCAAAAAAGCGCGTCGAGGTTCCTTTCATACCTCGATCCCACATGATTTGCTCCACAGACAAGAGCAAGTTTTGTTTCACCGCTAAGAATAGCTTGACGCGCTAGATGAAGAGCAACGAGAGAAGAAGAGCAAGCAGTTTCGATTCCGACGGCAGCACCACGAGAGTTCAAGAAGTAAGTGATTCTTCCGCACATGACACTGGCAGAGTTTCCAGTAGCCATGTACTGATCTGGCGGCAGAAGGTCTTTGTAGTCGTAGCACCAAGCAGCCGTGTAGACCGCGACACGAGCTTCCGAGGCCATTTCAATGGTAATTCCGGCATTTTCCAACGCGAGGATCACACCTTGCATCAACATTCTTTGCTGTGGGTCCATGCAAATGGCCTCCGACTCTCCAGTCTTTAATTTTCAATTTTCTAATTTTAAAAAACAACTCTTCCTAATCCTACTCCAAAGTATTGATCATCGAAACAGTCAATCCCATTAACCAATGCAGCTTTCACATCCGGATGTTTCTCGCGAAAGTCGGCAAGGTAATGCTTATCCGCAGGCAGCGGAGCGATGTTGTCTCTGTATTAGTTTGCTTCACTCATTCTCAAAGAATAAACTAACCTATTCAAAAAGACATTCTCAGCCATATCGTGACCGTCCTCACCGTTCGGAACCTTTGCCCAGCTTCCAACCAGGCAAACACTCATCTTTTCCGATTCTAAAAGAAAGAAGTAAAGTTGCTACCGCCGAAAATGTTCGAGAAAGTGAGCCTAGACTCGATTATTGTTGCAAACGCGCTCACTGAATTTGAGCCTATTAGTGCCTGTTGACATCTATTCCACACACTATAACATCAGCCAATTTCGAGCAGAACACTTGCTCAACTGGCGCTGTATATATTATGTACCTCGAGACTTGGGAGCGGCAATAAACGGCATCATGATTCTCTGAAAAGTGAGACTCCGATGTTCTCACATCCATTTTCTCGCCTTTATATACTGCTGCAAGTCTGGAAAAAATGAGAGTGCATTCCAAAGTGCAGCCAATTCGTTCGTCTGTTCTCGTCTCAATGTTGCGTTGCGTTTCTCGAGAATTGCAGCCAATTCTTGCCGTTTTTTTTTGCCGCGCGCCTAAATATCGTACACATTCAGCTCCCCGTTTTTTTTCTATTCCAATCCGCTATAGTGCGCGAAATAAGCTTAGGACCTCCCTTAATTTTGAAAGTTCTGACGAAACGAGAAGAGATATCAGAAATGTGTGAATGCCATTCGATTTGGCATACGAAATAACCCTCGGAGCCAATTTGAACTCACTTGAAAACAATTTCGTACTCACACATCATCAAAAAAACGTTTTTTCGGCCGGGAAATAAGTTTAGGACCCCTCAAAAATGATAAACTTTTCTGGAAAACTGGCGATTTAAGAGTCAACACGTATTGCAGAATTGTTGAAACTACAGAAAAAAACATTTAGATATCATCCGGCTATCTGGCAATTACTGGCATTTTCGTTTTGGTTGGTGCAAAAACAGTGAATTTTGAAGCAAATCGACTTTCAACGAGCATAACTTTGTTGAAACTTCTTTTTTTCTCACCAGACTCGAACAAAATGTCATTAATAACATTGATAATAAGGAAAAGGTTTTGGTGTCTGTGGTCTTAGAATAAAAGGTACTTCCTTGGGGTTCTACGAGCTGGTCACTGTTAAGTACTGGAAACGAGGTCTAAAAATAAAGTCTCCGATAGTTCAGATATGTACAGATAATGTCAAAACTCTATTTTTAGTTATTTTACATGATACTGATAGCAATTTGGTCCATGATTTTACCATTTTAGTATTTTTTCATGGGGGGTCCTAAACTTATTTCCCGGCCGGAAAATGTTTTTTTGATGGTGTGTGAGCACGAAACGTTTTCGGATGAACCCAAACAGGCTCTGGCTGTTATTTTACATGTAAAATCGAATGGCATTCACAGATTTTTTATATCTCTTCTCGTTTTGTCAGAACGTTCAAAATGTATGAATAGTCATGCACTCTCATCGCTTTCTTCTAATCTCTCTTCGTCGAGCTCATCTCGCGTGTTTCGTTTCCTTGGTGACTTGTCTCATTCCACTCGTATCGATCATCATCTCTCGGTCTACTGGCTGCTGCAACTCATCCCCTCCCCCCTATCCTCTACCCTTTCCGCTCCCCTCAATCTCCTTTCGCCTTCTGTTCCCCCTGCCCTTTTAGGCTAGCGAAAATTGCATTTCCGTCCTAAAAAGCGCGTGGAATCGTCAACAATGCGCATTTGGCGATAGCGTTTTGGAATGAGAAGTGCGGCGTGTGCGAGTGAGCGAGTGCAAGAACAAATTTATTCCATCTAATTAGTGCTAATATTGGCCGGGTGAATCGGCTCAGAAACACATTTACGCAAGAAGTGACATGCGTTTGTCGGCCTTTTCTCTGGGCCTGGGAATAAGGGAGTGCGCATGAGAGTGTGTGAGAGAACGACCGACAAGAAGGGCATTGCAAGTTCGCCCCAGTGTACACTTTTTTAAGAACGTTTTTTTCTTCAATCTATCTGTCGGTTGTGTAAATCCAATTTTCTTCTTCATCTTCATTTTCTTTCTGCTCGATCATTTTCTGAACAAACACTTTTGAAGGCGCGTTTTCATCCGCTTGGAACATTCTTTTATTTGTTTTTCCACCGATACTGCACGCAAAAACTTTTTGTTTCTCATTGTCCCTCGTGAGGTTCTTTAAATTACGTGCCCCTGATTTATGAAATTCAAAGACAGAGGAGAAACCGACTAAAAAACGAGGAAAGAGTAAGAGAGAGAGAGAGAAATAGAAAGAGACATTTGAAAGAAAGTGGATGAAATTCCGGAAGTTTTGCCATTTCCCTCCTTGTCTGCTCACTCCTTAGCTTCAATTCACTGAATAATTGTCGTAGGGTGCGCCACTCTTTCAGGCGAGCAAGCAAAGCGTCTGGATTCTGACTGACTGTGTCACATGCGTCCCTTTTCTAATCTTTTCTCTTCTTTTGTTGTCAAATTGGTCGGTTTCGCTGAAGGTGTCACCGAGCGAATGTATCAGGTCGGCAGCAATCAATTATGAAGCATACGAAGAAGAACATCTGCTATATTGGTTGTCGGGCGTACGCACACGAGCCTTTCCGCCGGCCCTGCTAACGTAAACGACTCGCTTCTCCACTTCCCTTTCTTTTTCTCGTTTCTCTCCTCTCATTTCGTGTATCCCTTCTGTCGCTGCCAAACTTTTCCCGATATCCTAGCTTGCCCGTCGTGGCCCCACGAAGAAACTTTTCTAGCAACAGTTGTCTCCTTTTTTTTCTCTTCGGAATGTTGGGTTCTTATGATCAAAGTCGAGTGATATGATCAGCACTCTTTCGTACTCTCCTCTTTTTCTCTGCTTCTCTTTTCATCAGTCGACAGCGATAAAATCAAGTTTGATTACTTTTTTAGGTAATTCCGCGCAACAAAAACCGGTAATGACAAGCGAAAAAGAACTGACGGTCTCAACAAAGGTCCTTATGGGCAATGGAAAGTTCCGCGAGTTCCGAATGCCCGGGACCAATACATCGGAAGCCAATCCGCTTTGGACTAATAGGCGTTAGTTTCGCAAGCACCGCCAAATTAGCTAATATCATCTTGTTTAGACGAAGTGGGCAAACGTATCTCAGAGGTCATGCTGAAGAAGAGGTCAGAGATCAACAGTTGTAAGAAACTAATAACACTACTCGAGAAGGCAATTCGATATCGTCTCCCCATCCCATTTTCAATGTTTCATGTTTAGAGTTGTGATAATTGGAAGAGCGTGGCGAAGTTGATCAACAGATCGAATGAAGACTTCTTCCTCACGGCTCTCAACGGTTCTCAAGAAGCTATTGATGCATTCGAAAAAGAAAATTTTTCAAAGTCCAACAGGTGAGCACTTAGTGACTAATCGAATCAAATGAAATACAATTACAGCTGGACACAACTCAAAGACGTGTCGGAGCTAACGGGAGAAGAGCGAATGTATCTGTTTTCAATAATTGAAAACGGCGACGACGGTAGAGATCATTGAACGCTTATTTTGGAACTATCGGTTATGAGTTTCAGATGAGGACATCACCTTTTTCACAAAACAGTCGAGCCATTACGAGTGGATGTGTCATCAAACGAACGACGTTGCGATGGAGCAGAGCGCCAGCGCCGACAAAACCGACAGGTTTGTGTTATTTTTTTGTTTGTTAATATCTCAAATCCCCTCTGACACCGAAGTTACATTTATTTTCCGTTTTGGAAACATTCATCTGTCCTTCATAACATTTTTGCAGCCATGATCATGTTATTCGAGAGATGGAAAACGCGGCCGATTTGCTTGCCTGCAACAAGCAACAAACGGTCAAGGACGAAAAGTAGGCGCCTTCTTCTTCTGCAGGAAATTGACAACATTCGTTTTCGCTTTTTTCAGGACAGCCGTTCTCACCGAAATAAAAAAGATTGACACCACTCCCGCCGACGAAGTAAAACAGGAAAGTTGTTCGACGGATGTCGTGGAAACGCCTACACTCACAAAAGTTGATGTTGTCTTCTCGACGCTTCAAAATGGCGATGCTGTTGAAGGTGTCTCGTCAGCTGAGGAATCCACGCCGGCTGCACCTCAAGAGGCCAAGGACAATGCAAGTGTGAGTATCCCGAAAGTATCCGTTCCGCAACCAAGTGCTCGTGTTGCCAATGCACCCGGAGAGAAGCCAGATGTGGTCTCGAAGGTGAAGCCAGCAAAACGCAACAAATTCAAGCGACAAAAAGACGCTTCCGCTGCCAAACTGCCTGAAAATAGTCAGATAAATTACCTCACTGAATCTTCACCGACCAACACCAAATCCATTCCGAATACGATCTCAACTCTCCAATTAAGTCCAATTATCATATCAAATAATCAAGTCGACGGTAAGGAACCGCCGGCCGAGGCTCCGATCGAGCCAAACGAGTCGCGCTCACTTCAAAAAGAGCCAAGCGAGAAGAAAGAAGAAATTGCGATCAGCAGTACTGAGATTACGGAATCGCAGCCCAATGACAGCAATGGAGCAGTTGCCACCGAATCCAATGCTAGACCGAAGACAAAGTTCAACGTTGATGCTCCCGCGTTCCAACCGGCCAGAAAACTCGTTTCAATCCCGGAACCTATTTCAAGTGATGAGCCTACTTCGGACCTTTCTGTCTTGGAACAGCCAAAGAAACATATGGCTGACCCCAGCGGCTTCTCAAGGTTGCGGTAAGCTTATCGTAATCTACCTGGTTTACAATTCTTTTTTTCAGACTGACTTCCGGCTCGTCGTCAAAAGATGATGAGCCTGAGTCAACTCCAGTTGCGCAGAAAAAGTTTGAGAACATTTGGGAGCAGAGAGCTGCCGAAAGAGAACAGAAACAGAAATTGATGGCTGACAAGTAAATGGAACGATATTGTTGAGATTGGCTACATTCTAACTTTCAGGACTTCTTCGCGCTCCTCACAAGAGTCCACTTCCCGTCAATCTTCTGTTTCGATATGTTCCGCTTCTCAATCCGTCATTCCGCCTGTTCAGAACTTAAAAACCAACTCAGTAAATGAACCTGTAACTCCAGAGCCTCAGGGAAATCAAAACGGTAACGGAGTGCCGCAAAAAGGGAAGAAGGAGGCTTCAAAGCAACCAGCAAAAAAGATCGATTCGAATGGATGGATCACTTTGAATACGAAGAAAGCAACTGCAAAAGAATCCGTCTTGATGCAACTAACCGAAGCACCGAGTGCCAGCAGCTCGAGTTCCCGGCCCGCCAAGAAAGAGGCAAACCAACCGACACCATCTCAGTTGTCTCCTGCGCTGTCAGGTTCTCCGAGTACGGTCACTGAGAAGAACGGGAAACAGGAAGTGCCCATTCCCTCAACAGCCGAATCATCCCAGCTGGACAAAGAGACTTCCCTGACGTAAGAACCTTTTTTTTTTAAGCTCACCAATAATATCTCGTTTCAGAGAACAAGAGAAAAGAGCGAAACGACGACAACGAGTGCAAGAGAAAACGAAGCAAGAAGCAAAACTGAAGAAGGAAGAAGATCAGAAAGTAAAAGAACAGAGAACGATCGAGCGTGATAAGAGGATAGAGGAGGAGAAGAGGATGAAAGAACAGAGAAAGAGGGAGAGGTACGAGCGGCAGAGACAGGAAATTGCCAGAATAAAGGAGGAGAGGGAAGCACAGGCAAGACCGAAACCGAGTCGTGAGTGTTTTGAACGTAGTAACCGAAATGGCAATCATTTTTCAGTTGGGCGTTTCAATGAGATGGTCGATTGCAAGCTTAGAGTGAGCACGCATGTCAAGGAAAAGTCACTTGACTGTAAGAAATACAGAAAGTCTGAGGTTGAAAGTGATATTCTTTCAGATCGTTTAATTGGTTCCAAGCTTTACATTGAAAAGCGACTGCAAGAAATTACACCAGAACATGATGACAACCTGGAAATCAATATGAAGAAAGGACGCATCCTTATGAATTACCGAACACGAATTGCAAACATCGAGGCTATGAACTGCTTCATGGTCTTTGTCAATCACATTGTAGTTGACAAAATCTATCCGATTAAACTGGCGGACCTTCTTGAATACCTTCATAACAAGAGCCATAGCATTCCGAATGGTGAGCATATAATATAATCCTGTTTTTTTTGCTAAGCAACAGTCTTCAGAAACCAAAACTCCACTCCAAAGACGAATTTATGACAGCTATGAAAAGTTCTATTTGGAAAGACAACCAAAGGATAGCGGTGAGAGACAACTCCATTCTTGTTCGTTTCTATTGTTGCAATTTCAGAAAATATGGCTCAGGCTATAAAATTTACCGAAGGAGTATTAGACCGTATCGCCAAAGTAAGTTCAACAAACACAGTTGAATTGAACGAAAACGTTTCAGATGGGCGCTGACCTGAAGGAGGATATGAAAAAAACAAAACAAATACTGATAGACTACAAAAAGACGTACAACAAAACTATGAAAGCCATCAACACTTGCTCCTATTTGCTGACTCGCGTTGCTGGAAAAATGTTCGTTGTGGAAGAAGATTATCTATTGACAATCCACGCAAACAACGGAGACGATTTCGATGAGAGCGATGTGTCGGAGGAGGAAGTCGGCCACGAAAGTAGCAGCCGGAACAGTTCGGAGATGAATGGTGAAACCCGTGTGATGCAGGACACTTCTTGCCAAGCTGAATTTGATTCCTTCGACTGTGATGTTCGAGCAGCGTCATACTTGCCAAAGAGCAATTAGAATAACATTTCACATCCTATCTTCATTCCGCTCATTATTTGTGTTTTTTCCGATATTGACAGCAGCGAAATTGAACCACTCATCCGTTGATATTTATGTTTTCTAATACCAAATGAATCTATACTAATCCCCCATCACTTTATGTTTTTTCTCTTTTCGAAGCCGGCTGCTGTTCAGACCGTTGAATATCTCTCACGCTTATGACTCTGTTGAGATGAATTTATGTTCTAGCGTCAATACTCAGAAGGATGGAAATGGAGAACAACACTGATACAACGGAACAGGTACATACGTGGTTTTTAGATGTCTTAACGTCAAACTGGTAACTTTGCAGGTGTTCTTCATACAATTTAATGGTCAAATTGATAATCAAAACTATCGAGCATTCCGCGTCCGTTCAAACAATCTCGAGAGTAGTCCCGATAACAAAAAATTAAACGGAAAAGTTACTGTAGGCATTAAGCGAGCCATAGAGCATCATAATAATCAAATCAAACAATTGGAGGAAGCAATTCGTCACCACCAACAGGTTAACCGAAAAGTTTGAAATGAATTTTAGCGTAGTTGTGATTCAGATGAAGAAGAAATGGACGTCGATGGAAACTGCTGCCAATCAGTACAACAAAATCTACTTAGAAAAGATATTGGCTGCAGAACAGGAGTGTATAGACACATTTGAGAACGAGAACTTTGGAATGGATTGCAGGTACGTCTCAGAAAATTAATAGTTGTATAGTTTGTGTTTTGAGTTGGGCGACATCAAAGAAAGCGAAGAATAGCGGGGAAATGAAGACAGTTCTCTCTTCCATCATATTGTTGAATCGACAAGGGGTGGAAATATCGTCGCCTGTGTCGAAACGCAAAGACTTGCCAGCTACTGAACATTCCAATTCATTATCAGTCGCCAGCTTGCCAGTCATTCAATATCCACCACCTACGAACCTAGATCCAGACTTGAATAGGAAACCGGACAAAAAAGAAGACCAAGAATCAAAGTACATAGGGATGATGATAAATAAGAAAACACTATTTTACTTTCAGAGAAGCAACGAAAGATGTGCCGGGTCAGGCAGAGCAGCTCCCAGAAACTGGTGTTCGTTTTGCGAAGCTATCAAATGCAGACAAAGCTCCTTACACAAGGTTCGTTTTCGAGTAAAAAAGTGAGACACAGAATACATAGTTTCAGAAACCAGAACCTTCTCCAGAGACCGAGAGAAGATCCAGAAGTTGCTGAGAGAAAAAGCTTATTTTCTGATGAACAAGAAAGTGAGGAAAGTGATGAAGAAAAGGAGTGCAGTGCAGAAAAGTATGCATTTGTTATTAGTCGAGTAGAATAGAATACATTATTCGTTTAGATCATGTCAAACAGCAGGCTCAGAAGAATCGAAGTTGGAAAGAGCTAACAGCAGTTTGGGAAGTTGTGACTTGGAAATGGTAGCTGAATCGGCATCGTGAGTACAATTAGGTTTCAGACAATGAGATAAGTGATTTTCAGGGAAACATCTCTTTCTCGTCAAAGTGGTACCTCCAGCAGGTCGAACGGGGGTCAGAAGAAGAAAGGGAAGAAAGGAAAGAAAGCTCAAAAAGGACCAAAAATGACTTTGGAGGAGATTGAAGCTATCAAGAAAAAGAAACGAGAAGAGAAAGACAAGGAGTACGCGAAGAAGCAGGAAGAGATGCAAAATCACCTGGACAAAGTGCAGAAAAGTGACAGACATCGCATTCACAGAAGACTCGCTGAAACTGCTCTGGAAATTCTGAGGCAAGGGAGCGGAATTCTTCCGAAAGAGATTCAAGTGTTGAATGATCATTTGGATGACTTTGTGATGAAAACTAGCCGAACGGAAATGTTCAAACTCCGGAACGACTACTTGGAAACGCGAGTTGTTGAGATATCACGAGTTTGTTACAATCCTTGCGAGACTTTTTCTAAATTCTCACATTTGCAGACATTGCTAGGCTCAGAGCTTGCTGCTAAAATGGAGCTAATGCGAATGTACCATGATATCATTATGCGGACAGCAACGCTCCAGGATTATCTCATCTATCTGGCTACTCTCGACCCCAGAGGTGAAGAGTATAGGAACTTTGAGCTTCGAACAATATCGCTATACATGAATGGGTATGAGGACGGTAAGTTGACTAACTAACTAAAACGAACATGAGTTAAATGGGTACTTCTTTCCAGAAGATGAACTCGAAAACTTGAACATCAAAGACAACTTTCAAGCGTTTAAAGACGCTGGTCGCACTCAAATTCCTGACGAACGTACGTTTACTATTTTTTCTTATTCAATCTCAGTCTGCAGTGTTTCTCTTTCAGAAAAATGGCACACGTCAAATGAATTCACTTTGTCACGAGTTATGGCATTCCGTCGGGTAATATTCATTCCATTAAAGTATCTAAGTAACCAAAACCGTTGCGATTTCAGATGGCACAGATATCAGAACTGTCAAACGATGACAATTTTTTAAAAGAGACCTACTTGGCGATGGGCCAGTTGCTGGAAGTATTCAATCAATGCACAAATGTGACAGCATTCCTTCAAAGTAACAGAGGCAACGTACAATTCAGTTTGATGGAAGCATGGTTCCTGGAATCAAGGAAACCGGCTCCACTCGATTCGGAAAACACATATTGAATTGACTCTACATATGTATAATTTTTATTTTCATTTATTTTCTTGAATGGCATTATACAACTTTCTGGTGCTAACTTTACACCGGTTCTCTGAAAATTGTTTTTTCTGTGTATTTGAATTTTAATGAGTAAACAAAGGGTGGTAAATGATAACTCGAAAGACAAGTCAAAGGGAAATTGTTCGGAAAAGTAAAACAAAAATTATATTCGGAAAAACATAAGCATCAAGGAGACTTTACGTCCACGTTTTCTTGCAGGAGCTCCTTGTGCTTGGAGGGCTTGAGCGGACACCGCGGGTGCTCCTCTTCTGCGGCTACCGTTTGCTGTTGAATCATAGATGGCATTTTCTGAAAATTGGTATTTGGTAAATGTGTGAAAAATGAGATGACGAGGCGACAGCAACCGTGTCGACTGTGGTTTCGTCAAGAAAGTGGGATATGTCACGAAACGAGCGCTGCTCACGGTTTGAGGTGATGTCGCCTCGCCCTCATACATAGAATCTATGTCCGTGTTATCTCTTGTTTACTGTTTGTCCTGCATGTAAATTTTATTATATTTAATTCAGTCTCTCATAGAATCTATGTTTGTGTTATTGTGGCTAATTTATTCAAATAGCTGTATCTATATGAATGCGCAATCAAGTCCGCTCCCTCTCTCTCCTTGTCTCTCTCTCTTTCTCTAATATAAGATTTCTATGAATTCTTCTAATTTGGTCTTTCCTGTCCTATTCTTTACTAATTTGTACACAAGATTCATCCAATTATCCAAACTTCCGGTGTAAACTTCTATTTCTCCTTATTTCTTCTACTTTGATTCAAATTCCAATCTCGATTCAATCTATCACTATGCGCTTCCGTGTGATTGTGGATCGTAGCCAAACTATTGCTCAACGCCCGTATCGCACCAAGTGGGACACGTTCAAGCTCTGGGCCGTTCAGTTGGTGAGTGAATTTCTTTTGAAAATTCTGAAAGGAAAGAATTCTACCTATCAGTCATTTGGTTTTTGAGGAAATGTTGAATTTCATTCACTGCTAATTTTTGTTTTTGTCACATGGCTTTAGTGCGTTCACTCTCCTGTTTCTGTTTTTGACTCATGTGGCTAAACAATACTTGTTATTAGATGAGCAGAAAACTTTATCACAAGCGCTACAGTGCTTAATATGATATTAAGTTTCTGATTTCAGCACGAAGACGGATGTCTCTGGCGCTTCGCAGTGGTCGTTCTCATCCTGATCCTGCTTCTCCTCGTCTTCTTCCTTCCGCTTGCCCTTCACAGCCTAACGTAAAACGACCTGATCCCTCTGTTCCTGATCCCATCCTTGTTTGCTTTTTTGTTTCGCAATTGTGAGAAATCACGAGAATAAAGATATTTTTAAATCTCAATCCAACCGCCCATTTGATCAGAAGCGCTCCGGCTCAAACTCCAAAACGAGTGTGTCATACATTCCGTGCGTAACCACACAATTTTTTCGGGACAGAACCCGCCCCAAAATCTGAAATCCGTGGGGACGCTCTGATTGTGAAAACGACGGCGCGGAGAATGAGAGCCTTCATTCACCTTCTCACGAGGTTGCTGTGCACACGCTCTCCTTCCCCGTCACCCACTTCGAGCTTCACCGACATAATGGTGGAAATTATCCAAGTTCAACCCGTCAATCCGGTGAGCCCCACTCCTCCGAACAACGATAAGTTCTGGACCGGCAAAGATTTAAAGAAGTCAAACTTCTTAGTTCCGACGCACGAGACCTGCGGCCGCCAGGTTATCCTCTGGATCAAGAAGCACAAAGTGAGTTTTCTTGGATACCTCCTACAGCTTAAGAGGGCGGGGAAGATACTTTGTTAGCGTTTTTTTCTGTAGTTTCGTTTGCGAAATGCGAGAACTGATTGGCTTTGCGATTTTTTGTCATTCAATTGCTAAAAATCTCGGTTTCAAAACATTGAGAAATTGCAAAGCGTCCGTCTGATTGCTCATATTTCTTCAGTGGCCTCTCTCGATCATCGCTGTCCTCCTCGGCATTGGAGTCATCGTCGGTGTGATCGAGTTCATGGTGGTGAAAAAGACGAACACCTAATTTCAACCACCACCGACTCTTCTTCCCATCTGGCACGTTACGAGAACTTTTCAATGATTTTATTCTTCAAAACCATATACCTCTCGCCTAACTTTTTGAAACCCAATTCAAAATTTTTCTGCAAATGACGTGCGTGACAAACCAAATTCCTCAAGTCTCTCGATTAGAAAGTGAATTCGCCTTCTTTGTATTTCTGTCCATTCATGTCAACACTTTATCATCGTCATCCTGATATCTGACTAATTTTAACGGAAAAGTTATACTATTGTGAATTCTGATAATAAAGGACTTTGCTCAGAAGCCAATCTTCTTCTTTATGCAAGAAATATGACTATTCCGAAGATAAAAGTACAATTATTGTGAGCGATACAACGAGATGATACGCAGAATATGTGACTGATTACAAAATAAATGTGTACTTTCACTTAATAAAAAAACATAATGTGGCAGAAGAGTGATTCACATTTTGGAGAAGGACGACATCTAGCTTTGCAAGTTATAATGTTACTGTATACCTGAATGACCATGTAGCATGTTGCATCTTGTTAACGTAAAAAATTCGTGGAATCTTCATTCACATCTAAAAACGTTAAATGAACATTAGGAAATGTTTTTCATGTTATAACAATGTAACACGCAACACGGTCATTCAGGTCATTTCACATAGCGTTATACTTATACGCCAGTGAAGAAAAGAAAAAGAAAATTGATAAAAAGTCAAAAGAAGAGCATGGTTCTCAAGAAGATCTGAGATGGTAATTAAGTTAAAAAAAGAGTTCCAACGGTTTGAGTGTGACTGAAAATGGATAATTCTGTCAAACTAGAGAAACTATCACAGATTCAGTAACAATCATTGATGGATCTATTTTAGTACTCATAAAGATGAATTCAAATCAATCTCAAAATTAAAGTTTTATTCAGGTAGCCTCATCTTCCACTATTGTAAAATTGATTCGAACTGGTGATCCAATCTGACGCAGCTTTCCAATCGCGTTTTCCAGATGCATGATCACAAATATCAATGTTTTTTGTATGCAGCGCCTATGTAGTTTTGAAAATATGCGAAAAAGTGAAGTGAACCTGTAAAATTTCAAGACACATAGCATGATTCCGACATTTTTCCTCCATTTGGCCGTTGATAAGAAAACCAACACGAGCGTAGCGTTATCTGTTGTTCGGTTAGAAACTGCAGTCTATCAACTGACTATTAACTCTTTCTGCCAGCATATTGATAACCTGCCATTTTGAAGCAACGTGCTCTTTCTCTCGGCCAATTTTATTGCCCAAAACTCCCGAATAGTAACCGTTTTCTTCAGATTCTTTGGGTAAAATGGCCAACCGCGCATGCGTTTGTCAGGTGTCGGCCGCCATCATTTTCCTAATTGGATTGGGTTTGCTGGTAGCCGGTTTGGTTGTGGTCCTCGGAGTTTTCCCCAACATTGTTCACAATCAAATCAATGACGTACGTGTTTCGGCATGGTTAACTCTAGAAAATATCAAATTTTCAGGGAAAAGTGCTTGGATTGAATGATGACGGAACGCTCAACTCGTTCACGGACAGTTGGGTCAACTCTAAATACATTTCAACGATGCAGTACTGGATTTTCAACTACACAAATACAATCGGAATCATGAACAGGGCACTTTACCCGGATGTTATGGAGAAAGGACCGTATGCTTATGAGTGAGTTGTCAAACTTCCAAACTTACCTTACAATGTTTGGTTTAGTGAAATTTTAACAATGGATATGGTGAATTTCACCGAGAATGGCGAATTCATGCAGTTTCGTCAAATTCAAACGTTTGTGTTCAATCCGAACAAATCCTGTCCTGGTAAGACTGACTAATTATCGCATGGCATGAAAAACTTTTATTTAGACTGCGACCCCTACAAAGACAAGGTCCTCATTCCTGATATTGGTTTCCAAGTGGGAATTGACCAAATTGATTCAGTCGTTGAAGCACTTCTGAAAAATCCACTCGCCCAGACTGTATGTCAGACAGTCATGAAGGTGAGCGCGCGCATTTTTAATCAATCTCTTAGATTTCAAAACATGTTTAGGCTCGTGGAGTTGCGGATCCAGAGAAATCTTGCGCGAACCTTGGAGCATTGGTTGAAGGAGAGTTGGGAACACTTATCAGCCTTTTTAATGTCTCGCCATTCACCACTGTGGTATTATCGAGTCGTTTGCTCGACACTTGAGAATAATAATTTTCAGACCGTCGATCAGCTTGTTTTTTCCGGGTACAAGACTCCGTTTGTAGACAAATTTGTTAATGAAGCATTGGCAATCTTCCATTTTCTATTCGACACACCTCCACAACCCATCGACAACCCGCCGATTCAGTTAAACGTGAGTTTGTACTGAAAAAGATAAGAATATCAATGCATTTCAGCCATTAAACGGAACCAGCGATGTTCTAAATACAGTTCTGACCGGGAAGACGGATCCATTACAAGCCGGGTACATGACGGAGTTCTCAAGCATTTCCAACAATTCCTTGTTCAACAGTATCGGAAACACACTCCCACCACAATGGTTCGTATTCTCGAAAACTACACGCTAACCAAAATTACTTCAGGTGGCCGTACGCAAACAAAACTTACTGCAAAGATCCGAACTACGCCTTGAGCATCAGAGGAACCAGTGAGTCATCTTTTATTGCGATGCTCTCTTTACCCGAAAGGTATTTTCAGACGGTGACTACTTCAAGAATTTTGTGAAGAAAACCGACGTACTTCCAGCTTTTGTTTCTGATATTTGCAGGTGGTCGAACTTTTCAAGTGTTTTATTGAAATTGTATGTATTTTCAGAAGTATCGACTTTGTGTTCGATCGCGAAGTGACTGTGAGGGGATTCAAAGGCTATCGATTCGTGATGCCACCCACTCAATTTGACTACAGTCTTGATGAAAACTGCGGGTGAGAAAAAAGTGAGCTTTGCTCGTTTTCCGCTCTAAACCTTGCAAATTTTTGCTATTTGCGCTACTGATTTGGTCAAATTTACGCAAATACTAACATTTTTTGTACCCACGACTAGACAATTGTTTTCAGTTTCTGCATACCGCTGAAGTATGGAGCATATGAGTACCCGGCTCAAAGTGCGTGTCTTCCCAGTGGACTTTTGGATATCAGCGGATGTTCCGGAGGGCCCATCATCATGTCGAAACCGCATTTCTATCAATCGTCGAAAGTTGTTTCAAAGTTCGTGCCGAGATTCAGACCGACGTATGATAATGATGAGACGATGCTGGATATCGAACCGGTAGCACGCGGAAACAGAGTTCAGTGATGTTCAAAACAAGAGTTTCAGAATACCGGAACCGTTCTTCAAGCCATGAAACGTCTCCAAATCAACATGCTGGTCAATCAGTACAAACATATCAGGTCATATTCGGTTATGCGTCCGGGAGCGTATCCATTGGCTTGGGTGAACGAGTCTTTCTACATGGATCAGAACACTGTTGACCAATTGAATTCTCAACTTTTCAACCCCGTCAGCACTGTTAACACTATCTGTTGGATTGCTGTTGGTCTTGGAAGTTCGTTCGCAGGCTTGTTCATAGTAGACTTTTGAATTGCAGGTGGTCTTATTGCACTGTCGATTGTGATGGTTATTGTGTCGATATGCTGTTTCCGAGACGATCACAACAAGAAAACTTCATAATTATTTCTTTTGAACCTGTCTTTTCTCACACTGAAACATTCCAAACTATACAATCAAATTATGGTTTCTGCTCTTTCTTTGCATAGTAGGTTGTTGGTCAGCACGCAAGCGAGACAAAAAAAAACGGTGGAATTGGACAGGAGCATGGTGTGTATCAGTGCATTGTTTGGTGGAGCCGAAAGACAATGCTCATCGGGCCGAGGCGCGCAATGCTTGTTCGGTATTCCGGACAAACTAATGCGCTCGGACAGACAAAGAGGGCCGGCGAGGAGCTTTAACCTTGGCAGCAGACGGCGCTAGCTTGTGCCATTCTTCCTGCGAACAACATTTCGACCGGACTTGTCCGGAATCATGTCTCCCATACTCTTACTGATTGTTGTTTTTATCGGTTCTGTGAACAGTAGAACGATTCAGGTACATGCAATTTTGTTAAGCCATTCAGTTCGCAGTCGCTTCCTCAGATGACTTGAATCTTTGAAATGTACCTCTGATTCCCTGAAAATTATCATTTGCAGTTCTACATAGAGCCGGCACAAAAACTAAATCCAACGTACGTGCAGCAATTAGTAGAAGGAAGTCTGAAGCGAGTTCAGCATGTGAGTCAAGCTAAAAGACGTCTTCTCCCCTTTTTTTCCTCGTTCCCTTCCTAATAGATGTTATCCGCTTAAGGGTATGAACTTGACTTCCTCAGTCAGCATGGTATATGATGGAGGCCATTACATTGTTGTTGATTCACCGTCCGCGACGGATGTACATTCAAAAGAGCTCATGTTGAAAGGCGTTGCATCAAGAAACATTGCCCCGGGAGAAATTCAATACGTGGTGACCACTCACGGTCATCCGGATCACTTTGGGCAAGGCAACTTTTTTCCTAATGCACGACACTTTTTCGGAAGTTATGAATACTCGGACACCAATTTCATATCAACCGAACTTCACACAGTCAGTTGTACTACTATGTTTCCAAAGATGCATCAAATGACTTAAGAAAGATATAATGCAACTGACAAAGAACGTGCAGCTTTGGAACACCCCTGGCCACACTGCTCAGGATGTGACCGTCATGGTGCACAACGTCTCGTGTTGCGGAGTAATTGCAGTGGCTGGTAACCGAAACGCACTCGAATGCAAACAAATGATGTGGTTTTTCATGTGATCTTTTCTACAACGAGGAGGATGCCAACGAGGCGGCAGGTGTCTGGTTTCAAGAAGCATGGAACCCAATTATTGGCAAGATTAGTCGCAACAAAGTGATTTGTTATGCGGATTATGTGATTCCTGGTCATGGAAAACTCTTCCGGTACGAAGAACATTTGCGTGATAAATTCAATTTGCGTTCAGAGTCACACATGATATGAAAACTGCTGCCGATTGCTTCACTAAGTACGAGACGAACCCAGAAGAAAACGGAAATGAATCTCAGCCGCAGTTTGAGAACAACGTTGATCAGAATGCAGGTGACTGATTGCTGCTTGAATTGACTGATCAATTTGAAATTGCAAATTACAGTTATCCGTAAACCTGCGGAAACATTATTCTCATCGGCAAATTCTCTTTCGTCGAACTACATCCGTGACCCAACAACTGTGGTAGCCGAGAAAGTACAATCCAGCACTCATGTATCAGAAATCACCACAACTTCACAGTTCTATACTGTAGATCTGACAGCTGGTTAGTTAGTTGGCATTAGCTTTGATCATCATTTTCACTTTCTCAGAAACTCCTACGATCCCCGATTCGGAGCTCATTTTTGACGTTCAAGAGAATCTGCCACCACTTGGAATGAAGATCAAGAAAAACATAAATTATATTGAAGTCCCTGGTAGTCGAATTGTTTGCACTTGAGCCAGTTGATAAGTAGGTGTTCAGATTTATCGGGTGACGTCCATCCGATGGTACAATCCCTGGCTAAGAGGGTATCAGAAGTGCTCAAGCCGCAGAATGACACTGAATTGGCCAAAATGATGCCGCAGTTCAAGAAGTGGCAGACAACTCTGATCAAACTATGGTAAGCCAGAACCCAGAATTGTCGAGTGCATGTGCAAAATGTTTTCCAGGGATCGGTACATGCATGCAAACTAAGAAAGAAATCGGATATGAGTCAGCAGCGAAAGTACAACGACAAGTGCCATTTATTTATTCATATTTATTTGACAATTCTCGAATTAAGACTTGTTTATTACACGAATCGAGTTTTCAAACGGGATTGTGCCGGAAATTAGCACTTTGTGGAAGGATCTGATATCAGTTATGAGTTAGAGCAAAATAAGATGAGGAAAAGAACATAATACTGCGAAAGGGGGTTGAAGACAGTTTGTTAGAAATTAGAACGGTTATCGTGATGCTCGGACATGGCCGGAGACGACGTTAGACCTTGAGATGCGTGTGTACACATAGGAATTGTTTGAAAACCTGGCTTACCTTGAAGTTGTGGAACATTTGGGGTGGAATGATAGTAGTGGTTACGGACGCTCTGTTGCAGAACCTCAAAAATTGATTATTACGATTGTCCACTTGAATTTCAGGAACAACCTCAATTTGCATTCTCATTTCCTCCTGAACATTGATCAGTCTCTGCATGGAAGTGTGCATATCAGTCACGAGTCTTGTCATCTGATGATTATTCTGAGTATTGTTCTCCGAAAATTCGCGCATTTCGCTTTTGACCGCTCGGAACCTGCAATATCACTTGTGTTTCTGCGTTGTGCCCTGTGCTGCTCACTTGTGAATTGCACGCAAAAATTTTCTCTGATAGGTCCGAAGGCGTCGATTTCCTCCCTCGCCGCCTTGCAAACACTTGTGAATGTGCCACGTGTGCTGCAGTACTCGCGCGGCAGCTTCCTTGTGCTCACGCGCCAGTTTCGAGTCGTACATGAAGTTGTTGACATTGCGTTGACCTTGAGAAAGAAGAATGTTGCGGGAAATGACCGCAATCAAAATTGAAGAGATTATAGCTCCCTGCAAGCGTTCTGTCCGCAACATTTCCCACAGTCTCAACATACCACAACTCCTACAAAAATAGCAATGACTCGACCGGCGTTTGTCTGAGGAACAATATCTCCGTATCCGTTCAGCATGAAAGTGATCGCAATGAACCAGAGAGAGTTGGAGTAGAGAATGGATTGTGGGTTCTTTCCAGAAAAACCATAGCGTTCGCACTGAACGAACATCCAGGACATGATGATCCAAAAAATGAACGTAAACGAAGTAAGGAACAAAACGGGTTGTTGGTCGAGAGATGTCTTGATGACGAACGAAAAGTTCACTTGGATACGATTCAAAGCAGCCAGGGTTCTAGTTGACGCGTCCTGAAAATTGTTTGGTTTTTTCATTATAGTCGTTAATTAACAAAGTCTACCTGGAATTGCTTGCTGTGAAGGACCATGAACCTTGCAAATAGGTACGATCGGCAAAGCATGAAGCAAGAAAGTATTATGTCGATCGGAACCTTAACCATTCTTTTTTTTGGGACAAATCTGAATATGATGTGATACTTGAACGTTTCTTGTGTGCACAGTTCTCTCCTCTGTTGACCCATCCTTGTGCATCGACGGTTCGATGAAAGTCCATGTCATTTCCCCACTCCCTGAATTCTTTGTTATTCACTGCTCGGATAAACGTCATGAGTTAGGACAGAAAATATGCGATCAGAACAACAAATAAATGTTGTTGAAATGTGCTCGAAGACACGTTTTTGTACTCGTACCTGGCAACGGACTGACAGCACAACAGACGAACTCCATACAGAATTGGATAATACGTTCGGTGGTCAGAACCACTCTCCAATCGTCTGCACCACAGTCAACCAACTCCAACTGGAATAAAACAAAATTAAATTAAAATTGCTGAAATTAATTTGAAATTTCGTTGTCAAACTTACCACAATATCATTCAAATGGTAGAGTACGATATGGCAGAGAAGGGCTACAGTGGAGCACGTTACGCCGATTCGAAGGGAGAACGAGAGCCAATGATCTTTCGAAACACCGTAAACCTTCTCGGCGGTAATTTCCGAGTCGACCAGCATGAGAATCACTCCAAACAGAGCCAAGTAGAGTGATCTATCCGTAATACGGACCCTGAAAACAGAACATCTCTCAAAAAGAGACGTTTAGTTTTGATTACCGGTTGGATAAACGCTCCGATCTCACTCTATATACTTGTTTGACGGCCGTGCTGTCAATGGGGACTCCATACCTGAAAACAGTGCTTGGATGTCACACATTTAATGGAAGAAAGACTAACGTGAACACATTTTCTTTGAGAAACAAAACGCAAACCTTCACACAACTCATTAGCAGAACCGAGGAAATGAGAAAGAACAAAAGACCCAAGAAAACGTAGGAAAGATGCTAATCATCCGTTGCCCTACCTGCTGTTATTTCGCTGAAAAGAACTTGTATTGTGTGACGTCACCGATCCATTGCTTTCGCATTGCGTCACCATCGCTGAAAACGTCCAGTAAACTCTTCGAACAACTTTTTATGACATTTCTTGTTACCTGACTGTGAGATCTTTCGCTTCCGCCAAAAATCGGAGGGATCGCTATCATGTTTCATTTTCAGAGTAAAATCAAAAAGTGATGGTTGAGAATGAAGGAAGTGAATATCATTTCTCACTATCAAACTCCGGAAAATTGAACTGGTTTTCCAGTCTCTCGACATAACAATGCAAACAAATGAACCCAGTCTCATTGGTGTCACTAGAGGTCTAACATCAGATTTCACCGCCCAACAGTCTATAAGAATACCTAAGCAGTCACCTGGTGGAAGATTTTCAGAATTTTGAATGAACTCATGGAGTGAAATGTCTTGACAACTTCCAGAAGAAGAAGTGGTACGCCATGGACTAATAAGAATGCCGCGTAGTGCAATGGTCATTAGATCCAAAGAATCATGAACCCACAATGGGACCGGAGGAGCAAACGCTTTGTAATGCAGCTCCTTGACACCCCAGCTCACCATTTCCTGATCTCATTTACCAGAATTTCGGATAAATCACATGTTTTCCTTTTCAAATGATCCCTGTTCATCAGTTTTCCCGTGAAACTCACTTTTCTCGAAAGAACAAGACGTTTCGAGAAGGTTCTGGTTCACACTCGGTTTGACATTGTTGATCCGCAATTGTGATCCGGTGTCTTCGACCGTAATCACCGGCCCATGATGATTGGAGAGACCTCGGGCTGGAAAACCGGCGATTTCGTCTTCAAAAGAAGGAATGATGACCATGGGGATTAGGCGCAACTTACACAACTCGATAGCCTCTTCTTCAAGTGAGTTAGTATGAAAAAACATAATTTTGGCAATGCCAAAAATGGAATAAAAATGCTTCGGTTGTATAGTTTTGCAATGCGAGTGCAAGCGGTGGGGTTTTATATTCATCCCATGTTGTAGCTGTATCTATCCATCCCCTTTGTAGCTGGGCACCGTACCGGCACTTCGCTAGTACAATCCTCTTCTTTTTTGCCGATCTTAACTCACCTGACTCCAACGACTCGCGGCTATAGTCGATTCTCGTGTAGGCCGGAGGGAGAGATCCCAACTTTTTCCGAGCGGACAAAAGGTTTTTGAACTGTTGCCGACTTCCATTCAATCGCAGAAAATCGGCAGATACCTCAAAAAGATCCTTGGTCAATGATAGATATACATTTGCTCCGTTTCCGGCGGCACTCGCATTCGGAAATGAGTCACTACACAAATTAGTTCCAAAAAGATTGATCATTGCTCTCGAATTACAGAGGCACACACGATAATTGCACGTTCGAGGAAGAAGAGCGTTTCAACTTCCCCTATCTTCTTTTTCTTTTACCCGGATCCCCCCCCCCCTCGTGAAAAAAACCTAAATGACGCCACGTGCACTCTCCGCTCAAATATTTGAACGGAAATTGAGTAGCAAAGCACATCACCATAAACTAAGAGATCGAGTTTCAGCTGAAAAACAAAACTTTGTACCTTGACCAAGGCATTGGATTCGCTGGCTGTGAGGCCCATTTGTCCGCTGCTGAAGTCGAAGCTCTTTCCGGCATATCCATTGCTGTCGAACGAGGGTCTTGGTGTTCGGTAGTCCTCTTGCTCGACGGAAGGAGCCGAGGCAATCGTGGGACCCTGAAATGGACAATATCACATGAGTTTGGGGCGAGAAGAAAGGTTACCGGAGAGCTGACAAGTATCTCTCGATTCATAGAGAAAGTAGACATGGATGTGAAGTGGTTTTTTTTCTCCTTCACCAACTTTTTCAGCAGTAATATGATTTTGAGCGAAAATCGGCAGCCAAAAACTATGTTGTTTCGTAATTGGTCATAAGTGAGTCAAAAGCTGACTCTACGCTACATCCCACCCCTTTATCCATACAACCATAATATCACGTCGGTATACTTCCGTCTGCCATGACATCATTCACTCCTCGCTGAAGCAGTTGTTGTCCCATTTTGTGGGAGCGCAGAAGACAGAAAGAGCACCACTCTATTTATAGGGTCCGGACCGAATTTTATTTCAAAATGTTTTAGTCGTGTGCACTTTGGCGTGAACAATACAAAGGGACTGAGAAGAGTAAAATACACGACGCATACTCACCAGACTCCGATTCCTGTAACTGCGACGCTTATCGCTGAGAAAGCGCCTTGCATGAAGAGTATCAGCTGCTTGTAGGGCTGTAATGACGTTTGTCAGAAACGAAACCCAAAGTCTCCTAACCTGTGAGTCAGTAACAAATAATAAAGAAGAAACTTACTTCCAAGACTTGGCCTCTGCTTCGTCGATCCGTTATTGTAAGCGACAGGGGTGTGGGAATGGGTATGAAGTGCGAAATAAGGCTGTACCGTACAATGGTACGCCACTTCGGGGTAACAATGCAGTCGAGAGTTGGGCCGTTCCATTTCTATATCAGTGGTACCGGTGACCACATCAGAAAGAGAGAGATCCGGCTGAAAAACGGAAAACACACGTCTTAGAATGCATGATTAAAAATATCAAGATGTGGCGTGTCACTGGGCCGGCTGATTTGATATTTTTCCCTTTTCTCTCTTTCTCTCTCCAACTTCTAGCTAATATGTATACAAGAAGGTGCGGGTGAGAAAACTCAAAAACCAGCAAGAGAGATTGGAAGGAAAGAAAGAAAGGAAAGAAATTAGCTCAGAAAGGAAAATTGGCGGACAAAAGTCTGAATCGAGTATGGACTCGGACCGCAGCCGCATGTGTGAGAGGAGTTTCCGTTGCGAGTAAAGAAATGAGAATAGAAGAGGGGAGAAGTGATCGAATTACAATTACCTCCATTTGCATAGTTGATAAGTCTGTGCTGTGTGAGTCGTGTCCTTTGTGTTCTTCTACCTCGATTATGTCTGAAAAGAACAAGGCGACGTGTGTGAGTGTTTCTGGGAACGAAACGGGCCGCTAGTAAGAACAAATTAAAGCGGTCGGGAATTAGAAGGAGCGGACTGTTGTTCTTGGTGAGAGAAGTGCAATCGGATTTACACCCAGGTGAAGGTCGGATTAGTAGTGCCCTTCTCGATTTCTGGTGCGTAACTATGGAAAGATCACGTTATCATTTCATTTGCAGTCAGTCGCATGCCTTGTTCATTGAAAATTTAGTGTGCATGCGTGACCTCTCTCTCTCTCGAAATGCTCATTAGTATATAGAGCATGTACTTTGAAAACATTTCGAAACCGTTTTTTTTGTAGATAATAGTAATATGTCTTCGATCAACATGAAAGGCTGTTCTAAAATTCATCTTTAAAAAAAAGCAAATGAATGAACTGAATGAGAATGGGTAGGCAAGTCAACAATAGGCTGGGTACATAGACGCTCTGAAAAAGTAATTCAAAACTTGACGTGGTCATACATCGGAGCACTTTTTGTTCCGATCGGCCGCCATGAAAAGAGAGCGATTTGCAGGGCTCAGAGACCTGGGAAATCAAAAAATATTCCATTGTAACTAAAATAGCGCGCGAAACGTTTGGAGCGCAGTGGAAATTCAAAAATCGTCGTGTTCTAGAAAGCGAAGTGAATGGGCGGATGAAAAACGTTGAAAGGGAAGTGCGAAATGTGAGATGTGAAAATTACAGCCTGAAAAGACGGACGTGATTCTTTTTTGCTACTTTCCTGTTAAGAGTACAAACACAACACTTCTGTGAAACGGTACATGGTGCATTCTTGCAAATGTTGATCGAATCGTAAAAAACACGTTTAATATTTGACGAGTTAAGATGAATAAATCATGAAACTGCATGCGGGACGCTGTGTGGTTTCATAGAGTGAGCTGATAACACTTGCAAGGAGAGCTGTTTCATGTGGCGAGGGTGGTTGGACTCGGACGATCCACTCGCTCACATGACATCCCATAAATTACCGAATCAACTTGCGTACACCACTCCAAAACTAGGAAAAAAGGCAATCAAGTGGGGAAAGGAGGAAGAGTGCGTACATTGTGGCCCATCTTCAGACAGATGACATGCAGACGGCCACAAGACTTTTCCTCCCTGTTTAATACGGGGATTACACAGCATATGACACAATTTTTATCAGTTCCCTCCCCTCTATCCAATATTCGCCACCGAAGAAATTCACATGGGCACGGCTCGTCAGTAATCCGAAATAGCGGTAAGAGGCTGGGCGGCTCAAACAAGAATAAAGATGAAGGGGGCGAAAAACAAGACCGATAGGAAAAGAAAAACGAAGCAAATTCGGGGTTCGTGAGATGGTGATGATGTTGACACACCAACACCCAAAAGCAGATACATTTTGAGACAATGGAGGGATAAAGCAGAACACGAAGAGGTGCGAGCGCATACGCAAAAGGATTTCAACAATCAGGAATCGAAAAAAAAGACTTTTGACAGATGGGAGCGTGTGCTCACTGGATGATGTCGTTGTTCTTCTAGACAACCGTGAAATTGGTCGTGCACATTTACATCCTAATTAGAGGGGCGAGCATGAGTGAGTAGGCCTTTCATATCAAAAACCTTTCCAAGCGAAAGGTCTGACGCGTCACGAGGCAATCACAGATCCAATTGTTTGCAAAAGGATATCAGAGTGTCCAGTCCAGAGAAATTGCATTTTCCTAGCGATAACTAAAACCAGTGACGTTAAGACGCCAATTTATATATTTTGCTGGCTTATCAAGAGGTTTATAGATTTGAGCAATCTTATAACCGTCTAATAAGATGTTCGGGGATGATGCAAACGAATAATGTTAAGCGGGAATGACCAAATGAATGACGTTCTTCAGGCCTCTCACAAATGTTGCTGATATCTCAGAGTGGGAATGTATATTTGGCAGTCTAGTTAATCTCTTTTCTTCCACCAATTCAGCGTCATTACCAAAACACTAACACACGATTGTGAGAAACGCAAAACTAGAATTGACCAAGAAACAGTATCTAGGGCATCTGAGGCTCTTCTCACAAAATGTTTGTTCATTGATCAAATTAGAGCTTCTTTAACTAACTGAGAAAGTGGGAATCCACATGAATTCTTTAATTTCATTGAATCCACGTCACTAAAACTTTTTGGGGCGCTTTTAATAAACAAATCTATAGATCCTGAATACTGAGCTGTTGTTTTTTAAGCATTTTTCATGTGATCATAATAACAGTTTACTTGATGCAAAAAGGAAAAAAAACGAAGACTTTGAAGTGCTTTGATTAGAAGATTTGTTAGTTCTCAGACATTTTACTAACAGCCAAGCGCATTTCACGGCGGTCTGATCTTCCAAAGTCTCCATAGTTACCAAGGAGATTGAGCGGATGAATATAATTGAAGACATGAGAAGACTTAGACACGATCTCTCTTTTCTTCTTCTCCTTCTCCTCAAGAATAATCTTTTTATCTCGGAAAACATGTCGAGTTATCAGTTGCGTGCGCAGTTTCTCAGTTCTTTGCGCGTCAATCGTGGCTAGCTTTAAAACAAACGAAAAAGAGCGAAAACCAAGGGAGAGGGGGGGGGGGCAAAGCGAAGCCATGAGTTATGTGAGAAAATCATTCTCTTGATTCGAGTCGATGTATTTCATTATCTCAGTCGTTTCGTTCTCGGAGAAGCCCGGCAAGTTTCAAAAACCAGGCGCTGATGTGGAAGACAGCCGAACACATGTTGGAAGGAAGGAGGTCGACGCAAAAAACCGCTCGAGCGGTGACGAAACAGAGCTGGGAAAAGTGGAAAAGTGCATGCACTCACATCGAAGAATCAACTCATAAAATACTGGCAAAGTGGTGCTAAAACGGCGGAAAGGATCGGGAGAAACCGGAGAAAGGGGGACGTTCTCGACAACATGAAATTGAGAATGAGAAAATGAAACTGGGTCCTGTGTGCATAATTCATTCCAGTAAAGGGTACAGAAATGACTAGACATTGGGGCAGAGGGGAAGGAGGCAATTGGTGACTTATACATTCTTGATGCCTTGATGTCAGTCGAAATGTCAAAGATGGTAAAATTACCTCTTGACAAGGAAACGGAAGCAAGAGGAAGGAGACGCCTCGAAAACCACGCAAAACCAACGACGACGTACATATTCTGCTCATTTTGGTTTGTGATTAACACTCTTCATACGCGTCGGATGAATGGGTGAAAAGAAACGCGTGAGGCAACAATTGATGTAATCAAAAAGTAGAATCAGAGGTCATATAGGGCCTAAAAAGCTAATTTCCTCGTTTCCCTTCTTTTTCTTCCAGAGCTTTCCTATCTTCGCTCTCATTTCTGATCTTTGTAGCATCCGGAAATAGCCGCGAATCTTGTGAAAAGTACGCATTAATAGCGCGAAAAATGTGGAAGATTCGAGATGAGAATATGTAGTCTTCGAAATACTTTTCGGTCAACATAGATTTTAGTAATAAGTGTGTGATGATGCCGAATAAAGACGAGTTTTGTCGATAATGAATGAGTGAACCATTTCAAGTGGTCATTTTCTCGGATATAATTAATGAGTCACTTGCACGATTTCTGATAACATACAAAAATTGGAATCGAAAATCTAGACATAGTGACATCACGGCACGATTTTTCTCAATACATTTCTCTATTTTTTTCTCTTGCTGACGACAAGTCAAAATAATGGACTGAAGAGGAGAAAATCTCCTATAGAAAATCAAGATTTTCTTGAGAAGTGAAAAATGGGAAAATGGAAAAAAATACATTTATTTATAGTTACTACAGAAGAGTCGGAAACCGGGATTACTTGGTGGTCGGAAAACGTTGCAAAAAGGGTAAAGTCTGAGGGAAAAAACTCATAACGTTTCGGAATACAAGAAATTATCAAGCCACGCTCCGACTGAAGGTCTATTCGCGTTAGATGACTCGAATGGAGCACCGACTCCGGTGCCGATGCACGTGAAGGGTACGTCATGCTCCTTGAAAAACGGAAGCTCCTGCAAATCACCCCAAATTAGTGAGAATTAGATTGGCGCGTCACGACGAACCACACTTTTTGCACTCACCTTGATTTCTGAGAAAGTTGGCCTAGCATCCTTATCCTTTTGAAGAAGTTTTCCCACGAACTCGACTAGTCGATCGCTGTACTCTCCCTGAATCGCTTTCAGATGTGAAAGTATGCCGAGATATATGTACTTACCCGTTCCATAATAGGAGCGGGCTCCCGATCAATTGCTCCGGCTAGTGCTATTCCAGTGGTCTTTGGATATGGAAGTCTGGAACATTCAGCTTATTTGGATAACTTTCCTTTTTGAGTAACCTCAGAGTTGACAGTTCCCAGATGGTGATGCCAAGAGACCAAATGTCACTTTTAACTGAGTACCCGCGTAAGTCCAATGAATTCTGGAAGAAAACAGTAAAACAAATATCGACTCTGCCTGAAACCAAAACCGCAATCAGTTCGGGCGCTGTATATTGTTGGCATCCATTGTTCGTGTAAGCTCTCGAGTTTTGCAACTTTCCACTGATTCCGAAATCGCAGATCTTCACTCTTCCATCATCGTCAATCAGAATGTTTGACGGTTTCACGTCGCGATGGATCATTTGCTAAAGATACTTTTATTTCAACATTATCCCGGTTGGTTATCACCATTTTCTCTTTCAGAAACTGCAACGCATGTAGAACTGAACAAGTGATGCGTCCGATCACAAACTCCGGAATCTTCTGCCCCCTATTTTCCACTTCTCTTTCAAGAACAGCTGCGCTGAGCCGAAGTTCTTCCATAAAGATATGGATGTTTACGCACTGAAACTTTTTTTTAAAAGATATCAGAATCAGAAGCTTACATTCCTGTCTTTTTCCACAAAATAGCCATAGAAATGAACTATGCAGTAGCAGTTGGCGCACCCCTTAATAACATCAACTTCTCGAAGTTTCTTTTCGACTGATTTCTTAGCGAAGTCTGAATCTCGGCTGTTCAGATGCAGTTCGACTTTCACATCCTACAGAAAGAATGGAAGCGTTCAAATTTGAAACGGTAAGGAACAAACTCACTTTTCTAGCAATCACAACCCCGTTGTAAATGATTCTGGATACTTCTCCGTGTCCTCCTGCTCCAATCCTCACTCCACCGACCAACAAGTCTCTGGGTACCGGTTGTTGATGCTCATTCAAACAAATGTATCCTCCGTATTCGCCTCCTCTCAAAATCTCCAAGTCACCGTCATCCCTTGCTAAAAGTTGCAGGTTCGGACGGTTTCTTCTGCTCATTCTTTCTTGTAGATCACTAGAAATGTGTTGTCTAGCAATATGCAGTATGTTGTCGAAAAGTTTCTAGCAGTGCAATTGATAGAACAGAGCAGAATAAAACCTTTTAAAGATAAGAAAGGCAAATATGGAACCGATTGCAAACATAATGTGTTTGAAAGCACCAGTCACATGAGAACAGACTCGTATGGAGTGTGGAGACTCAAATGAGAATATTCAAAGAAAGATGGACAAAATAAATGTTAGTTGACACACGGCGTATTCGGAATTGGTTTCAGTTCGTCTTCCGAGTTGGACCGTCTGATTATATCGCTGAACCAGAGGGACACTGCATTGCCGCTGCTGCCGTTTACCTGAAATCAACTTGTATATGTAAATGTACATTAATTAAATAGCTCACCTTTTTAATCTTGCATCTATTTTTATCTGAAGGATCATAGTCTAGGAAAAAGTCGTGCTTCTGAAATTCAAAAAGTTAACGTCTCAGACTGAGTTAGTTGTCCTCCAAACCATCAATTCCTTATATTCCGGTCTCTTGTCCACATTCTTCCTCAGACATAAATCCAAAAAGTTTGTGAATACAGAGCTGAACCGGCATGTTGTCTATAAATGTTTGTTCAATGGCTGAAAGTAAGTTCCTTATCTTACTTCCCCTCTTAAACTTGGTGGAGGCAGATTCATGTTGGCTATTATTGTCAGGGTAGTAAACTCCAAATCGTGCAGTGGAAATGGGTAAATTCCAGTTACCAGCTGATAAACCGTAATTCCCAGCGACCAAACGTCACTTCGAACGTCGTATTTTGAGTTCGTCTAAAATCTTAGTTCAACTTTTCGAAGATAAATTCAGCTTTCACCTCGACCGTTAATCTTTCGGGTGCCATGTAAGGAGGACAGCCTGCACTTTTCGAGTGCGCCATCGAGTTTGTCATGAAACCGCTTATCCCAAAGTCGCACAGCTTCACATTTCCGCAGTCGTCAAAGAGGATGTTAGACGGCTTGATGTCGCGGTGGATAATCGACTGCAAATATAAATCCGTAAGCACCTTTATTCATTACACCTTTTGATCTCACATGATTCTCTTTGAGATAATCCAATGCGCTTATTGCTGAGTAGATAATACGGCCAGCAACAAACTCCGGAAAGAATTCCAATTTGGAATGATAAATTCGCCTCAACAGCTTCTCGCAGCAGGCAGCCATGATTTGCATACAAATTTTCACAGATGACTGAAAATGGAAACTGCTTTTTGTTAATATCAATGGAAACTTACATCGAACATAAAATACCCATAACTGGTGACAATGAACGGAGAATTGCAAAGGGACATAATGCGAACATCGCGAAGAATTCGTTTCAAGTTTTCCTTATTGTCATTCTTGTACATGGTCTGAAGAAGATTGAGTTGAAGGGTCAAGATGTATCATCTCTGGGGCACAATTCATCACTTCAATTTCAACTTCAACTTCCCCTTTCCTTTTCACACATACAACAAAAAAGACGTGCTGTTCCACTCAATCTCATTACTTCTCGGCAGATTTGTGAGCATGTTTTTGTTGCGTTTCAAGAGCACCCCTCCGACGAATCTTTTTTCCCTTTGCATTGTCAATTGGATCAATGAAAAACAATGGAATTTCTAATGCTCCGCGAGCAGTCGCCCACTCGAGAATAACCCACTAAAAACGGGAGACCAATTTGGTATGCAACGATTTCGACGGCCCAGCTCTAGTGGCAAACGAAATAGCAGGCTGGGAGTTGGAGATTTATTGTGATCCATTAAACAGGGCTCCAAAACAAAATAATTCTCACCTTCACAGCCATCAATTTCGAGCGCACAATGGCAGATTCAACGACGCCACACGAGCCACTTCCTAGTAGGCCAATGATATTGATTTCGTTCGGGTCCACAGACTGACTCGTTCCTAGAAAAACGCTTTTTTAATGGACATTTCAAATTCGGGAAATGTGTGTGTACCATCAATGTCCAACACTCCTGACTTCTTACAGCCTTCTGAAAACTCAAACTCGAGCGCATCTTTCTCTGTATCTCTTCTGGATGGTGATGGTTTCATCGAGAGCGGCGTGACTGAAAAATTGCCGTAATTCACACAAAATCGACCGATTTCTTCGTCCTCCCCCACATTTTCTCTCCATAGGACTCGTCAAATAACCAATGTTATTCGGTCGTTGGTGTTGGGGACTGGATGATGTAGACGAGCATTCTGCAACGGAAATTGGTAGGCATTGGAAAGAGCGACGGCAGACTCCGGCTGTTTTTAGTACATACCTTTGTGCTTCTGATCGACTGAAGTGGAACGTCGGTCACGAGGCCGCAAACGGACCTCAGTCAGGCCCAACTTCAAGAAACGCCATTTTCGGACCCTCGTTTCCAGATCTGAAAGACAACTCTTGTATCACACGATGTAAGCGACCCGACATGTCTGAAGACCACTTCGCTAACCATAAACAAATACAAATGTCTCCAATCTCAACTGGAAGTGTTGACTGATACTTTACTTTGCCCCCTTTCTCGCCTTTCTTTCCAACTCTGTCGAAAAGTGTAGGAGGAAAGAAAATCATTACATGATGTGATTTGATAACAGAACTGCTGTATAACTGCCAATTTGAACATTCGATAGTATATGGAATGCCACGTATGGGCAGAACCATCTATTCTTATCATAGTTTCTCAAGAACCGGAAAAGTATACTTGGACACAAATGTGCATGAGCACGAAAAAGAAGGAACTCAACTTCAACGTTTTTTGTGGGGCAAGTACACACAAATTAAGGGGGTATTCTGGTAGAAAATCGCATTAGGCTCACCGAAAGAAGCATGCAGTTTCTGTTTCTTGTAAGCTCATCAACTTCGGAACACTTGAAAACGTATCCTAGTCAAAAAATTGCTGTGACACTTTAAACATTAGAACAGACGGATTAATTTATCAATCTGTTATTAGCTTCTCCATTCTGTCTCTCCTACTTATTAGCTGTCTAATAGCAAGTTAGCACACACTCAAAATATCAATAATATCACGTGAATTACCTCGTAGCCTTTGCTGGAAACAGACATTATCCATTTATGAGCGGGACTGGAATGACAACAATATTTGGGAATGACCCGTCGGCCCGTCGTCGCTCGTTCCAAATTTCAATAAGAAGACGTATGCGTGGTTCTTCTTCTTCTTCTTTTTCGCGGCACAGCAGATGCAGAATGGCAAGACACACGCGGACCTATCGATCCAAAATGGACACGGCCGGGGGAAGACGCGCAGAGAATCCCGGTCTGCGCCCTCTCCGCACTCATTGCCTGCAGTGGGAGGAGCCCTGAGGAGCTATAAATGCACACACATACTAGTGAAAATATGCGGGAAGGACGGCTTCTCCTTCTTCTTCCTCTTGCTCATGTCTCATTTCCAATTGGCCCACTCTCGACGCTTTGGACGCGCGAATCTTTGCGGCTCCCGGGGTCCCTAAGAGCTAAACGCTAAATGGCTATTTGAAAAGGACGATGCAAATTTGGGAGGCGTGCTGAGGGTGCTCGCCTTCTTCTTTTGGAAAATAAAACTAGCACGCTGACAGACGAGGTCCGAGCCACAAATCTCATCAATTCCAAGCTCCGGAGGCAGTGTGAAACGAGTTTGCGAACCACCTGCCGATTGAGCAGGGACATTGAGGACACAAAAGTTCTTTCAACACGCTGATTAGACACTTGTTCGTTTTCTCCTCACTTCCTGTTTCCTTTGGTTCCTTTATATTCCGGCCATCGGGAGCAATGAGCCGAGAGCAAACAAAAAAGAAGCTCTTTTGCAAAAAACAATCAAAATGAGAATAAGAATGCATGCAAATGAATTTATAATGGAAAAGGTGTAGACAAATAGGAAATGGGTTTCAATTGATCTTGATGAGACCCTTCTCGTCTTCAGCCGCGTAGAGCCCGAACTTCTTCAGTTTTGCCGCGGTCATTTTTTTCAGATCCTCATAGGTGATATGGTATCCCATGAGACGGTCGAGGTAGTTGAACCACGGTTGGAAGCAGGTCAGAGGTCTCAAGTGATGCATGTCATGTGCCGGAGCGCCCGAATAGAACCAAAAGAAGCGGTGAAGTGCGAAAGGGAAGTCGTAACCAATGTGGACCTGCAAAAGTGAAAAGAACATTACGTGCGCGGGCATTCTGTTTCACGCTACTTCATAGGAAACGCTCTGTGCCACAAAGAACCACAACCAGTAGGTCAAGCAATGAGTCGGGAAGATCCAAGGGATGGTGGTGATGAACGTGGCCACAAAGAACAACTGAAATCATCAGTGCGCTTGAATGCCCAATAGATTGAATGAAACCTCAAAGGGATGAAGATGTTGAGCGGATGCTGCGAATGGGGATGAGTACATGTGATGAACCGAGTGGCACCAACGGTACAGCCATTTGATCTGTAAGATAATCGACTAGAACTGCCTACAAATACTGTGTTTTGTGCTGTAAAGGGTTCAATGATAACAGCTCCCTACAAGATTCATTTGATATCAGTGCCCTACAGCGAGTTTATCAGTCCTTCTGTGTTCTCACTTCTCACGTGCACCAATCGATAAATCACTTTTCAAAGCGCAAGAACTCTTACCTTGTGGTTGGCGTAGTGGAACCAGAAGTAGGTGAAGTCGAAGGAAAGGAAGAAAATGGCAAGTTGAGAGAGCATCTCAAACACAGTCGGCGCAAGGACGGGCAATTCAGTCGGGGGGACCCAGATCAGCTGAACGAGAGCCATCGGGTAGATCCAGAGAAGTTGATTCCATCCTTGAAGCTTGAAAGATTTCTTCATTAGATCCCAAGTGACCTTGCGATCCTTCTGGATCTTTGCATTCTTGAAGAATGGAACATCACAGAACCAGAGGTCGATGACTGAAATTAGAATCGAGGTTAGCAAATCGTGACCGCGGTACGTCTCACTTGTAAAGACGGCAACCCAGGTGTAGTCGATCGAGAGTGCGTAGAACGGTGGGAAGAGCGGAGAGCTCAGAATGTGCTCGTTTCCGTTCTGAGAAAGTTTCGATTGAAGTTAATTTCTTGACTTGACTGGCAAACTAACTTTTATAAAATCCCAGACCGGCTGGAGGAGACGATGGTTCTTCTCATACTCCAGCTGTTCAACAGTAAAGTTTTGAACTGGATATAGGTCTAATAGCATCTGGAAAAACAAACTGTACCCTGAAAGCGCAGGGAGCAGAGGAGGTGTCTGCGAAAATGAGACAATGCGTATGGGTATCGAGTGATAAGAGGCATGTAGAAGCCAACTGAAAGATGTATGGCGTTATATACGCACTGGAAAAGAGAATCAGTGAAAAAGAGACGCTATACTACAGTTTTTCTGATCAAAGTCATGTTAACGATGCGAAACAGTGTCAGATGGCACAAAATGGGCGGAGTTAGTTTGGCCCTGAATAATTTGATAGCGACCAAATGTTCATGATGATAACAATACGAGCAGTGGGAGCAAAGAAGTTATGACAGAAAAGACAGAATGAGGTAATGAGACACGATTGGAAAAGAAAGAAGGGTTCATCTGCTGGCTGGATCATTGACCGGTGTGGCCATTGAGAGGTAACTGAATCAATCATCCTATCTGTTCCGAAAACCTGTCAATACGCTATCACTGCCACGGCGATGCAAACGTTTTAGTGACGTTAACACTGAATTATTATTAGACAAACAATTTGGAATTATTTTAGTGCTCATAAATCGTCTTTTGTTACAGAAGTTTTCGGAAACGTATCCGACGGTAATCATCTCCAAAAAATGCCAGAATTTTCGGAAATTGCGATTACCGATTCCGCACAAGCCTGCTCAATACTATACAGAAGGAGAATTTGCTCATCAGTTCCAGTTTGATATTTGGTTTTTGCTGCACCCGTTCTCGGATTTCATGATGAATGTAAGTTCGTGTTTTTACCAAAATAGGCTCCTCATTGGCACATCTAGCTGCTCATTTTCCCATGCCTCAAAGTATTTCCTTTTTCCTTCAAACAATCCCAAAGAATTTTATTTCATCCTTATCGCCACTTCACTAGAAATCCAATAAACGTGCGACTACGAGGATTTGTTTAAAAATTGATATGAACATCCCTACTTTTCTGTTTTCTCAAAGCTCGCCGAGAGCTCTTTTTTCTCCGTTTTTTTGCAGTGTGCAGCGGCTAAAGTTAAGTTGACAGTACAAGAAATTCACACGTTTGCTTACAAACCGTGGATCTGTTTGTTTTCATCTCTGAACATTTGGGAAGGCAGGGCGAGCCAAAAGTAAATACATAGTTAGCCGTGGCGTGGCGCGAGTTGTGTTTCGCTTTCATTCTGCCGCTTCTTTTTTCTCAACACACAATGAAACAATACCATTACAGATATGAAGGTTAGTTTTCTAAAAGTTTTGATGTTGATGTCAGTCACCCGGGAATTTGATAAATCATGCGGACGACTGGTGATGGTGATCTGTCCCGGTTCCCATAGAGATATGGCGTACCCTCTAATTAGGTTCCGTTTCGCATAGCCGACTCAAAAAATATGCGTCTATGGGGGAAAGTTTTGAGCGGAGCGTGTGTGAGAAAATTGAATGTTAGTCGGTGTTACTATAGAGATATCAGTTACTGAATGGCTTCGAAAGCCGTCTTTTGGCTCGAAACTTTGAAACTTGAGCCTGTTCATCATCACCCCTTCCTACATTCATTTCTGTTTTTTGTCTGATCAAATTAGAAAATTTCAGCTGCTCCTCAGAGTTCTCCCTTCGCTGCAATGTCGAACCACACTGCTCCAGGTGAAAATTCCTTTTTCTGGCTTCTTGATAGAAAGCCTGTGGCAAAAATCGGAGAACTGAAAAGAATCATTCGAAGAATGAAATATATTGCAGGTTCAGCGGAGTCGAAGCGGGACAACAACCCGATGAGCGATTTCAATTTGAAAAGAAGGTCAGTGTTGAAAAGTGTTCAATGGGTTCAAAAGCAGTAGTCGTACTAGCACTTGTCTCAGCCACCAGGTGAAATTTCATTCTTTGAAAGGGGGGAGGAAGCCGTATAAAACGGATATAGCTTTTTGCTCACTCCGTTGGTGCAATTACTTTTTTTTTTAAATTTTGTATACATTCTATTCCTGTTTTGTTTTGCTCGCAGTATAATAGAGGCCGCTTTCTGATTGGCATTTTCTTCTTCCTCACGTCTGCTGACGTCATCAACACGTCGGCTTTCCACTTTTTGCGCTACACTGGTGATATAGGATTACTCATTCGCAACTTTTGACAAACGAAATTAGTCAAGCGTTTGGCAAATACTGAAAGTGAGAACACAACGAGCTACCAGAAACCGAACAAACTTGTTCCTTGCGACCTCCGTCCTTCAGCGAGGGAATCCCTTTCTACTTTTCTCATAAAAGCATTATGGCCGATTGTTAGATTTCCTGCCAAGGAAATTCTGCCAAGCAAAGCCGAAACCTGTATCCCTTCTTTTCCCGACATGTTATTCAAAACTCGGTTGATTCGTTTTTGTGCCGCCAGAATCACCTGTTCTACACGAGGTCCGACACTTTTCGTAACTTCATTACCACTTGACGATAACGTCAAAACAAGAGTAGAATTCCAATTCCAGCTTCTCTCAACGCGTCATCATCAGGTTTTGCCTCCCTCTCCCGTTTTCCCATATTAGATTCAACAAAAAGATAGCAGTTTTTCACAACCTTCAACCTCATCATGACAGAACTACGTGTTTGTGCCAGGGGGTGTGAAACTGGTTTCTAGGTAACACACTGTATGCGGAATGACCAAAAAATCCAACACTAACTACTGGGCGTTCTTAAGCGCTCAGTTTTTTGGTTGTTTTACTCATTTCAAATCCGATTCAGTGTTCAAATTCACTTTTTTTGCGGTTTTCAAGTCCCTTGTTAAACAATTCTGAATAGAAGTTGAATGTAAGGACATTCATATCAGCGTGATAACCTTGCGCGAAAAACATGTTTCTTATGGAGAAGCCATACGGATAGCGACAAACGTCACTTTTGTGTGTTCACCTCCAAGCCCTCCTGTCTGCTCTTCCGTTCTCCTAGCCTCATCATGTTCAATACATATTAGCCGCTCTTCAACACATACACACAAAAAATTCCGGACAAATAAACAAGTTTCAAACAACTTAAGCACGTCCAGAATCGGCTTCATCTCTGTGTTCATTGCGCTCTGAGTCATACTCACTGTCTGTTGACCCAAAAATCCGAACCGTATTCAAACAGGCGGCGGTCAGTCAGTCACTCCAAATTTTGACCACCACCACCGCTAACCGATTGTTTGCAGCGGCGGCGGCAAAAATTGTTCCCGGCGGGAGAGGGATTGACATGCGGAGGAGCGTCCTTGTCCGTCACGGCCTCTCGTTCGCGCACCCGTCAAAACGGTCCGACAGTCTCGATGTCTGCGTCTATGCACTCTCTCGCTGCGGACCATCGGATCTCACACTCCAATCACTTTCTTGTTTGGCGTGTCAGTCCCTCTTTCAACCTCCTCTTGTCCTTTCCAGTTGTTTTCCAATCGAGATTTCATCTAACATGCGTTAGGTAAACTCGCGACACTCTTTATTTTACATTAGTAATCCAATCCGGGCAGCATTCACGATTTCCGACTTCCTTTTTTGCGCTCACTAACGCCGCTTTCCGCTGAAATTTGAGCCGAGTGCGTGACGTAGCACTGACCTTCCTTGTGTTTTCTTCGATTTTGAACCATGGCAGAGAAGAACAGCTGTTCCAGTTAACTTGTCCTATTCTCCGCGCCAAAGAACAGACCCCATAATGCAATTATTTTGCCTTCTGCCCAGTTGGTTTGACGGCGCACATTAGAAGTTCTTGAAGGTCGCGTGTTTCAAGTGTTTTCGTGAAAGATAATGGCTATTGTCCTGGATATTTCTCTCATTTTTGACAATTCTCTCTCTCTTCCTTCGTGATTCCGCTCTTCTTCTGATCATTCTCAAGTCATCGCAGTTTTAGACAGAAAGATGGCCCGCAAGAAACATCGCTCGGTGCCGGCCGCAGAGGCCTACGAAAAGTCGGACAGTTTCCCTCAAATGCCGTCCGCTCCGCCACTGTCTCCGATTCGCATGGACGGTGTCTATCCGGGGAATTTCGGTCCTCCGATGCATCAGGCATACCATGTTCAGCCGGCGAGCGCGAATCATGTACCCGACCAGATTGCTCGTTTTAACGTGATAAAACCGGATCGGTTGGCAAAAAGACATAACCCACAATTGTATACGAAAAGGTTTCAGAACTATTCACCCGTTTTTTTTTCAAAAATTTTGGTAATAAACTAGTTGTCTTTCAGAGGATGCACGGACGTCTTCTGCTGCTTTCTGTTCTTTGTGTTCCTCTGCGGATGGATCGTCGTTGCCTGCTTCGGAATCATGTGGGGAGACCCTCAGAGACTAATCTACCCGACGGATTCCGAGTTCCGAAGATGCGGAGTCAATCAAGACGGATTATACAACTTTAGGTAACCGTTCAATAAATTTTCAATTTTGAAACGTCTCTTCAGCAACCGTCCGTACCTGTTCTACTTCGATCTCACCAAGTGCATCTCGTACACGACCGCATTGGGAGGATGCCAAACCACTCAGATTTGTGTGGAGCAGTGCCCAACCGCGTACTTCTCATACCTCCAACTCCGCACCGCTTCTGCCGCCGAGATTCAGAAGCAGGTGAGCGATCGGCAGATGAAACGGACTGAGAATAAAAAACTTGTTTACTTACTTTCAGATGAAGAGCGTGGTATACTGTACTGACGACGTCGACAAGACCGCTGTGACGACCTTCCAGGCACTTCAGGCTCTAGTTCAACAAGGGAAATGCGTGTCTTACACGGTCAAATCCATTCCAGGTACGGAGTTTATACAGAATCACACTACTATAATCTACTAGTTCCAGTGCTTCAAAGATGCTTCCCTGAAGTGATTTTCAATGCAGTCGAAAATGTGAACACAGTGCTGAACAGCTCAAACTCGCTGGATTATCTTGCGAGAACCTTCGGTGACGACGCACTTATTCCTCAAGACAGTCAGATCACCGGACAGAGTACAGAGTAAGACCTTTGCCTCGTTGCAGCTGATGTTATTTTCAATATTTCAGAGTAATGAAGTCAGTGGTCGAAGAGCAGCCAGTTCTCCACAAAGTGATCCACGATCTCTCCCAAACCTGGTGGCAAACACTAATCCTCATTTTCGCTGCCGGAGTATTCGCCTTCATCTGGACGGTTGTGATGCGACTGCTTGGGTCACTTCTCATCTGGCTCTCCATACTTCTGGTTCTCGGAGCTCTCGGCTTTGGTGCCGGATACAGTTGGATGAAGTGGAACACTTTGAAATCCATTGGAGCCATTGATGATTACTCGTTCCATCCAGCATTCGATGCGTACTTTGAGATGCCAACCACGTGGTTCGTCGTCGCCATTGTCACCTCGGCCTTCCTGGTCCTCTTCTTGATCATCATCCTTTTCATCCGCAAGAGAATCAGTATTGCCTGCGCGTTGATCTCCGAGTCCAGCAAGTGAGGCGTTCTTCTGTGGTTTTAATCACAATTATCATGTTTCAGAGCGATCGGAAGTATGATGTCCACTCTGTTGTTCCCGCTCTTCCCGTTCATTCTTCACATCGGAGTCTTCGCTCTGTGGGGTTCGATTGCCATCTGGTTAGCATCATCTGGACAAGAGATCTGCCGTATGAAAGAGGCGAATGGACAAGTTTACAACACTTCCACAAAATGCGAATGCACCAAGAATCTCACCGGATGCACCTACGTGGGAATCGAGAAGGAGAGCGACATCGTCTTCTGGCTTCAGTTCTACAACCTGTTTGCCTTCTTCTGGCTCTCCTGCTTTGTCACCGCTTTGGGAGACATTGCTCTGGCCGGAGCCTTTGCTTCCTATTACTGGGCCCGCGATAAGAGACATGATGTGCCCAGCTTCCCTGTGATCCGAGCACTGAACCGTGCGATTCGGTACAATCTTGGTTCTATCGCATTCGGATCCCTTATTATTGCAATCGTAAAGATGATCCGCGTCATTTTGGAGTACATCGACAACAAACTGGGAAAATCACAGAATACCGCCGTCAAGTACTTCCTAATGTGTCTCAAATGTTGCTTCTGGTGCCTTGAAGTGTTCTTCAAGTTCTTGACTAAAAATGCATACATCATGGTAACCCGGTGCATGTTTACAGTTACATCATTACTTTTTCAGATTGCAATTTACGGAAAGAACTTCTTCTCATCGGCCAAGGACTCATTCATGCTCATCACTCGAAATATTGTCCGTACTGTAGTTGTGCACAAGGTTGCTGGTATACTTCTCTTCCTCGGAAAAGCAATGATCACTATCGGAATGGGTATAACTCAATTTTTAGCCTAAAATAACAAAATTTATCAATTTTTCAGGTCTCCTGAGTTACTACTACTTTTCCGGAAAATGGGTCGTCGAAGGAGTGCCCAAAGTGGACCTTTACTACTATTTCGTACCGATTGTCATTGTTGTTATTGGTAAACAATCGCATTCACGTTTTTGAACTGGAGTGAGCAAACATTTTTCAGGAAGTTACTTCATGGCCGACTTGTTTTTTGATGTTTACGAAATGGCCGTCGATACCACTTTCATTTGCTTCCGTGAGTGCCCAGAATTCGTTTATCTGTTTCAATGAATGTTATTTTTTAGTGGAAGACAGCGAACAAAACGACGGCAGTCTGGAACGACCTTTCTTCATGTCCGAGAAGCTCCTCGAGATTCTCGGCAACAGAAACGAAATTCCTCTTCACTCGAAATGATTGATCTCCGAACCTTTTGTGGTTTCAGCTTTACACATTTTACCTGTGTGTCCTTGCATATAACTTATATCTTTTTCTCTCTTTGCCAATCAATCGGTCCTGTGATAGCCGGTTACGTGTAGAAATATTCTGTAGTTTTCATTTCGAAATACGGTTCAACCATTTCTCTCATCGCATATTCATTTTTCCTGTCCCCTACCCTGTCATAGTTCTATCTATTTTTCAATTTATTCATGAATGCTCTTTGTACGACTAGACTGAACTTTGTTCTTAATTCTTTGAGCTTTTTGTTTTTTTCTTCTTTTTTTTCTGCTCTCTTATCCAATGCTCAACACTGCGCGCTTTAGGAGAAGCGCAAACTATGGCGAACGGACGGAACTATCGAAAATGTGACCGAGCAAATACGTTCTTCTATCCAAATGACGTGCACAATGCTGTATTTCATGCGCTCGCGCCAAACGCTAATGCAAACGTGCTCTATCTGCCACGGCGCCCCGTTGCAAAATCGAAGAATGTTCCAGATGGACGCGGAGAACGGCAGGATAATGCAAGTGTGCTCTACCGGCCTGAGTTCTTATTGTGAAACTCCGAAAAGTTCCAGAACGTCGAAAGCGCACTCGTTTGTCATCATGCCACGGGCGCCGCGTCGCCGCTCTATCCGCACACACAATTTTCCCTGTTTTTGCCGTTTCGTGCCGCGCTCCTCGGCCACTTCTCGCGCCCCCTACGGTTTGCACTATGTTTCGCCTCACTCACATTTCTCGCACGATCCGTTTCTCAATGCAACCCAGTTCTTGATCCCCGTCGCATCGGTAAGAGTCGAAACTCTTAGTTTTGAAAAATCGAAGACTTCTCCGTGAAAGTCCCTATCCGTTGTTCTGTTAGACGTGAGTTAGGTCAGATAACGTCGCGGGCTGGTCTCTGCGTCTTCCGAGCCTGGCTTCTGCGAAACAGACAAGCCGTTCGCCGCCTTTGTCGCAACTAACTGCATCCGAACCGGGCCTAGGTGCGTGCCTTTCTCACTCTTTCTCTTTCTCTCCCTTCTCTTCTACTCTCTGTCTGTTTCTCCGGCCGGTCGATCCGTCGTCCGTCCGTCCGAGGCGTCCGTTCATCCAACCGTCCGTCCGTGAGATGCGTTTTGTGTGTTGGTGAGCGAATGAGGAGAGTGTCTTTCTGTGTATACGCGGCCAAAGTGAGGAGTGTATGGGAAGAGAGTGCGTGTCTCTGTGTGCGTGGTGTGTGTCAATGTGGTGTGTGTCGATGGAACAGACACCGAGCATCGATCGATGGTATTACGTGTCCACGGTTGCATTTTTCGACCGCATTCTCTTTCTCTTACCGCCGATTATCGCTTCTCTACAAGAACAACATGCGCCGCGGCGTCTGATAACCGAATCGCCCCTCAACCGTCACCATTGCCCAACTGTTCACAACAGTAAACTAGTTGGTGTCGGACGCCGCCTAGCACTTCTAGCGCCTCGCCCTGTTCGCAAAACTTTACATTTCGATGAGGCTTGTGATGAAATGATGAAAGCTACGCCGCGATGAATCATCAATTTTGGCACTGAATCATCATCTCTTTCATATTTTTCTTTCTCCGTTCCGCCCACCCTTTTCTCACAATACGTTTTCATTTCAGAATCAAAGCATCATGTCGGGCTGGGACGATTACGTGTCGCTGATCTTCAAGAAGAGCACTGCCGTCAAGAGAGCTGCCATCATCGGAAACGACGGATCAGTCTGGGCCAAGAGCCAGAGCCCCAACGAGTTCAAGGTATGCTTTCGAGAGAACGAGCGATAATAACTGTGAACTGAACTATTTCCAGGTAAACGACGCGGAGCTGAAGAAGTTCGCCGCCCTGTTCCACGACATCAACTCGGTCCCGGGCACTGGAGCTGACCTGGAAAACGTAGGAAGCTCCTCGTTCATGGAGTTGTTTTAGAAAGTCCGTTTCAGATCCACTACATCGTGCCGCGTGTCGAGGAGAAGTTCATCTTCGGAAAGAAGGAGCAGACCGGATTCTTCGCCGTCCAGACCAACCAGGGTAAGACACTATGCAAGAATCCAAGTCCTTACTCTTCCCTTTACAGCCATCGTCATCGCCATCTACGAGGGAGACAACGCCATGTCTTCTGGAGTCCGTGCTGCCGTCGAGTACCTCGGCCAGTACCTGTCGTCCGCTGGATATTAGATACCCGAGGTAACGTGACACCCTTATAAATGTTTCAAAACCCAATTAGCACAAACAATCATTGCAGGTCCTGCAACCACGCACTTTCCATCTCGTGCAACTGCCGCATCTATCAAAAATTCATTAAAAATATCCCCCCACCCCTTTTTGTGTATGTGTGTTGCGTAAATTTTAATTATTTCGCGTGCTAACTTCCCCATGTTTTTTTTAATTTTGTATTTGTAATTGAGAAGTTGTTATTTCTAACTTCAATTCATTCTTTTCGGCATCATTCCCGAACTGATTGCCTTCCTCCCCTTCATATAAACACGCTTTTTGGTAAAAGTGATTTCTTTAAACGGATTTTCATAAACTGTTCAATGTTGAAATCCACACAAAAAAGGAATCAAGGCACGCATGTCACACAAAAAAGTGAAAATTACAGATTCATAAAAAAGGCGAGCAAGCTGAGAACAAGTAAACATGTAAGTGAACAAGCATCGGGAAAATTACTTGACGGCGAAATAATGAAAACGAATCGAGAAGGTGAAGGATGTTAAAGCCGGTGATGACTTGTAGAATAAGAAAAAGGAGAATATACCGCTGAGGTACCATTCTGTGACAATTGACAGTGAAAAAAGATAATGCACAAGGAAGCCAAGGGGGTATTCAGATGATCCAGAAAAACAAGAGAACAAATTATTACTATTAATTATTTCTGGCAGATTAGCAGATTGGAGTGAAATGGCATATGGCAGCTTGGAAGAACATGAGGACGATCAGGAGGATGATGATCGAGGCGATGATGATGCACACTTTCATTTTGCGGGCTCTCTTCTGCAGGCGACGTGCTTCTTCCACGTTTCCACGAGCTTTCTGCGCGTAATCCGTCGCATTCTTCACACTGTTCTCGATACTATCCATCATTTCGCCCTGAAATCAATACGTCACAACTGGAGAAATGTGAAAAGAAATAAAAGCGGAAAGCGAAGCGCCGGAGAGGAATCGGGCCGACCCTCCGCTGCTTTATAGGCAATATTTGTGAGAAATAATACCTGTTGGACGATCAAAATGTGCACGTCGTGGAATATTTGTGCAAGCTCCGCCATCTGACCCTCCAGAAGTTTGAGCTCGTTCGCCCGAGACTTCACATCGTCGTACAGAGCTTTTTTCTCGCTCAAAGCAAGCATAACGCCTTTCGTCAGCTCGGACAAGTTTCCGGACGAAACCGCGTCTTCGATCTCTTCCTCGCTCAGTTGCATATTTCCTGAAAGGTACACATGGACTTTTGAAAACTGTTAAATTTCGGTTAATGCTTACGAATTTTCAGATAATCCATAATTTTGGTTTTCGCTTTCTCTTTGTACTCTTCCTGTTCCTTATTGAATTTCACCGTGATCGTCTCAAAGGTCTTGAATATCGATCGAACTTGCTCGGTCTTGATTCGTGCCACTCCACACGTTTTCACCGGCAGATCTTTCGTCTCGTTGTGTAAAACTGAAATTCCGGCCTGACCATTCCATTTTTTTGATTCTCCAACTTACTTTTGTAGCTGTTCCGCACTTGGTTCGCTTTTGCGAGAAACATTTCCACGTGGTTGTTCAGTTTGACCGAATTGTCTGTAATGAAACCTTTCAGTGAAGCGCAGCGTCTTGTGATCTATATACCGGCGTCCGCTCCAGGCGTTGAGAGCAGTAATCCGTGAAGTTTGCGGATCGCATCATAGTCTTCCTCCAAGCTCTTAAGCCCGCCACGAAGGTTCGTGCATCGCTCGAGGAACTGAAAAACTGCCATGTGCATGTGTATCAGAATTTTGAAAATTGTCTTGGTTTTAGAGAAAAGTGGCATCTTCCGTCTCTTTAGTCTCGAGAACCGCAAGTTTAACGAGATCATTTTTTGCACGCTAAGCATAAAGAAAGCTGGAAATTCCCGGCTGAAGTGGCTCAAAGGCCCGGACGGCCCCAAGACCCGGTTCAAGCGGCCCTGATACTGCCATTCAACACACAGATCGGGTCATTCTACGTTTTCCATTATAGGGGCACCGAACAGAAATGGCGCTCTGTTGAGAAACTCTTTTTGCAGTGCAAATTTAGCGACCTTGGGGCCGAGTTTGAAAAATTAGGCCACATTTTCAGTGGAAAATTACTTCGCGGCCTAGAAATTCGGCCAGATTGCGAACAGCGCGCCCTTTCTGTCCGGTGCCCCTATAATAGTGTCATCGCACTCTGGGCCTGTAAACAGGCAATTCTCTTTTGAGAATATTTTTTTAGCCACAAAACGATTTAAAATTCTGATTTTTTGAAAATTTGCCGGTATTGCCAGAATTTGGTGTAGCCGCATGTGTAGGCTGGCGCAGAAAATCGATAAATTCACCATTTCAAAGTCGGCATCTTGATCGATAAGCGGCTGAGTAGCCGGATCTTGATTCGACAAAGGCTTTCTGATTGTAGACGTTGCTGGAGGTGATGTGTTTGGTATGCCCGCTTTTTCCTGAATTTCACAAAATCATGAATCAATTTCTGTTTGTGATGACTCACCCTCAATTCTTTTAATCTATCTCTAGGCATGACTGACTAGGGGTGAAGCTCTGAAAATCAAATTCTCGAAAACGTTTTGATGGACGATCACGTTAGAGAATAATAAGATGATTAGTACTGATAAACCACTACTATCAATCTCTCAGAAAGGTAACAGAGAAAGGGACAAAGAGGCCTGTTATCAAGCGAAGAAGGCATTTTTCGGCTTGAAAGTGTTTTATCGCCGGCATTCCGTTGTTTTCTCATCTTTTTCTCGGTGGGATGAAAATGTGAGAAGCGATGAGAGATCACATCCGTGTGGGCGGAAACAACTGACGAAACAGATGCGAGAGGTCTCTGGCATTAAAAAAAAGACTGATCGGCTGGTTGTGAAATACTCTTCTTCGAATTTTCTCGACGAAAAACCTATGCAAAAAGATGGCAAGTTAGAGAATGAGAGGGCAGCGCTTGGTCAATACGATATGGTTTCCAACAAATGTCGTCTTGTTTGTTTTCGACACTTTTTGTCCGTCTCTTCCAACTCATTTGGCATGCAACAAAGACAACACATTGAACACAGAGAAAAGAAAAAGTAAAAATGGAAAATTTGAACCAATTGTGACGAGAAAGAAAAAGAAGAGGCTGATATTGTGAGAAGCCGCGGAATATTTCATTTAAGTAGGTACGAAACGGGGAGTTTGTCATAAAAATGTGCTCGAAATTCACTAACAAATGAATGAAAATGTTGTGAAGATGGGATGGGGTCGGAGGAACAGAAGGGCACGTAGAAAACGAGAAGAAAAGGGCGGAGAAAATTGTGGGCACTTTGAGAAGCAAAGAACCGAACATGCACTAATTGAGCACAAATGCGGATGCATCAAATACAATTTGGGAGAGGAAATGGGGGCAGAAAAAGAGTGAATTCGGGTGGGCGTGCAGAGAGGGAGGAATGAATTCATTGATGACCCATGGAAGCTCGCGAAATGTCGGTTTCAGTAGATGTCCATTGTGGTCGGACTAGCGCGGAAACAGAGCAGATGTCGAAATGCGATTAGTGGGGTGGTCTTCCTTATTTAGATGTATCGCTCGTACCATTTCCTTTGTTTCGCGTTGAATTTCTTCTGTAAATCACCGTTTGTCGCACAAATTGCTCAAATTTACAGATCACCGACCAAAAATTATAAAACACATGCCCGGGATAATTGACTCACAAATTTCGTTGTATGTCTTTGACCAAACTTTTTTATTACCTCGTCAATGAATTGGCAAAGGCACATTTGAGTCTTGCAATGTTTCGGGGCGTAGTTGGAAACTCCTTGAACCGGGTTTTTTGGGAAAATGAGACGTTTCTGAAACATATACTCTGCCCAGAAGACAATTTTCTTCATTTCGGTACCTTGACTACACTTTTGACGTATTCCTGACTGTACTCCATGATCAAAGCAGCCGCCTCTCTGTCGAAGCTCTCGTCATTCGGCTCCAGCTGGGGACCTCCGCCGAACACGCATCCTCCGGAGTTTTTGATTTTCAGTTGCTTTATCACTTCAGCAGTACATTCTCCGACGTTGAAACGGATAAAGTGGATCTGCAAATTGAACTCTGACTCTTTCTTGAAGTGCTCCGCCGCTCTTACCACAACTTTGTGGCAACTCAATTGGCCGCGGTCCTCCACTCCAGTGAGAAAATGCCGATCAACAATTATCTTGTTTGCTTTCTCAACAACGTGGTTCAGCCCAATCCGTATCTGCAAAATTTGACCGTCCGTCCGTCCGTTTATCACTTTTTCTCCGTGCTCCGTAGCCTTTTATCGTCACTCACTCTCTTCCTTATCATCGCACACACATAAACGCCAACGAAGAGAAGTACGGCCCAAACGAGGCACCAGATCATCACCGGCCAGCCTCCCTGTGATTGGAGCAGCAGAGTGATCGCCAGAGAGAATATCCAAATTGTCATCCAGATTGCGATGAGACGAGAGTAGATGGTGGAGAACCTGGAAGAATACCACATTTTACCAGGACTCGCCAAAAGGCCGGTCCAGTCTTTTAGAAGGCCTGTTGCGGCTTGAACTTTGTTGCTTTCTTATACTTGGATAAAAGTGTGTTGCATCCAAGTTTCAGACCGATCGGATTATCTGACCCCGAGATATACTGGTTTGAGAACGACAAGGCCTGGTTTTGGCGATGACTGTGGCTTTTCTGGCGTCTGATGCACATATATTCTGAGTAAACTATCTGATTGGTCTGAAACTTGGACCCAAGACACTTATATCCATGTCTGAGAAGCCTGCAAAGTTTGGGTCCGATCGGATCACTGAAAGTCGGCCGGCCTTTTGTCCAGCTCAGCATTTCACTTCAACTTTCAGACATAATCACTGTTTTCACATACATTTTGAACCTTGTGTCTTTAATGATAGCCTCGATGGCAGCGATGTAGTCCTCTCCAGTCAGCTGAAATCACCCAAGTCCGTTGTGTTTTGTTGAAACTTAATTACCGATGGCAAGTCGATGGCGAGAATGGATGGCATGCTGTATGCGTCGTAGTGCGGCGGAGTGACCCAATCACAGATCATGTTATCCGGAAACACCGTCGCAAGAACCTTTCCGTTCACATTTGTCGGGTCCGAGATTGCGCTTGCTTTTGCTGGTCCTGACGTTCCATCTTCCAGTTTCGAAACGTCTGAAAAAGCTAAATTATAACTAAATTTCATTTCCGAAAGCATACCGAGATAGGCAGGTGATTTCTGTGGTGCGGAAGGGTGTGGGACTAGGGGAATCCGTGGAATAGCGCTGCAAAGAATGAGTAGACTACCTCAAAAATCGATAAAATACCGTTTTTCCGTGTGCTGAACAGGTATTCTCGGGATACTGGGGACTGTCGGTTTTGGTTTGGCTGGTTGTCTCACTTTCACTTCTTCCACTTCATGGTCCTCAGTTTTAGATTGCAGCGGATCGGTAACTGCTTTCGTTTCTGTGTCATCTGCAGTCCCCCTTTTTTTCTCAGTCTTATCCCCTTTGACTTCTTCAAGTTCGCTCTCCTCGTCCACAATATCCACTTTTTTGAGTGAAATTTCGTCGAATCGCTCCCATTCTGCAAATTAATTATATTTTTCTCGAACTTTTGTGAGAAAAGCCCGTGAAAAATTTTAAATCTTAAGCGAAAAACCAGTAATAATGGTTGACCACTCCACTCGGTGCAGTCTCTAAACGGTGCATACACTGTCACGCAACAATGCACACATTTTGGTGTCGCGCTGACGTACCTTTCTGGAGCTCCGTACTAGGTTCCGACATTTGGACCAAGTTTGGTTGAAACTATCTGAAAATAGGAATAATCGATCGATCGAAAATGAAAAAAAGAAAGTAAAGAGAAGGAAACAAAAAATGACAAGCGAGACGCAATAAGAAGATAATTATCAAAACTAACGAAGGTTTTCAGCAGTGAATCAGAATCAGACTTGGTAACCTTGTGAAGTCAGATGATAGTACATGTCTAAAATAAGGAGACGAAAAGAGTAATGCAAAACGTGCCACCGGTTATCCGCTCCCCCTCCCCATCCCCCTTCGTTTTCATTGTTTTTGATGCGCAAGCGAATAAGCAGGAAGGGACAAGAATCCAGAGTGTTACGGCGCACGGGAAAAGAGGGGGAAACGCATGGAGAAAAGGTGAGATAGAGGTGCGCGAGTGTCGTTATGTTTTTGTTTCTATGCGCACCGACACTCTCTCTCGTTATTGTGTGTGATTGGACGACTCTTGACGTGCCTGACCAACGCTGCGTGTCCATTTGCGTACAGTGTCTGCCCCGAGGGCCCACCGTCGCGTTGTTTGATCGGATACGCCGTCGAATTGGAACACTGTTTTTAACAGCGTGCCACTGTCGTACTGGTCTACCGATCAAAAAATGAGCATTCACCCCACCCGCAAAAAATGATTTGAGCTTATTTGTTGGGGCATAGCATGGTTATTCAAAGAGTAAGAGAAAGAGAGAAACAAGACGATTCCATTGTGATTTCTCCCCATTCTAGGCTCACACAAAAGCGATGAAATGTATAGAGGCATTCAAGGAGAAAAATTATAATATGAATGAAATGATGATGGCAGGAACCCAACCCTTCGCCGAAGAGGTGTTTTTGAGCAGGCATGCAAGTGGCCAGATGCGCTTCTGACGGCCTAATTTCATGCTCTTTCGCCGCTAAATTGAAGGTTGGCGCATGTCGGCAAACCAATATTTCATACACTTTTCGGTTGTTCAGCACCATTCATTATATGTACACGTATACACGCCGAGAAGGAGCGAAATGAATAATGACAAGGAGATTGGAAGGTTATTACAATGGAACAATTCTTATTATAAAGCGAAGAAACGAGTTGTCTACATCATCTGGTAGTAGGCCAACATTCTCTGGCCTCTGGATTTTGGTCTCGACCTCAGATAATCACCATAGGTTTTGGCTTCGGCACATCCGCATCCAGTCCACATCTGACATAAGCAAAGAAAATTTTAAACCGCAAAAGTTGGATGAATACCTGTCTTGATGTAGACGGAGGAGGGTAGGATAAGACGCGATACTCTGGGAGAACATCCGGGTAACTTTCGAAGACGGGCAGGTCTGAAACCTCGAGTTCATTTTCTTAAATACTAGTTGAAATGCTCACAATTCATTGCGATTTCTTCATCCGGGTAGTCGAAAACCATGTTGTTGCTCATGTATAATTGAGCAGTAACAGTGGAAAGAAGAAGAAGAAGAAGCGCGAGATACTTGGCCATCATGCTAAGTGTGATATCAACGGCTTCTCGATCCTTTTTCTATTCATGTCGGGATTCCTGTTCATCTTCTTTTTCTTGAAAAAGTGACATTTGATATCACAAGGATCTAGTTTTAAAACGATTCGTTTCCTTTGTTCGATCTTTTTTGGGAAAGCGAAAACGATTTTCTTTCAAAAACAAAACAAAATATCAGATGATAGAATTCCAATAGGAGAGTTATTAATGTGTTTATTATTATTAGTACTAATATTAATACAACATTGAAATGTTAGTTAATCCGTGCTTTATTCTCATTTGGAAGTCCTGGGAACAGTGGATCAAGCGGACTCAGGTTCTGTCCGTAGTTGACAGAAGTGTCGTCATGATCTGCAAGGAAACTCAACTTTGATGTTTCGAAAAGTTCGCACTCCCACCATAATGAATGTTTCCAGATAGAGGAAATCTGTAAGCAAGGTCTTTTCCAAGAGGAATTGGCAAGTCAAGTTCTCCTTCCACTCCGTCTTCAATTCTGTAGTTTGCTTCAACCTGAAATTCCATTTTCTTGAACACTCCTCAGAAATATCATCATACTCCAACACCCATAGTTCCTGTGTACGGATTGCAAAGTGGCGGTTTACAAGACACGGGCTCATACTCTCGTGGCAAAGCTCCAACCGGCAATTTTGGATGAATTTCTGGGAAAATTGTCATGAAAAGTTGTCTAGTTTTTAATGTTAGTTCCTGGTTGGCTAGACATACGTTTGTTAAAATGCAATAAAGGGTCTGACAATAGTCTTGCAATTTGATCTTTTGTTAGGCCCAACATGTTGACAGGGCTGTTCACGTATCCTATTTTCACCCATTCTTCCTGAAAACACTTTGAAACGTGTGCAATCTGATTTTCATTCTCATTCAAAACCTGGAAACGTTCGATGTAATGGCCTCCAATGTTCAGAAAGTTATTCCAATACGGAACAGGAACAAGAATGTCTCCTCCAACATGCTAAAACACTTTTGATATATCTGTCGGGTCGACCGTCCGAACAAACCCTTCCACTCGACGTATCATAGGTCACCGCTGCGTGATATTGGTTTGACATCGGCATGAGAGGCCAGTAGTCTCCGTAGGATGTTCTGCCGGGAAGTGGATTATAGCCTCCTGCAATAAAAAGAGAATTGCGTGGGGGAAAGTTGGCGGGAGGTTGGAGATTACCGGGAAGTTGAACCGTATCCGCCAGTTTTACAGGTTCTGTACTCACTTTCGGTTTGTTATGTTTTTTTGCCAAGGGGGCTCGACGATACTCTTCATCTTTCTGGAAAATTTTGAATTCCGAGCACTCTGTGGTCATGATAACCTGGAAAGAATCTTGAAGGAATTTGTAGAATCCGTTGTCATCGTCTTTTGCAGCTGCATTGACTTCAAAGAAAAACAGTAGAATCGAGAACAAAGATGAGAGTTCCATGATGATTGAAATAAATTGCAAGTTTCTCGCGAGGAAAGGATTTCTCCTACTGTCACTATCAATCGTTTTCTTTTGGGAAGAGTGAAACAGGAAAAAGTGATCCGATAGACATCATTATCCGCTTCGTAAAGATTTCAGTTTTATTTTGTGAAAGAACAGTTGATTTTTAATTACAAGCTACGATTGAGGAGGGAATTCATTAAACAATAATTTAATTATTGGGGAACATCGCTTAGTCAAACGACGGGAGAGCAAGTTTGACGTCGATTCCGAGGAGGAAGCAGGCGACCGTACTCTGGGCCATTCTTCTCTGGAGAATTGCTTTTCCGAAAGCGGATAGATAAGATTCCTTGGAAGATCTTGGCTCCATATCCATCAGATATACAGTTATGAACATAGAGATCTGAAATTTACCAGTAAGCCTTGATTACTTTGAAATGTCACTAACAGGTCTTTTTTCGAGAATATTGTTCTGAATCTCAGGCGGGATGTAATCCTTGAAATCGTCCATTTCAGGTGTACACATCTCGGTTTCAATGTCGTAAAGTCCCGGTTGCATCTCGCCACATCTGAAAACAACTGAGACTATAGCATGGCTACACCATCTCCCAAAATATCCTGTTTTCTTGATCACACGTCATTATCATGTTTCTTTTCTTTTTTTGACATGTACACCGCACTATAGTTCGCACTTTGGTCGTTCTTTTTCTGTGCTTTATGTTTTTCGTCTTTGATATCTTAGACTAGCCCTCTTCTTTGATATCTTAGACCCCTGTCCGACTGATCCAAAAGACAAAAGACACTATTTGCGTTTGCAGTGTGAACCCATTTCAGGATCATTATGTTACTTGTACACAGAAATTTGTCCTTTTGATTTGACATAATTGTGCGGCGTGAAAATGGAATGACATACTTGCAATCCTCGTCAATCAATTTGTGTTCGGGTCGGCTTATTTTGCTGGCTGTGATTTTGGACGATTGCGCCTTCAGCTGCTTGCAGAAATCACAGAACACACTGGAACATTACTGTACTAAGGGAAAGAGAGAGAGAGGGAGAAGTCGGTTACCAGGATCCTTCCAATTTAGCACATGGGCACTGATTAACTTTCTCGTCAATCTTCTTGGAACAAGGCAGAGCTGGATTGTTTGGATCTGGAGTGCCTCCGATTCTCATCTCAACCTCAGCGATCAAGTTCTTTGTTGGCTTTGTGATCTCAACTCCTGAACAAAACAGGGATAAACTGCCAGACAAGCAGGACACAAACCTTCGGCCTTAATTTTAATGCATCCCGGAATGACTGGGTTCTTCGGGATGAGTTGGATCTTATCCGGGTTGAAGCGTATGCTTGGTCGGTACTTGTTAATATCGATTCCTTTCCGAGACAAGTATACTGCAAAATTCCATGAAATTCGGATGAAATGTGGTCAACGAAAACAGGATCCGCGTCAATGAATAGATTAGCAAGAACACGAAAACAGGTACATCATGGCACTCAGAAAACTTATTGGATTCTGCGTTCTTCTCACTTCTTCTCACAATATTCCGAGTTTTCAAATTTCTTAGAATAGCTTGACAGCTGGCGAACTTACTCGGGGAACACGCTCCAGAAACTCGAATATCAACCTCTGCCTTTTCCTGTCCATAAACAGTAGTAATGAAGCAGAGAAGTATAAGCGAATAGACCCGCATGTTTTGGGAGAAAGTGTGGATCAGTATGGTGCGCGGCGGACACCGGACGGACTGCATCGCCTATCGTCCCCTGTCGTCGTTGTCGTCGTCGGCGTCGTCCGCGTCTCTAAATCTCTGCGAACCTGCGAAAATGCCAGTTCGTTTCACTTTTCTTTATCTCTTCTCCTCTCCCGTCTATCCATACATCCATCCGCCTCCCCCCATTCCACAGTGACGGCGCGACGGCGCTGCTGACATCGTTCCCACTAGTCCTGAGTGTACACACCTTCAATGATATAACGCCCATTCACTATCTCTTTTCCTTTGCTTTTGCGATCGAACGAAGAAAGAGTCATTTCGCAAAGAACAGGGTTCACATTCGACATGTCTTCGTTCGCCCGCAAATCAAATGGCCTAAAATGGAAAGTGAAACGAGATGATTGTCTGAAGTCTTAAGGTTCACGATGTTCCAGTATACAGAGTGTTACAGTGTCTCATGTTCAGTATACTACACAATCCAAAATCTGGAACATGTTTTCGCGGGAGGCCTAAACCGATTCTCTTTCAGATTTGCAGTTGCCACTAAGCAGTATTCATAAAAGGTTGCTCATGCGAATAATGTGTACGAGAAAGACTCAGAGAAAGAGATAACCTAGATGTCGATTTTTTGCAAACTTTTTCATGTCAAGTACTCTTGTCACGTTGTTCTTACGTTGTTCTCGTATGACTATGTTTTTTCTTTCAATAAGTAAGAGCAGAAAAGATCCGTCTGTACTATACAATGTCTATGATTGAGAAGCAGAGCAGCATTGCATTATAGCACAACCTTGCAAGGGACCTGGGCAGTGCCAAAATATGAACGGCAGGCTTCAACTAGGACAAAAATATCTCACAATTTTGTTCAAAAGGGGTTGATCGCAACTATCGCAACACTGAAACCTGTTTTTAGAAACTTCACCGCACTTTAAGAGACTTTGCCAAGCGCGTTTTTGTACTTTCCTTGAAAAAAATTAGTTGAAAGTGAAACATCGGACTCGACGAAATCGAAATCTTGCAAATCTCTTTTAAAAGTGTGTCACAACTTATATATTCCCCTGACAAGCGTTTTTCTTCAACATTTATTGTTTAATGGAAAAGAACATTGGGTATCTTATTAGTTGTTTGTTGCGATGCCAAACTGTGATCCTGCCAAAAGGCTATTGTACTTTGGCAGATTGGTTTCAAAGAACAAAACATGTTATCTGAAAACACTTTGAGCCGCAGACCAATAACACTCCACTATTTACTTTTGTGATATTTTCTTCTAATACCAAAAATGACGGCACACTTCATGTACACTGAAGGGAAAGGACGTCGCGGAAAAGAGGAGGAGGTACAGCGGGTCGATAGACATACACAAGCATCATGCCCCAGCGAGAGACAGAAAACCCGCAAAGTGCGCAAGAAAATTGCCGGGGGGGGGGACGAAAGTTCGCTTGAATTATTACACCCCGCGTCCGCCCTTTGGCAAGAAGGTTACGTTTGATAATGTTCCGGATGCGGATAATTAGAGATTCTCGTTTTACAACACCTCTATCCTACGTCTGAATTGTGGCGAAGCTTGAAAATACCCATTGTTTTTTTCTGGGGGCGGTAATTACACCTGATGCTGTTTTACTCCAAATGGTTCAGTCTGTCGGTTAACACAACTCTTTTGTTTTCAAAATTGTCTATTGTAAGATATTCTCATTAAGGTTACACACTGCATTCGATTGTTTCTCAAATGAATCATTGTGCATCACCTCTCTCTTCTTCCAATCAATTCTTCATTTTTCTTATCGCTTATTCATTGTGTAATAGCACTCCCTTTCAGAAAAAAATACGCCTTGTTTCGGTTGCATTTGCTGACTGCCTCCTACGTGGCAGTTCCTCTTCCTCTTTCTCAATCAATCATCTCATTCAACCTCCTGTTGTTTTACCCTCTTGCGTGAAACGAAACTCTGCTTTTCCTTCAATCCGTTCTTCTGGATAAAATCGCCTAGAGGACTCACGAATAGTGTGTCATGTGGTCGCATTTTGATAGAATTCGATAGAATCCTTTTCATATTTTGAAATCTTTCTTAGCCAGTTTTTGTAAAACTTCAATCCATTTGGAACTGCAGGTTGATAGGAACAGGTATTTTAGTGTCTGCCTTTGGCTAGAAGTGACCCAAAAACTACGCGAATGTAAGGATGTGATGCCGGCAAAAACTAGAAAATCAGTGAGGAAATTAGATTTTTGCTGATTTCTGAGCAATAAACTCAAGAAGTCAAATGTTGCTCAACACCTTCGTTTCTTTATTTGTTGACATATTTGCAAAGAGATTATCTCATTTGATCAGTCTGCCCGCCAATAAATACAACGTTCTCTTCCGGAAAAAAACTCCCTTTCATTGTATCTCTTGTTATTTTGATGTTTTGTGCATTACCGATGATACTATCTGTGCAATTTGTCGGCAGATACCGAGTTTACAGAGAGCAGATCATCACACCGTTGCGTCGTACGCACTCTTCTTGTTCTATTCGTGCACTGATTTTGTTTTTGTAACTGTCTTTTTTTCAGAAATAATCCGGGCATTTGAAGCGCGAATGGCTCCGAATTTGAGGAAGAATGCGGAGGAGGATTTTGTATGGATCTATGGCACGTTTAAAGTATATTTCAAATACTTGCAGAAATCAAATCGATTTTGTTACAGAAAAAGGAGAAGGCCTTCGAGTTCCATCCGAAGCTCCAAGATCACATCGAGGATTCTTTCCAGAAGGGTCAAAAATCTTGCAGAATGCACGTGTTCGGCGACCTTTGGACCTTGGAGTTCACCCGAATGATAAAGAAACGTGAAAATCTTCCGGACGAAAAGATTAAGTGGGTTCAATTTTCCATTAATATTCTTGATCTTCGCTTCAGAAGAGTTCTTCGTGCCGAGTTCAATCAGCACGGTGTGCAAGGTGTTTCTGGCGCTGCCTACGGTTTGTGTACGTGTCTCTATATGTTTCTGAAATTCCGTTCAGAAAAGAAGGCCGCATTCGTACACACCGATCCCACATGCCACATCTGCCTGTACAAAGTGCTCATCCCAACCAAAGTAGAATCTTGCGGACATACATTCTGTTTTATGTGTTTAAAGAGTGAGATATCGATTGTTGTTCCGTTTAGCAACTGTTTCTTTTCAGGCAATGTCATGGCCGGAATGGAGTGCCCCACTTGCAGAGCGCACATTCCGCCATCTCTCTTCCAGTCGCCGATCCGCAACGACTTGGACATTCACATGGAATGTCCGGAAGAGTACATCGAAGACGTCACGGCCATGTTCAATACACGAGGTCTTCCGTAGTTCAGACGCGTTGTAAACAGCGTAACGAACTTTTCAGGAGAGGTTCAAGCTGAGCCGTTGCGCCGTTCCCGTCGATCTTCTCGTATCAAGTATTATTGGATTTACGAAGACGTACGTCGATGATTAACGTTTTTCTGAACTAGACGATCACTTTGCTGTGTTTACAGAAGGAGCAGAACGGATGGTTCCGTTTCGATCCACGAAATGAACGCTTTATCGAAGAGAGTTTCATTCGCAAGAAGGAGAAGTGCCGCGTTAGTGAAAGAGACTAAGGAACTTGAGCAATTTTTCTGTTTCAGCTCTTCATCGCCGGTTGCTGGGTTACGATTTTCTTTGAAGAAATGCTCCAAGAGCGCACCAAGCGCGGAATTACTCACAGGAGAAAGATAAAGTGAGCAGGAAACACAAACAATTTGATATAGTATGTTTTCAGAAGAGTCAAGGCTACCGATCTGGACAAGTACTCCGTCAGAGGTATTGCGGGTATTTACGGTTACGTGAGAGCGATCAAATGATTCCGGTGATGTTCCTCCTACTCGTTCTTTTCTCTAAATGCCTACCATTATTTTTCCCCGCGTATCTCAAGTGTTGATTATTTCCCTTCCCATGATTTCCCCATTTATCCTCATCGGTTCCCAATCTTTCAACTACTTGCCACATCAAAATTTCCAGCTTCGGTTATTAAGAGTTTTTTTCATGTGAAAGAAATCGTTCCCATTTCCTTTCAGTCCCTTCAGATCTTTGTTTTTATCAGCCTAGATACTTCCCGTTTTCCGGCTATATGTATTTCTTCTAGCCAATGTCATATTATCATATTTTACCTTCAATTTCTATTATATAATGACTATCCATGTTTGAATAGTGTTTTTCTAAAAAAAAGAGGAAATTTTAACTTGAAATAACAATTTTTATGAACACGAGCACAGAATTATTCAGATGAAATTTGGATCTCAGCAGTCTGTGCTTCGACATCTTTCGATACCTTCCTGGACCTGGCATGACAAGTAGCAGAGCCGAAAGACTGAAATTAAAGTAATGAGAGCTCGTTTCTTATTGAAACTATCTCACAGGCAATCCATGAGACAATGAAGGATCCATAGAACAGAAGGTGAAGGATGAGGCTAACAATGTTCCGCTGAGTCCATTTGAGAATGGAGAGAATGGCTCCGTCGTCCGCGTGATTGTCACTTTTGGCAACGTAAGATCTGATCGGGATATCTCCAGGGTTCTCTTCTTCACACATTACGTAAGCAAAGCAAAAGAACACAAAAAATAGGAGCTGAATTCCGCCGAACATTTCTTTGGGAAACGAGAAAAATTGCTGATTCCCTCCGATCGAAACACTTTATAGGATGAGAAAATTTATTCGAATAGCTTTTATGGTCATATTTATTGTTCTACACCATCATCCCACACAATATTGATCGCTGTAGGAAGAAAAGAAAAGAAAACATAATCATTGTCCCAAAAAGTATTTGAGTTCGCTGAATATTTTATCTCTGTTGTGAGCCAAGTCGACAGGCTCATCCGCATAGGTTGGATACATGTCCGAACAATGAGCGGCTCCTGAAATAAACGGCACTTTCATATATGTAAAGTACGTGTTTTAGTCACCTTGGATGAGAAGTGGTGTCACGTGATTCTCAAGATTAGTGACATTTGTTCCAAGAACATGCCATGGGTCAAAGGATCCATTGGGAAGAACAACGTTCGTGGCGTGATATCCGTCACCGCCTCCATATTTGTAAAGGGTTTCAATGTTGTTATCACGAATGAATTTTATGTCGACGTCTGGCCCAAACATTTCAGTGCACATGTCAATGTAATATCTGATAAAAATGTAAATTACAGTTTTTTCGCTGTCACTATTCCATTTTACCCAAGAGTAACTGTCTGCTGGAATATATTTCTGCCCTGATCGGTAGTTTGAAGAGCTCCGAGCTCATTGCAGCACAACCACATCCAACCACGATTTGCAGCTGGAATATATTAGGTAAAAAAGAAAAATTTGTAGTACAGGATATACCAATATCTCCAGGAACTGGACTTTCATCGTCATAGGTCGCATTCTTGAGGACCGTCATCATATCGTCATATGAGTTTTGGAACGGACCCACTGGATCATTATTCAGTTGATTTATCTAAATGTAAACTTGAAAACACTTTACTTTTCTCATTCCGGTACCCAGTTGATAGTGTTGTTAATGCGAACAATGACATCCGGCTCGTTGACGTCGTTCATCTTAGCACACAAATTCTTGACGTTCAATCCACCGATAGTAGCACTATTCTGAACTTGAAAGTTGATTACAAATGTGATGAATGACTCACTCTTCCGTCATAAGTGTACTGAACAACACCTTGGAAGAAACTGTAAACGTTGGCAAAGAAGTTGTCAATATCGTGTTGAGTGTAATTTCCATCGATGAATGGTGGGTGAAGGCTGGAATGCAACATGGTAAAGTTTGAAAAAAGGAAAATTAAACTGACTTGAAATAATTGTTCAGTTGTTGCATGCCCTTTCTAGAAAGACTTAGTTGTTGCATGTTTTTGAATGCATCGTTCACATTCTTCCAGCAATCGGTGCTAGTTTGCAGCAAAACGTCTTCCACAACCATTGCGTACTCTACAAAACCAAACATTCCTTTCTAAAGTTTTAGAAGCTTCCGACCAAAAAAGTCGAGAGTCCAGTCCAACGGAGCACTACTCGCCACAGCTCCGACGGTATCTTGCGGGTATTCTTGACGGAACAAAGCGGACAAAGTGCCTGGATAAGATCCTCCAAACGTGATCCACTTTGGATTTCGAAAGTTGTGTTGGCTATTCATCAATTTGATAAAGTTATGGATGTCAGCCAACGCTTGAGTCATTGTGCACACTTGGATTCCGGGCATTGAAGTGTCTCTGAAACTTTATATAATTTTCAAAGAACATGATAATAAAGCCCAACGGGTAAGGTCTGCTCTGTCCGAAACATCTGTGCTCCAACTGAAATACATCGGCTCCAAAGTATTTTGCCCATTGGAGATACTGATAGTTAGGATTGCTGATCCACGTATCAGTGGCCGGAGATTCTCCCTGAATCATCAGAAAGATAATGTTATTGTTCTGGGTGTAGTTCGAGTTGTACCAATATCTCTGTAAAACTGTAAATTAAAACATTCGTAGAAGAAAATACACCTGCTGGTAAGTGGCACTGTTTGCAGAATCAAAGTTGTCGACTTTCTGTGAAACTGTGTCTAGTTTCAGTCCAACTGTATTGGTTTCCTGTGCCACAAACCGATCTCCATGCCTGAGAAATCCGTCTGCAGTGGGACGTCCCAAAAGATACGGCGGGAGTTTCGGATGCCTTGCAGCTTCAACACTAATTGATCCGAGAACCAGTAAAATGTTGAAGTACTTCATCGCAAAAGGTGGTGTTGGAGCAAAAGTCTGTCGCTCGATTTTCCGCTCCCTTATCAGGCTGTCTTTCGCTTTTCATACCGATAAGAACGTGTGTAATGCGACGTCGGATCAGAAATAATTATCATCATTTATAAGCACGTTGACGGGGACTAAGGACCCTCGGCGTTTTGTTTTCGATGCGGACATTGAGACGCGTCATGATGACATCTTGAACATGTTGAAGAACCGCAATCATGCCCATCATGTCAGGGGAAAAGCTCGTTAAAAACATGTTTGAAAGACACAATGGATTTTTTTTTTTTTTGAATAACGTGTGGGAAGCTGTTCTGTTGGACTCAGAATCCCATTTGTTCAGTGAATTAATTCAAATAAAATAATAAAATAGTACTTCAGAGCAGAGCACATCACAAACAACAAAAACGTGACACCTCATCATTCATTTCCATCCGCCTCAAAATTAGTCAACCCCAATGTTTTCGCAGTTGTCGGGTTGAAAAGTCATAAGAAAGTAATCCAGAATGTCCGAAAAACAGCGGCCCGACCCTCGGCTACTCTCTCAGCCGTTTCCTACCAATTTGTTCTCGTATTCGAAATCTGTGAATGTGCGAGTGCGTTTTCGAATGTACATAAGTTGTATACGACATCAATTTGCATAGCGATGAGTTGAAAACTGGGACACGAAACAAGAACTCTCGACTACCCACTTACTGATTTTTGGTTTCCCGTAAGAGCACCTCTGATGCCCACTCTCGTTTTTATTTTTATTTTTTCGAGATGGGTTTGTGAGTCAGCTGCTCCCTGGTACTTCAAAAACAAGCTCAAGGTGGTCCGTTTTGAAGTGAAAGCAAAATTTGATAGATTGACAACTGCTGCAATTCAATTAATTTTAATTGGATTAAGTGGACGATTTTGGAAATCCATGCTTCAAAAAACGACAACTTCCGCTGGTGAAAAATAAGATTTGAAGAGAAGAGGAAGTGCCAAAGCCTGAATCTTTGAAAAACTATCTCTCACGCATATTAGCCCTATTCGCTTTTGATACAAAAAACCCGCAAGTCACTCATTCCTCCCACGGACATTTCCGTCTCAATCTGCGTCCAACCGCTACTTTTTTCGTTCTCTCCTTATGTCAGCACCTCGGTCCCTCCTGGCCTGGCACAGGTCCAGAATGACTTTTTCTTTTCTGTTTGATAAGCAGAGAGTACTTTACGTTTTGCTCACTGGCTTCTGATTTTCAATTCGAGAAAGTCATTTCGTCGGTGCACAGCAGGTGTTTCACATCTTCTGGCCAAGTACAATTCAAATTCGATTCGCATATTGCATTTTGTGCTCACTTGCAGAAACATCAGAATCCGAAAAACACGCCCTTCCTTCCTACTTTTTGCCGTTTCGCCATGAATAATTAGCCAATAATTGCGGGCGCCCTATAAATCTTGACCATGTCGCTTGTGTTTCTTCGGCTACTTGTGTCAAGCAAAAGAAGGGATGGCGAGAGCTGAGAGCTCCTCTCACACCTCTTTTCGAATTGTGTTTATAAAATCAAATTTACATTAGTTACACTCCAGAAACGAGCCAGCACACCATTTTTTTGTGTGGCAAAACCTTTGTTTCGAACGTTCTCTCTCACACTTCACAAGTTGTTTTTGGCATGGCTGAAGAAGTGAGTAGTGTCACGACAACAAAACTTTTCATCCCTTGTTGAGGTTTTGATTTCAATTCTCAAATTCTACCTTTTGCGTTGCCAGACGGACGATACGGACACGTGTTATTTCCAAACTTCCTGTTTTCTATCTGTAATTGAAAATACTTTTGCTTTTGCATGTACTTTTGCTACCCGACTTAATTTATCTCTTTTCTCGGGTTCTTGTGTTTGCTGAGTGTTTGTCTTCCAAAAAAGCGACTAAGCTCATCATTCGGATTCTTACAGATGAGCAAATCTGGCGGCGGTAGCCGAAAAGTGAAGCTGCGCTTTGCCTCCAGTGGAGTCTCCTCGTCCAGTGAGTTTTTGATCTTTTTTTAAGACGTATCTTCTTATGGAATGCTAAAACTGAAACTATACACTTTTATGACTATACGAAAGAATTTCATTTAATAGTCATTCGTCCAACTCGTCTGAACGTTGTTCATATCCCAAGTTTCACTTCCTTCCATAGCTCTTTAGGACCAGTATTTTGATACTTACAAGTGATAGATGATGTTTGTATGTTTATTTTCGAAAACCTAATCTTATTTACCTCCACACCAGTAATGGTTACACAATTTTAAAATACTTATGAGAGGAAGAGGGAGAAATGAAACCTTCCGTCAGACTTTCACACTTTTCACTCATCAAAACTTGCACTTCGTAATCACTTCTACACTTCTCAAATTACTCAATCTTAATAAGTTCTCTCTCTCTCTCTCTCTCTCTCTCTCTCTCTTGCTCTCTTTCTCATTCGTTCTCTTTCTCAGTTGTTTTTATTGAATGCTTCTGCACTTGTCATATCCACGCGCCATTGACCCTCTTAACCCTTTTTGCTCCCCGAGCCGTGTCCGGATGCTATATAAGCAAGAGTGGGAACACTTGTGAAACTGGACATGACGCTCACTCCTCGGGGGGATACGTAACTTCATTATAATAACAACGTAACTAGTGGTGGTACTACAAGCGGATCGTTGAGTAGCCGGAAGGAAAGCCCAACGACTAACTGGCAAGAACTAATGTTCGTATAGATCGGACACTCTGATCTGACCGCCGCTTGATTAGATTTTGGTGGTCGGAATTGAAGAGAAGTGTTATTTTTGAAAGCTTTCAAATGTGTTGGTGTACAAACAGAGATTCGGGAAGAAAAATTGAGTTGGAAGTGTGGGGAGGGTAGGCCTCATCTATTTGCAATAACTGACTGGGGTTGGAAGTCAGTGTAGTCCCGTGTGAGAGCAGCCATCCCTGCCCGGGTGTGACGAAGAAAAGAAAGCGCATTTTTCTCTATTCAAACGCACGTTTTGGTGGTATCAATCATTTGAGATAAAGGATAGGAAACAAAGCAAAGGTGTCATCGGCAACTTGAGTTGTGTCTTTGTCTCTCTCGCCATGTTTTCCGATGAGCCCGAAAAAAGTGAGTTTTAAGTAGTTTTTGTGTGATTTTTGCCTCAAAACCCTAACCTATAACCACGATCCCATAAAATCTAATTGTTAAGCCACAAGCCGCTTCTTCTCTTCTCGGCCTCACAATCAGAAACAAACCCCCTCTTTCCCATTCTTACCTTCGAATGCACGTCCTGAATTTCAAAGTAGTACAGAGAAAAGGGTATAATTGGTTGTAAATCCGCCCCGTGAGTATGGACAACTATAACAACTCTGCGACCGACGAAATTTCTTTCTGCGTGTCGTTACAAATTGCATTCTTAGAGCAATTGCAATGTCTGAAGATGTGGAACCAGTTAAAATGATTATAGGGGAGGCGGAAGGCCGTCCGTCAGAGTAGGCTCCTTGCTCAAATTGTCCCGATGGAAGAATGCGGAGATCGTCTTTGCTTGTTTTCTCTTTTCACTAGCCTACTTTTGGACAATTTCCATTTTTATTTACTATCGCACTACACATTGTTCAAATTCATCCCCCCAAAATCCGATTCGCTTTCATTTACGATTCTTCTCCGTGTACCACGAAAAGAGACAGCGAATATACGAAGGCGGGCGAAAGAATTGTATGTTTTGGTGAGTGTATGATTCCGAACTTCTTCCATTTTCCACATTATTCGTTCTACGATTGCTAGCATCTGGTCTCAAAGCCACAATAACGTAAGTTGGTTCGCCCGGCAGTACATGTTGCCCCCGCAGACACATTGATAGTAGCAATTCTCGGCGCGAGGTGACCGACAAACAATCAGCACGGGAGAGTGTAACAAAAAAGTGATTGGGGTGCGGTGTGTGCCTCGATAGCTCAGTTGGGAGAGCGTTAGACTGAAGATCTAAAGGTCACCAGTTCGATCCTGGTTCGGGGCAATGTTTTTTGCGCTCATGGATCATATACTTCTTGTTTACAGATGTTTTTTACTTGAAGTATTGAGGTATGTATGTTCGACTACTTTGAAAAATGTGTGTACAAGTGGGCAAAGAAAGAGCCGCGGGAAGCGGTCATTCCATATCTAGCCCGGAGATCTGGGTGGGTCCGGGCATTCATTCATTTTCCTTGTTACAATTTTTCATAAGCACGCACAACAACGACTCCAGATTCTTGCTTTCCTCACCAACTATTTCATTTGAGACTCAAACTACTATACATTATTTCGTTCTTGACTCCAGTCTTGGGGTCCTACACGTTTCATTTACACGCTTCAAATGATTTCCAATGAGTGCGGTGACTTTTGAATTCCAGAAAATACCAATCGCACTTTTACTATACGAATCGTTAGGTTACGCCTTCTTGACTTCCAAATTTTTTTGTTGGAACATTCATTTCCTTCAATTTCGTTCCCTCGGAAAACTGCTCGGTTTGCTTTTTTGCATGTTTTGGTAGCCAGAAGATGTGATTTCTATCAACCGTTCTTCATCGGCCAAAAACAGGAAATTGAATTGTTCGTTGGCAATTTTCAAAGAATCGGATTTAAATGTGCAGGTTTTCCTTTAGAAACGCACCCACTTCAAGTACTTCCCTCTATTTCCTCTCTGTACTTTTAATTAGATTCTCTGCACCGACTTCCGAGAAGAACCCTCCAGAAATTCGTGCAAAAATTATGCCGGAAATCACGCTCACGCTCCGACGGCGTTCCTGAATACCTTGAAAGAACAAACAATGGAAATTACCTATTCTGAACTTGTTTCTGTGATAAGAAAGTTTGCAAAAAAGGAAAACTTTGCGTTTTGAGCTTCTGCTGTTGCGGGTTAGAGAACACATTCAAAATTTATATGAAAAACATGGCAACCATCGACAAGACAAACATTATTCATAGATAAAGAAAAGTCCTGCGGAGAAGCGCGAAAACCGATGAGAGGCTGCTCAGACACTCTCATTTCTCCGTCGTTTTCCCAACTTTTTCCTTTAGGTAGGATTAAACGGCATTTTTCTTTGAAGTTTACGACAATTCGGATGTTTCCCCCCAAATAATAATCCTAGTAAGACTATTGTATGCAAATTAGTTGGTTCCCCGCATTTATTCCATCCGACGGACTCAATTCATCAATCTTTGTTCTGTGCTGTTAGTATGACACCTAAATTTGGAAAAACCAGCAGAGAGTGATGTATGACTCTCATTTAGATGCGTTTGCTTCCGAAATTTGTCCACTTTATCCTCAAATATCATTCATTCTGTCCATTTTTACTTAGAAGTGATACTAAGCTAGAAGAAAAGAGTGAATAGTAGAAAAGCTATTTATTATATCGAAGGTTATATTTTGAATTCGCATCTGCGGTGCAGCTCGCTCGTTTCTTGCTCGGCACAAGTGGAGATGTACATGGTCGTGTCGGAGCACAGAGCACCGAGAGCTCCGCCCCTTCACGCATCGTCTGGGCGTTCGTGAAATAGGCAGACTCTCTACAAACTGCCGTCCTCCAAATTGAATAGTGCGGTTATAGAGATTCTCGATATTATTATTATCACTTTACTACGCTATTCTATTCGTCAATGAAAAGCCAGCCGAGTGAAGAATCGGCGACACCGGCGCCTGGAAACGCCGGAAATCGGCGTGCATCAAGCACCAGAATTTCGTTTTCCGACCAGATAGGTAACGTTGACTTTTATTTCCTTCGAAGAGGCGTTATTTGACCCCCCTCTTTAAGTTTCCGCTAGCACTTCGTCATTTTCCCAGTTTGTTGAGTTTCCGAGTCATGAAAAAATCAGAGCTCTGACTTCTGAGAGCATTAATAGTCCCGCAAGTCTGAGAGAACCCAACCACATCTCATTTGGAAGAGTCAATAAGATCTTTGTTGTTCGCCACAAACTGACGCCATACTTGGAGAATAAAACATGAGAAAGGCTCGACCGCGCCACATATAAACGTCTCATTGTAGCCTTTGTTCTGGCCCAAACTTGTCTTCTTTTCTCCCTATTCTTCCACCCATCCTCATCTGCTTTTGCTCCTTTGTTACCGGGACTACCTGGCGCCGAACACGTGTCCGTACAGCTCGGTCCGTCTTCCGAATACGCTTTTCACCCGCCGTATATGATGGATGATCTACTCTCGTGGCGTTGAAATATTCGTGTTTGTTTTGCGCCAAAACAACAAATCAACACAAAGTACTTCTGGGAATTAGCTCGGTTCGGTTAGCAAGCGGCGACGGCAGCGGAAGGCGCGAAAAAACATTTGACCGACGCGAGAAATACGACGAATAGGTCAAAGAAGTGACGCCCTCTCGCTCAGACACACGTACACACAAATCGTATTCGGATCTTGCAACAGGAGTGGGTATTTAATTGTTTTCCTGCCAAATTCGAAATTGTAAAATGCAACGAGTAATGGCCCGGCCGGTCGAAAACATGGAATTAAGAATAGATAAATAGGATGGCAATCGTGAGAAAAAATTAGCGCAAGTCGAGAATGAGGTTTTCACGCCAAAAGCCAGCCTTTATCGGCAGTTTTGCATGAGTTGCTCTCTCTCTTTTTTCTTTTGCTCAAGACAATTAGGTGTTGTTGCGTTGTACGCTGTTTTTGGAAACGACGGCAATTAGGATACTCATCAAGTAGTTTGACTTAACATGTTTCTTCTTGAAGCAACAAAAAAGAAGATATACAAACTTTCCGAGGGATTGCAAAGTGAAATGTTGGAGAATTAAAGGAAAAAAGTTGAAACGGAAGAGATCTGGTCCCGTTTTCACACCTAGCTGCCCAGCGGCTTCATGTTCAAATAATCCAGACACTCGATGGCTTTATTTTTTGACTTCGAAAGCGGATAAAGTAACACCTCTTTTTATTTTATCTGATATTTTAAAGGTTCTCTTTGCTCTGGAGTAAGTTAGACAAGAGGAGCGTCTCCGAGAGAGGGTCTATGAATTTCGTCATTGAAAACAGATCGAGACATCATTTCCTTCTCTCTTCCGTTCTACTCGTATACCCCCCGCGAAAAGACGGAGCATCAAACAACCACCGCTTAAGTAGAATTCTCGAGAATTTCAGCTTATACTCTCCGCTCTCACCAAGCTCTGTCTGCATGCACGGTCTTTTTTCCCGATAATCGTCTTCTCGACATGTGTGTTTGAGGAGGAGAAACCACATTTGAAACGCACGTTACTAGGGCGACCTGTTCCAATCCAATTAATCTTTTTTTTTTCGACGCTCGTTGCGTTCTCCTCCCACCCGTTACCCTTCGTTGTCCTTCCTTTTCTTTCATTTCCACCCTTCACACTTTTCGCTTTTTAGATGGAGTTTCTGGAAGTGCGCCAAGGATCACTGCGTAAGTTAGGAAAAGTCAGGAGAAGGAGTTGTCGGAAGAAGATGGAAAGGTTTTGGAGACCATGACAAGCCCCACTGGCTTAGTTTCATAAGTCTAGTTGCCCTGGTCTTGAAAAATGTACACGGGTCACTTTCGCTCCGTTTCTCCACTTTTTAACGACAGAGAACTCTCTGACAGTGAAGTTATGAATATCTTCATAAGTAAACGGATCTGTGAACCGATCAAGTTAACTTGTTCGTCTAAATGCCATTCCTAATTGGACGATTCCCCTAGTCACTTCTCATGTTTGCCATGAAAAGCTCCGCCTTCTGACGACTGGCAGCTCAATTACCAGAACAGTAGAGACAGATTGACTTTTTAGCCAGTGTCAATTAGTCGACTTTCTCAAATTCCTATATTTTTCCAGACGGCGGTGATTCCGGCGATTCCTCATCAAACGAAAGCGAGCGACTAATGGATTCGGATGAAGAAGGGAACATTCAGATTCCGGTACCCACCGGACAACCTCGTGGACGTATGGGACGCAGGTAAGTACCCTCTCTGGGGAACTTCAAAATCCGGTCGCACTTCCTGTTTCGTTTCATATATCCCATTCTCACCTCTTTGCGCACACAACCTCCAATTGAACTCTGACCCATTTCCGCCCTTATTCTTTCTGCTCGAAAATAGTGACAGAGAAAATGGGAGAGAATGCATGTGTGCACGGAAGATTACACTTCGAGTAATCCGAACTCATTCATCAAAGCGCTTCTTTGCTACAAGAATTAGGTACTTTTTGGCGACACATCGCTCGCGCAGCACCCACGGCTTCGACGGCTCAATCTTTTCCCATTCTCTCCGCACGCGCAGAGAAGTACTGCTCGTAAAGAAACATGGGACCGGGGGCGGTTTTGTCTTGCGAGTTTCTTAAGATAATTACGGGTTGGAGAATGACAAATAAGTCGGTCGGTCGGTACCGAGCGGTTCCTTTTCGGCGAGCATTCGTACTGGCCAGCGAGCGGGTTGGAGGGGAGATGAGAACGCGTTCTCGACGGATACATAATCTTATTTGCACTTTGTATCAAACACGCGCCAATTAGGATCGTTTCATAGTGCATGATGACTTCTGAAATTTGAGAGCATGTAAATAGGTTACAAAGATTATCTTTTCCCATGGGACTGTGTACGAACTTGTGGTGTGTATGAGTGGAATGATGGAAACAAATATCCGAGGGATGATGTTTCAGGTTCACCCTCAATCCGCTCATTTTTGCTAAGGAGGAACGAGAGGCGCGACGACAGTCGTTAGCACAACTCAAACTAAGCTACTATCCAAAGCACATGAATCGTAAGTATTGCATCGCGTTAATTGCTCCTTTGCACTCATTTATTCTGCACACAAACTTGTGTGTCCTTCCGTTTCGGAAGAAAGTTAGACAAGGGCTCAAAAACCAAAAAAAAGGGTCTTGAAATAGCACTGGCTTTCAGCGGAGCACTATGATACTGGACTAGGATTTTGTGGATGGTTTCTGATGGGTCTCTCATGGATTATCGTCATATCCACGTTCCCAGTTTCCATCTATTTCTGTATGAAGGTGGTGCAGGAATACGAAAGAGCTGTTATCTTCCGACTTGGTAGACTTATCGGCGGTGGCGCCAAAGGACCAGGTATAAAAACAGATCGTTATAATCTGCTCATGGTTCTTTTTAGGAATCTTCTTTGTCCTTCCATGCATCGAATCGTACACAAAAGTGGATCTCAGAACAGTCTCATTCAGTGTTCCACCGCAGGAAATTCTCACAAAGGACTCAGTGACCACTTCTGTAGACGCGGTCATTTATTATAGGATTTGCAACGCGACAGTCAGCGTTGCAAACGTCGAAAACGCTCATCACTCCACTAGGTAACGTCATTTTCACCAGTGACTGATCCTTTATTTTCTATTCAGATTACTTGCTCAAACCACTCTCCGAAACATGTTGGGTACCCGAAGTCTTTCTGAAATTTTGTCTGACCGTGAAACGCTCGCGACTTCTATGCAAACCATTCTTGACGAAGCCACCGAGAGCTGGGGAATTAAAGTGGAACGAGTTGAAATGTAAGTAAAAGGTCGGAAATTATATGCATTCTGATGAATATTTTCAGTAAGGATGTCCGACTTCCAATTCAACTCCAAAGAGCCATGGCTGCTGAAGCTGAAGCGACTCGTGAAGCCAGAGCCAAGGTGGGTGTCATCTAAGGCCATGTTGAAATATATTTTTGATTCTGTTTTAAGGTCATTGCCGCCGAAGGTGAACAGAAAGCATCGAGATCCCTGCGCGAGGCGGCTTCGGTCATTGCCCAGTCGCCGGCGGCTCTTCAGCTCCGTTATCTTCAAACTTTGAACAGCGTCGCGTAAGTACATGATGCTAAAACATGTGAGAACCATGACTAATGCCACGTGTTTCCTTACAGAGCGGAAAAGAACTCGACAATTATCTTCCCACTGCCGATGGAATTCGTTAGGCATCTAATCAACTGAGAATGTATCACTGAGGCTGCAATTACGAGTGCATAATAATGATATTATTCAGCGTTTTCTCTTTTTGATGTTAATTTTGCCAAAAACAGATAGTGTTTTCCTCTTAAAAATACTAATCAGATTCTAGTCTCTTTGTTTCTGATAAGACTACACCATAACCGCATAAATATCACACTGCTTTCTCACCATGATGATTCCATTTTCATTTACTTTCTCTCTCTCTCTCTCTCTTTTATATATATATATATATATATTTTTATCAATAAAGAAAATCAGAAAAAAAGCAATAATCGTCACAACGATATCTCCGTTTCGGGAAATGGAAAATAAAAGAATGCGGAATGAAAATAAGGGCTGGACTGGGATCTGTGAAACAAGAGATTCGATTAGTTTCGGGAGTTCGCTCTCTCTTTGAAAATCTCCAATTTGATTTCGAAAAGCGTGAGCAGTCCTTTCCAAAGGTCCACTTGCATCCGAATCTCATCCATGTCACCTATTTCGTCAATTTGGCCGTCAATATGCTTTTCGGTCTCCTCTGCTACTTCCAGTTGTTTCTAAAAACATAATAAGATCAAGCCGGACTCAATTATTGGGGTTTCTACTTCCAAAGTGTTCTGTCCAGCTCCTTGCAAGCTGTTCTTATCGTCCAACAAATCAGATAATTCGCCCTGCAACTCGGGAATCCGTTCCTTGCATTCTCGGATTGTGAACTCCAGGTCTCTGACCTTCTACAAGTACGCTCTTCAGTGTGTATACATCATTGAATATCCGGTTACCTCCACTATCATTCGATTGTTTCTCTCCATTTCAGCCAACTGCTCTTCCATCTCCATCTTCATGTTTGTCAGCTTTTCCATTTTTTGCTAAAGTGATCAGTTGAAAGTGTCAATTTTGTGTTATTTACCCGCACTGCCACCTTCATTTCGTCGCGTCTTGCCCGTTGATCCGTTATTCTATCTTTCCTGTTGTCCAGCTGCGACATCATTTCTTTCATCTCGGATTTGATATCCTGAATATAGACGCTGTGTGAGATTTCGATTTTGAAACTTTGAGAATGTTCCCTTTCCGCTCAAAGAACATCACCATTTGTCGCTTCATGTCAAAAGTGTACTGGTTCGGTTTCAACGACTCTTCTCAAAAGAACTATGGGGTAATCCCTCGTGGCCGATTGAACTCGGGTTTTCGTTTTCGTTTTCGTTTTCACTTTCAAAAAGAAATTCGCGAAATCCAAAACTTTCATCTCACCTCTGCGTTATTTGTTTGTGGAGCTGCAGTTTTTGGCCGATCGTATTTCGACGGCACATTCAGCACTTCCACTACTTCACCTCCAATACTTTCCTGCAAAAGAAAGTTTGTAAGGTCATTGAAACAAACTTCACTTACAATATGCGTTTCAAGGTTCGCATATCTTTTGACGAGAATGTCCACGGTTCGCTTCAACACGCTCTTTTCAGTGTGCATGAACTCCATTTCCTTTCTTCTCTTTCTCTGTTCCTCACTTTTTGTGCGATACTGCTCCAAATACTTTCGGTACTGCAACGAAACCATTAAACTGCTTTTCCACAAACTCCGCCATACTTGCACATTTGACACTACTTCCCCGCCCACTTTGTCTTTTAGATTGTTCTTTCGCTCCTCGACATCCTTCTCTACTTTCACAAGATCTTGCCTGAAAAGCGAAAAGTCACGTCAGTTTTCATACTGTCTCCCAATTTCCGTCGCACTGATTGAAATTCGCCCCCGTCTTAGCTTTAGAGCGGAAATTGGAGAGGGACAATCAAATGTTGAAACTCTTCCAGTGCCTTTCGTCCCAAGGATTTTTTTCAATTTCAATTTCCTTTTCCCAGTGGAATAAATAAGCCGTCGGACGGGTGGGCCTTCGCACTCACCTCAACTGCTGCAACTTGTGCACCGCCGCCTCCTTCTTTCGCTCAAGAATCGACAACTGATGACGAAAGACGCTGAAAAAGCTGATATGGTCAACACGTCCTACGTCTTCACTAAGAGAGGTCAGTCCCCCACATCTCTTTTGCATTATTTCTTTGTTTTCCTTTTTTTTTTCATTTTCGAGCAGGAAACGGGGAAAAGGCCCTTAAATTCGAATTCCAAGGACCTCTTGACAATGCGACATTCAATCAAAAATTGAAGGAAAAAACGCTCATATGAGTGTGTGCATGAAAGAGCCGACCGCGTGATTTCTCTCTCTCTCTTCCGCTTTGTCTTTTTCATTAGCAACCTAGATTCACGCAAATTTATGCACATGTAAGATGACGCAAAAATTACGAAAGAACGCTCTTGGCCCCGTTATTAGAAAGCAACATGTTGGCCAGGCACTGACCTCATGTTCTCATCCACATCCACTTCTTTGTGATCTCGTTCATCTTCCAGCTTGCGGGTTCGCTTTGTCATTTCCTCGATCTAAACCGAAAATTATTGGTTGGCTTCCGAGTTCAAAAGAGCAAGACGCTCTTTTCAATGATTGGCACTAACACAAAGTTCCTGCTATAAAAACTCTGAGAAACCCTATTTAGAAATTGAAAAATCGAAGAGTCCATCTTCTCAATTAAGATTCGCCCACACGTTCTGTCTTACTGGGGGAGTCGGTGCCAAGCCTAACGCTATTTGCTGCTTTTATGAGTTTCAAAAATGGAATAGATGGCCCTGATCGTGTAATTGAATGATAACACCTCCGCCTACCTCCTCATTCATCTTGGTGATGTCCTCGTCCCTCAAATGGTTAGCTCTAACCATAGATGCAAGCTCTCTCAATTTGTTCTCTCTTGACTCGAATTCATCCATCAGTTTGTTATTAACCAAATAAGTATTGGTTGCCACTTCATCCTAAAAATGTGCGAGAATTGCATGGGAAAGTGGGAAAAGTCGGTGGGAAACCTCTAATTTCTCCATCAGCGCCTGTTCGTCTAAAGTGTCGGCAACGGCGTGAGCTTCGTCCAAATTGATTTTCAGTCGGTTGATTCTACCCTCGATGTTCAGCACCTAAATTTCGTGATTTCTGAAGCTAGTGAAACGGCACTTAAGAAAAAGTGGATTGGAATTGCACTTGCTTCTCATTGCTCCTTTCTTCGCACTTTCTTTCTATAAGGTTTCGTGGAAATCACTAACCTTCTGTCTTTCATTTTGTTTCTGAATTGCAAAGTCTGCATACCGCGCCTTCTCGCCACGTAATTGCGACGCCAGCTGCATTTGTCTGTAATTAATTTCCCGACTGCTTCTCAGGGGCGTGGACGAGTGACTCACTTGTCGAAATAAGGTATATTCATCACTTTCTTCTCAGTTTTCTCAATTTTCCGAACCAATATCTGTTTTTCCTTCTCCATCGACTTCAAATCTTCCTTTATGTCATCCAACAAGAGTACATCCGCCATTATCCCTTTGAGATCGGCATGAATTTCCTGAAAATAACAAAAGGATTATTAGTATCCGTTTGATCTTGTCATCTGTTCCGATATCATGTTTCTGAGGGCTAATCCATTCCAGTCACTCACCTTGAATTCATCCATCAGTTGGGCCAACTCATTCTGCAGCTCATTCGTGTCGTAATCGTTGAAATCGCTCGGTACTTCGGTCTATAATTCAATGTTTTGTTTCTTGCCCAGACTGATAATCACACCAGGTAATTTAATCCAACGCGAGTTGTCTCGTTTTCTTTCTTTACAGAACATTAACAAACCACATGCACATTCCCACTTTCATGCGCCAACAAATCAGTTATTCAACCAGAACCCCGCTTGTTCCGTATCATTTTTCAAACATAATGAGCCCCTAAAAACTGGCAGCAGCGAAAGCAATTCATTACCCTCATCAAAAATTTAGCCAAATATGCGCGCTCCTTCAAGGCTTCCGAATTTTCGAAGAGAAAAACGAGCAGCGGGTGAATGCTGCTCTTGCGACCTTCGACTATCCCGGCTCGCCATTCCTCTCTGTAATGTTATGCCAAATTAGTTGCCGTTTATTTATTGCTCTTTTGTCGCCCTACAGTTCCTCTTGGTCTTGCGGCGGTCGATAGCGTAAAATTCGTAGCGAATTGAGCACGCGAATCGCAGTGTCCTCGGCCGCCTCTCTTTTGATTTCCACTCGCTCCGAGTCGAAAATCCAGCTAAAATCGAAATTGACAATGGTAACAGTTATAACAGGTAATTCATATATGAATCAGCCAATTCGATTCCAATTCCGATCACTCATTCTCTTACCTCAAAACATTACTCAGCAGCTGGATGAGCTGTTGGTGCGGCATTTGATCAAATTGAAGCGGCGACATATTGAGGTTGAATGGCTCATCGTTCAAGAACTGAAGGATGAACGTTTGAATATCGTGCGCCATCCTTGTACGACGTCCCAAGGGAATAATAATCCTTTTGGTTCAGTGTGGCATGTTGCGAAAGTGAAAGCGAAGGCGCTCTCGTTGTCCGGGCAACGCCACGTAAATACGGCGACCCATATGGCGGTCCTTCCGTCTCGTTCGGAATCGAATTGTGTTGTCGAGGGAGGGAAATGAGAGAATTACTCAACGACCAGGTGTATTTGAGAATGGATATCGGCAAAGAGTGGCTCTGAAATCAGTTTTGCTCACCCCTGAAATCTGGAAAACACACATAATTTTTGTCAGTTTTTCTGTCGAAGCCACTTTCACATCTTGAGGCATCAATCGGCCACCCAAACGCATACTCATTATTTGGGGAGAGGAAGGGAATTTAGTTGTTTTCCGCAGATTCCCCACTTTCTTAAAAGAGATGCGAGCAGCGGCGAGAATGACGTCAATGCGCGGTTACTAGCTCATTCGGTGTGCGAGAGAGCGCGAGACGCAGACGCGAAGTGCGTCTTCAGCGTACTGAGCGGCATAACGAACAAACAAAAGAGCTTTGTTGGTCCGTACGTTTTCGAATAAATCATTCGAACATTTTTTACTTCTCCTTTTGCAAAAATCCATGTCTTTGTGTCTTTTTGCGCTATTTTCATGCATTCCCGCGGCTCTTTTCATCTATTTCTGCTCAGTTTCTATGCAATTTCCCGATTGATTGAAATGCGATCAACTGATCTATCGATTTTCAGCTTGTGTCGGGGCGATGCAAGACCGCTCCTGCTACAAACTGACACAGGAGGGCGAGCGATTGTTTCGTATGCAAAAATATGAGCAAGGTACAAAACAAGTGAAGTAACAGTGCGAACTGACGTGTTTTCAGGCATCGACCTCTTGAAAAAGGCGTTGGAAGTAGGAACTGATGATTTCTCGTTGCTATCCGCAATTTACTGTCAACTCGGAAACGCGCACACCATGCTCAAGGAGTATGAAGAGGCGCTCAAATTCCACACGTACGACATTTTGGTGGAGAGGTGAGAGGAAATGGAATATGCAGGAAAATATCACGGATAATTTTAGACTTCTCGGAAACAAGGAAGGAGAGGCGAAGTCGTGTGCCAATCTCGGAAACATCTTCAAAATGAAGGGAGCGTACAACGACGCGCTAACTTTTACCTTCAAACAACTCGATTTTGCTGAAGAGCTCGGAGATAGAGTGAGTCGTCTCGTTGCCATGAAAACGGTCGCCCAGTATAGAATTAGGGACGAGAAAGAGAAGGTTACAGCGGAGAGAGGGTGGTGCATCAGTCATTCACAATATTCTTTCTGACAAAGACGGAACATATTTATTTCAGGTGCTCAAGTCTCGTGCCTATTACAACATTGCCACGATCTATGTGGAGCGTGGAAGATGCACGAAACTTGAAGCTGCCGAAGAGAAGAGCGAGGAGAAGGATGCGGATGCGACGTCGGATTTCGAGAATGCCGCCAAGTACTTCATGTTAGTTTTAGGAATTCTCTTTAGTTTGTGTGCACTTTTCACTTCAGGCTCAATCTGGAAATAGCCGAGAAGGCGGAAGACGCGCTGACGATGGGCCGGTGCTACGGAAGTTTAGGCAACACTTATTATTGTCTCGGTGATTACGACCAATCTATTCACTTTCATAAGCTTGTGAGTTTGAATTTCGAAGTTCCGATGTCCTTTCGTTGACGCGCGTTGCGGATGTGACGTCGCGTGGTTCTTACCGGAAATCTCGTTTCGAATCGCCTCTCTCGGTTCAAACTTTTGACCTCTTCTTCTTCTTCTCCTATTTTTGTCAAAAGAACCTTTACACGACACGTGTCTTGAAAACAATACTTGTCTCAAATGACATTCCGGAGAGACATCACGTGTTATTTGTTCGTGTCAGGTGCAATCGAGACAAGGTCTCATGTTTGCTTGGTCCGGAAGAGAATAATGACTAAACCTGAATAATTTAACAAAACTGTGCCTGCCTTATCGCATTTCCCATGAAAACAAAAAAAAACAAAAAGCTTGTGTGTTTGGCTCCCTCTGTTTTCTTTTCCTCCCAATCCTCATAAATTCGCAAAGCCATGAAAGAAAAGGGAAGGAAAAGGAAAATGACAATGCTTTTTTCCGAGTAATCAAATTTGACCAATACAAAACCAAGAGAAACTGGTCGAAAGAACACGCGAGACACATTTTTTAGGGTTCCGAAACCTCCTACTTTTTTGCGCATCATTGTGTTCGTGGGCATCCACTTCTCTTACTCGTTCCGGATTCAATTTTCTTTTTTTGTTTAATCCACCCGACAAATCTCCGCGGGAACCTTTCACGTCAGTGGATAGAAAAAAGAAAAAGAAGAGAAGGACCTAAGCCTCCTCGCCGCTCGCTTGAATACATGGAACTCTGAATCATCGGAACTCGCTTTTCAGAGACTCGAATTATCACAACAATACGGAGACAGATCGTCAATGCGTCGTGCTCACGCAAACATCGCCAATTGTCACGCGTTGAAGGCGAATATGCCAATGGCAGTTCAGCATTATAAGTAAGTTGTCGGAGCCATCAACGAACACGTCATGAGCAACTTTATTCAGATTGGCTTACAATCTGGCATCCGAGATAGGCAACAAAACGGAAGAGGCTCAAATGGCTTATTCTTTGGCCAACGCACTCTACATCGCTAAGGAGGTTCAGAAAGGTACGTGGGGGTCACGCAGTATTGGGCGTGGTCGGGTTGCACGGGGTCTTGTGCAAAAACGACAAACGCAGGTAATAGGGATTGAATTTCATCGTTTCAATGGGGGGTTGGCCCCTCTAGTAGAGTCGTTTTTTCGGGGCTCCATGACGTTCTTCTCGTTTCGAGAGAAGTGCGTTTCAACTGCCCCATCTCTTAAAGTCGAAAATAGACTTGCAACTAACTCATCGCTCCTTCGTCTTCGACAAACAGCTGGTCAACTGAACATTTGACATCTTATGTGATGATTTTGCTCTTCCTTCTCTTCCTCCTTTTTCTTCTTTTTTCTTCTCACGCATCATTTGATAAATAAGCTACGACAGAAACTCTTCCGTCGTAAATGCGAGGAAACGTGTCATCGTGTGGAACCCTTCCAATGCTTCCTGATTGCATATAAGTTGTTGGGGCGGCCGCCGAGCCAGAACAGAAGCTTATACTCAGTCTTGGTGAACTTGATGTTTTTCAAGCATCGCCGCTCCGCCCTTGTGCTTAACATCAACGATTAACTTTCCAGAATTTCGAGCCGTCTTATTTTTGATTTGCTTTTTGGTTCTTTTTCTGGTTCTAACGCCAAAAGACAACAACTCGAATTGTTAGCCATTCGCGCTCGTTCCATATTTTATTTCGCAACCAATAGCCATCAAGAATTTTTTCTCTGCTCTGTTTTCTTATGGATTTCCAGTACCCATTCGCAGAAACCAATGCAAACAATTCCCCATGAAAGAAATGTGAATTTCGCGTCACTTTTTGTTTTTGTCACCCAATTTTTTGTGTGCACTCACTCACTTCTTCTTGTTGTTTGCGAATTTACTCGCCATTAGAGTCGTTTTGTGAAAACGAATTGTGAGGGGTGAGAAGTGAGTGACTCGAAGTAAGTAACAACTGTCTAATGAAAACATCCGAAGAAATTGGTTGAATTCTATGTTCCATCCACACGTCATTGAGTGAGAAGAAAGCAAATAATCGTCATTCTCACTCAGTCGCGATTCCCTTGCGTCTTCTTCTAAAAGATTCCCTTTCTTCAACCAAATCTCGTTCTCAAATAACGATGATGCATCACAAATTCTCAATTGTTCATTTCCAGCGATCACCTACTTCCAACGTCATCTGAAAATTGCGCGCACTCTGGAGGACACTTCCGGCCAATTGCGTTCCTATTACTCATTGGCGCTCTCATTCAACAATCTTCGCGACCGTCGCAAGGCTCTGTATTTTCTCGTACTAGCCAAACGGATCTCTCTTCAGGTTTGTGAAAGTTCTCTTGTTTTCCCTTCCGCGATTCGCGCAAAGCACTTGAGCGTGTGGGAAAGCTTGTGAAACGAGGCACGTTTTTCTTTGAACTCATGCAACTTTTATACACTGTTCTCTCGTTTCCTCCCCAGGCACGTCCGCTTGTCAAATTTGCAAGTGGCACTTCCCTTGAGTGACTCAACCTAAGCGGAACAAGAGCGCGCAGAAGAGAAACCCATTTCCTTCTTAATTCTGAAATCGGTTTGAGTGGAGTGATGAGAGGGAAGGCTGCATTGACAATTGGAAAAACACGTCTGGAAGGTGGTAATTGAGTTGGCTTAACTTTCATACTTCTCCTAATTAGTTTTTGAATCGACTCAGTGAGGGCGGCCGCGACGAAAGATTGACGGGGGAGGGATCACATGAGAATCTTGAGATCATGAAAATAGAGAGAGAGAGAGAGAGAGAGAAAAATGTGTTTTCATTGAAGGTGAACGACACAAGTGCTATCGGCGACATTGACAATTTGCTCGCCGAGATTCTGGAGGCCGGACAGGACGACGTACTCATTGACGACATAGAGGTAGGGTATGAAGTCCTCGGTCCCACTTCCTTTATAATCTGACTCCTTGTACTTACTGGCACAAGATTTGTACTTATAGAGACTTATGTCCACAATCAATCGTTTGTCGCTCAGTCTCGTGTCCATATTATTAAATCGGCTTTGACCACACTAGAAAATGCCAGCCTTCGTCTTCTTCTGCTCTTATTTGTTCTTTCAACTGACTCATTCACCATTTTCAGCTCATTATTGACCAATCGGCCGATCCAGCAGGCCCGGAAATCGAGCACTGCGAGCTTCGACTCACGTACTTCCAGAAAAGAAATCTGCACGACAGACCAGTCAATGTAAGGCTTTTCGGTAAATGCACAAAGATCTGATCATTCTCACCTGCTTTCGATTACTCAAGACATGTGGTTCTGGGCTGTAGTCCCTTTCTGCCATTAGACATCCCTCCCCAGAGACACTCCTAATATCCATTTATTTTCCAGACTCCGGAGGATCCGCTCGCGGAAGACCGATACGAAAAGGAGGAGTTTTTTGATATGCTAGCAAAGTTGCAGTCAAACAGAATGAACGACCAGCGCGTGGATGTTTCCCTTTTAAAATCAAATCCCGACTTCAGAGTGCGTCAGGTCGACACCGAACCGGATAACTCGTCGACCGGTGAGTAGTTGTTGGTGTCCTTCGCGCTAAATCAGCAATTATACTCGCTCGGGAGTGGTAATTAGTGTGTGTTCTCGCGTGATGCGCTAAATTCCAGTGTCACTAGAATTGAATATTCATCAGTTCACAAGAAGAGCTGACAAACTTGTTTCGCGGCTCTTTCTTTCTCATCCTCATTTGAATTCATCGCGTCCCGTGATCTAAAGATGGACTCTCCACCGCGTCCGAATTCTGCTCCGGCTCATTCGAGAGCCACCGATGGTAACAGACGTTTTGTTGACGAGGGGAGAACTGGCTTGTCAGTCTAGAATTCTGAATGATCGTATTAGCTATTCAACGAGCCCGGGGGGTCGCGCATCGGGTTGTTGTTAGAAAGAAAAAGACCCGGCTTAGCGTTGTTGAAAACGGCTTTTTCTCCTCTCCGGATGGACTGTCGTCATGGAGATTCCATGAAAGCATGCCAAAGTTGTGCTTGATGTATCATACAAGTCCATGAATTGCACGGGGCTAAGCGACTCAGAAGGTGGTTAGGTATCCCGTTATAGTAGTACAGATCCATCCAACACTACTTTTTCCCCCGCTAGTCTAATGCATTCTTTTAGAAGCGAATGAAATTATTTAAAATTCTAAGAAAGATGCACGTTTTTTGATTGACATGTTGCTGACACGAAACCGGATAATTGAAAAGTGTTTCTTTTTTTTATGAGAGGTCTAACTTGTCTTGTTCCGAGAAGAGCAGCTCGTCTCGTGACCGATTCTTTTTGTTTCATCCTTTTTCGTGTGTTAAATTCAGAACTCGAAAAATTTAGAGGTTGCGGGAGAGAGAGAGAGAGAGAGCATGTCTTTGTAGCCGGCAAAATAGCCTGCGGGCAGTGTGAAGGGAGACGAAGATGTCGATGAACTTTATAGCTTCTCCTCGTCACCCCGTAGAAGTGACTTTTCCTTTTTCCCTGACATCCTTTACCCTGCAGCCAATAGTCAATTTTCCAGATGGTTCGGAGGTTCTGATCGATTTGCTTCTGAACGCTCAAGGACGTAGAATGGAGGACCAGCGAGCACCTTTCCTGCCAGGACTCAACGAGAACGGACAGATCATTCTCCGTCGTCTCAACACGTGAGTCATTTTGGTGGCTTTCTCTTTCTCTCTCTCTCTCTCTCGCTTCCACTTGAGTCTCGCCTGACACACTTGACAAACGTGCCGAGAAAACGCCTTAAATTTTCAGCAACCCCGGAAACGAGGAGCTTGACAACCATTTAGTCGAGTGGCTGATGCGTGTGCAAAGCCAACGTCTTGACGAGCAACGCAGCGAGCTGCCGCCTCTCAAAACTGCCGGACAGGAAGGTAAGAACGAGAAGACTTGTGATGTTACACAAACTCATTCGACGGTTTTGCAGAAGCGGACAAGAAGAAGGAGGAAGATGTGACCGACATTGTGCTCCGCATGCAAGCCGGTCGTATCGAGGATCAACGGGCCCATCTGCCGAGCACTTCGAGCCCCAACGCCAAAAACTAAGCTCTCGGCCCCCCACAAGTCTACGAAAGCTTTATGTTCCTAAGATTGCCATCTTGATCTGAAACATCTTGTCTGTCATCTTGTGAAATTGTCCGCGTTTTTACTCTACACATCCCATCCCCTGTCCCGTTTCCTTTTTCTTCTCCCCAGCCTTTGTCTGAATTCCAAACTTTTTTTCATCTAAACAGATTTCTTCACACGCATTTCCTCCTCTCCAAGTATGTCTAGCTCTCTCATCTTTTTCCTATCTTGTGTCCATTTAGGATTCATTCTGAATTGGCCAACCATTTTTTATATATACGCATCAAGGGCAAGAAAAGATGTGACTGTATGAGCAGAATGTGTGATTGAAAGATGCAAATTTATGCTTATTTTTGTCCAATGAAATGCTGTTGAAATAACAATATTTTTAATGTGTGATTGAGAACTATTTTACAGCTTCTATGCGCAACTCAAAACGGAAGGATAGATCAGAATCAGTGAGGGTACTGTGGTCGGAAGACCCTTGGAGCAGTTAGGAAGTACGATTTATTGAAGAACGCTCAATCAAAGTTCAATAAGTTTGTCTTAGTCCAAATCGCCTCGTTCGTCCGTAACGGTGATTTTTGGAGTCGAAAAAATTGAGTGGCTCCGGCGCAAATCGGATAGAGCTTCTTTTTCGGTCACAGCCTGCCTTAGCATATCCATGTTTTCTTGAGAACGATCCAGAAAGCATTTGAGCAAGTACATTTATGAGAATATTAATGACAAATTGGGAAAAAAATGAATGTACAGAAAAAATGATTGAAATCCCTCAGCGGGTGAATTGGCGTTGATCACAGAAAGGACAAAATGTAGCCGTAAAAGGATAGTTTTCGTAAGTTTTCATGAATCGTCAGTGGCAATGAACATCTGCAGCAGCACTAAACATCGAAGCGGTCAAGTTGGTCCGAGCACGCATAGCATTCGCCTTCTTCGAGCAATTTCTTGCGGTCGCTCTGAATATGTTCATGTGAAACGTGAAAAAACACAATTTCAAGCTTACTTCGGCAATGCAGGTCAAATGGAACGTGTGTCCGCATTTGTACGTTTTGCATCCAGCCATCCTTCTGTGTTCTTGGCTTGGCTGAATCGTCTCGTAGCACATCGGGCAGATTGTGTACAGGTCAATGAACACCGAAGATTCGGCCAGATCAATCACGTTTTGAGTCAATTGAGTCACATCCGTCAGAGTGGATTTGTAGCAGCCTGGAAGCTTGTCGAATTGGATAAAATAATGATTTTGTAAACGGGAACTGCATACTTTCTTGTGACTCGGCATGATTCGTGTAATCCGTCAACAGTTTATCCAGGGCTTCGCTCAAATTCGGAATTTCCGTATCGTCCGGCAATTTCTCCATGATCAATACTGGATCCAGGCAGTTCGACGCCTCTATTATCAACTGCGCGAAGTGAGATGGGTACTCGGTGACAACTTCCAGCAAATGGATCCAAAGATCCGCATCATTTTGATCTGAATATACGAAAATAATGAATGAAGTCTATCAAAACGATACCTTTGCAGTATGCTATCACTTTTTCCATGTTCTTGTACTCTCTGACCATCATTTTCACAGCTTCGTAGTGATTTCCACTTTTCGCAAGAAGATAAATGGTCTGAAATACAAAAGTTAGAAGTGCAAGCTGACAACTTACTGACCTCCTCAACAAAGCATTTATCCTCGCAAAGTTTCCTAGCTTTATTCACATTGTAGTTCACATTCTTCCGCAAAAACGGCAGCAACTTTTTCGGTTCGTACTCAGCATAGAGCTGAACGGCTCTGTCGGCAAACTCGACTCCTTCGTTTCTGCTCATCAGTTTTGTGAGATACGCGAGTTGGAGTTTCGGCTGTCGACCAATTTTCTCCATGACAAACGCCGGTTCGACTGAATCTGCATTGTCGAGAAGCAGTCGGAGAGCTCGCTCCGAGTTGATGGCCATCAACTCGGTTATGTTGTTCTTGACGAGATCGAACAGTTGATGTTTGTCAATGACATTGAAGATTTGAAAGTCATGGCAGGACATCAATATCTTCAGCGCATTCTCGTACTTCCTTTCGTATAGGTAGAGGTGAGCGAGCGAGTCCATCAGAATCCGTTCCGTCTCATCGATAGCGGTCTTCTCATCGCCCGACTTGCTGATTTGTTGGATTCTCCACTGCGCTTTATCAATTATATAACTTGTTTGATACAAATCCGGACTCCACGTTTGCACAAGTTTTCGGAACTGACGCGGATTGTTGAAGAGACAGGCCATGAGAACAGTCTCATATGTCTCCGCCTCGAGCTGTGGCTTCTCGGGAAGGACCTGTAACTGGTTTCAAGGGTTTCTCTGAACGTTTGGTGGAAGTTTTCTCACGTCAGCAAGAAGAGTGCACAATCGGGCGTCTGCGAAGCGCTGCACCGCCCATTCCCACTCCTCTTTATTCTCCCCGCAAATCGCTGGAAGACGGAATGCAGCAGCCTTGGCTCGTTTTCCAGTCAGATATCCTTCGATGATGAGCCGTCCGACATTTGTCTTATTGTATTCGGTTTTAGCAAGAAGTTCCGCCTGAAAAATAAAGATTTTCGCCTGAAACTATTTGTGTTAGGAACTCACATGTTGCTTGGCCATTTCAAAAGCTTCATCGTACAACTTGTACTTGAGCCTCCATTTGATTCCGTCTTCAGGTCCGTAGGGAAGTGCCATGATGACATATCGATTGGTGAGAATGAAGTACGTGTTGAGGTACGGAATTCCAAGTCCGTTGATCATAGAAGGTAGTGTGTGTTTAGCAAGAGCCACGCTGGAACTGTTTTATTGCAGCAAATCGAAATAAATGCCTGATTGGTTTACTTCTCGATGACATCTTCAGATTGCAGCTCGTACTCTTTGAGGCCCAGTGGTCGGATGACGCAAGTTTTCAGTACAGAGCAAGCACTGTTTTCAGTGGCTGTTAACGTCGTAACTGATGATATGACCGACTGGAAGTGAAAGTATATTACTTTTGAATTGATGTTTTGTGAAACTGAAACTAACCGCGCAGTCATCAAAATCTTCTCCTTCCAACTGCAATCCAATTAGAAACAGCTCGACATTCTCAACTCCGGTGTTTGGAATGTACGACATGCCACAGACAAACATTGACACGTGGAAAATGTGATGAATTTCTCCTCTCCGTACCTGAATACTTCTATTGTTACCTGGGACATGTCACCGTGAACTCACTCCATCAGTGTCTCGTATCCTGAGAAAAGTGACAGTGTCCGCCCAGCCAATTATCAAATTGCTGTCGGCCATCCATAGGTGTTTCGGTGGTGATCGAGAGGAACGGACCCGGTCGACATCATGGGATGGCTGCACACTCGTGATTATCTTTTCTGTTCCTCTGTTATGAATTGTATTGTTCAGACTGTCGGGGAAAGATGCTGTACCTTTCATAAATCCTGGTTCCAGTGTCGTTCGTGAATGCAATAAAGTTTTCGCTCCACGAGCAGCAGTTGATGAATCCATCCCTTTCGGAGCCGGCCCACAAGCTCTGAAAAGTTGCAGGTCAACCTGGTTTCTAAGCTCGGGGAGTTTACCGTCGCTTTGTACTGAAACAGACGTTTCTCGTAGATCACTAGACTCCGTTCTCCCACGACGAAGCAGTGACCAGATTGTTGTCGGTTGAAATCTGGCGAAAAGGCGACGGACTTGGGCATTCCTTGGATGTTCACCGTCTAAAAAGGGCAGATTAGTACGTAGGCGAGTTTTCCAAACTTACACAACATAGCCGATCGTTGCCTACTCCAGATACTACAATTTTACCGTCATTCGCACAACTCAGCACGTACGATCCGGTTTCGTCGAATTTCAGATTCGTGACAGAACAACGATGAGGTTTCATGACCTGAAAGCAGAAGAAAAAGTGTTGATTTCAATAAATATGTGTTTGGATTGTTTCCTACCGGCACGTTATCAAAATCTCCGTATCCGTGATGGTCAAGAATATAGATGAAACCCTTCGACGTGCCTATCGCCAGAAACTTGTCGTGCAGATCAATGGCAGTGAACGAAGCAGTTTTCATGAACGTCATCGACTCTTCTCCTTTGAGCCGTTCGTACTTGAAACGAGGTTCCAACGGCGGCTGAAGCTGGGGAGGGATTAGCTTTCGACTTTTCTTTTCGGTTACCTCGTCATCATCCTCTGGATCCGTATCGAAAGTGGTTTCCATCGTCAACGAGCCATCTTGCGTCACTTCCGGCACTTTGAAGTATATTCCCTCGTCGTAGTCGTCATTTTCATCCATTTTGCCTAAACAATGAGTTTGGTACAGAATTAGACACAACAAAAAGAGCAGATAGATTCGACCAGGGCAGAAACCTGTTCGTTAAAATAAGAAGACCTCAAGAAGGTATAATAATAATTTCAAACCAGTATGAAACCAAGAGAAATGACAGAAAGAAAGAAGCTCAGCCAACTTGAATAGAATAAAAAGAACAAGTGTTAATTAAATATGTTATTGTTTCACATCTCCTGCCGATAATTGTTGGAAATTGATCAGTAGACTGGAAGGACTTCTGACGTTGTTTATTGGGCGATCGTATATGCTGACGTACTTTCTGAAACAATATTTGGCTCTTTGCTGAATTTATTTGATGATCCCATTTGCATAAACAGGAATAGCGTATAAAACCAAGCAAACAGGCCTTATCGGCATATATTTCTCCATCAACTTTCTGTCCTTCTCTCCTACCAACTCACCCTTCAGTCACCGATCTGATCCAATCCGACAGAATCGAAAGCGTTTTGTCAGCCACTGGTGTCGGTATTCCGCAGTCCGATCGCAGTTGCGCAATGTTTTTGCCCAACCATCCGAGTCCTTCGAAAAAGCGCTCTCTCTCGGATCGCTTCTTCCATCCGGACAGGACGGCTCTGAAATCAAGGCTCTTATTTCATCAAAATTTGATCTTATTTGGCCTAGTCCGCTGTTTGGCAAAGTTTTTGGACAATACGTATCCAGTTACATCTTCCGGCCGAAAAAAGTATATTTTTCCGTTGCTGTTTTTTTTGCTCTATAATCCCTCAGATTTTATTGAGAGTAGGAAACAGATTGGCAAGATTTCGGGCCGGCTCGGAACCGTTGCAAGTCTAATAGAATTTTTAAGAATTTTGAACCGCCTCATGAAAAGTTGCAAAAAATCACGTGAACAGTCACAGGGTCGTTAGAGTTACGGTAGAGGGCCCATTGCAAAAACATTGTTTCGAAAGGAAAGGATGACTCAAGACTAGAAAAGAATGAGGCATTTCGAATAGATTCAAAACTAAGGCCGTTGTCAACATAAATCTGACCAATCACAGCCCAATCAGAAGGCGTGTCGGCATCACTCTCGCTCTGCGCCCTCTTTTCCTCGACAAGTACCCATGTGCCCTCCCCCCTCCCCCCGCTCATTCACACCATTTCTCATGCACTCCGTGTCGCGCGCCTCTTCCCGTCGATCTGTTTGCAGAAGCAAGTGACCTTCATTTACGTTTCTTCTTGAATAAGACCCTCATCTCACCTCTTGCTCACTGGCTCATAGATACATGTTTATTCTCCCGCTCCCCACCGGCGTTCAACACTACTTTTTCTTCCGCTCGCGCGCAAATGTGTTTCGCGTTCGGATATTAGGATGGAGATCCATCCAGCAGCAGGTGATGCTGCTCCGATCCCAATATGTTCCGTCCATCCTCTAGCATTGATTCATCATAAAATCAGTGATTCATCCCCCCACAAAATTGTGATCCTCGAGATGTACAAGAGTTCTGTTAGCTGATATTTGATTCATAGTTAGGCACGAGTATGCCTCCGTAAGCAGACTGATTGCTTGACAAGCAGAGACGCAAATTTGAAAGGACAATCTATCCGTCTCTCTCTCTCTCTTCCTCTCCCTTGGGAGTTTTCTGAGTAATCAACAACTAACTCCATATCAGTTGTCCACTCGCTGCTAATGTGCGTCAAAGAGTTAAGGTAAATGTCAATCAATCGAAACAGAAAGATGTCAGTTCGCGTTTTGGCTCCTGATTTCCCTTTTCACAACTTGAACTCACATTTTATCCTCCAATGGGCACACAATCCGAGATGACGACGAATACGGAATCACCGAATACCGTAGCGGGTACTCGAGAATCCGGCTGATCGCGTCGATCATCTGGATCAAAAGCCCGATGGCTGCCGTTGTTTCCGACTCGTTGTGAGGTGAAACTGGAATCCACATCGCTCAATTCTCAGTCTGCTCACACATTCACAAGCTCACGTTGGATGGAAGCCACGTGTGGAAGGTGCAGTCCTCGGATTGTGTCAACGAGCACACACTTGCAGTCCCGTTTTGGTCGATTCGGCTGCATAGATGCTGGCCCGCCGTCAATCTGAGAGAGACTGAGTTAGTCAGTAGTCGGGGAAGAATCGGAATACTTACGTCGATTTTGAAGACCTCCATCACTTCTTGAAGGAGAAACGTTTTCCGATAGGCACACAATCGATTCATAATCATCGCATTTTTTCTGGAAATTTTTCATTTTCTCCGAGCTGGGCAAATGACCAGGCTTTTTAAAGGCTCACCGAGGTTTGGACTCGTTTTCAATAATCCGATGGGACACAAAATTGGCACGCTTCTTGGACGTGAGGAACTTTGGTTGGAGTTTCAGACGGATTGCATCATTTGGTCCCGAGATATGTGGATTTTCGTAAAAACTCGGCAGTTTCGGTCTCACATTCACATATCTCGAGTGGAGGTGATCCGATCCGTCTGAAACTTGGACCCAAGATACTTCAATTCAAGTCCAAGGAGCCTGCAAAGTTCGGGTCTAATCGGATTATTGCAAGTGGGTCAAAAGTCCAGGCCTGGGTGCCCAGTCCTGCATTTTCTCCAACTCCGCTCACACGTATTTCTGCTTCACAGATTTATTTGATTCGACTTGTGTTCCCAATGCTTTGGTCTTATCCACCAGCTTGTCTTGGTCCTTATTCTGGAAATAATTACATTTTGCGTTTCAACTGATTCTCCACGAACCTTCTTGTCTATTTTATCCTGCACTTCGTACATTATCCGCCTTTTCGCCAATATCAACTTCTGCACCATCTCGATTTTTGTTTTGTAATTCTTACACTTTATACGTTTTTCTTCTAATTTCAGTGCCTGAACGGGTCGGTTCCATCGCTTTGTGACTCAGCATTGGCACTCACCATACTCTTCGCCAACTCGTACCGTACAACGAGGCCGTCTTCATCATCGATCGATTCGAACAATGTCCTCGAGTCAGTTTCCTTTTCTTTCACTTCCAAAATCAAGCTACGAAGTCTGAAAGTCGGCAAATAATCAGAAAATCGTAAATTTGTTAATAAATACCTTTCAAATGAGACATTATCGACCAATTCCACCTCTTTCCTCTTTCTCGTGGTCATAGCTGGTCCGGAAAGTAACTAAATTGAAGTTGGAAACCTTGAAATGGTCAACGACGAGTAGAAAGTCAATGAGAATGTGTAATGAAAGCAAATAAGGCAAAAAATGCAGCGTGAATTTACGGTAAACAAGGCGCAGGCGTAATTCTGGCGTGTCGTAGGACAGTGCGGTAAAGAGGTTGACCGCGGCGAAAATGTGCGGACCATTGAGCGACAGTCTGCGTTCCATTGGGACAATGGGAAACAAAAACAAGACGGACCAGGAAGGTCCGAGAGAGTGAGAGACGCAGATAGGAAGGAAGGTCTCGCGCAAACCGAGCGAGGGCCAAGAGCAGATGACACAGAAAAGAGATCGTGAGCGAAAACGTGTAAAGATAGTCATTTTACTCTTATCAGACCGAAGAAAGAAAAGTTGTTTCGGAAAGAAAAGAAGGGAGGAATTGTTTACTTTCAGCCGATACTCGATCGAAACTTGTTGTACACAGCACACGTTTTACTGCAAAGTTTGTTCCGCACGACTCTTAGCAATTTTCGTTTCTGATCCAATCAATGCAAAATTTTTGAATCACCTGGAAAGTGATATCATTCTTTTTTTGCTGAAATTCTGCAAATTACATAGTTGTAAAGTGAAATCATTTATTCGTTGAGCAAATGCCTGAATTCGTTGAGTTGAGAGGCAAGTTGGTGCAATTGAATTACCCGTTTCAAATCATAATAATTGGAGAGGCAGAGGGGGTGAGATCTAATGAGTAGAGCAAACAAACGGCAATTTATGAAATGATTCTTCTCCGTCTCAACGGCGTATTCGTCTTTTTCTTCGGAGTTGGTCGACTCGTTCGTCGAAAAGTTTGAGTGCGTATTCGTAGAGCTCCCAGTCCAATTTGTTCACATTCTGTATATATGCGAGTTGCGCTTCCGTCAGTATGGTGTCGTTCGATTTACTCTTTCCCCATACGGACATCTTTCGAGTGAACCTGAAAGGAATAAGGTTATAAAAATAAGTTACATTGTTGGGGCTCTAATTCTTACTTCAGGTCAAAGGTATTCTCAAAGTAAAATTGGCTGTCCTCCATTCGCTCTTTTATTCCAAAAAACGCCATCTTTCTGAAAGTACTTTTAATTGTCCCAGTTCGGTCTTCCCCCTCCCTCCCAGTTCGTTTCAAAGGATTAGAGGGACAGGGGGAAAAACTTGCCTCAAGTTTTCCTTTGCACTTTCCATCATTATTTTGTCTTGTTCGTACGACGGTTTCCGTAAGTGTTCATAGCAACCGACGAGTGATAGATTGGACAGCATTCTGGTCTGTCGGTTGAACGCCAGATTGTACGGGCAGGAGATGAACTCCTCCAGCGAGACACCTTCCCAGCCGATGCGCGGGTCGAAACACGTCGGCAGATCGTTGACGGACGCGGGTTTCCCATTGCAGACATGCCTGAAACTTGGTGATTTGCAAAGCGTTTCCCAACTTTCGCTTATCGCTTATCATACTTGGATGATATCCATGTTGCGCCCCTTTGAACATGCCGAAACTCAGAAATGAATCGATCGGTCGGGTTGCGCAGAAATGTAGTGTAGAAGTAGTTTCTCTTCTTCTTATGACCTGCAAATCATTACTCTCTTCTTCATTCCGCAGAGAATCGGAAATTGGATTTTGTCCCCCTCCCCCTTTCCGCCGAAAGCCGGCGCGGAGAGCGGACATAACATAGATATTTTGCCCTTATCATTCATTTGGAGAAGCCAATCAATGAAAGTGGTGTTTTGATAAACTCGTCGGCTTTCAGGGTTTCACTTCCTGTCCGAAACCGTAAATCAAACAGTTTCAGCCCCATTTCCACCCTCTAACATTTTCCTTTAGAACGCTCAAAGTCTTGCGAGCCTACTCCTCGTCGAAGCATCTTGCAACGGATGTCGTTCCGTAAGTTTGGAGGTATATTGTCCAGTTTTTTTAATGTGCCGTACTCACCTGCTTGCTTATCCAACACGCGCTGCACACAACTGTTGACGACCAGTTCAGTATAATCGGCGTGCAGTCCGCAAACCCATCCGGTAGAATATCGCGAAAACAGCCACGTCTGAAACAAAGAGAGAGAGAGAGAGTTTCACTTTCGGCCGCTCTCTATTACCTCGTTTGATGAATTGCGCCCACAATTGCATCGCTTTTTATGCGCCATACATTTGCACGGAAGACTTTCCTGGTAACGAACGAGAAACTTCTCAAATGTTGTGCCGGCGGTCTTTTGGATGTGGACAAATACCAGCACATCATTGGAGGATTTATTGAATCTGCAGCATCGCGTTATTGTTGCGATTTAAACTGAAATCTTCTCACTTTACTACACTCTCCGCGTTTCGAATCGTATCCTCGTAGCTATACAGTTCATTCTCATTGATCCGGTCGTTCAAAATTTCACTGCTAAGTCTCAGAGGAAAATCTGCAAACAGGCTCAAATTATAGGCCGCCAATTTCCCGATGCTGCTTCTCACCTATGTATAAATAAACAATCGATGCGCCGAAGAGGATTGCAACAAAAACAAACAAATTTCGTCCTAGAACACCTCGCCATCCTCGCAGCGAGCAAATTCCAATTGTTTTCATCGCATCTAAAACACTATTTCAATCGTTGCGGTCGGCGGAAACGAGTATTGAACCGATCAATATGAGGGTTACCACCCGCGACTCGCCCCCGGGTGCGCAAACGCGCCCCGTCGCACCCTCTCCGTCTCCCCCCAGACACCCTCGCAGTATACACTCGCTCATCGCGAACACTAACGCGCACCTCGCTCTCTATGTGTATTGACATGCTTTCGCCGCTACATGTGTTTCCCTCTTCATTTTTTACTTTCTCAATTGCCGCTTTTTCAGGAAAAATGGAGGTTGGCCATCGATTCCGTCGAATCAAACATAATCTGTCGACGTAAGTCCTTTTTTGCAAGAGTATAAGCTGAGTTTGAGTATAAGCTGAGTTTCATAACTCTTATCAACACGTTTATTTGCAGCAAGAAGACTACAGATGAAGAGCTCAAGAGTTTCCAGCCGGTCATGACCAGAAACACCAAGGTAAACAAGGAAAGGGAGCATTACAGTGATAATTACAGTTGAATTTTCAGGTTTCCGGCTTCGTCGCCACATTTCGTAAGGACCTGGGAGCCACTCTTAGCACAGGATTGAAAGAGGAAAACGTCGATAAACGCAAAGTGAGAATTCCGATTCGTGATCTCCCTTGAAACCAAATTATTCAGAAAAAAGTAGAAGAACTCACAATGGCGCAAAATCTCAAGGAGATGTCAGTCGATTTGGACTACCTCAACACGAGTTGTCTTCACCATGTCATAAACGCATTCGGATCGGTGCTGCACCAAGAAGTCGACGAGAAAGTCAAAATGGAAATGGCTCTTGAGCGCAGAGTCCACGAGGAGATGAGCCAGTTTATCGACTATGAGAAGAATTTGAACAAACTGAAGGATAAATTGAACTTGGTCAGCACGGACCTCGAAATTGCACAGAAAGACGTTGAAAAAGACCCGACCCAGCAGAATCAGGAGACTTGTGATGCCATTTCGATGAAATACGAGGGAATGAAGGACTCGCTGGTCACTGATATCTTTACTTCTTCAATCAACAAAGAGTTCCAAATCAGTGACGTGAGTTTTTGGTTTCGGAAATCCCTAATTCAGATATTTCCAGCACGTGCTCACGTGTATGAATCTGAAGAGAGACTACTACAGAAGAATGTTCGAGGCGTACGACAACGCAATCCCGACCGTCGAGTCCATGATTTGTTCGTTGTCGATTTCCACTTGTCAAATGCTAACGAGCCCCATTTGCAGCGAACGCAGTCACCCGTCCCGTGTTTGGAGTGCCGCTCGAGGAGCATTTGGCCACACAGAAAGAGAAGATTGCAGTCGCTCTCGCAAAGACTTGCGAGTTCCTCCGTCAACATGCCATGCACGAGCGGGGAATCTTTCGCATTAGTGGAAACGCCGCCAAAGTGAAGCGTATTCGTGCTGGACTCGACTGTGGACAGTTTGACGTGAGCATTGCAACATTCAGATGATCCGATTGAACGTGTTATTATTTCAGAATGATGAGAAGCACTATGGGAATGACCCGCACGCCGTCGCATCGACACTCAAGGCATATCTTCGAGAACTTCCAGATCCACTCACTCAGAACTCGATGCAAAAAGATTGGATCGAGGCTATTAAGTGAGGAGGACTCTAGGAAATTACGTCGCTCAAGATTACTTTTCAGTCTCGAGGGAGAAGAGCGTTTCGCCGCTATTGATCGTTGCCTCAAGAAGATGTCTCGTGGACATCGTGACAATTTGATCTATCTTATGAAGTTCTTGTGGGACCTCGAAGTCAACAAAGATGAGACTTCGTGAGGAATTGCCATTTTGACATGAGTACATATTTTGATGTTTCAGGATGAACGCTTCGAACATGGCGATCGTCTTCGCGCCAACAGTCACAGGAATGGTGTACGATGGAATGAACACTCACGGAGTGAAACTGATCGAGTTCATGATCTCAAACGGTGCTCGCATTTTCCATTTTGAGAGAAGCGAGAAGCCGGAGCAGGTCGAAACGGACGGTCAGAGCCAAAGCCAAGGACAGAGCCAAAGCCAAGGACAAAGCCAAAGCCAAGGACAGAGCCAGGGCCAGAGCCAGAGTCGCAATCAGATTCAAACGGAGCAAGTGGACGCAATGTACGTCCTATAATCACGCGAATTTAGAAAATAATATACAAATTGCAGTGATACCAGCCCGCCAAGTGCATTCACTCGTGCGCAGTCATCCATTAGCCCACGCTCATTCCGTCCGAAGGAGAAGGCTCCGCCACCGCCAATTGACGTTCCGTCCTCGAGTGGAGATCTGATTGATTTTCAAGAAACTGACGAGGACGACTTTTCCGACGATCACTTCTCTTCCAACGGAAGCGCTGCTCTCTTCAGAAGCTCCACGGAACGTCGTCCAAACCGTCCGCCCCCGCCGGTAAGCACCATTCTAAGCGAGAATGACACCCTGATTAATAAAAGTTTTCCAGTCATTCCGAACTAATGTGGCAGAGACTCCGAAATCTCGCCCGATCAGTTATAACATTGCCGTTGGAGCACGTCCGAGTGAATCCGCGCCGCCAAAGCCAATGACGGTCAGTTTGGAAGAGCTGGTTTCTGAAACCCCGGTCGCCCCGGAGCGCAAGAGGATGAGTGTGATGTCGATTGGAGGACTGTCCCGTGTCACGCCAAATGCCAATCAGACTTCTTCCCAGGATTCATCCTCCGGATCCCTCGTGACTGACGGAGGAGATCACCGGTAAGAGCGAAACGTTGTTGCAGCTGGAAACAAGTTATTTGCAGAACTCTGGTGTCCCTCGATGGCGAGCCTTCCTCTTCAGCGTCCTCAAACTCTTCATCCGTGCCCAACAACATCCAGCCGCCCCCGCAATCAGCCAAACCAAAGCCGCCTCTCCCCTTCAAACCCAAGGATCTCTCGAATGAGAGCTCCCGCCTTTAAACGCCATGCGTTTTTCTTGTCAAATAATTTAAAAAAAAGCTAAGCTGGGTTGAGTGACAGTCGCATTTTGAAGTTGTTTTTTACTGTCCTCTCCTACCTTCGAATAATGTCATCAACTTTTATTTCCTTTTCGACTTTGAAATGTTACAAGGTTTTACATTTCCCCGTGTTCCTGTATACTCAGCGTGGTATACGTATTTCTTTATTTCATATGGACGGCTTCCCCCTTTAATTTTCAGTTTTTTAACTTATCTCCCCAACAACCATCGAACCATTCCTCCTATATTTTGTTCAGTTTGAGTCATCCACAAAGCTTCAATTTCTATTACCTTTATTTTCTCTCTCTCTCTCTCTCTCTCTCTCTCTCTCTTCCTGTTTCCGGTGTGAACTTTTCAACCCATTCTCTTCTCCATTCCTATCCCTTTTCTCCTATACTATAACTATATATTTGTGTGCTTCAATGAAAATGAGTTTCCGAAGAATCTTTTATAAGGTTGCGAGAGACATAGGATTGAAAATATTATTATGCGCAAGAGAATTGATCGTTATTGTGCTTTAGATTTGCGGTTGGACGGTTTGATTTGATGCGAGAGTTGCCACGTGCGCTCCTCGTCGACACGATCTTTGAAACCATTGAAGAACTGTACGACAATGTCATTTTTCTTGATGTCATAGTTCCTGAAGAGGAAATTATTCAGTCTAGTGTTCCTGTTCTCAGCCGCCCTCTTACCATTTCTTCAATTTGCGAATGCTGTCAAGAATGGCAAACTGGTTCCACCGCTTCAGGAAGTTGATCATGTTCTTGGCGCCATGACAGCGATCCGACGGAATCGAATCGGGGTTTCCGGCATGAACAAACGTCAAGTCTTGGAGGATGATTCCGCTGCAAATTGAGGGGTTTTTGGCGGAAAGTGACAGGTATGCGCGACGCGGATCATCGATGACTACGCGACTACGCGTTGGGGGTCACGCTTGGTATATGAAGCAAATTATGAAGTCAACTAGGGACTGAATCTGGTACATACCTATTGACGTCGCCGAAGAAACCTCCGGAGGGAAAAGTAACGACGTCTAGACCGACAGACATTCTAAGTACCAGTCAGACCACAGAATACTCAAGAGTTTCTGTTTCAGACATGGACCGGAAATGTCAAAATGTCCGGAAAAAAACGTGAGACTCAGCCATAACGTTCAGTTTTCATCGCTGAAAACCAAACCAAACCAACCCCGCCTACTCTTTTCTTAAAAACCAACAGACAATCGCTGGAATACATTCCAAAATCAATGAATAACTTGGTCAATAGAAGAAAAACTGACATGTATGGAACACAAGGTGGTCTGGCCGTTTGAAGAAGAGCTCTGTAATTTTTGTATGATTGTGTCGTGTCCATGACGGCCGTGTGTTCCTGCAACAATACTCTGGTTGAATGTGGTTTCAGGGAATGTGTACCTTGAGAACGTCTTTTATGTTTTTGCTCCATTCCAACCTGGCCAGTGGAGTGGACATAATGGCACTGAGAATTGCCAAATACGAGTTGAAGTTACACATTTCGCGAAGATGCTAAAACAAAAAACAATTATTGTTTGTTAGTAGTCTTCCACCAACTACCTTCATAATTTTCACAAGCTTCATCATATATCTTTCTCTTTCTTTCTGCGTGGGCTGAGTAATTATCAGCGTGCGAACCCAAAAGGAGAGCTGAATTGTCAAAAAATGTTCTCACAGGCACAATTGTTGCACACTCACATTATTGAATTGTTCGGTGAAGTTGACTAGATTCTTGCTCTTTTGCTCATTCTGCTCCTGGGCCCAGCCGAGCAACTCGGCGGATTCAATTCTGTGGTAAAGCTGCGAATCGATGAATGTGAGCTGGCATGCGATTTCTGCCGATTTGAAATCGAATAAGTCATGGGGTCTGAAATTTAAAATGCATTGATGAATTTTAATTTGTGATCAATACTTTTTTGGTTTGCACAGATTCGTTCCGAGAACGGTTTGAATGTCAAAAGAGTCTTTGATACGGTCCAATAGACGAGTTCTGAAACGACACACGTGGATCCCCACAAAGTTATGTTTTCGGACCTAAGAATTCGAGAATACGTGAAGTTTCCGTCATGAATCAGGCGATAGACGAAGGAAGTGACGGAAGTGATGAGGTCGATGTCAAGTTCATAATGCGTAACCTCATCAATTATTCTGACAATCACTGAGAATGTGTGGCGCGCAATCGACTCTGATTGGGAATCATTGGCAAGTGACATGTAGAGATATCTGAAGCGAAACGATCAAAGCGCATCTGATTAACCGGGCGACGAACCTTTTGATAAGCTTGTTTACGAGCTCCAAAGCGCTGATAAAAGTGCGGAACGTGATAAGAAACGCTTCTTGGTAAAGCAAACTGGAATGCGTTGACTGAGTGGCGTAGACGATGAGCGCATCTTTCGGCCCACCACGTACCTGAAGAGTCGGTGTTCCGCTGGGAGGCAGAAACGGTACTCACTTCTAGAACTTTTCCTTCTTTTTCTCGAAAAATCACGTATTCGGTAGCATCCTGTTCAAGGATCACATCTTTCTCGGGTGGAGTGCTGGAGGGCTCGCGTTGCCAGTCGATTGCCTTCGGCTGTTCGACAATCTAAAGACAAAGTTATATCTCACAAGTATCATGGAATCCATACGATAGGGGTGTCCTCCAAGTATTTTGTCGGTGGCCGGAGACAGTTGAAGTCTGTCTGATTGAGCAAATCAGACAGATTATCAAGATCGATGGTAGTCGAAGAAGTTCCTAAAATAACAAATTGGTCGGGGTAATAGAACTTTACCGTCTTACGACTTTTCATTTTGATTTTAATGGTATAAATAAACTTCATTTTCAACTAGGCCACCGAAACCACTGAATGAACGATTTACAGTATGGAAGCCTTTTAATGGAAAGAGATGTATCCCACGTTTTCGAAATTTCCATGAAATTTGAATCCTAATCACACTTCATCCTAGACTATTTTCTATTTTCGAGCGCTATTCCACCCGACAAATTTGCGTTAACCTGGTAGGATTTGGAGATAATACGTGGCAGGATTATCGAACAGCTCCATAATAATCGGCGTTGATTCCATCTTGCGAACGGAATGATAGACAGGACAAAAAAACGATTATTGATGCGAATTTCGTTATCAGAGAAGCATTTTGCCATATTAGCGCTGAGATTGCGAGGTGAGATGACAAGGCTGTTTACGCAAGACCTTTTCCATCAGAACTGGATTGATTCGCTCGTCCCGTCGGAACTTATTAGAATGGTAACGACCGCTTTCTTTCGCGCCAATTTGCATTTCTAATTTTATGGTTGAAATTTTCAATATTTTTTCTTGTTTGCCAACTGATACACGACTGAGAGGTTATAAAACTATAAAGCAGAGGCCAAAATTATAGATAAGGTAACTTACTTCCCACACATAAGCAACTACGGATCATTCTTGGGAGAATGAACATAATCGGAAAAATTCACATTTCAGAGAAAGTCCCATGGCTCATATCAAATTGTTATGAGCAGAGATTTACGTCATTCTTACCTGCCGTACTGAATTCAAATTGGATCTTCTTCTTGAACTGCTCTTCGTGCGTTCTGAAACAAAATGATAAACCCATCCGGAAAATGAAGTTCAAGTTACGTCAAATTATTGTTGAGACGGACGTAGGACGAGATGGTGGTGCCTTTCAGATACTCGTTCTCGTTGTTCTTCTTGTCATCACCAAACATCTGCAGAGAGTTTCAGAGTCCGCCGAAATAGTACTATGTGAGGGGGGAAGTGGGAATGCTAGAATGCGCATTTCAGTATAGGGAAAACATTGCGATGCCTACAAAAACAATTGACACCGGCAGCATTATGCAAAGCGGGTTGACATTCAGATTCTCCCACCTCATATGTATAGCATTTTTGCGATAGAACAGTCGAATCGCACACAGACTGACGATTTTCAAAGAGAACATTCTGGGTTTCAGGGCAATAAAACGTTGCGAGTTCGAAATGAACAATAGAAAACCAGTACAAGAGCATAATGTAACATACATCCCACCCGCCTACGCTTTTCCTTTCTCCTCACCATCATATATTCGACCACATGCATTCTCGGAGGGGTCGCAACCTGGGAGTCTTGCGGAAGTGCATTCCGGACCAGAGTGCTTTCTTCATAACTACCTTCTCCTTTTCTGTCGATCAATGTTTTACCCTGAATGAAAAAATTGGTTATTCAACCAGACTCAATCGAAATGTTCCACCTGGTACGTGTCAATCTGCTTGGCAAACAAGTTGGACTTGTCGAGCTTAGAAGCCTCATGTTCTGCCAGGAGTCTCCCGTCTTTCTCTTTTTTCTCAGACACTTTCTGCGACACTTCACTCGTTCTCTCAATTGTTTTCGATTTTGAAGATGAGCCAGGTGTTCCCGGTTCCGATGTGTCTCCCTCGATTGCCTCCGGTTCTTTGTCCTTGTCTTTGTTATCTAGCATAGAACGGAATCGTTCGAATGGATCTCCTCTACTAGATCTGAAGTTCGTGTTCTCTTCTTCCTCGTCTTCATCGAATCCTCTACGGGCGTTCATGAACGTTCTACTGACTTCCGGCATGTTGGCACTCTTGGTTGATATAGTGACCTTAACAACTAGTTAATTTCTTTGCTTTTAACCCAATTTTTCTCACGTGTTTAGTGGTTTGCTTCACGTTCACAGTTTTAGTCTTCTTCGTCCTGATCTCCCTGCCGTCCGGTAACTTTACCACTTCTTCCTCGCATACCTAAAAACACGTCATCAACGTCTTATCCCCCCCATATCATCCGTTCTGATACCTTCTGGCCGTGCTGCTCAGCTCTCTCTTCTTCTTTCTGTTTAGTCGTCACTCCGTTTTCATCGTCCGAGTCGTCTCCGATTTCAGGGAATGCTGGGGCGAAGCTGGGCACTTTTCTGGAAGAACTTTGATATTTTTGAAATGGACACGAAGGCAGGCAACAAACTTGAGATTCAGCTGATTCAGAAGATTGTCAATGTTCTCTTCGTCCGGATTCGCAATCGTTTCAATTTCCCGGAACTCGGCATTCGGTTTCACTCTCGCATCAATGCTCTGTTTCTGGTTGATCTTTGGGTACTTGGGACATAGCTAAAATTAGAATAATGTATGTGGGAGAGTGACGAATGCAAACTCATTACTTTTCCGACTTCTTGAAGGGAAAACTTGATTTGGTTTGTGTCAACTTCTTGGTTCAAGAAGCACTTCTTGTCAATTATGCGGATGAGTGAGATGATAGATCTCTGAATTTCAGATTAACAATAGATTGTGAAGAATGTTCTGAGCATACTTTGAGTTCTCCATTTGAAGTGTCACAAGTTTTAGAAACAGCTTCTAATAGAGCGGATGTGCTACCTGCAATTTACAATTCAAATGACGCAAGCGAAAAGGAATTTACTGAGAATCAAAGTGGAATTGTTGGTAGATAGAACATTTTCCAAGTATCGTATGGAAATGTCAATTTCCTTTGACATTCTGCAAATGCAATTAGAATACTGTTTGCGGCGCGGCGACGATTCGAGAGAAATCGAGGAACAACACAAGAAAACTGACACATTTCATGCATAACTGATGAACGAGACTACCCAAGTTTTGGCGCGGGAAATGGGATTTCAAAAGATTGGTTTTAACTATGTCGCAATGTTGTCAACATCTTAACAACCTTTTGCTTTACTTTTTTCCAAGATGTTTTGTCTCTCGGATGCTCTCAACTCATAAAATTTATAAATACATATGCGAAAGAGATTGGGCTCGTTGACGAGACCGAAACCTTTGTGAAGAATATTTGAGAAAAAGATGTGTGTAATGTGATTCAGATCAGATGGCGATATTATGATGGGAAGGACGAGAGTCTCCAGATGATTCTCGGTTCTACGGGAACGAAAAGTGGCGTGCCATCGTTTGCGAAATCGCCAATCCAAACAAAACAGCGAGGAAAACGAAAAGACAAGAAAAAACGGCGGCCCAGCGGAAGATGATGATTATGGTTGGCTCGACATTAGGCTAATAAACGCCGTTATACACAATGACAGACAACTATTGCCCATCTTTACCATGCTGTTTTCGTTTCTTTTGCAGCCCAAAAAGAAGGAGATGAACAATAGAGTGTGGCCTGCTGGAAGCAGAACAATATGGTATGAGTATTGTTCAAAAATTGAAAAGGATAGGCGTTTAGAAGTACATCGACAAAGTGCATGCGAAAGAACGGATACTTCAATTTCCTGTGGTTCTTCCTGTGCTAAAGTGCTGGCAGTGTGACATGGTGAAGGGGAAAGAGAGGGGGGCACTGCAAATTTCGGCAAGAGAGTACAATTGAACGGTAAACAAACAGAGCACACAGTGTGCAAAACAATAAGCTTCCGACTATAATCCAATAGTTGCAATCAAGCGATATCCCGTCGAGCTTGAGGACAAGGTTCAATAATAAAGGATTGCGCGAAATAGATCAATGAGTAAATGAGTGGCCACACTTGCGCGGTGCAACAGTTCCCTTCTTCAACCCGTGCAGCTTTTTCCTTTGCCTTTGCATTTCTCAAATTCGCTCTTCCCCTCCCTCTCTCTCTCTCTCTCTCTCTCTCTCTTGAGCGCCTCCCCTCCTTCAGTGCGCTCCGTCTGTTTTCTTTTGCTATGGCCTAAACTATTTGCCAACACTTTTTGCCTCGTTGCGCTCCGCGGCTACACTGTTTAACTTTTCACCTGTACAGTGTCATCTCCAAATTTGTTACTTTTCTCCGAAATTCATTCAAGTATTGAAACTTTTGAGCGTTTTTAGAGCGATTGTTGAATTCATTCGACATGCTGTTGCTTGATAACGCAACGTTTGTAAGACTTTAACTGCTGATCAAACAGAAAAAGCAAACTTGGGCCGAATTTGAACTGAACTCAAGATCGACCAGAGCAAAGGGCAAAAAATTGAGGCAACGTAACGGCTGAAATGAAAGACTTACAGAAAATCAGTGAAAAGTACACAGAGAAGCCTCAACCCGACAACTGGATAGTGAATCAGTTCTCCAAACAATTTACTTATGTACATTTATTTCTTCAGGAAGTGACTCAAAAGAGACAAAACAGCCGTTATCAATTGCATAATTGGCATTGCTGCCTGCCACAAAAAAAGTTCGAGAAACCATAGGTGTGGCTCTTTAGAGCACCGGAGCACTGATGTTTTGTGCTGGAGCATTCCCCACATTCCATTGAAAGGTCACCGCTGCTTTAGTGCTATTTGAAACTAACGGACCATGAAAGCAGAATATTAGCGACAATAATAAAGACAATTGGAAGGAAAATGAAAGAGTCTGAAAGAATTGCACTTTGCGGCTGCACAAATTTTCCATATTTGTAGGACCCTTGGGAATCACCAATAGGCAAATGAAGCTTTTAAGAAATGCGTTGAAAATAAAAGGAGAGTCTTAGTTTCAGAAAGCAGGTGTCATTTCGTCATCGCCAGATGTCTCAACTTGACCAGATGCTCTACAATTTGTTTGCCATTTCGCTTCAACAACGAAAAAAGTAGTGCTTACGAAATGTGGGTGTGCCAAGCAAGATGGCAATTTGAAATGCAGTGTACCGCGGATTCACAAATACGCCGGGGACGATATTTTGTCTGGGTCGGACTGTGGGGGCGCTGCGCTTCCACGCATAATGTTTACTCATAATGAATCATCCTGCCGACCCGATGTCGCGCGCTAAATTTGTCTTCTTTTTCAGATTGACAAGCAGTCCTGTTGAAGAATTGGTGCGAACAAATACTTTTTGCTACATTTCTCGATTATTTGTCATCATCCATTTATTATAACTTATGAGAAAAAGAAAAGGAAAAAAAGAAAAAGTATTACTCAACAGAGCTAGAAAAGATACATACACTGAAAAAATTCCGAAAAAAGAAATTCTAAATTCTGAGCTAGTATTCTTCCAAATCTCTAGAGACAAAAAGAAACGGAGAAGCAAAACAATAAGAAGCGGATGCCTAGAAAAAGAAGAAGTTCACCTTTTGAAAAACTGGATGATAGACTCGTAATATCGGGTCAGAATGGGAACTTGGTAGGTCAACAACAACTTGGCGTCTTTTTCCTCCTCCGAGCTGCTCCGATTGACTCCATTGCAATGATCCATGTACTGCCTCCGAGCCCTCTCGATTCCACTCCGAGTCATAGTTTCGTCGACCGGAGGGCAATACGGAGCACACGTCTGACGGACTGCTTCACAAGACTTCTCCACAAAATCCATCACGTCTTGATGCATTTCCGGAGTCACATAATTGTAGTAAATCAATAAACCGACGTAAATAGAAACCATCAGTAAAGGGAATGCCACGGTGAGAGTGACCAGAATGGAAAGAGCAATAATCAGAGGGACGAAGTTCATTTTGCCAGCGAGATCGAAGTGTGTTTTCGGCAGGAAAACGGACGGACACAATGTGGATGTCAGCTGTCCGCAGGGCGCATATATCTGTTGAACTGATAGTGACAACTGCAGAGGAAAGATGCAAAAAATGAAAAAGTAGTTTTCACTTTACAATCCATGTTTTTAGATACAAAGAAGCCACTTGATCCGCGAAGAAGCAAAAAATATTCTAATCATTTCAGGAATGTCATCATCGATGCAGAACGCCAGCAAATCAGCAATTCCTGAACAAGAATTATATTTCACAGATCATCTCCAAGATCTTTGCTCATTTCTATCCCTCTGTCATCGAAACGCAACGAATTACGCTGCGAAACGGCGCTTCGTGACAAATTTTTTGAAACAGTTGCAACAGTAATGTATGCAAATGCGCTCCACTGTGACACTATGTGGGGGAAGGGAAAGCGATCGCTTCAAAATGCCTGTATGGACTATCGATTCCTCTTTGTACACGTTCCTACGAGCGTCCGCGTCTCCGGGTCTCGCCACGAAATGTTAGGCGAAATTTATTTGCTTTGCTCACATGTGGAAACAATTTCAGAGTTTTTTTGTATTTTCTGAAACGCGATCAATTTTTACATGTTATTTTGATAATTTGAATCAAAATTGCAGAGAAATGGGAGAACCTGAACCGACCAAGTTCTCGTTTGCTCTCGAGTGCAAGCGGAACACTGAGGATCCGGGAACGATGGTTTACTTCACCGACCGGAAAATCGTCAAAAAAATTCTGTATATCCGATGCTTTCTGGAAGATAACGTGAGTTTTTACACAGAAAAATGCGTCACAGTTCAGTATTTCAGTATCCGAACTGGGAGACCGAGGAGACGATTGTTGCCAAGCCGCATCTCTCTATTTACCCGGCCTACTTGATCGAATTCGTCGTCAACCACTTGCATTACGTCTCGCCGAACGATGACGAGGAAAACGGCGGCTCCATGGAAAACTATCGAGAAACCGACGCATTCACCCTCGACGAGTTGCGTCCATTGGTTGAGGTAGACTGTACAAACATATGAGCATTTCGACAACAATTCCCTGATTTTAGGCCGCCATCTTCCTCAATGTGCCGAATGTGCGCGACGCGATCGGCTTCGTCATTAAGCAGAGGTTCAAGGACAAGCCAATGATTGACCTCATCAGATACCTCGGATTTTAACTCTGGAAACCGCACAAGTAGGGACTATGTGACATAATGTGTCAACCCTGTTTATCCAATCCCAATAAAACTGTTAACCAAAAATATATATTCTTCTTGCTTATTTGAACCAGTTCTCATACCGAGCTACTTATTGATCACACCGATTTCTTTCAGAATCTTCTATTCTTCCAATCTTTTTTCATTGAGAAACCCTAGACAAGCGTGCAAATCAAGAGGAGAGCATTTGTCTGATTGCTGAAGTTCTTTGAGGTTCCAACGGATGATCAAGACTGATGAAGGCAAAACCGATGAAGTGATGCTGCAAGCGAACTTGACTATCTACGAGATGACTGAGAAAAAGGACGAGGAACAGATAAACGTTATTTCGATGTGTTTCCCTCGATCGTTGTAAAAATAAAGTGCTTCAAGGTATACGTTTCAAAATAATAACTTTATTCGTGAATGAAAGGGGCTACATAACTTTCCGCGACATTGTTCATAAATCACAACGCTGAAATCCGTTGCATTATTTATAATCTCTCAATGATTCAGAACTTACACGAGCATTGGAGGTTGCAATCCTGCAAGATCGCCTTTCCAGCCTGTCTGGCGTACTCACAACCCCACCATGAGCTTTCGGAGTTGCACAAGCTGTGATCGAAAAGTGCGTTGAAGCAACCGGTGTACTGTTCAAAGTGCCTAAAAAGGATCAACTAGTTATTGGGGTAAAAGAGAGCGGTGAAGAACATACAGGCAGTGGTTGTTGTAATCCGAGAGAATGTTCAGCGAGAACTGAGAGCGGCACTTGCTGATCTGCGCTTGCTTTGTGTTGAAAATTTCCGACATGCACGCATCATTATTGGAGAATCCTTTGAAAAAACACTGAACTGGGGGCGAAATCAGGAAGAGTACCTTCAAATCCTGCTCCACACGCAAACCCAAACTGCTTGTACATAGACACGACGTTGGCGGCGTCGCTGAAAGTGTTCAGATCAGATAGTGTTTGCAGGAAGAAGAACTGACGCGAGTCGGATGCCTGCTTTTACGTGGAAACCAATGCTGGTGCAGTCACGACGAGCTGGGCCAAGACACTCGTAATACTTGTTGAAAGCGCTGTAAACAAGAGTTTCTATTTTTTTCCAGGAATATGTGTACTAACTCGCAAACAAAGAATAGTCCGCTAGTACCATTGGTGTACATGTTCTCGATTTCTTGACGATGGCATTCCGGTTCGAAGGCAAGAATTCCTAAGTTGGAGTTTTCACGTGAATTTAAGAGAAAATAAACTCACCATAGCAGTTGGACAATGCCAAGTCGGCCTTCAGTTGCAATCCACAGCATTGGAGCAAATCCGAAGTACACGTGGCAGAAGTGGCCGGAGTGCAAGCACTGGAAGCACTCTGAACCGCTGAAAATTTTGACTTGTACACAATCGGTACCGAAATACCATTTTGAATAATACCTGCCAACACGAAAATCAATTCCAAAAACTTCATAGTCGTGGAACGGGAAAAAGTCGAAGAAATGTTTCACTTGAAGGATTAGCAATTGAAATTCTTATCAGTTAAAGAGATTATTGATAATCCGTACCCGTAGAAGTAAGTGATTGCCTTTGAATGAAATTGGCAGAAATAACACGGACAACTTTTGTACCGGAAAGGGTTTCGGATTATTTCACGGGATACACTCTTAGTCTTTAGTCACCATGATCATTTCAATTTTCATGAGTTCAACTGTAATCTGTAAACTGTAATCCAATCCGTGTGGAGCATTCGATATTCATGCACTTTAAGTCAAAAAAGGCGTAATGAAGAAAACTTTATTCTTATCACAAATGATACAGGGCTTACAATGACAGAAAATAATTTGTTTGGTGCTGACATCACAATCGTTGTTTGACTCATCCAATAATACCTCCACTGTACGGCACTGAAAATCACACAATTTAAGGAGATTGCAAAATGCTGAAAGACAACTCACAAACGCATCTGGCAGCGCATTGCGGGAATCTGGTAAAGATGTTGACTCGCGAGTACTCGCAAGCCCAGAACTGAGCATCGTTCGACTTGTCTCCGCAGTTGTTCTTGAACTGGGTTTCGAAGCAAATCAAGTACTTGTTGGCCAAACTGAAACGATGAGTTCAAAAATCAGTTCCGTGTTTGTTCCCTTACGTGCAAGCCTGTTCGGCGTCGATATCACTGGTCTGCTCATACTCGAGTCGGCATTCTGTCAATTGCTCTCCGCCTCTTCCTTGCCACGTCGTCGACATGCACCCCTCATTGGAAAGGTATGCTGCAAAACAGAATGTGTGTGTCTACGTTCTTCGACAATTTTGAAGGGTGTGTACATTTTCAACGGCGAAACCATAAAAACTCACTTTGCAGTCCAGCTCCACAGACGAAGTGCATTTGGTTGAACAACCCGACAAACTGATAAGCGTTGAGAGTAGTGGCCGAGACAGAAACGAAGTGGACCGGCGTCATGCAGCTTGGATATTGAGCACCCATGCACACTTTGAATTCGCGGAAAGCTCTAGAAATCATGATGATTTATGGCATACAATACTGATATTCTGACTTGCAAACTTTGCGAATTCCATCTGGTCCCTGGTTCTGGTAGAATGTTTCAACCTGAAATTCAAAACGGAAACGTTAACGGACATTCTGTTTTGATTGCTTGTCATCAAAGTCTAGTTGAAGCTAATTTCATCCGATTACAACATATCATCTCATGTTCTCTTTTCACGCTCTCACCGCACCCTTTTTTCAAAAATCGTCATATCATTTCATTATCATTGTTGATAAAGGGCACGATATTTGAACTAGCCCTTCTTCACTGACTTGCCTCTTTTCTAAAGTTTTCCGGGCTGAACCATGGCTGGGGATCCGAAATGCTGAGCGCTTTGTTGAGATCACTCTGGCACTCAAAGTAAACTGTCGAGTCGCAGTCAAGCCCAGCCGAGGAAACACCTGAAAATGTCTCATTTAAATTTGTCATCCAGTGTCAGAAGAATTACCAGAGATTCCGATGATGAGTGCGAGAAGTGGTAAACACCGCCCCGACATGGTCTGAAAACGGAAATCTAAGTAGAAATAAAGAAAAGCAACTTGAGCTAGTATAAATATGAAATGCACTTCAAGCATTAGATTAACTGAAAAGATGGACAACACAAATACATAGCTTTATTCCCAAACAATTTAAAACTTTTTATCGAAAAAAAATGAAGAGATGTCGAGATAAGATGATCAGACGCGTTCGTGGACTGAAAACAAAACAAGTCTCAGATAGAATTTGAAAAAAGCTCATGAACTCACATGTGCAGAAAATCTGGGAGCACTGTGGGTAGAGGAGGTTGGTTCCGGTGCGCTCGTAGTTGCATCCCCAGTAGGCCACCTCCGGAATTTTGCACGCATTCCAGAACAGTTGGTAGTAGCAGTTGGCGGCAATTTCGACGTAGCTGCAAAGAACCAGTGCGTTCCTTTTCAGGTTTTCAGATATTGTTCTTACGCGCAAGCCTGGGCGGGGTCGAGCTGAGCATTGGTGTTGAAGTCGTTGTCGCACTGTCTCATGACATCGGTCTGGTTGTTGAAAACGGCAGACGCGCAAGTTTCAGCATTGGCAAAGACTGAAATATCCCTGTTTGATTGATTACATTCCCGTTTCTCGATTGTTTCTTTTTTGTCATAAAACAATCGTGTATCTCGAATCATGTAGAAGGCTTGTTGATCTAATTAGCAAGTTTCTCGTTGATTGGTCATTCCGACAAGCTGCGCAAAGATAAAAGGTTCTTACTGGAGAATCCAGCTCCGCAGACGAAGTCAAGTTGGTTCCAGATCTTGACGTATCCGTTAGCCTGGTCCTGGGTGAACTGGGTGTTTCCGTTGCTGAAAGTATACTTTTGCGCTTTGAAGATATTTGACTTTTCCTACTTGGAAGCTGTCAAAAGACCGTATGGGTTCTGCGAGCATGAGAAGAAGTTGGAGTCAGTGCTGAAAACCGGTTCAAACTACAAAACACACTTTCTCGAGCCCTACTAGCATTGCTGGTACTCCTTGTAGGCTTCACACGTCGTGAGAAGTCCATAGGCTTGTCCGTCGGCAAATGATTTTTCAATGGCACTTCTCAAGTCTTGGTATTTGGTCACACCGAGCGACGCTAAAACTCCGATATCGTGCTATATAAAGGCAGCACACTTTTTTTATTACCATCAAACCCGAGTTTAGTGTTGAGTTGCGACTGGCAAGTATTGAGTTGAGTGGCATCGCAAGCTGTAAGCCGAGGATCCTGAGCGGTCACCACACCTGGAAATTCGAATTAAACAGTTCCCAATTGTTCATCTATTGATCGGAAATTCTATAATTCGATTCATTTCTTGCTCTTTGCCAATGGCATTTCACGCTGTTGATAAGAATCCCGCTACTACCGTCATGACGCAAAAGCGAAGCGAGCGCAATCAAAAATCAAGTGAATTTCCTCGGGAAAATGCTTGCAGTTCAGTTAGGTTCCTGTTCAGATCTTTCTGGAAATGTGTTCCTTAGCGTACAAAAGTCAGTTAGTCATAATCGTATATAGGCGTCACCATCGCACGTGGAAAGTTCTTATCGCCGTTGATAAGTAATCAATCCGGTTAACGTAAGAGTATCAAAGTTGCCAAAGCCTATCTATTTTGGTTGGAACCGAACGCCTTTTCGAAATTTGAAAGTTCCCAGACTAGTGAAAAGTTAATTAGATCAATGGAATGAGAAAGCAAGAGAGACGGATCAAGCGGAAAACTTTGTGATTCCAAGTTTGCACCTTGAGCATGTATGTAGTGTAATCGGCGGTATCAATCAAGTGCGAAAAAATCACGAACTTTTCGGGAGAGAAAAAAACATGAGAATGAGATCAACCAGACATAATATTTAGGATATTTAAAAGAACTGTGTCCAAATCTTACCGACTAGTAGAGCAATAGCCAAGCAATAGTTGGTAGAGCACATTTCGAGGGCGAAGGCGTAGTGCAAAGTCGTGTCTCCCTTATCACTTGCCGCTGGCACTTCTGTCTGATTCTCCACCTTTCAGGGGCCGGCTCGCTTTATGGGTTTTGCCAAGCATGTACCTCTCCCACCTCTCTTCCCTCTCTCGCGTGTGCACGTTTATCGTTTCGTTTATTATGATAGTCATACCTATCAAATTGTATTATCACTTTTTTTCTCGGTGTAGAAAGGGAGAGACTCTGAAAGTGACGAAGATTCAACAGTGACGGGGGTGATGAAGAAGGGTGTGGCACCGCCCTTAGAATAACTGGCCACAATTCCAGATTTATTAGTCAACAGGATGTGTTCAATTGACAGCAAAAGTCATTAGAGTCATGGGATAGAACAGTTGGGAAAGGTAGGAAGAGTTGTCAGAAAGTTGAATGACTTTGCACATCAGTAACAAGCAAGATCAAAAGATGGCATCGTAAGTTACACAGTTTCGAAAGAGTGAGATCATTGATTGTTCATAAGTACTCCGGTTACGCAATAGCTCATTAAATGCTGGATTTGCTCGCAAGTCGCCTGAAAATTTCAAGTTCAGCTCTCATTCATCGGTTTTTCTGATTTGTACCGTCGGATGGAAACTTTTGACAAACGAGCAATTGTTCTTGGTAAATCCAACAAGGTCTTTGATTCCAAACGATTTTGATATCTTGGCCACATAATCGCACACTTTGTCAAGTTGTTCCTTTGTCGGTGGAGCTGTCGACGAGGAAAGACCCTGCAAATAAAAGCGTGTCTTCGATTTTAATAGCTCCTAAAAAGACGGTAAAGATAATAACTGATGTTTGACGGTGATGTCGTGTTCAAACAGAAAAGGGTGCGAATAGATCAGATGACTCACAGTTGGCTGAGTGGCCGATTCGCTAGACAAAGGCTTAGCCAGTTCTATTTTGATCTCTCGAGGAGCCGAAGTAGGATCCACCGGGGTATTGGATGCCTGGTTATGTTTTCTGAAATTGTCATGTTATTAAAGAAAAGGTTGAAGGAGAACGTACTGATACCACTCGGCATAGTATTTCTCGTAATACTCTTTGATCGCTTTGTCGTCGCTAATTGCAATGGAGGCTGGGATTTCGGAGAACTGATTGAGAGCCATGCCCAGAGACGGACCGGAAGTGGTCACAATTACACCTTCGTCCTCATTCCATCCGCCTAAGTAGGATTCACCGATTTTTGGGCCAAATGATCCGGCAGTGGGGAACATTTGGAATGGTGCTGGGGTAGATGGGGTTTGAGGAACGGCTGTGGAAGGAGGCGATTTGGTTGTAGTGGCTGTTGGTTTGGAAGAAGTCATTGTGGAGGTTAGAGTAGTGGTCGGGGGTTCAGTTTGAAGTTCAGTTGTGGTTGTGACTTGTGTTGGATCCTCCGTGACCTTCGTGATCTTTCTCAGTTTGCGGTGCTTACGCTGAAATGTGTGATAATAAATTGTACGTTTATCATCAAAGTTTTTTGTACCCTATGGCGCCGTTTCTTCGGTGTTTTTGTTGAAGAGGTTGGTATTTCCTCAATTCCTACAACATTTGTAGATGTCACTTCAATTTGTGAACTTGGAGGAACTCCAACAAATTCGATTGTTGGAGTAACCGATACTGCAGTCGGATACACACGCTCTTGAGCGTAGTGCACTTCCGTTGGGACTTCAGATGTTCCCTCTAATTTTTGAGAAGTTTCTTGGGAAATAGGAGATGCGTCAGTTGGGAATTCGTGGAAAGGAGGCAAAGTTTCGGCAGGAATCTCATGGAAAGAAGGAGAAACGCCAAATGGAATCTCATGGAAAGCTGGAGAAACTTTGGTGGGAACCTCTTCAAAAGTCGAAGTAAGTTCTGTTGGCGAAGATTCGATTGAGAACTCGCTGAACGTTGGAGCAGGCTCCGCCGGAGTTTCATGGGATGTTGGCGGAGATTCCATTGGGATTTCAGTGACAGTTTCGGAAGATGGGACAACTTGGATTGGGGTCGGACGAGAGCTGACGAAGTTCGGTTCCTCTGTTTCGAGAACGGCGGGATTCACAAAGACAGGATTGACATTCTCCGGAGCGGCTACAAAGGTTTTTATTGTTACAAAGCATTCGATTCGAATGACGCACCTCTCAGACGATCAAATCTAGCTGACCGGTATCTGGTCGGAAGGTTTTCTTTGGGTTGAAGCTGTCGGAAGGTATTCTAGAAAATCAAAGATTATTGGGAAGGCAACTAATATCTTTCTCACCTCTTTGTGGCCAAGGGATGGCATCGAGATCTCGTTTGTCATGATGGTCTTCGACGCGGAGACCATCTGATGGTGGCATATCAGGAGAAGAACACCGGATAGCCACATTGGACACTTGGCATGCATATACTTGTTTACGTCTGCCAATATCCGAAAAACAGAAGAATTGGAGCAATTTTCAAAGACGAAAATTTAAGGGCTGGAGCAAGAGTCGTAAAAAGAGCACTTATACCAAATGGCTAGGATTCAGGCCCAGATGATTGAGATATGGGCAAATTGCCGAATGGGCCAAAGAAAAGAAGAAGAAAAAGAGAAAGGCGAGTAAAGGGGGACAGATCTAGTGAAACGATTGGTATTGCTATTGGCAATTTCAATTTCACTCCATCAGACTTTGTGGGTGAGTGAAAGTGGTGAAGAACAAGTACGCTAATTGCTTTCAAGATCCCATGAGATTTGTGAGACGGTTTGAAACCAAAGAAGACGAAGCGACAGTTTTCAAATGTGTCTGCGGTTGTCTTGTCCGAAGAAACTAAAAAATATCTAATGTGAAATCTCGATAAGGCGTCTCATTCTCTCTCGTCGGATTGCCTAATAGCCACCCGCCAGAACGGGATCACTTTGGCAGTTTTTCTCCCTTTCTGACGTCGTCGTAACCGACAACGGAGTAAGGCAACACACACACACGTCAAACCGGCTACCGTATCTTGGAGGAACGAGACAAAAAAGGGAGTGCAACAGTAGCGGGATAGAAGGAAGGAAGAAGCACACGAATAAACACTTAGACGGCCCAAGGATCTGCCTGAAACTTGATGTTGCGCCACCCCTCCTTCCCCTCCTCCTCCTCCTTCTTCTTCTTCTTTCCTTTTACTCCTCCTCATCCGAAATCTGGATTTTTTCCGCCTCCTCATTTTTGTTCAATGCCAATCGACAAACGAAGGACGTACGAAAATGGCAAATGGTTCGGAAAAAGATGGCGATATCATCCAAAAACTAGCTTTTCATGGTCAGATCAGGCATATGCGAAGCGATATGATATGAATTGCGCAATTTTGATAGCGATATGCCAAATAGCAACTAGACTTCAAAATAACAACGCAACTCGACGAATTTGGAAAAAAAGTTGGTTCAGTAAAGCGCATTGGCAAACTAAACGAAAAAAGAAAAAAATAATCGAATCAAGGAAGGAGCAGGGTCGGAAAAAGAGAGAAAAAACGTTCATTCGTTCTGATTGCTTTCCTTTTCTATTACCAACAGGGCACATAATCGAATCAGCTCTTTCCCTCTGACGCTCGCCAAAAAAGGCCTCGTCGTACTAGGCTTTTGGGCCCATCCAAACTGTGATTCATGATGACATCTTCCTGGATACGTATTCACGGCAAAAAAGCGAAAAACTGGAAGGCGTCATTTTTTGCCGAAGGGTACAACCTGATCGCGGAAGCGAAATCCTCGCGATTCACTTTGATCTCGTCAAGAGGAAGGAGAAGTGGAGGGCGAATTGGTGATAAATCAGAAATGAGAAAACTTCATCATGAATTCGTGAATGTGGCAAGCAACTTATTATAATGATTGAGAACGAACTGCGGTTTTGGGTTTTGGTTTCGATTGAGTAGGTCTAAAGCAAAGGACCAAAAGGCAACGCAAAAAAAAACACTATCCGTTTGAGAAACAAGCACATAAAGTCCTAATTAAATAGAGATCTAGAAACTGTCACTGTGACCTGACGAAAAAAGCGAAAAACAAAGGCATTAGTTCATTTTGATCGTCTTCAACACGTCCTGGAGACCCAATCGCATTGTCACGGCAATGGCCCTTCTCTTGAGGAAATCAACGTTCCCAGTGTTATCCGTGATAGCTTGTTTTGTACATATCGCAATAACATTCATCTGAAAAACAATACTTTCAGTTCCCCAGCGACAACACCCGACGGCACAGACCTCGTCTGTAATTGAGACTCTTATGCAGGAGCCGAAATGCTGGGAGAGTTCTTTGACAAACTGAAAAACAAGTGATACGACTGGAAGAATGTACGAATGGTTCAAACCTTCATGACTTCCTGAGGTTCATCGATGTGTGAGAGAATGTTGACTATGAGCGAACCTGAAAGTATGTCTCCAACGGGATTATTCAAAAGATCCAGTTACCAGTTTCCTTGACAATAGCAGAAATTGAACGGTACACTTCGACGTTTCGAAAAACTTCCGACGGACATGGCATTGTCTGAGAATTGTCGCACGCATCAAGAAACACTGCATCGTACTTGTCACCTGGACCGTGATTCCTCATTTTTTTAAAAGAAAAACGAACAAGTTACCATTTTTTTGAGCATCCTGTATGAATTTGAGTCCGTCGGCGGTGATGGTCCGTCTCGTATCATCGTCAACTACGTTGAACCATTTCCTCGCAATGCTGACCACAACTGGATCGATTTCCACGGCTGTTATGTTCATCTGAAACAGGTGAATTAGATCCTTTCTGGCTGGAATGCTCTGTACCTTTGGGTTCATTTGATGAAGAAACATGTCCAAACTGCCGCCTCCCAATCCAATTTCAAGAATCGTCTTCCCGTCGTTGTCAGAATCCACCAAAGAAAGAGTTGACACAATGAACGGAGCACTGATGAGCGCTGCAATCTGTAAACAAAAAAACCTGATAAATCGACATTTCGTTCTACGTAAAAACCCCTCAAACAAATCCTACATCTGCTCATTATTACATTCTTCTTCGTCGTGTCCGACTTTACTACACACTTGTCTCGCACACACACTGACCGATCGAAGAACGCAATGTGTGAAGTAATGAAAGTGATACGCGAGCGCTTCTTCAAAACATGCCAACCGGGCTGGGCTGTATCATGTTTGTTTAAATTCGCCCGCACAGACAAATACATACACACACGGGATGGATCATGCGCAATTGATAAGTGTATGAATGGCCGTTGTTCGTTCCATCTTGAGAGCTTTTTGATGAGAGAACAAACTTACGTATTGTGCTCGGATCGAGAGATGGTCAACTTTCCACATGCGTGTGTCAGAACTTTCGAATGTTTTCTCTGGAAGCACAAATGTTTTATTTTTCATATATTTTGTTCGCACCTCCTTGAGGGATGAGCCGTACAATCGTATCACTTTCGTCTTCGAAGCCTTTCAAAAACATGTGTCGTTCGACCATCTGTCCCTGTTCCATTTCTACTTTTTTGTCGACCACAATGTAACAATAATCCGTCATTTTTGAGCACTCCTGCGTAATCATTGACTCTTCCAAACCTCTTCTACAAGAAACACTCGGTTTTCTTGAAGAAACCCGGGAAATCTCACTTTTGATTGAGCAATTCTTCGTCTATATCGTGAGCATATTGTTCGTCAATGATTATCTCTGTTTGTAACACGTAGAAGTACTGAAAAAAACATGCTCCTGTTAAGTTTTCCGTGAAATATTTAAAAACGTACCAAAACCAGGTACATTAGTATGCAGAATAGGAAAATGAATCCAAAGTACTGTTTCGCCCTCATTGGAATTCTGTTTCGAGGAGGTCTTCTGAAAATGATAGCGTATTGTTAAGGAAAACAACAATAACACTTACCCTAAATTAAAAACCGTTTCATTTGGAGTATAGAGAATCCCTTGAGGCATCGAGGTGAATTCCGTGAAATCGTGTTTACATAATAAAGTTTTTTGCGTTCCTGAATTTTGAACTTACACCTTTCCGCGAGCTATTTGTTTTTGTGAGAAAAACGCGGATTTTTCTCGTGAAAGCTATGGCGGACGCGCGGATAATGCGTCAGCAGTTGTCGGTTGACCCGAACGTCGCGCAGTGAGGGAAGAGACGCACTCAGCAGGCCGTCCTCCTCCTCCTTAGACAAGAGGCCGACCGTCGCCCCCTAACCTAACTGCAAAGAAGATGATTTGTGGTTGTGTTCTGTGACGCGTTGTGTTTATTTTTCACTTTTATTCACCACCATCCGAAAGTTTGCTCTGAGTTTCCTTCTCTATCCGTATGAAGAGCGCGCCTTTTGCGGTGTTTTTGTCTCCGCTTCTGCTTTCTTTGGCGCATTGTTTCGCATTCAAATGAGTCATTAACAAAAAGAAAACGGCGTTAGAAACGTATTCTAATAAAAAATAGACGGCCGGGATGTTGTAGGAGTACCCTTAAACTAGTTTTCCTATGTTCTTTTATTCTTTTTCTGTTTCAAATCAAATTCAGTGGAAAGACAGCAGATGGTTAGCAACCGACGCGTCGGCTGCATTCAATTAGTTGGTTCCGAGCGCATATTCCTCATGCTCGCTTGTTTCTGCATCGATTTTTGTCCCATATCGCATTCTGTGCCGGAGAGTAAAAGTTCTAATCCTTTGCCTATCTTTTGACTCTGACGCATCTTCGATGTACTCGCTCTTTTCGGCGGAACACACTTCAAAGTCTCTTTTTCGTTGCGTTATCAGTTGAAAGCGCCTCGTTTCCCTTCAATGAACTGCCAGTTTCTTCTCTCATCTCTCTCAACCTTTTTCTCTTTTTCTCTATCCGCAATTTACAATTAATTCTTCCGTGTTCAGATCTCGACAAAAAGACCATGCGAGATCCGGATAAGGTGAAAAGCGGGCCGATCTGTGACACTGTCGCCGTCATTGTGTTAGAAGAAAGTGACGACGGTGGGTATTAATGAGCGTGAAATTTATGAGAACCGCGATTGGTTTGCAGAGAACGCGGTACCCGATGTTTTGCATGAAATACAGTCGCCACACACCACCGACCCCATTCCGACGTCTTCGATGAAAAAGTTCGCACGGCCGCGCGGATGGTACAATCAGTCGGAAGCGTCGCCCTCCGAGTTCTTCTATCAAATACTGACAACGGACACGGGTGCAAGACGGCTCGCCTACGTTTTATCGGTGAGTTTCTATTGGATATGTTATATGTATGGGAACAATGAAAGCATTCAGACTTGGGAACAAGATGAGAAAACTTCGAATATGAAAGCAGTGTCCATAATACTCATTAGTCAGAATTTTCATCCAAAAGCCTTCAAAGAGATACTTCTGGAGATATCAAATGACATCCGAACACCAGAAATGGCGTCTTCATCAGAACTCATCCGATTTCTGACGGAAGAACTTGTCGAGGAAGGATCAACTATCGAGATAAGGACAAAAACGTTGAATGTCGAGTTGGGATTTGAGCTCCCGCCCGTTCTGCCTGTAACTGGTCGGGATGTAACCATGCTTTTTCAAATGCTGGGTATGTTGAGCAGTCAGAGTTATGTTGGAACATAAACCTCTTTGTTACAGGGTTTCGAAATGTGGTCACAATCATCCACGCACTCCTCTCGGATTGCCGGATCGTGTTGGCCAGTTCGTCATTGATGCGGTTATCAAGATGTCAGAATGCAATACTCTCACTGTTGTATCCATTTGTCTATGTGTGAGTAGGTTTCACAAAAAAACATCATTTCCAACTTCCACAGTCTGTCACAGTCAATACATCATTCTTTTTATAGTCACTCATGCGTCACCATTCTGCCCGATTCACTAGCCGAAGTTCTGGAGTCACCGACGCCGTTTTTGATCGGAGTTTTGACGGAATTTGTTACGGTAGGCAAAACGTGTCAATCAACGCCCAATATGTGTTCTCTTAGTCATTTGGCGATGAGAATATTGTCGTTTATCTGGACAACGGGGAAGTTCACGTCCCTGATCACGCAGAGATTTACAAATCGGACGATTACTACTACAAAACACTTCACCAACGACTACGGACGGTTTTGTTCACAACTACCAGCCAAGAAGATTTGGCAATCTCGAACGATGAGAGGGTCCATGTGGATGATTTCATATTGGTTAGTTCTCAGCATACTGACTTTCAATACAAAACGGCATTTCAGGATAAGAAGCTACGAGCATGTTTTATTCTCTACTTCGCGGAACTGCTTTATGGATATCAGTATTACATACTGTACACTCGCATAAAAGGCAATTTTGAGAAAAAAAGAACGACTTCGCTGACATTTCATGTCGGCGCTTTCCGAGGGTTTCGTCGGCTGACCGATGCAATGTCAAGTTCCCTTCTGAAAAGTGTGTACTTCCAAACTTTCATCCTTTCCCGAGCACTTCCACGGAGAAAACACGATCTTTTCGACGAGATTTCCTGTCTTAAAGAACTGGATCAACTTGTGTATAGACAAAAGGCAAGCAGCGTGGAGAGCAAGAAAGTCATCGAACACATATCCTCTGAGCTCATCCAGAAGGAGCGTTTCATGGAGAAGTGCTCCATCCGGAAACAAGAAGTATTTACTAAAATTCATTGGACTCAAGATAAAAAATTAACCGGAGACAGCAACAGTATCATCCATACGGTCAAACCAAAGATGAGGAACAATATGCTACTGCAAGCGATGCTTCCGGTCGTCAACACTCATGTCGAGTACCATTCCAACCAGTTTGATGCCTACGCACACCGGATTGAAGCTCTTCGCCATTGTATCGGCTCAATATTCGACAGCAAAACGGCATTCGCCAGCAAATCACTGGATGCGGTCAAGTCTTCGATGAGATTTGCCCCGTTGAGAATTGAATTGTGTCGACTGCTCAACCAGAACTCTACTTCCCAAGCTCTTCTAAGCGACAAGCAGTTCGACGATATCTCTCTTCTTATGAACGCCGCTCTTCAAGCAGAATGCGAAGAGGACAAGGATGGCGTTGTCCGCAGTCTTATGTATCTTGCGAGTATTTTTAACCGAGTGAGGACATTCCAATTAATTTGATTAGAAACAATTTCCCGTTTTGCAGAGACTATCGCAAGGTATTCAGCAGTATATGTACACGGCAGTTCAAGAGCATAAAGTGTGGAAGAATCAACGATTTTGGACGTCATGTTTCTATTATGAAGTACACGAGATGCTCTTTTCCGAAATGCTGAAGAAAGACAGAAAAATTGTGCGTACCTTTAATCGAGTAAATCATAAATTTACGTGTTTTTGCAGACGGAAAGTCTCTGGTGCCACACTCTTCGTCCGTGTGCAATGGAGATGATCGACACTGACGATACGGACCAGGAACAGCTTGTTCAGCAGGAAAATGAAATGATTCAGGCGCAAGCAAAACACTTTGCGAATCTGATGATCAGCTTGCAAATTCCATTGAACGAGGAGTTTTTTGACCACGAAGAGAATAACACGGTCGTCCAAGAGGTGAATTTTTGCGACAATTCTCTTCTTAATGTTTATGCAAATTGCTAATTATAGGAAAAATGCAAATGGATCGCTTATACTCTTGACTCAATTCTCGGAGTGACCGGAAGAATCAACGGGTTGTCGGTGGCAAACATTCGGACGTATGTGGAAGCTCATGTGGAGAGTTTACGGGATGTGTACGTTGAGTTGTCATCAGGAGAGCACTTGAAGGTATTCACACCAGTCAAACAATGGGATACGATAAGTAATAAACTTTCCAGAAGAGTGACTACGCACCAGTTCTAGTGTGTCCTAGTGAGTTCCTCATTTGTGACCCGGTGGACTGCTATCTGCTCGCAAGCAACGACGAATCAGAGATGTCCGTCAATCGATTGGAAAACGTCCTGCCTGCCAGCGGAAAACTCTTTCTTTCGAATTACCGTGTCATTTTCAAAGGAAAATCAGTTGATATCAACGGTATGTGTAAAATAACATATTATTATCAAATATGTTAATTTCCCAATAGTTTCAGTGACAAACGCCACAATTGTGCAGACATTCCCACTCTATTCGATAGAGTCATTCAAAAAGTTGACCTCTAAGAAGATGATTCCGTCGCAGCTGACTGAAAAAGTGAGTGATTCTCCATTCGCATTCTCCGATCATATTTCTACGTTATGGTTTCATATTGCAGGGTGTAAGAATCGAGCATATCATAGCGATACGCTCGTCATGCGCCGCTCCGATCACTGTGGCGTTTGACGAAGACGAGACCAACAACATGACAATCGAAAAGTTCTTGGAAGTAATTGAAACGAATTCAAATAGCAGTTTTGCATATTACGCTGTCCGCAAAGAAGTTAAGATCAGTGACAATAGCAGTCACAAGTTTGGGACACTCAACTCTGCGATCAGAGGATTCACGAAGAAGAAGACGGACAGCCGACGCATCAGAAGTCATTCTTCGCATCGAGGATCAGTTCAATTGACGTTTGACAGAATAGGTGTGCAATTAGTGAAGAAAAAAGAGACTAATTTTGTTTTTAGATGACTATGAGCACCTCAAAAAGAATTCACATCATCGGTACGCTGTTATTGACTACCCAAGACTCGGACTGAACACCAAACTGGTCAAGTTGCGAATGTCAAGTGCCAATTTGGACTACCTCATCTGTCCGACATATCCAGGAAATTTCATTGTTCCCAGTGAAACTAATGAGACAGAGATTACGAAGGTTGCCAAGGGATTCGTAGAACATCGCCTGCCCGTGGTCACCTGGATGCATGAGAACAGTGCTCTTCTGATTCGCGCTAGCGCATTTACCTCTACTGATATCGTTAAAAAGCTGAAGAAAGTGGTGAACTACCGTCGGGCTGCTCCGAAACTGACTGGAGCCATGACTGGCAGCCAACAGACGCTTAACTCGAAGGCAAGTAGCAACGAAGAGAGCTCATCGAATGTAGTGGCTGGGGCTGAAATCAAAAGCGCCGAAGTTCAAGTATGTTTGTAGATATAATCCAAATTTATGCAGTTGCCGAACTTTTCAGATGAACTATTTCACGAAATTGGCTAACTCGTCGCAAGCAGTCCTTTCCTTTTCCCTCCCGGCACTATTCGCCGACAAATCATCGACGCATCATAATGGTCACTCCACCCGTAATATGAATCATGAAGTGTTCACGATAACCGCCAATGGATTCCCTCCAGCTCGTGTTCATCGGAAGGCGCTCTATGTGCTTTTGGAAAAAGGACATCCTGTGAAAATCCCGCCGGATGCAAACGCAGAGACCATTATGGTGCGGTCTGTGAAAGAATCCGAGTTGAGGCGATCTCTCCAGAAAGCGCGGCTTATTTATACGAATGATTCACAGAGCGATTTGAAGAATTCGTATCTCGAGCTGTGGAATGCTTCCAACTGGCCACAATGCGTAAGAATATGCAGGTTTTTCCCTCTGACAAAGTCAAATTTCAGCTCTCCCGGATGATCGAACTGGCGAACTCAATTGTTGCTCTGATGAGTCTGTACAACTCTTCGGTAGCTGTTTGCTTGGAATCGGGTCGATCGATCACTCCCATAATCACTTCACTCTCTCAATTACTCGCTGATCCCTTCTACCGGACATGCGACGGATTCCAAGTATTGGTCGAGAAGGAGTGGTTGGCATTCGGTCATTATTTCCACAAAGAGACCGAAGTGTGCTCTGCCTCCTTTATTTGCTTTCTGGATTGTGTGCACCAGGTGAGACGAAGAGGCAAGGGAGAGTAACAAAGAACAAAGTTGTGTCACAGGTTGTCGAGCAGTATCCAACGGCATTCGAGTTTTCCGATTTTTATCTCAACTTCATCGCATATCACTCGGCGGCCGGATACTTTCGGACTTTTGTGGACGATTGCGAAGAAAAGAGATTGCAGTCGGATTCCCACGAGTTCTTCCAACCTGACGACTTGTCCTCCGTGAATGTGTGGGAGTATATCAAGGTGAAAAAAAACAGGAGGCAAAATGCCAATAAAGGGTATTTTTCAGTTGAGAAATCGCATTAGCACAGCATTTTTCAACGAGTTGTACGAGCAGCATGGCGACATTCTCGTTCCATCCAGCTCTTTGCCCCGCATCCACATGTGGCCCTTCTTGACGGAAGTTCACCTCCGATACGGCTCATTGTATGACATCGGTACGAGAAAAAAGTCAAATAAATTCTAAGTTGGTTTGATTCGATTTTCAGATTCTGCCTACCATGAGAGACAAATGGTCGATGCGGATATGGAAAAGGAGGACTGGTCTTCAATCGATTACAGTGACAACAATGAGATCCGTTACACAAAAACTGTCAAATCGACCGAGCAAGACCCCAGAACGAGCAATATGATCAAGGCTTTGCAGAAAACTATTATCATTGAGCTTTTCGACGCTTCCGATAGGAAAAGTACAAATAACACGGAAACGAATGGGTGGGAACATTGGCACAAAACAAAGTAGAAATGAGCTTGAGTTTTTCAGAAAAGAAACCGTTCACGAGCTCAGTCCTTACACAGTCGGTGCTCGTCCGGTTCAATGTGTCTTCTGCGCTAGCATTCTCACAAGATGGAGCAAGGGCAAGTTAAAAACCAGAAACCAGAAACCGAAAACTAGTGCTTACATTTTCAGCTGTCCACTGCAAAAAGTGTCGGATACACCTTCACGAAGGGTGTGTCAACAGGAATATCACGATCAGCAACATTCTGCATACGTGGGACGCGAAGACAATGGAGGAAATCAAGTTGCCCCCAGCGGCCATTCACATCTCTACGCCACTTTGTAAGTGAAACCAATCAAAGAAAAAAAGAAAACACGAATTTTTTCAGCTGAAAAAATTGCCTACAGTCCGAACACGACATTGACACGCGAGTCGATTTCTCCGCCCTTGATTCCAGCGATTCCGCCACTCTTCACAGGATATTTGAGCAAACGAGGTGCCAAACTGAAACTCTGGGTGCCCAGATACTTTGTGCTGTACCCGGACTTGCCGAAAGTCTTCTACTACGAAGACTTTGAGAACTGGAAAAACGCGGAGAAACCATCCGGATGTATTGATCTCGTTGACTTCAAAAGTTTCGTTTTAGAGCAGAATGGACGGCGAGGACTCATCGAGGTAGACAAAAAGGAGGGAAACCATGACTATTCGTTTTATTTTCAGTTACACATGAAACATAAGACAATCCGCCTTTTATCCGAGAATATGAATGAAGCGATTCGATGGAAAGAATGCATCGAGCAAGTTATTCGCGACTAGGAGACCACTTATTTTAGTTTTGTTCATACATATTTGAAAAATGTAATTAGGTGTTCATTCATAATGCCTACTTATTAGATCTACCGAAGATTTCATCCAACCCGTGTTCAAAGTCATTCAAGTCGTGTAAAATTAGCAACCATCTACTCAATTTCTCGTTCCAGTAACCTGTGCTCAACTCGGTTCTAGTCAATTAATTCTTCATTTTTGTGAAATTTCTAGTGGCCATACTCATTTTTTCTGTTGTATTTTTTTTTGCCAATAATTCGCGGGTTGTGTATTACCAGTTATTGATTTGAATAAATTTTTGATGAAAAGATTTTGAGTCGGTTTGTGTGATTCCTCTCACAAACAACCAGTGAACGAGACACGCGACGCGACCGCGCCGCCGCTGCCGCAGCATGTTTCTTTCGTGTTTTGCTTCTCTTTCTCTGTGGAACCAATTCATCGAGTAAGTAATCTTTATTACCATAAAAATCAAATTCATCCCTGATAAGAAATCAGAGAGTTCAAAGAAATTTACTTGAAAAAATCAAGAATGTTTTTGAAATGAACACCATTTTGAATGTTAGAAATTTTATGAGATGAAGAATGAAAAGCGGATAAACTTTCAGAAGAATTCGAACTTTTTAATCGGAGAGAAAAGGGTAGGCACTGGAATATTGTTGTGAAAGTCAGTTACAGAAAAGAAATGAAGACAAAGAAGAAGAAGAAGAAGAAGAAGGCAAAACGTACAGGAGACGGGCGGGGGTGGGGCAGGGGAGCAGTTGTGAGCATGAAACTACTGGAAAAGAAGGCACTACTACAATAGGAGTTTTCATTCAGAGACTGAAAGAATGAGATGAGTGAATAGGGGGGAACATTCCAGAAAAACAGGTTCGGACAAGATTTTGAAATTTGGTTAGAACATAAAGTACAAGCAGAAGGGTGCAGGGGGACAAGGGGTGGGGGTGAATTCAACGGATGTGGTTCAAATTCGACATTTGAAGCTTTTCAATCTCATTACATTACAATGGACCAGAAGATACACAAGATTACTGTAGTTATTGCTTTGAGCTTATTACTTTTATAAAAAATAATAAAAATCGAAGCAGGAGAGGGGGTAAAAGTTTGGAGCGGAGAAAAATTTGAAGAGATAAAAACGTATGAAATAGGGTAAACGTAGAAATTTTTTGGGAGACTTTTTTTGATTGTTTCTAACCAATAAGTGAGCAAAATGTTACAAAATCGGGATTCAATCTACTTGTGTGGTTCATATGGCGATAGTGTTGCTTTTTTTGGAAAGTTTTTCAAAAACATTTTTTGCTTATCATTGACGGGGGCATGTTGACGGTGGGCGATTATATATGCTGCTGTGCGAGGGGTGCGGTGAGTGTGAGTGGTGGAGTGCGGGTGTGAATTGAGCAAGGACTTCAGATTTGATGGGGCTTCAAGGTTTATTGCGAGTTCTCCTTGTCATCAGAAGAAGTCTGCTCTGTTGAGCTGTCCTCGGACGATCCTTCCTCATGATCAAATGCGGTGCAGTCATCCTGCAAATTTCCAGATTAACCCCAGTTTCCGCGATTAGCTGTACCTCAGTTGTAGTTCCTCCGTAGTTGCTATCCTCATCAAAGTTTTGCGGCGTATCCGCTGCAGAGCTGCTGTTGCCAGTGCTCTTGCGGTCTCCGTCCTTTATGTTAAGATGCGAGAGTTGCTCATAGAGCTCACGAGAGTGGGTTTGCGCCTGTGGACGCTTCCAGTAGGTGCTTCCGTTCGGATGCTTGGTGAAGACGCGCACGTCAATCTTGCGCTCGTTCACGATGTGACGACCGCCATTGTGTGCCAAGCAACGGTCAGCCGACTCCTTGTCCTCGTAGATCACGAAACCGAGTCCACGTGGTTGTCCAAGGATCTCGACTTGGTCGAGCGTTCCAAAAGTCTCAAAGTAGATTCGAAGCGAGTCAACGGAATGCACTCCGTGGGTGATTCCGCTGAGCAGCAGTTTGCACCCTGGAGCTGGGTCGGTCTCGAAAAACGGCGGAGGAATCATCGAAGACATTTGTTCACGCGGAATCGCTCTCTTCGAGTCGACCTAAAAGTGAACTTTGGCGTTTTCGTTCTCCGCCCCGCCAAGCCGAGCAGTTGTTCAGCCACTCACCGTCTTTCCGCCCAACACGTGTGGTCTATCCTTCATCGCCGACTCGGCGCTGAAAATCGATGCGAAAGTGACGAAGCCAAAGCCACGCGAGTGCTTCGTATTCGGATCACGAATGACGATCGCGTCGACGACGGGTCCCCACTGCGAGAAGTAGTTGCCGAGCTACAAATGGGTGAACATGAGATTTCCCCGGACGACCGTCATGTGTTCAACAAACCTGCTCGTCCGTCGTGTCATGGCTCAGGCCACCGATGAACAATTTGCGGAGCTGCGGCGGGCTGTCGTGTTGGTATTGGCCCATTCCCATTTGTTGAAACTGCTGCAAACGTGATGGATTTGGCACGGCCATGAGCTTATGTATTCCTGACACTTATATCTTACTTGGTGACTGCAGATTAGGTGTGAGAGTTCAATGTGAACAAATCATTGAAGTTCATAGTAGAATAACTTGGGTGTGGCTGATAGAAAACACTAGAATGGCAATTGCCAGATACGGTTGTGCTCTATTCGTTTGCCAGACAGATAACAAGAGACACGCTGTGTTGGTTCTATGATGTAATGTAGGTCAGGCCAGATAAACTTTGTCCACACAGTTTACTCGGGCGGCCTTCAGCTGTCACTCCCATTACCACTCTCTAGCCGTTTTTTAATCCAGCACATTGGCCAACGTTTCCTGCTCGCTTCTCTTCCAATTTTCTGATATCTCTCTCTTTCTCTCTCGGTAAAAAAAACTGAGCAGCATGAGGAATGTTGGAAGGAAGAGCGGTGACCTATGAGAGTGGAAAACGGAAGAATCGCTTACTCGAAGCATCTGCTGTAATTCGTACGGGTGTATCATCGGATACTGGCCCCATTGCGGCGGTGGCGGCATGCCACGGTTCATCATGGCAAATGGGAAGCCTCCCGCTTGAATCATCTCAGCAACCTCTGAAAACCTTGATTCAAAAAAAAACAAGGGAACGGGGATACCTGGCGGATACGGATATGGTCCGTACATCGTTCTGGTTGATGGGTCAGCGACGAACAGCTATAACTAAAAATTAGATGGGAACGGATAAGTAAACAACAGAGAGAAAGAGATAACAAATGGCGAAGAACCATTGTGGATTAGATAGCAGAGGACAAAAATGATAGCTATACCAAATCTTTTTGTTGCAAGAGAATAATTGTGGAGCAATAGAAGAGCTTAATGAAATATATAATACGGGCGATTAAATTGCTTAAAAAAGCGGTTTTGAATAAATAGGAATAAATAAATTTGGGGTTACGGTATATTTAGATGGTCCGGGGGAACATGACGAACGAGCGATTGTGGAGCTTCCTGAAAATAAAATTTGAATATTGAATGGATCAGCGTCAAGTTCGCAAAAAAAAAATGTTTTCGAGTGAGAGAAGCGAAAGACGAGAGCCAAAACGAATGAAGTCCCTAAAAACGGAAAATGACGAGAAGCCGAGAGAAGGGGGGCTATCCGCTTGCATCGAGGTAGTCGTGATGAATCTACGGCTCTTTCGTATACAACGCTCCCTTTCCATCTATTTCTCTCAGCAGTCCTTCTTTTCAAACCACGCACACACATAGAAAAACTTGAAGGTGGGCCTCAGGGGACGAACAAACTGACGAGGCAAGCCACTAAAGTATGGGGGACCCCACTTTGACTTTAATGGGTTTAGCGCCGCACCGGTTTTTTATGTCCTTCATGTTTTCAATCCGAGCTCCCTATTCCTCGGTACTCACCATTACTTCTGGCCTTGAGGTTTCGGAACTCCTGGTATGTTGATGCTCATCAGACTTGGAACTGCTTTCTTCGGAGGGTTGCCCGGGCTCGAGTTGAAAGACGCCTGCGCCTGTAATCTTGTATTAATATTTTGCTCTCTGAAAAGTGGTCTAATACCTTTGTGACTTGGGCCTTCAATGCATTAGTGAGCATACTCGACAAATTGTTAGCAACCCGATTCATCGACGGATTTTGATGTGCCGGCTTCTTGGCTGGTGGTGGGCGCGAGTATTCCGACATTTGACCGAGCTTAAATGAGATTATTGTTTTTGGTAACGTTGACTGATAAGCACCGAAAGTCCTGGTGGTGCATTCGAGAATGCAATCGGGTTGAGTCCTGGTGGAAGTTGCGAACGTTCCTGTTCGACCGAACGATGCGGAGTCTGTGGGCCAGATCGAATTTGAGACTGCAGCGACTTTCCAGCTGTCGGCTGCATCAATGTCGGAACCGCAAACGGTGGTGGTCCCAGCAGACTCAGCGACGGTGGAACAAACGGCTGCGGACCCAACCCGATGGGCGGTGGAACCGCGATCGGAGGATGCGACATAGTCGTCGTCATAGTTGACTGCTGGAGGCTCGAATGCAGAAATGGCGACACATAGCCCGATGGCGGCGGTGGAAGTCCCATCTGGTGAGACAGCGTATGTCCATACCTAAAATAAAATGATGAAGTGAGTGAGAGAGGAAGGTTGGCAAAGTGTAAAGTGTCTTACTTTAATGACATGAGCTGGTGCGAAGTAGCGGCAGCAGGGTTGAACGGCATCGGCGGCATGGGGGTTCCTGCAAAAAAAAACGGCATCGGTAAAAGTGAGAGGAACAAAGACAGGAATGCGCCAGAGGGACCAGCTGCACTGATGGTGGAACACATCCATGGGGTTGAATGGGCTATTTGCAAGGCAAAAGAGCAGTGATCGCAGGAGTTGAACTTACTTTCTTGAGCAATGTGAACCGTGTTGCCGTCAAAAATAAGCACGTCTTGCATGTGACGTGGCATGTTGGCATGGATGTGGCGGATGGTGTCGAGCTCATACTGGGCCATCACTCCCAAATGGTTCTTCATGGCCTCTCTCTTATCCAAAATCTTGCCCATGGCTTGATCGAGAACAATCGCATCGCGCACGATTGCAAGGAGCTCATCGTCAACTATACCGATTCCCTGCAAAGATAGATGTTCAATGATCAGAATGATATTTTTTGCAATGCGATAGACAGACATAATCAGCATATGAATGAATAGAGACGTTGAAACCGAAACACTTTTAGAGAGCTGATCTGATCTATGGGAAAGTGTCTTTTGCTGGGGACTCGGGAGGAAGAGAGGGATGGTTGCGTCAACAAGCACTGTATTGTTGGCAATCCGAAGTCTCGTATTATAGCTGGTTTTCAAAAAGTTCAGTGTTTGCTCTGAACACCAGGTGCCCACGGGGGCAAACCGCTCGAACCTCGAGACAGAGTGATTGATAATATTTGTGTGACAGGGGCGGATATTCGCTCGCTTTTTTTCACGGTGTTTTATTTTTGAAACACAAAACCACTGGTCAATTGCATCACGATGATATCACGCTGGATACCTGACACCAAGAGAAGACGATGAAGATCTAAGAACACACATCACACAGGGCCGACCGGTCGCAGTGAAACGTGAGGGGCGAATACGGAAAATTGTGTGGCGATTATGACCATATGTGTATTTAGTCAATTTTCCTCGTTTTATGGCCGTTGTCCACTGATAACAGAGCTCAAATGTTACAATTAGCCAATTTTTGCATCATTCCTTGACAAGCAGAGCGCAGCAATGTGAAAAGGCATTTATTTGTCGTTCTCGAACCACACCATATATGCCAGAGTGCTGATAAGATACTAGGTCGATGAAACGGTTTGTGACTATCGGAGTCTCCAGTTCCCCCGTCAGGAGATGATGAGCACACGTTTTCTGCCGCCAATGCGCTGGGTAAATGATCAGAGCAATCTCAAGTGTTCCTCCTCCGAAACCAGGTGCAACTGGTTCTAGATACCACGACCGACGTCCTTCCTTCCGACCAACAAGTACAATTTCTTCTCTCAACCCTTGAAACTATAACGTGCGCAATTTTTGTGTTGTACGTAGTCGGTCCGCCACCTGTTCTGATGTGACGCCAGCGTGAAACAAATAGGAAAAAGTCGCGCAACGGGGATTGTGAATGATGCAATTTCAAAGATAGTGGAGCGTCGATAATGCCGCCGTCTGCGGGCGGCCGACCCCGGGAGTAAGGAGTGAGAGAGAGAGAGATAGATCCTTCAAAGTTCATTTCTTCTCGGGACCCTCCGATGATGCACAATTGATAGCTAAAACAACAAGGGATGTGATGGCGAGCTAGTGCTCCGATATTTGAGTCGTTTTCACAAAAACACAGATTGTTTGCGTGCCCCCCCCCCCCCCCCCTCTTTCGTCGCGTTTACAATTTGCTCGAAAGGACGTACCCATTCGATCCGCTAGAACAATTAGAAGAGTACAATTTGTTCTCGCAACTCGGAGGGGAGCCGCTTCTCTATGTTTGCAATAGCTCTTGACTTCTCGCAAAACGCTGAGTGGACAAGCACAGGAGGGGCCTTCTTCTTCTTGTCACTAATACCATAACCGGAAGATCTTCCAACCGATCTTTTGATGTTCTTTGCGGCAGCAAACAACTGAACTCACAGAAAAAGTGGTGCTTCTGACGTGACCTCCTGAGGTGCGATCAAAAAAGTAAATACTGGATGAGAGAGAAACCTTTCAGCAGAAATTGCACGTCCGCAGGCCTCCAGAACCAATAAAGGCCGAAACGGGGGGCACCTTCGCACACGCAATTTTCTTCTGATTTGCGTCAGAAGTAAAAAAGCTTTGGCTCGGCTTCAAGTGAACTTGAAAACCGCTAGAAATATTGCGATGACAAGAGTGAACTACGATTGAAGGACTTGTCATGAGGGCTAGAGAAAAACTGATATTCGAGAAAACGATAGAAGATTTTGATAAGCGAATGATTGTGTGAAGATGATGGAACACGACCGGAAACGAGAAAGACAAGAGGAGAAAAAGAAGAACTTTTGAGACTGCTGCGAAGACTATGATGATCAGTGTGGATCATGATATCCCGTGGAGAATGCTCACCAATTTTCCGCCGAAAAATAAATGAGCCTGTGAGCCGAGCCGAGCCAGGGCCCTCCGTGATTGATAAGCTCCGAGGGAACGAGAACCCCTGATTTTCTGGATAGCCACTGGGCAGCACCTCCCCCTGTTTACCTTTCTATCCGCGAATTCCAGCAAGGTCAGCGTTTTCTGGGTGACGATTGCCGGGAAAGCCAACTCCTTAAAGAACTCGGAATTCGGAATAATGGCCTTTGGAGTAGAGGTAGCCTCTTTCGGCTTATCATCGTTCTTGCGTTTACGGGTTTGCGGTTGAACTTCGCGAGCGGACGGCTGCCTGCAAACAATTGTTTCAAAACGTGTGTTAACTACGGTGTAAAGTTCCTGCAGTAAATCGTCAGACTAATCAATCAAACGATCAAATCTCTTAAAGGACGGTATTGTTCCTTGCAGAAGCAAAGTTCATTGCGTCTTCTTGGCCGTTGTAGTCGTTGGATGCTGACGAGTGTAAGGACTAACCTGCGCGGTGGAGACAAAGACGTGTTCTGAATATGGAAGGGCGATGGCGCAGCGCTCGACTGTCCCGATGACGGTTGAGGCGACGGAGTGCGAGGCCTGAAACAAAGGGCGTAAAATGAGAAAGAGATGATAGCAAGTGGATGGATGGATGGTAGTCGTGAAATTTCGATTCAACGAGGACGGTGAAGGCCGACATGGAAAGAGATGTGGAGAAGAAGAAAAAGAAGAAGAAGAAGAAGATTGCAGGAGAAACATAGGCACAGTTCGTTCTTCTCATTAATAAACCTTTTTAGATGCCAACTGCCGCGCCGGGTCGGGTGAGGCGGAGCGATTGCAACCGAAACACTAATATTTTTGTAAGACCAAGGTGTACGAAAAAGAAAAAAGATGTGTCAAAGCCTGTCGCTGACGTCACCAAGCCGTCCGAATTGAATGAAAGCCAAGAGCAAAAAAGTGAACTTTGAAGATTTCGGCGACGGCAACAGCGGAAGCCTAATCCTATAAAAGCCAAGCTCATTTTTTAAGTTGCGCACCCTGCATACAAGAAGCTGCGCATCTTCCTCTCTAACGATGTGCACACAGGAAGGAGAGGTCAGAGTACGAGCAGTGTGCAAAGGAAAACATCTTCCTCGAGAGCGACGAGAGTGGAGGCGGGATCCTTCGGAGCACGGAGGGATTTGGGGCGAGGAGAGTTGTATAATGATAAACTGCAAGTTATGTACATATACGAGCGCATATATGCTACCGTAACCGGCAAACGAGTCTGCTTACGCGCTCTCTCTCTCTCTCTCTCTCTCTCATGCCTAGCAGAAAACAACGCCGAAAATTCTGAGCCGTTTCTGTTTTTGGGTTCTGGGATATGTATTTCCGCCACACAATGCCAGAACGCGTTTCCTACGCATGTGTTTTCTCACACTTGATTTACGAGATCAGGAAGAGCCGTTTTCACAATCTCACCGGAAAAGCGCAATTATTCGAGTAAAAAGAAGTGGGCGGAGGAGGAGAAATGCAAAATTTAGTTAGAGGGATCAGTCTTTCCGAAAATGGACTATACAAAAAGAATGTTTGCCAATGATGCTGAACTAATCCTAAATGTCCTTTCTTTTGCCGGCACTGAATGATGTGCGCGGATTACTCGAAGGTCCTCAATGAAAAATTTATAAGGCGAGTTTCGGGGTGGTTGAGTGATGTGATTGCGAGTGGAGGCGAGCGGAGCAGTCACTAAACACCTGCTGTAAAGGAAAGTGCACTGGTGATTGTGGTCATCAAAGTTAATTGACAACCGCGAGCCATCATCATATTTCTTGAGTAGAGAAAAGAAACAATGGCTGTTTGATAGGGGGCGAGGAGGAGTGCTCGGGCCGACTCGGGTATTGCCACTCGGAGGAGACCCCCACCCGAGTACACTGTGCAGTGTGCGTACGACGCGCTGTTAAAGATAGCTGTCACAGGTGGAGAGTGATGAGAAGAAGAAGAAGAAGAAGAAGCCGCACAGCCAACTCTTTCCCGGGGGCCTCCGACTCTTCTTGTCGTCGCTCTCATCAAACTATTGAGGAAAAGAGCTGAGGGGTGAAAGAGCAAACGTGCATTTGAGAACATATTGAGGGACCTTAACATTGGAAAAAAACGGAAGGACAAATGACGTTAATGATAAACCACTCGGTGATCAGGTATTCTATAAATATATCCGGGAGATGTTCAAAAATTTATAATGGTAAGTCGTAAAGATTGCTTCTGAATTGGAACGGAGGAGGAAGAGAGAGAGAGAGAGAGAGAGAGAGAGAGAGAGAGGGAGAGGGGGGCAACTGACAAACAACGTTTTTCTGTGTTTATCATGAAAGCCGGGCTTCTCGAATCTTCTTCGTTTTTCTTAATTCCTTCCTACTCCGTCTTCTTCAGACTCCAAAAGAATTGACACATTTTGCGAAAAAACCGGGACGAGAAAGGAAAACACATTTGTCGACGAAGGTCACCATCGATCTTCTCTAGTCAATTGCACTTCTTTCTTGATTTCCATGATAACTGCACATGACGACAGTATCGGTTTGAGTGAAACGAAAAAAGAGGGGAAAATTGTTGTAGGCGAGAACAAGAGCGGGGCTGAAGTGCTATATGACTTTGTCCTTTATGACAATGATGATAGGTGTACACATACATACACGCGCACAGTTTCACACTCTCTACATGTATTCCAGTCCTGTCTACCGGCCGGCCTTACCGGTCGGTTAATCGTAGCCTCGGACTGTTTATCATCGAACATTGCACTACACAAATACCTGTCAGTCTCCCCCGAGGCAAACCTGTGCGACCGCGACCGAAAGCAAGGGTCACTGAACTTTTGGTTTTGCGTTTTTACGTCTTGAGTCGTTTTGCTTTCTGCAGTGACGATAAAAAGCAAAAAATAAACGAGGGGGGATGTAGGGAGAGGACTACTTCCGGAGGAGAGCCTCCTAAATAACAAAATATCAAGTGACAAGAATCAGACATATCCAAAGGGCAGCAGGCGGCAACCAAATACCCAAGAGGATGGCTTCAGATGAACTCGAAGCCGCCGCCGAAATTCGATCTGCCGCCTAACCGCACCTGCTGCTGCTGTCGAAAGGTGCTGAGATGTGCAGCAGAAATGGCGGAGGCGGAAGGGACCCTGTCAAAAGCAACAACGACTAATATATTCACGAAAATGCAAAGTAAAGTTGCTTCGAAAATTGCCAGGGCCTTCTTCTTTTTCCCGACGCGCGGACGCATTGAGAAAAAGGAGATGTGCGAGAGGGTGGGCCTTGTGGGCGACGATAATCGAGAAGTACACATTTCTGGAGCCTCTTTCCACACCCCTCCCCATAATTTATGTATCGGAGAAATGCCGGAGAAAAGAAAAGTGTATCCTAAAGCCAACAATTTGAAGGTGGCAAGTATGTATAACTATGCCCCTGTCAACATGTTGACAATGAGGGTTACAACACGGATAAGCTTCTAGAAAAGAAAGAAAGAGAAGTAAACAATGTCTTGAAGTTCGTTTGGTTGCGACTTGCAACCGGTCACTTTGATAAAAATTTCTCAGTCATGTTGATTTGACTCAGTTGATGTTGAATTTTGATTCCAAATTGGAAAATAACAATTTGAAAGTTAGAGCGGGAGCGCAAGACCATATCGAAGGTCAGTGTTCAAAATTTGTTCTATGAAACTTCTTGAAGAAAGAGACGGAATAGGAATCTTCTTCAGGACAATGCGGACTATTACAATAGTACAATGTCACCTGACACAGCGGAGAGCTGTACAATAAAAAAGTAAGATGTCATAACTTTAAAACGAAAGTAGATTACTTCTGAAGTTTTACGACTAAATAACCACTGACAGAGGGCACGGATGGTGAAAAAGACGAGGGCCAACCGATTCTTCCGCAGTGAATACCTATTGTCAACGAAGAATGAGGGGTTTGGCAAAGTGTTCAATGAATTCGAGAATGACGACATGGTCGCAGGACACATTTCAATTCCAGGACATGGTCTAGGTTTCTGAGGGTATTTTTTTTGGAAAACTGATCGGGTTGGTTTCAACGGATGTGATATGATATTCCGATCGAGAAGTTTAGTGGGATCATCGGAAGTCAGTTGTTTCATGCCACTCTCTTCCTTCTTCTACTCTCTTTGCGTTGTTGCTGTCGTTTCGTGATAATTGATGAGTGAAAGTGAAAAGAGTTTTTTGATCGATGCCATCAACTCTTTTTCCGTTTTTAAACCAGCACTATCAAGTTTTTAGCGGCAAAAAGTGTGAACGCAGCTTTGCCGATGATAGGCCTCGTTTGTAGACTTCAAAAATTTGCCTCAAAAAGAGAAGCGGGACGCTCGAACGGATGTGAACGCAGCACGAGACTATAGCTTAACGATGCGCCTGTTTTTCGAGCGAGTCGAGACCAGAATGCGGAATGTTCGCCAAACAAGAATAGCAAATTAGGATCCCTTGGATAATCAAATTTGACCACACAAATTTGATATTGAAACTGGTGGGAAGAAAGCAAAAACATGAGTCTTCTGGGCTAAACAGAGCAATTCTCACTCACCCTCTTCTCTTGCGCTTCTTCTCTTTCAGCGCCTTCTTCTGTCGCACTGGTGCCTCTTTCTGAAACAAAATTTGATTGAGACATGCAATTTTGTTGATTTCTAACCTTAGTTCTACCGGTGTACTCTCCATCGCTGGAATCCGAAGAAATGCTCTCGATATGAGGCTCAGTTGCCGGCTCTGGCTCCAAGTAAGCTGGCGTATAGTCGTCGTCTGGCGGCGTCTTTGGACCGATCTGCAAAAATAAAGTTATAGAAAAGAGCAACATAAGCAAGAATAACAGGAAATGAAAAGAGATGCGGACCATGCATTGGCCGCAACCGCAAGTCTGAGGTCTTATTAATGATATTCTAGAGGGGGACGACGAACGAACACTTACTCTTGGTCTTCCAGTTTCTTCATTGACCGACTCGGCGCCGTAGTTCTGCTGATTCACTTGATAATCAATCGGCTCCATTCCCGGCTCATATGGCGGGGTTTTCGGCGGATTACGTGGCCGATACTCCGGGGATTGATCGACTTCTTCGGCAGCGACATCGGCAGCATCAGCATATTCTTCATTAGCAGCTTCTTCGGCAACTAGTTGCTCGTAATCTGCCTCATCAACGGCTTGCTCCACAACTTCTCGCTCCTGCACAAATTCTTGATTGTCTTCGACCTCTTCAACCTCTACGGCCTCTTCAACCTCTACGACCTCAGCAGCCTCAGCAGCTTCAGCAGCCTCGGCGGCTTCAGCAGCCTCAGCAGCTTCAGCAGCCTCAGCAGCTTCAGCAGCCTCGGCGGCTTCAGCAGCCTCAGCAGCTTCAGCAGCCTCGGCGGCTTCAGCAGCCTCAGCAGCTTCAACAACCTCAGCAGCCACTACAACAGGCTCGTCAGCAGCATTGTAGAGATCGTCCCGCACCATGCGGGCTCCTTCGATCATAACCGGGTTCTCTTGAGGGAAAAGATCGTCGTCGTCATCGTCTCCAAACGGATCGCCAACGACAAGCGGCCGACGTTGATGCTCCTCTTCTTCTTCCGGGGACTCGGCAAACGGGTCCACCACAGGCTCGTTAGAGCTTCGACGTTCGTATTCTTGGAGTCTTTGTTGATAATCCTCTCCCGCATCTGGTGTCGATCGACGCTCATCGTCAGAACTATCGTTTAAACTGAATATGTTTTCAAAACATCCACAAAACAAATAAAAAAACTCACTTGTCCATTGATATTACAGCAACGTTTTGTTGACAGCCGATGGAATTGATGGAACGAAAAACCAAGTTGAAGATTTCTAAAAACAGTTTTTTTGGGATTGGGATACTGACTGGGTGGGCAATGGCATGGGGAAGGGTAACAATAGTCAAAAGAGTGGTCGGTCTCTGATGGTCTCTGTGCCTCTCCCCACATCGGTCTCTTTCTCCGCGTGCGTGTCGCTCTCAAATGTCTGCGTCTACTCGAAAGACGTATTGCATTCGCTCAATCTGGCACTCCCATCTATCTTCCAGTGGTGACAGTATCTTAGAAGAAGACTGTTCTGGGTGTAGGCCTCCATTATCTCCTCGTCTCCTTCTTTGGGTCTTGTCGCCCGAGAGGTGCTCCTCTACTGTGAAAAATCAAACCTGGTCCTCTTAGAGCGGAAAAATCGATACAGCGAGGTGGCGCTCTCTCGTTCTTTATCTTCCTCCTTCAGTATGTGGATGACCCCTGTCGTAGACCTCAATCACGCAGGCCCCCTTGCTAAATATCCTGACCAGCTGTATGTGTTGAGTAGAAGAAGAAGAAGAAGAAGGCCAGGCTAGCACACGGCTCTAATCGTCCGTGAGCCTTTTTCCCACTACACACAATTATCTTGACTTGCCGAAGTGCTTGATGGATTTCCGCTTCACAAAACTTCTTATGCAAATGATAGGTGTTTATTTTCGTAACGTCTTTTTTCAATTGGAAGGGAACTGAAGAATAATGGTAGAAAGAGCTTAAAAATTCGGCAAAGAAAAGGAGAATGTGTTGGTGGATGATTAGGAATGTGATTATACTGAAAACCTCAACTGTCACCAACTATGCTGCGGGATAGATAACACTTCAACACTATGGCTATGGAATACAATACAGGAATAAATCTAAATGTAACCGGAATAAAATGGGAATTGTTGAACGAGGAATTTTTTGGGTCAGGGTTTTTGGAATTTTTTTCGAACTATGGAAGTAAATACTTGTTAGGGACTATAAACTCTACATACAATCTATGTGAACGATACAAGAACATGTTTTTGGGTAACACCTGATGGAATAGTGGAACGTTATTATGACAATAATAATAATAATTAGGACATGGGATTAAAATTAGAATAAATTTATTAAATTTGAGACTGCTCAAAGGCCTGGTTGATGATATTGCTATGGGCGCCGAAGTCATTCCAGTTCAGATCGTCCTGAAGACCCATTTGATCCATGGAATCGTGCTGAGTGAACAACATGTTGTCACAAATATCCCTCTGAAATAGAACTTTTTCATTCGCTACCATTCCAGATGGATTCTCACTTCCTGGCCGATGTCGTGCAATCCGTTCTGCTTCGTGTCGCAGTGATCAGTCCAGCTGTCGAGGATCGCAGTCAAGTCAATGTCGTCCAGTTGGCAGTCAAGTGGATCAGCTGAAAAAAACCCCATGAATAAAATCTTTTTTCTAAGACAAATCTCTCACATTCTCTGATATTTGCTACCATCTGATCAATGTCAGGAAAATCGAAATCAAGCCCGTTGTTCTGAATGTTATGCTCCACGTAGCCTTGATTTGAGTCATCGCTGAACAGAATGGCGTCATGAAACTGATGGCTTTCCAGATCGTGTTCCATGATGTTTGACTCCATCTGAGAGAGCAGCTCATCCGATTGCTTCGAAAGCACTCTTTGCAGTTGATTTTGAATTAATTCATTTGGAGTGGAGTTCTTCAGGTTGTCCGGAGATTCAATTGAAAGGTTTCCGTTTATCAGGTTGGAAGCATATTGGAGCGATTGAGGAGAATTATCCTGTTGGAACATGAGACCCTGGGTACTGTAACTGTCTGAATATCCGGATTGGACGCTGTTCTGGCTCTGAGCATGTGTTGGGGAAGATCCCTCGGACGGCAGGGACATCACTTCATTATCGAGTGGTGGCGGTTTTTGTGGAGCCTCGACAGGCTTCAGCGGCTGCGAGTTGCGAGAAGCATCAATGACAGTCTTGAAAATAGCCTCCATGTCGACATCGGACTGTGTTTTGGCCCTAGGCTGAACTTGAGGTTGCGGGAACTCCAAGAATTGCTGATTTCTCTGCTGAGAGGACGTCTGATTAGTCTGCGGCTGAACGACTCGAACCACTTCAATATCCGGTTGTTGCGGACTCTTCTTGTTCTGCACACACACCTTCGAGCCATTGTTGTTTCTCTTTCTGGCTGGCGCTTTCTAAAAATCGTCACAATCAAATATTCGAGAGAAAGGCGTTGCCGATTACCTTCTTTGGCAATTCAACGGCCTTATCACTGGATACCGGCGAGTCGACGGTTGGTTTCACTCGATTATTCTGCTCTCGCGTGGTTCGATAATCATGCAATAATGATACGATAACGAGCGCAGTTCTGCCGTCCTAAACATGAAAATTTAATGTGTGCGGGTAATAGGGGACTTGCAAACCTGCTTGATCAACCTCGCAATATCATCGGTCGCAGTGTTGATGTGTAGCTGTTCGATGAGTCGTGTTTCAGCAGTCCGGAGGCCATCTTGCTGCTTTGTGAGCTCCTGGAAAACTTTAATTGGTCCCACAGGTCTCCAAGGGTTTTTATCGTACATTCAGAATGGTCAGATCCTGACGGCTTTTGATGGCGTGCTGAAGACACCTAGTGTTCACATGCTTATCGATCGGCGGAGCATTCTGTCTTTGTCTCAATTTCTGCTGTTTCTTGGCTAAATTAATTTGAAGCTGCTGTTCTCGAAGTGTATCATGATTCTTCTGAATCAGTTTGACCAGCTCGTTTATTTTCGTCTGCTGTTGAGTCAGAAGTTCCTCTCGAGCACGCAAAGTCGCCGGTGACAACCTGCAAATTCCAGACGGATTACAAGGAATTCCTGAGCATTAAAAATTGTGTCTGGGGTCTGGGGAAAACTGTTCACGCCACGCTCCGGTCAAAAACTTACAATTTTTGCATCGTCTCAAGATCCATTAATTCGGCGGCAACGTCTGTGCTCTGATGCTCGGTAACAGAAGTGACAATAGCAGGGCTTTCGGAAAGAGTAGCTGTTGACTCACTGACTGGCATGTTTGGAGATGGTCCCGCTTGGTCGGCCACACAAGGACTACCTTGTAGACTGTAAACCTGCCTGTTTAGATTCATCCGGAAACATAGCAAACAAAAAAACCGCAAATAAATTTTATTAAAAAATGTTATTGGAACTCAGATAACACAACATAAACAAATAGGACACAACACATAAAAACGGGGTTAGATAGATATTAGAAGAAAAATAAGATACGGATTAATAAAACTGTGGGCAGTATTGTGAGTAATCAATCCAATGCGGATAGTCATAGAATCTGCAAGCATGTTTCATTCAGCACCAAATTCAACCCAACTTTTTGATGGACCTACCCATTCTGTGGCAATGAATTCATAAAGTTCTGCTGGGACTGTTGAATGAACTGAGCTTGCTGCTGCTGTTGTTGTTGGATGGGCATATTGAAAACATTGGTGACGTTGGAGTTGATTGGCTCACGGTGAATGTTGTTCAAATTCTGGTTGCTAATTGTTTGTTCTGAAACGGTCACCAATTCCCTCCGCTCACTCCGAGATTTGCATACGTTGATTCAAACTCATCGGACGATTCTGTCCATCACTTTGCACTTGAGTTTGGTCAATCAGCCCGAAGTTATGCTGCTCGCTCTGCTGATATTGCACTTGATTGTCTCCCGATGGCACAGAAGTCTGGAACACCCTTCCCGAGCTGCCAAACATATTTCCCTGGCTGTCTTCGCTGCTAACGCTGCTGCTGTTGGCGGAAATGATCTAAACATCTTCTTAAGTGTTTTGCAAGGTTGGTCTCTTACTCGACAGCCAGATCCGAGATGCGAGAAACAACTGTTGTCCTTTATAAAAAATCCGCTTCCCGGTTGATTGAGGTTGCCGAAAATGTTGGAAGAGGTGTTGGTCTGGTCATTTTGAGTGATCCCATTGGAATTGAGGCTCATCGAAGGTTGACTGAAACGAGAAAAGTTGGAAATGATTCACAATGGTCCAGGCAGTACTTGTTGCCAAACTCGATAAGGTTCACCATTCCTCCGTTGTTGGTGTTTGTGCTCAGCGGCTCCGTAGCGTCGAGAATGGTGTTCACTTGTCCCTGCAAAACCGAAAAGTTCTATGTTCCCGTGTCACTTCTCAGTCCCACATTCCAAACTTCTCGGTGACAGATGTTTTTTGTCTCGTCTGATTTTTGGCAGCTCGTATTTGAGCTCACTAATAACCCGAAGCGAACCGATGCACTGCTACTTGCACACGTTCACGGTTTTAAAGCAACAACTGTCGTGCTTGTTTGATGCGGCGGCAGTGTCTCGTCGGACGCGCTTTGCTTACAGAATCTATTTGTTGTTTTCCGTCTCTGCCGCCGTCGCCGCCCTATAATGACGGCAACGATGCCGTTCTCTGTCTCTCGCAAAAGCATAGGTTTCAGAACGGAGAGTGCTGATTGATAAATGACAAGTCAACTCAACGACATGTCTCAGCAAAAAGTGAAGAGGGAAGATGAGCAGCAGAAGTTTTGGAAAAACGGATAACAGGATCAAAAAACGGCGATGGCCAGAGGCCATTCTTGATTTATGAGAGCCCTCACCAGTTGGCGGAAGTGTTGACAACTCGGCTCAGTTACACAAAAATCAAAGAATCGTCGTTGCGCCACGCACAAATAGAATGCCAAGTAACCAAACTACACACCAGAACTAAAACTCAGGAGAAGATTGATCGTACCTTTTGCTTCTCTTGTTGTTGTTGGGCTTTCTTTGATTTTGTGATCCTCTTCTTCTTTGCCGGAGGTCCATCCGTTTGTTCGGCAATCGCTGACATGGGCTGAGTAGTACTGGAGATCTCGTTGGACGACACGACTTGAGCCTCAAAGTTCTGAGCTCGACAGCTGAAAAAAAGTTGCACTTCTATTCGTATATATGATTTTTGTTTTCGGGGGTGGAGGTGACATGCCAACACATTTCGGATGAGCACAACTACGTGTGACGTCAAATGGCCACCCTCTTTTCTGATCGCTTCGCAGCTGATCAAAAACAAATGGCAGTTGCTGAGCAAGAGTGTGACGTACCTTTGAACTTGCAGAGCAGCTTTCTTGGCTTGAAACGCTTTCAGGGTGGCCGCCTGCGCCTCGTACATTTGCTGCCGATGAGTGTACTCTTTTAACAGTTGATGGTTCCTTTCGTCGAGCACTTCCCTTTCGAAATCGGCCAGCCGTTCACTCAAACGGACTTTGGTACCTGGAACGAGAATGTTATGAGGAAGAAATGAGAAATTGTTACCGGTGGAGGAGAGGGCTCTCTTTTTGCATTCGATTCTGAGATCGTTTGTGGACATTTCTTTCAACGAGGAATACTGTTTGAGCCGTGGCTCTTGCATGAGTAGCATCTGAAAGCAATGCTTTTAGCAAATAGGAAGAAGAAATGTAAAATGCCAAAAAATACCTCAGTGCCATCCGGAGCAAGACATGTCATGCTCTGAATCTCCTGCAGCTGCTCAGCAGTAATTGGAGAATTATTATTCAGAGCCATCAAAAGTTGAGTGGTTGTACTGGCATTCATCGGAATGTTGCCTTGACTGACTGCTTGACCGACCGTTTGAGAGTTTATATTGCCAAACGTCAAAGACGGAAGTCTGGCTGGGGATCCAGTGGACGAAGCAGAGGAAATATTCGATGGCGACTGAACTTGACTTTGGCCACCCATCTGATTGGAACTGCTGTTCATCTGACTCGAATGTTGTGGCATTTGAACTTGTAGGTTCTGAAAAACAGGTTGTGAAATTCGGATATGACCTAGTCGGCGAGCTCAAAACAAAACGCCTACCGAGTTCATGAAATGTTGAGTGGGTGAAGGGTCCATATGGCTCAAATGATGCATTTGCTCCGGCGTCTGCGACATTTGGTACGATGATGACATCATCCGATTGCCAGTCTGGATTTGAGATTGACTCATTGAGAGATGGTTGTTCGACGTCTGCTGTTGCTGCATCAATCCTGTCTGGTTCAGCTGATTCACATTCGAATTCTGAGTCTGTGGGTTCTGTTGGTAGACTACATGTTGAGGCTGCTGCATGTTCTGCTGACCGATGTGCTGCTGACCGAGCACCGGAGTGTTCATCCGAGGCGGTTGACCCATTGGCTGCAAGTTCAACGACTGTTGACCGAACAGTTGCTCCTTCATTGTCATTGACGGCCCTTTATTTTGACATGTCGTCGTCTGATCGTACGTCCGTTGGGCCAATTGTTGTGGCTGCTGCGCACGTTCCATCTGCATCGCACCCGAACGCATAATTGACTGATTCCCTATGTTCTGGCTCCGAACCGAGTTGCTTCCAAGCTTATTGGTGTTCAATGTGAGCGGTGGAAGTCTCTGTGAAGTTCCCGCTTTTATCACATTGTTCGAGACCATTTGATTCTGTTGCATCGAGTTCTTCTGCATGCCCATCATATTCTGCTGTTGCATCTGGATGCTATCGTTGTGCAGGATGCCATTAATCGATGATTCCTTCAAAAAATAAAGTATTGTCAGTTTATGTGTTTGGGTGGGTGAAAACGAAAAAAATTGAGTGGGCGAAACGACATTAGTTCAAATATTTTCATGCTCTCGTCGGGTTACCTGATCGTTGACAACACAATTAGATGGGTCGGCTGTTGTTGCCGGCCTCATGGCGTGTTGCTCAAGAATGTTGCTTCCATTTGATGGCCGTTGATAGGGACCGCTCATCTGCGACTGCTGTTGACGTTGTTGCTGAAAGCGACAACAACTGAGACAATTGCCAAATTTACCAGACTAAATAGCATTTCACACTGAGGTGACAACAAGTGAGAAAATGTGTGTTCCTCCCGTTCTTGCAAAATTTGCACCCATGTGGTTCCCGGGTCGAGTCCCGAAATTCAGTACTAAACCTCCCAACTGATTTTCCACTGGTTCACAGTTTTACGGCAAATGATTTTTGCACTTTCTCCCCCCGGCTTGCGCTCATTTAATTGGCTCGCAGCCATATGGACGTCCACTTTTTTGTCAATGAATGGCTAGCTGCAAACGAGAACGAACCTGAATGTAGTTGCCCACAAGTTCGGATCCATTAGTGTGATGTTGGTGTAGGATAGGTGTTGTTATTGGTTGGTTTAACATTTCCATACTTTCTGCAAAAAAGAAAAAGTGAAAAAGTGCATTGGTCCGGGTCAACAGGAAGTTTTTCGAAAAAAAAGATGAACACGAATAACAAAAAGTGTGCGTAAACACAAGTGCAGCCGGAGGATATGTGATGAATCATGCGATAATCTCATAATAGTAACAGGCGGCAGATTCTCGAAGGTCTAAGAGAATCGCGAAAAGAAAACAACATGGGTGGGAGGTAAAAGTAAAAGCGAGGGCGAAAAAATAAGACAGTGGTGGCGGCGAAAAACGCATGAGATATAGTGACAAACAGGCATATGCTCAAAATCTTTGATCAGTGGCATCCCTTCCTCTTTGCCATCCCTTCTTCTTCCTTCAGCCGATCACTTTTTATCGGCTCAGTTGAAATAGCAGTCGTCCGGCAGCCGCTACGCAGCTCGGCTTGCCATCCACGCTTCCTTCTGCTCTCGGATGCCCGCATCCCGTCCAGCGCGACTAGGCTCGTACCTCACAGTTGTTTTGTCAGGTTGGCGCGCGCGCTGCCCTCGTTGCGTCGACAACGAATATTCAATCTATCTCTCATGATTAGCTCAATGATCAACGGGCCGATATTGATGAGACCTTCATAAATTTACACGAGAAACGAGCGAGAAGTGCAGCAGACAGATGAGCAAATGAGTTGAGCAGGAGAGAAAAAGAATGTATAATAAAAAGGTATCGATGACAAGATGTGACGGCAAAAAGCTAACACGGAGGTAGTAAATCGAAAGATGAGATCGCGGACAAAAGTGACTCAACGGAATCGTCTGGAAGGAAATCACGCCGTCATTGCATTCTATTTCGAAAAACTCAACGAGAAATGACGTTTTCACGAGATGTACTGTAACAAAAAAGATGAATGAAAATAGTTTTTCCCCCGTTCGTTCGTTTCGAAATGAAACAGATGCGATTTGACAAGCGGAAGGAGCGGAGCGCAAAACGTGACGATGATTATTACGAGGGAATTCCGAACCGATTCATCATCTCATGATCATGCAGGAAAATCGCAAAAAGTCAGAAAACAGTTACGAAATCGAAACTTCACTTTCCATATCTATAGCTTTTTGTGCTAAAAAATATAGATAACACCGGATATGATAACAGCAGTGTTGTAAACCAAAGACATTGCTGTCAGCGATCAGTTTCTGTGAGACGTTTTGTTTTTACCTAAGTTCCTATTCCTTGTTCTAGAACACTTCACTTTACTATCCCAAAACCTGTTTCAGAGATCGACAATCACAGGTCTACATGACAAAAGCATTTGGTTTTTGGAAGGTACATGAAAAGAGGCGACAATGGGGAGTTCCAACTTTATTCGCAGAGGAACGCGAGAAAACACTAGTACACACTGGAAAAAGAACGTTTTTAGTACCTATAAAGCGCGGTTGCTCGTTGCCAAACTGCTCACCTCTGTTTTTAATGGCCACATGTCCATAAAATGACACGTCGGGTGGGAAAAGCTGGCGGGTGAGAAAAAAAGGGGTTTGCTAATGGGAGAAGACCACGGAAGGCAACAAATCAAAACATCGTGGTTCAGAATAGTATCACATGGGTCGTGCAGGGGAGTAGTACTCAAGTACAGATGCTTCCGCTAAAAATTTATAGGGAAACGGGAAGCAAATGTGAATTTTATACGCCTCCCCTTCTTCTTCTTCTTCTTCTTCTCGTCTCGCGCCGTCCACGTACACAACAACGAGAGAGAAACGCGAAGAAACATCCAAGAACATCTGTGGTCTCAATTAAACTTATTCATTGTTTTCATGCTGCCATGTATTTTGAAATTTCGGGCGTGGTAGTGGTGGGGGCGTCGTGGGGGTGAGGAAACCAATAAAGCGCGGACGGCGACGGCGAGGGCTGTAGTAGGCCAAGAAACTCTCGGAGATTTATGTGGAATGGAAAAGGGGGTCTCGAAGGGAACGGACAACCGACCGAATGGCGTTATGTTCACAGAGTGTTCTCTTGGTGGCACATTTGATAAGATTGAACAGACGTTTGCTCTTAGAGATACTGTATTTGGAGATAACAATAAAGGTGCCACTCAAACTAAATGTACATTACTCAACTCCTATCAAATAAATCTGATTTATCAACTTTTTATCTACCTGGCTTATTATGAAAATGATGCAATTGAGATCTACATTACCTGTCTGTTGCATTTGTACAATCAACTATGAAAAAGTGCTCTAAAACAGATGTGTTAGTTAGAATCCGGCATGTGCACGTGGTTAATAGAAATGCAAAGAGAAGCAAGAAAAAAGAGAAGGAATCATAAAAAAGTTCAGAGTTTACTGGAAAAAGAGACCAGCGTGCTCTCACGCTGTACTTATTGAAGGTTTACTGCGGCAGGTGGGAGAAATGAACACTGCTGTAACAAAAAGCGATTGCGAATTTATATTTTTCAATTTGAATTCTCAAATCTCATTTGCCAATCTCGCTTTCAAATACCTGGCAAATGGATTGATCTTCTGTTAGATGATCACTGCGATTGACGAGCAAACGATGTGTAATTTTCACTAATTTTTCAAGAATTTGAAACTGTCAAGACGTGCAAATGCTCTTTCAAAATCAGTTGGTTTTCGAAAGTGACACCTCTCTCTCTCTCTCTTTGAGTAGTCTGCCAACTCGAGGAAGTTGTTGATGTAGTAAACATCGCGATGGCACGACATTTATTAATGAATGCGGACGGTCGTCAGTTGTTCTTTCGCGGTGCCCATCCCATCCGAGAGCCGTCATGATGAATGCAAGTAAAAAACCATTCTTCGCTCGAGTGGCAACGAGGATGCTTACGTGAAAAGCGCTAATGCAACGTCGCTGTTTGATGTTTTGAGAATGAACACGATAAGAAGGGACCAAATAAGAATGATTGAAATTCAGATGTTCTTCTTGCAGTTCTTCATCAAACAGGACCATTAAGTAGGATTCCCCCTCCCCCAAGAACTAGCAGGGTTTAGTGTCCTATGTTTCAGCTGTGGATTCTGGATGCTAAAAACCGTCTGATATCAGCATATAATCAGAACTTGTCTAAAATCGTTGCATAGAACACTCATACAAGTTTTTTTAGAGTAACAAAACATCAGATTCCGTATTATGAGAGCATATCACTGCAAACGCGCTCTGTTGAGAAATACGCTTGGCAGTGCATGCAAACTTTCCGACTTTACTGCGACTGTAAGAGGTTATCAGGTTGCCCCGAATGTCTCCATTACTTCTATAGACTTTGGATACACGAGAACACTCGGTACGAGCACAAGAGACGGAAATGTCCAGATTGGATTGTCCTTAAGAGGCAGCAATCTGGACATTTCCGACTTTACCGCTTCGAGAAACGATGTACCTCTGAATGGAACCCGATACTCCTATTTTTAAGGTGAACCACAAGATGTTTGATATCCGGATCTAAGCGAGTGACCATTCACATCAAAGTGCTCTCATGTGCACGGATTGCAAGGCGCCGAGTAGAAGTCTCGACAATAAACGCTTCTAATTAGCTGCTATATATCACTCTCCATCACGTTTTTCTGTGAGTTGCCGCCTGTTTAATGGGCTTCGGCGTTCTTTTAATCTGGAAAAATAGCGAGCGAGAAGCGGAGAGCATTGGTAACCCAAGCCTCTAGTATTTTATAGACGCCAATCTGGAGGACGTCCAGACACCTGACGAAAACTCTTCACAACAGCCCCACGAGTAGTGCCCACTATCATTTAGTCCAATTCTTACCCTTTCGATCAGGATGCACAAGATTTTGTCTGTCGTTTTTGGATGTTTCCTATTGTCTGCGACATTGGCCGGTAACTAACTAACTCAAGTGTGATTTTGAAAAATAAGAAACTATTTTTCAGAGGAAGAACTCTCAATTGTCATCAGTCCAAATGCCAACCCCGTTCAAAAGCCCGTGGGTCATCAAATCTCCTTGGTCTGCTCGGTAAAGGGCAGTGGACTTGAGAAGCCAGGACTTATTTGGAAGAAACACGGAGGATTGGATAGGTAAATCAAAATAGAAAGAAAGTATAAAGTTACAAATACAAAATTAGAACATTTTAGAACTGGAAATGTGGAGATAAAGAAGCTCGACGATTACACTCTCGGCCTTATCATCCGAAACTCTAGCGTCGACGACAGCGGTGTTTACTACTGTCAGGCTCAGGTTGGAAGCAAAGTGTTCATGAACAAGATGGATGTCATAGTTTTCGGTAGCAGTATTGTCTACTCGTCATGTCATAGTAACTATTTGATTTCAGAGGATATTGTCTTCCGTGATAAACAACTTCACTTTGGTCAAATTCTCGCCACCGCCTCGGTCAACATTTCTTGTGAAGTGTCCGCCAAGAAGGACAGTGTTATCACTTACTGGACTCGGCACGGAAAGCAGGTTCTGGAGGGTGAGATAAACGAAATCTTATGGAGTTTCTGCAATGTAATGGGTTTTCAGGAGGGAAGTACAAGTTCTACAACGGAGGATCGATTCTGGAAATTCAAAACTATCAGCCGGAGCAGGACGCGGGGCAGTACATTTGCGAGGTGAGTAGGCTGGGTGAAAATCAGATAATATCGCAAGCTCTAATGCTATGGGATTCTTGAATAAAATCTTTCAAAATCGTTCAGGTTTTCCACGTCAATAGCGGTTCGTCGAATTCCAAAACTGTGACCTTGGGTACAACTGGAGAGAAAAACTACGTGGCTTGTCAACAGATGTGTAACAGCTTCTGCACCGATGTGCACAACAAAATGTTCAATTGATCTTTCTCAGCTTGTAGTTTCTCACTAACCCAAACCTATAAACTGAACCTTAACGTTTGAATTTCCCGAATAAAGTTCACGAAAGCAAGAAGTTGGAAGATAAATTTATTGGTCCACAAATAGACGAGTATCATTATAATCATGAAAAAGTTCACTCCCACATGCATCTCTCTCCAGTATCCGGGTATATTCCTTCGGCTTTCTGGCGTAGATAATGATAGCATTTGGTGGCAGCCCATATTGCACCTATGCATATTATGATTCCCAAATATATTGATATCACCATCAGCATTTGATCTGAAATGATCATTTTCAAGAACAATGAAACGGAACTGATGGGAACTGACCAAATTTCTGGTAAAACTTCTGGCGTCGAAAAACTATTGTGTAGTAGAGAACATAGTTAGCGAGAATGAAAAAGCAGACACACTGCGTAATCTGAAGCATTTTTTTAATTTTCTCATAAGAAACATTCCGGAGACTCACTTCGGATACAATGAACGGAACGAGCAACGCAGCTTTGTCATAATAGAGGCCGAACATCATGATGACGGCCACAACCTGAATGGGAACACCATTTTGCTCGTTTGTCAGTTTTTTTTGAGTATACCGTATTTGCAATGATCAGAAAAACATCTAGCCATAAATTGACGGTGTAAACTCCGAAAAACATGCATATTGTCGAGAAAAGGCAGACTACGAGAGCCGATATGGATACGTAGAAACAAGCTCGCTAAACTTGGAATCAGATTGGAACGACAAAAGGACAAACCTTAACGTGCACGTCTCCCCTACAACACTTGTACGAACTCGCATCGTCGTCACCGGTAACCTCATCCTCGAGAATTATTCGAGTTCCTGAATCCATCTCAATCTTTTGTGATCGATGATATTAGCTCACCTTCAAGACAAAGACAGCAGCTAATTTCCATCAATTTTCATCACAGCCCCATAGATTTGTGAACGAAGTGGAGGCGGATTGAGATGTGCGGATCCCTCTGGAATAAAAAGAATGGGAGTGACAAAGGTTATCAGGAAGAGAAAAAGAAAGCGTTTTTCTCACGAGGCGGGTGATGACGAAACTTGAGACCAATTCACAGTTTCACTAGACTATTTTTAAAGAAAGGGAGCGGAAAGGAAAACAAAAACAACTACAAAGACAGAAAATAACTTTCAGGACTGATGAAATCGACACAATAATTTTGAAGAAATAATGGTAAAATGTTTAGTTTGTTCATTCCGAACAATGTGTCGTTTTTGCCCACTCAAAAGCTTCTCAAGACGAACCAATAATTCTCGAACAAAAAGTTTAAAAATTCAGCCAGGTGTAAAGGATCTATGCTCCGAGAGAGTCCGAAGTATACGATTTGGAAACGAGCACGCATTTCGGAGCATAAAATTCACGACTGCTAGCTAGCACAAGTCGCGATAAAAACCAGAATCTAGGAAAAAAAGTGTGCCGGAGGCTCGGACAATTCAAATGTAGTGATACATGTACGCACGGCCTGAATTCAATCCATATATCATATCATGTTGCTTTGCCGACAATATCACATTTCAAAGGGTTTAACCCAGCAAAATAAATGCGTGTGTTTTCGTTCATGTCGGCTGTGTTTCAAAAACGAGCAAGGAGACGGAGCGGCGGCGGCGACGACGGCAATCCGAAATACAAAATGATAGAAAAAACCTGACAGTGCAGTTGAAAAATTCCGGGAAAAAGTTTAATTTATTGAAAGATGCCGGGGGGATTGAAAGGTCCCATGAAGGCTAGAAACAGTACCGCTCATCTCCATTTCTCGTTTTAGCCGAGATACTGTCAAAACGGTGCAAAAACGGTATCCTTTTTCAAAAAAATCGTATCACCGTCAAATTTTGAGTAAAATAGGCGATAAAAAAACAAAATGTAGCAAATCAGTGCCCAAACTAATGGCAGTATGCTAAAAATCGACCGTGGAAAATGGTTGTTGTCGAGCAATCACTCTTAAACAGACATTATCGTATTCAATAAGTGTTCCAAAATTTTTGGTCCTAACATGAAAAGTGCTTGAAAAAATGCAAAAAGTCGAATGCCGTTGGGTCTGAGGCTTAGGCTAAGAGGCTTAGATGGAACTTGTAAGTCGACCTCGGGTCCTGAATATTACTATGGGACCTGGATCCTGTCTTTGGAACCCGATTACTCAGATAGAGCCGAAAAAGTGACACTGGATGATGGGCAAAAGATAGGTGTCTGGGGGATGAATTGATGAGACAATTGTGCCTCTAATAATTGCACTTTTGCTGCGATAGCGTCGGAAAGAAAAAAGATGCGATACAGCCTCATTTTTCAAATGCGACACCAGGAATTTGAAATATCGCTTCGGCGGAGCAAAAAGAAGAAGATACGGATAAATTGATAGCGACGACGGTGCAAGAAGCATAGGATACGTACTTTCCAGCGTTGAACAATAAAAAAGGTATACTCCACGCAGTTCATTTTCAGAAACGCAGAAAAACATGTTTCGGAAGAAGTTTGCGAATGATCAAAGATCGAGAATGGGTTTTTGAGTCGGAATGGGGTAGGTTGGTTTCGGATTCCATTGTCGTGGGTGGGCGAGCGCTGAAAACCTCTAAAAACAACATTTAGATCACGAGCCGAGATACTTGCCAATACCAGGCAAACCAATTGTCTTGCCAATGAATTGGCACCCTCTGTCGTACTACCATCGCTTATCCTGATCACTTTTTTATTTTTCGTTTCTTGATCATCTTCCACAATTTTACACCACAAACACAAAGTGTTGGATCATTAATATACACGACGTGAAATCGAGCCACCTGAGATTTCTCGGCACCTCCACTCGGCACAATTGATATCAGAGAGCGAAGTGCTCCCGGAATGTCAAAAATAAGTACTTTTTTCACGTTTATTTTTTGTTAACAGAAATGACAGGAATCGCGAGGAAACAATTCCTTGGGTAACTTTCTGGAGTTTAAATTTCAAAAAGTACAAGGGACACGGGACATAATGGGACATAATTGGGAGAACTACAAAAAGTGCCACAAGGATAGGAAAAAGAACAATGGGAGAAGAGGAAAAAGGGAAATTGGGTACAAGATTGGGTACAAGTAAATGGTTTTAATCGCAGTAGATTCACGAATCTAACTGCAAATGAGATTGACAGGAAAAAAGAATGAATGCTTAGGATGGTTTCGTGAACGAGACATGTTAACCGACTTAAGGATCATTTTTGGTCACTTGTCCGTTTCCGGACATAACGTGACTCTTCTCGAAGGCGTCGCGCGTGTCGTCGACCATTTTCGCGGTAATCTCGCGAGCGTACTTGTAGAGTTTCGTCAACTCGACGACCTGGTAATGGATGTAGCCGAGCAGGAAGAAGTAGAAGCGAGCCATCTTGTTGCGAGAGCGCTGAAATATTGATGGATTTATTAAACTTATGAATCAGCGTGAAAACGTACAATTTTGAGGACAATGGTGTCGAGGTAGGTGTACGGCTTGGCGACTCCTGAAAATAAACATTTTTGAATCTACCAAACACGGTTTTTCAGTTTCTACCTTCGATTTTGCCCTCCCCAACTCTGTCGCGTCTGTTCTTTTCTTTCATCTTCAGTCTGTTGATCTCGTTCAACTGAGCGGTAGACGGATCTGAAATCATTTAGTAAAACCGGAACGATTCTGGCGGTCTTTACAAAAATTCGGGAACTGGTCCATGAGAATGAGTTCCATCATGTGCTCCTCTTCGTAAGGCCCGGTCTTCTTTTCGTATGTCGGGTTCAAGTAGGCAAGAAGATAGGAGAGCGAATCAAGCTTGTTCAGCGCGGCTCCCGAGATTTTAGCGATTTTGTAGTACTTCTCCCTATCCAAGATTTCCATTCGCAGCTGAAACCATTTCTACTTTTTTCTTTATTTTTTGCAGTAAACTTACGCATTTCGCAGTTTTTCCGTCAACGGCCCATTTGTGGAGACGCATGTTTCCGAGAAGATCAATCTCTTCCGCTTGTGGAAGGTAATGAGCAATAATATCATCGTCCACCGCGAATTCGAAGGTATACTCCGAGAAGTTTCCCATTTTTTTAACGTCTGAATACTGATATTATATCCGATCAGCTGAACACATCACCAACAGCATTCGAGTCTTTCGTTGAGGTACATGTCAGCCGGATCTGTCGCAGGAACCGCCTTCTTCTTTCTCAGGCTGCGCTTGGACGGCACTTCTGGCGTCAAAACATCCCCATTGTTGAGTTCGTAGCAAATCTTCAGATCACCGATCAGCGATTCCGTGTTGCTCAGAAGATTCTTGCTGAAACCATTCAATCAAATTATTATCGCAGAAATTTTGTCGTACATGGTTCCACGAGGATTCGTTTTGCGCATTTCGGCAATCATTTTGAGAGTAATCTCGAAATTCTTGACTCTGTTCAAATAGAGTTCCGGCAAGGTGAAGATCTCCTCCACGCTGAAATGTTTGTTTGTGGATTTTGCCCGGCACCTTTTCTCTTTACACTTGGTTCTCGCCAGCAGTTGCCTTATTCACCGGAACCGCCGGGAGCGGAATATTGGCCACTTCGACTTGCGCTCCAGTCACATTATCTCTGCGGGACAATCGGCATGTTAGTTAGGGAACAAAAGAAAAGACTGTCAAAAACTTACCTGGCTTGCGAGTCGCCATTTGAGTCAGCTTTTGGTACGGGTACGGGCGCCTTTCCCAATCCCTCGATGGCCTCCGGTTGGGTGAACACGTCATCGTCGGCTTCGATCACCGCTTTTGCGGTTTCCACAGTCACCACTTCCAGAAGTTTCGAAAGATCCGCAGCAGTTTCCGGGTTGCGTTCGATAAGATTTTTGAGCTTGTTCTTAGCAGCAGCTGAAAATCGTGTGCTGATTTTTGATCGACTAAGCAAAAAGTCCTCTACCCAACGCAAACGTTTCGGCACGTTCCTTTATCTTTTGGCTGTTCTCCTCATTGGCCTGATTATTCAGACCAGCGGCGGCCTTAGCAGCCTTCTCCAGAGCCTTCTCGGCATATTTACGGGTGCCCTGCAATACGATTTCAAGGATAAAGACGAGAAAACCGAGTGAAAACCTACCCTACGGCCCATGATTGTTGAGGACTATCGAACGGCAGAACGGCGCGTCAATTGACAGAAAATGAAGAGTGAGCGGCGCGGCACGCAACAATATGGCTGGCACGACAGGACGAATGGCGAACGACCGTCTATTTGGTGGTGTCGCAGTCTCCGCGGCACACGCGCTATATCGTTTTGCTGTGCGGGTGTGACTGCGTCCTCTGCGCCTCTAGCAAGATCGGTTTGACCCTGGCTGGGCAAGAGAAGAAGTGTTTCGATTGAAAGTGCGCGATTGGAAGAAGAGAGAGAAAGAGAGAGAGAGAGAGATAGATGGATGGATGGATGGATGTCTAGACAGTGTGTAGCGGCGATGTTTTTGCGAGTACAGATTGAATAATATCTTTTGGAGGAAGAAGGGAGAGGGGCCACAGCGCACAAATTATAGAGCACGGACTGTGAGGGATAGTCGGAGCGAGCGACAAAACAACTCTGTTCTGCGGAAAGTCGCCAGAGGAATAACAATACGATTAAAAAGAAGATTTATTGGACAGAAAACTTACGAAAACAGAAAATATTTGAATTATAGACGGATTTTGTTTACTACTTAGAGGCGGTAAAATCGTATACGGTGGCGAAGAGGGAATACGCCTGGTTGATTTTGAATTCTTCAGTTGCCAAGGTGCTAGCCACGTCCAACACGAAGGGGTTCATCGGTGGGTATCCATCCTGCAAAAAGTGTGTGTGTATCTGACAACCTGTCCGAAAAGACCAACGTTTGTCTTTATTTTTCTCATCTTTTCGTTCAAATAAGCGAATCCAGTTCTGAGAAGTTCTGAGAAGATCAATCATTATTTCCCCCGTATCTTATCATGTCCCCTACTGTCATCGCTGTCTCCTTCTCGGTATTTTTGGATGAACAGATTGGCTACCATCAAGAGGTTGAGCGTTTCTTTCGATCGATCTACAAAGACAACATCGTTTCAGTAGACATTTGTGGCCACTGACGCGCTTCGTGTAGCATTATGCAACATTTTTCGAAAATCGTTGTTGTTGCTTCATAAATATCATTACGGAGGGACTCTAGAATTTCCAGATACACTAGAACGGTGTTCGCCTCAAAAGTGAGGGTATAAGATTTTGTGAACTCATCAATTGCAAGTTGGATGTTGGCTTTGGCGGCTTCGGAAACTTTCAACTGCAAAAAAAAGTTTATTTTTTGAATCACAAAAACGAGCTAACCGTTTTGACATTCACAATATCCAAGAACGACTTCGCTCTCTCGTAAATATCTGTAAACAGTAATAAGGAAGGATGAAACGCGGAAAAGAAACAAACGGAAAATTTCGATTTCAGGTTTGACAGGCTCCAGCAGAAACTGATTCTTCTCATTCTTCACTAAAACGGGATATTGCATGCTCGAGCTGCCCGAGTCCATCGAGTTCTTCACGCTGTTCAGCCATTTGAGCTCTTCTGCAGTCAGACTCTCCAAACCGTCTTCTTCATCTTCTTCTTTTTCTTGCTCTGGAGGGGGCACGGTCACAGACGTCGAAGAAGATGCGACGGCTCTGAATTATGAAATGAATCGTTTCTCAACTTGCTCTTTTCTCACTGGTTGTTGGTCAAAACGTGTCCGAGAATGTGTTTTTGCCAGATTTCATTCACAGAATCCTTTTTTCCGTTGGTCTTTCCCGACTCTTTCTGATCTCTTCCCTCTCTAAACAATTTTCTTATGTCTTTAAGTTAGAATTCATCCATACTTGGTCAAATTTTTGTATTCAAATTCCAGAAGGGAGCACTTGGGAGACAGAAACTCGTTGAGAATGAGAGTCGCATCCTCCAAAGTCAAATTATCAGCAGCTTCGCCCCAGTTATCAAAAACCTAAACTTCAACTTGACAAATTGTTCTGTTGTTACACTTTCCAACCTCTTTGATATGCTTTCTTCTCATCGACATGAAGAATTTCGCCGAAGCTGAAATCAAAAGATCAACTTCAAAGAGAGAAACCGAAATAAGTCACCGATTATCTGCTCATTTTTGTCGTCAACACTTCGGTAATCAGCGGCATAGTTCACAACACCCTCGGTTGGAATATATTTTGACTTCTTCGGTTTATTTCTCTTTCCCCTGTTTTTCATCACTGCAATCACGAAGGAACTTTTAGCGAACCAGTAATAGAGAGGATGACGGCGAAAGAAGAGAAGAGAACGCGAGAATGTTTTAATGAGACAATGAGAAGAAGAAGTTGGCAACGGTCTCACGTTTGGAGGAGGGTGTGTATGACCGGTAGAAAAACTCGTTTTGCGCGCGTTTCATCATTGAAAGGTTGAAAAAAAGAGACAATCGCCGAAATCTAGATAGGAGGAACTCGCCTATCAACAGTAGGATCGGGCCTTTTTCGAAAAACGAAGGCGCTTGATGCAAGTTTGAACGGACGGTGATAGATTGCTGATTCGTTTATCTCCGTGAAACGAGAAAATGATGCGGGCAGGGTTTGTTTGCCTTGATGAATAGAGACGGTGGCAATGGAGGCAAGATAATAATCAAACCGCACATTTAAAATTCGAATAGGGTTGAAGTTTGCCCGAGAAAGTGAGAAAAAAAGAGAGAGAGAGAGAGAGAGAGAGAGAGAGAGAGAGAGAGAGAGAGAAGGAGACAAGTTTGATAATGCTTTCCGTTTTTCTTCCATTTTATGCGGACCGCGTGAACTTCGATGCGATATTCCGTCATCCAATAAAAGAAACCGAGAGGCTACCGTATGAGATAAGAAGGCGGTGTTGATAGGAAGGATGGAGTCACATGAGACAAACGGCTTTGATGACAAAGAACACAATAATAACACACAGTTTGAAAGAGGCGATTGTTAAAGTTCACGTGGGTATCGAGACGTCGCGGTTTTGAAATGTCGGGTTGCGAAACGTTGTGGTCCCGTTTGAAGCCAAATCAATCGAAAAACTAAACGTCCGGTATTTTTATTTAGGTCATACGAAAACAAAAAAATCAACGCAATGTACTAAAGCTGAACTCGCTTATTCCCAACTTCAAAAGGCCATCTTTCAATTCCTCAAAGATCTTCTTCACGTAACGGGCATTGTTTACCAACAACCGTCTCAACTCTTTGATCGGCAACGTTGTATCCAGATTTGGCGTTTCCGAAATTGCCCACAAGTTCTCTTGAAATTTTGTAATTTTTGTGTACTGCCCGACGTTGGGCGACGTATCATTGATCATTTTCACCATTTTCTTCTCAAACACCGATAGTTCTGCAAATCGTTGTTTCAGGCAGTGCGGAGAACTCGTTTCAGTGGCTGACCTTGTCTGTGATTCAAGCAATTCAACATCAGCCGTGTCATCATCGCTTTGCTTTGCCTATTGTCGACGCCGTTCCGATACTCAAACAAGTTGACGAAGCTAATGAATCGGTTGCGCATCAGACTGCAGTCGTACATGTATCTGCCGAGCTTCTCATCTGGTCTTTGGCCAGTCTGAAAAAAGGCGAGAAAATACTGAAGAACTTGAATGAAGCAGATTGAAACTCACAAGTTCGACTGATGTGGAATACATTTCAATTTTACTGAGCAGCGCTGAAATTATTATGGTTACTTGAAAGTTAGGGTTTGTCAGAAAGTACTCACAATAATAATCGTCAAAATTTTCCGCAATCATTGGTTTCGTGATTTCGGTGGCGGGCATAAGAACACTTAAAGCTTTTGAGAATTCGTGGAACAACGGCGTTTGTTTCGCTACTTTGTCATCATTAATGTCGAGTTTGAGCAAATTGCAATACTCTACATAATTGTAGTAAGCGGAGAGGACCGTGCTTGACATCTCCTTCATTGTCAGTCGTTTCCATCTGAAATCAAATTAATAACCCTTGTTTTGACATGTGGCACATGTACTCACGAATACTCGATGGCTTGTATTGGTTTCTGATCTCTCTGGCCGGCTTTTTTAAATTTGTTAATCAGACCAACCATGGTTCCCCTCCAGGTGAGTTCCACGTCATCTTCGAAGAATCCGATTTTGTTGGACACCACATCAGTCGGGCTCATGGTCGGATGCTCGCGCAAAGGCTTGTAGCTATGCCACCTGTAAATTCTATTAGTTTTCAGAGTCGTTAGGAAATGGAAACGTACTTCCGTGATTCTCCAAAGTTATAGTCCGAAAACAGCTGCATGCCTCTTTCGGGGTCATTATCGAATACGCAGAAATAGAAAATCACAGCCTTGGTTTTCTCGGCACTTTTCAAGACTAACTTCCACTCATCAGCATGCTTTCCGCCTTTTCCGATAGCATAATTCAGGAAACTCAAGGCTTTCTCTGAAGTTAACTTTTTTGGTGGTTTTTTTTTACAAATTCAACTGACTATTCACTTCTTCATCAGACTGTTTTTCAATTTCAAAAGTGCTCCAAGTCCATTTCTCGTCGAAACGGTATTCTCTGTACATATCGTCCGGCCCTTTGCCCAGCCAGCGATAATAAGACGTGTGACACTTGGCCATTCCTTCCAAACGACCTGTCTCCAAGTTGAGATCATCACGAATAAAGTTGAAATTGCGGTCGGTCATTCCGAAAACCAACTGGCCAGCTGAGTACTCCTTTAAACTAATGGGTTAGTTTGGTTTGTTGCGCCGGTACAACTGACCCGTTCGGATTCGACCCCAGCCACAAATTCGGCGGGCATTTTGAGTCCCAAAATGTTTGGTATTGGGGCGTTGAAACTTAATCGTTAAACTTTCACTGGCGTACCCGTCAGATGACCTACTCGAAAAGACCTCCAAAGTTTCTGAACTCGAATTCCATCAGTTTCAAACCACTTCCGTTGTTAGGAAAGACGTATTTGAACCAATGTTCAGCTCTATCCACTAATAATACGTGATTGATGATCGGTATGTAGTTGCTAGCCATTTTGTGGAGAAAATTAAGACGCGCACGGGTTACGTCACTTCCATACACTGGAAGACAATAGAATACAAAGTTAACAGTGGTATTGCTTACTTGTTCCTGCCCGAGGGATACTTTTGTACCCGTAAACGGGACTGTCTTCAGTCACGTCACGCATTCTGATCTCGCGAACTTTTCCAGTTGGTAGGAAAGCGGGCCAACGTAATATCGGCTGAAAAAATGAAATAAAAAGCAACTAATGCGAAATACTTACTATAATAAGCTCCTTGGGCCGTGTTGGACTTGTTGCGGCATCAACCACCTCTACTATTCTCTTCTTTGGCCTCAATACTCGTTCTGTCTCAACATCTGGACTGTCAAGAGTAGACATAATGTCCTTAAACGAATGATTAACAGATAAACACCTAAATTTCCGAGAAACAAGATAACCCTTGGAAGGGAGAAAGATGTACAACCATATCCCGAACAAAACTGCATAACATGTAAACTGAAAGCATTTATTCATGTTACTATCAGTATATTTTAAGGTGCTCCACAAGAAATTCTAATGGAACTTCTTCGTATATCTGATGAGTCTTGTTCCAAACGAACTGCCCTAGTTTTGAAAGGCATTTGTAGATATTCTTATACATGACCCGTTTGTATTTTGAATTTGTTCTATCTTTTGCATAGCGCTTTGCAGTTCCAAAAAAGTTTTCAGCGTATGCAATCTTCAGCTCTATCTTTTCGACTGCCAAGCCATTCCACACTTTCAAGAAGTTGAGCTCAGCACTCGTCAATTCTAAATGTACGTTTCCTAAATAATTTGAGCTTTTTTAAAATCTTACTGTGGTCAGGATCGAGACAGTGAAGGATGAGAGTGAGGAGATAGTCGGTTAAAGTGTCGCTCGTTTTTGGAAGTTTCTCTCGGTATTGCATGATGTTCAGAGCATAGAACAGTCCACTGGCCTCTCTGTCGATCGTAGTTGCAAGAATGAAGTTTCCCGTTTTACGACAGTATTCCACTATCATTTCTGTGTACACTGAAAAACTTTTCTGCCAAAATTCAGAAAAAAACTTAACTCACAAATAAGAGATTCTGATGAAGACTTGAGAGTCTCTTTCCATTTCCTGACCAGATCAATTTTCTTTTGGATCAAAGGATTCTCCGTTTCTTTTTCAGCGTTCTCCTGATTTTCATTCAAATGAGCATCCGACAAGCCTTCCAAGCAGCATTTTGAAAGAATTATCTCGTTTGGGGGTATTGCGAACTGATCGAGAGGTTTTGGTTTAGTCCACCGGCAAAAGAAGTTGAAATTTGGGATGAAAAATGTGCTTTCATTACTCACTCGTAATCCGATTCAAAGTTGTCCTGCTCAAATTCGAGCATGAGCAGATTTGCATTTACAAACAGAGCGCCGTAAATGAGTGCCCTCGAGTCACAAATTTGATTTGCAAATCGATCATAATGCTGTTTGAACTGAGGAACTTCCAAGATACGCTTTTTGAGCAAAAGTTTGGCTGCTGCTGCAAAAGTTATAGACATAGACAAACTTTCAAGCCTAAAACTTACAAAGTCGATCAGAGCTGTTCATATGTGACATGCAGGCAGGAGCCCAAGAAACGGTTGCATCCACACGGTATTCCCGATACAGTTCATCTTCCGTTTGACAAATCCAGCACAGGTAACATCGCTTTTCTCTTTTGTTCGGACGCCCGTATTTCTCAAAATGTTCCTCCAAGAGAGTGTTTTGCAATTCAACTACTTCTTGAGGAGTACACCTTCCGGTCAGCAATCGCTGAACTTCACTGTGTAGTCCTTGTCCGGGCAGAACTTCTGATTTGAAATATCGAGTGATTTCCGAGAACTGAAAATGCGTGATGTGTAGATTGGATTTTCAAATTCTCAAAAAGAAACACCTCAATTTTCAGATCAGTACAAACAGTTGCTTTTGAAAAGGCAGATTGAGGAACGGGAATCGAAGAACGCTCGTTGAGTGAAAAGTTCTGGTATTCGAACTGAATGAATGAGAGTGGATTGTTGTGAGCCATTCCCAGAAGAGCGTTGCCCAAAGTGTCATCCATTCTGGACATGAGCATGAAGTAACCGTCCGTGCACCGAAGAATGTGAGCGTATCTCGAGAGGAGTGTGTATTGCAACACCTCTGAAAGCAAATTCTGATTATTTATATTTTGATCCAAGGCGTAAAACTCACTCAAGTCGTCATAACTCATACATCTATTCGCTCGGAAGTCTTGATGGAATGCGAAGGATCTTATCTCGACAACTTCTTCCGGATTGTCAGGTCTCTCTATATACCATCTTAAATCACCCTGAAAAGCGTATGTTACATGTTTTTTCAAAAAGCGTTAGCAAACCAATTCTCCGGGTTCACCTTCTGTCAGCGCGCTTTCTTCTTCCATAACCTGAAAATGTAAAGTACTGCAAAGAAGGAGCCGAGTGAGGGAAAATAGGAAAAAGGAGGAACGAACAAGGATTGGGATAATGATATGGTGTGGGACGAGTGAGCGATGCGTGTGCGGTGAGAGAGCAGAGGTAAATGGCGGCGGGCTGGCTGCCCTGCACCTGCGTGCATCGAAAAATAAACGGACATTGACAGGAAGACTGGAAACCTTGAATGTGAATGACCGAAAGCCGTAACGACGAGGCGGCCTCCGGCGGATTACGAGATGGCTAAATGGGTGGTAGCGGATGTGAGCAGACATGGAGAAACCTCGACGCGGGAGGAGAAGCAGAGAGGAAGGTGTTGTTGTGAGAGAGAGGCAAAAATATTATGGAGATGAGAACAGAAAAATACATACATTGCATTTCAACAAAATACGTTTGCATTGATTTTTGAAGAGAACGTCGGTCACCTAATATTTTCTTGTACCAAAGAACGAAAGAACTGAAATAGACAAAAACAAGTGTTACGAGAAAAGTGGCTCCTTGACAAACATCACTAGAATCTTTCATGTGACAAACGTCGAAAAAAGCGCTTTTTCAATCATAGTTGCTGGCACGAATGCTTCCAAAATATCCGTCTTGTGATACGGCCGGCTGATTCTGACCCACCTGCCTTACGAGCGTGTATTGTGAGAATAATTCGCTCGTTTTGAAGTATGAATTGTGTGAAGCCGTCGAGGGATTAGAGTGAGTATTGATAACACACCTCTGTCTCTGAATATTGTACGTTTTAAAAAATAGTGAGGCAGAGATAGAAGCAGAAGCGAGATGTTTTCATTGTCATCGTTAAAGTCGCGCTACTAATGAGCTCGCCGTTCTGCGTGCTCAAAAACAACTAAACACGAATTGCCCACTAAATATTATTTATTCGTCCTTTTAAGAAAGCGGTATATAATGCATAGTTCATAATTTTGTTGGTTATCGAGTGCATGGGTAATAATAGAATGGGAGTTGGAGTCAGTCATCTACCCTGGAACCAGGCTACGAGAAGAATGTAATTAAACGGAAGGAAATGTGTTTCATCTCAATCAATTATGCTGAGAGAAGCAAACAAAAATAAATAGGAATGAGTCATTTTCAGTGAGTAATCACCAAATGACAAGTGAATCCAGAATATGTGCAATGCATTGGGAATTGACAGAAAAAAAACGGGGAGAAGCGAAGAAAAAGGATGGTGGGATAAAATAGAACGGGCGATTCTTATGCAAATTAAGAAGACTGGGTGCACAAAAGCAGGATGGGGAGAGTAATTTATGCAGTGGTGCCTTCGAAGAATGCGCGAATGATGGTGAAATGCACTTTTTGTCTGATTCCCTGGGCAATGAGGCGGTCACGGATGGTAATGTAGCAGTCGCGGAGCGGGTGGTTGACAAGAAGGTTTCTGCACTTGGAATCCACAAAATCCAGCCCAGTGATGAGCGTGCCTAAAGAAGTGCTGTAAAATTTAATACTTTGTAAGTACAACTCACGTCTCGACATGTTCTCGATGTCAATGAAAGTCAGAATCTCGTTGCACTTGATGGCAGCAAACGAGTTGGCCATTTGGGAGAGCACTTGAGATGTAGCTGAAAATATTTCTTTTTTTTTATTCGCGGAAACTGTCTCACCTTGATCCTCGGAAAGAAGTGATTTGGCCTTGTGCGCAAAGTACTTCTCGCAGAGTCGGTGAATTCCGTCGGTCGAATGCTCAAGGAATGTGAAGAGAGTGCAAACTTCGTATTGGCTACGAGAGGCATCGTTGAATTCGCTGGACCAGTCCGTGTACTGTTCTCTTATCTCCGAATGAAACGCGAACTGAGGGACTCTCAGCTCCAAGTACAATCTCATCTCAGCGTATAACTCTGCAAAAAAGTTGTTATAGTTCTGAACCCTTTTTTTTAATTCTTACCCAGTCTTTCGAAGTCCAGAGCATGTTCCTCGTTCACGTTTTGCGCTGGGTGTGGAATTTCAGCAGCACTCCACCAGATGTCTGCTTCCTCTAGAATCTGGACTTCCGGCTCAATGATACGTTCCTCGTTTTCCATGTTGAGTTGATCGATACGCCCATTCCTATCGTCATTTGGTGCAGTCGAATCGCTCGGAGCATTGCCCGACTCGTCGTTAGTGGAAAGTTCAATTGCCTCTGTAAAGTGGACCGTCATTTTCACATGTGTCTCTCCTGACATACGATTGCGACGAGGAGTTGGTCTCTGCTGGTTCTGGTTGCGTCTGGACACTTCCATTTCTTGACGGATGCGTTCGCGACGGTTTCTCTGACGTCTCTTTTGCTCGTTACGGCGACGCTCCTCAGCTCTGATCTCTTCTTGCGATCTGAAAATTATAATTTTATTCAGTTACTTCTAATTGTCGTGACGACCTTGGAGCTGGTCCTTGTTGACCGGACACTTCATTATCAACTCCAATCGTGATCGATGATGTACTGGATGACGAGTCGGATGGGAAATCCACATCCATATCTTCTAACTGTTCACCAGTCGACCTGAAAAAGAACGTTTGTATTAGAACTTGTTAGGTTACTCACAACAAGTCACGGTTTCCAGGATCCAGAACGACCCATTCTTCGTCGCTGGCAGCTCGTACGTTTTCGTCTCCATTCAAGTTGAGATTCTGCAATGCATTTCGAAGAGCTCGCGCTTTTGCAGCTCTTATATTGTTATGCGCTGCAGCAAACAATGCTAGTCCCGCGCTCTCATCCATCGCAGCCGGACTTGATGGAGAAATTTGGGTTTGGGCTGGAGGGGAGACTCCGGTTAGCTGCCAAATTGGGACACGCTCTTGCGTACGTCGAGCTGACTGATCACTGCGCTGCTCGAGACTTCCATAGAACAGAGACGGGATCTGCGGGATCGGACGCCTCACAGGTGGAGTCGTTCGTGCCGAAACACCTTCTAGAGCAGCAATAAGAGATTGAAGTGCTGTGCGACCGTCTTGTCTCAGAGATCCAGCTTGGTTTCTAGTAGTTGCTGGTTGCTGATTCTCACGCACTGCAGGCGGTCTTGGGGGATTATTGTCAACTTGAGCATGAGGAAGAAGGAGTCCAGACCGTTGCCAAGCTGAGAAAACCTGGTCCATACGAGAAACTGTATCATTATTCCGCTGCTCGAGATTGCCGTTCCACGGTGATGGGAAGTGAAGGATCGGATGCGCCACAGGTGCTGTCGATAAAGGCATGTGTGCCAAGAGCCCTTCCAGAGCGGCAGCAAGAGCCTGAAGTGCAGCGCGACGGCCTTCTCCAGTTGAATCAAGTGGAGCTGGTTGAACCATTGCCGGACGGCTGCTGTTCAAAGGAGACGGAATCTGCGGCATTGATTGCGCTACCGGTGAGGCCGGTATAGTCCTTTGTGCCGAAAGGGCTTCTATGGCAGCAGCAAAAGCCTGAACTGTGGAACGACGATCTTCTTCAGTGGAACGGAGCAGGGGAGCTGGTTGAACCATTGCCGGACGGCTGCTATTCAAAGGAGACGGGATCTGCGGCATCGATTGCGTTACCGGTGAGGAAGGTAGAATCCTTTGTGCCGAGAGGGCTTCCATGGTAGCAGCAAAAGCCTGAACTGTGGATCGACGATCTTCTTCAGTGGAACGGAGCAGGGGAGCTGGTTGAACCATTGCCGGACGGATGTTGTTGAACAGAGACGGAATCTGCGGGATAGGATGCGCCATCGGTGCGGTCGGTGGAGTCGATTGTGCCGACGGCGCTTCCTGAGCAGCAGCAACAGACTGAGTTGCGATGCCACCGTCCTGGTTTTCAGTAATTGCTCGTGCCAGATTTTCATGCGCTGCGGCCGGTCTTGGCGGAGTAATGTCGACTTGATCTTGAGGAATCTCCGGCACCGGCTGGACCACCGGTGCGACAGGTGGAGTCGCTTGTTCCGGCAGCGCTTCCTGGGCAGCAGCAAGAGCCTGAGTTGTGATGCGACCGTCCTGTCCAATTGAATTAACTGGGACACTTATTTGAACCTCTGCCGGGCAAGTACTGCTACTGGATTGACCGTCTTGGGTGGAGGATCCAGTTTGGTTGCTGGTACTTCCCTGAAATTCCTGAGTCTTCTTTTTTTTAGCTTGAGGTGGGTCGCTAGCAGTTGTGTTGTTCGTTGGTTGTTGCGGCGAATTGTTAATTGATCTGAAAAGATGTGGTTAGTGTTTCTAATTGTATTAGTTCACTAACTCGACTGGTGCGAATAAGTCTATGATGCGCTGCTGATTAGCCGAGTACTCCTCCATTGTCATCACCTCTCCTTCGAAGTAAATAAGTTTTTCGCTGGGTTTTTTATGGCGATCCACTCGCTCAGATTCACGAACAGTCATGACCGGACATCCTTTGCAAGACGCGGCGCCTTGGCTGGGCTCCTCGGTGCTAATAGTAGTCCGAAACAGTGTGCTGTCAGCACTCGGATACGGCACAGAGTGCATGACACATTTTTTGTTCAGTTCGTCGTCGGGCATTTGGAGAACACTCGTGAAGTATTTGGCAAAATGATGCAATTCCTTCGGCTGTGCCCAATCATAATTCCGCTCGAAATTCTTCTCTTCCAGGAACTTCACAGATTTCTCGCCCAATTTGAACATGCTGTACAGAGACAAAATGATTTCGTCTCTGAGGTTGAGTTTGATTGCGGACCACACATCCGTGAGCTCTGGTTTTCTGATGATGCGTCTGTCAATTTGTTCCTCGACATATTCTGAAAGAAAATTGCCTGCCATCATGTCTGAAATGTATTTCTTACCGCGATAGTCATCGATGTGCTCATTGGCCGGGAAGACACGAGAATTGTGTACACGAATTTCGCGGAAGAGCGTCTCTGAGACCGGAATGATGAACGAGAAACTACGCAGTTTCTCCTTCATGTCTTTGGTACGAGTTGCCGATGGCGGATAGCAATTGACGTCCTTCAGTGGGCCTCCGAAGGTGTAACGTTGCTGAACTGCGCGGAGCTCGCGAGATTGACTGTCGACGCGCTGTCCTTGGCTGTTGTACGAGAACAGACTGTCATGCAGTGGAATGGAACTCTGAAGACATGTCATCCAATATTGGAAACTGTTTATTTTTCTCACCTCTGCAAAAACTTTTCCCGGCGACGTCATTTTCAAGATAACGTGCTCGCAGACAGGAGAAGTCGGTGTGTGAGGAATAGACCACCTAAAAGACACGTTTTCGACAGACCAAACATATTATTTTGCTCACTGAGTCTGTCCGGAGAAGTTCTGGTACTCAAAGTCGATGAGATTCTCCATTGAGCTTGTGAACTGACGGAAGATCATCTCAGCTGTGCAGTCGCACATGTTGTACATGAGAAGGTCGTATCCGCTCGCAGCCGCCAGCAGAAATCTCTTTCGAAACTGGCAGAAGTCCTTCGCGGTGATGCGCAACGCAAACTTGTCGAGTCGGCGGAGAAGCTTGACCGCTGCTTGATCCTCCAATCCCGGAGAGCTACGGACCTCTTTGTAGAGTCCATCCGGTGTTTTGATTGTCACGGCGTACTGGTGAAGAGTTTCGTTCATATCGTCCTCGTGAGTGACCAAACGGGCGAGCACCTCCATGGGCAGACGCTCCTCCATCTCTGAAAATAAACGATTCGATAAATCAGAAGCACTCATAGAAGGATAGAGAGTTCTAGAAGAGGCGCGCGTCAGAGCGACACAGAGCGGCATGTGGCGAATGTGACGAATGTGAGCGAGAGTGAATGCGGGACGCACGGCAAGCAATGTTCTCTGTTCAATTTGAAAGCGCCCGCTCATCTTGTTAAAATGCAAGAGCGCGCAGACAAGCGAGAGAAAAGAAAAAACATCACATGACCGCAGGCAACGGCAGAAAAAGACCGATCGATGCGGAAAACAACTCAGGACAAATGGAGAGGAGAGACGTGCGAGAGGGCATGTGAAAAGAGAGATCTGGCCGTTCCAGACAAACAGAGAATGTAATTTGAATAAAGTCAATATTATTGAGCGGTTTTTGTTATTTTCGTGAATGCTATTTTCGAAAAAAGCGTGACGTACCTTCGCCGGATGAAGTTGAAGGCATTGCGATCACTGCTGATGACGTTCCGATTGAATTTGACGATTAGTATAATCCAGTCCTGATAAAAAAGGAGAACTATTGATATTGAAAACAGATAAAATGGGAGGTATTGCATGGTATGGTACCATTGCAGTTCAAAAAAGAATTTGAAAAAATGCAACGTCAGACAATTAATTGAACAGAACCAGACGGGGGATTGGAGGAATTGAAAGAAAAACAGGAGAAATGGAGATGGGCAAACGGGAGGCTGAGAAGAGCAAAGAGAAATGGAAATGGAGACGGAGATGGAGTGACATATTATATGAGGCGACTTGGAATAATACGGGAACGGAGGGAAAAAAGAAATGAATTGGGTAGCTGAAAAATAGGTCACAAGAACAACTTTATCTAGAAAATTACAAAATGAGTCATTAAACTTCCTGAGTCTTTTCTGACCTGAGATTGCGAATAGAATGAGAAAACGATTAATGGCACACGCAGATCACAAATAAGCTTCATATCCAGTAAAGTTGTATCTCTGGGAGGCAATGTTAAACAGCACTCGGTGCTCTTTCATAACACTGAGCAGTTTGTTTTTGACCGCGTTATACGATGTGAACAGGCAATCTTCGGTAGTGATTTCGTTGAGACGCTTGTCGAAATAGCGAAGCCCTGTTTTTATAATATCTGAAGTAATCAATTTGCTTGTCGAGAGACACTGTCGGATGGATTACCTTTATCCGACCACGTTCCTCCGACAATGAACGGCTCGTCTTTAACGAGATCATCAACCTTATTACCGTATGAGGTAGGACTGCTATCGCCTGCAAAAAGAATCGACAACGAATGCATGTCCGACTTATTTTTCACTCACCCACTGCTTCGTTTATGAAAGAATATAACAAGCGCATAGTGTTTCTCTCTCTGTTTGACCGAGCAACATGTTCAACGTTGCTGATGTACATCATAGCTGTGGCGATTCTCAACCGGAATTTATAGGCGTTGTTAAAATTTGTAACACGGCTCTTGATAATTCCCGGAATTTTTCCCTCGAATGCATCAGCTCCTTGGTTTTTCATTTCAGCCATTAGCTTCAGTTTGGCGAACATCACTGCAAAGTAAAAATGTTTTTTGTAGTCTTGCGCATTTCTTACCATATAGCTCGTTGTGGGGATGTCCAAACAGTGCGTTGGCATCTTCCACTTTGTCCTCAACCTTCAATGGCTTGAGAATTGATATCGAAGGATTGTAGTTGCCGTTGTGCGGGTTCAGTGGCTGCTGATTGGTCAGACTGGAGAGAGACGCAGCCATTTGAAGCGTTATTTTGGGGAAATCTCTCTTTGTCTTTATCTGAACGGGTTCCTTGACTTCCTCTTCGCTGAAATCGTCAAAGTTGTCATCTTCAACAAGCAGTTCGTATCCCTCATCGTGTGGATCACTTCTGTAAAAACATGTTAGTTGAAAAACGTGATTGCGCCTTACATATCGGGTAGATCGTAGAAATCCGGATCAATAGTTTCGTCATCTCTGTACTCGATGAGTGTGGCACACATATCTTGAAGGTGCGCTTCGACTCTAACCTTCTTGATGTTTTTCTCAGCTTCTTCCTGATTATTTTTCTCACTTCCTTTACCATTGATGTGAATTTCTGCATTCTCGCAAGTGTTGTAATCAGTAAATAGCACAAATCTGTCGACTGGAAAAGAGGAGGACGATGATTGTTCAGGTTCTTCACGAGCAGATTCTGGCTCAACAGTCTCAAACTGAACAGCCTTGAACTGAACTGTCTCGGGCTCAGTAGGAATCGGTTTAGCATATTTGTTTTTGGCTTTGGACTTCTTGTGCTGCTTGGTTTTCGTCTTGGACGTTGCTTCAGTTGGCTGGCAATCAGGTGGCGATGGAGTATGCGGTTCAGCTGTTGAATCAGTGGGTGGGGTGACGGTCTCATTTTTTTCAACATCTTCAGAGTCGGGGACTGGCGGTTGTTCCGTGACAGGCGAAGTCAGCGAATCAGTTGTGGATGAAACGAGAGATTCGTGTTTTGCAATCCGTTGGGCTTCTCTCTGCTGCTGCTGCAGAAGCTCCTTTGCAGCCTTCTTGGCTTTCTTCATAGCAGTCTTTGTCATTTGTGGAACCAAGGGAGTATTGTCGACTTCTTGGATGGATTCTACCGCCGCTGTTTCTAGCGTATTCTCTGCCGTCTCAGCAAAAACCGCCTGGTCTTGAGCCGACACTCTCTCTTCCGCCAGTTCTTCGCTTCCCGATGCTATTTTCACCGCGTTGCTGCAATCCTCTGATACATTCCTGTTTTGACTCGTTGTGCTGGCAACGGCCTCGTCCGAAATCGATGCGTTGGCAACAACTTCCTTGTCCGGAATTGGTGTGCTAGCAACGACCTTCCCTGAAATGGATGGGCTAACATCAACTTTGCTCGGAATCGATGTACCGGCAGCAACTTCCGTGTCCGGAATCGATGGGCTTGCAGTGACCTTCTCCGGGATCGGTGTGCTGAATCGATGAGATGCTCCGTTCACAAATCCCATTTTTTGGTGAACTGACGATTGCGGTGCCTGATTCTGGGCGCCCGAGTTCAGCCACCCTGGCGATACGTTTTGCTTAGGTTTAATGTCGTCTTTGCCTTCAATGATGAAGCGCTCAAATCCGTTGTTCATGCGGATCAGCTGACGTTGGTGTGGCTCATTGCTCGGTCTCGTATCATCCTGGTCCTGCCCTTTGTAAGTCCAAACGTGCTGATCACACTTGTTTAGCTGAATATTACTGATCGGCTTGTTCTCGAACTTCACGGGGCCGACTTGTTGATTCTGCACCACATTGGTCTTTGATCCCTCCATTTCAAGCGGTTTGGCACTGTAAAAATGCAATTATATGATTGTTTACCCGGGAGAAAATGGTAGACGCACAGTTGGGAAAACTGCGACGCAGGAGTCAAATGTTTGTAGTGAACCGTAGCGTTGAAATATTCAAAAAAGTCCTCAATCGGTCTGTTTTTTCTCAGAGAGTTACTCTCTTCGAAGTGAGTAATCTCCGAATCCACATTTCTTTTCAACACGGCATAGATAAACTTTGCGTTGTTCGGTCCCAAGGATTTGTACACTGCTTGCCATGTGAAGCCAAACAAACTGTTCTTTTTCATTCGGAGAACGATCATCTGCTTTGTCTGATCTGTAAACGGGTGATTTCACGGAGACAACTGTCATCACGGATTACCTATCAGTTGCTGAATGTCAGGAACTTCAAAGTCCATCATTTCCGTTGTGTACTTCACGGAAAAGACTCTAACATAGCCGACGGTTTGACCTTCCACGAGAAAAGAGCACTCCAGCACGTTCTCCGACGGATGGTTCTCTTCGTGAAGCACAGGTGTCACTTTTTTCAACATTGACTCTCTCCACTCTTCGTAATTCCTGAAAATTATGAGGGTTTTCCTGATAATCAACAACTTTAACTGGCCATCCTTCCGGTTTCGGAACTTCTGCTCCAAGAAGAATGCGCTGCTCTCTAGCCATTTCAATCTTCTGGACCGTGCTCATGGGGTGATAATCGAAGAGGTAGTTGCTAAACAGCCAGTCTTCTGCCGGCCAGTTTCCCTGAAATGTTTCGATTTGGATGTTTATTGGTTTCTCGAAGCACACCTGTTCCGGCAATTCAGTTACATTCTGACTGTTCTGGCGGGTACCCGTATACGCTTTGTCCTCGCTCCAATGCTTGTATTTTGACCAACTGAAGAAAATGTGTGAGCGTCTGAGAAGGAATTTAAAAGTCGCCTACTCCTGCTGCTCGGAAAAGTTCAGATACTCAAACTGTGGAATGTTTCCGACGAGGAACTCCCGAATGAATTGCAGTGCGACGTCTTCCGTGAAGGATGGATGCTTCCAACATCCGCGAATTTGGCTGTATCCAAAGAGGATTTTGCGCAGAAGATTCTCTCTTTGTTCGACAAGATCGCCAGCAAGCTCTGAAAACGGTCATATTCACCCATATCCCTTTGCTCATTCCGCTCACTCTGAATTCTCTCTTTTCCTAGTGTCTCTAAGTATTTGGTGATAGTCAGAGCTTCATGTTGGAAGAAGTTGTTGAGGCCTCCCGTGAAGCGAATTTCTCTCTTGATGTTGTCTTCCACGGGCCATAGGAAGGAGTTGTGCTGCCAGTCTCTCGGTTTCCCCTCGGGCGGACCTGTCTTCTCCGCAACGGGTTGCCCGTTCAGCATGATGAAGTTATGCAGGGCTCAGCCACCTGTAAAAACACTAGAACTTTCAGTGAATACGCGAAAGAGAGCAAGAAGGGGAGAGAGAAAGAGAGAGATGTGCCCTAGGTAACATAAGGCGGCTCGCGCACGTGATACGGGAAATGCGGACCGCGATGCAACCACGTCGCGTCAACCTAAACGTCTTTGAGAAATTTATGTGCATAGAAAAGCTGACAAAAACACCAGAAATATCTGCGATGAGTCACAATCTGGAACTTATAGGCCCTTGTGATGAAACATGAACACTTCGAAACAAATTACCCCCCGAGCGAAGGAGAGGGGGTACGGAAACAAGAGTATTCGTAAAATCAATAATTGTGGTTGGCGTCACTAAGAAAAAATATATTGTTTTGTTTTTAAAGTGCGATTGACTTTAGGCCCAAAAATTTTAGGCCCATCTATTTTCGAGTTTTTTATTGTTTTTGAGGCTGTATTTTGACGGATTGCCGGTCATTTCTGCTTAGAAAATTTCGGAAATAACAATTATTCTTCTAGAATCCAAAAAAGTGGAAAAGCTTCTGAAAATTTGGGCCAAATGGGACAAATAGATGGGGGAACGGGTGAAATGCGAACGGGAACGCTTTGCCGCGGAATGAGGTTCCTGGTGAACACCGCCGTGTTTGCGTACAGCCCAACATTTTACGGAATATTCGACACATACTTGACGACAAATGTTTTTCAATGGATTTCATCATAATCGATATGACGGAAAACGACACTCGTTATAAAAACAAATAGATAATTATACAAAACTGCGAGAATATACGTTTCAGATTTCCGAAATTCAACTGCGAGTTGCCCATTGACTGATAAGGAGCCAGATTTGAATCTCGAAAAAAATGAAGATTAATCTGGGAAAAGGAAAACAGAGTGAACGATCTTCGACGGCAATAAAGTCATTTGCGGAACGGACAAAGACAACGTCACCGAATGACCTCGCCAGAAAAAAGGAAGACTATTCCGTGGCCAAAGATGATTGCCGGACGAACATCGAACAAATCTTGAAAAAAAGTGAACGGCTTCAAATCTAAAATACTCTTTCCGCTCTGTGTTCTGCCTGGTCCTTCAATTTCCCAAATGTTTGAATTGAACTATGTGAACTCGTGGTTTTCGCAAAAATTCAATGATAACCGACCAACAAGGTTTCCCCCTCTTTTAATCAATGTTTCTATGGCTTATGACCGGAATGCTGAGTACACTCTTTCTTCTAATTTCAGCTGCAAAAGGTACAGAGTGACTAGAGAAACATAGAAATGATTTCTTGATAGAGAGTGGGTTGGGTTTGCGGCAGAAAAGTGTTCACAGAGATAAGAGTTCTTGTACCGTAATCACCTATCCAATTTCTTTTCATTTTCCATTCATCGTGCTATTTTTACGTGCAAATATGCAGTTTTCGGTGCCTCCAAACATTATTTACATGTTATTCTGTTTTCTGTTAATGGATATAGTCAACACTGTCCAAGTTTATATGTATTCGACACTAGCGGACACGATAAACGTGATGAACAATCACACGTTGTCCACTCATTATGGAATCGAGCCGACTGCAGCGAGGTGAGCAAATGAGGCCAATAATTAGGAAGGAAAGAGGGACAGAGAGAGAGAGAGAGCGCGCGTGAGGAGGGGTCGGAAATTTCCGAGAGAACAGAGGCGAACAGAACGATGAACTTCCAGCATATCCGTCATGAATTCACTGATAACCTCATCTGATACGCTTGGAATAATTGTGTCTTTGTTTTTTCTCTTGCCTTTTTCCGAAACTAAAGGAAGAAAATATGTTGCAGTCTATTTCCGGTAAGAATCTGTAATAAACTTTCAAGAAAAACTTCAGTTCTCTTCTAGATTCCTGTTCGCATTGATCGGTTGCTTGTGTTATCTGACCTCTGCCATATTTAAAGCATCAGAACTGTTTATGCTCGGCCAAGTGATGACTGGTTGCCAAATGCCGCTGAGAATGTTTGTGACGATCCTTTACATCACAGAATGTGCACCTGATAAACATAGAGGTACGTGGGTGTTGAAATAACGTGTAAATAGTCAGAACAACGTCAAAGTTTAGGTTTCGCTTCTACCGCTCTCGTTTTCTCCAGTGTTATCGGCCAGATCATAATGTAAGTCTTTGCACATGCTCTATGTTTACATGTTCTTCAAAGTCGACATTTCCTGCAAAGCTATCAGCAAATGATAGCAGTTAACGGGGTCAGTTTGCAAAAGTCGCGATTCATGACGTTTTGTGGTTTCGACATAGCAGGATGTGTTGATAGAGAGAGTAAAAAGCCAGTTGCACCAAACGCTTACTATCGTAAAAGTACGGAAAAGTTTACAGGTATTCGGTCGCATCTCCGAATGTTCTGGGAAAACCGAACACCTGGTTTATCTTTCCACTGTCGGCCATGATAAGGTACTGCTGTCCCACACTGCGCTTACAAAAAATGATTGATAATGTTTAGTTCGCTGGTAATTTTCTGTTTGATGGCACGGTTGCCCGAGTCTCCGAAATGGCTGGTGAGACAAAACAGAATGGAAGAGGCAGGGCGGTCGGTGGAATATTATCACGGCAAGAATTGCTGCATAAGTACACATATCAAACATCACGCTGGAAGTGTGTAAACTTTTTTCAGGCGAAGAATTGACCTCGTTCATTAGGGAGAAAAATTTGACGAAAGAAGATAAAATTTCACTGAAACAAGTTTGGGAAAATGACACATTGCGAGAGGTTTACTTGCTAAGAATACGTCAGATTACAAATTACGAGGTTCAGGCTTTGAAAATCTTGTTCGCCGTCGCCATTTTCCTCATTTGTGATTCCGCTACTGTTCAGTCCATTTACGCTGTGATGTTAACCACCAAAGCTGGATTCACTGTTCAACAGGTACTTGCACAATTCGACCCCTTCATAAAGCTAGAAATTTTTTCAGACAATGGATCTGAACTTGATCCTTACCATCGTATTTTTCCCTACTAAATTCATCGGTACATACATCATAGATGCGCTCGGGAGAAGACCTGTGATGTTCATTGCCGGAACGATAGTGTAAGTGTGATTGCGATAATTCTGAAAACAGTTCATAGTTTAGATTTGCAAAGAGTTGGGTAATGTTGGCTCTGCAAATTGTGATCTATCTGTGTGGGCCAAGTCTCCTCACAAGAATCATGCGTACGGTAGTGTCTTCTATTAACTGATTCCCCTTTTAATTTTCAGATGTCGGTGCGGAATGTCTATTACATGCGATCAGTGCTACTGGAGTCACTTCTCTGGGTATTCTATTCATATCCGAGCTTTTCCCTCCTTCGGCCAGAACATCAGTTGCACAAGTACGAAACTGAACTTCGTATCCATGTTGCTGACGTTTACAGTTTTCAGGGTTTGATTCTCGCTAACTTGCTTGTCAACACTCCAATAGTTGCTCTCTTCCCGATAGTTTACTCGTTCTTTGCACCTATCTTTTTCGTGCCATACATTATCATTCAGTTGATGTTGGGAACGTACTTGTACAGGTACGCACATTCGTGAATTGATGGCTTTTGAAGAGATAACATATCTAGGCATATGCCGGAAACGCGTGCACGAGCAGTTTGCGATATTATAGAGGAACTGGACCAGGAGGTTGCATCAAGGGTTGGTTGATCGAGCGAAAAATCACCAGATTACATTATTCCAGAGCGCATCCATTCTCGAAGAGAGAACTCCCCTTATCAGAGATCGGGTTTGTTCGCAATCACTTGCACCAATGATCTGATTTTTAACTTTTCAGGCCAGAACTCTTGCACTCAAGCGAAATAGCATACTCAATACACCAAGGACGCGGGTGAGCTCACACTGCCGCAAAACATTATTTTACAATTTTGTATTTTCAGGCGTTGACATTTGACCACAAAATGATTCCAAGCAAATGGAATTGCTGATAACTCCGTTGCACTTTTTTGTACAAAATGAATGAATCTTTGATCGTAGAAAAGTTTTTATCGAGAAGAATGACTTGAGTCCATCAAAGAAGAAGAATAATACCGGGGGGGGGAGGGGACAAATATTTGTTTGCACACCCAAATATTATATTCAAATGCGGCGAACCATGTCCAGATTAAGAAGTGGGAGGGTGGGGACTCCGACAAGGATTAACAAGCGGTGGGCGAAAGGATCGGGAATGTGCTACTGTCAAAACACACGTCTTCTTCTTCTTCTTCTTTCCCCTCTTTCTCTCTTTGTTACCAGCAAGTTACAGCAAGGCATGTCAAAATTCAATCTGTTATTTCGAGCATCGGCCCTCGCAAATGTCCAATGTCTGTTCCAATTCGTTTTTCCAGTTGCATCCCAGAGAGCAAACAAACGCTTTTTGCCGGACAATTTGGTATTTTGTCCTCTCGTGCCGGAGGGCAATAGTTGCATTCAAATGTGTGTATGAAATCCAATACGTTTTTCCATACGATGACCCATCCATTATGTTTCGTTTCAATTCGCTCGGCTCCAAAACTATGTACGTCGTCGGCCACTATCCTCGGAGAAATGAAGAGAAACACACATTGAGCGGCGGCGCCGGGGAGGGCCCTCACCCATCATTTTATATCCGCCGTCTCACACTTGTTCCTTCATCTCCGTATGTTTATCAATGAAAAAAGTGGCGTCGGCCCGGGGGCTATCAATCTCAATTCATCTCTTTCATCGCTATAACATCCATTATTCTTCCACATTTTCTAATTTTTGTCAAGAGGGCAGATGAACATTGATCGACGTTTCTCACTCCTCCTTATGAGAGGAATGACACAAACATCGGTGGAGACTACAAAAGAACGGCGCGAGATCTGAAAGGAGAGCCGCCGAGTTCCCACGATCAAGAATGCACCTCCCTCGCACGGAGCTCTCCGCTGTCGCCGGTCCTCGTAATTCTCCTTTTAATGCATTCGTATTTTTGCCGTTTCCGCTTTCGTTTTTGTTTTTGTTCTCGTTCACCTCCACATTTTCACCCTTCCTCGCCTTTTTGTACAAATTGTAGTAGTAAGCAGCTATGATCGGTTTCCCAGACAATAAACTTGGCACCTCGCTCGCTCCCTTGTCGCGCTGATAACAGATACCGTAGCCATGTTCGTCTCCTGTCTCCTTTCGCCTCGTTTTCTCCATTTGCCATCCCTATTGTTCCGTCCGTGGAAACTGTTTGAATATTCTCAAGTCAGTTTGTCGTCCGCAACATTGTTCAATCTCATATCCCATTCAATGTGATGTTCTTTTTGTGACGTCCCGTTTCTTTCCTGAATAATTCACAGTTGCAATTCGAATATCTATCACTCCCCTTCCTTCCTTTCTTTCCGATTTCAAATCTGTTCCTTCCTCTAGTTGACTGAAGAACGGACCGGATCAGTGGGTGTAATCTGTCAGTCAATTTTTGTAACAAGTTCCTAACCAAGAAATTTGACACCCTTGGACATTCCACAATGTGTTAATCCTCCGTGGGGTCAGACCACCTACCAACCAGTGCAGGTCACTTGTATCCGATTTCACTTTTTTCGCGCTATCCTGTTAATTAGTAAAGTCGGAAAGTGAGAGAAATGTTTACCGGTAGACACTTATATACTAGTTCTTCTAATCTATTGTATAATAAGGAGGGCTTCTATTACTGTATAAACAGTTGAAAGTTGGAAGAAAAGCTTTGTTCCTCACATTCTATTTGTCGCTAATTTCACGGTAACGTTCCGGGTAAAACATGACTTGAAGGTCATCAAATCCACGCTTATCTTGAAAACATAACCAGGCCAACTTGCCAAGACACACGCGCAGTCGAAGAATCGCTGGCCCGGATCTATCGGCGTTCACGGTGTGGTGTGACTAATTGATGGTTGGTAGTAGTACATGAGATGTTGTCGGTGGATAACGAGAGGGCCCGAGGTCGTGTCCGGGCCCCCCTCCCATCCACAGTCCTTTTCTTTCTTCTTTTCTCTCAAATGAACCTCCTAATTATGTAGCCTGTGAGGCATAATTACAACGCCCAATATTTCGAGGGGTTCCGACACTTTCCGAGTATTTTCACTCAACTCGCTCAGATATTCTTCTGTTTTTCCTTTCAAAACCACTTTTATGTTCGTCAGGTAAATTGTGTGGCAGTTGGCGGTAGCGTAATAAAAAGTTGACATTTCGGCTGGTATGTTTGACTCTAAAATTAATCAGTGGCTGGCACCAATAACATATCAAAACGGGGCGGCACACCTTTTAGCCTTCGTTTGCGGTAAACCAAATTGCATGCAAACATTGGTCCGCGCCATCTGAAAGGTTGAAGCCCTAATTCGTACTGACAACCCACGGGGACCCTGATTTATTGCTCTCCGCCAAACTTTTATTACCCCTCCACTTCGCTCTCCTTTTCCTTGCCTCTTTCCATCGGAATTTCACTGGAAAACCTGAGCTCAGCTGCTCTCCCGACTGACTGACTCAAGCTGGCCGCGGCCAGCCGCGAGCCGACACAAATTTTTTTGTTCCGTCATTTAAATTAATGATCTATCTGATCGGTGGGGTGTTAAAGAACAGGAGAACGGCTGATCGATTGCTTGCTTCCAGTCGAGCACGCCGCGGAGTTTTTCTTTTTGTTCTTCATGCTGCTCCAAGTGGAGCAAGATTGATGAGTCAAATAAACAAGCCGTTTTTTGTTCCATTCTCTGTTGCAAATCGTTGTGTTTGTGTATCACTACGGTGAACTCCTATTATTCCAAAATATCAAACACTTCTTCTTCCACTTCCTCCCAATGTTACACCGTCTTCAAACTGCGACCCTAAACTGCGAATGTACTGTTTGCTTCACCTTCGGCATTTTCAAAGACTGTCTTGCGTAACGGACACCTTGAGAGTTCAAGGAAAAACACGCTTCTCTTTGTTCCGGTAGCCCACTTTCATTCCATCCCGCTTTTTTTCATTACCACCCACTATTCATCCCATTCTCGCCTTTTCACCTAGATTCCTCGTCTTTTTCAAATTGTCTCATAAAAGCGCGAAATCATTACATGGTCATGCTCATTGCCTTCGGGGATATGAGGGTCGCCCTCTTTGTCTCTAATTACACTTGTTTCGTGGAAGGTCGTTTTTGAATGGAACGCAGTTCTAGCGTGATATGCCTTCCCTTGTCCCGTATGTTCCGATTTACCAATTTCAATGGTCTTTAACGGTCGATTTGTCAGAATTTCCGGCAGTTTGGACATGTGCTAACAACAGAGGTGACTCGACGTTGAAAAATCGGAGTGAACTTTCTTTCTTTTTCCTCCTCTTTGTCTCTGATTCAATGATTAAACTGATCGCTGACTCATATTGCTTTCTCTATGCTCATTTCTCATCAATACTAATTCCCACTGACTAGTGGGCCTGGGTAGTTAATTTTTTCTCCTCATTTCATTTCATCTTCGAATCCGCCTCCTTGAGAACATCTGTAAAGTGGCACTTGCCGGAAGAACCGCTCTCATCACAAAACAATAAACTTTCGAGACAGTGTTCAGTTTCCAGAAGCGAACAGTCGCGACACCTGTCTTCATTGATGGGGTGCCGGTCAGCAGGCCGCCACCCGGGACAAGACTCCGCCCCCTCCGCCTCCACTGCTATGCTTGCGCGATACGGGAGGCTGTCCTGCACTCCTCTCACCAGCCACGCCACTTTTTGGTGCATTCATCCTTGTCAAAACCGTTTCGACAATTGATATCTTTTCTCTGTCCTTTCTTTTCTCTCTAGAACTTTTCTGATGTGCAATGAATTGAATGAGCAAGCATATGTACATACGTACATATGGTTCACGTTTCTCTCTTCCTCCCAATCTTTTAGCAGTCTCCACTCTATACATGATTTTTAATATGTCCTAGTGTTTCCTTTCTTCGAGACCCTGACTCACAGGTAGAAGTCATCTGCCAAAAACTCATTTTGTGGCTTGGTTCGCCTCTACCTATTCATCCAAGGTGCCCAATTGGTTTTCTCATTACTTCACACCCTCATCGTACTACAACCCTTCTCTCTTTCACTCCGCTCCACTCTTCCTGGATAATCAGGACAAGACAAATACTCATTAATTCAATCATTTTGCATTTTGGGAGGTGGGCTCCCATGGAGCCAAGATATTGTACAATGAATTACAATTGTGGTTGAATCCATTAGGGGTTTGAATTGGAATGAAGTGTAGTAATTGATGAGCCTGGTCGGAAAAGTGACGAGAGCACGCCAAGCACGCCCGAAAAAAAGACCACCAACTACATTTTTTGGATGTTTCTTTTCTCACGCATCCATCTTTGCAAGCTTATCTGTTCTCGAGCTGCAACCATTGACCCCGTCTCCGTTTTTCCGCTTTTCATGCCTCTTTTTTTCTCAACTTTTTCACACCCTATGGCTCCTTCTTCTTCTTCTTCCTCTTCTATTCCATATTTTCTAATATAGATATGAAGCTGCCGCCGAGATGAGTATAATGATGAGCTCTTCCTGAATAGCTTCCCGCAAAAGCGGATATTTGAGCATCTGCCCCTGCCCCCGGGCCTCTTCACACTTCTCTATTTCAATTTGGGCCTGTCAAATTGAATTTCGTATCTTGTTGTTCCTTCTAGACTCCTAGACTGACACTTTTTCCAATTTCCGTTCTTCTTTTCAGCGACGACCGTTATCTGCAAATCTATGTCACCATGAAATCGCCGTTTCTACTACTACAACTACTCGTCAGCACAGTAGCTGGCCTGGAATTGAGTAAGTGATCCCTCTTCCGCCACATTCCTTTCCATTTGCTGCATACGGTCCATTTCGTTTTCTTGGCCATTTGGGCAGAAAGCGAAGAAACGTGGCGTCTTCTGGGAAAAGGGCATTGGTTAGAAATGCATCATATTTTGTCGGGGCCGCCATCGAGAAAGGAGAGACAACACTCTAAACTAGTACGCTTTTTTCCATTAGCTCTCATCACACTCGGAAATGTTTTGGTGGCATGCACGCCGGAATTTATGGGCGACGAGGGTAGAAGAAGACGAGAAAAGAGGGCAGCAGTTAACGAGCGAATAGGTAAAAGTTGGGCGAGGGACCTATTGAGATAGCATCTGTTTGCGCGAATTTTAAGAGAGCGGCTAAAGATGATATCAGAAACGAAATGTAAAAGGCAAGGAATGGTTTCAAATCAGGCATGGCTTGAGATGTCACGAGTGGATAGTGATGAATTATAGGCCCGGTTGTGTGGATACCCCTCTTATGTTGATCAAAATCTCGAGGATTATATGATTCAACAGTTGGGCAACGCGCGATACTCAAACACCCAAGAGTCACAAAATTCCTGATGACACCGATTAGGGCAGGTGCATCTATAGGCATGCTGCTGCTTTGCGTCATTGATCCGTATTCTTGATTCTTGAGAGCATTGAGCGTAAAATCTTGATGGTATTGCGCAACGGGACAAAGAACTAGGAAATATATATAGTACAGGTCAATTTATTGCTTTTCATTTCCAACAGACGATATAAATTACACTTTTGACCTGGCGTCGTGTCGCTTTTTGATATTTCGATTCGTCAAAAACGTTGTAGTGACAGGCGAAACAGAAAACAGCGGAACCAATTTCTTGTGGTCCCGAAAACTCATCCCTGGGTCTTTTCGTGACAGCTGCTTGTCGTTTCAATTGCCAAATAACACATCATAACATTGTTCTTCAAGTCCTTCTTATCATTCTCCCCTCGGAAAAAGAAAGCGAAAAGCAATTGTCTTTGAAAAGAACGGCGGAGGGACTTTCTTGATGTAAAGTACCACCAATATTATGGATGAGTGGATGGGGATAGCATAATATTTTATCGAGGCGGATGGTGACAGTGAGTCGTTTCCGGAGGACGCGCAACTGTTGCATTCCACAAAGAAGCCGCCGCGCGAGATGCTTCTGCTCTCAAAGTGCCACAATGATCGATTGCTTACAGTTTAGGACGGCCTCCCACACACACAAAATACACATCTATGACAGCTCTTACCTGAGTAAAACGTGCCGAAAAGGTCGAGAGTCTAGCGTAAAAAAACTTAATTGTGGGGGGGGGGGGCGTCCAACTTGATTGGCTTATGACATTTTTATTTCTGACTCATTCAGCTAAAAGCTTTTTGCTCTCCCTTCACCTCCATGATCACAGGGGAAAGGTAGCGATGAATGGCGGGCAAGAATACGGAGACATTAACGTCATCCGTTTTGTTATCGTTTGCATGATTAACGAGATTGCGCAACCTGACAAAGCGGCAAACATCATAAGGGATTAGTAGCCCATGCGCAACCCGAAAGAAAAAAGTCAACGGGATTAGACCTGTAGGAAAGTGAGAAAGGTCACACGATAAACAATGGTCCTTTCAAACTCTGGGAGAATGACCATAGCGCACGGGGACCACTGACATTTGTCATTTCCTCACCTTTTCACATCGACAAATGTTTATGTTACACTATCAGCCTCGAGTCTTACGGTAGAAGTGCGATGAATGATAAAAGTGTCGAGAGTATCAGGTTGTAAATCTCTCGTGTAATACAACATATACCTGAAGGGTGCGCGAGAAGGTCGTGTGCACGTTTTATTGTTAATTTATGTCTGTTTCGAGAATTGATGAGTTGTCGCGCGCACACGTCAGGTGCCTTTCCACGATCACAAAACCATAATGAGCCTATAAAAATTGTGCTGCCGTCCTGTCCTGACCCATAAAAGACAGGTATAATTATCGACTGGCGACTACGACTATACGTCGAAGCGTCGTAAAATATTTTCCGACTCGGCCATCTAATCCTCCCGGTCGCGCTCCTGCTAATGGAAATGTTGTTGCTTTGCTAGGGGGACCACCATGCCGCATTTCATATGATTAGAGGGCAGTGGTTTGATTTGACTCTACAAAAAATTGAATTGAGGACCAAAAACCCGGGTCCTATCTTCTTTTCGTGTTTCTCTCTTTCGATCGGTTAGTCGGTAGCTTGTTGACCGCACAGCAGATTAGTCTGGGGGATGCATAATGCAAACATTGGATACATGACAAAACAAGCGAGGTCCAATGTGCCGCGTGAAATTTGACCCCTTTACAGTCCATTGACCTCCCAACCTCAAAGGACCATCAACTATCTTTATTCATTTGCAGGGGAATGCGGTCATCGTCTGGGAATGTCAAACCGCAAGATTCGCGACGAGCAGATCTCGGCGTCGACGAGCTTCGACTTGCAAAGCACCGGACCTCAACATGCTCGGTAAGTGGGCAAGACGTCATTGGGAATTCGTATAAGTACGGACATTTGAAAAATTAATGGATGGAAGGTTTGCGAGGAGGAAGCGGATGAGTAAATCCGCATGCAAATTTCGATGCACTACTCTAATTGACCAAAGGGACCTTTCGGTTGGCACAAAATAATTCTCAAGCCGGCATCTTGTCTAATTAAAGCGAACTGTCAACAGGAAGGGGGTATTGTACAAGCTCATAATTACTCCTTCCCATAATTACAGTATCCGCTTTCACACATCTTTTGTGTGTCCGGTCCGAACGACTCTAGAGAATTCGAAAAGACGTCCTCGTTTCACGTTCCCAACTGAGGATTTGCGAGGGGGATTAGCACCCTCACAAGTTCCTAATTTCGGTTCGCAAAACTCATTGAAATTGAGAACGCATTTGCATCGCACATCTAATTTAGGCGGCCGACTTGTCCGAGGGAACGTCTCCGCGCAGGCCCTTCATCAGTAGCATACGTTAACGCCTCAACAAGCGATTTATCGAGTTTGATTGTTTTGACAGGCCGCAGACGGGCTTCCATTGCTTCACTTCCTAATTGCAATGTGTTGCATTGCGTAGATAAAATCTTGATTAGGAGCTCATCTGGAGGGGAATGAAGCTGAGACGGGCAACTTATGTGCTCGAAGGGATGCGTGCACTGGATTTGTACTCTACAACGTCGCTTACTTTTCAGGGCTCATCAGGAATCTGGAAGTGGCGCTTGGTGCCCGAAAAATCAAATCAACTCTGTGAGCAAAGAATGGCTCCAGATCTCATTTTCCGTCGATACAGGTTACTAAAAACAGTGTTCCCGACTTGAAAACGGTTCAATCTTTCAGCAATCACCGGTGTGGAAACTCAGGGACGTTATGATGATGGCCGTGGAATGGAGTATGCGACCGCATTCAAAATTCAGTATTGGCGACCTTCGCTAAACGCGTGGGCATCCTACAAAGACGATTTCGAGCTGGAGGTTCGTCCTTTTCATTCTAAATGACCGCTAATTATGGTATCGGCGCTCTTTGGCCCGCACAGTTGAGATTTATGCGCTTAGTGGCCGGCCATTTTCTGAGAATAGTGAATCACCAGGACGGCTTATTCACAAAAAGTGCGCCGAACTGAACAATAGCCAGAGGGGCCTTCGACTTTTTGACACGCCATTTGTACTGTCACTATACGAGCAGAGAAAGGGGAACTGTGATTTGAATAGGGAACACGTTATTCGGGATTTATTACAAGGTTATATCTATTTCTTGCCCGTTTTCGGAGATATCGCCATTGAAATTCAAATTCAAATGCCCATCATATACGTTTCCTGTGGTTTGATGTCGTTTTGCAGAAATTTTGATGATGTGAAAAGTGCGGATCTTTCCTTTCTGTTCTGTTTTCTCTTTTCTTCCTCAATCTCTTGACAAGGGACCCAATGACATGCAATACATTCTTGATGACTTTTCTTTCTCTGCAAAAGTAACCCTTCTCGTCAATTGGCACCTCTTCCACAAATTGGTTGAAATTTGGGGAGTCTTTGACAAGCGCGCAGCAGAAGACCTACTTGACACTGGGTGCTTGGCATTGTACGAAGACGGATTAAGTATTGTTTGCAAGTGCGGTACCGAATGGAGGGAGCGACACGGAAGGCAACTGGTCCTGAGTGACAATGCATCTGCCAGCCACCACTTGTCGAGACGCGCGATCGGCTCAAGATCATATCGACGCATATGGCGACAGTCTTCTTCGCCGCCTGCATAACGAGGGAATTTGAACATACACATAAAAAACGCTATTGATGAAATGGGACCGGGCAGACAGAGCCGTTGCCGCTAAAGGCTTTCCGAACCAGTCCTCTAATGAAATGGCGAATGAGGGGTCAATCCGAAAATGGGCAGGCGGCGAGTCTTTCAACTAATAGCCAGTTAATCCTCATTCTGCTCTGGTGACTTTTTGATGCCGTAATACGTAGATGGACTGGGCAGAAACAGTGTAACCATAATTTAAGGACAGTACATGAGGGACCACTTCAGTTTCCAATTACTAATACCCACAGAAACAAAAGGGCAATCAAACCATATGTTCGCATTCTTTCGAAATTATATGAATACAATATCATTCCAGACAATCCCTGCGAACAATAACACTAAAGACGCGGTCAGAAGGGACCTTGACCGGACAATCATTGTTCGTCGCATTCGCATTGTTCCCGTTTCAAACTCCACTCGAACTGTGTGCATGAGAGTTGAGCTCTTCGGCTGTCCGTTTGAAGGTAACCTGCAGAAATTAAGGCACAGTGATCAAATGCATCATTTTTGCAGATAGTTTGGTCTCGTATGATGTTGACCAAGGTGACTTGCAATCGGGAATTTCTTATCACGACTTTTCCTATGACGGCAATCTTGCCAACTCGCCGCATCTCACGGCTGGAATCGGGAAATTGTACGACAACGAAGTGGGAAAGAAGGATGTGTTTGTTAATCATCACAAATGGGTTGGATGGAAACGGAAAAGGAATGACAATGTGAAACTCGCATTCTTGTTTGGGGAATTGAGAAACATCTCCGGGATTCTGATTAATACTGCCAACGAGTACAGTAAGAATGCAAAGACGTTCTCTTCCGCTCAGGTGTTGTTCTCAACCAATGGCAAAGACTTCTCGGACAAGACAATCACATTCCACAATCCTGAAGATACAGAATCAGAAGCCCCGCGATGGGTTCGCATACCAGTGGAGCACCGCATCGCGAAAGCACTGAAGATCAGAATGAACTTCGGGAAGGGTTCCGACTGGATTTTTATGTCTGAGGTCACTTTCGAATCGAATCACACCAACATCGAGCTGCTTAACGATGACGTTGTCATTCCTGACTCGGTCTCATATTTCTCTGTAACCGAGCACGATGACGGCACCAGCATGTTTGGTAAGAGGCAATATCTCCAGTTTAATCTCATGTCTTCTTCTATTCCAGCATTTGTCATCTTCTTCTTCATGTTCCTCATTATCGCCATCATTATTCTGGCAGTGATTTACCGTAAACGCGAGTATCGTGTCAAAGCCTCGTCGCCATCGCCAAACGCCAAACGGGAAATTCTGTTGACAATTGATGGGAACACCATCAAACATCACGTTTCGCCGTCAACCTATCAAATGGCTCGCGACAATCTTCAGAATGCGTTGATTGAGAAAATGCCCATGTCGCCGATTATAAGCGATTACGCTGAACCTGACATTAGCATGTAAGCTTTGTGTGAAGATTGTTTGGTTTGGGAGGAGAGTGACTCAAATGTTTGATTTGAATTGACATTTACACAAAACGGTAGCATTCGCGCACGGGAATGAAAAGGGCAAGTGGTGAGCAATTGATGATATTGTATTAATTTTGCAGTTGTTCTGATGTCACTGCCAATACACCACTGCTCTATGGAATGGATGGTCCCTATGACACACAGAAAAGAAGGTTCGTTTTTATTGAAAGGGACCAGCAACTGGGAAAGAACCATCGAGTTTTTCAGCAATCCGCTTTCTTCAATGGTCAAGTACTCTGATTATGGAGAGGTTTACTGCACTACCCTTCCGGAAGTCGCCAGAGACAAGTTGATCTACGTCAGCAGAATCGGTCAAGGAGAGTTCGGAGAAGTGGATTTGTGTCACTTGGAGAACCGAAAAGTTGCTGTCAAACGACTTCACGGTATCAGCCAGGCCGATGAATTCTCATTTCACAGAGAAATCCGAGTTCTCGGCAGTCTCAAGCATCCAAACGTCGTCGAAGTGGTTGGGGTGTGCACTATTCAGAAACCAATTCTCTGCATTATGGAGTACATGGAAAATGGTGATTTGAAATCATACATTCTGAAGAACCCAACCATCTCGTAAGTGGTAAACACTAAGTCTTCACGAAACTGATTTTCATTTATAGAACTTCCCAATGTGTCTCTGTTTGCACTCAACTCGCTGCTGGACTCGCGTACCTCGAATCCTGCAATTTCGTTCACAGGTTTGTTTTTGGACTATTCCTTTCAAATTCCCTCAAAACAAAAGCGTTTTTTTTGCAGAGATATTGCTGCCCGCAATTGTTTGGTCGATGGGGAAGGAAATGTCAAAATCGCCGATTTCGGCATGGCTCGCTCGCTCTATTCGCAGGAGTATTATAAAGTGGAAGGCAAATTCGTGTTGCCGATTCGATGGATGGCCTGGGAAGCGTTGCTATTGGTAACTCGCGAAAAAGAGAAAAAACGGAAATAGTTATAAATTTATAGGGAAAATTTTCGACAGCCAGTGATGTTTGGGCTTTCGGAGTGACGATGTGGGAGATCTTCTCGTTGTGCTCAGAGAAACCGTTTTCTGAGCTCTCCGACGATCAAGTGGTTGAGAACTTGCAGAGCATGAACATGACGGGATCTTTGAAGGTAATAACTTACAGACATCATAGGAAGTCGGCATTACTATCAATTTTCAGTATGTGCTTCCACGCCCACGTATGTGCCCCTCGAAACTGTACAACGAACAACTGCTGCCGTGCTGGAACATTGACAGTAACCGCCGTCCAACCTTCGAAAACGTCCATCTTCATCTCCAATCACTGGTCCACACTTCTCCTCACATGCAATTCTAGACACAAATTCCTAGTTTACATTCTCATCTCCCATCTTTACTTCTGGTGATCTATAAGCCCTTGGGAGCCCATCTCAGGATAACTTTTACGGTTGAAACTTCTCTTTTCCTTTCGTTTTACAATGACATTCTCAAATTGAGGAATTGATCGCATATCGGTGTTCGTTTTGAGAATTATTATGTACATTCATTCTTTCATTTTTTCTGGGTACTTCTGATGCTTTTAATTCTTTTCTCGAATAAACTTTATTTCGTACTCTCGAATAATAATTTCTTAATAATTTCTTTCTTCAGATCGTCGGTACGGCCGTTTTTGACCCATTTGTAGAACGGTCCAAACTCTGCTTCGATTTTGGCTTTCATCTTCAAAAAAATATGATCAATACATATTCAGATAAAAATGAGAGAGTCAGCTCACCTCATCATCCAAGTTATTCCAGTCAATCGATCGGACTGCCTCAGTCTTTAAGTTCTTCCGTTCACGGATGGGTTGAATTATTGGAAGAGCTGCAAAAAATCAGTGAAGTGCAGTCGAGTGGTTATAAAAAGCGGAAATTTTTATGAGTTTCACAATAGCCCTTCCGATGTCATCAGTTCCCTTCAGTTAGCTCACATTGTCTTTTCATCTTGGCCGCCGTCGAAACGACAGGTTGTGGCGGAGGCGTGGGTGTGCTTGACTGCAGAACAACAATCATAATAATTTTAATCCTATCCCAAAACTTGCCGGCGTTTTCGAAAATCGCGCTTTATACTCGTCGTAAAGCTGATATTTCCCGTTTTTGACGCTTTGAATCGTTTCGGTTGTTGCTGTTGAGGCTCGTCGCTCATGGTTCTTGTAGTCCATCCAGTCCTCGTAGAACTTATTCGCATTTGTTACCTGTTATCTTTAAGTTTCACTCTTGTCTCACTTGTCAAAACTCACTTTTTTCTTCGATGTCATTTCAGAAAAGAAGAAAAAGAAAAAGAGTGGGAATAAAATAGGGCTTCTGCTTGATTTTCAAATTAATATTTTGTTCTTCCTTCTCCGTCGGGTTGCCATTGGTAATGCATGCTCGGATCCCTCCCATATATTCCGAGTTTCTTGTGAAATAGCCATTCGGCACTTTGGACAACACAACCCAGTGTTCCGGAGGAGACGAGAACGAAAAAAGTTGACGGAAATTGTTGCAGCAAAACAAAACACACTGTGACAAAGTCATTGACAAGCGAAAATTGAGGCGAAATCTCAACCTAATACCATTGTCGTCGGCTGCCAATTCTATTGTTTTCGATTCCAGGCCGGCTTGCGGTTTCCGGCTAATGCACCGCGACGGCGGGAATGTTTGCCGCGCAGCTTGCTCTCGCCGGCCGCCACCCATGCACAACCATCTTCGGGATTCATCACACCTCATTTCCTAACACCTGTCGGGTCGACATTTTCCTTCTGAATATTTTGGCAGAGAGTTGTGTTCGTGTTTTGCCAACTATTACTTTTTTCACCACCAATTTTTTCCATTTTCAAGTGGACCCCGGGTTGTGTGAATCCGGTTTGCGCGCTTGAAATGTCAACCCTTTTGACCTTATTCCTCTTTTAGACAGTTTCATTGCTTGTTTTGGTGCTTTTGAGAGGAGTAAACAGAAACACAAATGAAATTTAAGGCGAGGCGTGGCAAAATAAAATTTGCATGTTTACCGAATTGCCAGTACCAACCAAAACATTTTCTTTGTGAAACGTTTGCAGTTCACTTAATAATGCAGGCGAGAGGGAGAGGGCAACTGAAGAAAAAAGTTGGATACGGGAAAACTGTCACGGCAAATAGTTGAAACTGTCAATCGGTGCGTGAGTCTTCACAATACAACTAACCGTCTAATTGCCCATCGTTATTCGTCATATTCCGGGACTGCCATCGGGTCTAGTTCTGATATAGTAAAAGTACGATAAATGGCACTACTTCTGAATTACTTGAGATATCGCCTTTGCCGTCTGTTATGCCTTTTCTATCCCCTTCTTCTTATTCGTCTTCTTTTATCCCTTGTTCGTCACTCCGATAATACCCCATTCTCTTCTCGGAAGAACGTTCGACCTAGATTTAATATGGAAACATTTCATGTATCATTTGCATCTCAATACCGATTTTCACTTCTTGGCCGCTCGCCAGTTTTCTTTCCGTCTCTGATACCAATGTTCTTGTCTCGTTTCAAATTTGTTCGAAATAGGGCCATATCACTGGCGCACGACCTTCAAAACGGTGTAGTAGTAGTAATCGAGGAAAACACTCATTTTTTGCATGTACTAAGTCCGGGCACCTTCTCAATTCTCCTCCGATCATATTTGCCGACCGTTCTGAAGTACACCTACTTGGACGCCTTTCTTAAGCGCAACCCTAAACATTTCGTCTGTGGCGGGAGTCCTATACGGGCCGTGTTCATCGCCAGACATTCGTTTGGCAGCTGTGGAGAACAACAGCTGTGTTCGTGTACCGACAACTTTCTTTCGGCCTCTATTGGGCCGATCCTATGATTGACTGGCACCTGTGGCCAAAATTTATTTGATGCAGCTGTGATGGCTAGATTCGAAAACCCATCTTGTACCCTTTCTTATCCTCTTTTCTTGACGCTAATTGTTACAAAAGTGCTTGCAAACTGTTCTAAATAGTTGTTCTCTTCACGAAAACCGACGGCGCATCGACCGGACGACCATTCGAAATGATTTTCGGAGAAAAAACCACAGCCGTACATACTTTCCGTCTCAACTGAACTGTCCGAGTTCATTCATTCATTCGGTGTTACGCGATCTCGATTCAAAGGTCGTGCACGGCGTTCTCAAAAACAATCACAATTGATTGAATGTGCAGGACGACTCGTGGTAAGATGAGCAGTGCGCGAACCTCGGTGCCCTTCTTCTGTCAACAAACACAATAACAACCTCCTCTTTGGGATGTGGGCGAAGTCTCCGCTTTGCTCAACTTCAGCTCGAATTACTTTACTCTGTGTTCCGTCGGCTTGCGCGACCATATGGATTCTTCTTCCTCACTTGTTTTATTGCGTTGGGCTCTGTTCTCTCAACGGACATTCCTTCCTTCAAGATATATTAGCCTTCATTAACGGCCTCCGCTAGGGTTGAAGGTTTGTCTCCCTCAAATCGCTCTCTTTCGGTTCTATTCAGACCGTACCTGGGTCAACAACAAGTTACGGACCCGGTCCCTAGTTTGTATACTTCATTATGAGTTGTTGTGCACACTCGGCACGCCAGATTCACACGCCGGTCTTCTGGCCGCAATTCAATATGCAGCCGTTCGCTTTCTCAGGCTGCTTTCAACTTCAACTTCACAAGTTCCCACATCATTCAGCTTCTTCTTCTTCTCCTACTTCCTTTGCCTCTTTTCCACCCTTACATCATCGTATTCACCCTTTTCTTCATTCATTTACCATCAGTTTCCAATCACATCATTATCCTCGCGCGCAAAACCCTCATCCTAAAGCGTAATGTACTGTAATGTTGTGTGTCTGCTGCTTTTCCTCCTCGCATCGTTCTTCCCTTTTCTTTCTTAATGTAGATATTTGAGAATGTAGTGATAAAGTATTGAGAGGGGAACGTTCGTTTTGTTAACTTTCATGGAGCTCTGAATGATTTTGTTTCAGTTTTGGGTCAGAAAAAAGCATTATTCACCATAGTTTGTTTTTATTTGGAATCGTATATAAATAGGCATGTAAAAGTGTGCCTTTCACAGAGTTTCTGATGTTCTTCAGCTTTACAACTGGATGCTTGTTAAGAACAAAAGTAAGCTGTTTTTACTAGTTTTGCTCATTAAGTACGTGTTTTTGCAGCTTCTTAGTGCCTTCTCCAAACATTGGGTTCATTTGCGTTTTCACTCTTTCTCTCTTTACTTTTACTTTCCTCTCAGGTTTTCCCACTTTCTTACGTCTTAATAGTGAGTGATAATGGGTATTAGCGGAGGGACAAACTATGCAGAAAGTCTTCATTTTTCCCTTTTTTCAAAAAGTTGGTCACTCGAACACTGAATCAATAGACTGCCCCCCCCTCCCAAAAATGCCTTCTAACAGATGTTGGCAGAAGCACAAACAGAGAGAGACATTATGGCAAAAATCGGTAGTGCGAGAGGAGCGGAGCGAGGGAATGTGATGAAAGCGAGCACACATACGTGTGCGCGTATCGGTCCACAGTCAAGCGGCTAGTCCTTTTTCCGGTTGCCGAAATGCGATCTTCCCTGATCTTTTTCACCACGCGCCATGTTAACCCAAATTACTGACGGCCCTTCGCGTACGTGTGCCTGGATGAGCAAAACTCAAACCTTCGCAGTAGATGCTCATTGAGCTTCAAAACCATTCAACACTTTAACATTTACTCGTTTTGTTTGAATTTGTGCTCACAACTTCTGGGGCCGGGTCACATGCCAAATGCCGAGGTTAGGTGTGGTGTGCTACTTTTCTTTTTTTATCCCCTGCTTCAATCTTCTGCGTTAGCGGAACAATGCCTAATGAATCAGCAGGTAAATAGCCCATAAACTTCTTCTCCGACACTGCTGTAACATCTTTTTCCATTATCTCGCTTTTTCCGCGTTTTTTCTCATAAAAAAAATGAATCGAATGGTCGGGTCGGATAATTAACATAGAGATCTAATTGCGGACCCCCCAGCATGGACCTCTTGCCGAGGTGACCTCTCCCTCCGTCTCCTTCTCTCCGTCTCCTTTCGTCACACAAAAACCATGCATTTGCTCTGATTCCGAACACTTTTTCTCCTTGGAATTTGTCTAATTCATGTGGAATAATTGAATAATTGCGCGGTCGGAGTGCGATGATGTCCGTTGAAATCGGTATCTGGATCAGAAACCGTTTCCGAATCAATTCAATGTCTTCCTACACGCGTTCCGAATTTTCCGTTCGATTTAATATCGGTGTTGAAGTAACAATCAAGATCAGCAGCCAATCTGGTTCACACCTCAAATTAAAGCAGTCCGGCCAGCCGAGACCGGGGGGCGAGGGAGGTGATACAACAAAGTCACACATAGTTTGACGCGACTGTTCTCTTCTTGTCGGAAAATTAATGCCCAATGTGGTCGGTCTTCGTCAGACACCACTCCAGTTTTGTCGGTTTCTTCTGCCTGCCACATTTTGACCACTTTTCGAAAATTGTCTTGTTAAAACGGTGTTGTTTTCTTTTTTCGAGATGTTACATAACGTCTTCTTCTTCTGTTTCACTGTAAACATTTCCCTTTCAATCCCTATTCATTTTCAGAAAACACCTTCCTGGTGCCATCCGAAACCTCTGGCCCGCTCAGTTTCCGTCCCCGGATACGAAGTCTGTGCCAGAACAGAGTTTCTAAGTAAGTAATCTAGATAAACATTTGACACCAAAAAAATTTATTTTCCAGATTAACGAACGATTTCTCGCGAACTTCTTCTTGTTTAGTGCAAAAAGAATACAGTTTGAAAAGAATCCGTATGGATTGTAACGGCAACCTAGCGGAGAACCCATTCCTGAAGGTAATTACGATTTTTATACATCGTCAACCGCGCCCACCGAAAATGTTTTATTTCAGCAGGACAATGCGGCGAAGCGGCTGATAAGGCGACGGCCGATTGTTATTAGGGATACGGACACAAAGAAAAGTACGAATCGCTTTAATACCTAAGAGAAGAGCAGGAAAACGAACGTTTTCCATGTGAAAAATAGAAACAGTAGGAAGAAGAAATGACACGTTATCCTGTTGGTGTACTTGCTATTCATTTGCTGTTAGTTGCGCGCAGTACGCTGATATAAATGCTATCTTATCACCAAAACGAGCAACCAATAACCTCCCATCCAATGTGCATTTTGTTGAGCGAGCGAGCAAGCGAGAGAGCGAGAGAGGTGTATTTGAACTTTTATTGCCTACCTGTCTTCTTATTATTTTCTTTTTGCAGACAGTACCGGTTTCAAAATGAAGAGTTCAGAGCCGGAAAACAACTTGGATTCGCCCAACAGTGGTGAGTGTTCGTTTTTTGAGTAACTACTTGTTCAAGTGCCTCTTATCGATACGAGATTGGAATTGTTTCAAAATGAAAAGAGTTAGTCATCGAGTGATGTGATGGGGGAACAGTTTCCGTTTGGAAGAGTTGTCTGAACAAATATTGGGCAGCACAGAGATCTGACAAAAAAAAGGTGTCAATTTTTTCTACAGCTCAGTCGAAACAGTTCTATACGAAAGGAAGTGACTGCGCATTAATAGTTTTTTATTGAACACTGAACACACTGAACGTTTAGTCGGGCAACTTGATAATTGGCCGCAAACGCGGGAAATGTATACATTCCAGTTAGGACTTCACGTAATTAACGTTCCGCGTAGGAATGTGCAGGTGTCAAACTTCTCGCCGAATCTCCAAGATCACAAATATATTTGCTCAACTCTGCTGCTGCTGCTGCCGCCTCCTACCATCTACTATCCTCTCGATCTTTTCACGCCGACGACTTTTCGTTCCAATCCGTCCAAGCACTTATCCCATTTTGCTTCTTCATAACTAACTACAAGACATGAAGAAGCGAGAGCGAGAAAACCGATTTTCTGGAAATAAAAAAGTGTTTTATTCCCTCGCTCTCGTCATTTCTTCCTGCTTCACAGTATAGTCTGCAAACAAGCAGAATAGGGAAAGGAGACGAAAAAACTTGTACGCGTTATGCTAATTTTTCTCAAATCATCGTTTGAAATCTGTGTCGGACGGAAATGCGACCCGAAGATATCAGAATTCCAAGCAACCTTTCATCTAAGACCTCCTACCCCATTCTCTTCCATTTATTTGTCCGCTTGTCGGAGATTGTCGATGACGATTCAATACTTTGTCGATTTTTTTACGCGATGAGGCTAGTAATACTTGTACAACACCCATGCTTTTGACGACACGGTATTTACCGGCATTCATGTGTTTTTCGCGCATTTAGGATAGGCTAATATTATGCAAAACAAATAACAGGTTCACCTCATTCTCTCTCTCTCTCTCTCTTCATTCATAATCTATCATTTAATGGATACGAGGCTTCTATAAAGCAAAACTTGTACTCAGCTTGTCAGCATCAAGAAGTAATTACCATCACAGCAAAAGAGTTCAGTTCTTTTCGACTCATTGATCTTTCCGCATTCGATTCAAGTGCTTTTTGCGTCGTTTTGTGCCCATCCGAAAAAGCTCTCAAGACTAGAGTAGTGCCACTGATACGGTCATTTGTTAGCTCACGCTCATGCATTTCTCGCTCACTTGATTGCCTCCTTGCTTTTCTTTCGTAAAACACAGGTTTGTCGAGAGAGGGTCGCTCCGAATCACCACTCTCTTCACAATGCTCATTCAGTTCTCCGCGAGATTAGCGATTAGCGCCATGTTCCCCTGTTCCCATCCAGGATTTCTGCTTTTTCCACAGTATCCTTTATCGATCACGAACAATCGCTTCTCTTTCGCTCTGAATCCCTTTCTGAAATCTGAGAAATTTTTTTTCCAGGTAGCAACATACTAGAATTCGCTTAGGTAATGGTATAAAATGAATTTGCGAAGACATTCCATGCACCTGCCAGACTTCTGGAAACCTAGTGAATTCACCCCTCCAGTTTACGAGAATCTCAATCAGTTCCAAGATGACATGAGGAATCAAATTCCTGTTTCTCGAAGACTCGGATCTGCCTATGTCCGGAACTATGTTCAAAAGCCTGACTCCAGTCTTAAAAGAAAGATCGCAAGAACGCAAAGTGAAAGAAAACCGAGCAGTGAAAACGGATTCCGGCCGTTCAGAACCGGTTACGAAATACCCAGAGTCTCTGAGCCGTCGGATGATGGAGTGGTTTATTGCAATCTTCCGGGTCCAAATGACCAACAGAGAAAGTGGTCAATGTCGTTGGAGCGGAAACGGTGTCTGAATTACCATCGACCGACGACGGCTTACGAGAATTTGCCACACTTTTCATTCCGTCCTGAGCACAGAAGTTGTTCGGATCTCACGCAGCCGTTCGAAATGTACCAACCGACAACAATTTCAATCTCGTATCACAATTTGAATCAAGGTTACCGCCAGTTCAACATCTAGATGAATTGCCATTACCTATTCCACCATCCCAAATAAATAAATGGCTTTTGCAGATTTGGAATATGGTCCGGGAATTGTTGAGAAGCTCCGGGCAAAGTTCTCAAAAATGTCAGGAGCGCAGAAGCAGCAGCAACAGCAAGAGAAGCATTTCGCAACACAGACGAAAAAGTACAGCTCTTGCGATGACTTGCTCTCGGAATCCGATGTTGCTCAGTGAGTTGACTCATCTGAGTCTCCCTCAAAATTTCTTTTTTTCTAGCAAAACATCAAAAACCTTGTGTCCGCCAGCAGAACTGCAAAGGCGAACTTCTCGTTCAATTAGTGACATGTTGGGTTAGTGCGCCAAATTCCAAATTCCAAATTCCAAATTGACATTCAAAATAAAATTAATTGAATTTCAGAAAACGAGGAAATTGAAAAACCGATCATCTCGAGGAATGTCGAACAAGAAGAGGGACCGGAAGTAATTAAGATATAACGAGTTTCTGAGTGCCAATATTCTATTTGCAGACAAAGTCAATTGTTCAGCTGCGGCGACGTTTTGAGAAAAATGGAGAGCAGACAATGAAAATGAGATTTGCCCGGGATCCGGCGCAGCTCATCTCGAAATTCCAACCAGATCACTTGGAACAATATAGGTGCATTCCCGATGTACGGCTCAACAAACCACCAGTTCCCACTACCCACAGTACTTTCTCCGTTCATTCGAACAAACCAACACCGGTACAAAAACCAGCCGAAGTCCAACCATCACTTCCACCGAAAACATCGAACGTTTTAAAAGTATATCAAATTTTTTGTTTGAGATTATAAATATCTATTTTATTTCAGGTTCTCAACGACGCCGAGAGCAATCTGGGAGAGCCCGAGTTCGTTCAAATTGCCCGACGTCTTCGCAGGTTCCAACCAGAGATCCATGACAATTTCGTAGCTGTGAATAATAGCAATAATAACAACATTCACATAATGAATCCACCGAAAACATCCGCCGCTCCTCCTCCTCCGCCGCCACCCACGCCAGCTCAGCCAGCTCCGGTCCGGCCAGCGACTCTTTGTGAGCGACTCTTCCTCTTTTCTCGCGCCAATTATTTCAATTTATCCTCTTGCAGCAATGTGGCAACGCAGACAACCAGATATCCCTCAATACTCGGAAACCGCTAAGATAATCAGAGAGAATTGCGATATTGTGTCGCCGCCAGATCCACGCCCGGCCAGGTACGCGAGACGAGAAGAGCACGACGTTCAGATAAAACATGTTTTTCAGAGCGTCCAAACAGCCAAACTCTCCAATAGCGGCAGAGAACGGCCGGCCAGTCATACCTGTCGAAACGAGTCCGCCACCAGAAGAGCCGCGGCCTACTGTGGTTTGTTTTTTGGTTTTTTCATATCTTGTTTACGTGACCATCGATGCATCAAAAACTATTTTTGCAGTTGGAGAACTATTCACAGTTCCGAAAGACTGTTGTCGATATTTCTTCTGATCGAACCGGTAGGTTTTATTGTTGCGGTTATTTCTCTTCTTCTTCTTACTCCCATGTTCTGTTTCCAGCCGCTGTGAGCAGTGTGTTCAAATACGACAGCTCGTCGTCGACGGTTAAGAACCCAATGAGCAACAATCTCTGGAAGCCGAGTATCAACAGCCCGGCAGAATCGCCGACGACTTCTTCGAAACTTGCGTTCCTTTCCCGTAAAGTGGATGACGTTGGAGCCAAGTCGATGATCACTTCGCCGAGTTCTGCGGCCAATGTGGTGTCCATATCCGTGAAGGCTCCGATCTCGAACCGGATTTACTCAAACTGTGAGTCAGATGTGCGAAAAAATATAGAGTGCTCAAATATTTACAACTCATTTGAGGCCGTTCTAGATCGTCTTTCCTTCCACTCTTTTAATACACTTTTCGGTCTTGCTTCCCGTCACTTATGAACTAAACTAAACTCAAAGTCAGGTTTTACGGCTGAAGACACACTTTCTTTTTCTTATCACTCCTTTTTTTCTTCTTTCAAGCGTCGTCGTTTCCGTCCATAGGTGTTAATAATACCAACCCTCTTATAATCCGCGTCAAAAACATGGGAAAGCCGAGGGGACAGACAGAACGCAATGAAACTAGTAGTATAATTGACAAAATTGACTCATTGTGTCGGGCGCGCGGACAGGCGCAAGACCAGATGTCTATGTACTCCCTGGTCTTGTGCATCTGTCGCCACAATAGGAAATCCGTTGTTCTCGAAGGCTGTTATGACACCCCCAACTGCGACGAAATCCCGCCGTCTTTTGTGTGGGCACTTTCTTCCTTGATCAAGTGTCTTTAGACCCTTTATGTCGGTCACTCGATACTTTCCCTCTAAAAAGGATGTAAGAACTTTTTTTTATTTTTCCCATTTTTCGCCGAGACTTACACTCACACTTTGCAACCTTGGCGGTAATCTGAGATAATCGTATCAAAATGTGAGGGGAAGGAACAAAATTGCCAAAAAAACAGGGCAGATCATAAAAGTATTTGCCAGTTCATCGGACCCTATCGTCTTTTTTTTGTGTCTTCCTCAGACCAGTTGTGGTTGGTTACACAGTTACAGTCTGATCGCAGAAAACTCATTACGTCGCGGGGGTTTTGACCTTTTTGTGTACTGGGGGAAAAGAACAGAAGTCGGCTGTAATGATTGAATGTCAACTGATCAAATAGCCCTTTTTTGTAGGAGCTTCCAGTTTGTTTACACCGTTTGCATTTGATACTGATTTTTGTACAGAAAACTGATAGTATTCATCTTCATCCTGTGTTGGACGATAGTGCCCATTGTCTTCTTCTTCTCTCTCTCTTTTCCTTTTTCCTGGTATGATTCATCGGAGGGGGAAGTTCTTGCGGGGAAGATGTTCCTGGCAATCTTTTCCCGAAATCATTTCAATAACCCTCAGACGTCGAGGCTGGGGGGTGTCGTACCTCTCCCTCCTCCCTCACAGATAAACATCAAACGGCCTGAACCGGGAGGGTGTCACTCACCGTTTTACTATACTCGTGTTTTCGCGCATCCGTCGTGTCCTCGAGGGGTCTGCCTCACTTGTTTCCCTCGGTCTCGGCGACGGCGCGACCCAATCTGTAATTGATAGCCATCGGAGGGTTCACTTCATATGCTGATGACCGCCGATCTCGTCAAGGACCACGTGCCGGGCCGGGGCAAGTGTAATGCGTTTTGACCGGCCCCCGCTTGTTTCGACATTACTCTGTTGCAGCCAGCAGCTGGGGGCGTTTGCTTTGCCAATGACCGGGCTGCCATCTTGAATTCTATTTTATTTCCTTTCGTTAAAAAGGTCTACTTAGAACGGGCGACTTTGACTTTAGTGCCTTTTTTCAGAATCACATAACGTTTCGCCATTCGAACTTGGCAAATACTCGATTTCCTATTGTCGCTCGTTTCGGGTCGGGTCAGGTCGTCTGCTTCAAATTTTCCACGTGTCTCACCGCTGTGACCAAGAAAAGATTGAACTTCCTATTCCCACTCCCCTTCTTCCAATTTCTTCAACTTTTGCTTTTCCCCCTACAAGAAAAAGTAGTTTTGAATCATAAAACTATAGTAGTAGGAGGAAGACAAACACAATTTAGCCAACTGTCATCCATCCACTTCATAAAGCAGCGATGTTTGTGTATAATGAACCTGTCAAAACAATTCGGTTTGCCCCCCCCCCTGTTCTATTCGTTTGGTTCCTCGAGTTACAAACCAATATAATTTGCTTCTTTTCTTTCCAATTTACACTTTCAAACCGTCGTCTCACTTTTTCTCACTCAAATTAGCCGATAATTGCTTGTACAGAAGGATGCTCTACTCGCGATACACTAATCCATCGGACACTTCCACCGGATGTTCCACTTTTCAAATGCGATGGGTGTCATCTGCCCTCAGAGCTTGTAATACATAGAAACATAGAAACGTAGCCAATAGCGGAAACAAATGAGAATATCTTTTTTGTGAATCTTCAATCTTGTTTTCAGATGACAAAACCGAAGATTTGTCAGATGTTCGCTCTTCGGCGCCACTGAAGCCGCCGATCACGTATTCGCCGTCCTACTCTTCAACTTCTTCTCTCAATTCAGTCTCACTTTCTTCGAAATACGTTGAGGAAAAGTCCAAAACTTCGCAACAACAACAACAACAGGCCATAAACACGATGGCGCCCTCTAATTCGCTTTCCGGATTGCTTTCTCCCCGTGAGAAACCGTACGGAGATGACGTGACGATTTTGAAATCGGTGAGTGCGTCAGCCGTATCCTGCGAAGACAAACGAGATGTTTGATTTGTTTTGCCGTGATCGTTGCTTTTTCTTCTTCTTCTTCTTCTACCCGCATAGTTTCACTGCAACGCCTCCAGCATTTTCAGGAGCCCACTAATGAGACCCAAAAGCCCGCTGAACCTTCCGCCACTAACATCATTGCTCAGCAGGTAAAGTGTAACAATAGAAATTTTAAAGTTCCCGTGTAACCCGTTACTTGCAGGATGAGTCTGATGATAACTCAGATGGAGACAGTCACGATGGTAACGGATCTTACGATATCACTCCAATGCGGCCCAACTCTCTTGTCGTATGTCACACAATCTCACATTGTCATCGAAAACAAAATTGATAATTATTCAGTTTACTCGTCTAGCAAACGAGGAAGAAATGGGAGGTGATGGTAATGTAATCAGCCGCAGTCTTCTGTCCTTGGTGGCCGAAGAGGACTTGCCAGAGTTCCTGATGGCTCTCAATGAGAAGCCCATCAGATATGTCGTAGTGGAAGAGTCCGAAAAACCAAGCACATCAAGCATACTTCGTTCAAGAGATGTGAAAAAGGAGGAAAAGTCTGCGAAGGTACTCGAGAACGAATTCAGTGAGATGTGAGATAAAATGAATACATTTAGGGAACGCGAATTCGTTTCTGCACGGACAACCCGATGGCGTACGCTTACTTGGATGAAATCACGGCTACCCGAGCACTCCAATGGGATGACGGAACAGTCATTGAGTACTCGTACTTCAAGGAACTGGAGGCGCAGGAAGAAGCAGCACTGATGCACAATGACCCAACCCTCGCACTCATTGAGCAGTGGGAACAGCAAATAGCAAACGATAATAGTGAGTACAGTGTGACGTGGAAAAGAAACATAATTTTCAATCCTTTCAGTTCGTCCACTTACACATGAATCGACGTTCTCCGATAGTCGACTAGAAACATCTGCTGTGTAAGCATTGAAAAACGAGCTTTTGAGTGGGAACATAGTTTTTTTCAGGAGCTCTGCTTATTGATGTGGCCGGATCTCATCTCTATTATAACAAAACGTCTATAAAACTTTATTGACCCCCCCCCCTCCCCTTAATATTCTCATCTATGGTCGTTGAAACCAATTATTTCAATACTATCCTGAGTCTAAAAGTTTAAAATTTGTATTCCCCTCCCCTATTTATCCACTCCATCCCACCCGCTTCTTTCCTATCCCTGTCTCTTTTCCGGAAACAATATTCCAGATGTATTTGAATGAAAAATCTAAAACTTGTGTTCTTGCTGTTTCTTGCTTTCGTCCGAAAAAGACAGACCCAACAATTTTCGTTTGGATCCGCACGTTTTCAAGATACGAAAAAAAGAACTCTTGTTTTTTTTCTGTTCTTTCTCACTCCAAATTATACGTTCTGACTGGATGCACTGCTCAATTCGCCACGCCCCTTTCGTCATTTCGCAATTTGGACTCTGAAAGAAAGCCGTCTTTCACGCTCGTTTCCTCCGTAACCGTTAAACTCTAATTTTGGGTGACGTTGTACTTCCACCCACCTCGTCACAATAGAGAATACCACTCTTTCTTCCACTCTTCTCCACATTTTGCGCTTCCATTCGACATCCATCACACCAAACGGGCTGGGCTCCTCCGCCGACCCAGCTTAATTTGAAGTATCTCTCAGCCGCCGACATCGAAACGATTTTTCTTTCGTCGGTCCCTAGACCTAGTCCACCGTGTCAATACAAGTGCGGAGGTAGAGGAGAAGGAAGAGAAGAACACAACGGCTTGCAATTTGTTATTAACTGTGTCTCTCCGCCGGATGCACTGCCAGAACTTCGATCCCAAGTCTCTCATTTGTTTTTCGGCTCTTTTTGTCTCGTTAATGGCATTTCTTCTTTGTGCCGCCTCTTTTAAATTATTGTTCTCAATCTTTCAGACTTTTTTCCTAAGCCAATTTTATTAACAGAATGCCTCCGCGTGCTCCACAAGATCTTGAAGATTTAGCTCCTGATCGGTCGCTGCCCAGAATGCCACAGCTAGCTCCGCCTCAGGCGGATCAGCCGCCACGTATTTTGGGTCGTGTGGCGTAAGTTTTGTAAAAGCTTTTACGAAACTGTGATTTTCTTCGCAGACCGAATCCACACCGCGCGGGTGACCGGGAGAGAAGAGTAAAGTAAGAAATTCAGCAAAACAAAACAGTTTTTCATTAGACTTTTCAGTCTCGCCGTAATCCCACCGGAACGCCGCTTCCCCTTCATTCTCCGCTTCTTTTTGGCACCACAACTTGCTCGGTAATAAACTGAAACATCTCACAGTTCTTCATCATACCGTATTTCTAGCTACCTGAGAATGCGCCGTGAAGCTGCTGAAGAGCGGACAAGACAAGCGCAAGCGGAGGAGGAGAGAAGATTTCCAGGAGAAGAGGAAAATGGAAGTGGAAGCCAAGCGGACGAGGAGAAAGGAAACGAACCGAACGATCAGGAAGGTCGAGGAGCTCCGACATCACCCGCAACTGCACAGTAACCCATCGTGTATCTGTATCCCAATTACGATCTCAACCCCGACCGGCAACCACCCATTCAACACATTCCTTGTAAACGCAAAAACACCAAAAACACCAAAATGAACACCAAAATGAGTTTATTTATTTGGTTGGAATGTAGATATAAATGAATAAACATTTCAGAATATGATGCCTTCCCTCTTTGCAACCTTAGTTACTGTCTCAAATCATAGTGCGAATTAACAAAGCTAGAAAAACAGCCAATGGGGAAAAAGTTCCAGCAGAATTGAGTTTGCATTGAGGCAAAAGTGCTTTCGTCGGACGGGTGATCATTTCTCGGACCAACTGCCAGGCACGGTATCCGCATTCGTAACGGATCGGGTATTTGACACAGTCAATATAGTTACGCATAGCTCCGCAGACTGCGGCGTCGTTGCTTCCTGCCACTGCGGAATGACTCTCCGATACTTTCCGGGTGTCCGACACCAATTCAGCCTGACATTGCATCATTTCAGATCTTGTGAGAGTCTTTGTAAAGCACTCAATGTTTCTGACCATTTCTGCAAAAAAGGGATTCGTAAATTAAACTATTTTAAGGCATGAACTCACCTCCATATCCGTCACGACAGAGAAAATCCAAAATTTTGATAGCGGCATCATAATTGAAGCGAGCCTTGTCGGCAACAAAACAGACATCTTTGTATGGCTCAATGCAGACGTCAAACAGGAAAAAGTTACTGAACAATAGTTGATTCTGTGATTGACTGACCAAAAACTCACTCGCAAACTTCTGCAAAATAGGCTTTTGTTCTGAACATAAAACCTTCCCATCCGAGGTAATGAGAGTTCTCCGAAATCGCCCCCATTTTGTACAAAGGATCCGCACATTCTTTTACTCTAAACATACACGGTTTGGGAAGGAAATTGAAAATTGCTATACTTTTCCTGTTCCAATTCTCCACAGTGTGTTGGCTGATAGAAAGATGCATTGACTGGACGCTCAAATGCTTCTTCTGACTAAACTCAAATTCCAATGATAAATCTTACATTGATAACTCACATTATATTCGTAATACCCGCCAGTATGATCAATATAATCTTGATTGTGCTGTTGAGTGGGGGGTGGAAACTTGAACTGCCCGTCACAAGTGGCTACAGTTAACAAAAGAAGTAAAAGCTCAGAGAGCATGATGATTCACACGCAATAGTGAGAAATGATAATGATTTGCGGAATATGCACGGGTTCCCACCTTGTTTGCGAGCGCGCAATCATGACAGAAGCCATCAAAATGTCGTCAGCTCGTTCGCTGAGAGCTGTACGTATTTGGATTGAATAATTTGCGCCCGTTTTGAGAATTGTACTGTTTGATGTTGTTTCAAGTGAAGTGCGCGTTGATTGATTTGATGATTGTCCTTTACAACACAGAAACGGCCGGAAGCCAAACGAATATTTAAGGTCATTACCTTTCGGATTTATTTACAGCGGAATTATTCAGTCGGCAAGAGCTCGTTCTTTCTCTGGTTTCACTAAGGTTCTAATGCGTTCATGGTGTTGCGGCACACTCGCCGTGCGTCATATAACTTCATTAGCGGATTCCACTCAAGACGAAACGGCGTGCAAACACAAAAAACTTGCATCATCACATGTGAGGGCGCTTTTCTTGAATATTGAATTGTTTGGGATGCATTAGGAAAACAAACTCGTCAGTTCAGTTTCAAAGTATTTCACAATATCCATTGTTTAGTCATCATCCTTTTCCATGGACTTTCTATTCTCACTTTTCCGCAAAGGGGTAACTGAATTTGAAACTAAACGATTGAATCTAAGAGTCAAGAAGCGTGCGTGAGAACTCTGTGCACTCTGTCTGACATTCTGTTTTCCCAGTATCTGAAAGTTTGGAACATTCCCACGTCCCCTAGAAAATGTTGGGCCATGGAAACAGCGGGTTTGTCACATTCGTCGAAGTTGCCGAACACCGCTCGCAAGAGCGCAAGGGTGAGTTCTTTGATTTGATAGCGAATTAATAATGGGCGGCGAAGAAGAATCTTTACTTATGGGTACTTCTCGTTCATCAAGTCAACAAAAGGCCACAGAGAAAAACAGAGAACAAATTGATGTACAGAGACAAACAGAGCGCTTGAGGTTACACAATTCACTTTTGATCACCCACCCAACTCGTTCCTCTTCCTTTTTCTCTAGTTTGATTCGTTCATTCCATTCGAGTTTCTATTTTGTCTGAAAATTTAAACAGAACCGAGGGCATGAGCCAATAACTAGCTGAGCTCACAAAAGAGGAAGCAATAATATTCGCACATCTATGTCTATTTGATCTTCACTTTGCCCGGTATTACAAGAATTGCACGTAACGTTCCGTACCACATTTGAGTGCATAAAGTACTCAACGAGTTTGATTCTCCGTGTTATCTGACTCGCAAGTACCAAATTTTTGAGAATCCGAATCTCGTCTCAAGTATGCCGTCTGGCACGGCACAACAAACTTCTAGCTCCCCCTATTCTTCCTGTTTTTCAGTCATGTCTGAACATTTTCTTTGTTTCTAACTCGTGAAATATGAATACGAGGAGGCGGACAATAAGGAACAGTGTGTGTAGTTTCCAAAAAGAGGGACGCGAGCAGCAGTTGAGCCCATTTTGTCTATTCTCACTTGACGGCTCCTCATTTTTGATCTTTGTAACTCAACTTGTCAAGCAACGCATTCTCTTTTCTCGATATGGACCACGTTTTATCCAATTGTTGAATCACATAATATGTCATTTATTTCTGTTGCGAGCCAAACGTTTTGGTGAAGAGTACGTATAGTTAACCTAACCGATTTCCAATGATTCCAAGCTAAGAGAACTCGAAAAGTTCAATTATATACTCTTTGTCATTGTTTTTCAATTAACGCCTCTTCAAACATGTGTTCTCGTGAGATAATAATAAACTAATTTTATAGAAGGGCGGTTGGTCTGAGCAGAAACTATTGATGAGAACCATATGATTTGGAAGCGATTTTTTCATTCCGACACCTCACGTGAATAGAATAGAATCAGATACTCTTCTCCATCCAACGAATGCAATTTGTTCTTCCTCTTTCTTGGAAGAAGCATTCCTATTTTCATTTTTCTGACTATTGGATGGATCTCTGGAAAGACTGCTTCCGGCGGGTTCCTTCAAATCTATCTGTCCAAGTGTTTGTTTGCGTGAAAAATTGACAAAATTGAAATATTTTTAGGGGTTTCGTCTCCTTCCCGTTTCTATATTTGTCTTCCTTGTTTCAGGTGCTTTCAGAAATTTGGATGAACCCATATTTTTCTTATTCTATGTTGTTCAACAAGTAGAAATGGTCGATGGAGCCGATCTTCGAGTTCTGTTTCCCTACGAGTTCTGACGACGTTCCATCAGAACACCGAATGACGCGTTTGTTTTGAATATCTGATGCATGTATGTATGCAAGTCTTACGACCATTGGCCATTTTGTGTTTCAGCCGAGTCGGCGTGCTCTCATAATTAGGATAATGCACACTGTTTTTCAGTGTCCCCATTCCATTTTCTCACTCGTTTTATTACCTCTCATTCGAAAGTCGTCGAGCAGCTCCATGATGCCAATTTTGAATTGCGGAGGCTCAAGTAGTGCCGACCTCTTCACCCCAATACATCTCGATTCGTCAAGTGAGCAACACCCCTCTTAAGTCTCTGCCAGTGGTCAAGTAGCCGCACAAAGTATCATTTCATCATTGTAATGCCCTGTTGAGCCCTGCCTCCTGGTCGCTTTTATTCGTGCTCGTAATGCGCGGGCGGCGCTTCTGCAGATGCCAAGAACACTTGTGCTCTCAGCCGATTGTCCAGTTCTGTTGTGGGTACATAAGATGGAAGAACCGCCACATTTCTATATGTACATGCTCTTTATCAGAACAGATTCTCAACTGGTTAGGTAGTTTCTGGCCGATTACGAAGCTTGCCCATTGTTTACACAAAGAACTAATTTGTTGGTCAAAAATAATCTCGCACCCGGCCGAGCTCGTCTTCTTTTCACATTTGAGGAGCGAGAAGTGGGTGAGAAGGAGAAGGAGAAGGCGATGGCTCGAAGTGCCTCATAAACGATCTGCAATTCGACACTGCCCTCCTTTTTCTCCATCTCATTCTTCTCCTTCTTATGCTCTCCCAGTCCGGGCCGTCGTTCCGATGTCTTCAAACTTTTCGCGTTTATTTTTGAGAAGTTCGACATGTTTTTTCTTGTCTCTATTCTACGCGTGAGCTCGTTTCTTTTTTCGAATATCATGCCTATTTTCGTAACAATGTAAAAACTGAGGAGAGAAAACGAGAAACAAGGAGAGCGAGAACGAAACGAGAATTTCTGGTGGCGCAGTGCAGACCACCCAATTCAAAATCCCATTCGGAATGTTCGGAACGCAGTTATCTTATGACTCTTCTAGTTGCGTTCATCTTGTTGTTGCGAGAAGTAACCGAGTCAGTAACCGAGGGAAAATGATTTCCTTTTGTTCCGCATGCGGTTCCTTTTTTCCCCCACCGCGCAAGTATTCATGCTTCAATAATTATTTTTGGACATTGAAATTGAAAATTTCGTGGTCGCTACGGAAGCTGGCACTTGTCGGTCACGTGCTCGACCCTTTCGGTGAGGTGAGAGGAAACGAGGGAGACCAACAAAATCGGGTAGGTCCGTGCATTCTCGAGCGAATGCGTGTTTTCTGGAACCGCGAATTGCATCTAATTTATTCTCTCCATTTTGAAAAACAACGCAAAACGAGAATGAAAAATTTAAGCTCTCCAGCGAGCAGTAAGTCGTATTGGTTATATTACCCTTAAAGTGACATCAATCCTACATCAAGTTCTGCGTAATTCTGATTTTTGTCTCTCTCGACTACTAATTGAGGATACTTGGTAGAAAGGAGGCAATAAGATGAATCTGACGGAGCCGCCGCAGTGTTATGGAAATAGGAACCAGCCGTTTCTCATTGTGTTTCCTCTTTCATCCATTCGACATCCACTATTTCCTGATTCATCCTCTCTTATTTACTCACCGCCTCGTTTTGCATTCTGTTCTAGTCCCAGGACCAGGGCCAGCGATGTCTGGCTGACTTCTTCTCCTCCAAATGACGCATCTTCTTGGCGCCTAATGTATACATTCGACAATCGGTGCTCTTTTATTTTAGAGCTTTGGATGATTCCGTGATTCCAGAATTCAATAATGTCGCTGCCGAAATGTATGTTTACGCGTGTCTCTGTGTGTATGTGCACCCTCAATGCAAATAGTCTAGTAGTTTACCCCCAGCTCCACATAGTTTCAAAACGCCTAATTTCTCCGCACCAACACCATGCACAACACCACCACTGCTTTTGTTCCTTCCCTTCTTTTTTCGTTTCCTTTTTTCGCTCTCTCTGTCCACGTTTATGCTCCACCCTTCTGAATATTTCACGTCGTGGCGCCGGAGGGAAAAGCCAGTAGGCCACGTTTAATTGCACTCATCTGCGCTCACCTCTTGCGCAACTACCACATTTTCAATTCCGGGATCAGCTGAGAGAACTCTTCGAGTTTGTGCTCTCTGCATTCATTACCACTCCTTTTTTGGTGCTCTCATTGACGTCGACAAACTTTTTTCTGCAAGAAGAACCTTGGAAAGAGAAAGAGAAGAGAAAAACATGTCTCACATCATTCTGATCATATTTCCAACAACATCTAGTTCTCAAATTCACAGTACTTTTTTGTACTAATCCGTGTTTAACTACTCTTTACTCTGTTTCGGGGGGAACGGGGCGATGACATTTCTTTCAAGTCATTGGGAAGTTTCTTGAAGAGAAGAAAAACACCCGGCAAAGTTGAGAAAAACTTCCTAATCAAGTTAAAAGTGTGGATTGAATCAACAGAAGAATGGAGAAGCAGCTGAAAAGCAACTTTTTCTCCGTTCTACTATATTTCTCCTAACTTCTGCTGAATGAATGCTAATCGTGATACATAATTGTTTTTCCTCTCTTTTTTCTTGCAGAAATTGCTTCGTTTCTTTGAAAAACCGAAGAACCGCTATTCCCATGAAAGTTGAGAAATGTCCCTTTATAGCACTTCTAACCGTACAAAAAGCAATCGAAGTGAGAGCTTTTCACTCTTTATTTTTTTGCACAGTTTTAACGAGTTTCAACCCAAGCAAGAACGTAGGGGATTACCGTAAGTAAAAGGACGTTTTATGGTGCACCTAGAGGCCTGACACCCATTAGTTGGAATGCGTCCCCACGCCCATAGTATGCATTTCCATTCATTCTGCTCATTCCTCTTTTAACCCCATTTTTCTTGCAACCGACAGAAAGTACTCGTCAATGCTGCTCAAAAAATGAGCCTTTGTCGAGTCCATATTTCATCGCTTCCTTTCACTCGGATCGGGGTAACCAAGCTCGGCATAGAACGCACACACACACACATCCTCTGCACATAGTTCCATTTTTTCTCCACATGTTTTTATCCGCCACACCATGTTGTATAAGCTGCTATTCATGAACACAAAACGAAAAAGTTTCATTTTTCGCCCCATCCCCAAAGTTTCTTTTTCAAGTGGTGTCCCGACGGAAGAGGGGAGAAAAAAAAAGAAAATGTGTCTTTGTTGCAGATATGTGGCTTGTCATCCTCTGCTTTGTCCTTCCGGCAATCATCTTTTCCCTCTTTGCCCTGGTCGCATGGCTCCGCGTCTTGCAGCTCAATTATAGGTAAGACCAGCGAGTTCCAAGGACTATGGGTTCAATGACAAATGACGGATACTCAAAAACTATGTACATTCATAATTCCGGTTTTTTTTTCAAAACAGACCCGACTGTTCTCAAGGGACCGGGTATGGTCAAAGGTCACATGGCTCGGTGACTTGACGCCAGGCGCTTAACGAACCTTGGCGGGAACTAACTGAACCAATTATTTCTGAACGTTTCTCATTTCTTTTCAGACGGCGACTGGCTGCAGAGGCGGCTGACCGCGATGCAAAGAAGAAGGCGTCCCAATTGGAGAGCCTCATCACAAAGTCAGTTTTCCCGGTGAACATTCGAAGGAATATCAAAAGTTTCCAGAAAAGACGGAAAGGTCATTTGTCACATTCCCATCCAAGTGGAAGACATAGAGACGGGCGCCATGTTTTTGTACAACTCTGACGAGAACCTGACGTCAATCGATGAAGAGGCCAAGGAACCACTTGTGGATCAAAATTGAGGCTGCTTCACTGTTCCTCACTTCATATCATCCTTTTCAATTACTTATAACACTTTTTTGCCCACTCGCGTCCCACGGAAAGAAAGTATTCGCTATTTTGCATTCCCTGTGATCTCTAACGCTGGTATAAGCAGCATGCGTTTCCAAACCACACCCCAGTCATCCCGATAGATCACTCACTGTATCTTGCTTGTGAACTCTTCCAAATTCTCAATCAATGTTCATAAATATTTTTCAAAAAGTTTATGTAAGATAAATGTGTTCATTATCTATAAGCCTTATTCAAGAAGCAAAAATGTATTGTATTAGTGCTTGATTTTGTTCTGCCACAGAGTGATAGCCCATCCGGGAAGGTTGATCCAAGCCGGGCACCAGCTAGCCATCGCGTAGTGTCCGCTGAGCATGAGAAGTCCTCGAAGTCCTCGCAAACTGGTAGGAACTCGTCCTAAAATAAGCTAGTGCAAGAGCGAGCTAATTGAATTCCACTTCTTGGCTCTCGTCTTTTTCAAAGCCACGTCTACAAGTATGAACAAGGAAATAAAACGAAGAGGAAGAGAAAAACGAACATCGGGTTTTTTTTTCTAGAAGCGCGCGCATCGAAAATAGATTTTCAAGTGGATAGGGACGTGGGAAGGCGATAAAAAAAAGTGGCGTCTTACCGTCAATATCTTTGAACGAATAGTAGTTTCCCATGTCCGTCGAGATCAACGTGGCACCACTCCACGCTTTGCGGTTCGGATCCGAAGCGATTGCCACAATAGCCTTTCCAGAGTACTCAATCGACTCCCCGTTCAGGAACATTTGATTTTCAGTCTGAAAAAGAACAAGTCATTTTGTCAATAGATCGTTTTCTAGGTACCTTGCCCCAAGACCCAGTGGAAGTTTCCAGCATGTTAACAATGAGTTCGGTTCTGACTGCAGACGGCCACAGAGAAACGACAGTAATGTCAGTATCACGGAGCTCGTGAGAAATGTCAGAGGACATTCTATCGATAGCCATCTTCCCGACACCGTACGGAACATTGAAAAGGTACCTGAAAAAGACTAGGGTCAGTACAAGGGGGTTTTAAAACGTGGCACTGACATGATTCCTCCAAGAGAACTGATGTTAACAATCAGTCCTTTGCCTCCATTTTTCATCATTTGTCTGGTGCCAAAAACGTTGCAATAGTACTGGTTGCGAAGTCCGACATTGTTGACGTCTTCCCAGATTTCAAGATCCTTCTCGAAGAACCTCTCAGAATCACCAGATCCGCATCTCTGAAGGTATCATGGAATGATCATAAACCAGTCATTTGCAGTTTCCGAAATTACCGTCACAGCCGAGAAAGCGTTGTTAACCAAAATATCCAGCTGATTGTTTGACACTTTGGCGACTTCCTTGAAGAATTCCTCGACCTCCTCCAGTTTACTGTGGTCGACATAGTACGGGTGACAAATTCCTCCACGTCTTCTGCATTCCTCGGCAGTTTCTTCCAGATTCGGCAGCTTCGACATCTCGCAAGATAGACTTTGTTGTGGTTTGCGTGACGTCACGAAGACAGTGCATCCAGCCTCGGCCAGTTGTAGAGCGATTCCTGAAATTTCAGATAATTCAGGAAATGAATACGGTAACCAACCTCGTCCGCAGCCTCTCGAAGCTCCAGTGACGACAGCAACCTTTCCGCGCAAAGACATCTTCGAAACCGATGGGGGTAGATGATGGGTATGATCGGTTCGCCTCCCTTTTATATCGTGTCATTTCTCACACTTTGGTTTCATTTTCCGTCTTAAAGTGCAAACATTCTGATTGATTGCTGTCTGGCGATCGGCTGATTAGAACTATTGAGATGTAACAAACACCGCAGAATCGGGAAAGTGCAAACTTTTTTTTTGGTTGCAGACAATTACGAAGAGTGTGACTTCATTGAAGACCGAAAAAAGATAAGAAAAAGGAACCGTCAAACATCCAATAGAAAGAAATCTCGAAAGTAAACTTCGAAAAATCATATATTTTTCCAGAAAAATGCTACAGACCACGAACACTGCTCAAATTATTAGAAAATAAAACAATAAGATAAATTAAGAAAACATTCAAGCACTCACTGCTTCTTTCAGGTTTTACCGAAGAATACTATTTTAATTTCTTGAAAAAAACCAAATGACTGTATGCATCTTGATAGGAATATAATTGGAACTTTCAAAATTCAGAAAAAAAGTATGTACTGCGCATCGAAATCCATAATTGGCGAGCGAGATAGTGCCGGATTTCATAGGTGACTCAGAACGGCAGGCGAAAAACCGGAAACGGACTGACTGAGCGTGCGACTGAGATTTCGGTCCATTGAAAAGTCTGTTCTAATGTTTTGCACTGATCTTTTGCTAGACGCCACTCGGATAATTCGTCGATTTGTTAAATCCGTTTCAATCATTAGATTCACGATGAACTGACTCACTGGTTCAGGTTTAGGAGGGCGAGAAAGAATAATAACAAGTGTTGTCGGTGGTAATCGCCTGTTTTTGATGTCATTATTTAGTTGTGTTACGAGCTGACATCCTTTTTCATGATCAAACATTCGTTCTCCACTCGACACATTCATCCGATTCCAATTCGGCTCCCGTTTTGACCAACACTTTTTCTCCTTTTCAACACATATTTTGTTGAGTTTTATTGTGACAGCTTTGGTTGTTTTCTAAGTTAGTCGTTGCTCAGTGCCAATCATGGGAACACAGAAACACCTCGCGCCTGCTTCCTTGGTCCGTTTTTTTCTGAAAAACAGCATTCACACGCAACCCCTCCCTCTAAAAAACGTTGTTCCGGAGAAATATTCATTCATCTGAGGTTGCCGTAAAATTCTAAAAAACTGTACTAAAAAGACCTCTCACTAAGATTGAATAAATCGTCAGAGAAATAGTGAGCTCCTAGAAGATTTTTATGAGAAAACGGACAGTACCAACTTTCAAAAGTTTTCATTTTATGAAAATTGGATATTCTCGGCATAGATCAGCACCAGTTTTAGTCCCGACCTCGGTTCAAAACTTTTTTGTGTCGCGAAAATGCGTGCCGCCAATTTCGAACACAGTGATTTTTTGGGCAATCATATTTAATTGAGAGTGTGTGTACTGTCACTTGCCAACCATTATTTTTCCGGTTCGGCTCTCCATTCAGTTCGGTATTAACCCCACTTTTCAATTCAAGCGGCAAATATTGGCGAACGCCCGGTCCAAATCGGATTTGAATGGAAAGAATATATTAATAATTCTTCTATTACTATTCAATTCGAAAACTTTGCGCAGTAGGTTCACGGTGGCAAATCAGTAGATGTGAGGAGGTTCCTGTGTTCTCCAGTTATGTACAATTACCGAGTACAAGTGATTCCTAATCATTATTCCGCTTCGTACGGGTAAACATTCATTTTATCCACAATATGAATAACTTTCATTCATTTTCAGACATTTCATGCCGGGTGCAAGAGTTGGTGATGAAACCGAACCGCCTGCACACAAACGGAGCATTATCTCATGGACAAGTGAGTCCTTATTTTTATCTAACTGTGCCAGAAATTCTGTTTCAGGCACTCCCACAAAACACAAGGTGAAGTACTACATAACATGCAGTTTTCTGTTGTTTCTGATTCTACTCGTACTTTTCGCGTATGTCTGTTCGTTGGCGAACATGTCCACTGCGTTCGGATTACTCGGCAGTAGAGGATTAGGTTTGTTCATATTTTATTTTTAGAGTTTCAGACAAACATGAAAGTTTCAGGAAAAGCGATCCAGGAATCGCCACTAATCAACGATCCGATATCAGCGGTAGTCGTCGGAATGCTTGCAACAGTTGTACTCCAGTCGGCGACCACGACAACGAACATTTTGGTGACAATGGTGGCAGCTAACAGTGAGTGTCGAGGCGAGACGATCCGTTTTAATCTTCTTCCGCAGTGATCACCGTACACGATGCGATCCCCGTCATGATCGGAAGTGAACTTGGATCTTCGCTGGTTAATGCGATGGTTTCACTTGCTTACTCGGGCAAACCTGAACAGTGAACGAATTGAAACGAAGCATCCGAAGAACATTTTTACTTCAGATTCCGGCGTGCATTTTCTGCTGCTATTCTTGGTGATGTGTTTAACATTTGTGGTCTCTTCGTCATTTTCCCAATGGAAATGTTCACCGGTCTCATCGAAAAAGTGTCCTGGTGGATTGTCGATCCGCTGATCTCTGAACAAGGCCTAAGTTTCAAAACGTTGGAACTATTGACAGATCCAATTAACAACTTCATTCTACAGGTTTTGTTGTTTTTATTCGTCTTTTTCCCACGCAAAACTTATTTCTTCAGGTGAACGAGGCCGAACTTTTAAACGCGACAATCCGACCAGAGATGTTCGCTGCAAATCATTCGTTCGTCCAACGGTGCAGTTTTCCGAACGATACACGCATTTATAACTGTAAGTAAAATAAGAAAAATAATGCAAAAAACGCCAAAAAGTTCGGTGCCTCATGCTGGAATCGAACCAGCGACCTTCTGTTTACTAGACAGACGCTCTGCCACTGAGCCAATGAGGCGCATGAGAGGGATGGGAGCGTTTGCGTTTACCTACGCGGCGGTTGCCGGGTCGCGCCGACAGAGGAACGAGAAAGAAAACATTGCAGGCCCGTACAACCATCTCTTTGCATACACTTCTCTTTCGGACAAGAGTATTGGATGGATCGTGCTGTTTATTTCCATTTTCTGCCTTGTTATGTGCCTCGTCGGAATCGTTTATCTCATTCAGGTAAGGAAACGATGCTTTTACTCAAAATTCAAAAAAAAAAGCAAAGTAATAGTATTGTTTTCTTTCAGAAACTTCTGGATGGACACGCCGCCAACTACGTGCGCAGTCTCCTGTCAAAGCAATGTCCCGGCATGTGGAAACCGTGCACCGGATACCTCGTGATGCTTGTCGGACTTGTTGTTACCATCCTGGTAGAACATCAAAATATGACTTTGAGAAAAAGGTAGAACATGTTTTCATTCTCAGATCCAATCGAACAGTATATTCTCGTCGTCTCTGACGCCATTGGTCGGAAGCGGTGTGGTGACACTTGAGCAAATGTATCCTCTGGTTTTGGGAAGTAACATTGGTACTACATTCAGTGGAGTGCTCGCTGCTTTCTCAACAGATCCTACCAGATTTGAGAAGTACACAAAATGATCTGACTAAACAGAATTGAAAAGAAACAAATTGCAGGGCTCTTCATATGGCAATGTGTCAGGTCATTTACAACGTTATCGGAACGTGCTTGTTCTACATTATACCTTGCACACGAAAGTTTCCAGTATATTTATCAATCAATCTCGGAATTATTACCGATGAGGTACATTTCGTCAAAAAATGTTGATAAATAGAGTTTTCAGTATCGCTGGTTCATTATCGTCTTCATAATGACTTTCTTCATCATCATTCCATTCACTATCATCGGACTCACCTTACTACCGGACAATGTCATCGTTATTGTCTTCATCGTCCTGCTGATCATTGGAATCATATGCTGCTTCATTTGTGTGCTTCAAGTAACGTGATCTCCCACCGGCCTAAACTAAAAACATGCATTTTCAGAACAGTTGTGTGGAATTTCTTCCGGGATTTCTTCGGAATTGGAAGTTCCTGCCAATCTGGATGAGATCTCTCGAGTTCTACGATCCGTTCATGTCCAACATTTTCACCCGACTACCGTACATTGGCGGATTCTTCCGGAAGGGCGGCTCTTATAGGCGGCGGAAGGAAAGAAAGGATTCAGAAGAGAACATGGAGCAGAAGGTTCAGAAACTGGTTCAACTCAGCGGGCATACACAAGTCTAAATGTTGTCACTCAATTCAATTCGCCTTGCCACATCACATATCTGATGATGTTCTGGTGTCCTCCATCTATCTATTCGCTCTATTAAACTGTGGTTTTGAGCTCGGTTCATTGTTTGCATATCCTCCTAAAGCTTGTTTTTTTATTTTTTAGTCTCAATGTAGTTGGTGATCTGAAGTTTTTTGTTTGATTTTGGTTTTAACAGGTTTATTGTGTTAAAATGTTCTCGAGAAGCATTTGGCGCGAAATAAATGTATTTTACACTTCGGTCGCTGGCGGGTTCTCAAACTCGACATCCGGGTCCACGCGGGAGGAGACGCCTGAAATGTAAAGTGGTTTTTGGAGTTTCGGAGTGATGAGAAGAAAAACTGACAAAGCAGGAAAGCGGAGCAGAGAAGAATGCCGGTGCTGGTAACGGCCATCCAGAAAGACCACGACAATGTATTTATGTCGCTTCCCTTCAATTATATCTTTGAGATCCGGATGCATGCATAACTTTTTTCACTCACGTAATCGTAATGGTACACGTCTTGGAATTGCAATTGCTGGAGGGTGAAAGTTTTCCCCTCGCGGTTCGAATTCCAATAGATAAGACATCCCGATCCAGAGAACACGCCGGTGATGAAGATCAGAAGAGTTGTCGACGGTTTGCAGCGTTGGCAACAGAACGGACCGAAGAGAAGAACTGTTGAGGCAACCATGCAGGATATGGCCAAGAAGAGAGCGACGAATACTTCATACGCTGAAAAAAAGTGGATCTGGTGTTTTCTACTCGTAAATTCTTTTTTTTTCTCACTCTGAGTTGGAAGATGTCTGTACATGGATCTCTCCGAGTACATATCGTATCCATCCATGAAGTTCCGCAGTTGTTTGAACATGCTCGACAAACGGAAATTGCAGCTTCCGTAGTGGCGAGTTGTGATGCACTGACGAAGAACTCCACGGTGCATTTGAAGGTTGTCTGAAAATTTAAGAGATTCTCATCCTCACAGCTCCTATATCCATATTTTCATTCTTGACAATCACCCATTTGATTTCGAGGTTGATGAATGGACCAATAATCGGAGACGAGGGAGATGATGAGCATTCCCGTGCCAACCAGGAGCAGTATCCAGGAAACCACCTTAAAATAGAAGATGCAACATGTGTACGTCAAGTTTCAGCATACCTGAAGGCCGGTGAATTGCATCGCCATGATTGGAAAGTGTCCAAGTTTTCAGCTCGTGAGTTATCCCATCGCGCCGAGCGGCAGTCCTCGCTCTCAGGTATGAATTAGGCCTAATTAGACGAAGTGCAAAAAGATTGAGTGTGCAAGAACAACTTGTTCCGCCCCTCGACGGCCGACGAACGTACAAGGTGCCGTAATTAGATGGAGAAAAGCAGGAAAAAGAGAAGCAGGCGGAGAAGAGAAAGAGAGGAGGAGCCGAGGAGTACGAGCAGTTAACTAACAGCGATTCATAAATATGCATAGCGGCAAAGGGGGCAGTGCTGTGGTCACTCAAGATTTGCTAGATTGACTTTTTGAGCACGAAGAAGAAGAGGCGAAGGAGGAGAGTGAAGGCAGTGGGGAATTGGAATTGAAATTGAAACAATTATAGGCGCGGAGGCAGTGGAATTTGTATGCGATACGTTTATGTGTATACAAAGGAAAGAAGAAGAAGAAGAAGTTATCGTTCGCCTCACAAAACTCACATGTTCGGTTTATGAGCGAACATATGTTTCAATTTCCAATAACTCCGACGCCAATGGCATTTTTTCCACGAAATGTGCATTTCTGTGTTGTAAAGGTGGAGTTTTCCCTCAAAAACGTTGAGTTTGAGACTGACGCAGTAGGAATTTGGAATTTGGAATATTAGATTAACGGCTCTCGACTCGTTAAAGTATAACACTTTAGCTTTTGGTGCACAAGAAACAGAACATTACACTTAATTTTGGTGAGAAATGCTTCAACAAAAAGTTCAGAACATGTGGAAACAATCTTATCCGTCACTAAATCTCGATGACTCCCCACGGGGCCATGTTGCGAATAGAGCAAAAGTGGGTGGAAAAAACCGGGAGGATACCACACACACACACACACACACACACATGAGACATATAGGAAGATGTCCATTCGGAACAAAAGACTTTTTCCCCCCAAACAAGCAATGTCGGGGTGTCGACCGCCGACCACAAAAACACCTCTCGTACACAAGATCGGATTGAAAATGTTAATTGTGTGCGGCAGATGAAAAAGTTGTGATTTTAGCCAACGCGCTGAACAGAAGCTTGAGTGTATAAGCAGGACATCTGAGGAAAGAGGAGAAAAGGAGGAAGAAGGAGAAGGAGAAGAAGAAGAAGAAGAAGAAGAAGAAGAAGAAGAAGAAGAACGGGTGGTAGTGGAGGACAGGAAATTCATGCGATTCAAGGACTTGGAGGGTATAATTCGAGCCGGTGTCTAGTGCAAATAACATATTTAGGTCTTCACCAAACTGACATCTGCAGATGATACCCCCTGTCTTGGTTTCCGAAACGAACCCTCCATATTGAAATCGCCGTGAATCAGAAGGGATGCAGTTTCCTGCCTAAAATGAAAAAAGGGGACGCTTGAGCAGCTCGGGGGCAAGTGCGTTTGAGGGCTTGAATCAACAGACCAGAGTTGTTTCACTCAAAAAAATGAAATGATGATAGACGGATATGCAGAAGCATATAGGAAATGAGGATGAGGAAGTGCTCTTTGATCTCGCCGATATTACGTGATTTCTTCAAAGAAAAACAATAAATTATATTGGTTCATCCTTATTCCCAAATACATATAGCAAAGGCGACAAGTAACAAGACAGAAAACTAAAAAGGAAGGAAGGAATGCGCGTCCGACCCTGTCTGTGGGGCTGAGATGAATATACATATAGACGGCCATCTCATCCGGCCAATCTGCTCACTTTTCACGCAAACCCTGCTCTAGTGAAGAATACTCTAATTAACAGTTGTTGCACATAGGATCAAATTCTCCCTTTTGCTTATCCAATCCATCTATTTACCACAAGAAAACGCGGCGTCGTGTGTGTGTGTGTTTATCCGCAAGAGGTTACCTAAGCGTAAATTTGGAGGCCTGGAACTGACGGGGGAGAAGGGAAGGGAGAGGGAAAGGAACAAGACAGCAAAACGACCTCACGCGTCGCTTCCTCCCAAACTTCCAAGCAGAACGATTTTATTTCAAGAACAAATTATACAGCTTGATTGTGGGGACACGCGAAATTTTGACCAGAAGATGGGAAAACGGGGGTGGAATCACCATGTGCACCACCGACGAATAAACAATTCTCAGTTCGAATACACAATATTAGACGAGTACTTCCGGAGGCTCAGTCGGTCGAAGTGGAAGGCTTCTTGGAACTTGTGAGAGATTTCAGAAGAGTACGCAGAGAAGGTTTCGAATAACCACGTTTGACAGGGATTGAGCATCTGCAAGTGTAAATGTATGGCTTTCAGCTGTTCTGAACACTCACTGTGCTATTACGGCAAAGTCATCAATCAAATCTTCATCGAAATCAACGTGATCAGTCTGCAATCGAACATTCCGTCTTTTTTTAATTTTGCTAGATATGTATACCCCAATTGGATCTCTCGCAATTCCTTCGACTATCGTTCCTATTGCACTTGGAGAAACATTTGCAATACTTGTGGACAAGAAATTGTGCAGTGACACGTAGTAGATCTCAATCCACGTCTTGTCAAAGTATTTTCGGAACGGCTCCGTGTCTCTTGCATGATGATTGTACGGAAATGCTGGAAATCAAATTAACTGGTTGTGCTTGAACAAAGATCTTGAAAGCTCACCAAACCAGTCTGTCCATTGAGGGTTGTTTAATGTTAACGACGACATTTTCCGAAAGAATTCGTTGCATTTGGCTATATTTTTTCTTTGAACGCACCGGACAAGGAATAACCGGTAGGCGCTTGCCTCATAGCCCTGAGCTTGCTTCATTCCTTCCTAAAACATACATTTGATGACAATTGAAAATCAAGAAGACACGAACCGCATCAAGACTGTGGAATACACGGGCGTTCCACGACTCCCACATTGCGCACAGTGTGTCGACGTCGTGTTTATCGATCGCTTCCGTCATTTCATCGATGCAACGATCTACCTGTCGAAGAGAATAATTGATTGAGAAGAACTGCGCTTCGATTACGACTGAAAAATGTAAATTTTACTCTGATTCACCTGATAATTTGCGTCTTTTGCCAGAGAACACTCCTGATCGTAGGCCTTCAGAGTGGTTACCATTGATCTCGCCGCCAAATAGTCTCGCACAATCTCTTCTGTTGAATTTGGTGCATGGCTCATTTTAACTGATCTGAAAATTAGAACGTTTTTGCGGAGAATGAAACAGAAGTGTAACGAAGGCAAGTCGACGTGAAGGTTAGGGCGAAAGTGAAATGAAAGAAAAGCAATCAATTAGTAGTTTATACACAGAATATGTTCTAAACACGGCGCGATAGCAATTCGCCACACAAGTGAACGTAAACACTCAACACTTTCGATTACAATAGTGCACGTGGAAATTGAAAATAATAGTAAATTGTTTAAATTTCTAAAAATTTGAAAAAATTAATTGAATTGTTACTGTTAAACTAGAACAAGAACAACCAAACGGCGTATTGTCATATGACTCCACCTGTGGGCAAAAAATGAGGTGTAGATATACGCGTTGTCCTCGTGTAGTACACGGCCGTGTATTTGCACGGTTTTCTCGGCCACCTCCCCTCCTGCGCTTGGTTTTGTGGTCCGTTTGCGGTTATTCCGGCGAGAGAATTAGCGGAAATTATGTTCAATTCAATAAAAATATGTTTAATCAAGGAACTGTGTCCGAATACTTGTGTTCTGCAATGTTTACAGCAAAAAATCCAGTTTTTTAGTATCGGATTTCAGGTGCCGCTCGATTTGGTCAGTTCATCGATCGCCTGCAGACATGTCCGCGAGAATTCCAACCGTCTGTGACCAGGTACTTATCGTTCCATTTGTTCACGAAACTCCGAAATTTCACACCAAAAACAGATAAACAAACAGCATTTCCATAGCTAAACCCCTTGAATCGGCGGACTGATCACATAAAGTGAAGCAAAAAGTGAGAAGTAAAGGGGAGAAAGAGAAGAAGAAGAAAAAGAAGGTAAGCCTCCCATCATCCTTGGCGCTTATTCTTTTTCCCGTTTCTCTCCTTTAGCTGTCACTTTCTGTATCACTTTAAACCCGCTCAAAGCTCGAATTTCCGTCTTCCGCCTGTTATTTTTGTTGTTTTTGAAGCACAAAGGCAAAGTTCAAGTAATTCTCTGAGGTGACACTTGATAAATGTGTTGTTGCAGAGGTGCAAAACGAAGAACAGAAAAAAGGAGACGAAGACCAGTTGACTGCTCACTTCCTCTGTTATTCTTAAGAGCTTTTCTCGCCTCTTTTCGCGTTTGTTATTGAGAACACATTCACACTTCCGAAGTATGTGGCTGCCGTTGGCATTCCTGCTTGGAACTGTACTTCTGATCAGTGGAAATGAAACCAAAAAACGTAAGTTCAAACCTAGAAAGCCGTTAAAAACACGAATCCTGTATTCAGCATTGTGCGAAGTGATCCATGTCGATGCGGAGAACAACAGCGACATGCTCCTTCCACTTGCCATCATCACCGATATGGACAGCAAGTCGAAAAACACTCACAACTGGTACAGCACTGTCAAATACGGAGCTCTTGCCTTCTCCCAGGTAGTTCGGTTTTCCTATGTCTTTTTTAAATATTCAAACCTTCAGAACCGTACATCGTCGTTCATCCATTGGCTGGGAAGTGTGAACATCACCTCCAACTTGAATTTTAACCAAAAGTCCATGGAGATGAGTGATCTCAAAATCTACCGGAACCGCCTTCTGTCTGTGGATGACAAAATCGGGGTAGTTTACTGGCTTAGGAATGGAACTGCCATTCCGTGGGTGATCGCATCGACCGGTGACGGATCTTCAAGCACTCGTAAGTGGAAACGGAAAGGCTCGGATGATCAGTGGTCTGATTACAGCATTCAAAGGAGAATGGATGACGATTCGCAGCAACGAACTCTACCTCGGAAGCAGTGGGCACGAAGTGGTGACCGCAAACGGAGAGTACATCAACGACGACGAAATGTTCATAAGAGTAAGATTAGAATATCATCCGTCAGAGCGAATGACATTTTCAGGTAATTTCTCCGAACGGTGCAATGCGGGCCGAAGATTGGACCGCGCGATTTGTCAAGCTGAGACGAGCAGTTGGCATCCATTTCCCGGGCTACATGATCCACGAGGCGGTGCATTGGTCAGACGTTCACAAAAAATGGTTTTTCCTTCCGCGTTACGCATCCAAACAGCCATTCAATGCTGCAAGTGCTTATGAAACAGGTGAGCCCCGTTCCTAAACCACACACAAATGTACTTGCAGGTGCGAATATGCTGCTCAGCACGTCGGATTGCTTCTGCGACACAAAAGTTGTGTACATTGGGAAACAAGAACCACATCGAGGATTTAGCGCATTCCAATTTATTCCAGGTTGACAACACTACTTTTTTCACAATGTCATCATCGGTTTTCAGGCACCAAAGATGAAATTATTGTCGCTCTGAAAACATCGGAAGTCCCTTCTGACCCAGCAAAACCATTTGAGAACAAGATTTTTGCCACTTGGATCACCATTTTCCGAATTGACGGCACTGTCATTCTCGATGATTTTGCGCTTGACGAAGGAATCAAATATGAAGGAATAGAGTTTGCCAACGTTTTCCAATGCTTGTAATTACAACAGATTCGTCTATTTCAGAGAAATTTATTAAGTATGAATGAAGTAAAGCAATTAAAATAAACCTGAGCAAAACATTTTGATATGTCACTTTGATAATCAGACTTTCAAGTTGAGCGAAGTGCGCTTTTTGTAACGGATTAGAAGCAAGAAGAGGACAGCGACAACGATGAGAAGCGCCAGTGAAACAGCGATGAAAATCCAAGACAACGGAGTCATGAACCAATGATTCGGAGGCCCATAGCACTCCGTTTTGGCATCCGAAGTGAGAAAGTCATTGCAGCAGGAAGTGAACAGTTTCACAGGGCAGAACTCTTGATTCGCTGGACAGTTTCTGACTAGACCTGTCACTACATCAGGATTGTAGTCTTTCGGAAGTTTTCGGTACATCACCTGGAATGTTCGGTTTGTTATGATAACCTTACCTTTGAACTAAAGTCAAACCTTCACCACCGCTTCTCCATCAATCAACCTTGTCTCAATGATAAGAGTGGCCATGAACTCTGGCGGTGTCTTTGGGCCAAGCACACTTTCGCGGAGTCCGAGAGCCTCGAGAATGGATAGAATGAGGATATCGTGCTGAAGAAATGAAATTGTGCTCCAGTCAAATAAAAGTTTTGCTCACCGTGCTGAAAGCCTGGAATCGTTTCAGCTCGCAGTCTTTCTTGTTTTCCTGATAACAATTCACTCTTTTGTTAATGTCTTCGAAGATTTGGTTTAAAAGAAGTCCGGCTTTTGGCCGGATCCCTCTCGGACTGTAATAATCTCCAACAGAGGACATGACCGACAGTGCCTGAAAGAGAAAATGTGGAATGAACTCAGTTTTTAGTGGAGTTTTACCCCATAGAACACTTCCTTTGCCTCTTTGTATGCTTCTTCATTGAACCAAGAAGGAACTGCGAGACCTGCTTCCTTTTCCAGCAACAGAGCAGGAATATTTTCTTTGGACCGATTTTTCAGATGTTCAGTGTCGAGAGCCGCTCGTGCCAATGCCCTTTCGCTGATATCCCACTAAAAAAGTACCGCCTTCAGACTTTTCTTGATTTTCTTAAACATACAATATGCTTTCTGGCTACATTCTTCTCTTTCTCGCTCAAATTGAAATGTTTCTGATAGTCATCGATGAGGAATGGGCAATCCATTTTTGGCAATAATAACTGAAATCATAACGTGTTTTTTTTGTCGTTTGTCCAGATGATGTACAAAGTCATCGTCCCTCGCCACTGTTTGCACCGGTGGAGTCACATTGGAAAACATGACATTGCCAACGGTCTGAATCGTCATCAAACACCTCTCCACAGGGCTACTCCGGAATACCAACTAAAAATAACACTACTGTATATTTTGAATTCTAAAAGTCTCTCCAACTTGTGATGGAATCATCTTGGCGTCGATGAAAGTGGAATCCACATATCTGTCCTTGAGAAGCTCTCCGATCAACTGTGCCTGCTCGATACCTTCCTGAAAACAAGAGATAACATGATCGGAGGAGATTAATTTTGTTAAGATAACATACGTCCGTCAGTTGGCCTAAACCACGATAAAAATAAGTTTTTGCCTCCTCTGAAGTGACGTTGAGAACGGGCGCTCTGGCTCCATGACGGAAAACCTGAACTTGAGAAGTAGAGATTCAAAAAAAAGTTGAAAATAACCTACGACGTGAACAGAAATGAGTTTCGAGCTGACTGAGCCAAGGATCGCAAAAATGAACACATAGAGTGGTACCCTCATTCTGGAACGAATCGAATGAACAATGCTGGCAGGCGGCGATGATCGTTATAATTTATGCGTTACGATATTACAATTCAAATCGTGTTGACTGTCTAGTTGTGTATTAGCAAGTAAATCATGTTCTTTGAGTAGGAACAGAGATCTTTTACAGATTCGGAGGGAAACGATAAGAAAGGATCAGAGAAAAGAGGGGATCCACAAGACGCGGGGAGCCAGGCGGGCTCTCCTGCTCCTGTGGTACCTGCGTGAAGTTTGTCGATCGGACCTCTGAATGATTGTGTAATTTGCAGTGCCCTCTGCCCACCGCTCAACAATTTATGGCTTGTCGTACATGTGAGACGGTGGCTGTGAAGAGCGAGAGATAGAGATCCGACCGGATTTTTTCCTCTTTCGAGAAAGAGAAAATACGAGAATAATGAAGGCAATGATGAGCGAAACAGAAGCAATAAAAGACGGAATGTGATTGCTCACTTGCTGTCTGTTTCAACCTCAAATTAGTTGTGTTATGCCTTCCATCTGCTTTTTGATAGAGAATTCGAAAACAAGGGTCAAAATGGAACCGAACAATGAGAAATTGTGAGCCACTTGAACGTTCCCATGCCTTTGTGATAAGAGGGCTCACAATCTGTTAGTCAACAAACAATAGAAGGCGGTAATAACTTACAAAACTAAACAAATTATCACTGATAAAAAGTAACTTTTTATTAAAAGACCGCTCAAAGTTTTTTGAAGCGGAAAATATTTTGTTTTATTTATGCTCGGGTTCGGACCTAATAAAAGAGCAAATCGATGAGCAGCTGTTTAATGATTAACGAGGAAAGCACTTGAAAATCAAGGCAGCTGGCCTGAAAGGTCCGAGAAGTGTTCGTGGGAGATGATGATCCAAATGAACAATTTCATATTTTGAGAATTGGATCAATAATTCATATTTCAACAGTTGAAGTGAAGAGTGTTTATGAAGACCATCTCAATAGGCAATTGTATCCGTCGCAGATCAATTATTTCTGTTCTCATATCATTCATCATTCGGTCCAGTGTCATCAGTTATTTTTGAAACATTCAAAGTTTCACTTCCTCGTTCACATTTTGTGTTCGCTGAAAGTTCAACAAGCACCAACATTTCAATTTTTTTTATAAATGGATAAAACGGATTAGTAGGTGCGAATTAACGCGACTCGAATATATTTCGGTATTTGATTCAGATGTTTGACCATTTACGATTTTATTTTAATTTCCATCCAACCTGAATAAAAATGCATTTTTTTTTCATCTAATTATTAACCGAGCATCTGCCAGATGAGAGAGTATTTGAAAAAACGCAAAACCAAGTCTCTGCGTCATTCATTTTGGGTGTGCCAGCCAACAATTCGGACTCTTTTTACAGGAATGTAGTAGTGATAAGAAAGGGCGTGGGGTGGTCGAGTTATTTGCAGACATGTCGTCTTCCGTCATTTCAGGTAAGGCGAAACGCATCATACATCACGCAAGTGCACTCTGAAAAATCTAGACATTGAAAATGAACGGTAATTAATGTTAGACCAACATTTTGGTTTCTGAACTCTTTTAAGAAGTTCAAAAAATTTTACAGATAAAATGATAAAAATGCAGTGTAGAAGCTTCCGACTGACAAATCGATCAAGTGGGTGTTCACTCGCTTTCTTTTTCAAAAAAACCTGGTTTGGATCTATATGAATGAAGTTTAGTCGTTCGTTTTACTATAATTTACCCTCGTTCGACTTTTTTTCGAACAAACAACTAAAGAACAGAATCAAACCTGCTCATCATTTGAGGGAGGTGTTGGCTGGAACTTGTTGATAATATACGGCAATTTCGTCACTCACTCTTAACCTCATGTTGCCAAATGCTCTCGAAGACGATTTTAGATTTCTTCCTGTTCCATCCCACTGTTTACTTTGCGTTATTTTTACTGATAAGCCTCGACAGGGTTGTGATTCTTTTTTTACTACCGGAGTTTCATTAAATTTCAATTTCAAACAAATCAATTTTGAATAAATTTATTGAGAAAGCATTTTCTTTGACTTCTATCATTTCAAATGAACAAAGACGGTTCGCCGCCACAAACCTCGAACATAAATTTCCATTTAGGCCATTTTCATCGCAAGGGTGGTTTCGAAAAATGACAGGTTAGGAGGTAGGACGGAGGAGACTCCAAGGTTTTCCATCAGATTATTCAAATGGTTCAGACTTTTTGTTAAAACGATACCGAATAATGATGTCCGACCCTTATCCCCCACCCAAAAGATCTATTTCAACTTTTTTTCACACAAAAACCATCAAAAAACGGGCGCGGTCAAAGAGTTTAATCCGAGTTTTAGGTGTGTCTGTTCGCTGTAATTTCTGAATGATTTTGAATCTCACTCACTTTTCACTGTGACCACATTTTTCCGGTTTATGATTTGAACTGGCACATTCACATGTGGAAAACGTCCTTTCTCTCTTTCCAGTTAATTTATCTGATCCTTTCCATTTCACCCTTTTTTGTCCGTCTCCTTTTTTTTGTACATGATGTTAGCAAACGAAATGTGTCCTCGGTGCACGCAAAAACGATGGAAGTTTGATGCGGAGGCAGCAGGCGGGCGTTCGTTTTATGTAACCCTCTGGGGGGCCACCTTTATCGGCAGTTTTTGTGTTGCAAGCGCTACCATAAACATTAAATGATAAAAGACTGTTGGATATTGCTCGTTTGTCGTGTCATGTGGTCACCTTCATGTCAATATTATCTGTGGATTCGCTCATAGAAGATTTGGAGGTAACTGAGAAAGGAAGTCGCTGTGAATGATTGTGTGGTTAGACGGTTAGATTCGACCGTACTAGCTGGGAGAATATGCAAAATTGGGCACAATTCGTGGCATTCTATACATATATGTTGGCCAATTCGCTTGTCCGATTCCGCCTGAAAAAAAAACAAATTTCGTCTCTCCTTTCAAAATCGAAAATGCCGATCGTCCGGCAGCTTCTGTCGCTTATCTATCCAAGAATCGGATGCCAACCGTTTCTTTATCCTATCGCGGCGGATAGTCGTGTCGTAAAGGAAGACACTGCCAGCCATTCTCTTTTTTTCAAAATCGCCTTTTGTCACGCTGTCGGACCTAAGTATTTTCTGGTTTGTTTGTGAGTAAACAGAGTCATAACACAGGCCTGCTACCTCAGCATCATTTGATCGTCCTCCTCGGCCAGTTATTTCGATGCCATATCCTTTTGCTTTGTTTTTTCTCCACAATGCGTGGACTTCTTGCAACGTCCTCGTGGCACTCTTAGTAACTAATCGCTCCAGTCGTTTTTTAACGTTTTCGCGTGACCGCAAGTTACCTTGAGGTCTGTCCGTTTCCTCAGAGAATGAGAACATACAAAAGTGATCGCAAATTGAGGTACTGACACAGATGATGGCACCCGCGGAGGTGATGACTGGGCCTCCGTTTCGTGTCCTTTTGTCATTTCTCTCTAACTTTTATGCGATCCTTCATGATTAGGATCAAAGTTCTTCTTTTTCGCTTGTCTGTTAAAACTCCTCTAGTTTTCCACGGGCTACCGTAGCACAACATAAATCTGACGATAAAACATAACATGTCACTTTATTCTTCTCAAAACTTTTCCTGTCTGTGGCAATGGTGAGTCCATTCAGTGATTTCGGGACACGTTCAGATGGACATTGCGGCCAAAACTTATGCAAAACGTCATTCCGTATGTGTAATAGACATCTTCTCCTCACCAATCTCTCGCTCACATGACATCCGTCCAATAGCACGCTTCTTGAAATCGAATATGGTTGAGAAAGAAGACATTAACAATTCAATGAGTGGGGGGCGGCTCATCGTTTTGGCTCATCCGCCCCTCTCTTTCGATTTTGAAGTTTGCACGCCTTGATTTGTTTGAATTGTGAACTCTGGCACCACCGGTCAACACAGCACATGCCCTTGGTTTTGCAAACGCTCCGGAAGTGGAATTGCGCGTTCCTCTCGAGAGCTCATCCAAAAGCTCAGCTATTTCCATCAGTTTGGAAATTAAAATTTCGGAAAAAAAAGCTTCACTACCCAAAAAGTTTTATCCTTTTCTCTTCAAACCCACTGCCATCCTATTTCTTTGTTCAATTTGGGCAAACTTTCAATTCAACGTTCAACTGACTAACAAAAGGCGCAGAACAATACTGATTTATTGATTTCACTTCATTCAAAACTTTTCTTTCTTCCTTGTCTCATTCTTGAAATTGTAAAGTTGAGACGAGACGCCTTGGCGATGCTCAGAGCAAGGAATGCACTTCAAACATCCCTTCCTATTAGTGCATTTGTCCCTTTCCGCTTCTCCCTAAACACTTTATGTTTTTTTTTCTCAACGAAAGTCAATTGTTCATTAAAATGCGTTCTTTTGCAAGTTTCTCGCACATTTTTTGTGTTAGAGAATTGTTTATGAACTCACTGGTTCTCTTTCTTTTGAGCAAATTCCGCAGATTCATTCGTATAGAATCTTTCTTCTCCAGGGATCATATTCTTGAAGAATACTCAAAAAACAAACGAGTCGCTCACCTATCTCGCATCCAAATCGACAAATTCATTTGACCGGAGTAGCCCGCAAATTTTGTTAAGCTTCCTTCCCATTTCTCCCTCATTTCGAATGTTTTCCTCCTAAATTGTGTGCCCGATCTTTTCCATTTTCATCAACCAACGTTTCAAAAAGTTTGAAATGAATACGACGAAACCAAGGTGACACATTTAGAGAAAAAAGCAGATGACGCGACGTCTCGCACTTCTTTTTCATATTTTTCCGGCGACTGAAACATGAATTTCTGTCGGTCTGTGGTCCCCGTCAACAACTGAGAAACGACTCCAAAAATGCATGACTCTTCTCTTTTCCTCTCTCGTTTCGCCCCACCACTCTTTTTTTTTGGGCCGAAAAGCACTTCATTCGGTACGAACTAAGTGACCAACAACAAGACTCGTTATTTTTGTTTTGGCTTTTCATTTGCATCCTAAAATTATTAACGGATGTGCGTCAGTTGCAGTCAATTTCCGGAGAATTATTCCGAATTTTGCTTATTTTTGACCGAATATCAGAAAATCTGTTCATTTTCCATCCGAACAACACTATCATTCCCAGCCTTCCTTTCTTTCACCATCTCTTTTCACATTGTTCTTTTTCTCTTCATTCTTTTCCTTTTTCCTTCTTCAAAAAGTGCTTGAATACAGATGTTCACACTTCTCACACGCGGGATACCAACTCTAAAAACCCGCAGTTTTTTCAAAGAGAGGCTTTCGAGTAGTACAGACGTGTATGATTCGTTATTGGTGAGTCCGAACTTATTGTTTTGTTCATCTAAGGGGAATGTTCAGAGTTGTAATAGTCGGGCGACGTAGCCATCCGGTGTACCCTTTTTGTACCGCCAAAGAATAAAATGTTCTTTAGCGGCAACTTGCTTGCCGAAGACGATTTCTAGGCTGATGGAAGTGTCATCATAGCGAATGAGAAAGTCGGGCGGACGGGTGTCAATGTATATAAACCGTGATAGGGGTGGAACGAGGACACGCTGCAAAGCATCTCGTCTCCCATTTCAATATTTCTCTCTATTAACTATCATCGCAGCCCTTGAATCGATGAAAGAGCTCTTGTCGACTGCCCAGTTATTATTGTCTTTCAAAGACAAATTTGACCCAATTGGAGGAGCTATTTTATTAGAAAATGGAGCCTCAAAAACTACACAAAATTCAAATTTATGTTGTCTCCAATGAGGTTTTGATGGAAATGTGTGGAATCTCACTCATAAAGTGCATTTTTCAGCTGGAAGACTCGACTTCAGAAGATGGAAAAACGAAAGCAAACGACGTACACATCCGTATGCCACGTATCGTCAATACGTGTCCGCCAGGATCACCGTCGTTACGATTGGCGCTAGTGGTGTTGAGTATAGGAGCCGCCAGTCACTTTTTGGTTAGTCCTATTTTATTTTGATCTTTCATCTTTCTCCCAATCACTTTCAGCTCTTCTTGGACAGTGTGGTGGATAACTTACTTCCGGCAGCGATGCCTTTCTTCTTGTCGGTGTATGAAAACAAAGAGAGTGGTGCGTGGAAATTGACACTTTCGAAATCTTACTAACGTGATCCGTTGTCTGACCAATGATATCATTAAACCAAAAAGACAAGCAGACATACTATTATTCACGTGCCCGTTCATGTGTCATCTATTACAGCCAACCACGCGTGGGAGTTGCTTGTTTCGTCAAGAATCTATGGTCTCGCGCTCGGATGTTTTGTCGCAGTCCTCTTGTCTCATCAACATGGAAGGAAACTCCCTGTTGTTGTTGGTGGGTATCACATTTTTGGAACAAGTATTCAGATCCGCACTTTAGGAACTATTCTCGACGTAATTGGTGTTGTTTTGACGTTACTTATCACTTACATACCACACGGGGTTACGGTAGCAACGATAGGAAGGCTGATCAACGGTATTGGACAGGGAATGGTACAGACTGCTGGATCGGTTATGCTTTCCGAGTTGCCGCCGTTGAAGAAAAGAGGAACTGTGTTGGCTACCTTGGTATTTGGATCCCGCCGAGATGACAAACATCCTATAAGTTTTTTCAGACTATGTGGGCGTGCATGGGAGAGCTCGGAGGAATGACCATTTCCCTGGACGAGTTTCTCGGCACTCCTGCCACGTGGCACTGGGCTATGGGTTTCCCACTCCTCGTCCTTCTTCCTGCTTTAGTCGTAATTTGGCATGCCCCAGAATCACCAAGATACCTGTTCCTGGATAACCGGGAAAGTGAAGCTCGGAAGGCTATGTCGTACTATCAAGTGAGAAAAAGTCACACGTGGCAGGGCGAGCCTCACTAATAAACATTTTGCAGAGCCCGGCAGATTGTAAACAATCCATGGAAGAGATTTTGATTGAAAAGCAGTTTGTAAGTCTCGGGAGCGAATGGTTGAGGGAATGTTTGAACAATTTTGCAGACTATGCAACTTTCAAAAGAAAAAGTGGATGAAAACGGGAACTCGAGCAAAAACTCAAAGGACAACTTTATTACTTCAATTTACGAAAGACTCAAGGTTTGAAAATCAGAAAAAACGATAAATACCACGAGTTTTTGTTCAGGATGGCAAATTCACCAGAGCTCTTCTCATTGCCCTTTTTGTTCAGACTTTTGTACATCTTGATGACTGGGTAAGTCAAAACAACCAAAAATCTTAATCTCAATCTTTTCGTTTTCAGCTTTGGATCTCATACTCTACTCAGATCTTCGAAAACTTCGGGTTATCCTCTGGCAAAGCACAGACCGCTTCTCTTATCATGTCTTTGCCGCAAGCTGTTATCAGCATTGCACTCCTTGGGTAGCCGATCCGATAGGAAGTGTAATAACAAAAAAAAATGTTTCAGATGTTTCGATAATTTTGGCCGTCGCACTCTCCTGATCGTTCCGACCGTTTTGAGCGTGATCTTTGGGTTCCTCGCGATCCTTTTCTCCAGCACCGGACTCTCCCTCGTTATTCCGCTTTTCGTTATCATCCCCATCTTGGCCACCTTGGATCTTTCGGTTGCTGCGATAAGTGGAGAATCGGCTTACGCGATTGTTCCTGAACTGTTCCTCGCAAATGACAAAGTACTTGGATCGGCTATCGTTGGCGTCGTGCAGGTTTTGGTCTTGATGTTGAAACGATCGATCACACAAACGATTTCAGAATGGATTCGGAGGGGTTCTCACCAACTGTTTGCTGACTGCTCTCAACCGACACGGCATCTCAAATGTTCTTGTTCCCTTTGTGGCCATGAATGCAATCTATGCAGTTGTCAACTACAGATGGCTTCCAGAAACCGCTGGAAAAACGCCGCAGGTTTGATAAATCAGACCATGTCGCATGCTAATATCGCACTGTTCAGGAGATAAGCCGTCACTTCTCACCCGACTTCCCAGGCACCAACGTCTTTTCGTATTTCAAACACAAATCCACCAAACTGTTCGCCTACGTCACTTCAAAGCCGGTTCTGATCAACGTAATCGGTTTTATTGTCCAATTGGCATGCTGTATATTCCTCTTAGATTTCGGAGTGAACTTCTACAAAAACATGAGAAAGTGAGATGGGTATAACTTCTTGCGACACTGACGTTGGCTTACGATTGATTGGTCTCTCAGAGAAATGGGTCCACTGAAATGTAGTTATTATCATAGGGGTCTATTGTTTTTCACTGTTTTGTTTGTAGATATGTGATAAATTGATTCACGTTGTAAATTAAGTGTTTATTGATACAATAAATAAAACAATAATAACTTTGAATAACAGTAAGTAATATAAAATATTTTATACATACTCAGTATGTTTTGATTTGATCAGTTATATCCCGTGAATAAAATGTGGGTCGACAGACATCAAAAGGAATGCAGAGTTAAACGAAACAGGAAAGTACAATTACTTTGCACACTTAGATGGATCCGGACGGTCGCACATCATGGTGTCGGCGTGGAAGCTCAAGCCGTTCGGGCACTCGAAGTTGTAGGAGATTCCATTGACGCAGCGGATGAACTTGAGGCAATCGCTCGCAACTCCGAAGAAACCGTCTGTGGTGCACTTGAATGGAGCGGAAGTGGTTGTTTTGGCGGTCGTAGTGGTCACAGTCGGCGCAGATTTGGTGGTGGTTGTAGGGGCATTAGTGGTGGTTGAAGCAGTTGTGGCAGCCACACATCCAGAAGTAGCGGCAGTTGTGCAATATCTCAAGCTGCTTGAGAACTGAAGTCCAGATGGGCAGGCAATGGAATAGGCAACAGCTGTAAAATTGTTATATTCGGTTCAGTCTTTTTAACTGAAAAGCTTACAGTTCAAACAGAGCACAAACTTGGAGCAGTTAGTGCTGTCAGCGTACTGTCCGTTCGATTTACCGCTACATACAGTTGAAGAAGTGGCAGCAATCGTAGTAGTCGTGGCTGGTTTTGCAGTAGTAGTCGTGGTGGTCGTAGTGGTGGTGGTGACAGCAGAAGTCATTGCAGGTCTTCCAGTTGTGACCGTCGTGGCGGCAGTGGTAGTAGTAGTCGCCGTATTCACTCCGGATTTTGTTGGAATGGTGACTCCTCCAAGTTGTTTGGCAATCACGCTGATGAGCGGGTAGAGCTGGCCGTTAGAGTTACTGCACTGGGCATTGAAATCATCGAAATCAAGGGTCCAGACGAAAGCTCCTCCAAATCCTTCTCTTTTAATGTAGGCAATTTTGTTAGAAAATGACTCCTCGTCATCATAAGACCACCATTGGTTTCCTTGAACGAGATATGGAACCTGAGCTTGGCTGTCCCAGTATCTAGTGGCTCCGCTTGCGAGCATCTCACAGAACTCAAAGTAAGCCCCAACTCCGGCTTCCTGAACGTATTGCGTGATCTTGGCTGGGGATCCGCTCGTTCCGGGGGAAATGTCACTAGAATTGTTGAGGGTCCATCCTCTTCCGTACGTCGGCAGTCCGACAACAATCTTCTCCTTCGGCATACCCTTCTCATTCCAGTGTCTCGCCGCCCATTCAACATTCCAAGTGTTCCATTCAGTTGGAAGTTCAGTGGTGGAGTAGAGTGGGGAGTTGAATCCGACGAGCGAAGCCCAGGCTCCGAAGAAATCGTAGCTCATGAGAAGAATGAAATCAAAGTTTGGCGCGAGGTTGGCGATGTCATAACCGGCATCAATAGTCGCTTGTCCGGACGCGACGGCGGCGGTCACCAACAGACGATCCTTGCCAGTGGAACCGGACTCTGACTCGCAGGCAGCTCTCAGTTCCTGAAAAGATAGATCTATTCATACTGTTCTAAATTCTTTGATGAGCTACCTTAATAAGAGCGACAAAGTTAGCCATCTCGGTAGCTCCAGACGGATACTCCCAATCAATGTCAATTCCGTCAAAACCATAGGTGCGCACAAAAGTGATGGCAGAGTCAATGAAAACCTTTCTCGACGCGGCGCTGGCAGACATTCCCTGAAAAAGGTAGCTGTTTTCGGCCGTCCGTGATGTGCCGCTTTACTTGGAAAAGAGCAGTTCCGAAACTCCATCCTCCGAACGAGAGCAGAGTCTTAAGCGCCGTGTCGGTGTTCTTCAGCGCGTTGACCCTTTTGTACATTCCGTCACCGGCCCAGTCGTTCGGCAAGTCAGCTGGGTCGTATGCTCGGACAGTGTAATCGGCGTTCATCCATCCGAAAGCGAACAAGATGTGGGTGCACAGTCCCGGAGTATAATCCTCCGGCACGAACTTCGCGCGTCCTTGCCTGCAAGAAAAAAAACCTCACTTTCCACACCTCAAACCAGACGCTTCGCCTCGCCGTCAGTACTATCATCCTCCCTTTTCTCAAATAAGATCAAATTTCAAACCTGTATTGGGCCCAGTTGGTGAAATAACATGGTCTGAGGTAGCTGGTGACAGGCTCGGCTCTGGCCACGGACCGCGAGGTAACCTTGTTGCGTGCGGCGATGACATCAGCAGGATCTGAAGAGAAAACGTGTGAGAAAAGTGTGAATTGAGCTTGTTTACGTGCTGTTGAACTATTCGCAAACATTTCGGCCTTGAGTGACCACAGAAATGTCAATAAAGAACGGGTTAGAGAAGTTTTCTAGTTTGCTGTGGACAGTCAATCTCAACTGTCCATTATGAAAAGATAAGGAAACAATATAAACTAACGGTTTCTGATCGTGGCTCCAGTCCATGAATAGGCAAATGGAAGTGTGAGACACGCGGCTAGAAGAAGTTTGGTCAACAACATCCTGAAAATCAAATGATCTGCATAAGTCACAGATTTCCTGAACACAACGACAGGTTATTTCAAATGGCGCAGAGAAGGCAATTGGAGAGAGGGAAACAGCATTTCCAAGGAACAAATGACCAAAATGTACATAGGTAGCCGGACTGGTGGTTGTTTGAGCACCTCGGCTCACAATGCACTTCGTACAGTGTGCTCATTTTCCACCGATTATCGCTCAGGGCGCAAGAAAATGAGGATGGGTGAGGAGGGGCTCCTCTTTGCGCAAAAACCACCGCACAAACAATCAAATTATGACGATTCCCCAAAGACGAAGGATGAAAGCAGCCCATAACAACGTAAGTTGAGGAGAAAAAAGACCCGACCGCCTATAGAGGAGGTTCTGTCTACAACTGACTGGGGTACGGGTAGGACAGTCCGAGAGGATACACATGGGCGGGGCCTATCTAGGTCATCTAGGCCGATCAGGCCGGCTCGACTGCGCTGCCCTTTATGACGTCAATGTTGCACAGAGATTGGTCGATGGTCCTTTATGCGCAGTGTTAATGTCCGAGCATAAGAACAGTCATATTATGAATGACCAAGATCTGCCAGATAGGAAGGTCAAAAAATCAGAGCACACATTACGGGTATAAAATTACGTGCCGAGATGGCCCGCCGGATAATATCTGTCGAAGAGAAAATGTATTCCCCCAAAAGACACGGAAAGAATAACGGGTGAAACAATGTTTTATACTCGTGTTTGTGGCAAACAGTCTGAGCTTGTTTGCCGGCATCATTTCCTGTGATAAATGTCAGAACAAAATGGGAAACAACTGCACATGACAAAGAATGTTGACAATGGTGATAACATGGGAGGTGAATTCCGTTTTAGATCGTTCAGACTAATCAGTTCCGCTTTATTGGAATCTAGTTACTTCAGCTAACCGAAATCGGCAAAGAATCCTGTGAAATATGTCAATTCAGGAACAGATTTCTTGAAAGAGACGTCTAGAAACGTAATTTACACGAAACTTTGATGAATTAAGTGTTCAGAACAGGAGTCATGATATACATAGTTTTCACCTGATTTATGGCGTTTGCTAAAAATTTGAATATGTCTGTATGTCGGTTCTTTCAGACTCATTTTCATCCCAAACGTTGATAGACAATTGTTCCCATTCAGAATGTTCTGCGATAATTGAACAAGTATCCAGAAGTTGACAACGGATTTTTAGGTTACTTCCGAAAAACTCAAATGAACAATAGTCTCTGGACACGTCACGTCTCGGATTTCATCAATGCCAAGGTTTCAAAAGAAATCCATAAGTTTATCATAACATTCTCACTTTTGTGTGTCCTTGAATCGAGTGAATGCTGCCACATTTCCCTCTCTATTCCCCCATTGTTTCGTGTCTCCTCTTTCTGTACAGCTAATTTTCTGCTCGCATTCTGCTCATTATCCCATTTTGCTTTCGTACCTCCCTTGCCTTTTTCGTCGTGTAAAATTAGCCATTCCACCCTCTGATTTGTGCTTCAACATAAACTATAGAGCGAGGACCAACGGCAGCTAGCAGCAGCAGCCAAACGATTTATCTCAGCGCATTTGTCTTGCTTTTCGTTTCGAAATTATAACATACAGAGCGCGCGACGGGCTGCTGTCGTCGCCGCCAGTCACGTGTCGAACGCATTCGCTCTCGGCGTGCTGACTCATTTGCACATCCGACCGCGGCACGCGCCCTTCTCGCGTTCATCCTGGCACTCTCACTGTTACCCACTAATCGATATCCGTTTTTTCGTCATTTTTTGTCACCTTTCTCCCATATTTCCGCTTCCAGGACTGAAAACTTGCTCAATGGAGAATAAGACCGAGAATGCCGCTTCTGTGAGCTCTGCGAGCACTGGCGCCGTGCCGGAACAGCCGAAAGCTTTGGTATATCTGATAATTCGGAGGCTTTGCACATGAAAATTGACTTTTCAGAACGGAATCGTCGCGGCCCTGCCGATCGCGGATGCCTCCGTCGCTGTCGAGGAGAAGAAGGACATCTACGTGAGTTTCCACACCGTTTGCACCCCCAGCATGATACTTTCAGGACGTCATGCTCGAGCTCGCGGTCCAGTACGCCGAGGACACCGATCCGGCCAACCAAAAGAAGTAGAAACCGCATAAATGATTTTGAGTAATATGTTAAGCCACCTCTTTTCGAACCATTTCGCTGTAAACTATGTTCATTTCTTGAAAAAAATACCGTATTTGTGTCGGAATAAAAATATCAGTGGTAAAGTGCGTTCATTATGGTTTCAAAAGATATAACCGGTCACTTAGACGTCTACCACAATTTGCACGTCGATTTGATGCAAACGAATGACACTTGTACTCTGATCGCCAGCCAAAAATTTCTACATTCGCACTTCAATTTCCACTGATAATGCGGCTCAATCGCCGATTGACACCGTGTTTATCTGAAAAATCTGTCAAAGTGGGATGATTTTGAGAAGAGGTGTCAATTTGGAGCACTTGTATAAAAGGTTTTGTGCAGAAAGGAAGAATCACTCTCGCAATGAAGTCGATCATCATTGCCTCCCTTGTCGCCTTGGCGATTGCCGCCTCCTCGGCCTACGACCAGACCTTCTCCCCAAAGAGCGAGTACGTCTACAAGTTTGACGGACTCCTTCTTTCCGGACTCCCGACCACTTCTTCCGATGCCTCCCAAACCCGTATTTCCTGCCGTGCCCGTCTTCAAGCTGTTGATGACCGCTACGTTCACCTCCAGTTGACTGATGCTACTTATTCGGCTTCCCACTTCCCGCAATCCGAGCAATTGCCAAAGATGGAGTCTTTGGAGCAACGCGAGCTTGCCGATGAGCTCAAGGAGCTTCTCCAGCTTCCAGTCCGTGCCCAGATCAGAAATGGACTCATCTCCGACGTCCAGTTCTCGAACGAAGATGCCGAGTGGTCGAAGAACATCAAGAGATCCATCCTCAACCTGTTCTCCCTCCGCAAATCTGCTCCGGTCAACGAGATGAACGAGCAAGAGAAGGAAAACCAGCTTCAGAAGGACGACCAGTTCTACACTGTCCACGAGAAGACCATGGAGGGAGACTGCGAGGTCGCCTACACCATTGTCAAGGAGCAGGAGAGAACCATTTACACCAAGTCGGTCAACTTCGACAAGTGCATCACCCGCCCGGAAACCGCCTACGGTCTCCGCTTGGGATCCGAGTGCAAGCAGTGCGAGAAGGAGGGACAGTTCGTCAAACCGCAAACTGTTTACACCTACACTTTCAAAAACGAGCAGTTGGAGCAGGCTGAGGTCCACTCCGTCTACACTCTCAATGTGAACGGACTGGAGGTCGTCAAGTCGGAGACTCGCTCGAAGGTTGTTCTTGTCGAGGAGAACAAGATCAACAAGGAGATCAAGAAGGTATTTTTGACAAAGAAGTCAGGGAATGATATGATTTTTGCAGGTCAACGGACCAAAGGAGGAGATCGTCTACTCGATGGCCAACGAGCAGCTCATTGAGCAGTTCTACCAGCAAGGAGACAAGGTTGAAGTCAACCCGTTCGAGGTTGTCCCAACTGAGCAGAAGATTGAGCAACTCCAAGAGATCTTCCGTCAAATCCAAGAGCACGAGCAGAACACCCCAGAAACTGTTCACTTGATCGCTCGCGCCGTCCGTCTCTTCCGCATGTGCACCATTGAGGAGCTCAAGAAGGTCCACACCACCATCAACGTCAAGGCCGAGAAGAAGGTAGGGAAATTTGGAAGAAATGAGACATTCGAAACCATTTACAGGCTCAACTCATCATTGATACCACTTTGGCTGTTGCCGGCACCAAGAACACCATCCAGCACCTCATCCACCACTTCAACAAGAAGACCATCAGCCCATTGAGAGCTGCTGAGCTTCTCAAGTCCATCCAAGAGACCCTCTACCCATCCGAGCACATTGCTGATCTTCTCATCGAGCTCGCTCAGTCCCCACTTGCTCAGAAGAACGAGCCACTCCGTCAGTCTGCCTGGCTCGCCGCCGGAGCCGTCGTCCGCGGATTCGCCGTCAAGACCCAGGACCTGCCACTCACCCGCCCAGCCACCCGCCAGCTCAAGGAGAAGTACGTCCGCGTCTTTATGCAACACTTCCGCAACTCGGAATCCGCCTACGAGAAGGTTCTCGCCATCAAGACCCTCGGAAACGCTGGACTCGACCTTTCCGTCAACGAACTCGTCCAACTCATCCAGGATCCACGCCAGCCACTCGCCGTCCGCACTGAAGCCGTTGATGCTCTTCGTCTCCTCAAGGATGTGATGCCACGCAAGATCCAGAAGGTTCTCCTTCCAGTCTACAAGAACCGTCAGAACCAGCCAGGACTCCGCATGGCCGCTCTTTGGCAAATGATGAACACTCTCCCAGAGGAGCCAGTCCTCGCCCACATCGTCGCTCAAATGGAGAAGGAGTCGAACCAGCACGTCGCTGCCTTCACCTACCAGGTCATCCGCCAGTTCGCCAAGTCCACCAACCCATGCTACCAGCCATTGGCCGTCCGCTGCTCCAAGGTCCTTCTCTTCACCCGCTACCAGCCACAAGAGCAAATCCTCTCCACCTACGCCCAGCTCCCACTCTTCCACTCTGAGATGCTCTCCGGAGTCCAGTTCGACTTTGCCACTATCTTCGAGAAGAACGCCTACCTGCCAAAGGAGGTCATGCTCTCACTCGAGTCCGTCCTCGGAGGAAACTGGAACAAGTACTTCGCCCAGATCGCTTTCTCTCAGCAGAACTTCGATCAAGTCATCGTCAAGGCCCTAGAGAAGCTCTCTTTCTACGGAAAGCAATCTGATGAGCTCCGCTCCCGCCGTGTTCAGTCCGGAATCAAGATGCTCCAGGAGATCGTCAGGAAGATGAACATTCGCCCACGCGTCCAGAACTCTGAGTACCACACCGTCCACGCCGTCTTCTCGCTCCGCTACAAGGAGATGGACACGATCGTCCTCCCAATTGACATGCAGACCATCGACACCCTCGTTGAGAAGTACGTCAAGAACGGAGAGTTTGACATCAAAACCATCCTCTCCTTCCTCAACGTCGACTCCAAGTTCGAGCTCCACCGTGCCCTCTACTTCTACGAGGCCGTCCGTAGAATCCCAACCACCATCGGAGTGCCACTTACCATCTCCGGAAAGGTCCCAACCATCCTCTCGGTCAACGGAAAGGTTTCCTTCGAACTCGAGAAGCTCGGAGCCCGTGTCATCCTCGACGTCACCCCATCCGTCGCCTCCACTCACATCACCGAGATGCGCTTCTGGAGCCCAATGTTCGAGCAGGGAGTCAAGTCTCTCCAGTCTGCCCGCATCCATACCCCACTCAAGATCGAGTCGACTGTTGAGCTCAAGAAGAACACCGTTGAGATTTCCCACAAGCTCACCGTCCCAGAGAACAAGAAGACCACCGTCTCCGTCCACACCCGCCCAGTTGCTTTCATCAGCATCCCAAGCCAGCAGGAGACCGAATACGTCGAGGCTGAGGAGAAGACCATTTCGCACCCGAGACTCCAGCTCACTTCTGAGGAGATCGACCGCCAGTTCGAGGTCCTCGGACTCAAGATCAACGCCCAAGGAAACATGATCTCCCAATGGTCGCTCCCAACCGTCCTCATGACTGAGCAAGAGTTCGAATACACCCTTGAGAACAGAAACCGCCCAGCTGAATTCGTCGCCCGTCTTTCCATCGGAAACTTGGAGAAGACTGATCTTTCCGAGATCAAGTTCGACAAGACCTTTGAGAAGGAATTCGACCTGGAGAACAACGAGTCTGAGAAGCGCCGCGAGCACTTCCACAAGATGATCCGCCAGATCCAGTCCGAGCAGGGAGTCAAGAACCTCGTCTCCTTCAAGCTCGAGGCCCCACAACAGTTCTTCTTCAACACCGAGCTCCGCACCGTCTGCGACAAGTCTGTCCGCATGTGCAAGATCGAGATTGACTGCCGTCGTTCCCCAGTCGCCGAGGAAAACAAGGAGTGGACCCTCCACTCAGAGCTCCTTGCCGCCCGCCCACAGATGCCATCTTCCCTCCGTCAGCTCCGTGAGCAGCCACACCGTGAGGTTCAGCTCGCTCTCAACGCCAAGTGGGGATCCTCCAAGAAGAACGAGTTCACCCTCAACGCCCAGCTTGAGCAGTCCAAGGAACAGAAGAAGTACGTCCGCAACATGGAGCGCGAGTTCAACGGGATCCCAGAGTACGAGCTCCTGATCAAGGCCGCCCGTCTCAACCAGATCAACGCCGTCACCGAGTACAAGTTCACCCCAGAAACCGAGAATACCTTCTCTCGTTTCTTCGACCTCATCAAGGCATACAACTTCTGGACCGTTTCTGAGCAGCGTGCTGAGAACGAGGAGCGTCGTTGCGTGTTCCAACTCACCGTCGAGCCAATGTCCCGCCAATACGTCAACATGACCGTCCAGACCCCAGAACAACAGGTTGAGCTCAAGAACATGCGCATTCCACGTGTCTTCCTTCCATCCATCGCCAATCGTTCTATCCGCCAACAGATCTGGGAGAAAACCGGAGCTTCGTGCAAGGTCGACCAATCCGAGGTATCCACCTTCGACAACCTGATCTACCGTGCCCCACTCACCACCTGCTTCTCTCTCATCGCCAAGGACTGCTCTGAGCAACCAACTTTCGCCGTCCTCGCGAAGAGAATCAACAAGCAAGACGAGGAGCTTCTTGTCCAGATTGTCCGCCGTGAGGAAGAGATTCTTGTGCAGAAGACCGACGACGAGTTCCTTGTTAAGGTTGACGGAAAGAGAATCCAGACCTCCGAGCTTGAGCAATACGAGTGAGTTTATAGTTGAAAAAGCGCAATGAAAATGAGATTATTTCAGAATCGAGAGCCTCGGAGACAACCTTATCGTGATCCGTCTTCCACAAGGAGAGGTCCGCTTCGACGGATACACCGTCAAGACCAACCTCCAATCGGTTGCCTCCCAGAACCAGCTCTGCGGACTCTGCGGAAACAACGACGGAGAGCGCGACAACGAGTTTTCTACCGCCGACAACGTCCAGACCGAGAATGTTGAGGAGTTCCACCGCTCCTACCTTCTCAAGAACGAGGTCAGAAATTTACCCTTAACTGTGATAATCTTACCAATTTACAGGAGTGCGAGCTTGAGAACGGCCGTCTCTCGGAGAAGAAGAACTACAGAAACAAGTGGAACAGAGAGGAGCAGGGCTCGCAAGAGGAGCAGAACTACGAGCAGGACGAGAGCACTGAGAACCGTGAGTTCTCTACAGAGTCCATGGCAACATTCATTCCGCTGATTTTTTTCAGAAATCGTGAAGAAGACCCTCCTCAAGGAGTTCTCGCACCGCGTCTGCTTCTCCCTTGAGCCAGTCACCGAGTGCGGCCGTGGATTCGAGTCGGAGGAGACCTCCAGCAAGAAGATCCGCTTCACCTGCATGCCACGTCACAGCAAGAACGCCCGCCGTTTCTTGAAGGAGTCCCGCGACCAAGTTCTTGATCTGGCTGACTTCCCAGTCTCATTCGTCGAGGCCGTCAACATGCCAACCGCCTGCGTTGCCTTCTAATTTTTCTCAATAATCATTTCATAGCTTACAATAAACTTTTCGAAGTTTACTAATTTTCATGATTATGAAAGAACCACAAATGAAATGATAGGTCCGGCCTGACAGCAGCATCCGATGTCGACACCATCTGCGATTTCCGAGTACAGATGCAGTATGCAACTCTGAAGAGAAGTTCTGGTTCCGATTAAAGGAGCCTTTTTGTCTCTTCCAACTGAAAACAAACATGAAACACAGCCAACAATAGGCTTATGCACCAAAAAGTTTATTTACGCGTGTACTTAAGGCTGTTGAGATGATAAACTGTTATAAAACATGATGAAATCAACTTTTTGCTATAAAATGACAAAAAGTAAAAGGTAAATCGACGAAGTATAATTATAATTATTTAGGAAGTTTCATTACAATGGAACATTCCAGAACTTGATGTTCGAATCCTGACCTGCCGACACAATGGTGGTCTCATTGAGCCACAGCACTGCATTGACAGACGACATCGCGTGAGCTCCCTTGATAATGATCGGATGTTCGGACGGCTTGTTCATGTTCCAAACAATGATGCTGTTGTCCAGCGAGCCAGTGGCCAGACGTACGTTGTCTGGTGACCAAGAAACGCACGCAACCTTCGCTGTGTGGAATGTCCACGAATTTTGGGCTGCAACGTCGAAGTTGTTGGCGACCGAGTACGGGATAACCTGGAAATAGATGAGTTTAAGGCTTTAACGATTCTGAATTCCGTACCTTGCGAGATTGGTCGGTGGCAACGAGAAAAGCGTTGTTGTCCGAAAAGGCGACAGCAGTAATCTCAGCAGGATGAACAATAGTCTTTACTTCAGAGAGACTGGTTCCGGCCAGTTTATAGACATGAACCTTTGAATCCTGTCCACCAATAGCTACATATTGTTTGTCACTGGACAGAGCAACGGATAAGGCATTGTAGTTGATTGGTACCTCGACGAGCTGTCCTTGCTTGTAGATGGCCACGTGCTTATAGCAAGCGGCAACGGCAATATCTCCATCGGCGGAGACTGCCAGTCCGAGCGGTTGCGACGACAACTTGTTGCTGATGGCCTTGTTGGAGTTCACTTCCGATGCTTCTGCTGGCACGATTTTCAGATTATCATCCCAGCTGACAGTGAGCAGATCTCCCTTGGTGGTCGCCTGGATTCCAGTGATCATGGTAGTGTGCACGTCGGGGAACACTCTATGCGACTTTCCGGTGGCGATATCCCATGACGCTGAAAATAAAATAAGAATAGATCACTCTAACGTTATTTTCTTACCAATGTGTCCTTCAGCGTCGGCACTGTACAGTTTCTTGCCGTCGGCGCTCTTCGTAAGGGCAGTGATTCCCTTGTTATGTCCGTAACGGACTTCATCCACAGATCCGAGTTCGGCGTTCAAGAAGTTGATGAATCCGTTGGCGGATATAGACACGAGTGCCTTCTTGGTCCAGACGATTCCCAGCTGTTGGTCCTCGATTCTTGTGCCAATAACGATGGTCTTATCGACCTTCAACGTTGAAACATTCCATATCTTGACGGTCTTATCGGCAGAAGCGGACGCAAGCTTAGACCCATCAGGGCTCCACGAAAGCCCGAAGACACTTCCGGAATGGGCGACTCCTTTTAGAGAATCGTCCTCGAACGTTCCGACCTTGGTTCCGTCAACTCCATTGTACAGAATGATTGTTCCATCTCCTCCGGTGGAAGCAAAAAACGAACCGTCGTGATTGTAACGGGTCGAGTGAACAAACTTGCTGTGCTCATGGAAAGTCTGAATAATTACGATTAGTACAATTCCAATATATCTTCCGACTTACATTCTTGAACTTGAATGGAGGTCCTTCGAAAATGGCGACCGTGTTATCATCTGAGCCAGAAATAATTCGGAACGGGCGCGACGGTTTGAAATCGACACTGTTCATCACGCGAGCTTGTCCGGTAAGATTTCCGTTCGAGGTTCCGGTGTCGAAAAGGAAGACATGTCCGAAACGTTCCTTTCCCTCTCCTACAGCAGCAATTCTCTTGCTCTCGCTATCCCATGCGATATCCTTGACAGCACCAGAGAAGACCGGGATCGTCGTCTTCAAGATATGAGTGGTTTGGGTGGTGTCCCAAATGCGGACGTTTCCGTGGATGTCTCCGGAGGCGCAGTAGTAACCGGTTGGGCTGGTCTTGGCGACGGTCGTTTGGTGCGAGTGCTCCGTGTAGATCTCCGCGTTTTTCAGGTCGTCGATTGGGACCGTGTACACCGACGTACCATTGCAGTATTGGATCTTGTCGCCGGCGGGAGTGTTTCCTGAAAAAGCAGCATTTGGTGTTGGCGTTTTTGTTGCGAAACATACCGAGGACGACAGCAGTTCCTCTTGTGGTGCGCGGCAACGACACGAACTGGGCGATTTGAGAAAACTCCGACATTCTGAAAATACTGACAATGATTTAGATTAAAAAATTAAAAAGTAGGCAGAAAAAAACGGGCAAGCGATGAGAGGAGGGTGATCCGAGGGTGCAGGACAGTGCGCCCGAAAAATCAATAAATTCATGCGAGCCAGGCGGAGAGAGGCGGACAGCCCGGAGAGAACCAACGCGGGAGTGACACTCGTGAATGGACAGAATGCGCGTTTGACCCTGACGACACTCGTGGCCACCAAATCCCGCGGGCCGGTATTTCCTCTTCCAGGTCAAACCTGGAACACCTCACGCCCGCTAATTACGCTGTTGTTGATTGTCCTTATCAATAAGAGACTTGATCGGCCAGCTACTAAAAATGGAAAGGAGATGGAGAAAAAAGAGAAGAATCGAGGGAAATGAGTATTATTGTTGTGAGAAAAAGAGGGTCAACAGCGAACAAGAGCCGCTCTCTCTCTGCTCGCCCTCGCTCTGGGACCGAGCATTGGACAGCAAAACGTCTTTTGACGTCTGCGACTGGCCAATTCTTCCAAACACTCGACGGGAGGGAGGTTCACGCAAACAGAGGATCGGCTGTAAACTCGTCGTTCATCGACCGCTCATTTCTTATTAGCCGCCATCGATGAAAATCGATAGAAGTGCGGGGGAAGTTGAAAAACAAGTTGAAGCGAGGAAGAGTAAGAAGAAAATTGGGTATTTCGCAATTGAGGCGCTACGCGAATCGGCGATGAGACAACTCACCAACCACATGTGATTCATGTTCGGTCGGAGGGGACTGACTAAGCAAACGAAGGCCTTATCGGTACAAAAAGCGACATTCTGTACAAAGTGACCGAAAAAAGAAGATGATGCGCCCTTTATGACTCATACGCGCTGAGCTCTGTCTGTTTCTAAAGATGGCTTTATTAGGAAATGAAAATAAATAGACAATAGAGTTGCGTCTGGTTGAAATGATCATTGTTACAAAGAATCAAATTGCGGTATTCTCGAGGGGAATATTTTAAAAGTTAAAAATAATTTAGAGAGGAATTGATGCAGATGTAAATATGTTTGCAAAATATTAGGTAATGGATCTGCTGAAACAGATAAAAAATTGCAGAATCAAAATATCAAAGTGCGAAATAAAGGACTTGCTGCTTAAAATTGAGATTATCAGTTGTCATACAGTAGGAGAGAAACTCGATTTCCTTCCATGTCAAGCGGTTCTGGCCTCTCATACCACAGGTCAGCGTTTCTGTGTTCTTCAAACAGGTAACGCTTTGCGTCCTCCCCCAAATCTCGCATTTTCTTGTACTCGGCAAAATCTAGTTTCGCGAAGGTGTCTGGCACCATTGCAATGACCGTTTCCTCGTCAAACTCCCGAAAGATAAGGTGCTTGTGCTCGTTGTTGGTGCGTATACGCAGTTCCCAGTGGGTGTCTCTCGCATTTCGACGTCTCGGAGTTCTCTCCTCGCCATTATCGAATTGATCGCTAAAATTTTAGATTATGAGATGAATTCAAATGTTTAAATTACATGATTCTGTTTTGAAAAACCCTCTTGAATTGACGCACAACGTCATCCAAACTATTTTGATCGACGTGTGAGCAAGTGGTCCCACAAGGAGCGTCAATCTCGATCCATTTCTGAAAAATCCCATGATTACATGATCACGTACGCTCTCCCTTTTTCTCACTTTTGCAATTGTGATCTGGTATTGTGGGAAGCTTCGGCGATTTATCAGCTGCACATGTCTTGCTTTGTGAACCTGATGAAAAAACCGAAGTGACCGCTTTTTGGGTGATAGTAATTACCTTCGGATTCAAAGAGAAAGCGTTAGTCGGAACCACACCCGAGTTAATGCTGGCCAACTCGCGAATCGAATCAATCGGACCCTCACAAAAATCCAACAGAATGTTCGCAGTTTTGTGCGTGTTCACCACCAAATTCCGGGCACGAATCTTTGTCCGTTCGAGCATTTGCACGAGTGGATTTGCACCATCCAAACCCGTTGAACCGCTCCATTTCAGAATTCTAATTGGTGCGTACTCCAGAATGCATTTGAGCACCTCAACGGTTTTTTGGTAGGCTTCCGGAGGTGGGTCTCTAGTACTGGAATAAGCCGCCGATATTGAATATCAATGATATTAAACATTACGTCATGCTGCTAAAACGGAAGGTGTTATGTTCATGAACGTCATTGGTCATATTGCTAATGTCACTTGACAGGTTGATTGTGAGTACATGCATGTACTCGAAGTGCGTGACATCAAGACAGTCGAACATGTACGGAGTTCGATCAACGAGGTTTCTCTCAAGACGAGCAGTAGCTCGCAAGTTCAATCTGTAAAAAGATACAATCGATAGATTTTTATTACATTCCGAATGGCTCACCGCGCTTTGAAGTTCGCGTATCCAATGCACTTCTGCTTTATTTCCACAGGGATGACGTCCCAGTTCGCTTTATTCTCTGAATCTTCGGGCCGGTTCATCCTGCAAGAAATTTTAAGTTCAATCTATAAAACATGACAAATCCAATAGGTTTTACTTCCGAAACATACGGAATTCGAAAAAACTAAGAAGACATTTAAAAAAATCAAGAATTGTAATACATTGTTTAACAAGAACCGCAACCACAAAAAACCGTCAAAATGTAATTCAACGAGAATTTTATTTGATAGGATACTTGATTAGGTGGACGGAGATGATGTTGACATGGCAATTTGAGATTGGATGATCTGAAAGAATGAAGAACTGTATCATAGGGATCAGAACTGGAGAACGATTTGCTCACCTAATTCTGAGATGGTTCTTCTTCGTCTAGCTCGTCTTCCTCTCCAACCGCCGCTGAAGTCGATTGACCCTCTTCAGCTGGGAATTCGCCGGTTTTGAGTGCTTTTTTGGACTCCTGGTGACCTTTAGAAACTGAAAGTTCCAGAAATATGAATTGAGGTAGTGATTGCTTGCTTCAATAACCTGATTACTTACCGGGCTCGAACATGAAGTCGCTTCTTTGCACGTGTCCGTCCCTCATCTCCTTATACATTTCCTCATTAAGTTCACGAGCTGCGGAGGGAATCACGGTGGCAGTGATTTCTTCGTCTTTCAAGAAAATGATAATGTTCTTGTTTCTGTTTTTAGTACGGAGACAAAGCTGTTTCAATTCTTCCCGCGGCAGGACCTTCATTTCGCCCCCATCCCACCCCCTCTTTCTCTCAATTTTCACACAGTGGCTGAAACAAAAAAAAAATAGGACATACTCTATAATTTTTCAAGTTCGTACACAACTCTACTCTTGAACGTTTCGGAAAACTTCCATGTCGTTTCTTGGTTACACCTGTCATTCATGGAGAACGAAGTACCGATGGGAACGTCGTTCTCAATCCAGTGCTGAATATTCTGATTCGATCAGACAACCATTTAAATTAAGACCTTCAGAAGGCAGCACTGAGTCCACAGGCTATCAGAAAAAGTATCGAAGTGAATGTAGTGGGCAGTGAGAACCTGGAATGAGACGTTGCGTAAAACTTAAGTTACTCGAGTTCGGACCTTTGGATGAGAGTGCATCTCATTCGTATTCAAGAAGACCAATCCGAATTCACGGATTGAAATCACCGGATCCTTGCAGAAGTTAAGCAGATCAGTTGTATGAGTGTGGCTGTTTACTGTGAGATGCAAAGCGCGGATGCCAGTTTCTTTCAGCATTTTTCTGAGCGGATTGTCCTCCCACGCCGGCAAATCTCCAGAGAACTTGAATATTTCAGTTTTTCCAAACTTCAGAACGCTCCTGAGGAATTCGATTCCACCGTGATACATCTTAGCGTTCTTCTCAAGCTGTTCAGCGTTGTACCTGGAAACATTGACTTTTACGGCAACAGGTGATCTACATACGATCGCATTTTGTACTCTTTCTTCGTTTTGTCCTGGTAGCGAATGATGACAAAGATGTGTGGAATGAAGTGTCCACTGTGATTCACTTCCACACTGTGGAACAAGTACGGCGTTTTGTCAACGAGCGCCTTTTCCGGACTGGCCATTTGTCTCAGGTTGACTCTAAATCAAAAAAATTTTATATAGCTAGGCAACTTGAATCTGCTCAATTTTCAAATCTCACTACTCGAAATCGTAAAAACCGACCTGCTCTTGCAGTCCATGTGTGATATGCACTTTTTCTTAATTTCCGGCGGAATTTGATCCCATTCACCGGTCCCCGAAAGACCAGCCTCCTCAGAAGCCATGCTTCCCTGCAAAAAGACAAAGAGATCATCGAATTGAAAGAAAAAACAGAAAAACAAGTATTGATTTCGAACTGACGGCATAAAAAATTGAAACAAAGAATCATTTGTTGACAGGAAAATTTTATTTTGGTACAAGTCAAGAAACGATATGCAAATCGAGAAAGTACAACGGAGCGATGTACACAGTAACGGGGAAAGAACAATGTTCAGTTTTAAGGTTTTTCGTGGATGCGGTTCTTGATGGTTGCCTGCAAAATGAATGTATACATAATTTGGCCTATTAGTGAGTGGTTGGATGAGGGAGACACGTGAGTACGAAATCAATACGCGTCTGCTTGTTGCCAAGACATCAGATTGCCATGGAAACTGAAAGACAACAAGTGGGAAGATACTCACGGGCTTGGGCTTGGGGCGGCCATAGGTGGCCAGGAAGCTTCTCACCGATCGGCAGAAGGGGGCGATGTGCTTCCGACTTCCGTCATGGAGCAACTTCGGGGGATAACGAGTATCTTTGATGGCTTTGATGACATTATACGCTTCGACAATCTTAAGGTTGTCCGTAGTCACATCTTTCTCCGGATTTGTAATGCCCAGCAGTTGGACAGCACTGTCGTACTGAAAACATGAATATGTACATCTGAATTTATTCCTGACAATAGAAACAACTCACCAATTCATCTAGATGACACACACAGCATTTGAACTTTTGCAGTATAGCGATAGTTTTTGCAATCTCGAGCGTGTACGTATTTTTGGCGACACACACGTAAATCATGATGTAGGCGTCATTGTTGTTGATCGAACGGATCTTGCTGGGCTCAAGTCGTTCATGGCACACAATACACGGCCAAGAAGCGATTCCGGGAATGTGTTTGAACGCCAAGAGCATGTCCGTCTTTGTGTGGCGTCGTTTGTGAAAAGCGATGTTGGGCCTCATGATCACGTCATTCTGAGTGATTTGCTCGCTGCTTGCCAGCGAATCAGTGTATTGCAACAGGTCGTTAAATGAAAGTAGGAAGGCTTCAGACTTCACGTCCTGACCAGCGTCCGAGCGAGAGAGTTGCGATGCATTTGAGGAAGATTTCATTGGCTCATCGTAGAATTCCTCCGGCTGAACATTGCATGATGACTCCCCGATTTGATAATCTTGCGATCCAACATTGTTTCCGCGATAAGAGTTCAATGGGGTGAAACACGGTTCAGTTTTGTACTCCGTCTCGATAGTGCTGCTTGGCATGTAAGCTGACCAATCCGGCTTCGACTCGTGCACCATCTGCTCGTATCCGTATTCGTTTTCGTACATCGGCTCAGATTTGATATCCCGATCCACAAACGGCCCGTTGCCATCTTCTTCAATCCCTGGCGCTACTGTTTGCAAACTATAGCAAGTGTTGGATGAATACGGGGATAAATCCGGTTTATCCTCAGAGCGCAACATCGCAACCGGCTCACCACATCTCTGCTTTGCGATCAATTTATTAGCTAAATCGATCCGGCTGGCAGTCACATCGCTGTTCAACGTCTTCTCAAGATGTTCCCAGCATTGGAACGCACTGCTTTCTTCTATATTAAGTTTCTGAAAACGTACGACTGTTGAGTCTGAAAACCTTTAGAAGGAAGCAACTTACTATCAGTTCTGAGCTTGTTGGGAGGAAAGCCAAATCGGGTCGCAAATATTCCAAAATCGTTTGAAATTTCTTGTTATCTGCTGTGGAGAACGAGAGGTTCGTATTCCGCAAGAAGTCGACGAGAAGGATTTTGAGCATGACATAATCGAAGGTCCTTTTCTGAAAAAAAAACAAAATGAAAAGAAGAAAATTCGATCGCATTCACCTGTTCTGTATTTGATACAGTCGCCATGCTGATTTTCAATTAACCAGCTCCAAGCGCACTAATAAGTGGCTAATCGATCAATAGCTGAGTGAGCGAGGGTTAGTGGAGAGTGTAGACGGGGGAAGGAGAAAAGAGACGAGTGTGGGATGGTGTAGGACGCAGCAGTTTCGCCGTGTGTATGTGTGTGCGGCGACGCGAGCGAAGACACTGCAATGAGAATATGGGAAGTGAGGTTTAAACAGAGAGAATATTATTATATTGATTGAAATAGGCACGACTTCAAATCAGCGTGAAATCGTATTCCTCTAAAATGAACTGTAACTCTCAAGAGTTAATCAGAACATTCATCAGTCGGTTACAATTTTGACAAAAAATTACCTCGGCCAAAAAACGAATGGATGAACTCATGGAAAAATTACAGACGATGACAGATGACCTGAAAAAAGTGAAAATAAAAATTCCGTATGCAGCGAAGTACACGACAACCTGCACATCTAACTCAGTGCACATGTACTTGTTTTGACGACAGCCTGCACATCTAACTGGAGGCAAGCTCGTTTTGAAAATTGTTTTTTTTCAGATCGCACAACAGGTAAACGATTACTGGAAAATTGGGGAAATTTGTTGAGAACCGAAAAATATTAAGAAAATATGAATCTGAAGCGCTCGATCGCTTGCTAGAAGGAAAATAATTGCAAAAACAAGTTTAGGAGGCAATTTAAAAAAAAAGGTAAGACTTTTCAAAGGCCTTTCAGCAAGGGATGGATGAAATCACCTTCTCGAGTTAATGAGAAAAACTAATAAATTTAATTTTATCAGACATCAGAAAGGAGAAAAAGCAAAAAATGAATATTATGTAGCAAAAACCATTCAACAAGAAATGAATATCAATATAATCATCAAAAATCAGTCATTCTTCCGCTGGTTCTTGGCCTGATACGAAGCGACACGCTGCTTGTGCACTCCAAGCATCACAATCGGAACGAACAGTACTTTGAAGAACCAGAAGGAGAAAAGCGTTCCAAGAGCAATCTGAATGATCGAATAGGTATGGTTTGAGTTATCAAATAGTACCTGAACATCATGTTGCACGCATCCAGTGGTGATCTCCCATGTTCCAATGATTCTGACAGCCTGCTTGGCAAAGTTTTCTGGAGTCACCACGAACACGTTGTTGGCTTCTTCAGCTTCATACGAAGCAACTTTGGTAGCAACGAGCATTGGGATGAGGCACTGAAAAAACAGTTGAGATCAATATCTGAAGCGTTATGTTTTCAAATATTGTCGAGTTGTAGCATACAATTGCTACGACCCTACTCGCCAAAAATTCCACATCACGTTCTTTATCAAATGATGTGGATATACTAACCTGAACCCGTACGCCAGAACCACGGTACTCATCGGAAAGGGCATCGGAGAAGAAGGAAAGTGCCGCTTTGCTGGCCGGGTACGAACTGATGTATGGGAGTGGTCTCCATCCCTGCAAGAATGCACTTTATTATCCGTTATCTTTTCAAAAACACACGGTCATCGAAGAGATATTGACGATAATTCCCTGCTTCCTTTCAACCATTCTCGGGAGAACCAATTCAACCATCTAAAACGAAACATTCAGATTTCGAAACTAAATTTTGCTCACTTTCACTGAAGACATCAAGTTAACACGGAGAATCTTGGACGCCAATCCCTCAGGCAGCTCGGTCAGTGTTCCAATGACATGTGGAGCGATTCCCGCACAATTAACTGGAATTTCAGCATTGATTGAGTTCACAATACTGCGAACTTACTCAAAATTCCAATGTCCAGTGTTGTCAGGTCGTGTGGGAGGTTGGCTAAGTCATCCTTCTCAAAATCGTGAACGTGGCATCGAATTTCGCATTTGTAGCGTTCTTCTAGTTCTTTGCGAGTATTGTTCAATTTGTCAATGTTTCGTCCGATCATGTAGAACTTTCTGATTCCTCGGGTCTTGGCCAACTCTTCGATGTACGCTCTTCCGATTCCATCGGTGGCACCGGTGACAACTATAATGCATAGTTTACGTCGTTTGACAGACGTTGTACTTTCTGCTTTGCAGTCTATTTTCTGTATCTTTATCGGCCGACAGGCGAAATTTTCTAGGGCAAAGTGAGAAAACGATGTCTAACCTGTCCAAGTGTCCTTCAGATAATCCAAACTGTGTTGTGGCGTCAGAAAATGGACGACGAAACTTTTCGTGATGATGAAAAGGAATTTGAGCACACGGACACATCCGTACGAGACGACGGCAAACTGAAGTGCGCTCCAAAGCACGGCGGACATCTGAAATTCGCATTTTTACTCGCTTAAATTGATTGAAACAGATAGAATGAGGAGAAAAGAACAAAACAACTGGAAAGAAGACGAAAACACGGCTAATGGCACAAAAACAAGTAACGAAGACGGTGGCGGAAAGGGTAATGAGAAGAGGGTCACCAAGGACGCGACCGTCATTCACTCACAGTGAGTGAGTGTGTGCGTGCGCGAGTGCGAGCGGCCGCCACCAAATGAGTGATCCGATCGGCGCGATGACCTCGCTCGCCTTTCCGCGCCTGTAATAGTGATCAAACCTATTCTGGAGGGTCTCCTTCCGACGCAATAAAGCGCCACAAATACTAGGATTGTGGGAATGAGTGTAACACGGGCTGTGTTCTCTTTTCATGCGCTCAATTGTGAGTCTTGTTTTTAAAAGTATTGAAGAGGCTGTGCAGATCTTTGACTGAGTGTTTTAGTCGCAACCAGTTCCTTCGTCTCTCTCCTGACATCCTACTAATATTTCCATCTGATCTTTTGCGTGAACGGCTAAAATAGGAAACAAAAGTGCATCAGCTCGGTTTACAGAGAAGTTATTTTCGGAGTCGTATATTAAAAGTCAGGCAATCTCTTCAATAAGTCTAATCCCTCGTGGATTCTCTGAAAGCCCAAATATTAATAAGCTTTACAGAACGTTCAAATCCGCTACAGCAACTGAACATCATCAACATCATAATTTTGTCATAATTCTCAGAAACTCTTCCCTCACTAATCCCAAACTTAACGTTTGCAAACGTTGAAAATAGCCGACATGGCTCGTGTTCAAGAATCAAGCATGAGCGTCTCGGTGTCTTTTCAGTGCATTGAAGCGTGTCTTTATTACAGATGTCCCTGTCGGTGCCGTTCCCGTCTCAGTAAACAATGAGGATGCGTAAGCAATTTTATTTCCACCGGAAAACTAAACAAGAAAGCAAGAGTAGGCGTATAAAAAAATATGTTGAACCGAGATCGTAATCACAAATTACCGGGGTCTAGCTAAGCTCATAACAAATAAAATGTTCCAGGAAAAGCATGAAATGAATATGCAAGAAATTCAACTACAGGTCCGGGAAGGGGCAGAAATTAGATTTCAGGAGAAGGGATACGAGCGGACAATAAAGCGGGACGATGGGGGTTGGGCTGATAAATAAGGTATTACAGTGGACCGGATTCTAATACAATTGGTAATCCGGATACTCTTCGCGAATCGCCTGGAGAGCGTCCTCCCATGCGCCCAAAACTTTGATGGTGAGTTTCTGAAAAAAAAACGTTGAATTTGAGCTGAGTCTTCTCCAACCTCATTTCGTTCCTTCTGGACTATTTCATCGTTAGCTGGTTTGACGCAGAGCATGATGGATGCAATAAACGGCAAATGAAGAGCGTGGGCAATGAAGTTTCGACGATAAGCTCTCAGGAATTGAGTCAGACTCATGTTCAGCTTCTTTCCGGCTAGTTCGGCTTTGTTTCTCAGCTGGTTATAGTACTGCGGAAGGAACACGTTCTCTGCCTCGCGGCGGATATTCACATCACAACAGAAAACGAGCATATGTCCGAAATCTTCAGTGATGTTGCCAGTGTGTGTGTTCTGCCAGTCGATGATAGCACCGATGTGGTTAGAGGCCTCCTCGCCACCGTCGATGGCTGGGAGCCACATCAAGTTGTAGAACCACAGGTCCCCGTGGCACAGAAAATCTTCGATTCCTAGATGAAAACTAGTTCCAACCGTTTAGAAGAACCTGTGACATACCAAGATCCTTGTGCGAGTTGCAGAGAACTTTGATGAAGAGGTTACGGTCTTCGTAAAGTCTTTCCACGCGGGCGAATCCAGCTTTAAGAACCGGATTTCTCGTAACATACAATCTCACAATGTCAGTCATATTGGAGAGCGTGTCAATCAGCTCCATTGGGAAAGGGAAGTTCTGCTTCCAGTCGGCAGGCATGTCCAGCGAAAACATGTGCAGGTTCAGCAACTGTGCACCTACAGATGCCACTTGTTGAAGGTTGAGCGTCTGGTAGTATGGAACGTTGACCATACCATCCAGATCCTGCATCACGATTGCTCCCATTTTGACTCCACGGTTCTGAAAAACAAAATATGTGTTCCGAGTAGCTAGCCGATTCACATACCCAGGCTTGCGAATGGTAGCAGTCCGGCATCTTGACTCCCGGTATCTTTTCCATTTTGTAGAAGTCAACTTCCCGGTTGAAGAACATGTTGAGTCCACCGATGAACTGTTCATCAGCTCCTTCTGGCATCCTTTGTCTGGTGGTTGTCTCGAGAGCCCGTCTGATGTAGGTGGTCTCCGGCATTTTCACAATCAGCTTGAAAATATTTCATTGTAATCATTGGCAGCGAAGTGATCAAGCCTACCTTTTTCTTCATTCCATTCGTCATTGTGACGGTCACTCTCATGATCTGTGACACGAATCCTTCGGTGCCCAATTGTTTGCAGTCGATCATGTGCACATTCCTGTAGCTTATTTGCCTCAAGGAATCAAAAAGCCATCCCGCCGTCAGCCCGTGCCTACCGATTGGGCACAGATCCATGGGTGATTCTACAATTGCTAATTAAATGGTTTTAATCACTTTTCCCACTTACTTTTTGTGAGGTATTCATGCTGGCGGATGTTTCCAAGCTGCAAGTGGATTCCTCGAGCCTGCAGGAACTGGAACAAAACAGTCAATGTTGCAATGGGAAAAGACGAAAAGTCACGTAGGCGCGATAGTCAATAAAAAGAGACCCGGAAATTGCGATATCTGCACCCGCTAATACTATTGCATTCCGTAGTCAGTATTGCAAATGTTTTTTGTTTCTTGGTCTTTACTATTTAGCTGACCAAAGGTGGAATATGCTAATTACTTCAAATAACACCTTTTTGTAGTGTTTTGTCTCTGAAATTGTGCCTTTTGAGTTTCGAAACATGAAACTCAACATTTCCTGGTTAAAAGTCGCGTAACGACTGGCGCTAGAATGACAAGAAGCTGAAAGATTCCAAAAGCGGACTGAGATGAAAAGCGGTATCAAAAAGATACCGGAATCTAGACTGATCAGATTTAAAAATAGATATTGTTCATGTTCAGCCACTAAACATCGAGCGGATCAACCGCTTACTCACTTTTAAAACCTCTTCGATGGTGCTGATTTTTGAAGGCACCATTCCGTGCTTTCCTGACAAAGCGATAGCAGTTGATGATTGCATTGCGTGGGTGGGGTGGTTGAGGATAGCTGAAGACCAGAGGAGTAAAGAAAGTTCTAGAAGGTTCGTGAAAAAAGAAACAAGGAAGGGAGATAAGGCCGGAAACTGACTTAGGAGCGTTCTCTTGGTGCTTTTATCGGGGGTTTTCTGGGGGCGGGTCGGTTCTTGTGATACCAAGACTAATTCTAATTATTAGGCTAGCTTGCAAAATCATGGTGCATTACCGCTGGAAGGGGTGGAGCTTCTTGTTGAGGCTGGCAAAAGGCTACGGTGTTCGTTTGAGCCTGAGCTTACAGAGGACATCGAGCGTGCTCTGCCGCGACAGAAAGGGCGGAGCCTCGAAACCTTTAGTGCTAAGCAGTTCTATGCACCATGAATCACTCTTAGAAACCGATGTTCGTTCACGATCAGACAGTTTCTCGAAGAGAATTACGTCGGTAGCACAAACTTCGGGAATGACGTGCACTCATGTAGTCCTTATGGCCTTCAGGTACAGTCTAAATTTGTAAATACGAACTTGTGACAACGTGTGCTGGAACCACAAACAACTAAATATACGCGATTTGTGACTACGTTTAATATGAAGAAGTATTCTAAAATTTCTCAAAAGGGGTTGAACAGACCTTCCCGGTTTGCGCCGGCGAGAACTGTTGTGAGGCATAGGGCACAGTGGTTTTTATAGCAATCGGTACATGTACTTTTGGTGGTTTCTATAATGAGCTAAACGCTAAATCCCGTTTGGGGCGGTCTCATGAAACCTAGTACAGTACCCGTCAGAAGGTGATCGCTGATAGAGACTGTTGGGAAACCGGTGGTGTAGAAGTTTTCAGTGACGTTTGTGGATTCGCGCAGTGGTCACAGTTTACTGTACAAATTTGACAAAACCAATCGTGACCCTTCCTAAGAATCAGCCGTTGTCGTATCAAAGAATATTTTGAAAAAAGCCAGGACCAACTTGACTCCCTGATGTACCCGTGACGTCAAGATCGGCAAGAGATGGGTGAACAGCTTATACAGTCTCGATGCGAGACCGACGTCGAGGACCGATTATCCTGAAAAAAGTTAACGATTCTTTGAAAAAAACTTCCTGTTGTGTGTTTAGACGTATCTTTCTTCTTGATGAAGGTAGAAGGATGATGAACAGGTTACTGTAGGTTAGATGGAATATTCAAGGAATATGGAATAAGAAGAGCGTTTCATCTGAGCGACGACGATCGAATAAAGCGTACCTACTGAATTGGGAGTGTTTCAATGCTCTAATATTGAATTTTGTGTTAATTAATTCCCGTTTTGCGCAGAAACTACACTGACGAGATATGCATAAACAAATTATCAAATTCTGATCTGTGATGCAACTTTTGTGTTTCAGAGGAAGTTTACTGTAGCCCTTGTCTTAACACGGAATCCTGTTTTGTTTTTCCGTCGTTGGCCCAGTACACACCAAGTGCTCATTGCTGAATCTAAAGCCCACTTTCGTATCCTGAACAGAACGGGAAAATAAGAAAACTAATATCATCTTGGGCTTAATGTCATGTTCAAGTTTCTTGTGACTACTTCCATGTTTTATTCATTTGATGACGACCTTCTTTTTCTTTTTTTATAGTGTAAGGATTCGTCTGCAAACCTGGATTATTCTTTGATTTCTCACGTATATCAGGTTCACTGAGAGTGACTGTCGTTTCTGCGTGGGTGGCCTTTCCTCAGATCTCTTCAGCTGATTGAATAACAAACAGGATCACAGAAACAACGGTCACTGCCGATTTCGCCCAAGAACATCGTTCCTTGCCCGAACAAGTATCCGGGATCACGACTATCAAATGATAGTCGTGAGAATTTTTTGCCCTCATATCCCAAGCAACTACCGCCATCTCGTTTTCGTGTTTTGTAGGCATTGAAAACGTCAAATGTTATACTAAGGTTAATCATCTTATTCCAAGCGTTCCCGGTTCTCCTTTGATATTTTTCGCTTTTACAATAATAATGGTCACAGACCACGTCATGCTCACATCAGCTTTGATCTTGGGGTCAAAGTCCGCGACCATCGACGGATTGAGCTTTAAAGCAGGAAGGAGATTTGAAATGCAGACATTTTTCCATCGAGAAACCTTCTATTAATCTTGCCTTTCTCGGAAGATTCCAAAGCTCTTTATTATCCGCCCTCAGACTTTCACGTGAACCTTTCAGACAAAATTGTTGAGACATTTGAGGCATGATTACAAATCTCAGACAGAGAAGTAAATGAAGCCGTTCATGCATACCGAGAAGTTGGCTTCAACACTCTTTCCTAATTGTTCATAAATACCGCTGTAATGATGATGTTCAAAATCTGAAATTCTGGTGAAACGAAGTCAAAAATCGTGTTCTAATGCCGCTGAAAACATTCCGATTTCACGAAGTACATCGACACTGTCCTCAAGTCGTAAAAGGTGTATATTGTAGTTTTTTGGAGCGGAACAGTGGTGTGGCAACATCATCCTTCTCAGAAGAGTATTATTTTGAGAAAAAGTCGTTATTCCTCTTGGTTCGAGTTCTTTTCTCATAATTAGAAGACTGCCCCAAAGAACAGGGATTACTCCAACCTTGCCGGAAAAAAAGCATACGTCAGATCGAGTTGAGAATCGATCAAACTGGTTTTGGCTATTTGTTCATTGGTACATTATCCGTACACATTGCGTAGACGGTTCCTGGCTTTCTGGCAATTTCTGCCGCCCCAAGACCGGCCAAGTAACTGCTGATCAACAAAAGACCGATTGAAATTGAATGGGACATTTAACAAGTTCAGAACCAGGAACATCCGCTATCAACCAGACAAAAACCACAAAAAATTGGTAAGTTTTTATAGCAGCGACACAAAGTTCAGTGTTCTAAATTAACCGCCAGAAGAGCGACTAATTCAATGTGAAAGTCACCGAACACAGATAAACCAAACAATGAAAAAGAATCGTAAATTGTCATCATTGCGGAAGTTTTCGTTCCCATTTCAAATAGAAACTATCGTTGATCACCAGGAACTGATCAGCAAGGGCGCGAGCACTTGCGCTTTGTCACAGTCTTCCTCCGCATTACACCAGCAGCAGATCTCATTTTCAGCGCCAATCTTGTTATCAAAAACGTCAAAATGTTTCCTGAAACGTCTCAAGTCCTCGTATTGGCGCCGATGTATCAATCGTCACCTTCGTGCCGGGCTTTTGGGAATGTAGAAAATTCATTGAATTACATGCTGATAATTCACACCAGTCATGATGTTGTACCTGAAGTTTTGCAAGATATTGTGTGTCTGGAAGCGAGTGTTTTCCTTTCAGAAAGGGGACGTTACATTTAAGCTTCTCGATATGAAGGAACTTGCAAACGCAATCAAATGTTCACGAAAATTATGATTATAGGACACACTCCCGCGTGTTGCCCGAGCCTCTTTCGTCATGATCGGGGGATCGTGATTTCGGAGCTATCTTCCACACTGATATAACATTTCCATAAAATGTTGCACTCGAAATATTTGCGTCGTCATGCTCCGGGATAAGTGGCTGATGAGATGAGAAACTCAACAAGTATATTCGCGCTCGCAAGACGCTCGCGCATTCGCCAAGATGGAACAGACCTCTTGAAACCGCAGCTTGTATGCAAATGACGAAAGAGGAGGGAGGAGAATGCAACATAACACTAATACAGTATATCCGATGCGAGCTTGCGCGCGAGTTCACGTTGTTTGCGCCCACATAGGCGGCCCTCTGACCCGGGAACAGGAGAACGGCACAAGGAAGCGAGAGGCTCTCCGGTGACACTCGTCCCTTTTGTTCTCATTCCAAGCTGGCAATGCGTACCGTCCTTCTTTTCCTTACCACTCTCCATGTTGCACAGTAAGTTGATCTGGGTTCAACATCTTTGCAGACTTCCCGTAGACTTGCTTCATGATTTCACTATATTACTCATTCATTTTCATAAACATCTAGTCTGAAAAACAAAAACTTTTCCTGCTGGGTGAAGGAGACAAAATCCAAATCAGAAAGGAGACCAGTAATAAGGAAGATGAAAAGTTTCCATTTCCAAAAACTGTTATTGTGTTGAAAAAACATCTGAATACACGTGAATGTAACATATTTTCAGATCACGAATGGCGTTTCCCTACCGGAGGGAACCGAATTCCACGTGCAACTGTAAGCCGGCGATAGATCCAGTATGTGTTCGGGATGGACCTTATCAGTACACCTACTCAAGCATGTGTGTCTTCCAATGTGCCCAGGAAACTAAAAAAGGTGTGCGTTCGATCCAAAGTTCACTTCTTTTGATCCTGAAGTTTCTCGTTCATGTGCTAATCCTTTCATTAGATTTGTTCGGAGCCATTATCATGCTTTGCGTGGTGACAATATTAGTCTAGTTTGTAGTGGTTTGGCACTGGTTTCTGGTTTCGATCCAACAAACATCACAAAACAAAATATCTCTCCGGAAATAAATTATGCAGATGCATAAAAGTTCATTTCAGACTTGGCACTTCTTTATGAGGGATCTTGTTGTTCCGCGAGGTACTGCAACATGTTCGAACAGCCAGTTTGTGCAGAGGGACAGGTAAACAGATCTGTAGGGGAATCGAAAAATCAGAAATGATATTTTTACAGATGTATCAGACTATCTGTGAATTCGAGGAAAGACAATGCATCGAATTCAAACTGTTCAAAAACCATATCGCTATGGATTCGAGCCAAGAAAAGTTTCATCCACTTTCCCCCGAAACTTCTGATTTTGAATATTTCAGATGTGCTTGTACAGCTCCTTGTCCGACGGAATGGAACCCAGTGTGCGACAAGAAAGGAAACACGCATGCGAACTTTTGCACTTTCTTGAATTCGAAATGCTACCACAAAAACCAGTAATCAGAAACTGATGAAACGCACTTGTTATTCTTATTTTTAGATTGAACGAAACTTTGGAAGTCGACTATTCAGGTGTGTGTTGCGAAGACATGTGCTCCGCCGGTCAAACAGCGTTGACAGTGTGTGATTCGGACGGCCGGACACACACAGACATTTGTTCGTTCTACGTGGTGAGCGCCTTCCTTTGCACATTTTCAACCATAAAGACCACAAACTAGTAACACAAACTTTCATTCCAACGAGATCAGTCTTTGCTGACGTCCACAAATCCGATTCACTGCCGTTTCATACTTTTTTTATTTATTTATAATTGATCTCGATCAGAACGGGGTGGCGGAAAATCCGTTATAAACCGACGGTAGTTTTCAACGCTGACGTAGCATTCACGTGAACGTTTTCGATGTCGATTTATAGATCAAACAGTTAAAACCGAACATTGCGATGCATCTGAACTTTTGAGGGGTTTTGACCCAAAACCGAAGTGTACTTGCTCGTGGCCTTTATGTAACTCATGTAGTCTGAATGCATAAAATGTTTATATTTAAACTACATGCTAATTAAGAAAGTTCATATGACGAAACAGAAAAACAATCGCACAAGACACACATTTCTGTGCCTTTGTGTGTCTCCCGTCACCCAGTATTATTCGATTGAGTTGACAAGTTAATTGTGGCCGTTTTTAGGAAAAGTGCCGTCAGATGAGAAGAGGAACCGGCAAGAAGCGGCTGCAGATTGCTGGCGTCGGGCCGTGCAAGCCCAAGAATCCGTTGTTCCGCTCATTCGATTATTTTGTAAACAGATTTCCAAACGATCCTCTAACACGTGTCAATCGAGTGCAATAAAAATTTTGAAGAATATTTATTCGAAAAAATCATCATCAGACAACGAACATTTGTTTCGGACTCACTCACTTCGATATAACGGAATTCATTGGGAGAGAAGTGCCAGGAACTGGGGGGGGGGAGGTGTAAATCATAAGGAGAACGATGGGCGGTTATAGACGATGACGTAACCAGTAAGCAATTGCTTAACCACAATCGTGAAACGATGGATTATTCAGATATCGTGGAAGTGTGTGACAAGATGCAGGAAAAAATATGAACAGGAAAATGAGAATGAATGGCTGCACGGACTGCAATCTCTGAAGCCGGTTTCAGTGGGGGAATATCAGATGAAAAATAATGCAAGAAGGCAATCAAAACATGAGATGGACAGGGAAATAATCGGAGAAAAGAAGCAGAGGGAACGGTTATACAACCGAGAGGGGACACTTGTTTTTGTTTGGGAGATGCACAAGTAACTGAGAAATCGGTTGTATTATGTGGGAATTGTCGTCTAGACCGGGTCAATCTCAACTCCGTCGATGTCGATCGAGTTGTACTGCACAATCTTCGGACGCTCGCGATGCTTGTTGATGATATCGCAGATGTCATCATAAATCTGGAAAAAGTACATAGTTTTCACTTGCCAACTAAAAAAGCAGCCGTCTACCTTGTGCACGTCCCCAACGGTCACCAATCCAAGAGTCTGAGCAATCTCCCCCTCCATCACTTCAATCCAGATGATGTTGCGCTTAATTGTTCGATGATTCTGAAACTCATTCATGCATATGTTTCCACTTTCATCTTTGCTCCCTACGTCCGGAGTGTAAGTTTTGCCTTTGCTGGTTTTCTGGACGTTCAGGATCTCAGCAGTATAGGATCCTCCGCGTTTTGAGCAGTCGAAACGGCGTGGACGGTAGACGATGGCCTCATCTGCCACGTAGACGATTCCTCCGCGGCGGATCTGAGAGAAGGAAGATAAAAATAGAGGAGAGGAGGAAAAAAAATGATGTAAAGGAGGAAAATCGGGAAATCTTATTTCCACCACTCTAGTTTTCCTCTGTTTTGATTGACAAACCTCTGAGTTGGTTCCATCGTCAAGAATAAACGCATCGACGTGCCATCGGTAGCGGACGGACGAGTCTGGGACTCCGGGGTCACAGTGGCGGCCGAATACGCAGCCCATCTTATTTCATAACCTGCAAAATGATACAATGAGGACTATAGAACAACGAAAATCGCGCGCGTTTTCAGACGAATGAGTATATGAGAGTGTCTGGCAGAGTCAGCTGTTCGATTCGTCACTCGAAATGGGAATTACAAGCAAAAACTTGCTCGTGAGAGACAAATTTTTATAATGTGACTTAAAAAAAGAGAGAGAGAGAGAGGGAGAGAGAGGGAGAGAGAGACAGAAAGAGAGAGAGAAAGAGAGAGAGAGACATACAGAGAGAGAGAGATGGAGAGTGAGCACAAGGTCCCAAATTCACACATTCGAAATGAGGCCAAATAAAGCATTTGGAAAAGGCGATTGTAGAAGATGAGAATAGAATAAACATATTTTGAAGTTGAAAGTTTTCATGGATATTGAGCACAGAACGGGCAAAGGCCATTCTATTTCTTTTCCGGAAAAAAGTTTCCAATTAATTGATGACATAGGCGGCGAGAATAACGTGCACAGAAGAGAAAAAAGAAAGGAGAATCCGAATGCGAATAAGTGAAAAAGCAACGGACGGACGGGCAGACCTCTTTCATACATGTGCGATGGGCGGAGTTCACCGTGCCGGCCCATTGAAATTGAGCATCGCACATGCTCGTTTCCGACGAAATTATAGGGTTGAGAAAGGAAAGGAAATTGGTATGCGGAGTGGACTGATACCAAAAAAGGGAAGTGAGAAGTTAGAATTCAGAAAGAAGAACGGAGAACACTCGGCGGAAAGCTGTTTGAAAAACTCGAAACAGATTAGTTCGCTATTGTGAAATTTCCGAAATGAAGCGACAATGCTTATCTATTAATTTTTCGGTGAAAATGGTCAATGTGCTATAAGAAAATGTGGAGTTTGTAGAGAACGAAACCGGAAGCAGTGCGGTTGAAAGAGGGCGCATCAATGGAAAAGGGCAGTACGTTGTGGACACGGCACATCAATAAACTTGAAATTGGATCTGTGTGCGAATTAGGCATCCTATTTGAGCAAAGTGCGCATTTTCAGGTACTAAATGCCGTTTTTAGTTGAGTAAAGTTCTCAAAAAGTGGAAATTACTTTGACCGGAAAAAGTGAGTAGATTAGTTTTTTTTGAAAAAGAAGTGAGAATCAATTTCAACGCAACTACCACCCCGTTAGGAACAGACAGCAAAGAGACGTTTTCTACAAATTAGTTTCTTCTTCCTTGCTTCTTCTCTCTTTTTTTCCTCCGATAATTAGAAGAGTAGTTTAGTGCGGTAAGCCTATTCCATTCGCATCATGAGCAGACCACAAAGAACAACGCTCGAAAATGGAATCAGATCTCTAATCAGACGTATTTTGAGACGGAAGCACATATTGTGTGCTTCTTATCATTCGTATGGTGATGACGCAGAGAAAAACTTACTGGAACACATGGTTTTTGTCTCCTGCGTTAAGAAATGTTATTTCAGTCCGTCGACAACAGTATGATTTCATTGCGGAAGGGGAACTCATGCTTGAAATTTTTCTCACTTTCACTCTCGAGCGTTGTTTTTCCTAACAATGCCTATTCATAATTGATAAGGTATCTGAGTGGGAGTCGAGTACATTGTTTGATCAGTTTGTACAGAAAGGAAACGCCTAGCGGAAGTGTTTCTATTTGTATTTATGGAACCGGGTGTCTCATTTCCAGTTTCACCAATTATCAGATTCATCTATATGCAAATCCGCCAATTGACGTTCTCTTTTTGCTGTCATTTTCCACGTTTTTTTTTGAAACGCGTCTAACGAGAGCAATCGGATAAAAGTGAGCTGTTTGGACTGGAATATTCAATTGTCCAGTCTGATTGGACGCGCGGAGGGCACAGAAAATGAACAAAAGGCACGAAGAAAATACGTAAAAGAAGGGGAGAAGAGACAAGTGAGGAACATGAATTCGAGAGGCAATTTCACTGGTCAGCGCTCGTCTTATCCCATTTTAATTGTGCTAGACGGAACGACTCATGTTCTGCACTCGGGACGCCAGTTTATTCGCAATTCGACAAATGAGAAATGCGCGCTCTGCCGTGCCATAACTTCCTTTTTCGGAAGAGAAGCGGAACAAGAAGCGAACAATGATAGAATTTTATATTGAGAAAAGGTCGGCAGCAATTTGGCAACAAGTTTCTGCTCATTTCGAAACACTTTTCGCTTCCTAGCTTTTGACATTTCCAATGTTTAATATTAGAATCGGAGAAATAAGAATTGCACACAAATGGGTTTTTGCAGCCGAATTTGCAAATTGCATATAACTGCACCGTTATTTCATCGTATTGAGCTCTTTAAACTATCGAAATAATTCAAGCTCATGTTATAACTGGGCCAGACATATTGGCAATGTAATTCCGAAAGAAAGTGCACTACACTTTCCATCCTTTGAAAAAAATCTGCACTTTGGCAACTACTGTAGTTCACAACAAAGAAAAATCGGTTTTTGGCACAAATTTGTGAGCAAAATGAAAAAAAGGATGTATTCATGCACAGCAAGATTTATAATATTTGGTTTGAAAATGGATAGGAAGCCGGCTTGTTTCGGCCATTGCGTTTCATTTTTTCGAGACGCTGTCTGACAGACGAGGGGATACGAACATTTGAACCGAAAATACCTTGCAGTGTGAATATTCATGAAATAGTGCATTTCCGAAAACAAGTTAAGGGAAGTAACCGACTAAAGCGAGGAGAGAAAGAGACTTACGTTAGATGGATTGCAGTCACGAGAGTGAACTGAAATGGACATAATCGAGTACCTTTTGTGTTTGCATTCATCTTTAATGTATGAGATTTTGTGCTTCATTTTGGAGAGCCAGAGCGTTTTTATTGATGTGATCGGCGGAACATGCGGCAGAACTCGGTGAAGCATTGCACAAAAATTGACTTGGACTTTGTTTTAGAAAGAAAAGATTATTCGAAACAATTGTGGGGTCCCGGCAGTAAATAAAAAGCAAGAAAGCACGCGAGTTTCGTTTGGACGTTCAAATTTGATTTCCTCAACAGACAATAGTACATTTTGTAGCGATCCGGTTGAGCTCGCAAGGTCAGGGTAAGGAAAATAGGGTACCAGTTGACACTAGGCGGTACTTCCAAGTGAAAATGGACAATAATAGGCTTTCCAATGCTTCATTGTGGTTTTCATTATTCATGGAGTTGAAATAAAAAGCGGAAACTACGAATAAATTATTGTTGTCGGAAAGGAACCATTTTTGTGATGTATCGGAGATAAAATGGTTCCGAAAAGAGTGAAACACTTATGGAAATGCGGGCATGTCAATGAGAAACGGGAAACAAGAAATGACAGCTCGGAAGAGCCAAATGCAGAGAGGATTTGATTTAATTGAAGTGTGACACAAGTGTTTGAAGTGTCCGCGCAGAAAAAAATTGATGGAAGGATGGACGTAGCTGGATTGAAACCTTTTTCGAGCAGCTGATTCCCCCCAAAATTTTTGCCAATCATTGCCAAGAGAAAAGGAAAAGCGCAAGAGAAAACTGGCCTTCCTTGGAAAAGTGCGTCAACACCAAAACGACGCTTAATCTCCCAAAATTGATGACCCCGAAGAATGATGACGCCCCACTTTGACTCTTGTTCGGACTCGCAAAACATGCCCTTTGAAGACATTTTATGTGTTTTTTAAACTTAAGAAACCAGACTTTTCCCGAGTTCTCTAACTTTACTAGCTGTTGACATTGAGTAAACTGAAAACTAATCCAATGCGTACCTGGAAAAGCGAACGGATAATTGCACGTCGGGCGAACGGATTATGTCTGCAGCACAAGATGTGAACCTTTTGTTCCGTCTTTCCTTTTCTCTTTTCCGCTGCAAAAACACAAGATGACTGATTTCGGCTTGAGATTAAATGCCGGAAACTGAGAACCGGACGTTGTCACGAGAAGATTAGATCAGTCGGGACGGACAAAAGAGACGAGGTAATATAGACTGTTATCAACTGCAAAGATGAGAAAAAGAAGGAACATAAACTAAAGTGTTCCCTATCGTGTGTGTATGTGTGTGTGTGTGTGTAAGAGGACCCTAAGCAGTCACGGAAAGGAAAATGAGACGACGTGAGGAATTCTGAAATCATTATTTTTTGCATGTAAAGTCAAAAGAATTGTCTAGTTGAACATATGGTCTTATTAATGCTCAACTGAACTGCAAAGTGTTATTGCGGGTAATTATTGGACCCGACCCATGACTGGAACACACAAAAACGCAACAAACAGAAGAAGAAAATGCCACTAAATATCGCTTTTCTCTGCCACTGGATGCATCATCTCGTTGTCCAGCACAAAACGCATACACATTTCGAATCCTCTCCCCCCTACTGAATTCAGCCGTTAGTTCACATAAAAAACCGAGAACCATATGACTTTCGCACACTTTTATATTGCAAATGTGACTTGGATCCGGTCCGGGAGACGGAGTGCCATTTCACTGGGAAGAAGGTCAGAAGGATTTTACGATGATGTCAACGACTTCTTTTTCCGTTTGCTTCGTATTTGATTTGTGTTGTAGATGAGCGATCATTTCTGATTCGGGAATCAGAAACACCCCAATCGTGCGAGAAATCAATAAATGGGTCCAGAATGATTACTCATCTACAACACAAAAGAAGTTCAGAAGATCTCATCCGGAAAATAAAAATGACCCGAACCGGGCTCGAAGGGTGGAAAAAACGGGTTTGAGGCAAGCAAATGCGTCATTTTTCAGACACACTAAAGGAATTGGCCCGTCTGTTGCTCACAGACATCAGTCATCCTTCAATACATAGATGATCAAAATAAGTGTATTTAAAGGAGACAATTTGATTAGGGCAACAACAGAAAGCGGGTGGAAGAAGAGAGAAAAAGAACGAGTGCACTACCACCAATTCCCAGAGAATGTCATTGCATATGGAGTCAAGTTCAATGAGGATTAAGAAAGAGAGAGAAGAAGATGAAGAGGGAGAGGAAGAAATTGATGGAGGAAGACTAGCATCAGAGGAATAGTCACAATTGCATTATTATTATGTTTATGCAAAAATAAGACGTAAATGGAGACGAAGATGCGCAAAACAATGTGTGGAAGGTGCGACTAACTTGAAATTTGAGAGTGAACCGAGTGAGACAAATAAGCTTGCCTGCTCAAAATATAATTATTCGAGTGACTAACGTCAACTCATCCTATGTGTGTGCACTTCCAAACTGATAAAAGGGGATTTAATATAACTTCCCAGTTATGAAGAAAACTATGATTTACTATGCAGAGTTCTAGTTTTAACCCGGACATTTCAGAATAGTGTGTAGTCTCAACGAGTTCATAACATATTGGTATAATCCCACAGGTCCTAATGGCTATGGCTAGACCTCAAACAATTCATGCATCAAAATACTACCGTATTTCCAAAGAAAAGGAATGTGAAAAGAAAACAGAGAGAAAGAAAGAGAGAGAGAGAGAGAGAGAGAGAGAGGGAGTGAAAACTGATTGAGGAGAGAATCTGCTCGCAGGCTAATAGAGGGTAAAATGTAGAATAAAGTCACATCACTGGCAGTGTTTTGTGCGTCCCCCGGGGCATTTAGGCCCCTTTCCCTGCTAGCGCCGGTCAACTCACGCCGTTTAGGACGCGTGCTTTGTTCTGATAAAATATTCAAATTCCCGCAACAACTAGCGGATGAAAGAGCAAAGTTTTGGGCGGATTTCCGGATCTATTGTTCAAGAAGCACGTGGATATCTTATTAATTCACAAAGAAGAGAAGAGACGAACTTACTCATCTTTTCAGTGGAGTGAGTTGAGTTGAATGAAAATAGATCAAAAATCAGATGAAAAGTGCGCGTAAAATCTTTGGGATCACGCCCGTTTCGTTCTTTAAGTAGACCGTGTTCAGTAATTCATGTTTCCTGAGTCGGGTCCTCTCTCCAACTTCCTGAATACGCAATCAGGACTACTTTAGAGCCGCACGAAGCACAGCCGCCGCTAGTTTTTGACATTCGAAGCCGAAAATTAGAAATCAAAAGTGCACGTTCTCAGCTGAGATCTCAATTTATCGCAAGTCACAAGAAGCCGGAGCCTGATGAGTAATTGATTTCACAAGAAGAGTGAGAAGTCGAATGAACAGGGGGCTAGTCAGAAAACACGCGGCTCATCACAATGTGACCCACACATAACAAGGTGGAATGCTACTAAACGGCCCAGTTATCTGAAATTCCCGATGGGAGAACGGCGGCTGAAAGATTGACAAGTTCCGGGGTGCTGTAAAAAGGAAGAAGAAAAAGAAGAAGATAAACCGGTTTTTGTTTGTGTTTTTTGGAAAGTATGATCAGATTATCATTTTTTTTTTTCAACAATTGTCTGCTAACATTTTTGCAACAGAAAGATCGGGTTACCCGCGTGTGCAAAAGAAGAAAACAATATTAGAGGGGGATATTTAGAGGGGACAATATTATTGTGAGATAAATTTGAAATTCGGCGGGAATCCAGATGAGCCGGAACTGAACATATGTTTAATTGTGGCGGGTACTGCCGAGAGAAAAGCGTACTACCGGAGAGCGTGAAAACAAAAATACAACATGCGAGCGGAGTTGGTGGGTGTCAGTTGTTGTTTCGCAATTGATATCATCTTTGTCCATCTATCCACACCAATTCATTGGCACCTAACGAGTCTTTCCACATTAAGCTGGTCTATGATAGCGGAAACAATCAACACTGATAAAAAGATAAACGAAAAAGTGCTGTGCTGCCAGTTTTGCACGTATTCAGGCTGAATAACAACAGGGTTGAAAGTGTGAAGAAGGAAAAGAAAAAGAAGAAGAAACAATCAAAGAGATGAGAGGCTCTTTCGAGTGTACTTGAATACTCAACCCTTAATCATAAAAATCAAAAAGAGCTCAATTCCTGTGCATTTTTGGATCACTCGAGTCTCTTTCAAGCGACCAAAAACTCGAGACGGATAATTGGCAGAAGAGTGATGTAGAAGAGGACGTGCGCATGTCTGCACTATTCATCTTCTTGCTTACTAATTGCTGTCTCCTGCGGCGAGAAATTGAATTGTGGGCCTTCCCTGCAGACAACGAGCCACCAGCCAGCCGAACTCTGATTCCCTGGGACGTGATAAAACGGCCAAAGTGGTTGGATGTCGGGCTCCGCCGAAAAATGGTAAATTGAGAGAGGAAGCAGCGTGCCCAGGTCCCAGATGTGTGATGAATTCCGCAAATAAACATTCCAACTTCTGAATGACATCAACTTTCTATCTGCTTACATTTATTTCAGGTCTTCTCGGGAATAATGCTTGAGAGAAACACTTTTCTGATATTTTGTGATTCTGGAACATTCAGACGTCAATGGGAACCTGAATATTTCTTTTTGGGAACAATGAGAAAAAACATTGTTCACCTCCACATTCTGGTATAAAAGAACGGCGAATGGCACATTGAAGCATCGAACCATGAAACTCCTCATCGTTTTCTGTGCCGTCATTGCGACTGCTCTCGCTACCTACGGAAGTGGATATTCTTATGACGGTCCCGTAATCATCCGTCATCCGTATCCAGGAAGCGAGTTAGTTTTGTAAAAAAGAGCTGACCACACTAAGTTTTTTCAGCTTTGTCATCGACGATTTCGACATCCCAAGACATCACCGTCGCCATCACAGAGGTCGCTGGGATCGCTCCGATTCCCGCTCGGGATCCAGCAGTGGAAGTTACGAAGACGATTTCTTCTTCTTCCCGCGTCCAAACCCGCAGCCGTACGGAAACGCTGCTCAAGATCCTTCATCCAATTACGGAGCAGCTGCCGATGACACTCCAGCCTCTGGCTACGGACCTTCTCAGGATGCACCAGCGTCTGGATATTGACTAATTTGAAACCGTGATATATCCGTTCATTTTGTGGTCATAAACATATACTAGTTCAGTCTAAAACATTTCCATTAAGTGATGTAGAGACGGTGATTTTGAGCCCAGAGATAGATTATGAAATACAGAAACTACCGTTATCAAACTTTAATTTTTATGGGCCCTGCCCGTTCAGCGCGGAAAGTTTTCTGGCTTTAACTGTCCTAACTTGCTGAGCTCCCAAGTATGGTAAATATAATCCGATTTTAATTTTTCTATCAAATCTTTGAAAATAATATTAGGATTCAATTTCTTCGAAAACATTTTTCAGCCACATTCTAGCTCAAAAACTGACAAAATTTCATTAATTTGAGAGAGGTCTTATTATTATTGGACGGCTGAAAAAATGATTTTTCGATGGTACTGACCCAGTTTTTGTGCAACCTCTTTCGAAAATGTGGACCTGGGGTTTTTTCGCATGCCAAATCGAACTGCATTCACAGAATTCTAATAACTATTCTCGTTTTGGCTATGCCTTTAAAATATAGGGGGGGGGGGAGGTCTTATCTTTATTGGACGCACTGTATTTAATCAAGATTTCATCAAGTGCTCCGACGCATGAAAGCATGTTGCCTGATTAATTTTCAAGAGTTCTTTCAAAAGCTCTTTTCTCATGTTTTTTGTCTGACTGCCAGTTTTCAGTAAAATCTGGACATAACACAGCGTTACCTATAGTTTCTCAGACAAGAAAAGCGTTGTTCTGGAAAGAATGAATGATTCATGTTCTATCACGTCATGCAAAAATATTCATTTTTGTTGTTGCACAATCATCTTGACAATCATCTTTTCTTGAATCCAGAATCGTTCTCAAAACATCAAATCGGTATAAAAAAGGCGCAAGCAAGAAGAAAAGCAACAAAACATCGCATCATGAAGCTCATCCTCGTCTTCGTTGCACTCGTTGCCTTTGCAGCCGCCAGGCAATATGAGACAGACTATCCGGAGTACCCAAAGTCTTATGACTACGTGTAAGTAAATTGTCATTCACGAGCTAGTTCTTGTCATTATTTTCTTTCAGCGCAGAATACAACTCTCAGCATCCTTACTACAAACTTGGTCGCAAGATCCAGTACAAACCTCGGCGCAACTCTTGGGAATCGGATTCGGATGAGTCGTCCGACTCGTGGGACGCTGATTCAAGCTCCGGATCGGACAGCAGCGACAACGACTGGCTGTTCAGAAACTTCCAATCTGCGTACGGAGACACTGCCCCAGACACTTATGGATCCGCCGCTGCCCCGGCTGGTTCCAGATAAATGTCTGATGTTTTTTGACTTCTCTGTCATTTATTCATAAGGGCTTTAATTTTTAAACATAAATTTTGAAAAAAGAAGGAACATGAAAGTTGTTGTTGGTTCTATTGATTGAGCTTTGCTTCGAGTCTTTACTGCTCCCACTAATCCCAGGGCGACACGAGTATTTGTCGCTTTATTTGTTTTATTGTTCTCGCAATGTTCATCAGAAATTTGTCAAACTTAATTCCAATATTTGAAAGGATATTCACATAGTGTGCTTCGACAGAACGCTTGTACCCAGAATTTCAATGAACCACTGACAGAAAGCGCACACAAGACGAGGCAGAAGCAAAAGAGGAGGATGAAGAATATCTGATGTTAAATTTTTTCACGGAATGTGTCCGGGGATTCAAAAGTTCAGATGTTCGTTCTGCCGAAACGCTAACTAAGCTAACTAAGTAAGGCAAGTCCACCGTTGAACGCGAAAGTCCCAATCATTCATTTGCGGGGCTTTGCGCATGATATTTTAGATAGATTTCACTAGTCGGTGAAACATTGAAAAAACTTACAAGTTACAGTTCGCTTTGAGAAATTGCTGAGTTTTTGTCCCCAAGGTAGAATTAGTAGCAAAGATCGACAAAAACGAAACTCGTGATGGACTCAGAGATCGTAGAGGCGGAAAAAGTTACAGATTTATCGAATAAAAAAAACGACAAATATCTATGTGATGATCGGACGCGCCCTAGATATCGATCAACAGATTTGCAATATCAGCAAACGAAGGAAATCGAGCTTTCCGAATAGCCGAGCAAGCTTTGTGACGTCTTTTGAAAAAATGCTTGACATTCTTATAAAAATCAAATTCTCTCGTTTTCCCCCTCAATCAGTTCTTCCTTCGACTTAATAAACCCGTTATTTTTTTTTGTGGGTCGCAGAAAACAAAAAAAGGCGGGAATGAACAATCGAGGTTCTCTTGCTCTTCGTGGTAGCCTACGTGATCAATGTACGTTTAACTTTGATCCAAGAACAATCGCGTTCACAAAACATGAATCACATCATCGGTGACAATCAGAAAATGTTTTTGAAACGTCTGCGTCCGTGGACGATCCCATAACAAAAAGTTGTATAAAAGGATGGGTTGGAGGCACAAATGCATCCAAGAACAAATCATGAAGCTTCTTCTTGTTCTTTGCGCCGTTGTTGCCGTGGTCGCCTCGACTTACTCTTCTTCCAACTACAACCAGGTCCCCGGACAAAACGTTTACGACATTGATGCTTAGTAAGTTCAGATGACATTTGAAAGTAGTGCTTGCCTCTCTTTCAGCGGTGGCTGGAATCCATTCTACAATCCACACAGAAGACATCACAGAGATCACGGACGTCACCATCGTCGTGGACACGGAAGAAGACATCACGACAGATCGTCCAGTTCTTCGGATTCTTCCGACTTCTCCGACTCCTCCGATTTCTCCGACTCTGACTCCGACAGCCGCGAGCACGACGGATGGATCGTCCTGCCACCAACCTTCTCCCAGTCAAACTACGGAAATGCCGCTCAGGATACTCCAGCTGGATCTTCTTACGGTTCAACCGTCAACGACGTGCCAGCTGCTGACAACTACGGATCTGCAGCCCAGCAGCCGCCACAGACTGGATACGCCAACACTTTCGGTGGAAAGTAAAATGGATAAAACAAAAATGATTATTTCTTTATGAGAATAAATGAGTATTTTCTGCATTGGCAATGCATTCACATTTTTGGGACAGGGATGGAGGATGGTTTCGCTTTCGTTGCTCGTTTAGTTTTGAACTGCGGTATCTGTCTTGGGATTCGGGAAGGCGCATCCACGTGTTTCTTTGCAATTGTAGATTTTGTTTTCGGTGTTTCGCTTGGTGACGGTGTGCTCGTGGAAACACTGGAAACTTGTCGAGATTGAACAGCAGGGATGTTAGTTTCTTGGGTGACTGCTGAAAAGTGAACAATTGTATTGCACGTAGCGATGGTATTTATACAGCTGGGAGTGTCACTTTCATAGCTGGAAACTGATGGGGGAGAGTTCCATTGTGGCCTCATCGGGTAACCACTTCCATCGGCTTTCACTCGGAGACCGTGATCACCTGCGACAACCGTCATTACTGGCGAAACGTCCGAGTTCTCTGAAAGTTGTCTTTTTTTCAATCTCCCGTTATTCTTTTCCAACCTTTCAGTCCAGGCATGTGACCAATAGTGGGAGGATCATACGACCGACAACACATCACTTCTTTCACTTTCGTCCACACATCATTGCACCAACTCAGCATCTGAATGAACTTGAGAACTTTTTGAAATGATGTGCAGTTTGAAACTCACAATTATAGGACAAATCAGTGGAAACACAAATTTCAGCCATGTTATAAGAGTGTCGGCATCTTGTGGTATATCGATACTTACGTCTGAGAATTCCCGACTATTATAGGTTTCATAGAAGAAACACATGGTAATGTAGGGGCCTTCGATGCACAAAAAGACACATGTGATCAATATCATCTGAAATGAAGCGTGTTTTTAAGATAAACAGATTGTCCCCGTACCAGTTTAGCTCTGCTCCGATGCTCCTGCATTGCCCTGTTTCGTTTTATGAACTCGGCATATTCTTGAGTGTTTGGTGGTATTACCGCGGCAGCCTAAACAGAATATAATATAAAAAATAATGATTATTTGGGCTGCCTACCCGCTTTTGAAGAATGGCTCCAATAGCGACCAGAATGACAGCCAAGCAGCCAAAATAAACAATTAGGCGGACAATGACATATCCAATTGGGCCGCCGCTGAAAATAAGAGAAATACGAGATTGACCTAGATCAAATAGTAAAAATACCCGTCTATTCCACAAACATAGCGATTGCGAAATGGTTTTGTGGGAATCATTTTCAAGAAAACAACAGAAGCGAAAGAAATTGAGACACAGCTGAGAATAACACTCACGCCTGAAATTGATGTTGGTTTCATCTTTCAAATTTGTGGTTTCTTACAGGTCAATCTCAACCCGCTCAGATATTTGTGTCCGTGAGTGACGTACTCCGGCCCCAAGACTATGCCCAATGCCCGTTCTGCGCCAATGATCATGAGTACGAAGAGGGTGTGTAAATGAACAAACTGAAAACGATAATTTGTCGGAGCTCGTTCACGTTCCCACCTCTTGAATAACCACGTTGAAAGTACACCATCCATTGCTCAAATTCCAGTTTCCGTTAGCAACAAAAATGAGTGCAAAAAGTATGTTGAATGATAAGTCGACAATATTTACAAACGTTAAATGACAGTACATCAAGTATATTGTGGTACGGAATGATTTCCTGAACACGACAAAGTTGAACTGACCAAAAATCGAAAACTCACGTGATTAAAACTGCAACTATGAATAGCACATTCAAAAAATACGATGATATTAATAATCCAGCTAGAAAAATTAGTTTTTTTTTTGAAAACGGCTTTAAATATTACCAATTAGAATAGCATTTGTGGTTCTGAGACTGGCAGATTGTGTTTCTTTGATTGTCACAATAGCAAGTGTATCCTCCTCGGGAACATACTCCACTGCCATAGTCATAGTGGAATTGATAAACAGTCGAAGGCGAAGGGCTGGCAGTCAATAATCCGCTGGTCAGATGCGAGAAGAAGCAGTGGTCGGAAGCTAATAAGCATGTGGGCGAGTACGCGAGGATGTTCCCATGACAACCGGCGGATTGGAATGGAAAACGGGAAATGTGCACGTTGTGTCGCTTGTCCGTTTCGATTTTCTCTCTTTTTAATCCGAATCTTTTTGATAATTGGATTTCCTTAGTTGCGGACTGGTGTTGATGTTATCTGACTTTTGAATTCTTAAACCGCTGAACTAATATTTGATTAATTTAACTTTAATTAAATTTTTTTATTATTGCCCATAATGAAGCAAAAGCAAGATATAAAATCAAACAGGATTACAATGAACGGCCTTATTATGACCTCAAATGGAAAAAAACCGTAACTCTTACGCTCATTACAAACAATTGAAAGAAAATAATGCGTTATTAAGATGACAGGTAGAAAGTCTTTGAGCTTAACACCGATTTGTGCGTCGAAACGTTTGGCAGAGAAGACAATTGGGGGAGAGATTGATAAATATTAAGTAAGCTTTGGCAATACACAACAGTACTTGTAACAGCATCACAAGTGCAATTACGTATAGAAAATGATGATTTTGGATGTGAGGAATTTGGTCATTTTCAAGAAACGTGATAAGCGCTTCTTTTGTACATCGAGATCTTGTTGAGCAAACAAAACAGAAGAGTATAAATAACTTTCAGCAATGACAAGTGAAGGACAATTAATGGTATTTGGTTGAGGGAAGAAGGGGACTGTTGACTCGTATTTGGAGATTGTGATGGAATAGTTGATGATAACATTAAAGCACCGTTTTTAGAGAATGACCACATCATCAGATCTGTTCTTGCGAGACTCCGTTCCCTCGCTGCATCGAACGGAAGCGCTGTGCCGTGCCACCATTGCCGTCTAAAAGAAATCAGTGAAACAATGACTGATACATTTCAAAACTTACAGCAATTGTGAGCAAGAGCACTCGCAGAGACTCCCATCCTCGGGACCGCTTTCCGGACGGCTCCGCGTGGGGCATCTCCTTCCGAGTTCTCTCCGTCGGCTTCCGATGATCCGCCCTCGTCATCCATCATGAGCGACGAGCGCTGACTGTCGTCGTCACGCTTCCCTTTTAACGGTCGCATTCCTAAACAAACTGACGTTTTTATTAGAATACTGTCCTATTCATGTGTTACCTAGATTCCGATTCCGACTCGTGGGCCTCGCATTCACATCGACCCTGGCAAATGCTCCGTCGCTGACCGAATCGTAGGTCTCCTCCCGCGGAGTGCTCCCTCGGTTTAACTGTCGACGGGTGGCTGTCTGAAATATGTTCTGATTTTGTGTGAGAATACAGATTCTTCGTTGCAGCATACGTCATAGATGTGTCCTCCAGGAGGTGGTGGGTTCGACGGGGGCGGCGGGATAAAGTCCATCAACGTCTTGTTTGGCGGAGTTCTTCGTTCCCCTGTCCTCTCTTTACTGCTACCAGTTCCGTCGGACGAATGCAACTGAAACATGCATTTTTTGAAGAGAATTTTGGGTGGGCAGAAAGTTAGTGACATGTTAGTTCAAAACGGTTACATCTATCTATCCTAAAGGTACCTGAACATAGCTCACATCTGTGTGAGGGGGACTGTCGGATCGCTGACTGCCACTTGTTCGGTGATGAAGTCCGTTGAGAGTGGCGCGTCCGTCAGAAGCACGACTCGATCGAGATCTCCTTCCGGCCGTCTGATCCGCATACCTTGCCGGTGGTTCTGGTGGGACTGGATTGGTAGGCATCGCGGGAGCACGGAGCATCTTGTCATTGAGCCAGGCTGGCTGTTGGTTGGAAAGAACAAGTGTCGTTGTGGCATACGGCGACGGGTCATCATGGTACTGGTTGCCATAGAATGTAGACATCGGGTTTCCGGGTCCACCCGTCAACTGGGCATAATGGTAGTGATGCTCGGAGCCAGGACGATGCATTGTTCCGCTGTAGTCCTCGGAAGGATTGAAATAGTCTTGCGCGTTCGGTGTAAGCGAGTACAAGGCTTGTCCGTTCCTATTGTTCATGGTCAGCCGTCCAGTTGTATTGTACATCTGGTTTGGATTCTGAGCCACGTCCCACATGTTGTTGGCGGTCATGTGCACACTGCCATCGTTGATCTTGATAAAACTTCGGTCCTTTCCGTCCAAGTTCCTGCTATTCCTCCAGTAACAGTAGGCAATGATGATGACAACCAAGATAATCAGAAGGGCGACAATCACAATCACAGGGACGTGTGATTTGTTGATGAGACCATACAGGAAGGACTCATTCTCCTGTTGAGCGGCCAAATGCTTCTCCAGGGTTTCTTGATCTGAAAATGGATTAATTAGACAATCAAAGTTTGTTAGAAGCTTTCTTACTCATTGTCACTTCACTAGTTCCGTGCGAGACCCCAATTCCGCCGTTGCTTCTGGCAGCCACTCTTATTTTGTAGGTCATTCCAGTAACCAAATGGAAAAGAGTCACACTTGCTGCTCTTTCGTTCGTCGTGATATTCCGGTTGTTATTGTTGTTGTTTGGCGTTTGACCAATAATCAGAATTTGGAATCCTTTGAGAATTCCGTTGATGCCGTCCGCCCGCGGCGCCTTCCAAGAGATACGAAGAGTGGTCAGGTTGAGCATACGGATACGGACATCCTCTGGGGGCAGCGATGGCGGCGCCTCTTCAGTCAATGCATCCATGGAATTACTCGGCGCACCGTGAACACTGTGGGCTCCAGAGTGATATGGAATCACAAAGAACTCATAGTTGGTGAAAGGCAGCAAATTGGCAACAACATAGTTTTCCGTGTTCGCATTGGTCACATTCACATATTGATTGTCGTTGGCTCTTGGCGGTCCTCTCCATTTGATGTAGTACCCATCGATGAGCTCCTCAACCTTTCTTCTTTTCCAGAATAAACGGACGGCAGTAGAATTGATCGGTTTGACTTCCTCAAGCTTTATGAGCTGTTCCGAAGTCAGTTTCTTCTCCGCAATCGCCAAATCCATCTTATTCTTCTCGGAGATGGCAACTTGAGACGCTGGTTTGCTGGTGGTAACAAGTGCAGAAGTCACACTCGGCGTTCCGATTCCTTTCTCGTTCTCAGCTCGAATCACGAACATATACGAATGCGACGGCTTCAAATCCTTGATTCTGTACTCTGTAGAGGCCACATAGTCCGGAATGTTGAACCAGGTCTGTCCAAGATCGGGACTATAGTACTGGATAATGTAACCAGTGATCGGACCCGATCCAGAGGTCGATGGTGCACTCCACCGCAGTTCCACTTCCGTGTCGGTGACATTGACAATGATGGGTTGAGTAGGAGCCGACGGGAAGTTAGAGGGATCAGGCATCCGCACGAATTGCGCAGTACTCGTGTGATCTTCGACGGTTAGAGATGCCGACCAGGTGGATTCTCCGTCCTCATTCTTTGCGATGCAAGTGTACACTCCGGTGTCGGATTTCCTGAAATAATATAGTTTGCTTGCAACATCTCGTGTTGTTGTTCTCTCACTTTAAATCGGCGATGTGAAGACTGCCGGTGGAGTGCTGACTGATGCGACTATCCGCGATGTCGATATGCAATCCGTCGCGGAGCCAAGAGATTCCGGGTGTCGGTTTTCCGCTTGCCTGGCATGGCAGAATGGCTGAGGATCCGACCATGAGCGTCTGATTCTGGTGACCATGCTCGATTGTTGGCGGCGGCTTTGCTGGCGTGTTTCCGGTCACGGCTGAAATGAAACGATTGATTGGTGTTTGCTAGCAACATTTCCCCTTGATGATATCACCCCCAATCCTCTTTTCATTTTTCATTTCTCAAAAAGAAAAGAAGAACAAGAAGAAGAGTCCTGCTCGAAATGCTCATTTTTCATCTTGTTTCCAAACCACCGGATAAGTGGCTCTTTAGCAGAACATTTGGCGTGCGCTTTTGCTCTGCCGAGCAGCCGGAGGGATCCAACAATTTATCATTGTTGGGACAATTGTTCGCACATAATTGAGATGTGTTGTACATCGCCCCTCTCTCCCGCTCTTCCCCCCTCCGAGAACAAGTGTTTATCGCTTCCGAACCTACAAAACTTACGTAGGCAGTCCGTGCCGTTCACACACATCAGCGCCGAAGTCAAGCTGAACACCGAGCCAAATATCATTTGACTATGACATAGGGGTAATCTAAAAATTTGCGCATGACCGGAATCAGAAAACGTCAAAAGGTTGGGAGTAAGAGACGGAGAAAATGAGATATCAAGATAAGAGAAGAAATGAACTATAGTTGGGAGGAGTTCGGAGATTCATTAGCATGATGAGTTGTACACAGAGACAGCCCCCCGCATGGGTGTGTTTCGGCCGCCAAATGACCAGTGTTACGCAGGGACACACGCATGAAAAGGTTTCATCTTGCATCATTACTTTTCAGATTGACTAGCTAAACGAAATAAGAGAATTCCGGGTAGACGACGACACTGGACGAGTGGTGAGACCCTCCCGGGCACGAAAAATGCAATTGTTTACGATTGGGTGGAAAGAAAAGACAAATGGGAAATGAGCTTGCATCGATGTTGACTCATAGATAAAGGTAATTTGAATCTGATAACGGGCGCGACATTTTTCGAAAATAACAAAGTGGTGGAGGGAAAACAGATATTGTACGGCCATGTTTTCTTGTGTGTGTGTGTGTGTGTGTGTGGTCAGTTCGAAATATTATTTTGGCCGAACAACAACATCGGCTCGTATAGTAAACAAGTCCTCGAATAAGGAGTTGCAACTGATATGGAAGCATTTTTGGTCCAAAAAGATGAAAGCGTGAAAGAGGGGGTTTCCGACAGCGGGATTGAGGTGTCTAATGATAAGTGGCGCCGCTACGCATCCCGTGGGGCACACATGTCGGCCTATTACATCGCTGCCGTGGAACACAGCAAAAAGGAGCACCGCCCTGCGCCTCGCGTTTACAAATTGATTCATAAATCAGTTCGCAATATTTATGTTGCGAGTTTTAATTGAGTGATCTCGATTGCGGGCGGAGAGACGCGAAGGGAGGAGGGACTATGTCCTTTGTGTTTGTACGTCATATGGTGCTTTTGACGGAGAATTGCGGATGAGTTATGAGACCGACAAAGGCACAGCCGGCAGGTTTCGATGCTTTCGTCCGATAGCCTCGAGATAAACGGGAACGAGTAGTTGAAAAGAACAGAATCGGGGAAGGGAGTCGAAACGTTTAAAGTTTCAAACATGAGGATGAATTTCAGAGCCACAGAATCATAAATATTCACGTCTTCCGCTCTTTTCTCGCTCATTTCCGTTTCGTGTCCGTCTTCTCAAAAGTTCACATTAATCACACGTCCTAATCTTAGTTCCCCGTTTCCGAAAAGAAGTCAAAGAAACATGTGTACTCATATATTCTATCTGATGATCAGATTTCAAGAGGATACTTCTCGCCCGTCCCATTTGCAATTGGAATGTGACACAAAATTGTACATGTACGGAAGTGAGCAAGATGGAAAAAGTCCACGCACACTCTGATGGGATGGGAAACATTTGATAATAGTGTGCGAAAATGTCGCAAAAACGCGTCTCGGATGCATTATTTCCAATCATCCCGTGGGGGAGGCGAGCAGCCGAGATGAGGCCCCGTCGAAGGAAATGGAAGTGGGAGAGCTCCGTTTTCAAGTACTACTTCTGAATTGAGCTCGTGCTGTCATCAGCCAAAATGGAATGGAGAAGATGAAGGAAGAAAAAAACACGAAAAAAAGAGGTGGGGGGAGACCGACTGTTGGTAAACGAAAGAAAAGATAATAGGGTTTTTGGGGAGCGAATTTATTGCTACTGGACTGGGCGTCCGTTGTGAAACGAAAAGCAGAAAAGATGCAGGACGACGAAATGCAATAAAGTCGAATGGTTCGGGCACGCTTGGCCGTTCATATTTTTACACATACACATAATGTGCCAAAAATTACTCAATCCTCCTCGTTTTCATGTGATTTCAAAAGTTATTCGAAGGGAAAAGAGGTTTTACGTTTAGCGCGTTAGCTGAATGAATGAATAGGCGTTTGCTACAGCAAACAGATCGTATTCAGGACACAAATTTTGTTTATTTTTTGGTGATAACTGTGTACGGAAGAAGAAGTGGGCCGAGGGAAAACGCGTAAATGGGGAGAACAGGTTGCAACTCGCACTCCCAAAACATTTGTACTGTGAGAACCACAAGGACGCGCACGAGCGCAGGAAATGAATGAAAACAATATGTAAATGTTGAAAGAGGACGAGCTTATTAGGAAGGAATATGTGTGACAGTAAGGTCATCCGCAAAGAAGGGGTTCAGAGGCGCACCGACTGCCATCGGCACCCACACCACCTATAATTATTGCACTTATCGAAATTTGAGATTGGTTGACGGTAATTGGTAAACCATTTCTGTCACCACATGTGGATTTCATTTCGCTCTTCCAAAACATCCGGTCGACCGGGAAGAAGAAAGACTGAATAGGAGAGGGTGTAATGTTGACCCAAAAGATCTCTTTTTCTTCGGATGCTTGTTTTTTGGATAGGTTCACTGTTTCCGGTGTATTGAAATTCTTTAGAAAAAGTGAAAATTGAAAAGGCGGAAAAGCTAAAGAAGAAAAAGAGCAATCTAATCCCATAAAGTTTGAGAATAATATTAATCGTATGGCATTTCTTCTTTTTTAACTTTTCCTTAAATTGAAAAATGTTAAACTTTTTCGCGAAGCCTTCTTAATAAATTTAAATTCAACTAAATAAATTTTAGTTCGGAAAAAAGTGACCGGAAGAAGAAGAAGAATAAGAAGAAAAGTCTATTTTGTTGTCAAGAAAGGCCGTTTGTTCATCTCCAATTCCCTGCGCGCCCTATTCAAAAAACGAGTATAGTTCATGAAAGATTCAGCGAAAAAACTGCAAAGCCATGAAAAGTGAAACGGGAGGGAAAGGAGTCCGAACCATGTACGACTACGTACGTACACGCCTCAGGTAATAATTAGACGAGTCGTCAGTCACAAGAATGCATTAGAAGTACGCTCGAATGAGTGCATTCAGAATAAAACTGATCTCGTCGCCAAATCCGAAAATGAGCCTCGTCGCGCAGAAAAGGCAATCCGAGACGGGAGGCGTTCGACCACCAGGCCAACTTGTCAACTGTCGAGTGGGAGCCCCAATGCGTGTGTGAAAAATCGCGCGCATCTGGCTTTTAGCGGTCAGTGACGCCCGGAACGTGTGAATATGGTACAAGCTGCTGTCTAATGGTTTCGCGTGGGCATGGATTGACACCACCGTCATCCGTGGGCAAGGCGATAAATCATCTCGAGAGTGATTTTGATTAATTTATGAGCTGCTTATGGTGGGAGGATTGGGTCATCACCGGACAGGAAGGAATTTCGAAAAGGATGGGTGTCAAGAAATTTTGATTTCGTATTGGAAAATGTTCACCTGAGGACAGGTGTTCACGTTCACGCCAGATTGAATTGGATTGACAATTGACAGATGGATCATTCGCTTTCTCAATGTCACTTTTTTCACAACCCTTTACAAGAAAAACGTTGACAAAAGACTAGGTCGAAAGCGGGTCGGGTTGGGTTTGGGTTGTCTTAGGCTTAATTCATACATAAATTTCATTTTCCGTCGGGTTCTTTCCTTCCGCTAAATTTTTCTTCACTTCCTCACCCTCTCCCGCCTATGTCGTCAACTTGAAATTGAAACAAAAACCGTTTGTGCGAATAATTTATGCACTTTGGCTGCTAGCTGCTTACCCCTTGCCCTAACAAGCGTGACATATATCCGCTTCACTCCACCAACGAAAGACCGGTCTGAAAATGAAGCGAAAAAGGGAAACAGAAGAGGAGCGGAATCAGAACTATACGATTTCAAGCAGCAAAAGCAAAAAATGCAAGAGGGACTAGAAATTAAAAGCATTTCGGCGGTCGTTTGTTTTGTTTATCCTGCCTCCCGGATGGTTACTAGTACCTATGGCAGTTGGGTGTGAAATGGATTAGCGCGATGGACGGGGAGGGGATATACGGGACTACGGCTGCGGCGGATGTCTGTTGGGGCTTCGCTTCAAAACCAAACAGGGTGGAAATATGTAGAAAGGCATCTTATTCCGAACGTCCACACACCAATTGCTTCCACGTTTTTTTTTCGCCAAAAAACTCAATCATTCTGAACATCATTGTGGCCGGCGCCCACAAGGTCACCCCATTCGATTGTTGGTTTTTCGAATCCTATTCAAATCGTCATAACGGAGGAACGAAGCTATCTAGGTTGTTGCTTCAGTAGAATTCGAGGGACGTTTTGGAGAAGGAAAACAAGAATGGAAATGAAACATTTTTCGAAGGTCTGCATGAGGCTCACATGAAACACGTCAAAAGTTGAATTTTCAATTGGCATGCAACTGCATCTAGGCCCCCTCTCCCTAAATAGAAACAATGAAGAAATGGGATGCTGCCGGAAAGAGACAAAATGGCTGCGCGGTTGGGTTTGGAAACAAGTTATGCTAATCAACTGAGCGATTTCTTCTTGCAGGCTCTGTGGTTTGACTTCTAAAAAAATGATCTGCAAAATATTTGACTCACCTTTAGTAGTTACTTTCAGTGACGCTTTGCTCAGAGAGCTTCCAGCAGAGTTCATTCCAGCACAGACGTACGCGCCCTCATCCACTTGTCGGACGTCTTCGATTGTCAGCGTTCCTATCGGCGAAACCTTCGTCCGTCCGTCGGCAGACACGTAGCTCGGGAACAGAAGGTCCTGTTGTCCTTCCTTGCTCCAAAAGTAAGCGGGACTCGGCTGGCCGACCAGAGCGCACTCAAAAGTAGCCGTGCTTCCAGCTGGAACAGACTGATCTTGCGGTTTCGTCTGGAAGGACGGCGGTGCTTGGACACGAAGATGAGCCGAAGCTTCCAAGGTTCCAGCCGGGTTGCGAGCATAGCAAACGTACTCTCCTTCGTCCGACGGTTGTACTCTGAAAATTTTTTGTTTCATAATATTATATTTATTCAGTGTCTGATGTCGATTGCAGTAACCCGATTTAGGAAATACTGGCTATCCGACCAGATTGTCCTTTGGAAACTTTCCGTCGTTTTATTCATAAAGCGATTATAAATTATGCGAATATCTCCGAAAACACTTATTATATTACGGACGGATGCCTTTGAAGATAAAAAGGAAATCCGGGATCCGGCAACAAGATAATATCTGTTCTCAACTTTCTCCCACTACCTTTCGATCCTCAATCCCCGATTGTCCTTGGCAATGTAGGCGCGCGTCACTGGCATCGGCTCATTTTTCCGTTTCCAAGTGATTTGGGGCTGCGGATCTCCTGTTACTCGGCAGTCGAACAAAACGGCTGCTCCGACGTCGACAGTCATGTCCTTGGGCTCTTGCTGAAAAAAAAAACACATTCATCACCAATTAGTTCTTAATTCAGGAAAGTCCCCCCACCCACCAGGTTGCTATTTTATTCGCCGATCGGCCGCTCATTTTGCAATGAAACTTTGCCAACCTTGAGAGCGATTTAGATTAATTCCCATCGAGTCAATCGTTTTGGAAAATGGAAAAGAAACTTGCCTCAAATTTCGGTTTCTCAAAGACACTCAATCTTGCCGGATTGGAAACTCGTTCGCCGACCATGTTGTTGGCCACACACTGGTAAGTTCCAGAGTCGCTACGATCGACCGGTTCAATGACGAGATTCCCGTCGGCACGAAGGGTATATCGGGGCATGTCTTGGATACGGAGCTCCTTGTCGTCTTTTCGCCAACTGACCACCGGTTCTGGGAAGCCACGAGGTGGACTACACTCCAAAACAGCCATTTCTCCTCCGAGAGCCTGAAAAATGCATTTGAAAAACAGTGAAAGGATTTGGATAGTACCTGAACGGTTCTGGGACGGACGCGGAAGTCTTCTCGAAGCATTGCCAATCGCAGCGATCCCTCATTCGACTTCACTTCTCCGTGCTCGTTGCTGGCAACACAGTAATATGCTCCGGCATCGCTGTCCTTTCCATTCTTTCCGCTATTAACTTTCAACAAAAACAGGGAACCAGTGTCCAGCACTATCCGATGGCTGTTCACCTGTTCTTTGTTAGTGACGACCGGTTGTCCATCCTTGTACCACGTGATCTTGGCCGTCGCCGGCTTTGCTCCGCAGTTCAACGTGGCCGGAGAGCCTCGCGAAACAACGACATCTAATGGGTGTTCCGTGATCACTGGCGCAAGGTTTGAGGAGGTATCTGCAAATAATGTCCCTTTAGTAAGATCTTGAGATATTCTATGTTCCCATTCATTCTATTCATTTTTTTTCCCATATATCACCGCCGCAAATGTGATATTATCCGTCTTGACAGTCTAAATAAGAAAGGAAACGCGTGCCACAGTGCATTAAATCAATCCTGTCAGGCAGGCACGCTCGATTCTATCACATCTGCATTAGGTGATGAAACGAACACCTTTTTTGGTGCGATATGTCCTTGATAGTCGGTAATAAACCTATGGAGACACGATCTTTTCATTAAATTTATGCGATTCCAAACACGTCCAAGATAGGGCATCGCTACGCGTTTATGGAGAGAAAAGTTGCGTAATAAGTGGTCACCATTGACCTCTAACCATTTCTTGTACGGGATAAGGTATCTAAACCCCCTTATTAGCATGACGTGCATGATGTCCCCGATATCAATATTTTAAAGTCAAGAAAGTATTCCGTATAGAAGAAGACACGCTTGTTTTTGGTGGTTTCATCAACACGCTCTCGACAATCGAATGGCTCTCTTCACAATGCACTTAATGAAAATTTCAGCAACGACATGTCGTTCAAGTGTTTCCCGGGACTCTTGTTTACAAGCAAGAAGGGTTGGCTGTTTTGTTCAATTAGAAATTGGCATGTCATGTCGCTTTCCGGAATCGACCACCACCCTTGCACCCAATTAGCCAGTGTGGCCTTTCAACCTAGCGTGTCAAAATGAGAGTAAACTATCCATGAACAAATGCATCGTTGTTTGACGGCCGAGTTAACCTTCACCACGTCCCCCGCTTTCATCAGAATCTATCACAAAATGTTGGCTTGTCAGCACCCAATTTCACAACTCCCCCTTCGGAATTCTTTCGCAACAATGGTGTTGAAAGCTGCTAAAACATGGGCGGGCGCCAACAGCTCATTAATAATCAGCCGATGGCCCCTTGGGCATTCAGACGAAGCAAGCGGCCACAGATCCATCCGCACTCATCCGCAACCAACCTTATGCTAATGATTGACTTTGAAAGATGATGCGCTCAAGTTGGGGAAGGAGTCCGTTGCATATCGAAATAGTTTTGTGTCCCATGAATCACCCCCGTAAGAACAAATGGAGATGGGCGAGGAAGTGGTCACTGACAGCCACAATCTGCTCAATTTGTCACTTTGCAAAATGACTTGACTTGCACACGAGCGGAGACGGGGTGGCCGCTCACTCGCCACTGTTTCTTATTTTCAATTACACATTGACCGCACTCCCGACCGCCTTTGCAAAAAGACGTATTGTTTTAACAGATTAGCATCACAATGACGGGTACTTGAGAACGAATCGTAGGCGACGAAAGAACGTCCCTCTCTCTCTTCCTCATTTGGCAAAAGGGTCCTCATTGTTTTCTCAACATTTCTTTTCTTGGCGGTTCGGACAAGGAGCTTGCGAGCCAAAAGGGCAGATGGCAGCGCCGTCCAAACGATAATCGAATCTTTTTACACTATAGTCAGCAAACGAGCTGAGAACCCACTTTTGGTGTGCATAAATGAAGAGTCATGACTGAGAATCGTTTTCGAGAGAGAGAGGGAGAGAGAGAGAGAGTTGGCTTCTGTCTTTCCGCACACTTAATCTCTTTTCTAATCGGAGTGTGCGACAATAAGGGCGACACTACATATATGGGCCGAAGACTTTGAAACATTAGCCCATCCATTCCCCGAGAAAAAAACGAGTGGTTTTTTCTAGGTTAATGGATTTGCGAATCTGATTTCTACTGCCCGAAATTCGAGCCGCGCTCGGGAGAAAAACCACTTGAGATTTGTTGTTGGAAAGACATACCTTCGCAGAATCCGAGATGTGCTGCAAGCGATACCAGTAGGATGGTGCCTAACTGCGCTCTTCGATTGAACATGCTCTTCAGTTATTCAATCGTGTCCGATTTCGAAGACTGCATCTATTTGTGGTGGTGTTCGACTTTCCGATTGAGATACACCTGCAAATTAAAGTAATCAAATCAGAAATGAATCCGTAAAAAGTTTGGAATCGAATAAAATGACAGGCAGAGAGGGAGGGCAAAAAAGAAAGCGTGGCCTGGGTGTAATCATTCATCTTTGCAAGGGTGACACTGGAGAATAGATTTGGGAGGAAAGAAGGAAAACGAGAAGAGACAAAATGGGCAAAGTAATTGAAAAGTTGACGAGCGTCGTCGTTTTCAAGACACGTCCAAGACGAATTGCTACGTTTTTTTCGGAGTGCGTGCGATTCGGACGGAAGCTGGCCTAAAAGTGGACCGGAGGCTCTTGCGATGAACAAATTTGGACCTTTACGCAAAGAGAAGAGGGACAAAAAATGCACGGAAGGAAAACGCATTCAGAAAAAAAAAACGAGGACGCAAAGTCAAAGTTAGGCGGGAAACGGAGTGTGGTGGTTGAAGATGACGCGCAGAAGGAGGGGGCTGAAGATAGAGAGGATGAAAGGACATGAACGAGTTACATATTCTTCTCTCACGTAAGATTTTGCCTCCTTATGGATGCAAAGAATCCATTTGCTAATTCATCCTACTTGGTTGTTGAAATGAAGAAGCGAAAATGACGAAAAATGGGGAGAACACATTAAAATTGTAATTGTTCCAACGTCTCGACGGCATTTCGTGCCGATAGTGCGTGTGCACTTTCGTAAACTCGCCATAAATGACGACAATTAGAATTGGTGCGGCGAGGGCGAGAAAGACGGCAGGGAACGAGACGCAGGCAGCGAGAGAACGGCGTGTTTGCCCTGATATTACTCCTCAAGGTGTTCACGTTGGGCGTGTTCTGCCAGATCCAGACAACTATTGGATATTTCCTCTCCAATAACTACAGCTATTTGTCAATTCGCAAACTCTGATGGCTAATGCGGATCCGGCTGCGGCGGCGGGCCCCATTTGATGAGGTCGTCATAGAGCTCATAATTGTCATATAAATATGCTTCGAGCAACGAAGACGGATGCGTGTTATGAAGCAGCAGCTCGGTGGAACGGAACGCGGGCAAAAGAAATAAGGGGTACAGGGGTCTATATACGCTGCGGTTAAGTAATTATTCCAATTCGTGACCAACCCTCCGCGCTCTGTTTCTGCACAGCTACCCGTTCATTAGGTCCATTGTGGACCAAGCCCTGGCCACGAACCCAACACAGAGGGGCACCCACAACCCGGCATACAACATCTGTCGTGTTTGTGTGTGTATACGTTGTCAATGAGCAATAGTTACACTTGTAGTGAGACTAATAAAACTAGTGAAGAGGTGGATCTCCCTTCCCGTCTTTCGAAACGACCCGGGCGCTAACCATTCGAGATCCGAGCGGTTCTGCGGGTGGTTGCCGGAAGCGACCATAAAATCAGGAATCCAATATAAATGTCTGCAGAGGTGTCAGAGAAGAAAGACAAGGGCTAAGCTAGTCAATAAACGTTATGACACTTTACAAAGTGCATTCATTCTTTCTATAAAAAGGGATCACTTATCTTCCGCCGCAGACGAGGAAGAAGAAAAGGGAAGAAGTGACACGGCACAAAATTTCATTCAAAATAAAGCTGTCTGGTTATCCAGTCCCAAAAAAAAAGTGTGATGAGAATGAGAAAATCGGGGCATCGACCGGCAACCAACGGATGCCCTCTCCGAATTACGTCGTCTTGGGGCCTTGTGGTCCGCCGCAATCCGTCTGGGGCCACCTGCTCAGACTGGACGGGTCGGATGGTGTGAAAAACGAGCGGAATGAGAGAAGGAGAAGGAGAAGGAGGGGAGGACGGGCAAAAGCAGGGCGCAATTGTGCGCCAAATGATTTCGTGCCAGATGGATGGCGGGCAAGTGCTCAGGGGCGAAAGGTTATGCATATCGTCAATTATTGACTTTCTTCGATCCAGATGCACTTGAAACACGAAAAAGGTGCGTGAGAGCGAGACGGAGACAAATAAGACAGAACAGACAAAAAATGATCGTTGTATGTTTTTTAAACTCGAAAAAAACTGAAATTTAATCCTCTGGCACGTACGCGTAAAAACAAAAATATTTCTAGATACACTTGAGTGAGTTGAGCGAAAAAAAAATTCATCTAAAATTTGAATACAAGTTTCTCGGAGAAGCGGCGACGGATCAAAAGATGCACTGGCGTATCAAAATGAGCTGGAAAACACATGTCCGGAGACAGAAGAGAAAGCAAGAGGAGGTCCCGAATTTTATTATTTTTGCGCCAATTTTTTTTCTGTTCTCCGTTTCTACTCTGTCGTCGGTAAAAGACAGATGAGAAGCGGAAAATGAAGTTTATATGAAAAGCGTATGACTTGCCGTGCATAATGAATCTGTTTTTAGAGCAATATGGGCAGGCAACAAGAAAGGGAAACTCCTAGGAAGATGCGGAAATGCGGTGCGGCCTCTCAATAAATGAATACGAAATTGGGGGCTCTCAAATTGAAGCGGCGGAAAGAGGTTTCCGAACTGAGAAGTGGGAGGGGGGCATGGAACGGACGGGGAGAGGTCCTCCGCGCGGAGCTGCTGCTGCCGCCATCCGCAAAATTGGTTTACCTTCAAATAGAATTATGAGTAACAGCTACTGACGACGGAAACGGGTACGACAAGAAGGAGGAGGACAAAGCAGATGACAGCGTGATGTACTACTTCTTCAGAACAAATTTGTTACGGAGCTGAGCGTATCTTCTGGGCGGTGGTGGGGGTGAGAAACGGGTCCATTGTCTATAGTACATCTTTCTCTTCTTCTTCTTCTTCCGCGTACGTAAAAGCAGTCACACGGAGGGCAAGAAAGTAGCAGAAAAAAGAAGGAAAGACGAGAATACATACGAGGATGAATGATACTTGCTGAGCGTGGTTAATAGCCCTCTGGGCTGTTGCCATACATATACACTTGGTGCTCATCTTTAAGCAAAACGAGCAACAAAAAAGTCTTAGCCAGCCGGAAACAACTCCTCGCCTTTTTAGTTAGGTTTGTCGGAGAGGGGAGGGGGGAGAAGCTGAAGATTCTTTGAGAGAATATAGGTCTTTAGTCAAAAGAAAAGAGAAGACTCCAGTCCACTCTTACGGAAAACAATTTCCTATTTTTCCCGTTGCAGTTCATAACGAAAAGCCTCAAGAAGAAAGAGAAGAAGGGAAGACGCGCAAGGAAGGTGGTCAAACGCGAGAAACGAGTGAGCCAGCGCGAAAACAAAAGTATTTTTTTTCAGGTTTTCCAAAAATTTTCATAAACTAATTCTCGTCTACCGCCCACTATTTGCCATGAGAATATCTAAAAGAGACGACAGACGAAATGAAAGAGAAAGAGTAGTGGATTTTCCATGAAATCGGGTAATCGCTAATGGAGACTGGCGCGTTGAGAACGGAACGCTAAAAGGTTTTCGATGCAGCAGTGTGTCTTCTTCATTTGATTGGGCCTCGACGAAAGAGGTCATACACAGCTGACTGAGGCCACACGGCATCGCGTTTTCTGACATTTTCATTCAGTCTCGCGCACCAAAATCGTAAAATTGTCAGTGAGAAGAAGGAGGAAAATGTGAAGACAGCTCGAAAATGGGAGATGGGGCGCAAGCAGTGGCGGCAAAAGGCGACGGGAACAAAACAGAAATGAGACGGAGAGGCCCCGAACACACTACTTACTCGCTTAAGCCCATGCTGAGAATGGCATTTTCTCAGCAAATGAGTCAAGGACAACGGAATGCAATGCGAAACTATGTACTTCTCTTTCTTTCTCTTTCCAAAGTTGGTGTTCTCAGAAAGTGAATCGGTTGGGTGACATAAGGGGGCCATCGACGGAAGGAAGAGATGCTAACGAGCGATAAACGAATTTTGTGCGTCAAGGAGAGACCCGGGGACACTGTGTAAACCGTCGACACACAGGCAGATGGCCGAACGAATTGGAGCAAAGGGTGACGACGCTATTCATCATGTTTTTGAGGACAATGGCGAGGAAATCCTTGCTTTTCTTCACGGTTTATGTCTGGGGGATTTTTCGCTGCTAACACTTAAGAAAAGCCTATTTTTGGACGTGTCTTTGACGATACTACCCTCTGCGAGAACGGATGTTTTCGAAAATCGGTTGGATTGCTCAAAAAGTGCGTTCGAACGGCTAAGAAGAAGCGTACAAAAAGGGGGAAATGGAATATGAGCCTATTCATGACAAAGCACGCTGAATTGAATAGGGAATCACTCAAAACAATGACGAAATGTGTGAGAGCGGTGCGCGCGACAATTCAATGAATAGGTTTTGTGCAAAAAAGCAATAGCGAACGGTAATACACAACAATCAGTTGTGCGCAAGGGCAGACCACACGGGCGAGAGAGTGAGAGGCGAGCGGAGGGTGCAGGGGTGGTGGACACAAACCGACGGGTAGGCCAATTGGTGTGCGCACGGGAGGTAGGCGAGCGAAGTAACTAGCGCTCGATTGCGCAGAGTCGAACACACGCAAGGTCGGCGGCATCGCTCGAAAAGTGACCCTTGGTGTGTGTGTGTGTGTGTTCCGCGTTTCTCTAATCCTCCCTCCGCCGTCTCCCGCCCGGCCTATTATCATTGATCTGATGCACCACCAGCAGCCAAGACTTCTAAGTGGCCGATGATAGAGCGATGTCCGACCGGAATGCTAAAGTCATGGATCATAGCACTTGGAAACTTTTATTGTTTGGATGCTTACCCGGTTTGGCAGCGTGGGTGGTGATGTGGAAATAGTTCAAATTGGGTGCTAAAACGAAGAGCGTCTTGTTGGGCAAACATGATAGGGAAGTTAGTGCTGAACGGCAGAGTGGTCCTAAATGCACGGGAAACGCGATACTTTTGCCATTCAACAGAGTGTCGGGGAACATGTAACAGCATTCGATTCGACTCTTCTGAGCTGACCAAACATTTTGAAGGCTTGGATATTATTCAATTTTTCAGAGTGCTTTCTCAACGACAAAAATGTAAAATTGATAACAGTGAAGCGCAAAACAGAACAACAAAATGAATACAATTGTACAAACAGTGAGCGTTCTGAAGAAACAACCGAGAGCGGGCCGAGCCAGATACGATAGATGGTATCTTGATTCGATAGTAGCCATCATCGATTGCGAAACACACTTACCTGCTAGCAAGACTGCCGGAGGTCTTCTTTTTGCCTCATACTCACCGTCGATTTACGTGTGAAAGAAGTCGTTAGCGTCTGAGTGATGGATAACGGGCGACAGAGGAAGGTGTGATAGAGAAAACCCACGGGAGAAACCGCTTAAATGGCAGATAAAGTTGTTCATTTTGGTGGTCAGACTTTCGGATTTGAATTTCGGTCTTATGATCTGATTATTTTTTGTTATTCCCAATACGGAACGAGTTATAAGCCCCCTACTCCAATTTCTCAGGTGACTATGTATACTTCCTCCTGTCAACAACTCGAAGAAATCTCAAAGAAGCAATCTTTCAACGGAATATGAGTACGACTGGAATATTGGGCATTTCCGGCAAAAATGACTTTCCTATATATTTTGAAGCTAATAAGGAAAATGGAGAGAACAGCACGGCGGAAACGAGAAAGCTGTCTATGAGCTTTGATGGAAGTGCGCACAGCGGAATAGGATAGGGGAATGAATGACAAAGTGTGTGTGTATGTGTGTGGATATGTGTGTGTGTGTGTGGATATTGGGCCTAACAAGTTTGGTTTTGTTCTTTGATAATTGGAAATTAAACGGAAAAGGAAAAGGAGAGTTCTAATTCTAATGCGTTCGCTGAACAAAGAATCTAGATTTCAATTTGATTAATGAGGAAAATCTGAGGAAAGTTCCGGAAGCGCATCCTGAAAGTTGTAAGCAGATCCACTTTTCCTTCCTCAAACGTTGTCATCGAATACACGAGAATGCTCAATGAGTCGGCATGTGCCGAAATATTTGTGTAGAAATGAGCAAATGACACAAAGCTTGTTGCGGGAGAGCAACCGAGCCATACACATACAAATTTATAAGCTCTCGGCCACCAAGTTCTTTTTGTAATTTTTTCTTGCGGCCGTCACACCACACCTGGCCTGATTTTTTCTGAGCCGCATTGACGATCGGAAAACAAAAAATGCAGGTGAACAATGCGGCTCCAGGCTGCTGCGGTTTTTGATGATCAGTGTATATCCAACAGACGGCGGGATGACTTTTTTGTTTGTTTTGATTAGTCGCGAGATCTGAGCCAACAAAAAATAACCGGAAAGTGTGGGAGGTTGTTCAGGCGGATATCGCATTTTTGACATGGGTGATAGGCGACGAGATTCCCATGATGTGACCATGTTCCCAGAGTTGTTATTTCTCAGCAATATCACATTTTGAGTTGAGTGTCCGAGAATGATCGTTGTTCTTGTGATACCTTTCTCATGGCTAGTTCAAAGGAGACGTTCTGAATGGAATTGGAATTTTTATTGGTGTCGTTTAGGAGATCGATCCGATAGATTACTATGGCTTTTAAATGTTTTCGTTATGTGAGAAGAAGTTCGCACAAAATTTTGGACACTCGTCAGACACCATTTGGGAATCCGGTATTGGCCAGCGATTGGCGAATAAAACAATCCACGTGACAGTTGCTTATAATTGGAGTTATTAGGAGAGAAAGGAAATCAACAAGCTAGTAGGAACGTTATTATACAAAAACGCTCAATTAAAATGAATGACATTCCTTCAGATTCTCGACGCTAAAACCAATAAACCACCGACTTCTGGATTCTATAGCAATCAGAATTCGGCGAAGCCTTGTGATCAGGTACAAAATGTGTACTTTTTTGACTCATTCCTTCTGGAAACGTTCATCTCCCCAAATCCCTTATCTTCCTCCCGAAGCCAGCACTAATCAGCGCTCATCTTCGGAATCCTTGACGGAAAACAGTTCCGTTTGTTTTTTTTCGTAACCGTCTGCCTGTGTTTGTTATCGGAGGTGCAAAGAAACGATTAGGAATGAAAGCGAAAGCTATATGCAGTAATTAGACAGAACCGATCCGATTGTGTTGGCAGGGAAGTACAAACATCGAACAACTATTCGGTGTAATTGAATTCTACTTTTCATTTCCGAATTGATTGAATCAAGAGTTCAGAGAAAGTACGGAACCTCGTAGGAAAATTAGGACATGTTTTGTCACAGATCTTTTCTAAAAAGATTAGAAATAGAGAAAGTTAGAGACAGTTAACCACCTGAAAATTGGAAAAATGACTCCAACTTAGAAGTGTCTCTTTATACTGAATTCCGGAGAGTTGAATCTGTGAAAACAGCGAGAGACACTGTTGCATTTTTCATATTCCATGTCCCTGATCTCCATTTTGTAAAGAATATTCAAAAACTTGACCTGCGCTATTGGGCACTTGACCAAGCAGATGCAGCTTCTCATCCTCTTTTGCCTAAATGTTTCTTTTCTTCACTTTCATCCTCGATTAAGTCTTTTTGAAGTACAGATGTCCGTTTCAACTGTATCCGCAACACTTTCTATCCACTCGTAGTGCTTCAAAATTGGCCAAAACTAAAGTATACACATTGAGAAATCATTTCGGACTTTGGGATTTGAGGATGAGAAGGAGGAACATCGCTGAGTAGAAGGGAGGGGGGGTGATCTTGGCGGAAAGAAGAAGGGGCGGGCGGGAACGGACGGAGAAGAAGGCAGCCGCCCGGACAAATTCATAAAAACGCGCTGAAATTAGTGAAAACCGGGAAAGGGTGGGGGAGGTGCTTGCATCGCAGGTCGTATAAAAGACGCGTGAGCAGTAGTTTTGCCAATTCTGTTGTTTGGAGTGGCTTCTCGTCGTCGTACGGTCTCCGGCCTCATTCCTCCGTCGCTTGCCCTCCGTCAGCCAGGATTTAACACCGTAATCCAACAATTATACGGTGTCCAATCTCTACATTCCACTTCATTCTTGTTTCGCTTTGACCACAATTCATGTTTCTCCCCTTCAACTTTGTTTTACAGCCAGCCGATTCGGTTGAAATCCAAGCTAGTATAGCCACAAACTGTTTTATTTCTTTCCCTTTTTCTTCCTACCAACTTTACCTAAATGAATGTTATTTTCAGATGAAATTACTCAACGTGTGTTTATGTCTTCTATTCGGTTCCATCTCTGCGGATATCTATCACGATGGTGGCTCGTGTGGAACGAGTTCGATACCGTACAAAATGGAAGTTGATAGCGAAGGAAAACCAGGTCAGTCAAATACCTTTTCGATTCTTAGATTCGTTTTCAAAGTTTTTTTATTCCAGTTATTTCCTGTGAAGCTCCAGCCTGTTTTGGTGTATCCCAATCGTCATCAAACCGTCGCCCAAGAGAAGTGTCTGTGGTGAGTTTATTCGAACAAGAAAGCGCTGTAAACTTTATACAATAGGCGAAATTGTCACTTTCCGGACAGCTGTATTTTCTGTTGTATTCGGAAAGAACAACAATAGAGGGTTCGAGAAAGTGAGATGAGGGTCAGACGGTCATTTAGAAAAGCAATGGAACTAGTGGTCAATGATCCAATAGAAATGTTGAAAAACTGTAGACGAATGAGCTAATTATCTGACGGTTTGACTGACAGCAAAGGTTAGGTCACTGTGGAACGACGTCTCAGGTGTTTTTCTGTTCATTTGCACGCTGAATCGGAATAGTTTCTAGTTTGAACTAACTTCGTCGCATTACTGTATTTTATAGGCAATGAGAAAGATCTTTGAGATTTGAGTTACCCCAATTAGGAGTTCGGTCATTTTCCAATTCAACGTTGCTTTTCCGATCTTTTTCGCTCTTCCGTCCTCATCCAATTATCAGCATCGAGAGTAGCATAAATGAATGGAGGTCATTAACTGACGCCTACGTTCAAAAGTACACCGAACCGGATATTCGGGATGTGGTTCTTGACCAAAAAGCACAAAACCGGATCGGCAAACCAATTGAGTTCTTGCGTATGATTTGTGGCAATCCGGCTGTTTTCTCAGAGAATAATAGCAAAGGCGGTTCATGTGATTTCGAGATTTCAGAGTTGTGATCCATTCAAAGAAGTCGTTTGCGTCGATGAACTTCAATGGACCTCTGGTCTTGTGGAAATCAATAACGGAACACATAGAACGTACTGTGCATTCCACAAGACTGATTGAAATTTTAAAATTTCAGATTGAAAACGGAATGTTGCTCGTATGAAGCAATGGCTTCTGCTCAAAGTGTCAAGAGCATTTTCCTTGGCCCCGGACAGTCTTATGTTGGAGGCCTTGTCGAGAAAAACGGAGAACGATCCGGATTCGACCTTATCAAGGAGATCAGAAAAACTGTGAACGCTGACAACCAGTGAGTAGCCAAAAATGTTTAATGCAACTAACATAAATCTTTTTTTCAGAGTTCAATACATAGTTGGAGTTTACCGCATGCCTTGCATCGCACCTTCTGACTCGAGTAACTTAAAATGTCGCTTTTCTTCTTTTAATTACTAATTTTAGGCGAGGAAAGATTGCCTGTGCTTTCTAGAAACAAGAGAAAGCTTCGCGACAGAGTTGGAAAGTACGACGATTACGAAGAGGACAGACACTTCAGAAGAAGACGTCCGTACGCCATGAGAAGACGTACTCTTCTGCAGAGACTCGAGGACTACTACGACGACTACGACTACGATTTCAGAGTCATGAGACGACCATTCAGAAAGTAAAAGCTGACCGTCTCCGGCAAAATCTATCGGTTTGCTTTTCCAGAAGCCGTTTGCCGTACAACGAAAATGCATTGTGGCCTCTTCAGTACTCCGCTCCACAACGCCCACGCGCTTATGCGGAGAACACGTTCCAGGACAAGTCAGGTGTGTTAACGACAATGCAAGACGGATCCGCGGCTCTTTCTAACTATGGTGAATCTTCAGTGGAATCCGGACCACTGCCACCGCCGCCCAGCTCCAACTACATCGACGTGAGTTTCCAGACTAACAATCTAACATCGACCTAACCTTCACTAACTTTCTAGTCACAAAACGTTGCGCCGGCGTCGCCCATCGTTCAGTCTCCGGCTTACCCACAGCCACCACAGATGCCTCAACCTCCGCCAAGTGATTCATACACCGGAAACTATCAAAACTCATATGCGACATATAACGCATATCCGACGGACCCAGGCAGTCAGTACAGTGGATATCCGGCTCAGCAGCAAGTCGTCTATCAGCCTTCCCCACCGGCTTATCCAGCGTATCAACCTTCTTACTCAGGCTATACGGTACATCCGAGTAACTCTATTTCATTCACTACTAACATTTTTAGCCAAACTTGAACGGTGTCTTCACTCGGCTTCCATTCCAATGTTTTTCTGGCGATATGGAAGTGGAAACCGAGGAGGGAATCAAGCTGATCAAGGATCTGAAAGTCGGCGACAAAGTTCTCAGCATGGACGAAGCCTTCGTGACCTACTCACCAGTCATCATGTTCCTCCATAAACGCGACGAGGAGAGGGCCGAATTCAATCTCATCGAAACTTCGAACGGACATTCCATCAAACTGACCGACAATCATCTCATCTACGTCTCTGATTGCAATGCCAAAGCGGATTTGAAGTGAGAAAGAGAAAACATGAACATCGAAAGATCGGAACGAGACAATCATTTTCATTTTGCAGATTGGTCGCTGCGAAAGACGTGAAAGTGAACAATTGCATTCACGTGACCACCGAGAAGAACGTCGTCGTCAAGAAAAAAGTTTCTAATATCAGCAAGGTCGCTGGAACCGGCATCTACTCTCCGCTCACCTCTACTGGAGACATCATCGTGAACAAGGTCCTGGCTTCTTGCCACTCCAACCTGGCACTTAAATCACTTCAACAAACGTTCTTCTCCTTGTACAAGCGGACCTCGAGCGTTGTCAGCAACTTCACTTTCTTCAAGAGCTATACGGAAGAGGGACATTTGCCGTTCGGAGTGGAGACTCTCACGAGTGTTATGGACTTGTTCATTCCGCAATCGTTTGTCTAGCCGTTTTTAATAAGCTAATATTTCTAATAATTGTTATCATAATAATTTATTGCTTCTTTCTCATCTATGCGGTTACTTTGTGCAATTGGTTGCAGCTTCTCTCTTTTCTGTCGCGCTGCCATCTCTTCTTTAAAAAATAAACGTTTTTTACATGCATTTTTTTCAGCTGTACTCATGTACAAAGTTCAACTTTTCTCATGGAAATGCCACGTTTTCGTAACATCGACACGTTGAATGAAATCTGAGCAGGTCGAGTGTTTGAAAAGAACTGACCAAGTGTTACAAAACATGTCTTTCATTTTGTGTCGGACGAAAGATGAAATAGTCAGGTTATTCTATATCTTCTTGCCTCTCGGAGCGGGCCGCAGTACCCGTTTTAGTGCACTCGTAGATTCGGTCTCGTTGACCTCTTGTCATTTGGTCCCTGCCGGATGACTGACGGACCGAGTGTGATGCCATCCGACGACAAATCTTTTCTGTTTGTTATTCTGCTCCATCAATTTATTTCTAGAACAAGTTGTGAAGAGAAGAATGATAAGAGAGAGAAGTTGACAGGAATTGGGACGGGTCCAACTGATACCCCCCCCCCTCTTGTGACGCTGTTTTTCCTGCCACCTGGTATTTTCTTTTTAAAAAAACCTCAAAGCAAAACCCGAAAATGCTCTGAGTAAATTGAGTTTTGCATAAATGTCTAGTATGCCGTACTCGACGCACGCGGATTTGCGATCAGTTCCGCAGGTTTTCACGAAACTACGAGCAAACAAACTAGTGAATGATAAATGCACGTTTCGATGATCTTTTGCCCGCGATTTCAATACAAATTTCTTCGCTTGAGCCGGGGCCCGGCCACGAGTTGTTACATATCTCTTTTCGAGATGACATCAGAGCAGAACACGGCTCTTGTACGTGTATCCAGCCGACACACGAAATTGAGAAGTTTCCGGATTCCTGGGAAATGACTAGGATGTACAAGAGAATCTCCTTTCGTCTCATGTATCGCCCATTTTTCCGCAGAATGGTCTCTTTTCTGAACGTTTTGAGCTCTTTGACGTATCATGCTCGTTTCTGACCGGGCTTAACTCTTCTTCTACCAGTCGGGCTTTGTTGCAAAAACTGAGATAGGGATTAACTATATAAGTATTCTAGTCGGACTAAAATGCTCGTTTCACCAAAATAGCTTTCGAAAAAATGAGTTATGACTGGTTGGTGTTCTTGGTGACCTTTTTCTTTCTCATCTTTCCTTTTCTTCAGTAGTTTGCATCATTTTTTTTCATTTCTTTGTCAAACTCTCCACCTGTTTTCTTCAAAAAAATCTGTTCCGGTTATGAATCAGAAGAACGGACCACCAGGTGCTAGCATTAATCATCGAATGCCAATGTGTCATGGCACGCATACAAACCCCGACGATAGATCCAAGATGTCAGAACACGCCAACTGACGTTCGGGTTGAGGAAGAAAGAGACCTTCGCGAGTGTGCGGAGAGAGTCGGGAGCGTCTACGCCATTTTCTCCGATTTGCAGGTGTCAACCGCAGATTTATCAAATCGGAATGTTGTTTCGACTCGTTTCCTCAAAGTTCTAATGTTCATCTTTTTGTGTCCGTTGACACTCACTTAATTACAATGTTTTTCCGATTGTTTCTCTGAGAAAATCACATAAATCAGCCTGCAATTGCGTCCATCAATTGGGTTTGCAAGAATTTTCAAAAATCCGCGGATTTATACAACTCAAATTTTTTTAAACGGAAGTTCGGAGGATACAATTGAAACCAGTCCTCATTATTCAACCCATTGTTGTTTTCGGGTCGCTCCAAAGACCCGTGTAATCTCCAAATCTTCTTTCGCTCTCATTGCCGCAACTCGTGTAATTTCACTTGTTTACCACTGGTTCCGATGATTTATTCAACAGAGTTTCAGCATGGGTACGGCTCAGCAATGTAGCCCGAGCGATCCCTACTTTTTCGGAGAAGCCTACACCACATGCAACAACAGAATGCATGTCACCGTGAGTTTTTTTTTCAGTTCTGGAACCTTTAGGAGTTTCATGGACGTTCAGGTTGCCGCCCGAATTATTCTTGCCGTGGAAATCTTTCTGCTGTTCATCACAGTTGTCATAGTTCCCCTAACTATCGGATTCTTCGACACAATCTCTCTGTTTCAAGTCCTGGTTATGGGATCCATCTGGATGATGGCTGTTGTTGCCTTGGCAAGACATAGGCACACTTTGCTTTGGCCTATTATTATTCTCAAAGTGAGTTTTTTTTTCAAGTTCAAGTTTCGAAATCTTCATGAAATATTTATTCAGATCTGTGAAATAATCCTCGGAGTGTTCCTGATAGTCATTGTCGCACTGCTAGCTGTGGTTAGGAGACGTGTCCTTCTCCGTCTCATGCAATGGAGGATAACGACAATAGATCGTAAGAACCACGTAAAGAAACCATCAACATTAACTTTTTTTCAATTCCAGATTCCAACCAAGGAATTCACATTGTCGGGTTATTGCTTTTCATGCTTGTTCAGATTGTGTACAACACAATTGCAGTCCAAACGCTGTGGGACGTGTTTGAATATCTTCGACAACGAACAATATTTCTCTACAATCAGGAGCGCTCACAAGTTCATCAGTATTTCTTGTGAAACATCTTGCCGTCTTAGATTTTGCTTTGCTTTTGATAACTTATTCCCTACCAATCTCATATGATCTTGCAAATGTCAAAACGATGATCAACTAGTTATATTTATTGCCATTTTTCCCAACTCCTCGGGCCAACTTCATATTGTGATGTGTTTCATGTGATCTTTAGGAATATAAGTTCTGACGAATCATTCTGCCTAGTTTCCAAACCCAGTAGCTTTCTTGTGACCTTTAAACTTGAAAAGTCCAAAGAATTGAATAAATTTGTCTTTGTCATTAGCGCTCAAGGCATACAAAATACGAAAAGTTCAAAGTTAACGGTGCCCTTTTCGAGTGGTAGGCGTAAATTAAAAAATGTCGGCTTTCGGCTATAAAAAGGTCAGACGGCCTCAGATGTAGGTCCCCAGCGCACGTGCAGCCAAAGATCACAGAATTTTCACGATGTATTGTATTTTTTGGAAATGTTTGATAACATTGACAAATTACATGTAGAACGAACTTCCCAATTACTCATAGGGAGTGGCAACAGATATTGTCTCCCAACTGCTTTTCTGGCGCATTCGATGTTGTCTGCCTGCTCCCAACTGTCACTTCGAATTATCTCTTTTCTCGTTTCGTGTCGTTCAAAGAACCCCGGGGTAACAAGGCCACGCAATAGACTTTAATGTATAAAAATTGCGGTCGCGTATGAATGAAAATAGAATTTTCTCTTTTCCTCCTCCCCCGTGCCCAGTTTTCCTCGAATAACAGCCGTTGCTAGTGTCGGGTTACGTGTAGAAACACTTTTTGCAAGGCGGAGGAGGAAAACAAAACCTTTGAAGATGATTCCGTTATGCTCTGTTTTTTCCTGCCGCCAACCGTCAACAGTAGTAGTCCGGCAAAAATATTTTCAGAGGAAAAGTAGCGGCAGGAGAAAAACGACAATTGAATTTGAAAACCTTAAACTATTGGCGCTCAACAGGGAACAAAAATATGCAGACGAAGTTAACTTGTGGCGCTTTCCTAAAGCCTCAAACTGAATTTATTCACACCAAACAACATCTCCAACCGATTTTTGTTAGTTTCTTTCAGTCAGTCGTTTTTTTTTCTGATTTTGAAGGTTGCGTCATTCAGAATAAGAAGAGAAATTGTTTGGAAGGTTGCGTCAAAAGAAAAACGATAATACGATTATCTTTACTAACACAAGAGGATATTATTTTCTTACCAAAACGGCCTTCTCACATACATTTCTGGACGGTTCCGCCCCTCTACTTTACCATACTACACAAAGTTTTGAAAAGGAAAACGTTTTTTGATGGTTTTTATTATTTTTGATATCATAACCTATGAGAAAGGACGACACCAAACAAGTTTTGTCCGTCACGACCGCAGTTGATATGCCATTTGAGACGGCGCCATGTGGGGAACACGTTCACGTTCCCCTTCGAGATTTCCAATCTGTCCGGTAACTTTTTCGTGTTTATTTGCAAAGCAGCTTACCTTGTCGCGCACTTGACGGTATCTATATCACAAACAGTGTCGTCTCGGGACCCCTCCCTTGCCTTTTTTCCCTATTTTTTTGAAGGACAGATCATTGACTTCTTCTCTATCCAAACAATGTTCTTGTTGTTTATATTTCGTCGTCAAATTTTTGAGTGTCAGCCAGTCTGACTTTTTCTCTTAAAGTTCTGGTTTAAAATTGAGGCGGAAAAGCTCATAAAATCATTTGATTGTGGTGTGCATGCACAAACATTTTTTGAATAATAAACTCGCTGATAAGACTCAAAATTGCCGAAAATAAGATTGAGCTCCTCCGTTTTACTGATAAATTGCGTTTTTTGGGCCTTGTGACCGAAACATTGATATAAAACATTGCATTACTTCCTCGTCTTTTTTTCGTCCGTACTTTCTCGAGCATCCTTGTGTCCCACTTCTCCAGTGGAATCTCAATAGAAAGAAAAAATGAGAGCACCAGAATTATAAAGTGTGAGTTGTAAATCATTTTATTTCACAACGCGCTAAACCTCGGGCGCTCTGAAGTTTTCCGGAAAATGCTTTCCCCTTTCGACAGCTGTTTGTCATACTTCCAAAATTATGAGGCATCGTCGTTTGGTAGGTGCCGACGCATCACTTGTCACTGAAGAGACGTAACGTGTTTGACAACAGGTAGCAATTGGTCTCACCTTAGCTTTTCGATCATCACTCGTGTTCCGCACTCCTTCAGTTATCTTCTGGAGGCTGGCATTCACTTTTAGCTTACTAATATAGGCGATGACCGCATTGAAATGCATGACATAGGGAGACGGCAATTATCTTTTCTTCGTTTCCTATGCACTTTTTCTAAGATCTGCCTCATTCAGTTTCCGGGTTACCCTTTCTGTTTTCCAATCAAAAAATAAGAGCAAAGACTTGAAAATCACATTAGACAAGAGTAAGTGTGTCTATGTCCAGAATCAAAATCTAGATTATTTTTTCCACCGTACTACATTCGTCTCCCAAGTTTTTTCGGTCAACCTTGTCCTGTCACTTTCTTTTCTCGTCAATTTCGAACCACCGCAAGCCTATAATCATCTTTTCACTCAAAAAAAGTTGCGAAACTGCCACGTACTGTCACAAATTAAAACTTTGCGTTTTTGAAAAGGCCGTCAAATTATGTTTGAAAAATGACACGCCTCTCATGGCAATTTTATTTTAAAACATTTGAACTGTATAGCGCAGTAAATAAACAAAAACGTTTGCGCGACTTTTTTGCGGCAAAGATTCACATAATATACGTGAGTGTATTTATCCTTCAATAAACTATAAAGCAAATATCTGGGGTAGTTAAAGCAAATTGTATTCATTCACTTTCCTTCTGCACCACAGACATATTTGCTTTCCGTCATATCTCTTCTTATCAAAAATATCTCTCTTCTTCCTATTTCATTTCTGTTTTGACGAAACGCACTTTTTCTTTCTCTCTCTCTTTTTCTTTCCTTCTTCTTTCCATCGAGTAGAATTATATCTTCTCTTCTTAATGTCCTCTAAACATTTGCAGTAATTTGTGTGTCATTTTGATTTCATCAAAAACCGTTTCAAACCGCAGATAATGCCGCCAGACACAGGAATTACTAAAGAAATTGTGAGACATTGTGTTTCCATCTTTCATTTCGTTTTCGAGAATGTGCATGTTGATCCACCGATAGCTCCCTCTTCATTATTTTTTGTTGTGCAGACAAACATTTCTTTTCGTCTAGCAGCTAATGAAGGAGATGTGACCGAAACGGCGTATCTTCTTTTTCTTACTTTCGAGTCGGAATAATAGTCAAACATTTACATATTCATTGCGTTTCGGTTTGCATGAATGTCTTACGTATACCTTTTTGTCGTTATTTCCAGAAAAGACATCTCTCTGTTGTTCCCTGTTTTCTTTTTTCATTTGCTACTCACTTCTAATGTGTATTTTTCAGATGGTGTCCTGGTTAAGAAAGAACTTGCTCCTGGTGATGACGGTTGGGTCCGTCGTCCTGGGAGCCGTGCTCGGATTTGTTTTTCGAAGCCTCGAACTGTCTCCGCAGGTTTCAGAAATCATCAAATTTTAAACCCCGTAGAGTTTCAGAATATAATGTATATCAGCTTCCCCGGAGAACTGCTTATGCACATGCTCAAAATGATGATCCTGCCTCTTATTATGAGCTCGCTTATTTCTGGTCTCGCACAATTGGATGCTCGTCAATCGGGAAAACTCGGATCTCTTGCTGTTTCCTATTACATTTTCACTACCATTGTCGCTGTCATAGTAAGAGGTCCGACGGATATGTTTCGTAGTTTGGGATATTGTAGACTGGCATTTTCTTGGTGTTGGTCATCCACCCTGGAGACCCGACTATCAAGAAGGAAATTGGAACGGGAACTGAAGGAAAGACTGTTAGCACTGTGGATACTCTTCTTGACCTTCTCCGGTACTCATATCCTCAAGTTTTGTAAAATAATTCTGACTTTTAGCAACATGTTCCCGGAAAACGTTGTTCAGGCCACTTTCCAACAAGTTCAGACCAAGTATATCAAAGTGCGTCCGAAAGTGGTCAAAAACAATGATTCTGCGACATTAGCAGCGCTGAACAACGGAAGTCTTGACTACGTCAAAGCTTCTGTAGAATACACGTCTGGAATGAATGTTCTCGGTAACGCAACTCTATGTCAGTCTAATAATACCCGTCTTTAGGAGTCATCGTTTTCTGCATTGCCATCGGAATCAGTCTTTCTCAACTCGGAGAAGAAGCCCACGTTATGGTCCAATTCTTCGTTATCATGGATAAGGTTATCATGAAGCTCGTTATGACAGTCATGTGGTATTCTCCATTCGGAATCATGTGCTTGATCATGGGAAAAATCCTCGAGATTCACGACTTGGCCGACACCGCCAGAATGCTTGCAATGTATATGGTCACCGTTCTAACTGGACTTGCCATCCACTCGCTCATCTCCCTCCCACTTCTCTTCTTCCTTTGCACCAAGAAGAATCCGTACACTTTCATGAGAGGACTCTTCCAGGCTTGGATCACCGCTCTTGGAACTGCTTCCAGGTGGTGAAACCTTATCAGCTTTCAAAGAAATACACCTTCTAGCTCTGCAACTCTCCCAATTACTTTCAACTGTCTCGAGGAGAACCTAGGAGTTGATCGTCGTGTGACCCGTTTCGTGCTCCCCGTCGGAGCCACCATTAACATGGACGGAACCGCTCTTTATGAAGCTGTAGCCGCTATCTTCATCGCTCAAATCAACGGAGTTCACCTTTCGTTCGGACAGGTCGTCACCGTCAGGTAAATGAAAACTTTCTGGCATGTGATCTCAATGTTTGAAAGGGAATTGATATTGAAGCCGACCAAATTGAGTGCGTTTATTGCTTTCCGACAATGTTATTTTGTGTTGAAACTTCAACACCAAATCTCGAAACCAAAACACAAAAAAGTTAAGTTTGACTGCCACACTGGCCTCGATTGGAGCTGCTTCTGTGCCCTCTGCCGGACTCGTCACTATGCTCCTTGTTCTCACTGCTGTCGGACTTCCGGTCAAGGACGTTTCTCTCATCGTTGCGGTTGACTGGCTTCTGTAAGAGACTTAGAACCTCGAAACAATTTTAAATTCCTGTATTTCAGTGACAGAATCAGAACTTCGATCAACGTGCTTGGTGATGCAATGGGAGCTGGAATCGTGTACCACTACTCAAAAGCAGACCTCGACGCCCACGACCGTGCTGCTGCTACCACTAGATCTCATTCGATCGGTAAGAAATTAGCAAAACAGTGGAATTCTATATTGAAATTAAGCAATTTCAGCTATGAACGACGAGAAGAGAGCTCTTGCGGTGTACAGCAGCCTTGCCACCGACGACGACAAGCACAATCATTGATAATTCATCGAATTTTCCTCTATATGCTTCTTCCCAAATACTTGCTTCGCTTTTTCTGCATAACCATACTAAATCGGTTTCATCACCCGACGCTTTTCGATGTCTTCCCGACGTTCTTAATGTCTTCCTGACTGCTCCCGATGACCGCTTCTAGAAATTCCCCCGATGAGCTTTTCCACGTTTAGAAACCTTTTCGAATTTCAGTCCGTTTCAAATTCAAATATAATAAACCGTTGGTTAATGACCGTAAGTGCAAGGTGTAGTGAGAGAAAGAGGAAACACGCGTAAGGTTTGGCTAGCCATAAAAGCTTGTCCTCACCGTCTTATCATTTGCTGCGAAATGTGTTCACGACGGCTGGTAGGTAAGTATTTTTCTTCCCAAGAATGGCATTTTAGTAAAGTTGCAAGGCATGACACCATTTGGTCACTGAAAGCTTTTTTGATTTTTTCAAAATTCATTTTCAGTGAACTTCAAATAAAATTTCAGATGAAACATTTTCCATGAAACTAAAGCAGTCCGTGCATTTGCAGTTGAGCTGGCATTCAGTTTCAGAAAATGATCTATAAAAAATAAAGAACATGAGAAATTATAGCCAAATTCGTGGGCATTGTTATACTGAGCATTGTTATTCACAGTTATGAATCCGATGTTTGAGCAATCTGTGCCATAGAAACTGTGTAACTTCTTTCCCCGTTTTTATGTTTGCATTCGGCTTCTTTTATTACATGCCAAGTTGTCGTAGAAGGTACACACGTCACTCTGTTTCCTTTCCTTTCAGCCGAAAGAGGCAAGACCTATTAAACCAATCCAATAACTTTTTTATCAACTAAAACGTGGATGATTACACAGTTCTTCAACATTTGTCGCGTATCGATGATTGCGGCGTTTAGATAATTGAAAGGGTGATCACACTTCGGAACGTTTCCAGCGAATACAGTAATCGGTTTAGAACATAATCGTGGGTTATGGGTTACTGTTTCAAAAAGCTTTAGATGGAAAAGTAGAATTGCACGCAAAACTTCCCTCTATTCATATCATCATCACCTTTGAGTCGTCTAATCGATTCAACTACTGATCAAACAAAACGGCATGTCACCGATTCGATTCCAACAGTGCACAATGATTACGATAGGGTGTAACCGCTGTGGAAACATGAAACTCAATTGAAAGATATGAGTCAGAGAGAAAGAATCGGAGGGAGTGTCTTTCGTTGATTAGCTGAACCGCTCCACTCTTTGCTCCGTGTCACACCCCAATGGGTTCTACCGTTCTTTTAGCACTACTGGCGTTCTGCGCCGCTGCCAGTGCTGTCGACACAGAAGGTACCAACTTTGTCTTTGCCTTTGTCCGAAATGCCAACAACAACATCACTAATCAAGTTCTCTCTGCCACAGGTACCGTTTCCGATCCAGATCTTTTAGAAGGTTGTTTATTTTTATTTTAGTGCTCAACCGCAATTCTGAAGACTGCAAATTCACATTGACATACAGACCAGACTACCATAAGACTACTCCAGCAGAGAACATCACGCAGACAGTGCCATCTTTGTCCGCTATTAATGTTTGTTCTCTTGAATGCCTAAATTTGGCAATTATTCTCAATGTTTCAGGTTGATATTCCTTCTTGGTACGGATGGGATTATGCTGGAAACAACGTTCAGGATGATGTCTTCCTGACTCTTACTGGATATTCCACGTGCTTGGTCACTGTTCTTGCCAACAATTATGACAATGTGACTCAGCAAGGAGACACGTACTTGGGTGATTACACTGATGATTTGGTTTTGATTATCAAAAAAGTTCAGTTCTGCCCGCAACTTGGGGATCTCAGAGTTTCACATTCTCTTTGCCACCTGCAGTAATATCCTTAGACCAGCAATACGAGCAAGTCTTTGTTCTTCCCACCAGTGATGTACATTTTTAGTACTTTATAGTCAAATTTCGATTATGCGCTTTTTAAGGGAACGACACAGGTTATATTTTCTGAAATTGGAAATACCCAGTCTGTGTTTTACTTCAATGCAACCTATGGGGACTCTCCTGCAGTTTACGTTGGAGCTAGTACTCCAGATTCCCGCCCACGCACATATCATGTTATCACTGATAAACCAGTTCTGGTAAGTTCATAAAATTGATCTCTCGTGCTCACTTTGTCTATTCCTTTCCCTATTAAGATTGTTGCCGGAGTCACTTGTGCCGGAGTGGATGCAAATACGTGTGATCATGTGGCATATATGCCTCATCCGCCAGCAGCAAGCGGTAAGCTTTACAAATAGGCTCCTAATTCTTTTCGTGTTTGGGATAATCCTGGATTGTACTCTTGTGTGAAAAGAGTATTACAAAAGATTATTTTAGATTGCTATGCATACGATTATTACGACGATGATCATATCAGTTATCTCCCAACTACAAGCCAATTCTTCACAGACATTCCAGGAACTTGTCTTGTCAGACAGAATGTATTCGAGAAACGAAAACTGGAGAAACGGAAAAATAATTGTTTTGTTTAGATCACGGCGACACTGAACGATGGAACTTACAGCGTTATGAGTGTAAAATCACAAATGGAGTCTCCTCTCTGGACCATTCAAACTACAAATACGAACCAAAAAGGAGTTGCATTCCATAACGGGTAACTATCCCATCCAACACGTGTATTCTTCAATTTATTGCCGAGTTTCAGAGGAACCAACGCGCACATCGCTCGTTATTACGATGGTAGCAAGTACAATGTGCGTGGAGCCTTCATCTCTACTGTTCCTTCCATTCCACAGTTTCACAACGACTATACTTCTTTCTACACCAGAAACGCCAACGATTCCGTTGAAATCTATTGTACAGTTCTCACATGCGCTGCTCTAACTCTTGACGGCTCCGGAGTTTACAATCTTGCCAACGAAATGACGACTCAAAAGGTTGATGGAATTTCGTACTACATCTTTGTCATTACTGTTGCGCAACCTGGATTCCATCAACTTGATTTGGATCCTGGAAAGAATGGAAATTACGCGTTCTTTGTGTTCGGAAAGAACGGACAGTATTCTTATGGATATGAAGGAGGAGTGAACAGTGAGTGGAAAACTGACCATTAAAATCCAGGTGGATCAATTTTCAGAGCCTACGTTTGTTCTTGCACCGGCTACCACTCCCGGATCAACAACTAATAGCACAGCCCCCACTGCTACTCCCATAACCGTGACTGTTCCGACTGTCACCGTTCCTACAGTCACCGTTCCTACAGTCACCGTTCCTACAGTCACCGTTCCTACAGTCACCGTTCCACCAGTGGTTGGACCAACAAAATGACAAATCACGATGACCACTATCAATTTCAGACAACAACCACGACTGCTCCAGGAACCGCAGGAACCACCCCAACTGCTGCCCCCGCCACCGCCACCCCCTCAACCGTTACCCCAGGCACAAGTAAGCAAACGAATCCAGCGACTTCTCAATCCGCAGCTACCACAACCGTCCCTGCCACAGCCTCCCCCTCAATCACAACCCCAGTCACAAGCAAGGCCCCTGCGAGCACTTCGACCCTTCCACCCACTAGTACAGTAGTTATCACCCCGTCCACTACAACTACCGGAATGACTGCCACCACTGCAGTCAACACGCCTTCTGTAGCTCCCATCACTCTCACCTCTCTTCCCACTGCCCCAACCACCCCAAAAACGACAGCTACAGTAGTGCCCACTTCCTCAGTTTCTCCAGTCTTTTCCACCCAAACGCCAGTGGTTACCACTGCAACTACTCAAACTCCAGTTGCCACGTCAACTCCGACTGTGGCTACTGTACCGGCAACACAAACAACTGTGACTACGACTGCTACATCAACAGTTGTGACAACTGTAACCACTCCGACTCCAGCTGTTATCAGTAGCACAACGACGGCTCCGAGAACAACTGTGACCACCACCACGACCCAACCTCCAGTAGTGACCACCCAGACAACGCAAACTCCCATAGTTACCACCCCAACCACTTCCACCCCCACCTTGCGAACATCAGTGCCAACAACGCCAACTCCATTAGTTACAACAGTTGTCAGTACAACGCCAAGCACTGGTAAGATAGACATAACTTTAGGGTTACACCCTTTAGAATGACTTTAACTTTCTAATTTCAGCCGGTCCAGTTACATCTGCAACGACTGTGACTCCAGCTCAGCCGGGATCATCTCCAACCACACAGGCTCCGATCACATCCCCAAGTACGGTGCCAGTTGTCACTCAGCCGGCAACTTCTCCAACCACACCCGCTGTTACTAATCCGACCGCGCCAGCTGTGACTACGCTTTCCACTGCTGCTCCGACAACTCCAACAACTGTGAGAACAACTCCAACTACAACGCGACCCACTACCACCACCACAACTACCACAACTCAAGCGCCCAGTACCACCACTCAATCTTCTTCTGTTATCTCACTTGCCCTTCCCGCTGTTCTTACAATTCTCTTTGCTTTCTTTTAAATTATTGTGAATCTGATTTGAATGTGGTTCGACTGTAATCTTAATAAATTTTATACGCGTTATGGGTTTTTGTATTTACCGTTTGAACCGGGAAACTGTAAACGTGGTATCAGCGAGAGAACAATTCTACGTCTTGAAAAACCTTGGAAGGTCTTATATTTATATCTTATTTATTCCATTTCCCAATTGTATGAAAAGAATGAAAAGGATTCCAAATGCGACAAATGCGGTTGTTCATAAAGGATTTTCATATTTGTCACATGAGATCTTTCAAAAAAGCAAAGGATAGTTGTTTTGATAAAATAAATAAGGGTGGGGTTATGGTATCGCAATGTGTGGATTATGTGGAAAATGACAAGTGCAGATAATAAGTTTGGAATTCTTCAATCGCATTGCTTGGGAGGGGTGAAACAAGGGAACGTTTACGAAGAAGCGGTTCTCAACATATTCTGGGTAACCAAGTTGAGGAACATTGTATTGAGTAGATCATTGAGAACAATCTGATTTCCAGCCCCAGGCTCGATGATCGTGCTGTCCACACTTTCCGAACTTCTCATCACCCTCTTTCTTCTTCTCGGTCTGTACACGTAGTCCGGATACTGGATAAAGTGCTCCTCGCGAAGACGTTTAGCCTAGAAATAGGTAAAAAGTTCCATAAAGACTGCTATTCATTCACTCACTCTGATAACGTACGGGTTCTTGTCTTTCTCAGCCATCAGACGCCACTCAGCTCCGAGCATTTTCGAAATGTCCGAGTTGTGAAACTTCTGCCCTGTTTGCGAAATTTGTTGTCTTCTCTCTTGCGACCATACCTGCAATTAATATAAATAATTTTCATGTCCGAATTTACAAGATTACGATACCATGAAAGCGTTCATCGGTCTCTTGATGCGAGTTTCACGAGCTGGTTTCTGCGACACAGTGTCAGTCTGATTTTTGCTGACAGCCTTCGCGCTTTTAGTGATTATGTCACTTAAAAGTTGACTTTGAGAAATTTCTGCTGACGAAGCATCGGAGACCGGAGCCTTCTCAACAGGTGACGGAGAACCAGAAACGTCGGATTCTGTGCTGGGAGGCATGGCGACGAAGGCGAGAAGGCTCTGAACAGTGTCCGTATCCATTGGAATGCTTGCTAGCGGAACGATTGCAGCCGCTGTTGTCTGGAAAAAGAAATATCTCAAAACTTATAAAGACCGATTCATATTGTTGTTCTCTTCATCCTGGCTTTTGTTGGCGGCAATAAGCAGGTGAAGAATATAAAAATCTCGCGGCGCTCTCATTATCCTCGGATACAAAAATATGTTTTCGTACCGCCAGAGCACGGAATACAATGCGGGAAAACGGAGAAGAATCGAGAATGACAACAAAACTATCACCGCGAGAAGAATGAGCGCGAAAAGGCGTCGGAAAATCGTTGTTCGCAAAGAAATGATTAGCAAGCAGTGTCATATCGATGTGTGCCTGTGTTTGTTGATGGAAGTTCATGATATGACCCTCCTTGCACACTTCTTATGAAATAACAAGTTGACAAAAGGAAACGAGGAAAATCGAGTTGATTGTGAAACAGAGCAGAGCAAGAGGAAAAGGTGAAGGTAAATGCAAAGTCGATTGAGATTATAATGAGTTTCATGGGAGTCACACCAGAATTCCCGCGCTGCGTTGCACAACTTCTTGTCGCTTGAAAGAACATTAATGCTTGCAAAATGGACAGAGGATTTGTCGAAATGCGAGATCAGGAATGGGGGTGGAGACCTCGTCTTATATGGAGAAATGAGGGGGGTGAATGAAGGCGTTGTCGGGCCCTCAAAGAAGCTCAATTCCGACCATTGTAATCACGGGATTACATACCCGCGCTTGGCTGGTTCACCTGATTGAGAGGAAGGCTCATACAATAACATAATGGACGTTATTCATGCAAAGCTCCTGTTACTGGTAACAAAGCGTACGATTACACCAACTCTTGTTAATCTCGAGCCTCCTTTATCATCTTTTATCCTTGAATATAGGTATAATGTGTAAATGAGCAGTCATTGTCCGGAAGGTGTTTACGCGGTTGGCTAATAGAACCCGAAAAGGGGGAGGAGAGGTAGGAAATCGAGAAGGTACCGCGTGAGCAGCTCCGAGAGACACGGAAGGTGTAATTTTTGGATTCCGAATACAATTGGACAATAATGAGCTATTGTGCTGCCTGTTTTGTCGAAGACGGCTTCGATTCTGACAAAATGGATCCGTCGGGAAGGGAAGTGAATAATAACCGGATTTTCGACAGGAGAAGTCACCGTCAGACCATTTGACAGCTTTTTTGACGTCCTCTTACTGCTCGGATTGTTATAAGAAAAATCAAGCCTAATTAGGCTGCGGGATGCGAGTATTTGTAGCTTTAACGTCCAAATAATCAGAAGGTCGAAATCGGATTAATTCTTAATGTTCTCCACTGAATCACTCTTGTTTTCCGATACAAAATCGTTTCGAAATTGTTTTTCACAAAGAGACTGAATTGTATAGAATCTAGTTCTGAAAGATCAAAATAACAGAAGCCCTACAAGCTAGAGCATGTTCGGGAAAAGTGTGCGAGAAGATCTAAATCACTTTCGAGCATAAGGTTTCACTCTCTTTGTTTCCTAATCAAAAGGTGCATAATGCCATGAATAATTAATAGTGCGCGGTTGATAAACATGTATGAGGTACGTTGTGTTTCTGAGTATACATACATCTGGTTTAGCACGTTTCATCTTGTCCACAAACCGAAAAGAGTGCGTTGTTTCTTGTTTGTGCTGTGTTTTGGTTTGTATATTCAAGAAGTAGGAGGAATTACCAAAAAGAAACTATTCACTCACTTTCTGAGCTGAGTAGAGCTGGAACGCAGAAGTATACGGTAGAGACTGCATGTGTACCTGTAATTGAAACCATAAGTGTCGGAATGTGAAAGGAATGACTAGAGGGACGGTATTTTTGTTGATAGAACATCAGTTATGCTATTGTTTATTAGAGGATGGAGGGGAGAGGACACTGCTATCACAAAAAGGCGTTATTCATTGTTTGTGTTTGAACAATCAACTATGAGAACTGTGGGGAGAACGGAACCTTAAAAGAAAAGGAGACAACATCTTATGTGTTTTCGATTCGTTTTTGGTTCTTAGTTCATATTTTCAGGTGGACAGACAGACAAACGGATGTCGATTTAAAAGTCTCACAAGAGTTCGTTCATTGGTGCAAAGGATTTAGATTTAGATTTAGAAGGAATTTCCTATGAAAAGGTGTTTCGAAAGTTCAGGAGGACGAAACAAGATTAAGCAATCAGTTGTATCCTCAAAAAAGCAGACTTTCAATTTCTCACGTATTCTATGCCGTTCTTCAAACATTGGACCGGTAAGAATACAAACGACAAGTACCGGAAAGTCAGACTATGAGGGGACGGAGGGCAAGAATGGAAATGCGAGAAGAAGAACAGGGAGGGAAGGGACAATTCATATTTGAACAAAGAAAATTGAAAACTACTGAGGAAAATGGAAATTAGTCACTGAGCGGAAACAAAGTTTGTTCCATTATAGTGTTCGACTATTACCTGCGCAGACAATTGTCTGTCCACAAAAAAAACACCCTCAGAAACGGTGGATTTTTCGTTTAAAAAACTTGGATCTCAACCTTGTATTGAAATGCATTTAACATTTAATCAAAATGTACATAAATTAAAAAGTTTGTATACATGTTTCAAAAATCGGTAAAGTTTGATTGATTAAAACCATTGAGGCAAAACCAAAGTTTGAGTTTGTTAATCAGAAGGGTCATACGTACATTTTATGATTGACAGGACAAAATAAGGGCAATTATTGTATGCAAACCAACATAAAAATGTTATTTTTGTGCCTCTTATCAAAAAGTGAATCATACATGTACATATAGTCAGATAGGATGGTGATGATGGAATCAAGTACGATGGTAGGGGACCCGATTAGTGGTCACTCATGTGCCGGTCCCCGACAGTTCTTAGAGTGACCGCCAATGTCTCATCTCTATTTGTTGAAATGTCTATGTGTGTATGTGAGCGAAGAACACCTTTTCTCGTCGAAATCCCAATTGTCAAAAGGTTTTGTGGTGTGATCGGGTTTTGTTTTAGACCAAAACTCAGAATGATATTGGCGAATAGTTGTTTATTATTGGAATTCAGAAAACGTATTCCTTTTTGGCGTCAACGGAATTCTGTTTTGAAGATGTTGTCTTCAAAGTGATTCAATGCTAAAGTATCAACATTTTTCTCGTTCTACGGTAAGCAGACAGGTTTTATTTTACAAGAAAAACAGAGTGGAGTCCCTAAAATAACTTCAATCTCGTAACCTTTCATTGTCTGTATGAAAAAGGTGATACCATATTTATTTTACTGTGATTCACTTCTTTTCAAACTCACCTCATGCTCCAATCCCAAAAACAAACGTTTACTGTCGATCCTTGACTTTCCCCCTGCTTTCTTTGCCTTTAAAACCATTCCAAGGGGAATTGAAAATAAAAATAAATCATTGGATCGCCCTGAATGCAATTTGGAACAATTCAACTGGCAATAATAGGCAATAATAACAAAGCTTAAAATATACCTATAAAAACTTGGAAAACCCCTGATCACTATTTGAATCGAATTTTTTAAAAGAGTGCAAAAAATAACGTGTCACATACTCTACATCAATTTCTCATATTACTCATAGCCTGGGAAAAGTTGCGAGTTTGTTGATCTTTCCCATTACATTTGCTCTCGTGCCGTTTTCAGAAGTGCGCAAATTGCGTTATGTTCTGGAGATTTATGTGTACCTTATATCAGAATAGAAGTTCAGCCCACTCATGAGTTTCATATAACTCACGCAGCAACAAAAAAAAAACACTTATTGGTCAGTAACATACAACTCTAACAACCCGGAGTGCCTAAAAGTTCTGGTCAATTTGCATTCGTGAGAAGGCTGCACTAGTCAACTTGTCCATGCTTTTTGCACCCGAAAAGTCCTCTGAAAAGTCCTCTGACCTCGGTCATTCGTCACAAAGCCTCTGCTTTTGTCTTCGAAGATCGCACGTCTTAAGGATCAGGTATTCTTTGATGTCTATGGGATGAGATTGGAAATTCATTTTTCATCCGGTACAATACGGATTGATCTCTGACAAGTGAGGTTAAACCTTTCCTCTTTTTAGGTCACCATTACTCACCATTTCGTTTTTTTCCTTCCTCACTCGAAACGACGAGTTCTTCCCTATTTTTTGAGAAAACTCGATATCCGCTGCGCTTCAGCTTGCTCTTTTTTTACTTTCCGGGATGCCAAAATGCAATTTCTCACCCAAATCTTGTTTCTAGTACCTTTTTGCAGTTTTGTAATGTTGCTACTTCAATCGCCTTCTTCTTCTTCTTCTTCTTCTTCCGATTTGATGTTTGCATAAAAAACACAGACTTTAGCCAATCAAATCCGCGATAAGACCGTTCATTCCTTGTTTTGACGTCTATTCAAGATAAAACGCTTATTTTTAACAAACGAGACAATATTTTCCTAATCGAATTCTCCCACAACACTTGAGCATTGCTCGATTCATGGAACATGCCCCATTTCCCATTTCCGCTCACGGAATTGGATGATATCATTTCAGTTACTATCAGAAATTGCATCTTCTTTTCTCGGGCGTCGTCGACGCGGAAAATTCAATATTTTTGATTCACCAGGTGATCCGTTTCGCGGCTCTTTCGCCATCTTCTTCTCCTTCTTCCTCCCATCCTTTTTTACGCCAATTTCGCGATAAACGAAACCAATTTTAGGTCCGCGCCCGGCGGTTGCAAGCCCATTCAATTTCTTGCAGATCCCAGTTTCAGAAGCTAATTTTGAGCCGAGTTCTCGTTCGTAAACAATTGAAATGCTCCGTACCAAGCTTCTTGGCTGGTGCCTCGCTGGTGTTTGCATACAGTTAGTCATGATTTCATTTTACTTGCATTCTCATGATTTTCTAACAATTAAAAAAACGACAACGTTTGCTTGTGAATAAGTTACAAATCAACTTCCGCAATACACTATTCTCCTGCAAACCCTTTCCCTTTGCTCTTCTCACCCGGCATCAGGAACTAGAATCTGGTCACCCCCTGATCATGGATTCAACAACAATCCTAAATCATTTGAATGTGTTATTTTGATGCGAATTCCAAATGGCCCACAGTTTTAGGAGTTATAGCAATGCTTCATTTCCATGTCTAACTCGGAAAACAAATCTGCGCGGCATTAAACCTTTTTCTATTCGTCGATTAAGACTATTCCTAGAAAAGAGGATTACCAAAGTACACTCGTTGCACTGTTGTTATTATAGTCATCAAAATATTGTGAAAATGCATCCCGAGGCCTAAATTACAATATTTGTAACGAGCTGAAAAGGTTACTCATAATGCACCAGATAGAGTTTGAATTCTCCCCTTTGGGCTTCTTTATTTTTTTGAAGGAATATTTTTAAATGGCAACTATATATACATGAAGATTAAGGAGCACAAGTCAGATCACCCTTTGCAAGTCAACTGTTAGCTAATCCACAAAGCAGATTTATTTGTCAAAATGCACTATTCCTTATTTCTCTTCCCCTTTTATTCGACCGTAGTTTAAACGAAATGGCTATTCTTAGCATCTTCGAAAATAGTAACTTTTGCATAAATTTTCGATCATCTCGTCTTGGGCCGAGTCTATTGTTTTCGAGTTGGGACAACTAAATGTGTTGATGGTCAAGTCGTATTATACTAATTATCAGAAGGTCTAGCCCGCCTTCTTCGTATCCCTGTTCTGTTTTGACATCCGCCAAACATTCATGCATATTGATAGATAAGAAAAGGCTCATCTCTCTATCGGTTGCATACCTAATTCGGTCAAAACTCGGGCGTCCTAAGGACCACGAAGCGTGTTATTCATCTATTTATTAACGCGTCGGTTCTTTTGTCTTTGCACACTCTCGTCCGTCAAAAAAAGATTCTCCGAGACTAAACAAGATATACATTTTTTCTTTTTTCAAAGCCTCGACTTTGAATATTCACTTCCGCCTGTGAACCAAGGTCCTTCAAGAAGCACAAAGTTGGTGACGGCAGACATTTGTGAGAGGACGGGCCACCACCTCTCGTGTCTCCTACACGTAGCTCTATTTGACGAGGAGGAGCGCAGTTTAACAAAGTATTCCCTTTCTTGTTCGCGCCACCTACTACGTGGTTCGAACATCGGATAAAAACACTCTTCGCCGCCTCCTCCGCCTTTTCAACGCTGCTCAATTAACGGCTTTCCAATCTCGGACCACCGCAAACAATTAGAAAAAGAGAAGAGAGCAACCGAGGTTTTTCTTGCGAGCATTTCATTTCTGAAACCTCTTTTTGGAATGAACGAAATCATGGTGCCTGCTGAATATTTTGAGGTGAGTCCTTCAATTCCTTCGTGCGTCATTTGCTAGAAGTGCATACTGAATAGATAATTTTCATAACCGACAGACAGCTTTTGAACATTTCAGTGAGTTCTAAATTTTTTCCTCAAAGAACAGAAAAATTCAACTTTTTTCTATTAGGTTTACATCTGAAAGGTTATCGAGAAATAGCGTCGCAAACGGAAAAAACTCGTTTTCCTCTAGACAATGCACAAAAAACAACGAGTTTATCGAAAGCTCGGATTTTTGCTCCGCATTTTGAGTTCAAAAGTTCCGTCATCCTAGGCTGATCTCTGATAAATCCCAGACTTTTAGAGAAGCTCGTACATATTTTTGACTTTTGAAATATTGTTGTTCGTGACTCAGACGCAGTTTGAGTGTTGAATTTCAAAGCCCAAATGTTAATCTTTCGTTTGAACACTCCATTTTCAGGTGTTCCCAGAAAAGTCTGATCAAACATGAAAAAATCTGAAAAGAAATG